ATTGTCCCCGGGGTTTTCAAATAAAGTACGGATACTTTGCTCTGATTATTGGTCAAGGAAATTCTTTCCATACTCGCTTATGACTCTGTCCTAGGATTATTGCCCAGAGCTTGGACAACGTCACAGGCGTGTAAATAACCAGAGCTCCCTCGGAAGTGTATACCAAGTTACATGTCATAATAAATACTGGTCACTGAGACTGTTAGCAATCTCCAACCTGGCCCTTGTTTGCGAGGTTGGGTGCTAAACCCTGGTCAAGAAGGGCGAGGGACTGTCTCCTGAGCTTTCCAGATCGCTGGGACGCCGCTAAAATGTAACAATAACCTAGTTGGGGCTCGTCTGGAAGCCTGGTGTTGTTGAATGCGACGTCATGTGTTTGCAAAGCAAGGGGGGGGGGGGGGGGGGGGACCACCCTAGATCCTGCACACTTCTGGCTGTTGAACAAAAGCATATCCGTACTTTTCAGGCGTTTACGGATTTCTCATGGCTAATAATGCACTGCAGTATATCTATGCTGGTTTTTGTGAAAAGCCACCACATACCGACAAACCACGAGGGGCACCGACGACATGGAACCGGGTCAAGCTGACCTCTCAGAGCCATGCCCGACTCGGGGGGGCCAAAACAGGGGTGAGGGGGGAACGAGTGCAATTGCATAAAGCAAGCCCACAGCAACGAGTCAGGTTTGGCTCGTCAATGTCGGTGTCGAAGTTCGAACATACAGTGAGTGAGTGATCCGGAGGACCAGAGCCGTGTACGGGCCGGTACGGGTGCGGGTGCGGGTGCGAACCCGGGATCGGCTTCTTCACCTTCCGCTGGCTTCGCTGCGATCTTAGCCCGAAGCTGAAGGGACGGCGAGGGCATCGTGACCTTATCGAGGTAACGGAGCCGCGCTAACAGGTTGCAGCATTACACAATTGGTTTCCGCGCATGCGATGACATTTTCGGACCTGAAGGCTACTCCATCCACACAATAAAATAACGTGCAGAGCCGTAAGCCACCACTACTGTACTGGTGTTCTTCTAGCGTTGTACGTTGGTTCATCAGCCCTCGCTTATTTCTGCGCGGTATTTGCTTCTCCTGAAACCCTCGTGGTGCTGCTCTGCCCTGGCTTGAAACTGTGGTGTGCTATATCCATTTGATATCGCACATAGTATTCGTACATACCGCCGCAGGGCAGGGGGCAGTCAACTTTTTGCATCAAATCAATCTAGACCAGTTGAAGGCTGAGACATTACGGGCGCCGCGTCCATGTCGTCGGTGCCAATGATCCGTCGCTTCAGCATGTCATACTCATAACCCTTCGCTTACTAACTCGGCTACCAGGCCCAAGGCGGGTATAGGCCGTTGCAGTATTCACAGTTCCTCTTCCTTCTTCCTGGCGAGTAAACAAGGCTCGGACTTGGGGTTACATTGGGGGGTTACTTGGAAGCACGAACTGCTTAACCATATATAGGACGCATCTTATTGGTGCCTTATATTTCAAGATATCCTACATTGGGCTCCTACAAGAATGGACTTCGCGGTAACAAACCGAATTTATGTCGGCAATTGATAACATAGGCCTGAAACCATTCTGTGCCCCTCCCTAGCAGCATAGCAGAGAACCTCGCAAGTCAAACAGTTTCTGGGGTTGCGGCTCGTGTTTCTCCAGTGACCTACCGAAGAAATATCATCAAAATGCAACATAAACTTATCGACTTCCTATCATAGCAATGTGACTTCAGGCTAAACCAAAGGGGACTTTGCCCTCGTACGACCATTATTGCGATTTGGACTTTGAATCGTGATAGCGATGCAAGCCGTGTTGCAGATGGATGGATATGCGGAGTCCCTGCGCCGCTGGTTCACCTGCTTGGCAGATCCTCTATCCTTGGAGATAGGCGTTGTCTCAGGACTGAATATAAACAGAACCATGCCATTAGTATAAATGAAGGCGTGCTTTGCCAGCCCAGGTACCCGAAAACCACCCGACACCAACAAGAAGGGCGAATTCACTGCAATGCACTATACTGCAGTGCAGAGCATTACAACCTCGGGCGCTGATTTTGATCCCCCATCTGCGTTATGTTATCATGCAGCCTGTTGACGATGTGATAACGATGAGATCGCGTTGCTGGGCGCACGACCCCACGGTTAATAACTGACGTGACGAGCATATCATCATCGCCGTGTCATGTAAGTCACGAGAGGCTGTTTGCACACCGATGCGGGGAAGGGCATTCATTGTTGGCACCAGTCGTAAGCTTAAGGGTGGGGGGTTGACGATGCCGTAGAGTTAGACGAATTGCCTGTAATTAATTGGAGTGCTGAGGTCAGTGATAATCAACCACATGACCTTGCTGTTATGTTTAACACGTGCAACAGATATGACATTGGACGCGCCACAGGATGATATAGTTTGCCAGCAATCAGGCCATCGATAGTTCTACTCCTTCCCACAAACCTAAATCCAGCAAATAGGTCCGAGCGACGTGCAAGAGAATGAAAACAAACAAATCAACGTCCAGATGTGAGTCTCAAGCTGAAATCCTACCTGCCTCTCTCCATGTTCACCAGTAGCCAGGTATTCATTCGTGTAACGTAGGGTACACCACGCGACAACACCAAACTAGGATAATAAGGTTGCAAGACCGTACATATACGACCTTGTTTCGGCCGACGTTTGTTTGCTGACTCCAAGTCGTCACGTCTTGGTATCAGATAAGGAAACCTGACCAGCAGCCAGCCAGTGGTGATATCTGCACCACACTTTTCACCATTTGGGGATAAAGAAGCAACGGCTAACTCTTAGACTGCAGCATCATGGCGTCCTGATTTCCATTCAGTGCAAGGTCAAGGGTCTCGGGTACAGTCCACAACGCGGATGTTTACCCCGTTTTGCAGACATCGATGTGATGAAGCGAAATTGAATTGACGAGACCGCCATGATATGACAAATGGACAATGATGGCCGGCCCTCTCACCTAGACATACTACGTAGTTCCTCAAGGTCTTGTTACGGTCGCCAAATGCATTGCATAGCGTAGTAGGTATCCGTAGCGTACGCATAGTAAGCGCTGGTGTTTGTTATTCTACCATTGGGATTGAGGCTTGCTAGTTGATCTACCCACCGCACCCTGGTCAGCCGCATCTCGTGCACAAGAAAAGCAAACCTCTTTGTCGATCATGAGCTGGAGGGGCCGAAATATGTATGTGAAGATTCAAAAGTACTGCTGTGACTCTCAAGCCTCCGAGTTAATCGGCGATGCGAAGCTTCTGTGCACCAAGCGGGCTGTTGTTCTGTCTGCATAGCATATAACTGTATCTCGTCACGTCGGAATAGTGCCACAATAATCGAAACAGAAGTGCCGAGATGCAGCCTCACTAAGATATCGCGGAGATAACTCTACGAGCTCGACAGCCTTGCTATCCTGTAACATGCTTGGATCGATTCTATGTCATCGTCCAACGTCTTGAGTAACTGAGGTGAAGTCGGGCTATCTTTTGAGTTATGACCGTAACCGATGACTAGGATACATAATTGGCTGTCCCGGAAAACGGGACTGACTTCATTCACGTGTCTCCGCCGAGATGGAAGTCAATCGCCTTTGATACTCTGTACAAGTTGGGCACTGCTCCACGTCCAGTCCAGAGTCAAAGTGGCATGTTTCGTCACTTCGTGGTCCCTTGGCTCAAGGATACGCGTCTGTGCTGAAGCTCCTCCGTAGTATTCAGTCATTAGATGGCACATCACAGAAAATCGTCAAGCCCCGTCTCTTTTGCTCTATTGGCTTCGGTTTTCTCGGTGATCAGGAGCGGATACGAGAGATTGCTTGCCAATGGCAGACTGGGAGTTTGGGAGTTTGGGAGTAGGTAGTCTATGTTTAACTTGGTGGCAGGGAGACTTTGTTGAAGATTACAGATTCGTCGATGATATGTCTTGGTAAGACTGATCAGTTTCCATTTTTGAAACGGACCCTGTGTTTCTACCGGCTTCAGGCTGAATTGAAGTCACTGGACCTTTGGGGACGGGACGATGGATTGCAGGATCTTGAAGATCTGACATGAAAAAGGCAGCTTTCGTAAATAGGCAGCAACTAAAGAACCCCAGAGCCTGAATGACGCATTTGTGTTACCCAAGAATCGGGTTCACCCTGGCAAGCCTAGCCAGCCTAGCCAGACCTAGATGCTGTGGCTGCGATCCTTCTTAATAACTGGTATCCGTACTACGTACACCGTATTATCGTATTTATTGGCTTTGAGATGCAGGGTTGCCAGTCACGGGAAGTTCAGAAGACCGAATTGAAAAGTTAAAACATCAAATCCATTCGGTCAATATCTGTGTTCGGGCCTTTTGGTAAATAAAGGTTTCTTCTGTGCTAGGATAAAACTTCATGTTGCCTTTGGACACCCTTTGCCACTGCAAGAGAGGTTACTTTGCACAGGTCGGGAATTTCGGCGCGAAGATGCGACTCGACTCGGCCGACCCTGTTGCATATGCTCATCGCTTCCAAAGATGGGATGTTGGGATATTGCTTGTGTAACCAAGCTGGTGCAACGATAGGTAAGCACCCTGATGAATCAAGTTTGTCCGAAGAAACAATACTTGGAACTTGGGGGCTATATCGGAGATCTAGCTCGCGTGTTTCGTACTGGGCTGACATCTGATGTGAAATATAGGGCATATCAACCAGCGATGAATGCGCCATGTTTATTCCACCATTGAGGTTGCGCCAATTTCAGTCAGTGCTTCTGAGCGACTTCCTTTTTTCATACATCGAAGCCTCAAGCTGATCCAAGCTTGAAGCTCAAACCTGTAAAGCCAGTCCATATTTGCTGTATTATGAGTTATAGCAGGTGGTTACTGACCAAGCAGGATATTTCTTTTTTGGCGGGGTTGACGTCCGGTCAACTTCCATTAGAAGGAGTTGGGGGGGGGGGATGACAATTTGAAGATGACAGTTGGTGTCGCCCCTTGGACCATGTGTTTACATGACCCTAGAGAATCTCACCCGAACTATTCGACGTCACTATCAGCAACCTTTCTCCGCTTAGGACGTCCCCGCAAGGAGATATCATGATGCCCAACAAGGCGTGTCTGATCACGGACTGGTTCAGGTCCATCACCAGTAGTATCATCTGCACCCTCAGTAAAGACCAGGTCGCCTCGTCGACCAAGGACCTCCTTTCCAGCCTCCTCGAGTAAGATGCCAAACGCCAAGAGAGCGGTTTCGTCCATGCTCCGTTCAATGACGTTAGGATTATCCGGAGGTTGACGCTCGCGGTTTCTGACACTGTAAAAGGCACTGGTATAGGCGTGGATTGCCTTGAGCAGATCACTCTCTGGCAATACGCCCTGACCACTCTGGGGGAGATCTCGTTCATGGGCGTAGTAGATATCATGCTCCAGGTAACGCTCAGGTGCATCTTTGCGTCTGAAGAGCACCTCATCGGGTGCTAGAGGGATGTCCTTTGTGGAGTACCTGATGGCTTTTGGGTGGCGAGGTGTGTTCTGAACATCCTCTGATTCTATTTCCGGGCCAGGACCTTGGTCGTATGAGACTTTGCCTGCTTGATGTGAGCTTCATATTGGAAGATCGTGGCGGAGTGGATTACCTGCTACAGCATCGTAGACGGTTGCATGTCTGCGTTTCGACCCCTTGTGGGGGTTCAATTCGGGGGCTGAAGTGTCTTGCTCGGATGAGAGCTCTCTCTCGTGTACAGGAACTATACGCGTGTGGTTCTTGGAGATTTCCATGATGTATAAGAGCTCAACACAGTAGAATTTGATATGCTGTTTGCCTATTGCTTCAGGGTGAAGAAAATATTGAGGTTTTCACGCAGTCGATATGTTGACAAATGAGCATTGTTTGTTGGGTAGCCTTGACAAGAATATTGTTTCCGAACGAATAAATGAGTGATATACCTGGGCGATGAAGAAAGCAGAACAATTTTATGTCGTGAAGTTTGTCTGATTGACGTTGAGTTAAGGCTGATGAAGATGGAAGGTTTGAGCAGCCAATTGTGGTGTGGGGGTCACGATAGTGGTTGGTCCCTTGCAGAAGGCGCCTTTCAGCTGACATCATCACCTACAGCTCTTCAGTGCTCACATCGTCAACCGCCAACTGCAGTTGCTCTCTAGACTCTACAGTCACAATCTTTGTCTGGAAATCCATTCGTACAGCACAGATGAATGCAGTCCTATATTCTTGCGCGTGAAACAGGTGATTTGGGGCCTCAAGACCTTGCCCGCTCCATCACATCCGAACTTGTTCGTTCCTTTGCGCCAGCACCGCAGCATCGCTTCAATGGAGAGAGAACAGCCAAAACCGATCCTGCAGGTGTGGGCGAACGTGCGCACAATATACGAGCTCACGGTGCAGGCGTAAATACACTCGCTCTTGAAAAATTCGACGGTCGTATCCTTCTGTCGGGTGGTGCCGAGGGAGGCATCAAGATATGGGACCTTGAAGATGGAGGAAACCCGCACAAGTTGCATACTTTTCGCCCTATTAGCAGCATCGCGAGATCTACGAGGGAAGAGACATCACCGGGTCACAGTCATGGTATCACACATGTTGCTTTTTACCCTTTCGACCCGGATGCATTTCTCTCAAGTTCCTACGACAAGAAGCTGAAGCTTTGGGCGACTCAGCGTTGCGCTCTATCGGCTACCTTCGACCTCAATGCTACAATATACTCCCACTCTACCAGCCCAGTAGCAGATCACTTAATTGTTGCATGTGCCACTCAGAACTCGGCAGTACGACTGGTTGATTTGAAGTCTGGGTCCGCTGTGCAAGCTCTCGTAGCTCATGGCGGCCCTGTGCTGTCAACCGCATGGAGTCCACGTCATGAACACATTCTCGTCAGTGGTCATGCGGATGGAAAAGCTCGTATATGGGACATTCGGCGTGCTGGTGGAGTGGTGGCCCTACTGGATCAAGAAGATTCACTTGGAATTGTTCATAAGATGAAGCATTTGGGGGCGGCAGGCACCGACTCGAGTCAGATACCTCACTTTCGTGCCTCTGCACAAGCGCATGACGATACAATAAACGGCCTGCAGTGGACGGATGATGGTAAGTATATCATTTCAGCTGGCCTTGACCGACGCATCCGGGTCTGGGACGCTGCTACAGGGGCCAACACTCTTGCCAGTTTTGGTTCACTGATCCAGAACCAGCATGCAAAGACGGCAAGCATACTGGTCTCCCCCTCCAACATTTCGGCCGGGAACAATCTTCTCTTCTGGTCAAACGACCAGGAGATTCTTATTCTCGATCTTCATGAAGGAAACATAGTGAAACGTCTTCGAAGTCCGGGCGTCACGAACCCCATAGGACCGAGGGGAAGTACGATAGGAAGAAACAGAATCACGAGCATAGTTTGGCGCGCATCAGGCGGGACAGGACGTCCGACTGGACCCATCATGGGTGGTGGAAACTCTATCGGGGCTGTATATAGTTCCCATATGGACGGGCAGATCCGAGCTTGGGCGCCTCAAGTACCTGGCCCTGAGGATGTTGACGAGGAAGAAGAGATCGAAGAAGAGGAGGAAGTGAAACTCAAGAAGAGAAAGGCCGTTGACGATGCATACAGGAGTCTCATGGGTAAGAAGATCACCTTCACGTAGTGCAACATCTATAACTTGGCGTTCTGTAAGGATTAGCAAATGTAGAGAGTGTTGATCAACAATGGGTATCAGAGGCATAACCTAATAAGCCGTAAGGGATATTCTGCAAAGTCGGAGCGATATATCGCCAAGCAAAGGATGAAGGGAGACCAAAGGATAAAAAACCGACCTAAACGCCTTCATTCGCCCTTCTATACCAAATAAGACCTATCCATCACAGGACAAAAACAACCAAACACAGCCATCCGTCAGGATACGAAGCTTCACGCATCAAATCCTCCAGAGGAGCATTAAAAGGCACTCCAGCTCCGTGCATCACCACCTTTGCGACAATAGGATCACGACTACTTGGGAACAGCCCCGGCAGCATCTCTTTGAGCGCCTGGCCCAGAAGTTTGGGTCGACGGTCTGGGCTTACCACAGGTATGAGAGATTGGATTACTTTGAATGTGGCGTGTTCTGGAAGCGTTGAAGATGAGTCTGGTGCCGTGGTAGGGATGTAGATGCGAATAGGGATGTGTTTAAGTGCTGTCGGGGCGTTGAGGAGACGACTGTTGATACGGTTGAAGGACGCGTGGTCGTTGTCCATGACCGAGTTCCATAGTTGAGTGGTGTGTTCTTTTGACATTTTCATGATTTGGTTTGCGTTGCCATTACGGATGAAGTCGGCCTGAGCTGGTCAGCATGTTATGTGACTCGTGATATATATGAACTCGACATTGCCGACGCCATTTTTTATCGAGATTATCTTGAAAACCGGGATAGTATTAATAGCTTACCTCTTTCACGCAATTAAGGAACGTATCCGCGATATCCCAGCCCAGTCCATCATTCACAGTCAGCCTCCAGGGCAGACTAGGCTGATACAGATCAACTAGCAACCCCACGGCCAGATTCCTCAGCTGCACATCTTCAAAGTGGAAGCTCGAGCAGGGCGAGTTGAAAAAAGTTGATAGTCTCGGTATGAGAAGAGCCAGATAGCTGAAGCGCGGAATGCTTGTGATGAATGGCGTTGTCGGTGAGGCGGGGTGTGTGATGTGCAACGGAATGCGGGCGTTCCAAAGGGTTTGTGGGATAGGAGATGACATTATGGCGTTTTCGATGGCAATGGCATGATGGAAAGGATGAGTTGTGTTGTGTTTGACGGAGATGGTTGCTGATAGAGTCAAGTCGTGATACCTGGTAGGACTGCGATATTGAGGTTGGACTTTGGACATCTAGGGTAGGACTTGCTCATGTGATTATTAAGCCGTTTGATATGGTGATGGATGAGACAACATTCAGTGATGCAATGTTCAATGAAAGTGTGTGTATGGATCGAGTACGATTTCAAAGTGTATTCTTTTGTGTCTATATATTTGGGATATTTAGTAGTTCATGGTATGAATAAGTCTGTAAGAACGCTGCGCTTCTCCAGTGTTTGTAAACAGTAACTGTGATTAACACGATATCAACATTCTGCCATGTTATAACAGAAAATTGTATAATCACAGCTAAAAATTTGTTTTCCTTTACCAGGCAAGCTAACTTATCCAAATATAAGGACCAGAACAAAATTGTTAGGTGATAAGCAGCAAGCTCCAAGCATTACTCGCACATTCAGCGTTGCATTCATCACGCTTTCACACACTCTATCGGCAACATCCAATAAGACGACAACTCCTATAACCATCGTCACCTCGTCATGAACAGCAAATCAGTCAAGATGTAAACCAAACAGGCTTGCAACTCTCGGTTTGAACGACGTTACATCATAAGCAGTTTGCCTGATCATGATATGTCAAAGCGCTTGCAGCTCTGACCGATGAACAGCAAATTTTGTGATAGTCGAAGTCGTTTTCGTCAGCCTAGAAGTCGCAGTGAAACTAGAAAAGCAAACCAAAACTTTGTTAGAATGCTCAAATTCTGGTTTCTTGATTTTGCCATACAGTCTGTTGTGAATAAGAGCCTTGGACGATGTAAGAGGCTCAAGGGTAGCCTACTTGGCGAGGTGCGTGGCATGATTGGCGCCAACTCGGCAGCTCGGCACTTGCACTATAATTTTCCCAAGACAAAAGCTGCACTGCAAAATAGAGATTCACAGTCATGAATTGTCCAGTCGTTTAGCTCATGGCTCTTGGCCTGCGACATCATTTGTGTTTCAGCGTATCGAAGGGGTCCTTGTCTGGGCTACGGTACAAGGCGAGGACTGTCGAATAGCAGATGTTTCTTACTCAACGCGCTGGCACACCTCTCGACGAGGCCTGGTCCGCATGACCTCATCTGGCAATTAATGGTGCTGGTGACCTGCCATGAGCCACGGTAGACGTGTCAAAGAGGTTGAGGGCCAAGACAATGGTCTCAAACAGGCTTCATCAGAGCCTTTTATGTTGAGGGAGGTCGTCATCATGTGGTGGAAGCAGTTGTGAGCTGCAATGTGAGTTGTAGATAAATAACCAGTGCTGCTGAAGGTGTTTTTGTAGCAAGACAGTATCTTCAGAAACCCCAGCAAAGAACTACAGAACTACACACTCTACAACACAGTACTTGAAAAGCTGCCTCAATAGCCATGGCTCTCGATCGCGTCGTTGCCTTGGTCCTGCGCGCTGCAGAGCTGGTCTTTGCAGCCATCGTTGCAGGTGTTAATGGTGAATACCTTCACAATGCCCGCGGCGCAAGCTCTTGGCAGCTCGGTCGGTTCATCTACACCGAGGTGGTTGCCGCATTGGCCATGTTATTCTCTCTACTGCTCCTGATCCCCTTCTCGAGCACGTTTGTTCACTGGCCTCTCGACATTTTCATTTCTATCAACTGGTGGATTGCCTTTGGTCTTCTCGTCGATGTAAGTCACAGCCTCATATCTCGGTAGTTGGTCATGCACTAACGGCATTCACAGCTCATCGGAACCTCTTGCGGACGTGTCTTTGATTGGGACAACGTTCACCCCGTCCACGGAGACCAGTGTGGGAAGACCAAGGCTGTCATCGCCTTCACATTCCTATCGGCCATTCTCTGGCTTGTTTCTGCCCTCGTAGGCTTCTTCTGGGTCCGCAAGCGTGAGCGCACTGCAGCTCGCGCGGAGGCGGCTCACCACAACCGCCGCCGAGGCCCTTGGTTCAGAAGCCGTGTCTAAGCATGAAGCTCTGAAACTTCCCGTCTCTACTGAAGAACTTTTGAACTTTCTGACAGGGCTAAGGCTGATCTGAGTTGGGCATTTGTTGGTCTTGGCATACTGATTGGATTGCGTGGAACATCCCGAACTGCCGTGCACTAATACTGTACTGTACTATGTGCGTGAGTCGCGAGACATGAGATGGATGGATGATTTCCTTGTTTTTTTTTGGAAGTCTTAATTGAGTTGAAACTTGGCGTTTGAAAGATGCGGGTTTGGTCCGTTTGGATACCCTTTGATACATGTTTTAGTTACGCTTAATGGCCACGAGAAATCCTTTCCTAACTAGTTAATGTATTTACTGTTCTATATTTATCTCGTCTATCGATCAACGTGGATATCATCAGGATTGATGGGAAAGTTGTCATGAATACCATTTTGCTGAGATTCGACGTCATTTTTACGCAAGAGCAGACACTTCCCGACTTGAAACAATGGGTCGAGTGTCATGATCTGCAACAGAAATGGATGCTGAAGGTAAATTGAATACAGTAATCCAAAACGTGGGTTATCTGTACTGTGCACCACATCAGGACACCTAGAACGCCATGTTAGCATGTCCATAGTCAGGCAGATATTCAGCCCATCCTCACAACGGAAGTGAGCGGTCAAACATGGTCACAAGGCCTCTCCTAACCATCGTGTCCCGGTTTGATCTCCGTTTGACCTGACTATCGATGCAGGAGATGTGCTTAGCCGTGCCAACCGCCCGGCTTGTTCCCACGATCATCGAGATCTACGACCATGATTATCCCGGTCACGCCCTGAGGCGCAGGCATAGAGTGAATGTTAGACGCAGAGTTGCAGACGCAGGCGCAGGGGCACAGTACGAGGTTGGAAAGCAAGTATCAAACGAAGAGGCTGACCGCCGACCTTTGCTGAAGCTTGTGCAACACTTGAAAGGTTTGACTGGGTATTCTCCGTCATTGTGGGACCCCGTGATCCTGCTTTTACCTGTGTTACGGAGTACAATACGGAGTACCTAGGTACAGAATTCTAGAAGAGCTCCTGCCTTTTTCCCCCGGCGGCTGCAAGTTTGCGCAAGCGTGCAAGGCCTGGATGTGTTTTAAATTGGCAGGAATGTTGTCATAAGCTGCTGTCTTTGTTTTATTAGGCCGGAAAAAAACGGCCGTTCTCTTGGCATGATTCGTTGCCTTGGACGGCTTGTGGAGCTGTTGCCAACTTTGTGCCCTTGAGCGCGGGGTAGCTTTAGCCTTAGCACCTGCCAAGTCGCTGGGGAGGAGCCTGGTTGGACAAAAAAGTATGGAAGTAACTCGTCTATCGGCGCTAAAAGCCGTTGCTAAGTCTTGCTATTTTCTGTCACCTTCCGGGGTAGCTGACGCCACCGCGCCACCACGGCCACCACAGCCACTCGCCACAATCCACTAGCTTGCATCATCTTTTCTGTAGATCTCACGTTATCACTTTGGAAGACACGGAGCCTCCTCGTCATCCCTTTCACATCTCATCTCCTGCTCCACAACAGCAGCTTGGCGCCGTGCGAAAAGACCAAGGAGCAAGAAATCCTTTGCTCGAAGCTTGTTGCTCTGCTCGTTTCACGCTTCTGCCCTACAAGTCGTCAACGTCATTCATCGCGTGGCATGACGCCAGGCTGCCCCGAGCTGTTATGCCAGCATCCAACACCAATCGCACGCCATGCTGAGCTTCTCCAAACGTCGGGGTAAAAGCTATGACGCAGAATGAGGTCGGTGGAGGGGTAAACAGCACCAAGACGTGAGAATCGGAGAATTGCACGACTGGTCGCTCTGTTCTGCCAGGTTTGCCGATGTTTGCTGAAGAGTCCATCGAGATGGAGGTTGCCAGGATGGCTATTGAGAACTATATAAGATTCCAGACATCTTCCCTCAGATCTATCTTCTCTTCATTATCATAAACAACAACCACATTCAAAGATACCCAAAAGCATCTCAACTTCAACACAACCACAACAACCTCATCTTATACCAAAAACACCCAGTCAACAACACAAACAACAACATCCATCATGTCTGGTCTCATCAACAAGGTCAAGGACGCTCTGCACTCCGACAAGGACAAGACCCATCATGAGCAGCCTGAAGGCACTCACGGAACTCACAACTCTCGTGCCGCCAATGCGGCTGACCCTCGCATTGATTCTGATCGTGATCACCGAGCCAACCCAACATCCACCACAACTGGCGGCCTTGGTGGCTCTTCTGCTCATACCGGACCTACTGCCGGAGGTCTTGGCCATAACACCGGAACTGGACACACTGCTGGAGGTCTAGGCCAGTCTACCGGTGCTGGACATACTGCCGGAGGTCTAGGCGGCTCTTCTCATACCGCTGGAGGTCTCGGCCACAACACCGGCGCTGGACACACTGCCGGAGGTCTAGGCCAGTCTACCGGTGCTGGACATACTGCCGGAGGTCTTGGTTCAACTGGGGGCATTGGCCATCGTTCTGAGAATTTCCCTGAAGGAACCGTGGGCCCTCACAGCTCGAGAGCAGCCAACGCCGCTGATCCCCGAGTGGATAGCGATTTGGATAGCTCTCGCAGCCACGGAGCTGGAGCTGGCTTGGGATCTCACTCTACCAACACTGGAGGCATTCACTCCGGTAGCACTGGCCTTCCTGGCTCTACCCACGCTGGAGGCATCCACTCCGGTAACACCGCTGGCGGTTTTGGCTCTGCCACTGGCACTGGTCACCGATCTGAGAACCTTCCCGGATCTACTCACTCTTCTGGCCTCCATGGCTCCAACAACTCGGGACTTCCTGGTGCCACCCACTCCTCAGGCCTCCACGAGGGCTCCGGAGCTGGCATTGGCTCTCACACTGGTGGTCTGAACGCTGGACACAACGCTGGAGGTCTTAACACTTACGACCAAACCACAACTGGTACCTCTGGTCTTTCCAGCCATGGTGCTGGAGCCCATGGACCTAACGCTGGCTTGACTGGTAGTCACGGCCCCAACTCTGGCCTAAGCGGAACCCACGGTTCCAATGCTGGCCTGACCGGAGGTCGTGATGCCGGTGCAGCTTACGGTAGCGGCCCAGGGCCAGCCGAAAACACTGCGGGCCCTCATAAATCTGATCTTTTGAACAAGGCAGATCCTCGTGTTGATTCAAACCTCGACGGCAGCAAGACTGTCGGTAAGGAGAAGACTTTCGACCAGTCGTAAGTCTTCCCAAACAACAACTCTAAAGCTCATTTCTCACCATTGCACAAATACAGAGGCACAAACTTTGCCGGCCGTGACCCCACCGACGCTGCCCAAGTCCCTCCTTCTGTGTTGCAGAAGCATGTTCCTAGTGAGATTGCTCACGACGACCCTTCAAGCGACCACGGTCGTCGACACAGCAGTGTTAACAAGGAGCATCACACGGGTCTGTAAAGGAGGAATGAGATATTAATGATGGTTATGGATATGTAAAGCAGCATTTCTTTAATGAATATTAATGAATTATCTTACACTAAGTAATTCTGTCGCATGATTTGGTAACCGGTGGCCTGTGCAGTGACATGTGAAGTCCTCAACTGTGTTAAGAAATAGTGTGATAGAATTGCAATGCGCTATCACTCTATGTTATAGATAAGACTTGCTCACCGCAGTATTTCAACCGAGTCAGTAACCTTGCATTATTAGTCCTATATCTATCTAATCGGGGGAAGGGTACATAAAGTGAAACCTTAACATTTCACCCTCAACTCACGATACTTAAACTCATGACTTTCTATACTATGACAAACATTTCAACATCATATTTCTAACTCATTTGTATATTCAGTGCTTATCCATCCTTAGCCCATCTAGAGCAGCTGGTCGAGTAATGAAACCCTGGTTGATGTATATTTGACAACCCCGGCAGCTGTTTAAACAATGGCCTGGGAATGGGAATAAAGCATGTCGAGGATGGAGGAAAAAGATGGACTGAATATTCTTGCCAAGAGCTCAGTAACCTGCCCTCAAGGCTTAAGGACTATTATATAGCCTGCATCTTTCATTCTGATGGGCATCAAGTGGGCCGTACGATAAAATATCCTAAAAATTAGGCTCCACGTTATATTTCGTCCAAAATTCGACACTTTTTATTACAAACTTTTATAAATTAATATGAACTTTCTAAACTTTGACTGTTTTATTTACGATATGACATGTTGCCTTATAAATTCTTATCTAAACTTAGGGTGTTAGAAAAGTCTTAGGCTGCCAGTTTAAGTAAGCATTTTATTAGAAAATAAGTAACTAAATCTGGCTGGCTTAGGGGCTGTTTTCGTCCGATGCTCGTAGGTTGTTGCTCAAGTCAGTGCCAATTTTGGGAGTTGCAGGAGCCATAACTAGAAGCTGGGCTCGACCTCGACCCAGATGGGTAGAAAATCAAGGTGCCACTGATAATGAAATGAAGGGGCCAAGAGCCCAGGGCCTCCCGGCGTATAACTACTAAGTCATATGATGCGAACAGAGATATTTCCAAGACTACTAAAAAAGAAAGAAAAAAGAAGAAAAAGGAAGGTATGCTAGTATCGGGGAATGAAGCTCAAGTTGAGTCTGGATCGATATGTACGGAATGATTCAAGTCTTTCACCCCAAATCAAGTTTGGAACGAATCAATGGCTTAATACCTTACTGAACTACTTCGAGATTCGAATACCCCCTAGCTAAGTGGCAATCGTTGCAATGATAAGGTGTATCTAGAAGTGACTATATAAGTATCTGGTCCGTATGTAGTCGTGAACGCGAAGTGATGAAGATGAAGAAACCAATATCAAGATGTACTTGCCAAAACGTTAATTAGATATCCTGGATACTGTCTATGAGCAGATACGATTCCAGCTGCATTCGGGTTATCATTAGAAGGGGGGGGGGGTACGGGAACAATTCAAAATCTACTGTTTGGCTATCAATCTCTATCAAGATATAGTGCCAACAAGCATGCCTAGCGAAGATATTATGGGAAAGCTTGAGATATCAAGGATGAGAAGACATGCAGCACGGGGGATAGTTGATCATCCACGCCAGGAGGCATATTAGAAGAAGCATGGTTTGAGAAAGGACACTTCAGTACCGGTTTGTGTGTTATAGAGTCGATTGATCTAGGCGAATTTCCCATACTAGGTATGAACACTTATGGGTCCATTATGTGGTACCCCTCCCGTCTACATCTGACTCGTTTCCATCTTGTGACTTTAGAGTCGAATTACCACGGGTGGTCCCGGCGACCCGCGACGCTCTATAGGGACTCTGTGGAAGCTACGAGTACACGTCGACTGTCGTCTTGAGCCAAGGCGCTGGTGGAAACGCAAGTCTTCAGATCCATAGGAAGGTCGCTGAAGTCGAGGTAAGGTCGATGAGCAGTTCCTGCCATTGCCCATTTCTTTTACAGCTTGCGGGCACAGGAAAGAAGAAGTGCACTGTTGTAATCATGGATGCGAGGTAACTCGTTGGAATCGTAATTCATCAATGCGTCGCGACCAATAGTGTGGCTAGTCATGCCTGGGTCGAGTGTGACATAGTCAGGGCTGATACCTGCGCAGTTGGCATCTCTCTAAGTCCACAATATAGAGCCAGTCTCATAGTTGAGTGCCAGGCCGAAGAAGACTGGCGCGCCTCTACTACGCTCCTGTTTCTGTACTCTAGTACCGTCCTTGAGCTGCGCATCGGAAAGAGGATGGTCCTGGTTGAGCGTGCCAACTTTGATGTGAGTCTCGCTGAACTTTCGGGGGGGCATGACAGGGTTTCTGGGAGCTGGGCTTCTGGTGGTCCAGCGATCGAAGATATCCTTGAAGCGTGCCAGTTCTCAACAGTGAGGTCGAAAGAGTGGTCCTTGGTGTTCTCCAGGTACGTAAAAATTGTGAGGAGACGAATTTTCTCATCCCTGGTCAGCTGCTCGTGGTAGTCGGCGCTGCCAGGGACAGGTCGAGCTGCCAGGGACAGGTCGAGCTGCAACAACATTTGGGTCACCCAACACATACTCCAGTGTGAGCGGAGGCGCAACGTAACGACGGGGGTCGATGTTGTTAAGCGTGTTGAGGGGCGCATGATTCTGGGCGTTGTTGGGAGGGTTGACAGGAGGGTTCATGGGAGGGTTGATGATCTCATCATCGTCGTCGTCGATGACAAAGATAACCGGTTCGGCCATGATGGTGATCGAAGTGATAATGGAGAGGATATGAAGGTGACGAGAAGAAAAGGCGAGAAGGCTGAGGGGGGGGGGAGAGGTGCCTTTTATATTTGCAGCGCATAAGAAATTAATCGCAGTGTTAGGCGCGTTTGCAATAGCAGCGGTTGCAATCCAGGCGTTCGAGGTCATCTGGCAGTGCTGGGAACTGGCAGCGTATGTGGCGACGGCGTTCAAGGTGATCAAGTAGTGTTGGAAAACGGTATCCAGTATCAAGTTCGGAATCCATGGGTTAGAAGTAGAGATAATAATAAAAATGCCACACTTCGATGCCAGCACAAAGTGTGGTCCGCTTGAAAACGAATGGGCAGGCAGTACCAGGCTGCCCTTTTTAAACATCTTTACAAGAAAATTGAGTGAACCGAATTATAGAGCAAGTGTGGTACTTGCCCTACTGGCTTATACCTTTCTCAAACTTCGTCTCAAGAATTAAGAACCGAGGCTGGTATGCCTCAGGGGGGGACAGGTCGTATCCTTACGGAGAGGTGACTTGGTAGCCGTCAAGAGCATACCTCGAATATTCCAAGCTATCGACAGAGTGTGCATCTTGTCGACGACAGCAAGAAGAAGTTCAGCCGTAATGTGAGTTTGGTGCTCTGAGGGTGGAGTGTAGTGTTTGGTGGGGTGGTGAGGGAGACACGACGTCGTATCCGCGAGATGGATTCGTCCGGGATTACCGTGGCTGGTTCCATTTCCATATGTTATTCCCGAAATGATGTTAATAACTTTTTTTTTTTTTGCTGCTTTGTAACATGAAGGCCCTTGATAGAGCAATACACCTTAGATACCTTCATCTCCAGGGTTGGGAAGGAGAGGTTGAGTGTGATGAGAGGGCGAGAGGGAGTTGTCGATAAGCTCAACCAGACAGAGTGAAAGAAGAAAGGCTTTATCGTCCAAGGTAAGCCAGGAGTGGAGAAAAAGAAAGATCCAAACACCGGCCATAGTGGGTAAGGCAAATAAATAAACAAGACAGCCCAGCCTACACAAGATACGAACCATTCCTAGGGCAACCGATCTTTGGCGACAGTCACTGGCACCGGCACCGGCACCGGCATTCCATGTCACTGCATCTGTTGGTACTTATAACTGATAGGTAGTTGTAAGTGATGCTTATCAGATGCAAAGAAGGATTTCTAAGATGTTGATGTAGTAATGAGGATCGGTTATATCTCGTGATTTTTGAAATATAGACTTTTCACTGTAACGTAGGAACCTCAGATCCCATAATACTGGTGGTATATTAAGTTCTATCATACTCAACCTCCTTACCCCCAGAGACCCGTCTAGCAGGTCTCAGCAAAGCTGTCAACCTTGCAAGAAGTGCCGTCAGGGCCGCTGGACAGCTTAGTAGGCTCGCTGCCGTCAGAGTTGCCCTCAAAGAGATCGCAGTTCTTGCCTGCATCCTGGCAGGCGTTGGAGATAGTACAGGTGTCGCCATAGTTGGTGTTGACTAGGAAATTAGGTAGTTGCAAGTTCGAGATATGCTCGCAAGGAGATAACTTACTACCACAAAGGACACCGCCATTCACAGCAGCGATGTTCTCGATGACAACGTTTCGGGGTCCGCCGTTATCCTTGCAGTTACCGCAAGATCGGACCAGCTTGCCGTAATCCTCAACGTAAAAGTCGGAGATCTCAACAGTGCCGCGGCCGTTGAATTGGACTACCTTGTCGGAGGCGTGGAAAGCACCGCCGCCACGGATGACGGAAGTTCCAGACTTTTGCTTCAGAGTAATAGCGTCCTCGCAGACGTCCTCGAACCAGACATTCTCGAGAGTGCAAGAGCCTTTGCAGTGGACACCCTCAGCCTGGCCGGGGCCGATAATGACGTTGCGGAGAGTGGCGCCGTCTTCGAGGATGAACATAGCATCGGCTTCGCCAGTCTCTTCCTGGTCCTTGCACACGGCGGCTGGAAAGTGTTAGGTAGATTTATCAAGATCAAGGTTGAGAGACTTACGGGATCGGTCGTAGTAGGCCATACCACCGTCGAGCTCACCAGACACAGGGATAGCGGTGGCAACAGCAGTAGCACCGCTAGATGCAGGGATGGTTCGTTGAATGCCACCTGAGCCTGAACCTGAGCCTGAGCCGGCTGTGGGAGTGGTGACAGGAACATCAGCAACAGGCTCACTGTTGGGAGCATCGGTAGGGCCAGCAACTGGGGCATCAATAGGAGCATCAACTGGAGTATCAACAGGAGTATCAATGGGCTCATCGCTAGAGTCGTCCTCAGGAGAAGGGAAAGCAGGAGGGAAAACAGCACCCCCATTCCCCTGGTTGCTATCGTCAGCTGCAGGTAATTCAGGAGCCGCGGGAAATCCAAAGTTGGGAAACTCGAAATCGGATTTCTCAACAGAAGCAGCCTTTGTAGAAGAGGAAGCGCCCTTGGAGCTGGGGATACATTGACTGTACCACTTGCTCGCCTCGACACATGAAGAACCTGAGGGACACTCGGTATCTCCAGTGTAAGCGCTGCCACCGCATTGGCCGTAGACCTGTACAGCAGCAAAGGCTGTGCCGAAGTTGGCAAGAGTAAGCAGGGCAGTAGTCCGCATCTTGGATATGTTAATTGAACGAGAGAAAATAATAAAATAATGTAATCATGCGGGCCTGCCCGTGTCTGCCAAAGAAGATGTGAAGGAAAGTTGCAAGAGAATCTTGTCAATCGATATCCAACGCGGTTGGAATAATACGCTCCTTATATATAGGGACTTACACCATGCAACGATCCTCCTCCTTGCTTCCAGGTGCAGGTATTTCGACCCTGGAGATGGAGCTGATGATATAACCTCCAAAAAGAGATCAGCCAAGCCATGGCCAGTCGGTCACTGAAACCCTGACTGGGGAGATTTAGCCAGCATGGACGCTTGTAGCAAGGTATAACAGAGCATTGACTTGAGGCTATTTGAAGGGTCTGATAACCGAGTTGGCTAGATTGGTGGACTGAAGAGAGTTTGTAGGTGACAGCTGAGAAAGTGACATCCTAGCTCGGTTTGAAACGCAGACAGCATAAATAAGGACTGGTGGCTTATATAAAGGCTAAAGGCGCTGTTGGTTCACTTGAAACAAGGAATAGAGGAAAGGGATCAGGCAATTTCGTTTGAGTTATTTGCTATGCCTTCAGCCTCCAAGTGGGTGAGAACATCTCATCGCGATACGGATATAACACGGTTGTCCTTACGTTGGTAATTGCTGATAGGAGCGCTCCTTCAATGCCTTTGACTAGGGGGTTGAACAAACCACCAATCAGAGATGGAATACTAAACAAGGAACTCGACTCTAAATACAAGGTTATTGCAGAAATAATCCAGGAACCGTGGATTGCAACGTAAAGTGTTTGAAGGCCCTGGGCTTCAGACAATTAATCCAGTCCGCAGAGGTCAGTGGCGTAAGGGCGAATCGGGTGATGGCCAATAAGGAGCATAAGCTCTATATTTCCTGTTTGCTATTATTGGTGACATTCGGTTGATACCGAACTATAGAGTATCATTCCTGGCTTCAATCCCAGAGATGCATTTCGTCCAGGCAATAGATTGTGGGTCTGGATAGGACTGGTCACTTGATCTAGTACGATGTATCCATCATGTAAAGGAATCACTTGCTTCAGAACCCCTTGAAACGTGAGCATTTTGGATATTTCAATTGCATCAGCGTTGGCAATAATCTAAATCGGCGGATGACAAGATAATAAGAATCTCATTATCGTCTCATTATCGTCTGTCGTAGTCGAAATAAGAAAGCTTGACTATTTGAATGGTGACCTAAATAATTGCAGTATAGGTACCGTACCTAGGTAGGTAGTACCTATCTGGTTGGTCACCCACGTGAAGGGTCATGTGACTGGTAGATAGCTCAACAAATCTGAGCTTCCTTCCCCTTTTCAAGACACGATGCGAAAGGGGCTGGAACAATGACGCCACAATCTCCTCCTACTCCTCTTCCCCTCTAAAGCCTAAAACCACAGTCAACTCCGTAGGCCCAAAAACCATTATTGAGATGCTCAAAATTCATGTTGAGCGCAATTACAGTAGACGAGCGATATCACGAGAGCAATTGCCCATTTAATCTAACATCAGTTTGATGGTGGTCGCGGCTGCGCTATTAACTTCTGAGATTACTCTCCTTTTTGGAACACGAGGGAAAACGAGCCACTTTTTTAATTAGGTTGCGTCTGTCATTTCGACCGAGACTGATGATAGTCAATATAACATAAGGGGGGCACAAAAGAGAGTACGGAGTACGGAGTACCTAGATGAGGTAACCAACCCATAACCTGTAAGCTGTAAGCTGTAGACCTCCGTAGTTTGCGTTTACTTGTATTCCATTCCTTATCCAGTGCATTTTGATCCATTCCTTGTTTCTGTTCCTTCTCGTTATCAATCATCATCATATCTCGCCTCCAATGACGGTATCCTCAAAGTCTCACGTCTAAACGCAGTTGTAAGGCGAGCCAAGTTTTGGACCCCAGATTTTTTCAAGGATTACCACCTCCCCAAATCCAATCAGCTCTGGCTAGAAGTCGAGGCCCAGTTCAAGACCCGGTTTTTTTCGCGTCAACGTGGAACTGCTTCGGTATCCGTAACCGTTTCTCCAGGATTAATAAGGTAACTTTCGACTGAGGACTTCCCCGTCTTCCTTCTCAGCACGCACTTCCATCACAAAGGCCACTACTCCGTACTCCCAAGGTCTTTCTCTTTTTCCCTCCCACAACCCGATCCCGGAGCCGCGTCATCAGTACCTACCAAGCAATCAGTCTTAGTCTTTATCTATTCAGCCATGTCATCGCCATCCAATTCATCCCAAGGCGGGAAGCGCAAGAGAAACTCCCTTCGCGTCGAGTCTACCACTAGCCTTAACGACAATGGCATCCAGTCATCATCCCGTGATGCTTCGGGTGAGGAGGGCGACACAACCGCTGCAGAGTCGGGACGACTTCACAACCGCGGTTCCGTTGGAGGTCCAATTCCTAAGAGGCAGCGCTCTAGCTCGGATCGTGCCCACGAGATGGGCGCCGACCAATCTCTTGACCCCGGCGAGCCCAGCGACACCACCGAGGCCAGTGTCGACATTGCTGAGCGAGTCGGTCGCAAGGGCCGCAAGCCTTCGTTGAGAGAGCTCGAGGAAGAACAGCGCAGGATCGAGGCTATGCCCCCTCCTCCCATTGGCAAGCTCCAGGACCCTGCCGGTGGCTACAAGACCAACCCTCCTCCTGTTGGTCGACCTGTTCGCGTCTACGCTGATGGTGTTTTCGATCTCTTCCATCTTGGGTAGGTTGCCTCCCGTGTTCTCTCGTTGTAATGGATTGTGTACTGATAACTTGGCAGCCACATGCGACAGCTCGAGCAGGCCAAGAAGGCTTTCCCCGACACAACATTGGTTGTTGGCGTCACAGGCGATCACGAAACACATAAGCGCAAGGGTTTGACAGTCATGTCTGCCGCTGAACGTGCCGAGACTCTCCGTCACTGCAAGTGGGTCGATGAGGTAATCGAAGACTGCCCATGGATTGTCACTCCCGAGTTCCTCGACGAGAACAAGCTCGATTACGTTGCTCACGATGATCTTCCTTACGGCGCTGATGAAGGCGACGACATCTACCAACCCATCAAGGTTGCCGGCAAGTTTCTTGTCACCCAGCGCACAGAAGGTGTCAGCACAACTGGCCTTATCACAAGGCGAGTCAATATTCTTGCATACAAATAGTATATGTTCTAACCGCTTGCAGAATCGTTCGTGACTACGAGAAGTACATTGCCCGACAATTCAAGCGCGGCTCGTCCCGCCAGGAACTCAACGTGAGCTGGTTGAAGAAGAACGAGCTGGACCTCAAGCGCCACGTCCAGGACCTCCGAGAGAACATCACAAACAACTGGACCACTACTGGCCAAGAACTCGGCCGCGAGCTCAAGGGCTTTTGGCCTGTGAGCCGTCCTCAGAGCCCTGCCCGATTTAACAGCTCCGGCACCGCCGATGGTCTACGTTCGCCAGGCACATCAGGCACACCCAAGGAGTTCATTACTGGGTACGCCCTCGGTCTCGTTGGTGGCGTTCGAGGATGGGTAAGTAGCAATTACACCTTGGAGATTTTGCACGACTAACAATTTCATAGATGACCAAGGGCCGAGGAAACATGACCGACAGCAGCCGACCTGTCAGTGACGATGAGTCTGAAGAGAGCGACACCCACGCCAAGTCACCAAAGGATTCTTCAAACACTCCTACCGCAGCCCCAGTTGCAGCTGCAGCCTCAAGCTCTACCTCCAAACTATAAATGGAACTGGATGGTTTTACCAATGCAAGAAGATTGAATAAAAACATGTCCAGATGGTAAAGGAGGCAGGGCCGCCACAAAAAGGACAGCAGAGTTGTGCACGGGACTTTTGGATTATTATTTTAATCAGTATTCGGCTATGCGCGTTAATACAGGGCCGGTATACAAGGCGTTCCGGCTTTTTTTTTCTGTTTTATGTATCGAGTGCTTTTGCGGCCAGTGTGATGCATCACGCTGCTGGGCGCATATTCCTCCTCGTCTGGTTCTGCCGATATGTACAGCAGATAGGCGAAGTAATTCGAGGAGTTTGATTTATCAGTTCAACTATTGCTTTCCAGTTATGTCTTTTTGTGACATGCACTCAGGTGGTTTGAGGCCAGTTTTCTTACGTACGATTTCTCTGCAGGTACGGATAAAGTTCTCGGACTCGGACATTTATTCTGCGCCTTGTCAGATTGCTTACATGATTTACATCGTCGTACGGCTAATCAAGTCAGACAGCATGGCCCCCGGATGAGGCTGGAGTATTGGAACATGTTAGTTTGAGCCAGATCTCCAGGGTATTCGAGTATCCGGATGGCGCAGGTGCTGGAATGCCACAATCTGGGGGCGGGTGCGCTTGGGCGTCTACGCGGCTATCTCATGCAGATTGTAGCATATGCTGATCAGTTTGGGGAGAGATTGCGAAAGTAACGTTTCAATGAGTTGGCACACCTTAAGCATCGCAGTGGTGACCCTTTGAAATGCAAGAGTGTATGCTGGAGTTGTCGATCGTACAGTCAGCACCAGGCTTCAATGGCCTTCGAATACTGGTACCAAGTAACCGGAACTCTGGTAGCTTGGAATGCAATACCACACCACCGGTTTCTATAGATAAACTCGGGCGCTTAGCGGGTCTGTAAGAATCACGATCGTGAAATGCCGAGTTTGTGAGTCGCAAAACTAAGAAGAGCCGACCGCGATAAGGTAGGTTCCGTGACATCAATGGAGCGGGGAAATGCCCGAATGGAGAAGTTGTCTTACCTCCACGTAGTTGGAGAAGAACTCGGTCAAAGGTTTAAGGAATCATTTGTTGACTGTTCCCAAATTGCGGTGTATAAAGAAGAAGAAAGCATGCTGAGTGGTGGCATTAAAGCTGCAAGCGTTTCTATATGTGTAGATCTGCTCCGGTTCCAGATGAACACATGCGAATCAGACCAGAGGTGCATCGGTGCTGAAAGTTAGCTGCAAATACACCCATGCGCAGGTAGTGACGGGATGAGTTCATGTGCTGGAACGGCATATTAGCGAGTGCTTGGCAGATGAATCAAGAATTCAAGATGAGGTTTCGAACAAGATCTGCATTAAGGAAAGCCGCTTCTTCCTGTTACAACATTGGTCGAAAGAGCCTCCAACTATAAAAATAGTCGGGATTCAAGCGCTGGGGGCTTTCTGCTTGTCCATGCACACGTGGTTGCAGTGCTTTCCGACCCTCGTGGAGGGCTTGAATCGGGGAATATTCCCGGCCGAGCCAAGTGTTGTTATGTACGGTACTCTTGGTCTTGAAGTCCAAAGAAAAGAAGCCATCGCTAAACCGAATGCGAAGGACAACACATGGAAATGGAGGAGTCTAATTTGGGACTGAACACAACCTTCTTTCCAGACATGGTGTTGTGTCGCGCGAACGGAATTTCCTTGTTTCCATATCGAGCCGAAAGGCGGGGAGACGCGCCGTGGAAGTTAGAACATGGCCTGGCCCGCCCCGCATCCTCTATTTTTTCGGGATCTAAAAGCACTGATCACTGATGATCCATTATTTGATACATAATATGGATTAGGGTGTTGAAGCCATAAGGCGTTATTGGGGTAAGCTGGCTGATACGTAAATTAAAGAATGCCTCGTCTCAGATTAATTAATCTGTCGATCATCAAACAAGCATTGCCATGACGCTCCAAACATTCTCCTAGCGCATCATAGCAAGCGAAAAGGTTCGTCCAGGGGTCTACAGGCGCAGCCATGTAAAAATAGGTCACCTCAGGTCATCATCAACAACCGTCCAATGAGCCTTCGAGTGGCTGAGCTATAGTGTGTCCGTGACTGAACTTTTGCTTGGTCGCCCTAGCGCCCGACAGGGCTGGGCTAACGTCACCCTTGCACAGACAAACAAGGATTCAAATTGACGCTACCAGGATTGGGGTTGGTTTACTTTAGAGTAAAGACTGTAAAGTTTCGATATGATTCATGGAAGTGAATGAACGAGATCAGTTACGACACTTGGCTAGGAAGTTTCTTTAAACCTTGGTTACTCGGTTAAAGAGCTTAGGCCATAATGACCTTGTCCACTGGTCGCGGTACAACGGCGCGCTGGCCCTATGAGGCTGCTGGATAGGATGCTACCTAAGTACGGAGTACTGTACCAGCAACCCAGCGGGTGGGCACTTGTAAGATTGGACACAACGCTCATAGAACGCAACTGTTAATAGACTCGACTAACAATGACTAAATAACAATATGGTAGTTGAATATTGCCAATAAAATAGACATGAATAATGCAATTAATGAAATTGTAAATACCACGGCAGCATCGTCACTCTGTCTTTCCTGCTGCAATGCAGACATCCATTGCAGACAGACGGGCTGCTTACCAAGTTAGCAGGTGCGTTGAACCTGTAGTTAAGCCGCGGGTCCGTACCTGTCAGCAATGCAGGCAAGCCCGTACCCAACCGTCGGCCGCCGTTCCCTGCACTTGCCAGCCTTTCAGTTAGACTACCTAGACTTGAACTTGACACAGCCTCTTTTGTATTGGATATTTTTTCTTTCCTTCTTTCTCCCACACATCATCATCTAACCCCTGCCAGGTATCCACCTACATCCTGACGCTGCATTGCGATGCTTGCTCTACTGTTGTCGTTCTGGAGACAACCAACATTAAACCATGATCGCTTCTGAAGCAGCAGCCACCAACAGGCGCCTTGACGCCATACCCGCCCGTCCATATTCGCTCGTGCCCACACTGTCTCAGTACCTAGATCCCTAGCTCCTGGTAGCTCCCAAAATCAGCGCCGGCCCTGGCATCAACCATGGACTGCTGTTTCTCGCTTACAACAGCAACATCAAACTTTCCACCAAAATAACAGTTCTTACTGATCGACGCCGCTATTCTATTTCACCCGACAAGCATCAAACAAGCAGATTGATTAATAATAAAAAACCATGTCTACGCGCGAGCTATCAACAAGCCATCGGATCGGTCGGGAACGATAGTACTGTACCACATCTGGGCGCTAGTCGCTTGATCAGGTACCGTTCCTTGAAGGCTTAGATGGCGCTTGCGGCCCCGTCCCGCCACTTGTTGCACTTCGACGAACAGGGAGCGGCAAGCTAACCAGGCGACATGGGTGGATGTGTGAGGGTGGCACATGGACAAGACAAATGGGACAACAATGGATGAACTAGACTGCCATGTCACGGCGTCTTGGTGTCGAGGACATACCATGCGCGTCTCTATCCTCCAGTCCTCTGCTCAACAGGCAAACCAGTGCCTTGCATCAGGCGCACCTTGGGATTTGGTTTCCACCTCCTTCAGAGCATCTAATCTTGTCCATGCATCAAGGCCCTGCGCCCCATGCTCAGCTCGCAGGGTTGTCTTCAACCTTGGGTCGGTCACGTCGACTTTCCCTTCCAACTCCATTTTCTAACCCTTCCTCAAATTACGGATACCTTGCCAAGATCCAACCAGCAATGCCTCTCTTGAGCCTATCTTTGTACCATAAGTAAATATCTCACTTACACTGAGCCCCGTCTTCCCATCCGCACCCCTGTTCAACCTTCAAGGCTAGCATCGCCTGCGGCCCCATGCTTAGTCCCCAGCCTTAGCCGTCCGTCCCTTTCCTCCCGTCTGTGATCTTGGTTGAATTCTATACCAACTCCCCCCACGATCACTCCCACTTGCTGTTCTATACTTTCATCACCCACCTTCGTTACATGAGACTAAAGCGTTCCATCTGCCGGGACATGCTCATCCGCATCCACGGGGGCTGTGTCTTACTAAGTTTGGCTTGCCCATCTACAATTCTCCGGACGTACTGCCTCTTTTGATTCGTGCTTCTGTTATCAACTACGGGTCATGGCTAGTCTCAAGAATATCATGAATACCGATGATGAGAACGTCGATCCACCATCTGAAACCCGTTCCATTGATTTGACCTCGAGGCCATCCCCTACTCAGAGCTATGTCACATCATTAAACCGTCAAACATCCCCCCCTCCCCATAACAATAGGCCTGATCCTCCTGGATCATCAAAGACATCATCCGTTGATCGTTCATCCTCGCCTAAGCCCGAACCCAACATGAACAGCCGACGCCGTAGCAACATAAGTCTCGACTCGCATGAGACATCATATGGCTCGAGTCAACTTGCTCCATCCTCAAACACTCCTATGAGACCCTTCATAGCTGGTCCATCAAGCGCGGAGCCACATGTCAAATTGACTCCTATCACCAAGAAGATCAGCAAGGCAAAGAAAGGTGTGCCAGTCCATACATGCAATCAGTGCTCCAAGGTATGTTCCTGTTCCTGTATTCGACCTCCCTCTCTGACCTTCCAAGACCTTCTCTAGAGCAGAACATTTAAGGTATGCCACTCTATATAACTTAGAGCAAGGTTTCTAACAGTGGTGATCTAGACGACATCAACTCAGTCACTCGCCTGCCGAACTTCACTGCCCCGTTCCAAACTGTAACAAGCATTTCCATCGGAAGGACCTCCTCGACCGTCATGTGCAGAAACAGTATGTCAAGATTTTTCAACGGCGTAGTCATGTTACTAACAAGATATAGCGATCAGGATGGTCAAGATGGCACAACTAGTCACCATAGTACTACTCGAAACAGCCCAAAGGCCCCTGCTTTGCCGCGCAAGAACCACTCTCGAACACCAGTACTCAAGATGCCTGATAGAAACGATCCCCGAGCAGTAGTTCATGTGAACAATGATTCAGAAATGGGCGTCCAATGGGCATTGGGCCTTACATCTGGATCAAATCAGAGTTACAATATGACGTCTGGCATAAACGGTCCCTCAGACAACTACTCAATGGCACCAAACAACTACGTTTTAGAGCCTGCACTGCCAACGACAAACGATGGCTTTATTCCGATATATTCTGAGCCAAGGAATATGTCTACACTGTCTACAATGTCTGCTATTGTCGAGGATGCACCACCGGAACTACGCTGGTCTGAAAACCCAACTCTGCCTTCATCAGCTTCGACAAGTGAATTTTCGACTCCCCGAGATAACAGTCGACGGTCCCAATTCCCTGTACTGACCGCGAACGGACCTTGGATGAGCACAACTCCAACTTACCAGACTACTTCGAGCGACATGTCTGGCACCAGCATGGATAACAGCACTTATTCTGTCACATACCCCTATGACAACACTCCACCACAGGCGTATCCCCCTGTCTTTGGCGATATGGATCTTCCTCTACCAGGATACCACGAAGGAAATGCCTACAATACTACCAACCACATACCGAGTTGTGCAGTTCGTAGCATCTCCCCTTTACTGGCTGTTTCTCAATCTGAGAATTTAGCTGCTGTCCGGTCGCTACCAGCATCGGGTGGTGTTTTCGGCTTGGCGGGTTGCAGCTCTGGATCTACAGATGGAAGCGGCCTATTGAGCACTCATGACCTGAAGCCCCTATCTCTTCCTACCGCGATTAGCGAGGCGATTCCAAGATACTTGGACGTCTACTGGGAGAAGGTCCACCCCGAGACCCCCATCATCCACAAGCACACGTTCGGCGACGTATCTGACGAAGAGACGGACCAAGTGGAGGTGCTCCAATGTGCAATGGCAGCATTGGCAACGCAATTTATCCCCAACGCAGACGATCGCATGAAGGGAGCCCAGCTTCATGCATACGCCTGGCAAAGGTCCAAAGTGGTGAGTTGAGAGATTAGGAACTCGCCAAGGAGGAATCGACGGTGCTGATACACTTAGTTTACACAAGGGGAAAAGTGGTCATTGCCCGTCCAGCAAACAATTGCACTCTGCGAGTACTATGCTCGCTTCCGTGGCAGAATGCCACATTCATATCAGCCCTCTGCCCGGTTCGCCTCACTTTACCATAGGGTTAGTTCTGCGTGATTTTTCTTGACTTCTTTTTTCTCTTTTTTCTCTTCTCTTTCTTCTTTCTTTCTTCAATATTCCATTATGATACCACTTTCTTTTTCTTTCAGTGTCTTCTCCTTTCATTCTTTCGAAATCTTCAGAACACTTGTCTACTTCATACCATTCGTTTCACTTTATGAACCATATTCGAACGCCTGCTCAACTCCCGATAGGTTGTTAATAACCAACACGCATCTACTCGATCTTCTACCCGAGGTGGCCATATAGCTTGGAAGACTTGGATTATGAAAGAAAGTCAAAGACGATTGCTATCCGCCTGCTTCCTGCTGGATGTACACAGCTCACGTTATCACGAGCGACAACACGTTTCCGCCATTGGCTTGGACTATTCTTGTCCAAAAACTCTTCCTATTCCACTCACAGCTATGACGACAAAGTCTTGGGAAGCACAAGATTACCAATCATGGGCAAGATCAAGATCAAGAAAAGACCCAAAAACAATCTCGAGCACGAACTTGGAGATGATATCTTCCTCTGATATAGCCTCTGCCCCAGCCTTTGATGCAGCAATCCTGCTTGCTGCATGCTCGTTGTCCCTCCCACAGCGCCATGCTGCGACACATGTTGGTTTGGTGGAAGACGTAGCAAACTTCAGGTTGAATCAAACGTTCGTTACAAGAGTATTCCCTGACTCCGCCATTGGCAGCACTTATATGGCCCTGCACCACACGCCATTATACTGCCTTTTATCTGTATCTGGGAAGAGCTGGGTATTCAACAAGAAGGTGACCGATTTCAAGATCTTTGCAGAGCACCAGAAGCTATTTGGGACATGGCGCAATTCCGACGCAGCTGTAATAGCCACCGTGTTTGCTGCGCGTGCTCTCAAGTGCTTCCTTGAGCTTCAACCTCCATCGAAGCAACCGAGAGGCAGCAGGGTAGAACACAACCCGAAACGAGCAACGCCCTTGGCCGATATCTCAGACTACTGGGGCGTGTATGTTTGCTCACTGATATGTTGGGCCTTCGGTTTTTCAGAGGGAAAAAGTAATTGCAAGATTGCTATATCAATAGAAAAAGCAACGCAGTGGCTCTTGAAGGTTGCAGATATAGAGCCGCTCGAGTTGCAAGCTCAAGGCCAGCGGAACAAGGCTCAAGGGGTCATTGTTCTTGTCAGGGAGGTGTTGGAAAACGACTGTTTAGGAGGAGGAAACATTCTTTTTGCAGATGCTGTCAACGTTCTAAAACAACTAGAAAGAGGCACAAGTTAAAGCTTTCAGACAAGTACGTGCAGAGCGTTGCATTTATGAGGGGGCATGGATTTGCATTGGGTCACTGTACATAGCAACATTGACGCGATATGATGATTGCATAGGGGCGGGAGTTTGGCTTATACAAGATATGGATAGGATCCAAGGGTCACCCATGCCATGGAGCAAAGGCGTTTGAGTGAGGATTGAAGCATATCATACCTCGGTCAAGGACTGTAGTATAGCATTGCATAAGCGAATTCATTGTCCTTTTTGACTCGAATATTTGAAACTCACGGTCGACTACTTGAAGAGTTATTGGACATTGTTAGAAAGACGATGTCATGTATAATATAGACATGTCATAGTACGAAGTGTACAGCCCAACAGCTTCATTGACAGGGCTGACTAAGCTGTAACTTAGGAGGTTGAATTGGAAACTGATGGGAATGTGAGATGAATTGAGTGGCTTGTGGCGCTGTCTCAGCCCTGAGAAACTTGGAGGAAGAGGAACGAGGGTCCAAGTTTTATTTTTGTTAAATGATAGATAATAGGAAGACAAGATTTGGATCCATTCCAGTGACGTCGAGATGGGTTGCGATGCTCGTGTTGGTCGCGAGAGCAAGAGTGAAATACTAACTAGTCGAGATATTAAGTTGACGCGGGGAATTGGTGTATGCGTCAATAGTGAGCGCGCAAAAAGCCAGATAATCTCTTATTTGTTATGCTTTATATAATTTCATTTCGGTTTAATAAATGGCATTTTCTTTTGACTGAGTTGATATAATTTGTTAAGTTTTAGTTAAGATGTGATCAGTCTCCTAAGTGTAACATTTCACATGACCTCAGGATATCCCGATTTAGCTTATTGGTGTAAGTTTTGCACGGAATTGTGTTTAGGAATGAAAGGGCAACGGAGTAGTATCCTTATTTGTATCTCTCATGGTCGAAATATACGCAAACATCACCCAACAAAATCTGGGAGAGGTAGGGATCGATGTGGCCTTGATCACATGTAAAAAAGACAAATAAAATACAGCCAAAAGAAGAAGCGGTGACGGGAGAATAACAGAAAACGGCCCTTGTCTGAGCGGCGGTGATGGGATTCATGGTTCCATTGTTGGTTTAGTGTCAGGTCTAGAGTAAGTACAAGAGTCAAAGTACTTTTTGGTTATAGGTGTTGTTCTGCTGTGAATGTTGGACAATAAACCATAGTACGGATACATGCCTCTCACATCAATTGGCCAAGGTGTCGGATCTGGCAGGTTCCCGGAGAATCGGCACCAACAAGACCCAGGCCAAGAGTCAAAGAGTCAAAGAACAAGTTGCCTGTTCTGGGGGGCAAGCTCCAATCGATTTGAGGGGATATCATGCAGGTCACGGATGGAATTTTAACACGAGGCATATGTAGCCCTAAGGCGAGGTCAAAGGTGCTAACTACTACAGTAAACCGTCCAGCGGAGGCTAAACAAAGACGGCAGGACGGATAAGTGTTAACCTCGAGGCAGGTTAAAAGACAATGAGAGGCATTTTCTCTTTCTTTCTTTTTCTACCTTTTCCGTCTGAGTAGAAGGGAAAGATGAGGTATCCGTACTTCGTATTGGTTCGGGAGAAGATTAAAACAGCCAACTTGGTAGCTGTCTGTGCTGATAAGGTACTACCCACTGTAGGTAAGGACTGTCGGTACTTTAGTTAGGGGTCTGTACGTGTTCTGGCCACCAGGGCATGCCCCCCAGTCGCAATCACGGCCAAATCGGCACGGCAAAAGACGCCCCTAGGCCCCCAACAACCTATTCATGGGCTTCTAGTCTGGTCTGGTCTGGAGCTGGAGGCTGAAGCTGGCCTAGACATGTTGAAGCAGGAAGGGAAAAGGAATGAGTATTATTAGTTAGGATTTGAGCTTACTTCTCTTTTTAAACAAAAGGTCAATTGCTGCCCCTTCCCCTTCTTTTTCTCCCTTTCTTGCTTTTCCATTCTCCTGGATCTGAGACGAGATTAAAAGCCGTCTTATTATTTTGTTTGCTCCGAGGCTGGATGTTACTCCATTTAGCATCACGGCCACTCCTGAGTCTCCAACCCCGTCTCGTTTCGACTCGTCTATTATATTACCGAGTTGTGGTTTAATTTGAATCACTGCTATCTTTCTGTCTTTCTTCTCCTGTCTTGGATCCTTTATAATCATTCTTGGACCTCGCCTTTCTGTCTCCTCTTCCCTCTTCCCCGCGGATCACTAGACGCACTATCAATCGATATACTTTCGACGAACTCCACCGACCGACAGACAGACTTTTGACGCGCTGCTTGTCCCACATTCACGGCTCACACGGCGCTGACATCAATAACGGGGCTTGGCTGTAGCTTGATCCATCGCCAGGGAGTGCTTTTTTCGAATACGGGCGGTGCAATCAGCGACCGAGAAAGGAGGAAGAAGTACGAATTCGTCGTATAATCGAATCAAGGCGAGATCCTGAGCCGCGACGCGATACATACGATACGATACGATACAATACAGTACGACGACTTACAAGTCAGACGAGACAATTCGAATCGAGTTGAAAAGGGGCTAGAGACAAGTTTCATTCATGCTGCCATCTCCAAGCCGAGCTGAGCTGAGCCTGAGCCTATCGCAGCGCGCGAATTGTGCATTTCCGAAACGAATAAGACGACGAGAATAAGCACTCACTTTGAAAAATCAAATCCAGTCAGGGCTCTTTTTGGGGGCTACTTGGATCATTCTCTCAACATTTGCGATATTAAAGAATAATTCTTATTAACAACAACAAACCCCAGAAAGGCGCACCCACCTACTGTACAAACAATCTGTCTGTACCTGGCTTGTCTTTCCATTGCTACGTCACTTTATTTGTCTGGACCAGCCTCTTTCGGCCTTTTTCCCCACCCTTCCGAGCATCCCCGCCAATCCCGCTACAACTCGCGCTTTCGCTGGCACACCCCCCGACAGAAACCTTGGAGATACCATTGCATTTCTCCCCTGGACGGACATTTCTGTAAACGGTTATAGGGCACCTGGTAGGCGTCATCACCCAGGAAATAGCCTGAGCTGAGCCTGCGCCTGCGCCTTCGCCTGCCTGAGACAACCTAATCCTCCTGCCCACAGCCCCGAAAGGTCACCTCAGCGCAGTACCCCCGCTGTCGATCGATCTATCACTCTCCCAGCTCCCATCCACCAAGTGCTGTGAGTGTGCAGCGTTGCGCGACAGGGTGATCCAGCTATTGGAGCCCCAGTCCGGCCAAGCCAAGGCCTGTCTTCGTCATGGTGCGCATCATCCCAACACGACTTAAGTCGACCTCTCGATCCTCCTCTTCCTCTTCCACAACCATATCCGTCAACAACGGAAACGGCAACGGTAACGGCAACGGTAACGGACAGAAAGGAACCAAAAAGAACCGCAGCAACAGTCCACCCATGAGGTCAAAAAATGATAGCACGAGCCCTTCGAGGGACGCTGGAAACGGGCTGGCTTTGAGGGTTTCTATCATAAAGGTACAGTCCTATCAACCTAGGCGGCGCACGCGTGCATCGCCTTCTCCAAACCCATCACCGCTTCTTCGCTATCGTCGATGTTCGACTGTCGCAACACAGTACCGAATATTACGGATGGACTTGATTGATTCTCAATTTACTAACATTCAATCAGGGTAAAGATCTTGCAGCCAAAGACCGCAGCGGTACATCCGATCCTGTGAGCTCCCCTCTCCCAACACAAATCTCCAACAATGCTGACAGCCGCTCCTCCAGTACCTCGTTCTTTCTATTGGCGACTCGCGAATCGTAACCAACGATGTCCCAAAGACACTCAACCCTGAATGGAACGTTACCGAAGAAATCCCTCTTACCTCCGTCCAAAACCTAGTCCTCGATGTTATCTGCTGGGACAAGGATCGATTCGGAAAAGATTATATGGGCGAATTCGACCTCGCCCTCGAGGAAATCTTCAGCAACGACAAGGTGGAACGAGAACCGACATGGTACCGACTTCGGAGCAAGCGTCCTGGCAAGAAGACGAGCGTTGTCTCTGGCGAGGTTCTTCTACAGTTTTCGCTCTTCGACTCCACAAGCCCATCAGCGACGCCCCAGCAGATTCTTGAGAAGTTTCATGACCTTCTGGGTGCCCCTGGCGTCACCTCCCGCAATGTGACGCCCTCCATGACACCCAACCTGGCACCGACTGCTGTTTCTCGTTCCAACTCTAGCCCCCAGGACAGCCCTAGCGACTCGGACGATTCGGACTTGAGCGATTCCTCTGAAACTGACGAGGACGACGGCGATGAGCAGGATGCCACCAAGCGCAAGCGCCGACTTCGAATTCGAGGATTGAAGAAGAAAAGGCGCAACAACCCATATGCCTTTGCCAGCGGTGGCTCTGACGTAGTTGGTATCATCTATCTCGAGGTCGTCAAGATTACAGACCTGCCTCCCGAATCCAACCTTACGCGCACAAGCTTTGATATGGATCCATTTGTTGTGGCGTCTCTCGGCAAGAAGACATACCGTACTCGACGTGTTCGTCATAACCTCAACCCTGTTTTCAATGAGAAAATGCTGTTTCACATCCAAAGCCACGAGCAGCAATACTCTTTTGCTTTCACCGTTATTGATCACGACAAATACTCTGGCAATGATTTCATTGCTTCGTGTAATCTTCCCATCCATGAATTGCTTGAGAGAGCCCCCAAAGCGAACCCGGAAACTGGTCTGTACGATGTCCAGGTACCCGCACAAGCTGAGGTGCTACCTTCACGATCGCGATTCAAGAAGCTTGCCATGTCCCGCTCCAACTCTTCTTCAAGTATCAGCAAGATGATTCGTCCGCCACTGAGCAAGCACGCATCAAGCACGAGCACGACTACAGCAACCCCTACGCCAGCTCCTACGTCGGCACCCAACACTGGCATGCTAGCACCAGCGGATGCTATGGCCAATGCAGGTTCTGATCCGGACTCGGCCACCCAGGACAGTGGAGACAGCGACTTCTATGACTACACCGTGCCCCTCAAGATGAAGAATACAGACAAGTGGGAGACGAAACACAACCCTGTTCTGTACCTTCGTGCCAAATATATGCCATATGATGCTCTCCGACAGCAATTCTGGCGCGCTATGCTTCGGCAATACGACGCTGACGAGAGTGGCCGAATTAGCAGAATCGAGCTCACCACAATGCTTGAATCTCTGGGCTCTACACTCACTGAGAACACCATCGACAGCTTCTTCCAACGATTCCCTCACCGAGATGCTGACAATGACGAGAACTGGGAGCTTACCATGGATGAAACTGTCGTGTGTCTGGAAGATCAGCTGGAGGGTCGGAGACGACCCTCAGGCACTGCGGACAAACTGAAGAATCTGGTACCTGACATGAAGAATCTCCTTCACATTCCTGGTCATGCTCAAAACAATGGTGGCTCTGAGAACCCTAGCGTCTTGGACCTCGACACAGCATCGGGAACCCAGACGCCAGTATCCAATGTTCCCACTTTGAAGACGCCTGCAGATGAAGAGAGTGATCCTCTCGACAGATCTGACAGCAGTGATGATCGCGGGGACGAGCATGTGGTAGAGATCAGGGAGTGTCCTATCTGCCACCAGCCGCGACTCAACAAACGAAAGGATACTGACATCATCACCCACATTGCAACATGCGCAAGCCAGGACTGGAGACAAGTCAACAGTGTTCTGGTTGGAGGCTTTGTTACAGCCAGCCAGGCGCAACGCAAGTGGTACTCCAAGGTCATCACCAAGATCTCATACGGTGGATATAAGCTGGGCGCCAACTCGGCCAACATCCTTGTCCAAGACCGTCGCACAGGCCAGATCAATGAGGAGAAGATGAGTGTCTATGTCAGACTGGGTATTCGACTGCTGTACAAGGGTCTCAAGTCTCGAGATATGGAGAACAAGCGAAGTGAGTCTACATTGCTGTACAAGAAAGGATGACATACTAACACAACAACAGTTCGGAAATTGCTGAAGAAGATGAGTATCAAGCAGGGTAAGAAATTTGACGATCCTGTGTCCAAGGACGAGATTGAAAAGTTCATTGCTTTCCACGGTCTGGATATGTCAGAGGTTCTTCTCTCCTTGGACGAATTCAAGAACTTTAATGAGTTCTTTTACCGTGCACTTAAGCCTGGAGCCCGCCCTTGCTCGGCGCCCGACAACCCTCATATCATTGTGTCACCAGCCGATTGTCGAAGTGTTGTCTTCAACTCCATCTCAGTTGCGACCAAAATTTGGGTCAAGGGCCGCGAGTTCAACATGAAGAGACTCTTGGGAGATGCGTATCCTGAAGATGTGTCGCGGTTTGAGGGTGGTGCGCTTGGTATCTTCCGACTTGCTCCTCAGGACTACCATCGCTTCCATATTCCCGTTGACGGTATCATGGGCCAGCCCAAAATAATCCAAGGTGAATATTACACAGTCAATCCCATGGCTATTCGGTCAGCGCTGGATGTGTACGGAGAGAACGTGAGAGTTCTTGTGCCCATCGATAGCGAGAAACACGGCCGTGTCATGGTGATCTGCGTAGGTGCCATGATGGTGGGCAGCACTGTCATCACCCGCAACGAAGGTGACCAAGTTCACCGAGCAGAGGAGCTTGGGTACTTTAAGTTTGGCGGCAGCACAATCTTGTTGCTATTTGAGCCTGGAAGAATGGTGTATGATGACGATCTTGTGGACAATAGCAAGGACGCACTTGAGACTCTGGTAAGTACTCACCTTATGGTGACACCATGGAACCAGCCAGTTACTAATACGTCACAGGTACGAGTGGGCATGTCAGTTGGCCATACGCCTAGTGAGCCACAGTGGACCCCCGACATGCGCAAGGATGCAGAGAATATTACAGAAGCGGACAAGAGAGCTGCCACGAGACAAATCCAGGGCAACGTTGCTCTGCAAGACTCGCCAGATGGCAGCGGAGAGGAAGAGCAACAGAAGCAACGAATGTTATCCAAGCCTACCATCGACACCATGGCTGCGTCGGCGATGTAGAGAAGCCGTCGACATAGCATAAAGCTTCGATACAGACAGAAGAGCCGCCAGTGGAGACGAAGACGACGGAGCGTATATTCAACATTACGGAGAGCATGTATAAGATGGGTAAAGCTCTTAGAGACGGGTAGAGAGAGCCATTGAATTGGTTACCGAGGGATCTGTTCAAAGACAGGAAGTCATATTTGTTGTGGTTGGACAAACAAAACCAAGATGGGAGGAACAGGATAGGATGTAACTTAACTGATGAGAAATGAAACGACGAATATAAAAAGTTTCAGCGGGAACGACTAGGCCCGCAACACAAGAATGGTTTCACTCATTCCTGGTAATGCACTCTAACTTGGCTGATGATACTTGCCATGTACGGATGTAAGTAGATACAGGGTAAAACAAGGCTATCAGTTCAACTGAGATATGACTTATAGCTCGGTTCGGTAAGTGTGTAAATAGGGTTCCCGGCCGACCTATTCCGACCCGAGGAGAAGTTTTCTATGCATTGCACCTGGAATTGGAGAATGAAGCTGAAATCCGGGGAAAGCTGACGGGTCTAGCCCGTCTAGGGTAAATGGTATGCTTAATCTTGACAATTTTTGGCTTTTGGCTTTCTTGGGAGCGGTCTCAAGACTGCAGGATCATGATGGCTTGAACACAGATCATATGTTCTACATACTTACTCTTAGCAGTGGCTTAACAGTAGATCAGAGTCTTGGACTCTTCATGTTGTGATGGCACGTGATGACTCCATACCAGTCTCACCAGCCACAAACACCCCACAAAGCAAAGTAAACAACGGCGTAACCCGGTTGCAGGGGGGATGTGGTGTGGGCAGATGGTCATGCCACCGTTATCGATTTTGAGTCATGAGTTGTCAGGGGTAAAAAATGAGATTGGGAATCTAGAGATTGAGTGGTTCAGAAGATTGTGTTTCATTTTGGGTATCTATAGAGAAAAAGAGGTTGTTGTTTTCAACCACTGAACGATTAAATAGTTAAAGAAGGAGTGAAGGGAACAAAGAAAACTCCGTCTGTGTCTAGTGAGGCCTCTCTCCCACGTATAAGCTAGTGGTCATCTCATTCTGTGTTTGAATCCAAATGATGCCATCCATAGAACAAAAGCTCACACGCGTAAACCCTTCTCTCAAGACGTGAGCACAAACTGTGTACGGAAGGTACATGCGTGGTGCCATTATGGCACGAGATGCCGTGATTGACACCTTGTGGTCCCGAAGGTTGTGTACCGGGCCCCACACTTTCTGGGCTGTTTCTCATGCACCTCGCCTGAGGAAGGAGTCTTCGGTATTTGTTGTTGGGGGTTTTAGGTTTCGATATCTCTTTATCGCAAGATCGCATGAGAAGAGAGATGTTGGGGATCCTCAGGATAAGTCGTGGGTTGTTGATGGTGTTAAGAAGGAAGTCAAGCAGAGGCTTGAAATCCTGCTCGATTGTAACAAAGTCATGTGCGCCAGTTGCCGTGCCCGTGTCCCAAATGCAATAAGTCGTGAGTAAGAGAAACAAAGGAGAATAGAAATTCCAGGTTTCACTTAATGACGGCCATTGTTGGTCCAGTCTGATTCTGAGGCGTTCGAGGGACGTCGCTCAGAGCGCTGAGCAGGAGGTGAAGGGGATCGTGAGACTGGGCGCATGAAAGCCGAAGGAGTCTGGTTTGGCATAGCCAGTTCGGGAGAAGGCTGTCGAGTCTGGCGCCAGGAAGCGTAGATCTGCTTGCAGAGGTGGGCAGTCATTGTGTAAGTCATCTTGGCGGTTGTGAGTTTGAAAGCGAAGACTTTTGTGTGTGTGGTTGTAGTTGTGTAAGTGGTAGTCGAGTTATTGACAATAATCGAGGTTGACAAGAGGTAAGTCGGAGTATTTTGTAGGTGAAGAGTTCAGCTTTGGGTAAGGCAATATATAGTATTTGTGTAAAGTTAAAGTCGAAGAAAGGGTAAACGAAAAGAGCAAGAGCTTGTTTAAGTACTAAGGTTGCCTCAAAAGAGGTGCTCCCTCCCTCCTGAGGCGCCTCCTGCCTCCAGCCTCTACTATGTACGACGGTACCTGGAGTGGACCTGCCTTGACTGCCTTGCTCCAACTTTACCGCGTGTATCCTTGTGGGTCACTTCCAAGTCCTACCAACCCAAGGTACATAAGGGTAGGTACGGAGTACGTGCCCTGAAAACGCACCTGCCACTCAAGGCCAGCAGAACTAACTTCCGAACCGAAGGAAAAGGGCAGGGCAGGAGATCCCGAAGTGGAAGTGGGGAAAGTCGAGTGGCCAATGAGAAATGTTGCAATTGTAAGAAACGCCCGACCTTTGAGCTAATGTGGCAGTGAATCGTATGACCTGGGGCATGGGGGATGGGGGTGATGGGCTTTTGGTTGGGCAATTGTGGCTTATTGGATTACCCCTGTCTAACCGAGCCCTTCCATTCCTTCTAGGCCCTGCCCAACAAGGTCGAGAATAAGAGAGGTTTTCGTAACTTTCTGCTGTGTTGTTGTTAGGATGAATCTAGAGTGATTTTGTTCCTTTCGTTTCATTCCATTGCTTGTTGTTGCTTACCCATAATCATAACTTAGTGACTGCTTACCTATTATCCATAATCATGATTCAATTGATGCTTACTTATTTTTCATGATCATAGTTCAGTCAATGCTTACTTATGTTGACATATCAAAGTTTTAAAGATTGCTGAATGTTATTGATGCGGACTAAAAATGAGTCTACAGATAATTAAAAGATCGTCTGTTGCTGACACCATCCCCGCATGTTTTTCTGTTCTTGTTCCCACCGTGACTTTTAACTTGGCCCTTTTCGTGTTCGCTCTTGATATGAATGAGCTCATGACCCATCTTTGATTATCTTGCTTGCAGATCCTTTATCCCCATTCCCTATTCCCCGCTTCCGAACCGGGCGACTTAAATTCCTTCTTCTGGAAGAGACCACTTACACGCCATTGTCAGTCGATACAGCAATTACAGCAATTATATCCATCGCTCTCCGCCTGGCAGAGTAGTCTTGTGCTGCATAATGGCAACATCTGAACCAACACCGCTATCGTCATCCATTTAGGGGTCACAGTGGAGTCGTGGCTACGTGTACTCCAAACAAAGAATTCGTTCACATGTCTTCGAAAGCTAATGAATTGCTAATTATTTTTAACTTATTAAAGTTTTCCTAAAATAGACGCCAGGTATCATCCATGTTAACATCATCAAACAGAAAGTCAAAAGACGATCAACATCCCTTCAATAACAAAAATATCTCTGCTCATGTGCCGTGTCAAACAATAAATCGGCACCATAATATAAATTCATAGGTTCCTCCACTCCACCTTAAGCATATGCTCTTCCCACCAAGATATCACCAACTGGTCGTCCAGAGAAGGTTGCGTGCCCTGCGTTCATTCCCACGCCTTCACGCACCACTCCCCACCGAACTTTGAGCGTCTCAACACCGCCCTCTCTCGGTACTCGATGGCACCTTGCACTCAGAACCGCCGAACATGTTCCGCCCACCAAAGCGAGTGGATTGCCGGCCGATTCTCCGTCTTCAATGGCACCTCGGGGGTCCACCTTTCTGAATGATAGAACAGCAATCCAGAGACCTAGCACGACAAGTAGAACCAGGAGGATAAGTAGTGGTAGAGGGCTAAAGCCGATACCTGTGGTCGATCCTTCATCGCCATCCGCGGATACGAGCAGAATGCCTTGACTAAGGAGAAAGGCCATGGCTGACACCAAGAAGAAGAGCATCCACGAAATGGGTCGAGGTAAGGTGAGGTACAGTGAAGTCGTCTGTGCACCAAGCGGTTGCCCCGAGGATACTCGGAAAGGCAGAAGGTCGGCCGTGAACTGCGTAAGTTCGTGAGACAGGAAGAGCAACGTCAATAGGGCATTGCTTGAAAGGTACAAAATACCCAGGAGAAGTTGAGGCAACGCAGCAACGATAGCCAGTCCAGATCTCGACGTGCCCACGGGAAGATCATACACCACCGTCGCCTTGCCGAATGTAGAGAAAGCCTTATTGGGGTCCTCCATAATTCCCAGAGCCAGAGCAGCCGCTGTCAAACCCACAGGCATAACCCATGTCAAGAACCAAACGCCCCATCGACTCAATGAGGGGATGTCGAACCAGCGGTTTGACCTGGCATGCCAGTACTTGCCATCTCGGTCATTCCATAGCCCTTTCTTAATCTCCTCCTTGTTGATGAGGCACGAATCCTGGGTTGTGTAATCGGGTTCGGCAATGAATGAAGCAAGAACATCACCAAGTGTGACGAGTGGGTTGAAAGTCTGTCGAGTGAGAGCCAGGGCAACAGCAATGAAATAAGTGAAGATAAGAACGACGTTGATTACTGTGATCGCGGCGAGTAGGGGTCCGTTGACATTGAGCGAAGATGTTGATTCTTTGGACTGTTCGGTTGTAATAATTATGGCATTATATCTTGTGAGTGTCAGTGATGGTCTCTGCGGTGATCTGGTATGATGCTCCTTACATTACTTGAGAAAGGAGGGCAAACGCCATCATGATGCCTGACAGCGTAGCCCTAGTCGAGGAGATGAGTGAAAGATTTCGCAGCGAAGGGATACCGACATCGAGCCACTTGAAGGAAGTATGGGCGTTGTCGATTTCGGCACGGGTCGGGCTGTTGAGAATTTGAACAACATAGTTAGCTCCCGCAATGAGGACGATGGCAAGCACATTGACGGCTGCGCCAACTCCTCGAGCTATACCTTCAACTGTCGTCGAACTACCTTCCATTAACGAAGACTCCCAAGTCGACATGTGCCCTTTCACAGAAGCGAGGATAAGACAAGTGACAGAAGCCACAAGGATGAGGAAGGCCAGGAACATGTTGACTGCAATACCGGCTCTCCATCCTGTGGTAAGGGATCTAGTGGAATGTGGCCGTTCATCCATGAGCATTTTCTCCCGTTCGGCTCCGGGGGTGCCAGGTCTTGAGTTGTCTGGTGAATCGCCATTGGAGTAGATGAATTCGAGTTGGGATGGCCGTGTGCGGTGAAACTGTCCAGGCTCAGGACTATCGGCAAGGCGGTGCCTTTGGGCGAGAGTCTCAGGCGTCTCGCCGCGCATGAAGTGAACTACATAGTCGGGGATGATGTCGCTGCCGAGAAAGCTAGAGACGGAGCGACTGATGCTGCCGGCAGCACGGCGAGGGAAAGAACCCGAACTTTGCGGGATAGATCGTGAGTTGGACTGGCGGCGAGGAAAGTTTGGAATAGAAGACCGTGAGTTACTGAAGCTGTGGAAAGGCCATCTCACGGTTTGTCGTCCTGAGGAAGAGGTGAAGCCTCGAGTGCGGCCAGTCGGTGGTCGTGTAGTAGATCCTGAGCCAGGCTCCTCCGAGATACTATCCCATGTTAGTTGACTGTAACGATCAGACATAACTAATGATGTTTTGTTACCTCTCGAAGTTCATAACTGAAGCCGGCTTCTCCCATGCCCACGCCCTATCTGACCGGGTTGAAGGAGGTCCCTCCATTGGATTCATGATGGCTTATATGATGACGAAAAGTGAGGTATGATTTGTTCAAAGGGCTGTCACACAATGTGGCGAAGTCGATTCGAAGGTGTGAGCCAAAGGATAGTTCAGATGCAGCACTCGTTGGTCAACAGTCAAAAGGCATAACATGCGTTGATCACTTGCAGCATTTGATATCGAAGATTGGGTATTCAAAAAGGGTGAAGAGGCTACGGGGATGAGCGCAGCTCGCCTAGAGAATGAAAATGAGAGTGAGAGTCAAGAAAAGACAGGGAAACGACAGACTAAACAGCAATAGTAAAAAAAAAAAGAGTGTAAGAAACGAAGCGTTAAAGATAGCCAGTCAACAGACCGCACGAAGTGAATGGAAGGGTCCGTAGATAGAGATGGAAGAGGAGAAGAAGAGGGGAGAGACAAGAGAAGAGACAGAGACAGAGCCCAGCATCTTGTCACCAGAGGTCGAAGGATCCTAGCCTTGTATCCGTAGCAAGGATCCCTATGATGGAACCAGAACCCTTGCACAGACCTTGCAAGCATTGCAAGCATTGCAAGCATTTGCATGAATTGGATGGACAAGCAGAGGCCAATCAAGTCAGCCAAATGCCAACGGGTAACCCGCAGATGTGGTTCGTGCTTCTGTTTCGACATCAGCTATAATTGCAAATTGCAAAAGTCGTATACTAAAACCAGGAGACCAGGCGAGCATCAACCCACTCATTGCTGTGCGCACTTTAGGTCGTTTCGATACTTCGACACAGACCCAAAGCGTACGGGTAAGGGAGATCGTGGATCAGTTGATCGATATTAGACTCGGAAGAAACAGATCGAGTATGTACAGAGTCCGGATACCGTATGTGCTATTTGCTGTCCTCGCATTGCCAGCTCAGCAGCCAGCTTGGTTGTGTATATAACGCCTGTATTAAGACGCAGATCCCACAGCCCAATGATGATGACTACACAGCCTTTTTGCAGAGCAGCACAGTCTAGACTTTAGATCGAATCTTCTTGAGCTTAGCTTCGCGGCCCATTTCATCCGCCTAAGCTCAGATCTGAGAGCAGCGCGCATCATCATGACTCCCTCAAGTCAAATGCGACCTTGAAAAGAAAGTGTCGACATGTAGCGACTGCGGTGCTTCCGAGACGGGAATAAAAAGCGGACTCTACGTGTCTCTCCAGCGAATGAAATGTCATTATAACGCAAGCTTTGAAACGCCCAGAAAACAAAGAAACGCGCACAGATGCTCACGAGTCCAAGATTGATTGCATTGCAAGGTGAAGGCTGAGACTGAGACATTGGGAGACGGAAGGTGCATATGGCAGGCATAGCATGGCATGGCAGGCATAGCCCAGAAAATCATGTCGAAACCCCTGTCGCCCAACAAGGCATAGCCCGTGTTTCAGATCCCCCACATCGGACTAGTGCGCGTTGCAGGTCATTATTAAGGGCTGCAAGTCACGGACCAACCACATCTCGCGGCTTTAACGAAATGGTTCAGCTACAAGTTCCTCTTGTTCAAGTTGTTTATTTTTATTTTTGGTATAATTATATCCGCAGCAAGTTATAGATAAGATCTCAGCTGCTCAAATTCCAGCTGAACCCACTTATGTGAAGAAACATGACTTACCTTGCTTCTGTCCTGCCCCATCCTCAACCATACTCATCCTGGCAATGCCGTATTATCCATCAGACTGATATTACAAGGTTACATGGCCAAATATCGATCCCCAGATGCACCAGGTTGATGACTGCTCTTGAACGAAAACTCCATCAGACTACGGGGTAACTAATATTACACTCCTCAAACGGCACAACTTGAACAACGAATATGCAAAAGAAACCTCTATTTGCGCCGATAGTCTTTACTTATGGCCCAAAAGTGCTCCTGTTCATGATCCTACCCATGTACTCATAGTATAACCAGTTCTCTCTCGAAAGAGAACCCATTCAAAACTCCCCGCTTAAAGCAAAAAAAGGACCAAGAGGAAGCAAATAATCGGTAACGAGCGCCATGGCTTCTATACGCAAATCATATCAACCCAGCCCACCTCCTCCTCATATCTACTCCTAATGACACATAGGCCATAATCGAACAGCTATCTTCCACTAAGCAACAATCCTATGCAGGCCCCTTCTCCGTCCATTGAACCCCCGGACCACTTCTTCAATCGGTAACTGCACTTTCGTCCGCCACCTGCCCTTGCTTCGCTGCTGGCGGGATGCTAATATTGGCACGGGACTTTTGTTGCGCATCGACAAACCGCTCCCAGTGCTCCGGGTCGCTTGCCGCCATACACTTCAGCGCAATGTCCCGGTCTTCCTTAAATGCTCTCACAGGTCCCTTCTGCCTGACAAGTTCCAGAATTTCTCCGCCAATATCCTCGGCCATTTCGGTAAGCATCCGAACATGCTTAGGATCGGAGCCGATGTCATCGATCGTGCTGAGCAAGTCAATCTGCTCCTGCTTGATGAAGCCTACTCGGAATCGATGGCCAGCACGAAGGATTCGACCTTCTTCCTCAACCAAGATCTTGGCCATCGAGTTGGATCTCGAGAGTGGCTTACCTGCCTTGATCTCACCGTCATCTTCGTTATCTGATAGAGCCATCGCAGAATCCTCCAATGGCAACGTAACAGGCAACTCCTCGGTTCTCGTGCCTGCACGTGGACGTCTAGGTAGAGCTGTATCTTCACGAGTATCTGGGTACTCGTCCTCGAATCGCTTGATAATACCCTGCAGAGTGTCGTCTAGGAACGTCAACCTTCGTAGGTTATGATCGTCATCAGGGTTAGCCCTCGCCTTGATAAGCGCTGGCTGAAGACGTAGGCGAATCTTGCGAGCTCCCATCAGCAAGTGCTTCGACATATCCTTGGCCTTTCCACCTGTTGAAAAGTTTGCTGCCGGGCTTGGGGCTCCGTTCTCAATCTCACGAATGAACTCGCCAGATTGTCTGCGCGACTCGTCACCACGGTTCTTCAGACAGCAAGCAAGCGCCTTGACCACACCAGTGCCTCCAATGACATAGTCTTCGTCAGGTGCTGAAGCATTATCGTCCTCGCTTTCATCCTGATCCAACACGTCGTGTCCAACAAGATGTGCAAGAACATCAGGATAGGGTGGCAGTTTAGCATCGTTGGCATCTAGATTGTTCTCGGCCAGTGTCGATGCCATGACCGCACCAACGTCGGTATCAGGAAGTCGTTCCATGTTGCGCAGGCAGTAGGCAACAACCTGCTTGGCCATGGCCTTGACGATCTCTCCTGCGTTTTCGCTGGGCACCTCAACATCCACACAAATGAGGCTCTTAGAAACACGAGCTGCAGCAAGAAGAGAAGCGTACAAGGCACACGCCTCCTCCTGCGCCTCCTCGGTTTTCGCATCGGCAAGTTTGACAATCTCGGTGTTGTTGGTGATGTTGATGTGAGCCAGTGTTCGTACTTCAGGGAGCACTTCCACTATTGCGATTGCTTGTTCTGGCGTCATCGCATCATCTTCTAGATGCATACGTTTCAATACCTTCATCTTGGGCAGATATCTAGCAGGGTCAGTATACTTATGTCATATTTCCAGAGAGTTCCAAGCACATACCTTCTTAACAGACCAACAGCACTGGGGGTTGACTGGAACAAAGCTGGGTTCTGTGACAAATCAAAGAACCGCAAGTTAGGTAGCTTGACCATCACAGGTAAGATCTTGCAAAGCGCTGAGGGTGTCAAGTTACAGTCAGCCATGCCCAGTCCCCACAGTGTTGTGTCGTTCTCGATTGCCGTTGCGAGCGCTTCGGTGTGTTGACTGATATCGTTGCCGCCCAGATCCAGACCCTCACAGTGGCCTTCGGTGAGAAACCTGACGACATGCTTCATGCCCTCCGCATCTATCTGGTTGTGCGACAAACCGAGTCGTTTCACGCCGCACTGTATCAAACCATCAACAACCGATCCAAGCTGCTCCATGCTCAGACCAGTCTGGCCAATGTTGACCAATTCGAGCGTAGACCCTCCCAGCCGTTCCCCTAAAGCCTTGGAAAATATGTTCGATATACCTCGAGGTATTTGAGCTCCATTGTGAAGCGAACCGTTCTGTTGAGCTTGGGGTTGGCGCGGGAATGGGATTTGTGAGAGGTCGAGATATTTGAGTGATCGGCATAGGTAGCTGAACAATGAAACATATTTCCATCCGTCAGGTCCGATCTTATTGTTCTTCAGGACAAGTCGCTCCACCACACCACCTTGCACTTCATCATCATGCTTGAGTTTTCGTCGCTTTATGATGGGTCGCTTGGCCGCAAGTAGACCGGCTAGGATAACGCGGAGGCCCTCATCGCCCAGTCCACTGTTTTCTAGAAGGATTTCTCTAACCGGAACAATAGCCAGGTAATCTCCTAGAGTAATAAGATCAGGTAGCTGGAGCCAGTAATCAGTCAGATCAAGCTTGTTTACTGTGCCGGTCAAGGCATTATAGTTGGCGGTGTCAGTGAGCTGCTCGGTAATTTTCTTGAGAATCGGTGTTTCGCGTAGTTGACAACATCTTCGGTACACGCGGACGGGATTCGTAGTAGGTGCTGTCTGTGGTTTGGTGGGCTCGGGGACGCTGGGTGGCGTTTTTGTTGTGCTCGAGTCATCACTGCTATCAAAATGAAGTTCCATGGGGATGGATCCGTTCGCCTCGGCAAGTTTTCGTTTCTTCTCTTTTCTGGCCTTGCGTTCTTCCTCGCTCTTCTTCTTCTTCTCCTTCTTCTTGGTGCTTTCCTCCTTTTTCTCTGGCAAAGGGGTTGGGGTTGGGCTACCGTTCGCAGGATCCGTTATTTGTTGAGCAACTTCGGAACCCTCATTTTCAGGTTCCTTAGGCAATGGTTCAGCTGCAGTCTTAACTTCTCCATTGGTTTCCTTCTGCTCTTCCACAGCCTTTGGGTTTTTGAGAGCTTCGCCCTCGCCTTTCTCGGTCAACTTCTTCTTTTGTGTTTTGTCGGTTGTTTTAGGCAGTTGAGAATCACCGTCGGCATATCTGGGCTGAGGCGCAATCTCAACGTCTACACAGAACGCGACTCGTTTTAATTTCGCACACGAGAGTTCTGATATAGGACATCTTTCTCGACTTTGATCGACATTTAACACTACCCTGTCAACGAGACCATGTCCGAGCTTCCCGCTTTGTGTGAGAGTTCCGTTGGATGAAGAAAGTCGGCGGAACATTCCCAAAAACCCAGGTTGTCCGCTCTTGGGTGGAGCAGGTATGTAAGGCCCGTCGCCATCAGGTTTCGAAGCATGTGGCAGCACAGCGTTCTTCGTATGCGGTAACTTGGGAGGAACAGGCTCTGGCGCCGGCGCCGGCGACGATTCTGGTATAGCAGCTGGGGACGGAGGACCGGCTGGTGGTGTACTAGAGGAAGAAAATTTGGCGGAGATATTGGAGAACCATGAATTGCGACGGTGAGGTGAAGTACCAGGAGGAGTCTGTTTATCTATAGAGTTCGAGCGCGAGATTCGCTTCGGGGCGGAAGAGCCGTTTGTGTTTGTTGTGGTCTGGCCATTGGTCGAAGTGCTAGAGTCTACGGAGGCATTGTCTGCTGGAGCCGAAGCCGGCGACTTCGGTCTTGAGTTTGCGCCGGGGATCTGTCTTGGTAGAGCGGCCGAGGGGGTTTTTGTCGGGGGTGAATTTCTAGCTGGTTTGTCTATTCATCGTGTTAGTTCTAGGCCTTTGTCTATGGTATCAGAGCGAGCAACGCGATGCGCGTTTTGTGGTGAGGTAAGTGAGGGCAAGTGGCGATTTAGAGACATGCCTTTGGAAGCACCATGGGTCATCCAGCTGACATCAACGCCATGAACCTGCTCCATACTGGAAGGAGAGCCGCGCCGGCGTAAGGAGATATTGAGGAGTAATGATGCTGGTGGAAATTATACGGCTTCGAACAATGATTTTGATCGTATTGGAAACAAACGAGGATATGAGTAATGAAAGAGGAGAGAAAGCCAGCCAGAGAGATAGTGATTAGTGAGGTGGTGTTGGGATGGACGGCTAGCGAATCCTGGAGACGGGCAAGCTTAGCGGGCTGGATGAGGTATAGCTGAGAAAGAAGGTAACTAAGAGCTAGGCTAGTCGTAGCCAAGTTCAGTACCGGGGACGGTTCGTAAAGTACAGGTACTTGCTATGGGCGTGGTCTGGATTATGCACGAGAGGGGTCTCGGCCTGGTGTGGAACAATGACGAAGGGCGATGAAGATGAGAGGAAGAGGAGCGAGTATGCTGAAGTTGCAAGTTGAAGTGAAGTTGAGAGATGAAAGCCCCAGTAGTACGGATATCGTTAGGAGAATTAGTTATGACAACATATAATAGCGGGGTAGATTTTCTGTCACGAGTAGTTGGCTATGAGGCACAGTCCATTACAGAAGACGACGATACAATGCGATATAAACACGCAACAGCCATCATATGGCATTTCAAAAGGAAACATGTCAAGGCGGTCGGGAGGCGAAAGGCATGCATGGATGAATGAGGGAGGAGCTTTAATTGATTATGTCTACTACTAGGCTGCTGACCAAGAGGCAAAGGCCGACTACCTACCAAACCCTTGCTGATCAAGGATGACAGCCGCCTGGGCAATTAAGTCATTTGCAGTTCAGGGTCCGATGAGATTTGTAATATGCGACATCCTTATGATATTGGCTTCCGGACTTGATCACCATCCCTCTGTCTCGAGTCAACACCTCACATCTACTCTTGTGATACAGCGAGTATAGTACCTACCTAACAATGAGTGTCTGGTGTAAAAACAGTGACGGGTAAAAGAGGCTTTGAGGAGGAGTAGCTGTACCGGTACCGGTACTTATCCGCCCGCATGTACCGACCCGACCCTTAGCACTACCAGAGGTAGGTACTAGGTACCCCCGGTTTTATCGGGGCCTTGAGACCCGGCCACGGAAGTTTAGCATCAAAATTAACGTCAGTGCACAGCGTGGTTATTTGGTCAGTACCTAAAGACCGATGATGTATGAGTGTGAGCGTGGCAAGAGAGATTTGTTATTGAGAGATTACTCTCCTTTTGAGTTGATACCTAGAGTGCAAGACAAGGTACTTAGATATACATCGAATTGGCCCATGAACCAGTCGCACAAGATGTAGTAGAAATAACCTAAAACAACCATGTTCAGTGCAACATCCTCAGCCTACAATAAGCAAAAGCACAAACAACAGACGTCACACCTCTCACAACCTCGCATTTCCCGTGACAGGTGCATCACCCAAAGAGGGATAAGATGGACTTTGTTCCCAGAGACAAAGACTCCGAGAAGCCGGCGTAACGTATCGCTAAGAACCTGCAAGAGGGCCCTTGATGGGCGTATTTCTTGGCAATCGATGTCATCAGAGGTCCTCGGCCGCACAACATCTCTAGAGGGCCCATCAAAAGGGCAATTATAGAAATAATTACTCCATAGCCCCAGAGCGATTCTTGCCCTGGTCAGTGCCGAGACCTCTCTGCATTGAACCCTTATTATCGTATTATCGTGGGCCTCCTTTTATGTAAAGGCATTTTTAAGAGGAGCAGCGCAGGCAGGCAGGGTTCAAGTTCAACTCGTAGGATGTATCCGATCTTCATTTCCCTCGATTGCATCATCTGCTCAAGATCAAAGAACCCACCGGGTCCATCCGATACAGTACACCAATTGTGACGCTTCATCAACGTTACGTCGGGTTCCAGTCTTGCACGCGCCACTAATCACCGAAATCGTCACCAGCCGCACGGATTGTACTATGCCCCCGGGGCACGGGATCACGACCTTGTCCGGTGAGGCGGGGACCCCAATTTCTCAAGACTCACAGGGGAAAGGGTTCACTCGAAATACAGCTCAGGCCGCTGTTTCTTTTCGATATTGACCAGTAATTTATCCGGGACTGACTTCATCAGGGTCTTAGAGAGTCAGGGAGTGCATACAGTCAACTCCATTGTTTGAAGTACGGATATTCACATCATCACCATCTTATCCGGGGAGGGACGCTCTGAACTCCGGACTTGCTTCCGAGACGTTAATAAACGGTTTTTCTAATGGCTGATATTTCTGTACTCAATCCGGAATATCCGAAGGAAACCTAATTCCTCGATTGACCAAGTCGTTCTACTCGTCCACTCTAACACACTGTGGCTTCAGGTTGTGAAATGTAGTTTCTGTGGTTTTATCCAAGGCGTGTTGCTGATGAGAGAAACAAGACTGCGCAGCGCCAATTGCTGACAGTAGTGATCGAGTGCTGACCTGACGTTACACGACAAACCACTTGCTTGGCTTAAGTCGTACCTAGGAACTTGACAGGCTAAGACTCAGCCCTGAAAATAAGACTTTAAAAGTTGACCTTACCTTACCCTGCATCTGTCGCGCTAAGCCCGTAAAGGCTAAGGGTTCTTGGTCATCTTTTTTACGCACACACATACACACACAAAAATCACGACAAGCAAAACAGTTGGAGTAATGAGATGCCCGTTCACCACAACTATGGAATTTGGCTGGAAGGTATCTTTTTGGTAATTCATTCATGTGATCCTGTGTACGGACCTGTCCTTTCCTCGAAACTCCAAACCCAATGCCAAGGTTAACAATCCTCAAATGCCCGTGACCTGATGATGAGACAAAGCAACTTTTTACTCCTTCTGGAGGAACTCCTGGATACGCTCCTGTACGCGCTGCTCCTTCTCCTCCTTTGTGAGCTTCTTGGATCGGTACTTCTTGGAGATCTCCTTCCACTCATCCTTGGACTTCTTGGGGGAATCACCCTCAACCTTCTTGAAGGGGTCCTCACGGATGGCGGCGTGGGCCTCGGTGTAGAGGTCCTCGAGACCCTCGGCCTCAACGTCGTCATCGACGTACTTCTGGAACTGACTGCGGAAACGCTCCTCATCGTCATCGGCGAGGGTCTCCATGTACTCGGCAACGTGACCACCGAAGATGTAGTTTCGGAGGGTGTCGGCGTCGAGCTCCTTGGTCTCCATGTCGTAACCAGGGAATCGCTTCTCTGAGTGGGGGACGAGGATACCACCGTCAGAGGCACCCTTCATGGCACCGAAGACACGGGCACCGGTGGAGGTTCGCTTCAGACCAACGTCGAGGAAGACCTTGAAGGGGCGGCGCTCGCCATCGTCGGTCTCGGCGGCCTCGGTGAGCTTGAACTCACCATCAGCCTCCTCAACACCGGAGAACTCCTCGTCGAGGCCGAGCTTCTTGAGGGCACGGCGGGCGATAAGGAGACCAGTGGCGTAGGCAGCAGCCCAGTTGGTAAGACCGTGCTCGATGCCGTAAGCCTTGAGCTCGTGGGCGTAGGCAGAGCAGAAGACCTTGTCGCCGGTGATCTCGGAGGTCACGATCTGGCAGATGATGTCCTTGTTGGTGAAGCGGACGACCAGGCGGTACTTGGGAGCATTGTACTTGTTCTTGGCCTGGGTGATGAGGCGCTTACGGGCGTAGTAATCGGTCTTGCCCTGCTGGCGGCGCTTGTACTTAGTCTGGTAGCGACTGCGAGAATGTTAGCATCTTCACCCATGCGACCAAAAATTCCAAGGGCGGGAAATCAACTCACCTGTAGTACGCGGAGCTCTTCACAACTTTGAAAGGCTGTCAAAAATCCCCGAGTCAGCAATTTGCGCTTCAGACTTGCTCTTCTTCCGAAGCAACTTGCGGTGACTCTTCAAGAGCAATTGGCATTTCTGCCGTAAAAAAAAGAAAAACATTCAGAGGAGTCGAGATTCTCAACTCCCCCACGATAGGCCTCAACTTACCATCTTGACGGTATTGACTCAACGACTACTGGGGTCTTGAAGTTTGAAAAGTTGGTGCTGAGAAAGGAATAAGCCCGCGAATTGTCGATGGTGGGGGATATTTTCATATAACCCTAATCCGAATCGCTTAGCTTGGTTCAGGCCTGTGTGGACCTGGGTCGGGGACGAGAGGCGGCGTCACGTGATGGGATCTCCTCTTATCTTATCTTTGACTGGGACGCTAAGAAATGGACGATCTGCCGAGGTTCCTCATTACCCCATGCCTCGGTGGAGTTTCTATCTGGGGGTGAATGTCTAGAGGGATCCCAAAGGCATTTGGACACTTAATCTATACATATTTGAAATAATAATCTTTGAAAAAATAAATAATTCCATACTATACGCTCATATTTAACATATCTCAACTTTACCACAATGTCAGAGGCCAAACCAAAGGTTCTCCTGTTCGATATTGGTGGTGTTTGTGTAAGTGATTCAGAAGACGATTTGCCATTTGTTGAATCGGCCTCATCACCTTCGCACCTCACAAGCAATCATCTTCACTGCATTATCGATTATTGTTTGACTGACTCTCGCAGGTCGTCTCACCTTTTCAAGCTATCCTCGACTACGAGTTAAGCCTAGGAATCCCCCCAGGATGGGTCAACTACTCGATATCCAGGACCGCGCCCAACGGCTTTTGGCATCAGCTGGAGAAAGGTGAAATACCGATGGATGAGTCTTTCTTCCAAGGGTTTAGCCAAGATCTTCATGACAAAACGAGATGGGAAACTTTTTACCAGAGAGAGCAAAGCAAAGATCCTAACCTAGCAGAGGAAATGCCCCCGGTGCCTTCTATCGACGCAGAATTTTTATTCAACCAGATGATGACTGTCTCTAACAGTCCTGATCCCTGGATGTTCCCAGCATTGAAGAAGCTAAAGGAGAATGGGCAGTTCATTCTGGCCGCCTTAAGCAACACCGTCATATTCCCACCCGGCCATAAGCTCTACCTTGACCACTTCTTCGACGAACCTGTGCGACAAATTTTTGATGTTTTTGTCTCCTCGGCTCATGTTGGTATTCGAAAGCCAGATCCTGCCATGTATCAACTTGCTTTGACTCGAGTCGACGAGTTTGCCAAAAGCAATGCTCAGTCGGCTCGTGGGAAAGGTCTAAACTGGGAGTCTGGCGTCAAGCCTGAAGAGGTGGTTTTTCTGGACGATATTGGTGAGAATCTTAAGGCAGCGCGGAAACAAGGGTTGCGAACGATCAAGGTGAACCTTGGTAGGGCCTTTGAGGCCGTTGATGAACTTGAGCAAGTTGCTGGGTTGAAGCTCGCTGGTGATCATCCTAGGATACCTGTTGAGCCAAAGGTTCATAAAGTAAAGGCAAAGATGTAAATATTTCGACAATTTTACCTGGTGGTGGGCAGTATTTGGATATTAAGCTTTCCTGGCAACACGGATATAGACAGTATCGGATATCTCGACCTGTGCTGAAAGTTGACAGCAACACAATGAGCTTTATATTTTTTCAGCATAATAAGATTGACGAACTATCAATAACTAGAATACAGATCAATTTATCTTCCTCTTTTCCCTGCCCCTGATCCTGCAGAGATGGTGTCATCCTACCCCATCCCCACTCCTCGCTACGGCCCGCGTGTGGCTGTGATGCTGTGATGCTGTGATGGCTTCACAAGCAAAGGTATTGAGGAAACGTTTATAAGTGAGCTTGCACTGATTAGGAAACTCTCTGCTCTAGGCTGACCTGGGACTCATTACGCCTGGAAGCGCCTTCGGATGCCTCATGATTCGAATTGATGCGACCAAGAGGGGCGCAATGGTTTCGAGACCAGGGTCAACCAACAGCATAGACAGCCAACACGTCTTGAAATGGCACACTCAGGCTGTTGAACCCCCCGGGCTCTTAATAGTAGTCGCCTGTTTCTCAATGATTCAGTTGACTGAATACAACAGTTCATCACCAACATTCCTGGCATTAAGGAACCATCATCGTGGCTACCAAAGGCAGGTATTCGTCACACTATCAGAGACGGAAAGAAGTATATATATCGTCTCAATTGACTACAAAATGCTGCAACCACCAACGCAAAACACGTCAGACCACCATCTACTGCGCAGACTCCACCCAGCTGAAGCCCTCGACCGTATTCAGGACCTTGGCCTGCTACCTAGGCAGACATCTGGGAGGCCTTCCACAATGGCACTGCCTCTCAAGGGCGCTTAGCGATACCTTCAGCAGGTTAAATATCGTCAAGATTTCCTTTGGAGGTTATGATGTTGGCATAGAAACCATCACCAGTCCATTCTCTCTACAATAGTCTTGTCTACCAGAAGTTCGGCTTCTGGAACTTCCACGATGATCCCTACCACTTCCTCTACCACTCTCAAGCAAGGATGGCCCTCAAGTGCTTCTACCTTCTGCAAGCTACTTGAGATTGATCTCAGTATGGACACCAAATGTCGTGGCTATAATACAACCAAGACCAAAGCCCGTTGCACGATGGGTATCAGCAAGGCCAACTGCGCCATTATCACCCAATTAGTAGAGCAAATTGTGCTTATTCGGAGTTTTTCCGCTGCTAAGTCTATGCTTGCCCAAGTTGCTCACCTAGTCATGTGTAAAAGATACCATCGGGATCAAGGACCAGATCGTCTCTTGCTTTGGGAGAGTATCTTGAAGCCGCTTGAGGCCGCGATCATAAAAAAAGAAGATGAGGAAAGCAAACCTCTATTTGAAACTACCACTGGAAAATTACCTGTCTTCACTTCTGTTGTCGCAGTGAAACAAGAAATTATCCCCAAGAACGAAACTCCCAAATCGAATACAACCTCCATTCGGATATCTCAGTCCTCCCCTTCAACCCCATCCGAAGCCTCTCCCAAATCAATTCCGGCCAAGCAAGCCGCATCTACAGACTCAAAGTCTAAGCACGTGTTCGAAAACTATGGTCTCACTCGCAATATAGAACATATAAACAAAGAGATCAAGAAGAAGCTACTCCGTCCCCTATCAAAAGAAGAGAAGAAACCAGCAGGTCACGTCTATATCTACACCTTTCCTGAGTCATATCATGATGCACATCCTCATATCAAGATTGGCTACGCCGTAGACGTCAAAGTACGCATGGCTAAATGGAAATCTCAGTGTGGATACCCCCCTGAATTGCTCGGCCAGTTCCCAGCCGAGCACTGCGCCAAGGTTGAGAAGCTTGTGCATGCTCAGCTCTGGAACCAGAGGAAACGAGAGAGGGATGGCTGTCCAGCCTGTGGTGTTAAGCATAAAGAGTGGTTCAAAGTTGACACCATGACTGTGAACAAAAATATTGGTCTCTGGACGACTTGGATGAGACAGCAGCCATACAATGATGACGGAGTTCTGCAGGACAAATGGCGCGTTAGGATAGAGGGGTTTGATATGACCGATCCTAGCTGTTGGGAATACCTTGCTAAAGGCGTTTTTGACGAAGATGCAGAAGAGTCGAAGCTTACTGAGGAGGGTGACAGTTTCGCTTGGTCAAGTGACGAGCAATCTGAATTTTCCGAGGACGATATTGAAGAGGTTGACACTGATGATTCTGGTCTATACTCTACCGATGATGAAGATGAAGATGATGAAGAAGAAGATGGCGATGGACAAGACGACTACGCTACTTCCGAAGACGAGGAATGATGATAAAGATCCGGTCCGACAGAGAAGGGCACTTTGACATGATTGTATGATATATGCGGCGACATTTGGCGTTTTCTCTGGGAGTCCTTTTACGTTTTCGTGTTTCTAGATTTTTTTCTGAGCTACCATGATACCCTGCAACTGTAATTATATCATTTGAACGATTATTTATATTCTATTTTCCTTTATTCATCGCGATCCGTCTTGAATGTTAAAGCCTACAAGTCACTTGGACGAAAGCCTCAACTACAGCTAGCCAATGTTCCAGTCGATATCCTCCAAAAGACCTACAGACCACGTTGGTCGCAGCCTATCCTGATACTCATCCTTCTCAAGCTCAATTGGCAAAACATCCTCAGTCCGTTTCCCCCGAGTCCTGGCTTCGAACCAGTATTTTAGCAGCCCGATCTCCCGTGCTAGTTTTGAGAGACTACTCATCTTATCCGAGTGTTCTTCTGATTGCGTAGAGTTGCCGAACTTTCTCACTGCTCCCTCACGCAAGACATCTGCCTCTTCATAACGCGATACGATCTGATCCAGCACAGCCCCTATATCCAGCTTCTCTCGAGCAGACTGAACATCCCAGTCAGGAATCTCAATGAGAAGTAATCTTACTGCCTGTAGCGTGACGAATATGACATGATCAGAAGTAATTATTGAATAGCGCAGCATAAGATCAACAGGCAACTCCAGGAACAGGTCGAAAAACGATCGCATGGTGTCAAGGCAGTTGCGTAAACATATCAGCAGGAAGACAAACAGAAGCACGCCTTCATCAGGATGGCATGCTACGACAATAGCAGGCTCATACATCCGCACCAAGAGATATAGACGATGAAGTTCGAACATCTGGCTATAACTCGCCAGACTGGGATAAGTGGCTAATGCCGCCAAGCGATTAAGGTCAGTATGAAAATGCCTTCCGGTCCCTTCGAGGAGGAAAGCATAAGGCCTAGATAATGTCCTTTTATGCGGCTCGCCGAATCCTTCTAAGAGCCTCTCGCTCATGCGAACAAGATGGACAATATGCGCTGCTACAAAATCAGATGTCTCAACTGGGGATTGGCCGATGTTTTTGAGACATGTTTCGATGTATGGTGTATCAAGGGGATTTCGTCGTGACTGTCTTGTAGTTATACTGCGATCTGTTAGATAGAAACTCATGGTGAATCGGCATACTTGCATTGATAAGACACAGTAAAGACCAAGAACAGTGCGCTGTTCTTCTATCAAATGCGTCCTATCCTGCGGTGCTCTTTCTTCTGAGTCTGGCGATATTTCTGCGATATTTTTATGCAAGACAGACTTTTGTGTGATCCCCAAACCGTGAGCATATCCAAGTGCTAGATATGTCAGATTGACAACCTGACTATTATCAATGCAGGACTTGTGTGCCCTACATGATAAAACATAAGAAACGGTTCCGATTCATGAAGACTTGAAACCTACCAAGCAACGATTACCAACACACCCTGCAGAATATCCAGAGTCTGATCTTCCTCGACAAGGGATCTGTAGCCCAAATATGCAAGAGTATTGCGCTTGTTTTTGACCGCTTTTGATTCAAGCAAGGGGGCAGCGACTAGCATTACGGCTCGAAACAGAAACGGGTGATCTTTGGATAGTGCTTCCGCTGTGTGATCACCACTGATGATTATGAAGGGGAATTGGGGTGTGTACTCTTTTCGAAAGATGTGAATAATCTGTGTTGCTTGAAGCCATGATAGCCCGAATGGAGGCTGAGGTACCGTAATGGTCGCTTTTGGCTTTGTCTGCAACTCAATTCTCCGAGGCCGTTCATTCTCACTTGTTTGCTGAACATCTGTTCTAACTTGTATTATCATCAGTCCTCAAAGGGTCATGATGAAGTATTCAAAGGAGCCATACCATTACGATCCATATCTTCACGATACATCGAGGGTTGCAATGTCAAAGTAGAGCTGAGCTATCAGCATTGGGCAAATCCCGACATAAAAGCGTATTTGACGTACTCTCCGCCCTGGTTAACCCTTCGAGGTTTTCTTAAACTCGTTGTGGTTTGCGGAAGACATTCCCGTTTCAAAGTCTCGCATCTTTCAACTTCCATATTAGTTCCATATCAAAGTCATAAATGCATCAGGCGTATATACTACCTATCACAGAGATGGAGGTGCCTTCGCACATGCTCTTCTTTGAAACGGCATTTCGCTTTGACTCTGGCACAAGAAGTGCAGGCTCGCAGTCGACGGGGTGGGCTGACGTTTCTTTCTGCCATAGTAAGCATTAATGATGAGACGAAGCTTTCTGAACTGCGGCAACCAAAAGTATTCATGTGCCTTGGCAAGGTTGTTACTCCAATGGTTGTCCCGTCTGTCTCTCTGTTTGCCCTCTCAATTAACTATTCGGGATAACAATTAGCCCGGAAGGGATAGAAGGCACTTAGACGCTCTGGTAATCCCGGCGAGATAACAAGTATATCGTATCAGCATCTTGATATCTCCGATCAGACATTGATTTGGTCCGATTTGGCCATTCTCTCTGAGCAAACCCTTTCATTATTCTATCGACAACATGGTGGTGCTTGGGAAATAATTATTTGCATTCGATTTTCAACTTTTCCTTCCCTCCCTAGACCATAGGCGAAGATCTCCTACGTTCTGTTCCGTAAGCCTGTAAGCAGACAAATCTCCTCATGCTAACCGAGCCCCCAACTTGTCTCGAAACGCCAAATACCCTGAGCCAATGATAAGTGGTATCTATTTAAAAAACAATAACTAGCTAGGTGAATTAAAATATAGCACCTTTGTCTCCAGAACGCCTCGAAAGATCCCAATGTACCCTTGCTCCCTCAAATATACACCCCAAGGCTTTTCTAGTCGTCGTCCAGGATCTCGATAACGTTTGTTGGCGTTGCTACGGATGGTCTGGAATGTTTACCAGCATCACCGTTGACAGTATCTCTAGATTGTGGCGCTGGTGAATCGTCGTCCGAGTCATCTGGTTCCAATACCGCAGACCATTTTCCATCGGCCGTCACCACAATGCTCTTTGTCCGCATATCACCGTTACCAAGCAAAGACTTACGCACCCCTGCAAGATACTCATCCACCCAGAGACTAACAGGACGCGCATCAAGTCCGCATATTGGGCACTTCCATGCGTCCGCCATCGAAGGCTCATCTCCCTTCTGTTGTGAACCACCTCCTTTTTGTGTTGGCTTCTGAGGCCGAGTCTGAAGCCATGTGTCCAAATCAAAACACTCGAGATGCTTACACCGACTGCCTCGAACAGGAACTACACACCTGGTCGCGCTGAAAGGGTCAGCCAGAGATATCGTTAACGTATCGTCCTCAATAATGAGATCATCCGAGTCTGGTGGACGAATGCGACGTTGTATTTTATCTCTTGTCTCTTCTGCCGGAATATGTCGCAGCGATTGTATCACATTATGGACAGCGTCATGGCTGATTGTCTCAACTATTTCGATAGCCATGAAGCACTTGTATCCCGGTTTCAGATTTTGCTCTACAGCAGGGAAACTGACCCTCAGAATGTTTTCGCCTTGGACCAAGAAGTCGGTCAACTCCAATGGTTGGTCTTTGCTGAAATGCTGCTTTCGACGCAGTTCCAGACATTTTTGGTTTATGTCAAAGAAGATGTGATTTGGCCAAGATGTGGCTGATATCACCCAATCCGACTCGGAAGGGTCCGGCTTTGTCTCTGGTTGCATACAAATACGTAGTCGGTAACGATAAGACCCTTCAGAGTAATGACAGAATGGAAGACCGTTTCCCTCGATCTTTCTTGTCAGTCTTTGTATATGATCCTCTGACACGTTGAAAGGTAAGGACCGTAGGCCCGTTCTGGGCTCCAGGGCTACAGGTTGATACACAAGCTGCCGGACAAATTGGTAATAACGGCTTTTCCCGGGATTAAAGGGAACACGCCTTGGACTACGCACACCGACGTGCTGAAGGCCAACCTGAAGCGAGCCATGGCCATATGGGCTAGAAGGATACTCCGCCTCGGGTATCTGCGCAATTGGTCGTGTTGGAGGACCTGGGTAGTCAGTAACTGGTATTCGGTATGGTGGGATCCGTAATCCCATTGGCTGGGCTGGGTAGGCATGGTTCGGTGACGTTGCTGTCGTAATGTTATATTGGGAGGCAGAGGCCCTGCGCTGCTGTGTTTGCTGTGTTTGCTGTGTCTGATATGTCTGATTTATCTGATGTGTTTGCTGCGTCTGCTGAGCGGACATCACTTGATGCTGTGGGGGATGCATCGTCGAAACTGGGCTGACAGCATTTTGAAACCCCGCAGGCTGAGGGTACATCGCCTGGTTTTCCATGTGTGTCCCGGAATTACTGGGAAGTGCTTGCGATGGATATGCGAAAGAGGTTGCTCGTCTCTGAAGCAGAGAATTGTTTGATGGTAGAATGGGTGTCCGCAATTGACGATTGGATGGCAAGGTAAGACTCGGTGCTGTGACAGGGGACCCATGATTTGAATGTATTCGGTGCAATCCAGCACTTGATGATCTGGGCAGTGGAAGTTGAGGGATTCGGGGGGGCGGATAGACAGCGGAGGGAGGCGAGACCACTGTCGTGTCTGTCTGGACATGAAGGGCATTCGGTCGTCGTGGACCTTGATCACCATTATTACCTGGCGAAGGGAGGGAATTATTTACTGATGCTGGGCTTGCCACTCGAGAGCCGCCTATTAAAGGTCTCGTGCTCGACACGTCGAAGTGTGTAAGGGAAGGAGATGAGGCGGCCGCGTGTGTAGTATGGGGTGAGTGAGCAGCTATTGATGGTCGACTACGTTGTTCAGCCATGGAAGTGCTTTGACCGAAAGCTGGGGATGATGTTGTATCTATTCGCCATGAGTCAGTTGTTTATCAGCATACAGGGAGCATATTTGGGGGTCATACTGGATGCGACTTGCTGCTGCTGTTGTTGTTGTTTTTGAAACGCCATGACGAGTTCCTTTTGCTTTTTTGCGACCGTCTCCCGAGCATTTTGCAAATTCTCAGGGGTCTCACCACGGGCGGCGTAGAGAGCCTCATCGTCCCGGTCCTTTTCGAAAATTTCGTTCATGGATACTGCCACCGGACTGTCTGCTATGCCAAGGCTCCTGCGGCTCATGGTGAACAACATGGACTGCAATCCTCGAGCCCGGCAGCAGAGAACGCCGCTCAGCTCATATGCGAGCAAGGGATAGCCCCGTACCAGGACATTTTGTGAAAGAGTACGCCAGGTTGACGCCAGTTGGATAAGAAACGCAGAAATATCTCTGGCCGCAGCTGTGTTCGGAAACACCCTGGAGAAATCGGCGATAGAAGTCGGGAAATTGGCGAACCATTGTAGATGAGCAGTTGACATGTGTTCATTCTTTCTTAAGATAGTCTGCGCCGTGTCAAAAGCAGCATCCAGGAGAGCCTGTTCAACCAACCCATGGAAGAGCACATGAATGGGACCTTTGTTTAATGACCAGGCACAAAGAGCCTGATGGAAAGCAATGTAAAAGAAATCCCCGTTCTGGCATGCTTCCGCCAAGATCCTATATCTAGGTTTTTCGACTGTTTCATTCAGAAGCCCAGCTTGAGCAGCGTTTGCTACCTGGCGCTCGATTGCATTGAACCATTGTATGCATATACGATGGTCTCTTGATTCCTCCGGCCCCGATGCTTCATGAACCCGAACGCGCTTAGCCTGGTGTTCATTGGCGACGTATGGTCTCGTGTGTGTCCTTGCGCTTGGTTCTCGAGACGCGCTTATGTTCTGCTGTCGGGCATCTGTGTTGACTTGCGGCGAAGCCGCTGAGTGAGGAACACGGTCAGTCAGGGCAAAACTGGTCGCCGTATAGAGACTTGCCGCTCCTGTGGCATTTGTGTTTCGCGAAGATGAGCTCTCGGGTTGATGAGAAATGGCGGCCGTATGGTTCGGGTAGCTAGTACTAGTCGCGACGTGTATCAGGTCGCCTTGGTTCATGTTACTATCAGAAACTGGCCGCCAGGGCGCTGCGCCCTCTACGTGAAAGTTTGTAGCAGGATTGGTGCAGTCGGCTTGATTCGAGACATTCGGGCTCGGTGCGTCGGTCAGCGCCGGAGAGGGTAGGACGGTCGAGGCTCTATATCGCAAAGTTAGAAGTAGGGTTGGTAAGTGGTCAGCAGTGTTGGTGGCAATATCGCAGGTTCGACAAGCGACGCAATGCTGCGGGATTGCGCCTAGGGTTCTGTCGCTTGGCACAAAAACGTGCTCACAGCATAGGATAAATGAGGAATGTTTGCATACCTTGTAAGTTCTTCGTCGCCCGGCTGTTGTTTTAATGATTGATCGGAGAGGATATTGTTGCGTTGTATGGCATTGTCGTTCTGGTTCCGGGTTAGGAGTACAGTGTCAGTGTCAGATGCCTTTCTCTTTCTAATCCGCTTTCGGGAATTACTGGAGGCTACTGGACCAGGCGTAGGGTTGGTGACAGCGACTGACCCCCCGGTCATCCATGAACGAGTGCGACCACCAAGAAACATATTGACAGTCTCGTTAGTGGAAGCAATCTGCTGGGGATCAGGCGGAGGGACAGTCTTTGACTGATTCGATTTTTGGGTCTGTGGCATTTCACAAGCCGATGGTGTCTTCCGGTAAGGCCTAGGTCGCGATATATGTAGTCGCAGTCGTCACCTAAGCATAGAGCATTTGGATTATATGCTTCTTAGAACTCATACTCAACGCCACCACTTGAAAGAATCAAGAGTTGCGAGACCAAGCATGATTCAGCGAAGCGAGTACGCGGTATCAAGCGGTAAATGCAGGTTGCGTCTCAACCGTGGAAAGCTTAGAAGATGGGAGGGTGAGTGAATACAAAGAGCGTATCGACAAAGCTGAAGGTCGAAGAATAAAATGAACCAAGCCTCATGGATCGAAATATGTCTTAGATATCATAAACAACTCGGCCAGAAGTATGTAAAATGGAAGGAAAGACCAGTGGAAAGAAATATTTAGAAGTTAGAACTGTGTGAGTGGAAGGTTCGGTGGATGTTGTTGGTCAAAGGCAGGCGGAGAACTAACCAACTAACTTCCATAGTACCTGCCTCACTCAAAGCTGTAATTCTAACGCCCTGGCTTCAACAAACAAAGGAATGTGCCTGCTGAGAGTATTACAACTGCAACAAACAAAGGGCAAGGGCGATATCACGGCGCATACGGTACTTACCTAGGAAGGCAAGGTAAGTACTAGACTACCTAATCAGCCAGTACCTTAGTACCTTAGTACCCAGAAAGTGTCAGCTCGAGCTTCGATAGAGGTATCGTATATATGCAGTCATCCGGTAGCCTACCAATGTTTGGCGGAAGTCTGCCTGCATCGCATGTCTCAGTATGGCTTTCGTTTGCTGTTTGCTGAAGAGACAAGCTTGGTACACAAGGACTTAATATTCAACGGCATATCAGCGGGATATGTTCGCAAACACATGCTTACTCAATCGACTTCCTTTGTCTTTTTAAGCATTGCGAATATTATTTCTCACGATACCCTGTGGTTTCTTTTCTTTCACTAGGTGCTAATATTGTCCCAAGGCTGTTTCTGGGTCATGATTGGGTCTGAAGGTGTGATGCGATTAGTGTTGGTGGTGGCGAGGCCTACCTGCGGCTGCTGCGAAAGGCTATCAGGCTCCGAGGGGCCACAACAACGTAAAAGGTAATAAGTTCTTTGTCCTCGGCTCGGCCTTTGCTCGAATAGCATGAATGCTGTGGTTCGACAAATGGTTACTGGTACCAGAATGTAGCTGAGATGTATGCGACTTACATGGTCTTTGCCTTAGTTGCACTGACCATGCCGAGCCTAGGTAAGTGTATAGGTACTAAGGTAGGTTAGTAGGTATGCTACTAGTGTTTGAAGACGAGGGCGTCGTCTTTTTCAACTAAAGCAGTTCTCGCTTGGTTCTGTTACCAACCTATCCTGATGAGTTAACTATATTGCAATTTGCCTACACTGTAATAATTGAAATGTCGGAAAATTACACGTTCTCCCTCACACTGTACGCTTTGCTTTATACAGAAGCTTGTCAACAAGTACGTACATAGTAGTATATTTCATCCATTCCATGCACGCTACCTATACTTAGGCTAGTAGCTAAGCTTACCCTATATCCCTTGTACCAACAGTTACCCGGTAATACCTAGGTACTATAGGTAGTTAATCACCAACGCAGTCCAATATCATGCCGGGATCTGTAATTGCACGATAACAAGATAGCAGCTAACTTGGTGAAACGTATCTGAGGTTTTTAGTGACAGGGTAAACATTTCAGCTCCATGATTCACTCCAGGTATGGTTGTATAATACACTTAAATAGTATCGAGAGTGAGCCATAGGTACTAGTCAGAGGGCAAAATAGCACCCAATATCAACTTCCACTGTGACGGCTGAATGGCATCGATGCGATGCGGCAAGGCCGATCCTGCCACTACCTGCCTTGTTCAAGTTTTGCGATTATGAATAGTATCATGCAACTGTAGTATTACTAGACCCCTCTCTCCAATACTTTCCTTCAATTAGCATCACCATCACCATCACCGATTCAACATGGAGCCATGACTGCTTGTTTTGTACAACCTCACTACCTCCATAAGTTAACCCTGTCCATGCACTATCACCGGCTCACCACATCATCAGATTCGCTACTCGTATACCACTTTTACTTTCTCAGCATCCTATTCAACAAGCGCAGTGATCGACCCTATATTTGAGGGGCCCCATTTGTTGTTGCAGAGTCAACCAAGAGTCCTACCACCGAATTAAAGGCATTGAACGCTGCTCCCCAACAACAATATCCTGTTTCCTCCTCGTGCTCGGCTCGCTGTGCTGGCATAACATCCTAAAATAGTATCTGCAAAGATTTGACTGGTTTGGCTGCATCGCATCGTCCAATCCCGAAGGCCCCCCCCTGGACTGGAGGGGCTCGTGGAGAAGGTTTACAGTTGCCGATTGCATATTCCTACTGCCTCGTCAACAAACCACTCGTCCATTCAAACTATTTCTTGTAGTACTACTGTTGAATTGTTTGGCATGGGCCTGATAGTCGTGTTATCCCACAGGCCTCTCGATTAAACCCATCAATGATCCAGGTCACACCAATCGCAGCCCGACTTCCACGCTAAGCACCTCTTGTTCAGGGACCACGCACTTCTCCCGCCTCCCCAACCGCAACCGCCGCTCCACCCCAGCAAAGCATTCGTACCTTAGCGCAGCACTCGAGCCACTATCGTAGCGCACCACCGCAGCCACGGGCCTGCTCAAGCTCCGACTGCAGCATCGTACCCAACTTACGCATCATCTCCAGCCCTCTCGCTGAAGAGAGTTGAACCAACCGGACCCAACTCTGTTAAACACGGCTGCGGAGTATTGGTTCGGTGGATGGAGCACGAAGTCAGGTCTCATTCTGTCTACCCTTCAGTCGACTGACAGGCTTCTTGGCTACCCGCTGCAACTATCGCCCTGGGTCCCGCGCCACCGTCAGGTTCCGCAGAGTTTCAACCGCCCTTAAACTACCACTTCATTCCTCCCTCCACGGCCTCAACCGTCCGCTATCAACGCAGTCGCATCAGCCATCAACAGCGCATCGCTTCATCACATCATGGCCTCACGAGGCCCCAACGAAGGGTCGTCGAAGCCAGAAATCGGCGATATTCTAATCGTGATACGTACGTTTGCCATCCAAATCCTTGCTCTTCGTCTATAACGCCTGTTGATACTCATATCTTTCTTCTCCAAACAGATGATTTCCAGGCTCGAAGCTCAGACGAACTAAGTCTTGCAAAGGGCGACCGGGTTGAACTAATAGAACGAGATGACGAGTTTGGCGACGGGTGGTTTCTCGGCCGCCATCTGGTCAACAATAACAATGGACTCTTCCCTGAAGGTCTGCCTCCAGCTTTTTATATCCTATGCGGAGTATAACAGTTGACACTTTACAGTCTACACCAGGACCGCTCCTAGAAACGCCCCTACCAGCTCTTTCAGCACTTCAAAGCCCCAAACTTCCCAACAGGAACAAACCCAGGATTCGAGCACCGACACGGGTAACAAAGAAGAACTCGAGTTACACCCCCAAAGTCGAAATCCTGTGACATTGCCTCTCAACAGTGTCAAATCCGAACCTGCTCTAGTGCCAAGCGAGCCTCCGGTGCTTCCCGCCCTCAGCCAGCTCACGACTCAGAACCAAGACAGCCCTGTCTTGCACGAAACACTCACTGTTATTGATGAGCATATAACCGATCTTCGATCTCCCGCTAGTAACAATGGACTCCGAGCGGTAGCGAACGACTCTGGAAGTGAGTATAGTAGCACTCACCCTGATCAACGAGCATCATACATCCAAGGCGAAGAGACGGACGAAGAAGAGGAAGGTTTTCATACACGAGAAGAAGTCGAATCGTGGTCCCCGGACGATGTTGCCGAATATCTTTTTACTTCAGGAGTGGAAAAGCACCACTGTGAAGTCTTCAGGGATCAAGAGATTTCTGGGGAGGTCATTCTTGGTATGGACCAGAGCTCGCTCTTTATCAAGGCCTTTGACCTGGGCTCCGTTGGTCGACGACTGAAGACTTGGCACAAGATCAAGGCCCTTCAGGACGAAGTTAGCAATCAAGGCCTGGAGACACGACGCACGACGCAGACTTTTGGAAACGACGGTTTAGACGAAACCCGGAGATCGAGAAGCCGAGCAAACACCCTCACCAACCGCCCCACCTCTATCCAAACAAGACGACTCTCCTTATCGCAGAATACTCCAAAAGCATCTCCGACGTTTGGAGGCCCCCATGGACAAGACCCTCCTAACCGCGCTAGTCATATCAAGAGACCATCCGCAGCATCAATTAGGGAATTGAACCATTCGCGCCGACACTCTTCGTCAACTGACTTTCGCCAAGGTGGTGGTCCTGCACCAGCACCTGGAGCTGCTCATGCTCCTATTCCTAGGATTTCGACCACGGGTACCTTGCCCGTAACAGAGGGGGCTCATAAGAAGCAGCCATCATTTGACCGAAACTGGACCCTCGGCAACGCCTATTCACAACCCCCACAGCGGCCCCTTTCTTCCACTGGACTACAGGATTTACTCAGTCCATCTACAGCCGACACACAGGATCCTACTGCTGATCTCGATAGAGGCTACTTCTCCGGCACAGAGGTTGATGGAAGAAAAAGAAACTTGTTGCGAAAGCGCGACAGCAATGCTGAGTCGAGAAAGTCAAGCTATGCCGAAGAGCAGAGGGTTCGAAGCGCCACAGCCATGGCACGACAGTCAAGATTCGGAAGCGTGGGGTCAGTCGCGGAGGGGGGTATTTCTTCAGCAGCCCAGAAGTATTATGGTATTCCGGCTGGCGCTCATAGGAGAACTGCGTCAGCCGCTTCGGAATCAACGATGAACATGCCACCACCCAACGATGCCCCGTCACCTACAGTCACTAAACTGGACACTTCGGTTGGCTTAGCTCGCTCAACTGCGTCACCTGTTTCGACGAGACATCAAGGATTCAACTCAGATTGGCTATCGTCAATGGTCAACAAACCGATTGCCTTGGCTAGTGGTAAGGGCATGAGAGCCATATCTGACAACCTGAGCTTTGATCGGTCCAAAGCTTCAACACCGACCGATTCATCAAACAAGGATTTCATTGTCGAGTCACCCGCGCGGACCGGCTCAACGACACCATCAGGTGGAGCCAGTTTTGACCTAGAATCTCCAGATACTGCCAAGAGCCCTGGCACTCCTATAAACCAGGCTAGTAAGAAGGCCGGAAAGAAGGGCAAGAAGGAAACAAGCGCTTACACTCGAGGCCTGCTCAAAATCTCCCCCAAGGAGGCAAGCAAAGATGCTGATTACAGCGGTTGGATGAGGAAGAAGAGTTCCAATCTCATGACAACGTGGAAACCCCGATTCTTTGTTCTCAAAGGTCGACGGCTGGCATACTACTATTCAGAAGAGGACGACCAAGAAAAGGGGCTTATTGACATTTCGTTCCACCGAGTCCTACCGGCAGACAATGAAAAGCTCACAGGACTTCATGCTACTATCACGAGCCTGGGAGGGCAGTCAATGCCTGCCCAGAGTGGCGATGATAATTTAGAGAAGGGGGACGATTCCATCTTCATTTTCAAGCTGATGCCTCCCCGAGCTGGTCTTTCAAGGGCTGTCAACTTCACAAAGCCAACTGTTCATTACTTTGCTGTCCCTAACCTGAAGCAAGGGCGATTGTGGATGGCGGCTCTCATGAAAGCAACCATTGATCGAGATGATACCAAGCCAATCACAACAACGTACCAACAGAAAACGATTTCCCTTTCCAAGGCCAAGCAGATGCGTCATCGCCCCCCGGCCTTGATGAACCTTGACGAGGGTGCTGAAGAGGAGGCAGGCGCAGGCCGAAAGGAGGCCAATGGCCTGGGAATTTCATACGATGAAGCCGACAGTGGCGTTTCTGGTGTCGACAAGCTAGCGAGTCAAAAGCCTGAAGAGGCTAAATCGAGCCTCGATTCTGAAAAAGTGAACCCGCAGGCGGCCTGATAGATTCCCTTCTTTATCACGTCACCCTAACTATCTATCTTTTCAATTGGTGTGTGGAGTTTCTGGTCTTTCACTTCCCCAAAAAACATTTCTTTTATTCGTTTTTTCTACCTCCTTCTCCTATAGAAGCTTAATCCTTTTTTATTTGATACCTCGGGCGCAGGGGAAAACTGGAAATCTCAACAAGATATGGTGATGAATCGGATGTGGATGAAAGCAGGAGGGAAGAAGGATCTTATGCCTCCGGTTGCGAGGATGCATGGACCATAGCTATCGGGGCGGAACGATCAAGAATGTCATGTTAAGAGACAACGATGATGAAGACGGTTTGTGTTGCTGGCTCCTTTTTCACTCATGGAGCCTGGGAATGGATGATTTGATGGACTTGAGAAAAGGGGGTGCTCAACTGGACGGGGTACATACTAGCGGTTTAAAATCCTCTTCTCTTGTGGCTATAATGCGAAAGAACGTGTTTCATGTCTTGATGGCACAAAACAGCTTTAATTGAGCGAACTGGACTGTCTGTGGTGAGATTTTCTGTTGATCAGATAGTACTCATGAAGACGCTGGGTGAAGATGTTGAATCCAAGCTCTTCGAGTTTTTTCCCAAGCAGTTGAGTCACACTCGTATTCGGAACGGATACGACAGATAACCATGAGAAATATTGAATTGGATAAGACGATCGCTTGCTCTAAAGGTATATGAGACAAGGTAGAGGAAAGGGTGGTTACCCTAAGAGAAACTCCATAGCCTTTTATATCAAGCTTCTTAGCTCGACTTGTGCCCCCTTACATGATAAAACAGCCTGCAAAGGACCACACCGTCCGTACTTGGAACGGCATGGCTTCGATATAACATATCCAGCGCCCCTGGGTCGTATCCGTCATTAGACCATCCAAAACGCCATGAAAAGCATTGTCCGTATTCTAATTATTCCCCGTCTCTTTCTCTGGCTTGCTGGTGAGTCCACCATAACCGCTAAGTGACAGGGAAAGGGACTATCATAAGCTAATGAAAATGATGCAAAACCGCAACTCTACACCTTTTGGTTCATACCCGTTAAGAGTTGTCGTATGGACTTCATCAGATGCTGCTCAATGCCCTCGAAGTTGCCGACAGCCTCACCCTCACCAGGTGGTGGAACAATACTAGCCTCCGCTATGCCCAGTACCCGATCAATAGCGGATAGTGTGACAGCTTCCGCTTTGGCTTCACCCAGCTTTGGGTTGAGAGCTTTGACTGAGACATCCTTGAAACCATTGAGTGAGGCGAGAACCTTGGGTTCGAGGCAAAGTGGCGTCTCGGCAGCCGAAGGAGAAGCAGATGAAGCTGGACCAGGTGTCGGGCTCTTTGATTTTAGGAAACCATCGATAACCTGGCGAATGCCCTTCATGCAAATCGCCTCCATTTTGTCGTTCTCTGTCGCTTCCTTCTTGAGACCTATGCAGCGGTTGAGTGCCGACATCACAATCCCTTCGGCCTTGGGGTTCCGGGCCTTCTTGAGGTTTTCAATCAAGCCATTCTTAAGATTGACAACCGCTGTGAGCAATCGAGGTTCGATAGCCGGTCGCGCTGGGGCGGGAGCTGCTGGAACCGAAGGAGTGCGATTTACAGACGTAGCTGGCTGCTGTTGAGCTGATGTAGGGATAGCTCCAGGTATAGTTTTGACAGCAACCGTGGGAGGTGGCGGTGGAGGGAGATGATGCTGCTGTTGCTGCTGCTGAGCGAGAGGTGCACTAACTGGGGCCATGGCAGTGTTGGCATGCCCCTCCTCACTCTTGATCTGAGTGTTTGCTGGCGGAGGATGCCGCGAGTATGGAGAGTTGTAAGTACCTGGTTGAGGCACTCCAAGCTGCGGGCGAGCTGGCGCTGGGAGAGGTCCATAACCTGGCGGCAGTTGTGCTGGTGCTGGCGCCGGTGGCTGAGATGCGACCGCTGTAGGGATGGGCTGGCCAGGCGCCGGTGCTGGCGGCGATGCAGATGTTCCATAAGGCTGTGCTGGCCGCCCCGGTTGGCTTTGGTGTGCTGTGTATGCGGGCATTTGATAGCCAGAAGGTGCTTGTCCAGGTGGATAACCAGGTGCTCCGGCTGCCATGTGCTGTGCGTTGTAAGGGTACGGGTATTGGCCGTAAGCTTGAGCTGCTACGCCTGGCGACGATGCCTTTCTCTTCTTTCCAGCATCAAGCTCGACGCCTGGAACACGAGACCAAAGATTGGTTGTCTCATCTTTCCTGAAGGCTTCATTTCCGATGAGGTTGTGCCGTACACTACTTTCCCATCCTTTGGTTTCTGTATGGAAATGAAACCACGGATATCTTTGGCAGATTCGCTTATAAATTTGCTTGAGAGTAAGACCATCTGGCCCAGCCGCTGTAAGCGTCTCGTCGATGAGAACACCATAATTCTTGTTTGGCTTTTGAAGCTGCTCCTCGGTATAGTCCTCGATCTTCAGCTCCAGGGGAGGTGACTTCGGCCGGGCCTTTTTTTCTTTCTTTTCCCTTGCACGTCTCTCTGCATCTGAACCTTCCGCGCCGTCTTCCCTAGGCTTTCTGGGCTTGTACCTGCGCTTCTCGGGTCGCTCCATGGAACCTTCGGGTAGGGGATGTTTTCTGGGTCGCCCAACCTTGCGTTTGATAGGAGGTTCCACTGGAGGTGCCTGTGGTAAGGTCTTCTTGGCCATCTCTTGTTGCGCTTTCTTGATAAGTCGCTGTTCTCGTTTTGACATGACGCCGTTCTTGGGTGGCCTTCCAGGTCCCCTCTTTTTGGGTATATGGGCCATGAGGTGATCATGATGTGGATCAAGCATGCCTTCTTGCTTCATCGCAGAGTCTGACCCCATTATTGACATGTCCATGTCCGCGTCCATATCAGGATCCATTTCCATGTCCATGTCCATGTCCATATCCCCATCAATGTCGGCGTCCGCTTCAGCATCAGCATCTGCCTCAGCGTCTGCCTCAGCGTCTGCCTCAAGGTCTACATCTGGTTCTGCTTCAGCCTCGGCTTCAGGCTCTACTTCCAATGTCTCAGTTGCTCTTTGCTCCTCAACTTCGACATCATCATCGTCGTCGTCGTCGAAGTCGGGCGACTCAGGTGGACTTGCCACATCGGACAACTCATCGCTCGTGTCTTGAACGGCACCGTTACCATGAGCCGATTCGAAATCGAAACTCATTTCTTTGCCGCCCTGTGCGTGCCGCTTCTTGTGTGCTGCCGTCGGCTCTTCCCTCTCATATTCTTCAGCACCAGTAAGGCCACGTTCGACTCCATTGATCAGGAACCGAAAATCAATATCCTTGATTTGCAACCGATCGCCACATCGCAACACGACCTTCCCACTCTTATGGTGGACATCCTCACAAAAGAACCCATTCTTGTGTAAAGGTATAGCCTCAAAGACACCCGTTTCTTGATTGTACGCGATCTTGAGATGCTCTCTAGAGATAGCCTTTGTCTTGGAAGCGATGTTTGGTCCTGGTGAATGAATACCGATGAAAGGAACGTGGTATGGGGATGGACGTAGAGACGCCAAGTCCACTGCCGCGGCACCGGGCGTATGAGAAACGTATTGTCTATTAGAAATCATGTTTTCCTGTGCCTGCACTGCAGCCTCATCGATGTCATGCTGAGACGATCCTTGAGTGCTAGTTTTGCGTCGCTTCGTGGGCCGAGGATTTCCTCCCGTGTCGGATTCCGGGCCCAGCATTCCTCCCTCTTCACTGACATAAGATTTGCTGAACTTGCTGCGATCCAACTGGATGGGAGCGGGTACCGGAAGGCCCATATTGACATTCGCCTCGGCGCGGCGGCGGTGTTCTTCGGCGCGCTTCTCATCACGGCGGGCTTGTTCGAGTGCGCGCTGGTCTCGTCCGATGATGACAGCGTATGTGGTCATTTGGAAGACACTGTCAGCAAACTCCACACGTGCAAAAGACTCTAGTGCCTTCTCAGTGTCTGCTTGATGTATTGAGTTTGCGGGTGCGAGACCATCCAAGGATTCAGATAAGGCATTCGGCAGAGTAACTTGGGCTGGTGTCACTGTCGGAGGGGGTGACATGGCTTTATTGGCTCCTGACATGGAGACCAGTGCCATCATCATGTAGGCGTGCTCATTCATTGTAGGCATTGCTGCCTGGGTGTAGGGGGTAGAAGGCGCAAAGCGTTCCCCCATGTTGTCAGTCTGCAGTTGCAGTTGCAATGGAGTGGATTGCTGAGCCTGATCAGCGCTTAATGCTGCAACCGCGCCACCCGGAGCAGAAGTATCAACAATCGGCTGATCAGAGTCAGTGATTACGGGAGCTGAACTCCCAGTACATGATAGCACCTCTGCTTGCTGCTGCGCCGTTGTTGACATGGTGGTATCAGCGCCGACTGGAGGACCGCTCGAAACAACATGGGACGAAGGCGGTGTTGATGGCAGGAGCTGAGGAGATACTTTTGTTTGTGACGCAGAAAGGGCTAAATCAGGGTCAGGCGTTGAAAGGTTCGGTAGTACCTGAGCGGCCGAGGTTGCTTCCGATGATTGTTTTGAGGGGGATGCTGGAACAGAAGCTAATGCTGGCGCCGCGATGGCAGTTGAGGGAAGCGCAGACGCTGGTGTTGATGAATCGGCTGTTATGGCTGGTGTCGACAAAGAAGGAGCACCTGAAGCGCTTATGTCTGGACTTGGATTTAAATTTGAGGCCGTAGCTGGAGATGGCGCTGGGACCTGCGCCGGGGCCGGGGCCGGGGCAGGGTCAGCAAGTTTTTGATCGCGTTTATCGTCGTTATTCGCAGGCGAGTTTTTGATCGCGTTTGTTGTCTGTGTCGCAGTCGGGGTCGCAGTTGACGTTGACGATGTTGTCGCAGTCGCTATTGCGCTCGCTGGAGTCGCAACTGGGGGAGTCGTCGCTGCTGTCGCTGTTCCTGTTCCAGCTCTGTTTGCGACGACGACCTGGGGCTCCCGGTCAGTTCCCAGGCCGTCGGGAAGGCCATTGCGGCCTACAATTGACGAAGTCATCGCTGTTCGTGCGACCAGCTCCTTCGTCACTCGCCCTCACCTCAAGAGGGGTTGGCACAAACGACGAGGGGTCTCGGCGGAGGGCGCGCCGGGGGCCGAGTGTATTCTTGAAGGAATGGCCGTTGGCAGGAAAGACGGGGAAAATAAAAGGTTCAAGGCGGACGAGGCTTTCGCCTGGGGCCCTTTGAGCCGCGATGTCTGAGAGGGTCAGAGGGTCAGAGGGGGGGAAGGCTGCGCGCTCTGATTGGATGCCTGGGGGGCTTCCTTCCTTCACGGGTCTCGAGTCTCCTCTCACTTGCTAAATTGGCTGGCGATGGCTCGCGCCGCTAGCACTCTTTGGGGGATAATCAAGGAGCAACCACGATGGAGACGATCTCTTGATCAATCCGTCTTTTTTTTTTCTGTCGCTCACTTACCCGGGAACGGCAGGAACAGAGCGTCGCGAGATGTATAACCTAAGGCAATGGGCAGGTGGATTCCGCATTTGAGGTGACAAGTGAGTGCTACTTTGGGTCAAGTACGGACTGCAGATACTCAAGGTAGGTAAGCTGTATTTTACCTTCAGGTCGCGCTTTCCCCGCGCCATGTGTTTATTCCTGGTTACTCAGGAATCAAAACAGGTGACATCCAATGCAACGCATTTCAGGCGTGTCAATACCACGGAGAAACTCTACCTAACATTGACCTTAATTGTCCTGTTATCAAGTTCTGTTATAGTTTCCAAACTTGGAACGTATTGGAGATATTCCAAATACTGATTTCTCTCCAGGAACTCAATTATATTGAGGGTATATCGCCTCAAAGTTGAGTCTATAACAAAGCACATACCTACTCTACAGTAAATGATCGTCGAATTAGACTCATGCCAATCAATATTCGTTCGCAAGTCAGACCCACAACTCAAGCGCGACCCTACGTAGGTAGTATCATTTGAAGAGATCAGCAACATCGTCTAATCATACACGCCATATATCATGCATATAGTAATGAGAATATGCACTCAATCACTGTTTAGTTTGCCGTATAATCTCCATGTAGTCGATGGCGTGTTCAGCCAGTCTATTGAACAAGATAAATACCGCAGGACAATGCAGGATAAGGTCTCAAGGTTATTCGATAGGCAAATACTAAGTTTTTGCAACCGAGCAACGTGACACATCGCTAAGGCATCAATGAAGAAGAGACTGGCTCTCGGTTGGGAAGACTCGGTGTGAATATCGATCCGCAAACCGCTCGGAGAGGCGATATGCTCCGTGGCAGAGCATGCCAGCGGAAAACCCCACGGCATCGTTTCTGAAGGCGAGGATGCCAGCAGTCGTCATGAGCATGACAGTCCATCTCTCAAGACGCTCCTCGTCCGAAAGATCACGTTGTCGGCGCGGTCCTTGGCCTGCAGACGTGTGCCACAAATCGGAGGCTCCCTGGTTAAGACTGTTGCCCACCTTTGCAAGTTCGAGACCAGCGGCTATTACCATGATACCAAGGAGACTCTTGGGATAGTGTTTCAGAAGATCCATGAGGGTCTCGCCAAAGAGGAGGCCCAATACCAGTTTGAATATGCCCAGGACAATGATGCTGGAGCCGCTGCGAGCACCGAACCGATACTGTGCAGCCAAACCTCCGGCACCGTGGCAGACAGGCATGCCTCCAAACCAAGTGCTGGTCAAGTTCATCATGGCAACGCTGATTCCGATAGACGTCACCGAGGGGGTAGGGAGGTCAGGTAGGAGATCGTGAGATAGCGCGCTGACGGCAATAATAGAATTGAGTGTGGTCAGCGGTAACTGTCCGATGGCCATCCACAGAGCTGGTGAGTCCCCTTTCCCAACCCAATGTGGCATGACAAACCGAGGACGCCAAGCGTAGAACCATGGGAGACTTTCGTGGGAGTTGGTGATCTGGACAAAGGCCAGCAACAAGGCGAGTATGAAGAAAAGTAGAGCATATGGGAAGCGAGGCAGTTTCTGTGTTGCAACCAGCACGAGGAAAGCAACCAGAGCCCATATACGGTTGTCAAGGGCCGGATGAGCCCAGTGTAAAGGCTGAAGTAGCGATGAACCTGCGCTGAGAATCAACGAGAGGCCTGCTCCCAGCTGGATTCCTTTTACTACAGGCAGAGGCACTACTCGAACAACCCATCGCAAGAGGCCCGTGGCACTCATAACGAGTACAGCGGCTCCAACCAACTGGCCAGCGGCCGTGACAACCCCTATCGGAGAGCCATCCTGGATTGCTGCAGAGGCGATGGCCTGTGCGAGAGGACAAGACATCAGTATAGTTCATAGACCACGCCGTAGAAACTACTCACCTTCATAGGCTGTACCGGCAAGGGTATTCCATATAATGCGCCAGTGAGAATATTAAACATGCCCGTAAACACAAGTGTGCTTCCTAGGTCGATTGAACCTTGTGCTGCGAGAGCGATCATGAGCGGTAGGAGAGTACCCAGGTCACCCAGCGACCCCGAGATCTCAGCCCATGGCGCCGTACGTAGAGTCGCGAAGTTGTTTCGGTTTACTCGGCGCAAGCTGTTTGACCAAGAGGGTGCCATTTTTGTTCACCCGAGTTGTTATAGGCAAGGAAGTGTCAAACAAAGTCCTCGACCATCAAATGGAAATAGAACTCGACAATAATGAAGGATGAGAAAAAGCCGCAGGGATCAGAGAGTCTGATGTGTCTACCATGATCTAATCCGCGGTGTCAACCTTTTGAGTTATGAAGTTCACGAGTGGGACACAGCTAAGTATCCAGAATATTTTATCTTCTGGGTACCATTGTGGTCAGCTGCTTGCTTGTCTTTGTGTTACCCGCTTGGATTCGTAAGGCAGCTATGTAAGCTGCTCACAGGGTCAAAATCCCCTAGCTCAAATGAATACAGGATTGATCGTATCATGGCTACCCTACACATCATATAAAGAGATATCTCTACGTGCACGCGAGGATACAAATATCCAAATAAAAAGTAATTTTCGCCAAAAATAAATACTCTATGCTAAGCCGGTAAAAGACATAACGAAGGTGAAATTGTTGCTGTCTGAAGTCAAGGATTTGGACATGTCCCAGGCAGAATACCATCCTCAGGAAACCTAGACAAGGATTAGATACATATAGGAGTTTGTAAGTCTTATTGAATAATAATTCAAAAGGACAAGCAAACAATACGGAGTGGCTGGTATACCTTGTTAATGTCGCGATTCACCACACCGGGAAATACCATGCGGGCAGGAGTCGCTGGTTTCTTCGTCACCCTCCCTAAACAAGTTGCCGATCTTCGACGGAGAGGCAGACCGCTTCCAGTATATCCCGGACAATACTTTGCATCGTGGAGACGGTTTTAGAAGGCCGTGGCCCAGGACTCACCGCGAAACTTAGTTGGATGGCTTATACAGCTGGTCACGCACCATATTTTCAGGGTTGTTCTCTGCTTGGCGTTGAGCATAGTTTCGTCCTGTGTGTCGCGAACTACTCGACTCTAGAGGATATATCAAATCTACCATAGTCTAAGACTATTAACCGACCAAGCCTACGCTGTCTGGTTTGTTCAGGTACAAACCGTTGACTTGTAGAATTCGCGCCTAGGTACCCCTAAGCCCGTTACCAATATCAGCTCTAGCTGCTGAAGATGAGGCTCAAGAGCTTGCGGGCCCAGCCATGCATGCACTGAGGTGCTGCTGTTATAAAATAGGTAACGACAGAGACACTGGAGGCTAGCAAGAGTTCCCAGTAGAAAGCAAGCAGGCAATCAGCACTTACAAGCGTAGATAAGTCCGAGATTCTCAACGAGGCTTTTCTTCAAGTGCGTGTACTTATTAGGTGCCTATGACCTCATTGAGAGCGGCTGTCGCGCTGGGGCCTGGGGACCTAACTCCCGGCGATAGCGAGGTGCCCAGGGCATCACGGCGACAAGTCGGCAACCAGGGGCGAGAGAAACCTTGCAAGCATTGCTGTTTTATCCCTCGTCTTCCGGGACTTCCAGGCGGGATTTAACTACAGCGAGAATGACTTTGTTACGCAGTAGGACTCAGGCCTAGGCTTCTGGCCGAGTATTTCAGCAAAGCCCAACTCCCCTGTCCATGAGATAGAGAGCTGATGTTCCTGGAGGAGGGTTTCAAGGCATGCAGGTGTACATAGTGTTCAGTGGTCAGCTATGGGATATCGACTCTCCACTTATCATACCAAGCCGGGAAGTATTCATGGGTAGATCCATGTCATGCAATTGCAATCCCATGATGAGTTCGGCATTGTGCTACACTACGGAGTACACAGACATCGAACTGTGGCATTTACTGGGTAATAAAGACGTGCCATGATGGTGGCCCTCTGGTGTTGACAACGTCTTTACTCGCAAGAGTTTTTGTCCGAGAATTTGTCGACTTTCTCACGCCGGAAACAAAGAATGCATGCTTCTTCCCGACATTGAACTGGGTCGATAAGGCTTGATTTGAGACTTGGTCACTGGATCCTTGTATGTCAGTGGAGGTCAAAGCAGGTCCTTGCACAGTGTCGCACGCAACTGTGGAGTTCGGGGAAAAGATGTGGAGAGTTCAAGTTTGCTTTAGTGGATTGATTTTCTTTTCGGATGGAACCTACGTAGTACGATTGAAGCTACGATTAAGAGTGAAATGGAAGATATTTGCAGAGCGGTGACTTCCCCGAGGCCGCTATCCGCTGTCAAACTTAGGCACATTGGCTCATATTGATGTCGGCCTTTGCGATCAAGACAATCAACAGGGACTGGGACGGGACATGTTTTAGGGAAACCCACGCTCAAACTGCGACCTTGACAAGGCTTCGATCAATCAAGCAACGGCCATACGCTAAGCTTTTGCGCAGCTATATGATTGGCTCTTTCAGGACTGCCAAGACATGATTGCTGATCCAAACCGATCCCGAGGCTCATCTCCCACCACGAATGTACATAATCAAATAGAGGTTGAGATTTGGAGGCTGAGAAAAACAACAACAAACACAAGGGAGAGAGAAGTACAGCAAGAAAGAGAGAGAGAGGAGCCCAAACTAATTTAGCAGGGACTGCTCAGGGACGATACGACAACAGAGACGTATTCATTTCAGGGCCCTTGCGCAATCTCTCTTGCATGATGTCTATCGGCGTCGTCCTACCAGCGAGAGGCCTGATGAGGTTGTCTCCGTTGTATCGGCTCCGTTACAGCCGCGCTGAATGCTTGGGAAGAGAAAATTCGCGCAGCTCGTCTTGTTACGAGGTAGCGAGGCAGAATGGAAGCCGTATCATATTGTATTTGCACTGTGATATTCTGCAGCTTGAGCTTCTTGCAGCAAGCATTCTGCATTCTGGCTGCTGGTATTCCTCGTGGGCCGTGGGACTATTGACGAAAGTGGTATAGGCCGTAAAGCTCGACAACATCCTCCACAAGGATGGGCATGGACAATCTCACCGCACCGTTCTCGAGTTGCCGTGTTCCGAGTTGCGCATTGGTCAAGCTCAAGGTACCGGTATTCCTCACTCTCTCTGTCTCTCAAATTCAATTTCTCCCGCGGCAAAACGGTACCGTTCGTCGTGTATCTCCGCTGGTACCTTGCACCAGGGCTAGGTAGCGCTGCTGTACAAGCAGAATTGACCAAGCATGTAAACATAAGCAAGTGGTATGGGCCTCGGGTCTTTGCAATTTGGTGACATTGAAGCTACCTCGGGATGAGGTCGCGCTGCAAAAATCTGATATCAATTTAGTGAGCGATTATTGTGAATACCTACCTACAGTCAATCAGACTTGTTCACTCAGGGTGCCTGGAATAATTATCCCTCGTCCTGCAAGAAGGAAGTTGCTGACTCAGGAACTGCATCACTTACACTCGTCATACCTTGTTTGCCATTTCCCAAAAGCTTTCCTCACAGTTTAGGTACCTAGGTAGGTAGATTATCTCGCTTGCGTTTTTTCTTTCTTCTCTCCATTGACTTCATCCCTCAAATCAACATCAATCTACGGATACCTACGATTGCTTCTCTCTCTCACGTTAAAACTCCCTTGTCTCGACCTCTCAGACACGGGCATAACGCCTGAATTCCAATTGACCAACCCTTGTCAGTGACAATTGCTCTGTTTTGTTTTGTTCCCCCCATCGCGTGAGTCCCACTTCGTCTCTCTGTCTGGTTGATCATTGCACTCTCCCCCTGGTCCCATTGACTGGAACATCATCAGCACTCTGAAATCCACTGGACTTTGTCCGGGGCAATCGGACGTCGCTTCTTTGGGGTTGTACAGTGCACAAAAAAGTCAAAAAAGCCTCAAGATCAGGTAAACCAAACCGATAGCTTCAGACCTGATCTGGAGGCTGGAGGTTGGCGCAAGCCCATGGTCTATGTTGCTCACACCACACTCGCTTGTTCAACTCACTCACTCACACGATGCGATGGATGGATGCTCACCCCCCCATATCCATACCTACCCTAACCACTAACGCTATGGGCTGTCCGGGACCCAAGCAACCACTGAAAGATACCCCTGCTCGCCCGCCTTAGCTGCTGTTGCCGGGGGCTTTGGACCCGTTTTATTTACAGAATGTTGTCACTCGGCTGGCCCCAGGCTGTTTTTCATCGGGTCGTGACGCTGTCTTCCCCACTCTTCTCGACTCTTAGGTGACTTTTGGTGTCTGATAGCTGATCAACAAAACCACAGCAAAGCCCGCCTTCGCGACAAGACTCACTTGCTGCTTCTTCATCACCCTTCAATTTCGCAAAAGGTAGGTCGCTGTCTTGCTCTTACCCCGTTTCTTCCCTCGCACGTCTTGTCCGCCTTGGAGCTCGTTATGCGCATCTATCATCACACCAATTCCTGTTCAATGGCCGTCGTCTCAATTCTGCTCTCGTCACGCCCATCGTCGCAATCCCAGCACAAATGCCGGCACTAGCGTTCGGCAGACTTCAATTGCAGCTTGCTGGGGAAGCGCTCGGAAAATCCCAATCGGTTCGCTTCAAGACGATTCAATTGAACGATGACAATGACACGGCTATGACTATGGAACTGGTGCGATAGCATCGCTTAATCTGCATGGACGGGCGAAAACGTTGCATGACCTCGTCTGTCTGCGACGGCTCTAGTCGCAACACGATCGACCATCAGAATTATCAGCTAACATGTCACCCCTAGCAATTTCTCCACTCCCGACATAATGGCCGCTATCAAGTCTCTCATGTCCCGCGACGAGGTCGTCCACCAGCTCGCCAAGCGCCAGAACTGGGCTGCCAAGGAGGCTGGTGTTGTCGTCGTCTTCTGCATCGTCGGTGTTGGTACGTCAAACCTTAAAGCACAGCCACCTATTCGCAGTAACGCATGCTAATACTATCCCTAGTTGCCATTGGCCTGCTGGCTCTCTTCCTTCACAAGAAGGCCACTGCTCGCAAGGCCAACAAGGCCTCCGCCGTCTAAGCCGAATCATGCGGATAAGGCCGAGGTTACAGGAGTGGAGGTGACCTGAGGGCATAGTCATGAGCGTCTTTGGACTATTCGCCTCAGGTAGATGTTGTGTTACGACAAGGTGCCTTCTGCAACACATTGGGTGACCGACTGTGGCCCCGTATTCCAGTTAATTTTTTACCGGTTTCGTCCCTCACCGATTCCTCGCTTGCCAATCGCCAACCGAACTTTCTACGGCCGGCGGAGTTGGCTCGCCATTCTTTGTACATACCTGCACACCCCCAGATCTCGTGGGACAAATGTGCTGGAGGACGGGTTCTCGTCGAGTGTTCGCGGCTAGGTGGCTGTATTCTATATTCTAATGCTACCGATACCTACCTGTTTGAAGCAATAATGAATGATCTTATATAACTCGATTATGACTTTCACTGACGCCGCCTCCCATGATCTTGATGCAGTTTGTGAAGCAATCTTTTCTAGTTATGTTCCACTCATCTACATCAAACACCACAAATCTATCTCACAAGCTTGGGGTCTAAATATGCTATAGTACAAAACTCAATCATAAGTAGGGTATACGTATATCAATAACCTTCCTTGGCCAACATATCTGCTATATCAAGATAGAACGCGATGGCATTGAAATTCTTTTTTATGCCCATCCACTCCCGCACCGTCCATCCCACGCGATTAGACCAGTTGATAAGATCCAAGTGGCTCACTCCGACCAACGTGCCTTTGTATGTACCCCAGTGACTGCTCTCCACGCTGACGAGCCCATCATTGGGTCCTTCTGCTTGTGTCATGACAGCATGCGGATGCCGAAACGGACTCAACAGCGCTGGCTGCTCTACTGCTGCTCCGTAGGAAAAGTATCGCACATCAGGCCGGTCTGGCGTGCTCGGGTTGAACTCCTCGGCCATATAACGTCTTGTCAGTTGCGAAAAGGCCGCTGTACCGAGGCCGGCTTTCTCAAAGGTTTGATATAGTCGGGGCAGATATTGATGCAGCGGTGAGACCTCTTCGTCCAGAAGGTAATCAGCAAAGGCACTTCCGCGGTGCGGCGTGGCAACTGTCACGAGGGCTGCAACCCGGACCGGAAGAGGCTCGAGGTGGGATAGCATGTACCGGGCGTCGAGACCGCCCATGCTGTGAGCGACGATGGTGAAGGCTTCGGGGGCAGGGCTTTGGGCTTCGAGGGCGGAACGGAGGGCGGCTGCGCGATCGGCAATGGAGGAGGAGGGGGGCACGGTGGGAGTCAAGACGGTGGCGCCCTGTGCAGTGAGGGCATCGCGAATGCCGTGCCAGTATTCGACGGCCGGGAAGTAGGGGGAGAGGCGTAGTTCAGCGAAGCCAAAGAGGCCATGGGCGAGGACGATGGGGTATTTGGGAGTATCTGTCACAGAATAGAATTAGCAGGATATTCCTTGAGATAGTAATTGAATCACCTAGGACTAACCGTATTTCTCTCGTATCAAGGCATAGTCATCAGATATTTCCCTGTCCAATGCCTTTATTCTCGGGTCATGTTCACGATGAAGGAAGCTGCTGCAAGTAAAGTTCCGACGTGGGACGTGATGCCATTGCGCACGGCACGTATGCCTAGCCAGAGGGAAAGCAGGCGCTTTGCGCCATATTGTCGATCTGTTCATGGAACCTCGAGTTGTATGGATGCAATTTGCGATTGAGGGCTGTGGTTGTAGAATGTCGCAGCGTGGGATGAAGTCCGAGATCGGTGACGTCACGGTTCGCGTGCATACGATTTGTTGGACTTGATTATCGAAGGAATGTTACCATCATACAAAGCAAAGCAATTCACACATAGTGAGCACATATGAGTCTGTAAGCAAGATTCTTATGGCAGTTAATTTGGGAGTTTTTGATGATAATGATACAATACAAAGTTTTTAATATATGATCTTGTATAAGGCATAAGTTGTGAAGCATGTGAAATTCAGGATCAAGGCGATGACGAAATCAGGTAAAATTTAGGGGAAGCTTCAAATGGTTGTATGGTGAGCAGGCGGTTCAAATCTGTACCCATTCGACATATACTGGATCTATAACATTTGCCCTGACTATTGTTGAAACTGATAACTTTAAGATTATGGAGTAACACCATCACATCTAAGTCTGGGTCTAAGATGAGGATGCGCCAACTCCCAACAAGTGGCTTCTCCTCTCAAAAAGCTAAAGCTCATAGCATAAGGCTGCTAAGTTGATAATAATCTTGGGATATTCGATTAAACAAAGCGTTGATCGCATCGAGCTGGGTATGAAAACATGTTTCTAACTGCAGACTTCCTCCCCTTTTGCTCTCACCAGTGTCTCTTAACGCCCGTCATTATCATTGGCACATTAAATTTTCCAAAACAACTCATCCTTTGAAGCATTTCAATTCTTCTCAGAGGGCATTTGACTCGGCGCATTTTCGTTTGTGACACCACTATAGGCGGGCCGGGACTGCATTCCGTCAAATGGGCCAGCCAGGTTTTCGGCAACGGCCTCGTCATAACTGGGTGGTGCATCATCGTATGGAGGAGCGTCTTGACCCGCAGCCAGTTGTGGTGGGTAGAGGGGGTCGTGAGCCGGCTGCGCAGGGGCTTGGTCAAAGGTTTGAGGAGGCCGTTGTGGTTGCTGCTGTTGAGGTGATGTTGTGACTGAGTTTTGTCTTGGTGGAAGACGAGGAGGAACATTATTCGTAAAGGTTGCTCGTCCAGGCCGTGTTGACGTCGAGGCTTCAAGGAGTTCAGGGGGTGGTGTGATACCAGAGTAAACCTCTACTTGCGCAAACCGTAGTGGTAGAAGAATCACCGGCGGACTCTTGGTGGAGGTGAGACCCTTCTTGGGTTGACCCCAGGCCAGGCCAACCGTTATTTCAAGCTCGTATTTCCTGGAGAGATTGCAGGTGACGAATGATGGTGCCACAGTATTGGGAAGAGACATGTTTTTCCACACATGGTCTGGAATCACCAACTCTTTCCCGACTTCATCAGTGGGACCTGTAGTCAATGGAATATTGAGATTGGGATTGGAAACAACAACCCATCTGTTGATTTTTTGGTTATGAAGCTCAAGTGCACGAACGTCAGTACGACCAATCAGTTCCATCTGGAATGATACCAAATAGACCTGTTCGGGATTGTTGTTGAGCTTCTTGGCGATAAGCCGTAGGGGAATAGGCTTGTTACATGTCAATATACTGGGGTGTGGTAGGCGTGCTGATATTTCGATGGCTGGAGCTGGAGCAACATCTGCAGATGCTTCTAATGTAGCAGCAGACTTGGAATCCGAGCTACTGCCGAAGTTGAAAAGAGAAGAACGCTTCTTCTCTGGTTGAGGAGACTGCGGTCGAAATGTAAAGGGGCGACGAGCAAAAGCCTCCTGACTTGTTGGCTTCGGCCGTGGTGGCTCGATGGGCAGAAATTTGAGCCCAATCTGGTATCGCCAGTTCTCCTTGAGTAATCCCGGCCGTTGAATTGTGACCTTGATGTAGTAGCGAATCTCTGCCTCCATAGGATATCCCGTCAACGAAGGAGGTAGCGTGCGGGTGGCATGACGAAGGTAGAGCTGCTTGCTGCCATCCATGACCCTGACACCACCAATACCGAACATCCCTCCGCCCCCGAATCCACCAACGTTGGCCATTCCACCGATCTTCGACATTGCCATTGGATCGCTGCAGGCATTGTTGATGGGGAGCTTGAACTTGAAGGGGAATTCGTGCTCTCCAGCTTGCAGCGGGTATGCACCGTATGGGTTGGATGAGCTAGCATAATAATCGTCAGGGAAGACCTGCTGCAATTTGTACAGGATCTTGTGGTTCTCAGTTGCCGGGCTGCCTGGAGGTCGTTGGGGGCCGGTTTGAAGCCTAGCCATGTGCTGTGGATCGAAGGCATTGGGAGCTTGCAAAGCTGTTTTTGACTCTCCTTCGAGCTTGACAACGATGCTTCCAATCTGTTCAGGGCGGCTGATACCAAGAATGATTCGACCTTGGATGAAATCGATATTGGTGTAGAACTCGGGCTGGTTGTCCAGCGCTATACGAATAGACATGATGGGCGATGAGGAGAAGTAAACAAAACAGAAAAGATCAGATGTGTGACGCGATTGTTAGATTCAAGACTCCTTTGAGCTTAACGGTCCAATAATGTCGTAGTTAGGTTGTTGATAGGTGATATGAGTTCGACGTGATATGACTCTAGTGAGCCAGCGAGAATCCAGGGAAAGACTTTCTAGAGCAGTGATTTGCAATTTGACGTGCAATTTTTCAAAGCTCCAACGAGCTGTCAATCTTGCATTGCTTGTATATGAACCACTTGACGATATCAAAAAGACGGATGCGCGGGCAAGTTTGACTAGGTCGGTTGTACGTCACCAAGGCTACTCAGCCTGAGCCAAGCCCCGCGATAGGCCTCACCGCACCTGACGTCCATTACCTTGACCTGAACCTACAGGAGGGGTGAATGTGGCTACAAGCTCATGGCTGTGGCGTTGCAGTCTAACGTGGCTGGTACAGCCGGAGCTCGTAGCGCCGTGCCTCCGATCTTGGGTTTACCTGGAACTGTGGAAAATCGAGATACTTGACTTGGCCCTGGAGTTCACCAAGGCTAATCTGGCAAAAGTCCCTCAAGCAGGGGTTGGCTGTCTTCGTCGTCGTCGCCAACAGCGGAACTTTCACGCGATCACGTTTACCCACTGTGCCGTGAAGAGGACAAAGTTGTTTGGTTGACAAGGTTCGAGTACTCTACAGGAAACTTGGGTGTCACCAACAGAACATCCACGCCCAGGGTGCTTTGCGATGCAGAAGATGCAGAAGATGCAGAAGATGCATGAAGAAGTGTTGGTGATAGCGAGTTTATGGGCATCACCTGCTTGATCCAGCGTTGAAGCCTGTCGCAATCCCCACTTCAACAGTCAACGAAATCACAGACAACACAATCGATTGACCAATCCGTCACATACCAAAGCTTGGGGGTGGATACAAACCGCAATACCTACACACATATCGGCAATGTGCCTTTCATCAGGGCAGTAAAGACTCTGGATCGACATTTGCCATACCATCTCCCGAGGCTATTGCAACGGTCTGCCACATCTGGCACGAGGTGTGCTGCATCTCGAACCAACTGCATGTTCAGGGTCCTTCTGTTCAATTTGAGTTCTCCCGAGGTTGACAAGATTTCCGCTGGAGGTTGGCGAGCTAGGGTTGGTCGACATTGTTCACAGCAGCGCTTCACATGTATTTCACAAGCCCTGTATCCATATCCTGGAACAGCTCTGCGACCTCGCAGATTCGAATTTGATAACTGATCATGACATGATCCATCATAGCAAGCCTCGAGTCACATATCTCTAGATACCTGCAGACGTTTGGTTGTCAACTCCCGATCCACCACTGGCGCGTTAGCAGAGCTTGCGCGGAATGACACGATGCGGGCCGTTTGCCGCCCAAGACCATGTAGGTCCCATTTCGCGCCCGTTGACCAACCACATCAGACTTTGGCCGCTTTGGTAGGCCTTCCTGGCCTTGTACCGCTCGCCCGCTGCGTCTGTGCCGTGCGGGCTGCCGCCGTTTCCCCGCCTTGATCCCCTCATGATTGGCAGATTTAGCCCCGTCCAAGCCAGCGCAATGACAAGAGATTGTCTCTTGCAGGCAGAGATTGCCATGATCCTGGATATGCAACCTTGTCAGGCTCCGGATAAGTGTCATTTTTTGCTTTGCTTGTCATGTTTGAAGTTGCATGGATAGTTATCTGCAGCTTTCCTGGTCGAAACCACTTTACAAATGCTATCACACTGCCTGGCCCACGACTACAAACAAGGATAGCGACCAACAACGAAATGCTCTTGGACGATTTCTTGCCTTTCCGGTCTGGCACTCTGGCACTTTGTCAAGTGTTGGGATCCAGTGCAGGCTTGTGCTCTCGAGCGTCGTCGATCATGTCCACAATTGATCGTTCTCGTTAAATCATGTTGTCGTGCTTTCTAGCTGACGGCAGTTGTTCTTACACCCCATTGGGCGAACCCGTAGGACTGTCCAGTAAAGGCTGAATTCCGTCTCACCCGTTGAGACTTTGTCTGGTTGTCTAGCCTGTCTTTACTGTTGCACTGCATCCATGGCCCTCCCAACCGTGATCCTCTCTCTGCAGCGCCCCACGGGTACAGAGCCTCACATGCAGGGCTCCGCCCACAGAGCATCAGGTAGATAGGCAGAGTTGACCTGTCTACCTGTCTATATGTAGGGGGCCAAGCCACCCCGTCTAATTCTCCGAGTCCCTCTCTGTTCTTGACTTGGTTGTCAGCCTGTCATGATAATTTGCCAGCCCTTGCTGGTCGACACCCGACAATGACCAGTGACTGCGGATCGACCTGTCCAGCCTCTGATGGCTTCTACTCATATAATCCGAGTGTAGGTGGCAACGCCGTGTTGCTCACTGTTTTTGCTCTGCTTGCTCTCGTTGCGATATACTTTGGTGTTCGATCTAGAACCTACCTCTTCTCCCTCGCCCTGACAGCCGGTATCTTCTTTGAAGTGCTAGGTTTTGTTGGCCGAATCCTGCTGCACTCGAAGCGGGATGATCAGGGACATTTCTTTCTCTCCCTCTTGGGAACGGTCCTAGGGCCATCTCTAATTAGTGTCGCCATCTTCATCATCCTTCCTCATATCCTGGGCATCTACGGAGAGCCAATCTGTCCATTTAGACCACTCGTTGCCGGTCTAATCTTCTGGGGAATCGGTGCACTTACAATAATACTCGAGCTGATTGGTATCATCTTCACAGCTTACGAGACCAATGGGGTCAGCGTATGTTATCCGGGAATATCTGAGAAGGGGTGTCACGTACTAAACTCAAATAGCGAAAGCAGGGAGCGGCAATTGCAGCAACAGGTTTGGCCATACAAGCTCTATCATTGATAGCATGCACTGGTCTACACTTTTGGTTCACTCTCAGCTTGAGCACTCGCCGAGGAACACTCGATGCTAGACACTCGCAGGTCTACTCATCTTCCCAATTCAAGAAATTCCTCATGGGTACGAATACCTTGCCTCACTATGGACCTCTCCAACTAACATGGGATTTAGCTATGGAGATGGCATCTGCCCTCCTGATTGTCTACTCGTTCTACCGACTTGTCGAATTCGCAGATGGTGTCTCAGGAGATGTCTTCCAGAACCAGGCAGCCTTTATGGTTATTGGAGGAGTGTTGCCCTTCTTAGCCGCGGCCCTTTTGACGTTTGTTCATCCCGGAAACGCCTTTGCTGAGGCCTGGGCCCCGACATCACCACGCGGGATCAAACGGCAGAGTCGGCCGGGCCCTGTTCAGTCTCCCACCCCTAGCGGACACCCTGTTCATCACATGTACGACCCCGATATCCGCAAGCAGATCTCACCAACCACGCCAAAACATCTCCGGAACTCGACCGGACCACCTGAGCTTCCCGATGGCTCTCTGGGTCTTCCGGCGCATCCCAAGCCTGCACCCAAGCCCCCAAGTCCTCGGGACCCTGATGCTCCTCGAAAGGGACCACCCGCACCGTTGAATCTTTCCGCAGTCCGAGCGTCGCGGAATAGTGTCAGGCAAGGACAAAGGGGTCAAGCACCCAAGGATATGGTCCCTGATGGAGAATTGTGGTGAGGGGGTTGGCAATGTAGTGAGGATAGGCGTGGGCAGCCAGGTTTTTATATGTGGAATTTTGTGTGTGATTGCAAGGAGCGCTGCTGGCTGGCTTGCTCACTGTTATATGACATATCGTATCTAGGTTGGCCTCCCACTCGCCCGTGGTGAGAAGAGAACAGGCCGCGGTGTGTGGTATCTTGCGTGCTATTAGACGCTGAGAGTTACTGGAGGTCTCTTATTGAGAAGTGTGGGAGGCTGTAGAGTTGCTCGGGTTTGTTTGACTTGTTGGGTGGCAATTTCGAATTTTATATACCTAGTTATGCGGTACGTTGGGCAATGATCGGATATTTATGTTAATACTGATCTCTCAGCTTAGTTGGTTTAGCAAGTCATTGTAAGTGGAAAGATGGCCACAGGTGCCAATACTTTACTACATGAACCGTGATAGGACTTAGTTCTATTCCAATAATTCTTCTTGGATGACGTCTTGAAATATGTTATGCATCAACAAATGGCACCACAGAATTACAGTAAGCTCTGGGTACTCCCAGTCTATAGGTTTCTGTTTATTTACTACACTTACCGTACAGTCACTTATTTTCAGACCGTGATGTGTGATTTTGACAAATAGTTCGAGACACGAATAGAACTGCCACCGACCTTAATTCCACAGGGCTGGTTCTAATCGCCTGTCAGAAGGGGTATAACAAACCTAGATCCTCCATACCAGAGCATTCCATCCAATAACGTGGCCGTCTGATGGAATGCAGGGATTCGCACTAAGACATATGTAAGGGACAAAGGCATTCTTCTACTAGTTAGCGCCTTGCCAGGAACGGGAGAAGCAAGGCTAGATAGACCGGATCTGGTGCTACTTGAGGTAGGTTTTACGCTGTCTATAGGTACGATGTGTTGGGATTGGTTTGGTGGGTTGGTTGGCAAACGTTGATGTAATTGCTTTCCGCAATGTACATAGTAAAAGCTGGAAGTCGAGAGTATGGAGAGTTATTTCATGACTCTTTGCTGCTACATGCCACTGCACTTTTTGATGGACCAGATTTATATGATAAGCCCCTAGTCTAACATCTATATATAATACCATCAACCTATGCAGTAAGGGTAAAGACTCCAGTGCAGGCTGACTTCCTTTATTCCACGCGAGAGGGTCTAGATATAAGCTTGTTACAAGTGCGACTAAGAAAGAGGAACTTCGTGTAACCTAGCAACGAACGAGTCTTTAGCTAGAACGCCACAAGATCAAATCATCTAAACTGACTTTCAAGCGACTGGAGGGCTTGTAATGATCAATAGCACTTAGCCATGTCCGGCCAAGATGACCCATCCTTCCACCAACGTGTGTATGCCTTGAGTTATTGTGGTAACCATGCTAATAGACGGCAATGTGGCATTGTAGACCTGTCCAGAAGCCCCAGTGCCGTGGATTGTGATGTACTCTCAAGTACGGAGTAATTCCCCCGACATCAAGATTTCCTCTTTTCCTCTAGAGTTCCGCAGTGAATGCTCAAATACTTATATCAGTAGTCTGTTGACGGCTTGTATCAATCACTAATGTATTGCTCACTTGCACGACTATCGGATATCATCAATCGTAAACTCGGCAGAGGCCGTCCCTCCGAGTGCGACGACGAGAAGCCTCGAGCTATATCTATCACGACCACGATTACCATCACAACATCAGCGACAGAATCTATCAGATAGTGAAGAGGCATAAGATATGGTGGTCCTGCCGAGGGCCGGGTTCGACCCCAAGAGTAGTGATGGTCAACCCATTTTCAACCTTAACGTTGCGCTCATAGTCATCACTTCGGCTTTGATGATTGTGAGATTATATGTTCGTGGCATCATGACTAGGAGTCTCGGATGGGATGATTTATTGGCTGTTTTTGCTTGGGTGAGTTTTTTGTTACTCATGAGCCTGTGTCTCATCAGTCTCAGGTTAAACTAACTTCTTGTCAGGGATTTGTTGTATGTTTCTCTTATCTAGAGATTGTTCTTGTGGCGAGTGGCGTTGGGTCACACATGGAAGATGTGCCTAAAGAGACATTGTCTCGAATGTTCTCAGTAGGTTCCAGAGTAAAGCACCTCGACAACATTCTTGTAATACTGACACTATCCGCTATAGTTGTTTCCCATTGATAAATTGGTATTTTTACTGTCTGGCGGGGTTGTTCGACTCTCGATCCTCGCTTTTCTTGCCCGTGTTAAGAAAGACAGTGAGAGCACCGCCCATACAGTTGCTATTTCCAATTGCTAATCTGAATGGATAGAGGTCTTTACGATATGTATATATGGAGCTTCTACAGCGACCATCATTGTTGCGCTGGCTTCATTCTTTTTTGCCCTCTTCTCATGTACTCCAGTGTCGTAAGTTGAGTTAAATCTCTTTATAACTTCTGGTTTGACTTGAATATTGATTCATACACAGGGATGTCTTTGATGCGTCGAAACCAGACAGACAATGCGTTTCTAATTTCAGCATAGGGCGCGTGAGATGGGCTCACGCGATTCTCGCAAGCAGTCTCAACATTGCAATATTGGGGCTCAGTGTATGGGTTTCAAGAACGATCAACATAACACAAGGAAAGACGGTTAAATTGACGTTGGTCTTTGCAGTTGGGGTGTTTGCCGTGGTCGCGACGATTACGAGACTCATATTCTTACTTACCAACGGTTCTTATACTACCGACTTGTAAGTTCCAACAGAACATACACACACACACACACGGATCAGAATGATGAGAGCTAATAGATCCCTCGACAGGACGTACAAGATGGTTCGCATAGCACCTTGGTTCCCTCTAGAAGTCCACGCCGGACTTTGGTGTGTTTGCTTGGCCACTTTCCACCCTTTGTTGGAATGGGACGATACGCATCGCTACGATCAATACAGTATGAGGAAATTTTCGCGAAGCAGCGGCCACGATCCTACCGAAGACGTCTGGTACAGGGATTATATGACAGCGAACCCTCAAGTTTCAATCAATGGTCCATCGCGAGAGCGAGAGCCGAAGGGGAAAAGGTCTGCTTCGGATGCTAGTTCAACTAATGGGATCATTATGTTGGATAATGAAAGAGGTATCAAGATGACGACTGAGTTCTCGGTTCATGTGGAAGACAGAGCCAATACTGAGGAGGGACTGCAGGATAGAGTATCAAGAACGCCGGCATGGAGCGCATTATAGTATAGACATGGATATGTAGTTAGGTCTGTCTGGGTATTCTATTCGTTGCTTTTGCGCAGAAAATGTCCTTTGTTTGCTGTAAAGTATCACTATCGTTGGAAGACTAAGAATAGCTCAATGGAGGAGAGGAATAATTATCTTGTCTAGTTGCGACATGATTGTATTGATAATGTGGAACACAGACCAGGTCATACCCGATTTCTTTTCTTTGTTCAATCCCCAAGGGCGTTGAACCATCAGACAAAGACAAAGGTTCGAGTCCACGATACTCGACAACATACGAGGGAGAAATAAAACAAATTAATAACACTTAGCTACATGGGAAGAGGGGAAAAGGGAAGCGATGACAAAAAACGTAACCCAAGATAACGAGGGCACATATCATTTTAACTATATCCCTTTCTCTTACAATAACCATCTATATAAGCCAGCTCTCAACAACTTTGGCGGAAAACCCAAGAGAGTTGAAATGGTGTGTAAGTTGAAAGAAAACGGAGACACCAATCAAAGACAATCCAATCTCAAAGAAGTCGAGTGTCTGAGCTCACAATGGCTTATAGACTGTTCTCGATTTAATTCTCTCTTTGTTAGCCATAGCCCTCGAGGACATGGTGGTTGCAACACGGTCACCTTTATCACACAAAGCATACCAATGTCCAAAGAAATCGTCCTCAACATGACTTTTAAACTCCTCGAAGCCCTCGATTAATTCTCGGGAACCCTTTCTGAGATACCGCACTACAGCTGAATTGTTACAACTTTTCGAAACTCGACTCTCAATCCGACCAAAATGTCCGAAGACACCAACTCAAAGGTCAAACATGACCCTCAGGACAACAAACAAACGGGTTCTGTACATGAGACATCTTCCGAAGGTTCTGGATCAGAGTCGCGCGAAGCAAAAACGCCTTCTTCAGAAAAGGAAGATAAAGATGTCACAAGCGAGACTGAGCCTGAGCCTGAGCCTGAGCCTGAGACTAAGACTGAGACCGAAATGAACAGGCCGCCCCTCGTCGATGACAGTCAGACTGGGGAGGAAGAGGAAGAGGAGGGATCAGAGTTGGACCCGACAGCACACGAAAAGGATCAAGAACAACGACTGAGTTCTGAACCTACTCATGAGATGTATCTCGATTACCGGAAAGCCCGCTTGGAGTATAACCAGAAGTGGTGGGGAGAGCAGCACCTAGAACCTCCCTTGAACCACCCGGACCGTCAACTGATGTGGTCTCGGAACGATCCAATTTCCGACGAGGAATTCAAGGATGCAGTAAAAGGATACAATGACCACATCAGCAACCCTGAGACAGGAAAAGCCGACCCACTCGGAGTTCATCTTCGGTCCAGTACTCCTCCGATGGAGAGGGCGAGAAAGCAAATCAAACGTCTGAAGGATGATGGACAAGACGTTCCTACTGCATTGGTTAAGGAGATCTTTCACCATTATACCTTGAACAGCGGGACTTTTCCTGCTCTCATGGAGTGGTCCAGGGACGAGAAGACCATTCCCGTTGAGCTCGCCAATGAGTTCGTCAAGATGATAGATCGACTTAAACTCGAGATGGCCAGTCAACTCCGCGATGTGAACAAGAAACTGGACGATGCCAACAAGGAGAAAGGTGAAGCAAAAAAGCTTAACGACACGCAGGAGAAGTTTCTCGAGTCAAGAGATCTTGAAGTGGCCAGACTCGAAAAAGAGCTTCGAGGTGGGGAGGGAATTTCTCATACAAGGAGGAAAAGTGATGTAGAGAACCAGAGCAAAGGCTCTCAGGCTCCATTACTTCTCGAGATTGGCCAGCTTCGCTACAAGAACTCCCAAACTGTGAAGGAAAGCTCCGAAAAAGAGCTTGAATACAAGAAAGAAATTGCAGTTCTCGAGGAACAGCTACACATGGCTGAAGTGGAGACTGTAATTCTCAAAGCAAGGCTAGATAGTGGTAAGTATGCTTCATCAACTGTTCTTGATAACGGCATTGACGCAAAAGCAGAAAGCCAGGCCGCGGACAATGAGCTCTCAGAACAAGTAGAGTTTCTTAAGAGCCAAGTTGAAGTAGGCCAGAGGTGCCACGAAAAGGCCGAGAAGGATTGCGAAACACACCAAGAAGAGTGCAAAATAGAACGACAAGGCCGCGAGGAACTGAAACAAGAGGTCGACAAGTACAAGCATTTCCACCAAGAGATTTACAAGCAACTAGACAAACACGCCAGAACTTGGGCCAGAGCTTGGGAATCAGCTAACAAAGAAACTGTCGGCTCAGTCCTAAACGAGGACAAAGAGGCACTGGAGCCGGCCCTTCTGATGATTCGAGAAGCCTCCAAGCATTGGGAACAGCTGAAGAAGAACTATGAGACAGACTGGCCGCCTAACAAGGAGTCTATGGACAGAGGAAAGCTCGGTAGAGACTGGATCGTGTTGATAGCATTGAAAATCTCGGCAGACGAGCTGGAAGCTAGTAAGTCACACCATCTCGCAGGTGTAATTCACAAGGGGTCATATTAACCGGTGTCTAGATATTGAGCGGAACTTTCAACTGCGGGATCGCCTCAACCAGCAGCTAAAAGACAACGAAAATGAAAAGGCTGAGCTGGAAAAGGCTCAGAAGGCACCGGTGCAAGACAGGCCCCCAAAAGAGGAGTTTAGCGAGTATTATGAGGTGCCACCGCTCACGGGCTTCCAAATACCACGAACTCCAGTGGCTGTTGGAGGAAATTCACTTGATCAAGGTATACTATCACCAGCTTCGACCAAGGGATGGCTGGATGTCGAGATCAAAAGACTGGAGCAGATGAAATTCAGCCTTGACAAGACCATCGCGGAAAAAGACGAGAAAATGAAGCAACTGGAACGCGATATTAACGACAAGGGGGGTCCTCAAGCTGAGGTCATGACATTACAAGACCAGAACTCAACACTTGCTAAGGACATACTCGACAAGAACAATGAAATAAATTCGCTCAAAAGAGAACTCCAAGCATGCAGAGATGCTGAAGAAGCCAACAACAAGCCAGAGAGATCTGTGAAGAAGGAAGAAAAGAGCCCCAGGTCGGACAAGGAGACAACCGAAGAGCTTGAAGCACGGCTGAAAACACAAGACGAAGAGATTAAAACGTCCAACAATCTCAAGGAACAACTGCACGAGCTCAGAGAGAGGATCTCAACTCTTGAGAGCGAAGTCATCATCAACCAGGATGCCGTGACTACCATGGAGAAAGTCAACTACACCACGGCCGACACCTTGGTCCACGCTGTTGGAATCCGCCCTGATGGTTCCAACAGCATAGATAAGTTGAGCCTCATGGACCGCATCAACTATCTCAACCTTCTCTGCTTCTTCCGCACTCGCAATTACATCCAGTTGGCTCTACGCCAGGGTGCCAACACCTTGGCAAATATCATGCTGACCGATGCTATGAATTGGGTTGAATTCTGCAACGAAGATTTCAAAAGGATGGATCCAAGCGTCAGCGGCCAGATCAACGCCTCGATGCGTATCCTCCACGGCGTTAGGAGGATCTTTACTGCCAAGGACCAAGAAAACCTAGATAGAGGTCGAAGACACGTCAGTGCCGGGCACATAAAGCTCGAAAAGTTCGAGCACAGCGTTGCTTTCGAGCAGTTTATGAAACTAGCTGAAGCTATTATCAAAACTACTCAGGACACAGACGGCAATCCGCTGTACGGACGAACTCTTCGGTTCAGGGCTCATACAGGCCTTCGACTAGAGAGGAGGATGAATATGGAGAAGGCGCGAAAGGTGCTCAAAAGGGATGATGCTATGAAGGCTGGGGCCTTACGCACTGGCTTTCATTCTCCTTTGTCGCCCGAGAATTGGAGAGACGATCCTGATGCGGGCTTTGAATCGGAAGAGACGAGTGTGTAAGATTCGTTGAGTTGACTACGCAGAGAGAGATATGTTCGAGATATGGCTGGGTAGTGGTATAAGCTTAGAGTTGGTGTTCTGGTTATGTCTTTTCTCGTAAGAGTTTGATTTCTTTTGTTACTCTAATTCTATCTTTTATATAGCTCTTCAATGTTTCAGATATAGTATCGTTTATCCAAAGTTGGTGTCTGCTTTCTATATATCTCTTGCTCGCATTCATTAAGGTGCGCTATAACCTCCGTCGATAACAAAATTGGCCCCAGTAGCATATGTAGAAGCATCCGATGCCAGGAATAAGTAAGCACCCTGGAGTTCATGGGGCTCACCCTCACGACTATCACTTGTCAGCACCATGTTTTACACAAGAGGCCACTGCCAACTTACCCCAGAGGTATCTTGTCCTTCCAAATATCCTTAGTCTCCTGTGGTACAAAATTGGAGATTTCTGTGATGATATAACCAGGAGAGATGGCGTTCGCGCGAGCAAATCTAGCCCACTCGACAGCCAGGCTCTTGATTAGATGGATAACGCCGGCTTTGGCGGCGTTATAAGCAGCCTGGAGCTGAGGGGTATTGACGATACTACCGCTCATGGAAGCAGTGGCGATGAAACTGCCAGATGTGTAGTTGGTCAAAGGCTGGCCGTCAAGATTAGTGCCTTCGTTCTTCTGACGACGCCAGTGCTTGGCTGCTGCTTTGGCGCAATAGTAAGTACCGTCGAGGTTAGTCTGAACCACGTCACGATAGTGGTCGATAGGGCCATCGATCATAGGGCCCTTGGTCCAAGGAATACCAGCGTTGGCAACAAAGATGTCCAAACGGCCGCCGAGGTCCTTGACGGATTGGTCGACTGCTTTCTCGACCGCATCAGGATCTCGCATATCGACTTGATAAGCCTTGACTAGGAGGGACGTGTTAGAATCAACTGTTTATCGAACGAAGAACCATAGGGATATTCACCAGTAACATTGTACTTCTTGGCTAGTTCCTCAGCGCGTTCGTGAGCCTTGTTGCTGGTGCGGTACCAGAGAGCAATGTCGGCACCGGTTTCGGCGTAGGCCTCGGCGATAGAAAAGCCAATACCGGCGGCGGCACCGGTAACGATGGCAGTCTTTCCTTGGAGGGAGAAACGCTTCAGAATGGAGCCGCCATCGACCAGACGGTTGTTGTCGTGGACGAAGTTGCCTCCGTTGAGAGGGTTGAGATCAGACATTTTGAAGATTGTGTCTAAGAACTTCAAAGGAGGATCCGAGGATAATAGGGTGCGAGAAGAGTGAAAATAGAAATAGCTGTCGAAGAATATACCTCGTAATGGCTCAGAATATGCACTTCTTTATACTCCATGATAAGTAGACACTCCCCGGTCAAACTGATTCCGCAGCAGAAAGCCTCACCCAAATGCCCCTCTGTCTGCCACTAATTAGTTATTCGTGTTTGGTGAGTGCATCCCAATGATAAGGATCGTTATTCTCAATTGAGGTATTCCGGGAGCATGAACCTGATAACCAACTCCGGGCCATCACCGCTTCTTCCCATAGACGACTTGGCCATGTCTCTGTCTCCATCGTGGAGTCGTCGGAACTACCCAAAGAAGATATTGCGAAGCAAAACAGGCTAGCGGTTCAAGGCAAAATGGGTACCTTGAAGTGTTGTTTACTGTGGTTGTATGGAAGAAGTAAAGGTCAGTGGAGACATGTCCGGCTTCTTGGAGGAGACAGAAGTCGTTGGGCCCATGCTATTGAGTCTCTCATTGGTCTACACCCCTGCAATTGTTGAAGTGAGGCCATAGGACCACTTCATTAGGTTCATAAGACCCTTGAGCAATTAGCAACTCCTAGTGCATTCATTGGCTTACCCCGCAGAGGCCATTGACCCCTCAATTCAATTAGCAGCAGTTTAGGGATTGTTCTGGCTGGGGGAGACGCTCTCTATACACGATCTACCTGCAAATCTCAGTGCTAGAGACTTAAAGAAGTGTTATGTGTGTGCTTGGAATGCCTCAACAACCCAACTTGAATAGAACACCACTATATTCGCTAGAAGCCCCCCTGTCTGGCTCTTGCATCGACAATAATCAAAAGCTACTATCGTACTTGCCTTAATAACTTATCATGTTTTAGCGGGAATGAGTTGTCGACGTCACATGCCCCCGCTATCCACTCTCATGAGGGTAGGTACTGTCGTCGTGGTCGTGGGGGGTTCCTGCCTCTCCCAGCATCAATTGTCTCCTTGGAGTCGGTATACCTGAGGTATCAAGCTTCTGTGCATTGCCACTATTTGCTCCTGTCCTTGAACTGTGTATTGCCTAAAATCCATTCAATCAGGCCACAAATATTTCGTCCACAAACCACTTACAACTCAACTAGAAACAGGTACATCATTCGTCATGGCTGAACCAACATCTTCGTCAAAGTCCCATAGACCCTACAATTCCAAGCTTGGGATAGTCACAGGCGGCTCACGAGGTGTGTGTCTATACTCAAAGACAGGCTCTATCATTTCAGTGTCAACTAACCCAATCAAAGGTATCGGTGCAGCTGTTGCTGCGAGACTGGCCGCCAAAGGATGCAATCTTCTCCTTGTCTACACCTCAGACTCGTCAACAGAGCCGACCAAGAAGTTCTGTGAAGAGCTTTCATCTTCGCACAATGTTAAATGCGCCGCAGTCCAGGCCGACCTGGGCAGCCCATCTGAAGCGGCGCCTAAGATCATCGATGCAGCACAATCTTTCCATGCCTCGTTTAACTCAAACAGGCCATTCCAGATTGACATCTTGATCAACAATGCAGGAGTGTCCTCAAACCAGCATATGAATGATGCCAAGCACGGGGCCATCCAAGAAGTCGAGTTCCACCGCGTTTATAACGTCAATGTTCTAGCTCCCCTCCTCGTAACCCAAGTCGTTGCCCCTCATCTTCCCACAGACCGCTCAGGGCGCATCGTCAATGTTTCAAGCGTATCGTCGTCTATCGGATACCAAGGCCAATCCGTCTACGCCGGAAGTAAAGCAGCTATTGAGGCCATGACCCGGACTTGGAGCCGTGAGTTGGCTACTCGTGCTACCGTCAATGCTGTCAACCCTGGACCCGCCTGGGGCGATATGTATGCAACCGCCGGGCAAACTTTCTGGGATATCAACCAGCCTTATGTCGACACGGCCCCTTTGGCTCAGTACGACGGCGAAGCGGAAGTCTTGGCTATGGCAGGATCGGATGCTGGGCGCTTCGATAAGACGGTTCGTGAGTCAATGGGAAATCGACGTCCAGGGTTTACCACTGAGATCGCTGGCACAATCGATATGCTATGTTCGGAAGAAAGTGGATGGACAACGGGTAGTGTCATTTGTGCGAATGGCGGCATGAAGATGTCAATCGCTTAGAAGCTTCTGCTATACCAACAAGACAGTCTACTACCCCCACTCATGCCACACACTATCAGAGACATTGGTAAGACGACTGATACGGAGCTTCACTGCAATCGTGACATCCGAAACGGCTTCCTGCTTCATCATGTGAGAGCAGCATGGACGTCTGCCCACTAAAGATACCATGGTATCAATAAAGCACGAGTTTGAAAGTTTCACCGCCGCTATACCACTTTACATGAGAAACAGCAAGGAGAACTTGCATATACAATCGACCCGTGATTTTTATTTATTTATTTTTTAAAAGGAAAAAACTGTCACCCAAAGTGCAATCACATTCACCGAAGAGAGTATCGGACCTGAACAATAAGGCTATCCGCCTATTGTCTAACGGCCTTTCGACGGTTTCTGGCAACGCTGAGACGGTGGCGCTTTCTGACTGCAGCTTCTAGTCTATGGTGGCTATGTACAACCAATTGGACCATGCATCATGCCGAGTACCTTGAAACAAGGCTTCTGGACGATATCGGTTACCTCATCATGGAATCAAGAATCCGAATTCCACACCTAATGCCGTGTGACGCCGTTTAAAGATTCGACATATCTGTCAGCTCGACAAAACACATATGTGTCACACGGCCCTGTCGCATCTGGGGTAGAAGCCGACGATACACAGGAGCCATGCTACAAGATCGAGGTAATGTTGTTTGCGTGGTTTTGCTTGGCCAGTAAAGCGATTGGCAAATCAAAGATCTCAAATGTTAACACCAGCCGAGAAACAGAAATCCTCACTAGGCTAACCATACCCCATGGCAGAGCAACAGAGAACTTACGATCAGTCATTATCGCCTGTCCTTTCCTGGGATTTTGGACCGCTGAGATCCACGATGTTCTTCTCGGCCAAGACGTTGATGTAGTCGATAAATCTGGGTTCAACCGGAGATGTGGTTACATCAAGTCCTGGTCTAAGGTCTTTTTGTCTCGGCTCTCACAAGCCTGCGGAAACTCCACTTCGAACAGACCGATGACTTCAACCTGGGTATGTCAGCACATGGAGTTCAAGTAAACACCATGGTCTAATCTACCGGAAGGGGAGTCTTAAGTGTCTTTAAGTACAAATGTTGAAGAATTTTATTGTTCTCCTTATGTTTGAAAACTATCATCCGCCAACCCCCCGACAATGTCTGACTTAAGACTCTTGGTATCAAGCGGGTTTCATTGCAGAACTCATTTCGACCCGGCAAACTACTGCTTGACTAATGAATGTCCTTGCTGTTGGTCGTGACCTCAGTGATTAACGTTACCCTATGACCAGGGGTCGCTCGCTTTATCGCTGTCAGCCAACTCCGATGCCTTTATCGAGGCGGAAGCACAGTTTCAGCCTCGAACACTCTGAGCGAGGGCCGAAGTATGATAATTGACCAGAACTCGGAAGTGAATAAAGTTGTTTCTGCTGGACCTGTGTGCGATATCTATAGGGGATGTTGTGCCTCTCTTTAGACGTCATTAACCGACGATTCTGAGCTGTCTGCGCATACATGATTCATGCTCGTCGCCGGGGTTTTCAGGCACATTGCCACTTATTTTCAACACTCATACTTTGTTCACAGATCTCTAGCTCACATGCTCCCGTATACGGGTGTTCATAGCAGATTGTTCGGGCCATGACCATATCTGCAGCTGTGGCTCCATGCACGATATCTCTGCATTCATCAAATGCTCTCTTCATGCAATACCAGTCAACTTGTTTCAAACATTCCGACGGCTCTTCACATCAAAGTTATCGACGATGCCGATAATGGTGGTCTGACCTTCATACAATGAAACCCCTATCAGAGCCTCTTCCTGTGTATCGAGAGCTTGTCCTAAGGAAATATGGAATAGATAAAGAGAACAACCGCCATCGTACTCGAAGCACTTGCCAGATCACACTCACTCATGACCGTGTGACTTCGGAGATTGCCTCTCTGATACACTTATACATCCCTTGATATACTTCTTCCCACTTGCTGTGTTCTGTCCTACTTAGTACAAGCCACCAAGTCGACGGCAACGCTTGTTTCTTCCCTTCTCACTCTCTAGACTCAATTTCTCCTTCACTCTCTTCTTTACCACCTCCGAAATATTTTGCGCACCCGACTCTAAAACTCCTCTATCACTTCAATATTACCATGGCGGGCGACTCAGCACATGCGGACCCGGCATTTCTAGCCAAACTCGCCCTTCGTCAGCAGATGAATTACGATGCTATGACTTTCTTTGCTGGAGCCATGGGTGCATTCTACCTCACCATGTGCATTTTTGTCCTTCTCAGGCGGCTATGCGTTGATCTAGGCGCTTCCCGCAGGCCAACCATTATCACGGCGATCTTGCGGTAAGAAGTTGTTGCTCTTGTCTTGAGTGAAGGTTATTTGTCTAACGGTGTGACAGGTGGATGAGAGCCGCCTCCCTTGGTACTATTTCAGGATCGCCGTCGGGAGGATATACGTTTGCTATACTCGGCTACCTGATAATAAATATCATCGTTACTTTTACTTACTTGGATAACGACAACATGCCTCTTATCTCCAATGTCGCTTCTCGGAGCGGGTGGTTTGTATCCTGTTAATTCCCCTTTTTCAAACACTAACATAAGTGTGCAGGATGGCCGTTGCGAATCTACTCATCGTTGTACTCCTTTCTCTCAAGAACACTCCCGTCGTTATCCTAATGATATCGTCTTATGAGCGTTTAAACATTCTCCATCGCATAGCCGGATACACTACTATCATATTCGCTATTGTTCACACGTGCACCTACATCGCCGTCTTCGCAGGCCAGAACTTCCTCAAACGTTTGCTTGTGAGGGAAGAGATATTTGGCATGGTTGCTATGGGCTCATTTGTAGTCCTTGGCTTCGCTGGCTCTGTCCTTCGCACATGGTGGTACGAGCTATTCTATTACCTCCACGTAGCGTTCTGGATTCTTGCTGTCATCATGACTGGCCTTCATCAACCCGATCCTAGCAAGAAGATCGTATACGTCGTCTGCGTCTCTGCTGGCATATGGGGCCTCGAACGTATCATTCGCCTTGTGCGTATACTCATTAATAGTACCAATAATACCGTCACCCTCGTGCCGCTCCCTAATGGCGGAACTCGTGTAACACTCGCAAAGACTCCCCTGGGGTCTTCCTCCGGCAAACATGGCTTTCTCTGGATCCCCGCAGTGCGCACCTTAGAGACCCATCCCTTCACTATGGTTGCCACTGACCCGCTCGAATTTGTTGTAGCAGCTTACGACGGATTCACACGAGCACTGCACAAGTGCGCCTTGCAAAACCCCGGTATCAAACTGAAGGCATCAGTCGAGGGACCTTATGGCAATCTTCCCGATGTTGGTGGGTATGGCAAAGTCATGCTCATCGCAGGAGGTAGCGGTGCGAGCTTCACGGTTGGTGTAGCCCTCAATATGCTCAAGAAACTGGATGTGGATGCAGAGGTCGATATCGAATTTATCTGGATGATCAGAAATCTCAGTAAGTTGATGTGAATGTTTATAGGATCTGATGGCCCTGACTAAGTATGCAGCGTATCTTACCTGGTTTTCCAAACATCTCGAGACGCTGCACCATGATCGTCGCGTCTCTACCAAGATCTATGTAACACGTGCTTCAGCAGCCGATGCTATTCCCCAGAGACAGCCTTCGTCTTCCCGATCAACTTCAAGTAGCACTTCCGTCGAGCCTGACCTAGAAAAGGAGCATTTCCCGGTCCTCGACACTGCCAGATTACCATTGGACACTAAGAAGCACGGAATCTCCCGACCTATCGCACCCGCGGAAAGTTTTCTGCCAGGCGGCACAAATATCTACCTTGGGAGACCAGATGTAGATTTGCTTGTGAAGGAACTGATGGAGAACACACCATCTAACAGTCGTGTATTGGTAATGGGCTGCGGGCCCAAAACACTCATGTCGACGGTGCAGAATGCGACGTCAGGTTGTATTATGGACAACGGAGCAGGTGTCGAATTACATCTGGAGCAATTCGGATGGTAAGACGATTATAAGGTGTTTCTAGGACGATATGCGGGTTTACAATCTACAAAACATCACACAAGAGGTATTAACCTTAGGGAATTTCATATAATTCAGCCTACAGGCTTTCATTCGTATTGAATAACGTCTCACACATCAATATATAAATATATACTCATGAAGTAAACTATGCCGCATGTAAAAAGATGTACCAGTGTCCACCCTAAAAGGACATGTTGGGTATATAACATCCAAAAACAACCCAATTCATTCGTCATTGATCCAGCCCGACGCCTCCCTTTTCGCTATTTTATGAATCCAACAGGTCCGAAAGTTATCATTGGTAGTGTGAAAACAAACAAAGATGAACAAAAAGAATCATCAACATTAATTATAGCGGCGCGTTGTCGCGCCTATCCTCGCATTGCTGTATTGAGGGCTGTGAAGATCGGCGTCGATTGCTGAGGAATTTGGCGCCTATAACCTTGGTGCCTTGTGACACCTTATCCAAGAATCCTTGAGATTTGCCCTTGGCGGTGCTTTCTCGACGCACTCGATCTGCAATAACTGTCTCCATGGGCGATGGCATTTCCTCATCGGGCTGTCTGAGGGCATCACGCACTGCAGGGCAAGGGTCGACGAATTGCTTCGCTTCGCTGACAAACTGGAGAAAGATCGAGTATGACATGCAGATGGCCTGGAGGACGATGACGACAATGAATGCCGTTCGAACTGTGCCTCCGTGTTTGATGATGCCGTACATGACAAAGGGGAAGAATCCGGGACCGGAGCTGCCCATGGTGATAAAGGCTGCGGCACGCTTTGTCCGTCGCCCTTGGCCGCGGAGGCCAATGGCAAAGATAAGGGGGTATATAGGTCCCTCAAAGAAGTAAAAGAGCACGATAGGAATGACAAGGAGGTTGGGGTTGGGTGGACGGACAACCACAGGGAGAAGAGCAAAGATGAAGCAGCCAGCAACGCAGGCGGTGAGGATGGTACGGGGTCGGGGGAAACGGGAGCGGTAGACGGAGAGATATGCAAGGCCTGCTGCCATAAATCGGGAGACAGCAAAGGCGGTATGCGCGATGAGGAGATAATCGGGTATAGAAAGGGCGATTCCGGGAGGTTTATCGGGGTTAGGGGTATCGCTGGCACCGTGAGCGGCTTCCTCGCCGGTGTTGGGTGTGTTGGGAAGTATGGATATCATGAGACTGCGGAAGTATATGCTGAAACACTCTTGGGCAGCAACGTATGTGTACTGAGCGACGACGGCCAGAATCAGACTCCAGGTGCGCAGCTGCAGACCGCCCCTCTTCTTCTGAGGATCCATGGGGAGGTGCTTTGCAGATTGCTCCAGCTCACGATCGCTCACTTCGGGGAGAGGCATGTAGTAGAAGAAGAGACCCAAAGCAACGCAGAGCAATGTGATGCCCAGATACGTCCACTGAACGTTGATGAGTGTCATACTGGTCGCGTTGTTCTGCTCAACGATGCCTTTGAAGAAGACCTTCTGGGCAAGGAGGCCGCTGAGAACACTGCCAGTACCTTGGATGCCCTGGGCCATGAGCACACGCGATTCGCCATACTCAGGAGGGCCGCAGAGTATTAAGAACGCATTTGCGCCAACTTCAAGGATTGATAGACCAAAACCGACAACAAAGTTGCTGAGCATAAATCCAGCGTATGATTGGGTAACGGCCGAGGGCCAGAAGATAACGGTTCCAATGCCGTAGAAGCAAAGGCCAACTATAAAAGTAACTTTGAAGCCACCAACGCTGTCGTGACCGTTACCCTTGTGCCGTTTCGATCGGTTGTGTTCGTCGCGCCGCAGAATCCATTCTCCCACTAGCAGGGGTCCGAAAAGGTAGCCACCTCCAAAGTATATGGACGTCATACCAAGAGTTTCAGCTGTGGTCATGTCGTCGACGGATGCAATAACGTTGTTCAGAGTATTAAGCAGCCCATACGATATGCCCCATAGTAGAAATAAGATGGATACAATCGTGCAGTATTTGAAAGACTCTTTCTTGTTGCATTTCAGCATGCTTTTGGGCTTCGCCATGTTGACGAAACCAAAGTATACGCCCTCAACAGTCCCGGTGGATGATGTCATGGTTGTGGACGTTTGGAACGTATTGTTGCTTTGCCCAGTACGCTGCGGAGGAGGGCGGGTTAAAGCTGGTTCATCGAACGGGGTTGTTAAGAACTCCATAGCGCTTATCGGCGCGTTGGCATTGAGCGGAGCTGGCGGGCCGGACTGCGCAACAGGAGGGGGCTGCTGGATGCTGGCGCGGTGGCCTGTCGAAGGTGAGTCCGAGTCGTTGGGCCCCTTAGGTATGCTGGCCCTGGTTCCATCGGGATCGTAGAGCATAGAAGGAAGAAGCTTTAGTACCAAAGGCTTTAGCGTTGGTACACAAGCGCACATCATTCCAACGTTCACTTCAACGGCGCTCCACATAAGAGACCGTGAGGCATTCCAAGCGAAATCCGTCTGACCACCGAATCGCGATTGAGGATCGGTAGTTGTGCTCGTCGGTGCCGTGATGGCTTGCTGCAGGTAATAGATTCTGACTACATCGACAACTGTGACAAAGATTCCAACGGTAAAGGTGAGAACCAGGATCGTTTTTTGGCGCGAGGGTAGGCGCATGCCAGTAAGAACGGGTATCGGTAGAGCGAGGATGGCCAGGTCGGTAACAATGTTGACGGGTGAGGAACAGATAAACTCGGTAAGTAGAGGTATGCATCTGGCGTGTTCGTCGTAGTTCATATCCCAAGCGGCCTGCGTCGGACGGCATTGAAAGACGTTCATGAATGTGAGAATGACGCCGGCAATGTTGACAATGGCGAGCGTCAACCAAGATGCGAATCGGAGAACCCTTTGGGTATGCTTGGCCAATCGAAGATAGAAGATGAGTATGGACGTTTTGGTAGCCATCAAGGCGGGATTGTACAATATGGAAAAGACGTATTCGCAACGGCGGAGAGCGGGTAAACGACCCAGATCGATATTCTCATCGTGTCGTCCGAGGCCATTGTGAACGCCAAAGCAGATGGTGAAGGAGAGAAAGAAGGCGAACAGCCATGCGAGGATCATGACGCGGTCATCCCAGGTAATGTTCCTAACAATAAAGGTCCGCGAAACGATTCGCGCGACAACAAAGACGGTAGCGAGGACGAGAGTGGCCGTGGTGACCGCAAAGACGGCGGGCCCGCGATCGGGAATGCCTCCATCGTCGGTGGAGGCCGAGTCGGACATGTCGAGGTCGGAGCTTGAAGAGACATGGACCCGTCACTCGTAGGAAGGGGGAGAGGGCGAGTTTGAGATCGAGCTCGAGATTTCGGTGGATAGGTTAGAAGCTGGAGCTGTTGCTACCTTGACAAGCGTGCCATGTCTTCCAAGAGATTCGATTGTTCGAGTATCAGGGTCTCAAGAATTGGCGGTAATATTTGCGTAGAGTTATTCGATGAGAGGCAATGGATTTGTCTGTGTGATGCCCCTGTCGGATGACAGATGATGGATGACGGATGACGGGTGTGTTGAAATCCTGTTGGCGTATTGCAGCAATTCCCGCGATATATCCTACCAAGCAGGCCAAGTTGTAGGAGAAGGGCGAAGATGGATTGTTGAAGATCCCACGAGCATCAGCCGAGCAGAAGAAAAAAGCAAAGAGCTGAGAATAAAAGCCTCCCGTGCTGTCAGACTCTTCCTTGTCTTGTATTTGTCTGCAGTAATAACCAAGAGCAAGGTTAGGTTCTCAATCGCCAGAGCAAAGCCCCGGTGGCCTGGGGCCTGGGGCGGGTTGTGAGTTAGGTTAGGTTGGTGAGGTGTGGGATGCGGCGCAAGCCCGCCAGCGAAAATAACCGGGGTGAGATTTTTTTAGCGGCTTTAGCGGGTATCTTAGCCACCGACAGTCGCCAGTGAAAGCTTTTGCCCCGCCGGCATTCGGGAGGCTAAATGAGGTGTGGGTATCCGTATCCGTACTTTGTTTCTTTTTCCACAACGGCATTCCAGAGAGGCATTTGATATTCTAACGGTGAGAGAGAGAAGAAGAAGATAGAGAAACAGAGACAGAGAGCTTGGTCTATTGGACAATTTCAAGCAAGCTTGGCCGAGTCCCTTTAGCACTGCATCAGATGTTGTATTTACCGACTCATTGGTTTAGTGTCAGGTGACTTTGATAGGACAAGAAGGCGAATTCTGGGGTCAACTAAACAGTCATTGGCTCATTGATCTAGACTCGATTACGGAGTAGGGATGGGAATATGGTTAACGCTTAGTTAACAGCAACAGTCCGGGGTGGATAAATAAAGGTTGTAAATGTGTCAAGTAGGTGACTTTGTTAGGCTGGATCCTATCCACTACGACCTGCATTGCATTAAACACGCAGGGTAAAAAGCAGAAAAAAAGTCTTCAAAGCAATGCTTAATTCCCTCGTCTAAATTCAGTCCAATCCAGTCAGGCGAGGGTCTTGCTCAATCGCATTTAAAGCGGTTCTCAGTGCTTCAGCTCAAATTCAAGCTCAGCTTTATTAGGCCCGGTTCGGTCGCCTAAAGAGGGGAATGATGGGCAAAAAAAAGGGATGCTAAAATGCCGCGCACGAGTCTACCGTATAAAGATTGAGGGGGAAGATGACATTGCCGCGTGATGAATGGTTGGGTTCAATTCAAGTTAAACTACATAGTCCCTAGTTTCTCCTATTGGGGGATTGATACACGACGTTTGGATCGTCATCGTCATCATCTTCACCATCACCTCCTCTGAGACTTTGTACATCCAATTGGCAAGCACCCTTGTTATTCTTATATATTCTTATTTTGCCTCATGATTCTCGCTTCGGGCCTTTCCTGCCCCCCTCTAGTTCATGTTTGTGCAGCCAGCAGAGACCGAGAGGAAAGAAAGAAAGAAAAATATGCAATACAACACACGAGTGGTATCACCAATAACAGGATGACAACACCAACACTAGCAATTAACAAGTGACAAGTGACAAGTGACAATCCCGTTGGCAACAGCTGAGAGTGATCATGGAAAAGATTCTCGGTGCCTATTTTATTTCCCCATGTTGATTGCCGCGGCTCCGTTCGCCCATGCTCCATGCTTCATGCTCCATGCAACAATGAGCTGCTTTACTTTACCATCATACTACGTAGTAGTCCCTTTTGCTTTTGAGGCTGATAACTTCTCAAGCCACTCAACGCCCAATTCTTTATTTTTCTCTGATAATCCGCGCCGTCGTGCCGTCGCTCCTCTCATCTCTCGTTGATTCTAGTGTTTTATCCTTATTCAAAGAGGTCAAGTGCTTCAAAGTTCGGCATCATACGTCATGTTCAGTTTCTGTGACAGGGATGATATGACAAGCTTTCATCACGCCCTGGTCGCCGGCCCGTCATCAGCGAAGGGTCTTGTTCTACCGATGCTGTATGGATGGATGGATGGATGGATGTCTGCATGCGAATTTGAAAAACACATCAATTGTGACTTACTTGTCTGGACCGCTCTCTCTATTCTCTCATTCCCGCCCTTTTCGCTTCTCACCGCAAGAAAATCATCCAACTAATATAGATATCTGCAGCCGATATGCACGTCGGTCACGGGCCTAACCGATAATCCCCGCGTGGCATGGCCTCGACTGGTCTTGAAAAGTTCTGTATTTCTTATGTAGACTATTTTGGCGCTTCCTTCGAGTCACAACAGCAGATCATATACTCCCTAGGTATGTCTGCCCACATACACTGACCAAATAAACCATTGATGGACGTTTTATGCCATGTCAAAGGCCAGGGATTTCATACCTGCCACGTCAAATATCATCCCAAATTCGATAAGCTCCGAAATTTTGACTGAATTCGCTGTCTTTTGTCTCGCCATTTCCTGCAGTAGCCTGAGGCACTTGTAACCGAGACAAAATGCAGGGTCCTTTTCTCCCGCTATTGTAACAGAGAACCCGTTTTTCGGAGTGAATACTATATTTTACATGCATCATGCATTATGCGTTTACACCGATTGCTACAAAGGAAAATGCGGTAATCAACAGAATATGCCCTTCTCTGCGTGACTATCCAGCAAAGAGTCTTTCCCAGCTCAATTTTGCGCTTCGAATATCATCAGAGTTTTCAATTCACCGCAACTTCATGGGCGCTCAACAAAAAGAACATCACTCAAATATTGATAAGAGATTGATCACGATGTGGCTTTAAACTTTGGTCCTGGCGTTCGTTGGCCCCCGGTCAAGTCGGCGCTGAGACCACCGGAACCTCGGACCTCGGACCTCCGATCTCCGGCATGTCTCATCTCCCATCACCAACGTCATCGCCGCTCATGGCGACAACACCGGCGTTAAACACGTCATTTCGTCAGCCTGTAAACAACCACACGCGTCTAAGAAACCACGTTCCTCCTCTAGTGATGTTAATCGCTTGAATTGGAATAATCTCGGTGGCTTTTTACCACATTCGTTTCATAGCTCGCCAGCCATGACCTCCCCCGTGCAGACCTCCGGCGCCGGCTCCGCACCGGGCCCGTCGTCTCACAACCGCCAAGATACGCCGGTCGCTACTGAGGAGACGCCTCTGCTTGTCAGATCTAGCTCAAGCTCGTCGGTTCGCCTTGTTGCTCAGAAAGACAGCAATTCTCGTCATGTTGAGAGTACTCAGTCCAAAGTACACATCCCGCTGGCAAGAGGCATTGCCATAGGTCTGAGCCTATGGCTCCTCATCTTTCTGACAGGTATGACATTCCACATCAAGCATCTCCCCCGGTGGTATCAAAGATAGCATACTGACACAATCCCAGCATGCAACATGTCTGGCATGACTCTGATCCAAGGTGCTATCGCGGCTCAACTAGGTTCTCGTGGCTCATCTGCCATGTGGTTCACCAGTGCCTACCTCATCCCGATGTCTTCTCTAGCACCTGTAGCAGGTCGTCTAGCTACCATCTTCCCACCCAGATCTCTCATCATCCCCATTGCGGCTCTAATTGCCACGGGCGGACTGATTTGCGCTGTGTCGACTTCGTTCGGAGCATTTGTCGCTGGAAGAGTCGTCGCAGGCACAGGTGCTGCAGGAGTCTTGTCGCTCGCCATCATTATTGGACTGGAATTGGCGAGTGAGAAGTCGAGGGGTCTTGTTCTTGGCTTGATCAATGCGGGCTTCACTGCTGGTGTCTCCTTTGGGGCTATCGTCTTTGGGGGCTTCATGCCAGTAATTGGATGGGTAAGTCCAAAAAGCTCGAATTTCGAGGGAACAAAGAGGCGGCTAACAAATCTCAGAGGCCGTTGTTCTGGGGGCAAATCCCATTTGCGATTGTTACTGGGTTAGGAGTGTTCATCAGCATACCGTATGAGGCAGAAAGGCACGACAGCAAATCATCTACTCTACAAAAGCTCGCACGTATAGACTATCTCGGAGCAGGACTCCTGGTAAGCTCCCCATCCTTACGTGATGTGACAACCACTGACTTGTACACCAAGACTACGTCCATCGTCATGTTTCTCTACGCCATTGCAGACGAGATCCAAATGATACCTCTATGTCTTGCACCAGTCATACTACTTCTCTTCCTAGCAGTAGAGTACTACGTAGTTGCAGACCCCATCATCCCCGTCAAGGTTCTCTCCTCTCGGGGTATCCTGTTTTCATGCTTCGCCCAGCTGGGTCTCATGATCGCCCGCTGGAGTGTCCTGTTCTACGCGCCTATCTTCATGCTCGCAGTTCGTGGCTCTTCTCCTGCAGCTGCAGGCTCGATTTTGATCCCGACAAACCTAGGGTTTGGGCTGGGCGGAATTCTCGTTGGCTGGCTTCATGTGCGCCGCAGCGGTGCATTTTGGCTCCCATCCATCTCAGCCCTAGCCGTCTTCACCGCCAGCACATACGTACTCTCCGTTATCAGCACTACCAGTCTTCCTCTTGTCCTCTTCCTTCTTGTCGTGCTCGCGAATGGTCTTGCGACCGGCGGAGGTGTCAACTACACTCTTGCACACATCCTTCACCTAAGCCACGACGATACCCGCTACATCGCGACCAGTCTGCTGGGCACGTTCCGTGGCTCTGGTTCGAGCTTCGGCACCGCGGTTGCAGGCGGTATATTCTACCGCTTACTTAGGGGGAGTCTAGTAGCCGGGTTCCTGCAGCTGGACGGTGGCGATCACTTGAGCGGTGATCGGCAGAGACTGGTGTCCAACCTCGTCAATACACCGGGCCTGGTCCACGGCGGTGACCTGAGTTCTACAGAGCGGAATATCGCCATCGAGGGTTATGCTGGTGCGACTAGAGGTGTTTGGCAAGCCATGGCCGCGTTAGGTATCGTGGTGGTTTTGTTTCAAGCTTTGACAGGCAAGACGGCACCTCACGATAAACACGCAGCTGAGGTGGTGGACGAGGAAGCGGCAAGGGCTGTCGTGACAGAAAACGAGGGCGTCGGCGAGACGTAAACGGGTAGGTGTTGAGATATGAAAATAGAGTTAGAGTTCAGGTTCGGGTGTTTTGGTGTTTTGGTTTTTGGTGTTTGGTGTTTGGTGTTTGGTGTATTTTTGGGTCCTGAGTCGGTTTGGAACGGGTTTGGGTACGATTTTGACTCCTTGATCAACAAAACGTTCGTCGTGTTTATGGAGCGCATACGAACAGACGTTACAGGCTCAACTGAAGACTCATACCTAGTAAACATTGTTTGCTGCATGGCTTAGACCAGCTAAACACCTATGCAGTATCGAGAAACAATTGATGTCTTGGAGTTCGTAAAACTTACCTTTTGTTTCCCGAGAACAACTACCGTGCGCTGTGACTATCGCGAGAGGTGGGGGGGAACACCTATTATTATACACATCAAACAATATCAAGGTTTCATAAGTGTCGTGTGTCTGTTCTGTCTCGTTGGGTCGATGCTTGTTAGTGTATGGTACCTTATGCACATAAAGATTCTTATGCACGCCAATACAAGGTAAAGTTTCTGAGGGACCGCGGCACATCCCGCACTTTCCTACCTAAGTAACTACAGTCAGTATGCATTAGGGCGTGTATAAATATCAGCACTGACCTTCTCCCTCTCCCACTAGCTGACCGATGCTCCCTTAGTATCTGCACCCCTGCCTAATCTCGCTTTCACCTCTTGTTTTAGATGAACCCTTGCGTAGTGGCTCAACGGGCCGACAATCCATTTCGAGCCAATCGCGAAGCTTAAGTCTCTAATATCTTGAACACCCGCCACGATCCTCTTTTGCACGTCCTAGTTCTTCACTTCTCACCCTCCTCAATCGTCCCGAGTTTCCCCCCTGCTCACATTCACTGTCCGTCAATCCCAGATCCCTATCCCTATCCCTATCCCAAACCCGACCCTGGTCCTGGTCCTGGAACCCTGGTCCTAGCAGTGCAACACCGTTGGAGAGATCTTGCCGGCTGGCGCTGCACTAGTAGGGAAACCTCTAACTTCTAACTCGTCACCACGAGAACAATAAGAACGATCTACGTGGTACCCAGGCACCCTGGCCTCTGCCAGACTGCCACCGCCTACAGCCGGCCATTCAATACCACCTTACATACTCCGTACCAAAAAGAAACCTTGCTATTTTGATGCTATCTTACGCCGTCGATTGACAAAATTGAAGCGCTCCAATCCCAACCCTCAACGCCTCTGTTTAGAGTTTACTGATCTAACTTGTTCCACCGGTTATTCTAGAGTAGATTCAGCCTCTATTCGTACATGACTCTGCTTCTCCTTCTTCACCACCAGAATAATTTAGCAACACCAAAAAGATTAAAATCAATAATAGAGCATGTCATACATGTATATTTCGCGTTTCATCTAACCCCGCCATGCATTGCTTTTGCTTTTGCTTTCGCTTCTGCGTTCAAATGTTTCGGTCCTAATGTACAGTAACTATGCTTTTCCTCAAAGTGTTTCATTCCCAGTTCGTTGTTTTACTGAGGATCCTGCCCTGGTCAAACGTTCATTGACCCAACCATATCTATGCGCCCATGAAATGCTGCAAAATGCCTATTGCGCCCCCCAATTCCAGTATGTTTGTCCAGCTCGCCGCTGAGTCATAAAATAATAGTCAAACCCAAAATCACAACTCCCTCTTCACCCTTGACCGCGTACTCAATGATTCACATTTGAGTTGCCAAGGAAGAAGTCCAAGTCCCCCCCATGTCCGTTCTGAGAGCGGTTCTCGTTCTCAGCAAGTTGCTCCAGGAGAGCCAAGAACGGGTCCTTCTCCTCGCCCTGGCCCGTTCCACTGCTGCCGTTGTTGCTTCGACCTCCAGGGCTCGTTGCTGCCACCCTAGCCTGGTGGAAATGCATCTTGTTGTGGTTATCATCCCCGTGCCATGCAGCAGGGCTTCCAAACGCGTTCGTGGGTACTGTACCGAACATTGCGTCGTAACCTCCATTGGCTTCATTGATCATACCAGGGCCCGTGTTCGTGATGCTTGATCCAGATCCATAGCTGTAAGGGGGACTGAATGGCGCGCCACCCATGGGATGCATGGGATGAGATGAAACGGCGTGTGATGTAGGTGACATAGTGAAACCTGCTGCTGCTGCCGCCGCAACTGCAGCATTGTTTGCCGATGCATCATTCATATGCTCGTGCATAGCGTACATCTCATGATTTTCGTGATGGCCTGGCAGCGAGGTCGGTGTTGCAAGAAGGCCTGGTGATGAATGCGGCACTCCGCTAGCAGTGTATGAAAACGACCGACGAGCAGTACCTGGGGTAGGTAGGCCTGTGGCAGAAGGTGCAAGGCTCGAGATCACCTTCACATCAGGCCTTCTGCGGTTAATGGGGCCTGGTGGCGCTGTGTTCTTGCGCTTGAGACTGGGGCGTTGTGGTCGATCGAGGCTTCGTAGGTTGTCCTCGCCAGCAGTAGGCCCAGCACTCATGTCAACCGCGACATCGGACAGGCGAAGATTGGCTGCATCAAAGCTGAAAGATGGGCCACCAGGTCCTCCTATACTGGAGTATCGGTCAAAAAAGTCCTCGCTGTGGAATCCCGGTGTATATCGCATAGAGCTGCGTGCCAGTGCCTTTACCAACTCCCCATGTGCATGGCTAATGTCCTGTAGTGTTTCGCGTTGATGCTGTACTGTGGCCCAGGCATAGCGAAGTTCACTTAGGAATTGCATCTCGCGAGAGAGGAAATCTGCTGCAGAGCTGAAGACATTCACCTCACCCTGGCTTCCTTGTTGGCTGTAGTGGGCTCCGTGAACATGAACCGTGCCCGCCGTGCAGACACAATATCCGATAAATGCAGGCCAATCAACGATTCCCGACTGTTTTCCAAGTTGAATCAGCTCCATGATGGCGTTTGCATGTAGAAAGCACATGTTGGTAGCTTCAATCTGCCACGACTGGTGTTGTCCTGTTTCGGCAAGCTCTGCTAGATCGATGGGAAGGAATGGTCGGTAAATGAGACAATGGATGAGGTGATAGATGACTTTGCTGAGTAGAAGTATGGTCGAGTCTGCTTGTCCAAGCATTGCGCTAGGGTTTGAAAAGACCTCTTCTGTTCCAGAAGCCCAGACGTCGAGATCTTGACGAATCTTGGAGATGGTCGAAAGAGTGTGCCAAGGGAAGTGAGAGTCGCCCTTGACACCACCCGCAGCCAAGTACCGATTTGTGTTCCCGAGAACGCGCGTGATATCGATGAGCATACCCATGCTTCCTTGAGGCTTCTTGTCACTACCTTGAAAGTATTGGAGATTCGAACCCGTTTGGAAAAACTCCCCCTCGACTGGAAGCGAGGAGGAATTGGGGGACCAGGAAGGAAGACGTAGCATGATGGTGTTGTCGCTAATCAAGCTTGGTCGCTTTGAACCAGTTGCTTGAAATCGGTCAAGCAGGTAACAAGTCCAAAAAAGTCGGCGTCGCATCTCTCGCTCTACAGGTGTCATTCGAGCTTGTCCATCGGTTTCTTTATGAATTTCAAGTGCCATAGCCATTCCAGTAGCACTCGCTAGGTCTTGTTAGCAAAGATTTAATAAAGACCAAAAAGGTTAGTACCTACTCATGAGCATATAAGCCTTCTTTCCCTTTCCTGTTGCAGTGAAGGCGCTGACCAATAACAGAAGCGCTTGCAATCCATCTATTGATGGCTCGTCGGTATTGATTTCGCGTCTGGCCCGCGCTGCAAGATCTTCACTAAGATTGGCAGCTGCTTGATACCCACTGGGGTCGGTGTTGTGTCTAACATTGGTAAGTATGAGGGTCCGTGTCATGGAGCGGAAACATACCTCGCCGCCACTGCGGAAATGGCAAAAGAGAGAAACTTGGGGAGTTGGTTGAGTTGAAGTCTTTGTCGTATGGATGATTCGTCGACGATATAGTAGGGTTTACCGTGAAACCTAGCGAAATAGGTGTCAAGCAATGCCTCGGCTTGGACCGAAGGAGGGGGGAGATCCCTAGGAGAACGAGTCAGTTAAAGAGCTTGGGCGTCAAAGTGACTAGGAAACAAACCGAGCTACTGGTGTACGTGGAGAAAGTGATGCGGTATCTCCAGGAGAGGTGCGTGCATCGACTGCGAGCTGTTTGGATACCAGCTCGCCAACTTCTGTAGCTTGAGAGCCAGATTCGCAAGCTTCTCCTTTCCCGGCTCCAGGCAAATTCGTAGTTGCAAGTGACACATCGTCCTCTCCCTTTTCTCTCAACTTGGCCTCGAGCCCATCTACTCTTTTCAGGAGGGCTTCTAGTACGTCTGTCTTCGGTCCACGCTTTTTGGGTACAGCGTCTACAAACGAGTTAGTATGGGCTAGTAGTGTGGACAAGATGGTATTCTGTTGTTTTCAAGAGAGAGAAAAAAACATCTTTTAGGAATAGACCAGTTACCTACCGTAAACACAGGGACATTGGAAGACCTGGCAGGCCTCGCAGGAAGGTCGAAGTCGATTGCACTTGATCTATAACAGCACCAGTTAGAATCGAAGCTCTTGTATATGGTAGCAAAATCCTACCTTCCGCTTCCGGCATGATTTGCAATTCATCGATTCCCGTGGTTCATTGCTCATTCGACGAGTAGGAAGGCGTTCAATGCCAACCTGCGGTCGAGAAATAGCCACAGGGTGGACTCCAGGCATGTGAGGAACATTCATGGCGTCGTATATGGAAGAAGTCATCTGAGCTGGCGGTAATGAGTGAAAACGAGTGAAAGCCGTGGAAGGAGCAATGGTTTGCGAAGTCGGAATTCGAGTAAAAGTTGCTTCAGAGGACTATCCCGTAGTAAAATGAAGGTAATGGGGCAGAAAGGAACAGAAGGGTATGATGTAAATCTCGTGAAATCAAACGAGCATGATCATCCCAAGTGATATCGGAATCTAGCAATCTTCGACAGTTGTGACCCGCAGTACTGAGATGGCGAGCAGATTGGGTGAGGTCTCAAAGAAAGTGCAAATGCAAAATTGATATGCTAACAAGAGGTCAAGTAGCATGAAAAGAAATAAGGACGGAAATGGAAGGAGGAGATCGAGCCTAGAAGTAAGGTGAGGCCTTGTAGAAGATGGGACAGGGCCGGTAGTAGAATGACTTCGGAGGCCCAGAATTGCACGACTGGCCCGACCCGAACCCCAGTCGCCGGTCTCATTCTGGTTGTTGCCAATGTGGAGGTGGCTAGTGACAGGACCGGGGTGCGGGCATGAATGATGAGATAGATGGTGGTGTCGATGTTGGGATGGATCATGGTGGGGAAACGGAGCTCAGGGTCGGAGTCCCTTTGTGGACGCTGCTTCTTGAATCTGACTCTACCCTGACAAGCATGGCATGGTTCCCAGAAACATGTAACCAGTACCAGCATAATCTTTCTGAGGCAGAGAGCGCATCTTTGCTGGCGTCTGAACCAGCTGTGCCATTGGAGCGCACTGGGGGGGGATAGCGGCTATGATGAAGGGAGTATGGTCACCCCCAACCGACAGGCTAAACCCCCAATGACGGTAATCACAAAGCGTCAAGTTAAGGACCCCCCAAAGCACCAAACCGGGGAACTGCACGCCCTGAAGCCGCATGTCTTGTTTTGTGGCATTACTGTTATTACGAGCAGTGTGTACTGAGGCATCTGTCGATCCTGTCTGTTCTGTTCGGCTTCTGTTAAAAGCGAAGGACAAGTGCGGGCACGTTGACTGGACCGAGGTGTGTGTGCTCAGTCTCAGTTGTGAATATCTCTCTTCCTTACTAGATGGTTTTGAAAAGCGGGTTCTAAATTATGCACCGGATCAGACGTGTCGTTGTTACCAGATTGACAAGGACTAGGACAATACGTCTTCGTTTGTGCAAGGGACGCCAGACCATGCGGGTCCCAAATTCCACGACCAGAAACTCGGGCTCATGTTAGCGAAAGTGGCAGGGACAAGGTCGAAAGCGATCAAAGGCATTCATCATCTCACAGTTGTATTGGATAAGTAGTTATGTGGTTAGTGGCCTACTTGACTTTCTTGGTTTTGTAACCGCCAGAACGGCAAGGTGCCGTTCGATATGGAACCACGTCAAGCTTTCGGTTTCCAGTTCGCATATACCTAGGCCGTGGTGCGAAACATGAGCAGCCCGGACTTTTGCTCTGGCCGTGGTTGACTTGGCTGGTGCGTTAAGCTGAGAACGAGACAGGGAGGGACTCTGGTCATGGCTGGAAGTCGAGGTCCATGCCACTGCCGGACCCAAGGCTACGGGTGAAGCGCACAAGGCGTGGGCCAAGCCCATTAGGACAGGTATAGGACAAGGTGCTAGCTGTAGCCATGTAGGTAAGGCGAGAAGTGAAAGGCCAGGCGTGCGATCCAGATGGTGATACATGCAAGGCTTCGGGTGTCTTCTATTGTGGGCTAGGCGAGGCAGGTGAGGATGTGTCAAGATGAGGATTGGGAAACAGATGGGAGCGGCCCGGCTCCTTCCATTCTGCTTGTTATTTGGTGGCAGGCGTCCATGCTTTGCTTCCATTTGCAATGACTCGGGCACTGGCAGCAGCTCACTTGCCAACTTGCTTCCCGTCTCCATGGCTCGCAGCAGAGCAGGGCAAGAAGGACTGGACGGGACCCATCCATTTGATGGCGGCAGGAACAAGGTAGATGCTGGGACTCCTGTACCTACGTTAGCGGACACTTCGCTTAAGCATAGCGGGAACAGTGTTGTTTGGGGCTTAAATGGGGCGCCAGGGGCTGAACGGACGACACGCTGGGCAGTTGCGATAGGTTGACAGCTGCTTGTGCTTTTTTGGTGAGCCTGAAACTCTAGAGGCAGGATCTAAGAGAATCTGTCACAAACCAAACCTGGAACCGTATCTTGCTACTACCTGCCGTTCACTTTGAGCATCGCACGACAGCCACGACACATGGCATCACATCACATAGCATACATTGTGCCACTTGCATCATACATCTTGTGTGCATGCAGCGTTTCAACCCACACCAGGCAGCTTGAATCTCTGTAAAATAAGCTATCCATGCCCACGCTATTTATTATTCTATCAGACAGGGTCAGTTAAAAGATTGAGATGGGAATCCTGATTCTTTCTCGCCTCCGCTCATCTGCTGCAAGCTTACGGAGTACAACAGACCGCTTGTCGAGATCCTGGTTACGTATCATCCCATCTTTCGATGGCTCAATGGTTGGATCCGTCGATGAGGTGCAGCACCCCGGGTATCCTCATCAATACTACACTCTCATAAGTTACAGTGCGTTCGCTCCCGTACGGGCTGCTACTGTACCATGGCACTTCTCAGCCCTGACTTTGCTCGCCATGTCATGGATACTTCAGCCTGCTCATGGATCGAGCGCTCCTCACGTAGCCTTGTTAATCTCCCAGTATTACGTCCATCCCGGCTCCCGTCGTTAGAGACAAGATCTTCTCAAGTCCTTGACCCTGAGTTGGACCACCAACAAGAACAGGCCTCTGCCTGTCTCTGACAAGAGCATTCTCTGCCCCTGAGCTGATGGGCCTGCCATTACCGAGCGGGAGCTAGTTAAGCAGTTCCTCCGTACGGAGTACAGTTCGGAGCTATATGGTCTCAGCTCCCAGAAGTCGGCCGAGCGACTAGCGGCGCCAGTCAGAATTAACACTGCTTAAGCGCTATGCTTATTCGACTGAACGGAACTACACAACTTTTATCACAGTTCTTCAACAAATCGCCCCCTTAGACGTCAAGCTGTTACTACCCCTATCTCCCGGGCGCTATTTACTTATCCGCACACTGTTATTGAAAATTTTGAAGCATGACGTGATAAGCCCAGCAACACTCCACTACGCAGTCCCGCGGAGCCGAGAGTGGCTATCGGGTAGCAGCTATTAACGTTTCTTGCTTCAGAATTTGCCAGGAGGGCTTAAAATCGATCATGTCTATTAGGACAGCATCGCAATTGGCCGCATCTATAGGCGACCGATAAGACCTTGAAGGAAAAAGCAAAACAACGAAACATCGGACCTGCATGTATGCGGGGACGCACCAGCATTTCCTGCAGCCATAAGGCTTGCTTTAGTACTAATTAGCATGAGCTAACCAGCGATTCATCATTTTTAATCTTGTCTACGTATCAGTAATTGTACCTCAAAATTCCTATTCACCAGCTTGAGCAAGGGCATGCCTCCGAGTCACTCGTTGTCTTTCTAGTTCATAATATCATTCCCAAGCTTAGGGTCATCTTGAGGCTGACATCCTGGCTAGTATCGGCGTCTGAGACACGCTTTCACTCGCTCATGGCCGGGCTTTCTCACCCGATTTGGGTACTGCGTCCGCTCAGAACCCCTGCAGTTGTTCATGAGATTTCCAGGATCCTTGTCAACCCACGTTCAAGTGGCTTTGCTTTGCCTGCCCTCGTCCTGCCACACCAAACCTCGCCTGGACACCCTAGACGCCCTGTCAAAGTAATCAATCTTCTACACCAAGTCTGGCCTGTGGGTAAGAGTGGCGTATCATTCAATGCCGAGTCGGAGTTGATGCTTGAGACATTGAAGCTGTCTTAATAGAGGCTAAACCCAACCAGTCCCCGGTTTGCGAGTCTCCACGGCTGCCAGCCTAGCAAAAGACCAAGCTTGGCGCTATGGTTTTCTAGAACTGCAAAGTATGAGTCTAGCAATGCCGGCCCTCCCTGCCCTTCTTTTACTCTCCCGGGTGTTGTCATCCACTTTACCCCAGAGGTGGTCTCGATTCGTACCTGGTAAGGATTGCCTTGGCTTTCGACTCATTGTCACCCAGCAAGCTCTTCAACCCGTCTTGAGCTAACACACTCTTTCAAAACACCTGGATTCTTCGCCTAAATATGAAACCAGTTGCGTTGATGGTTACTGATTGGCTCAGCTTTTGAGATCATCTTTGCTGGCAAGAAGTCTACGATTCCTTGTACGGATAGTGCTGCTCTGTTCCGTTTCTTTTGGACTCTGTTGTCTTATTAACAACCCCTTCGTTAAACATGGCGAACCATCTCCGATAGCGGTTTAGTTAACCTCGTTCACACTCGTTTTTGCTCGCTTCCCGTCAGGAGACGAGTAAAGACTGCAGAGCAAGCGCCAAGCACACAGAAGGATATGCGATATGTATTGCATCATACCACTTTCTGTAATCTTTGATCAGCATCACTTTTGACGATTGCATCGCCTTGCAGCACTTGGCTCATGGGTAATATGTGCCAACATAGGTAGGATAGATGGGACGAAATGCCACATATCGTGCTTGAATACAGGGCATGCGTGGTGGGCACACTGATGATGCCTATACTGCAGTTCACCAAGCGGTTCGACCTTTAGCTACACAATAAGTAGGGTTGTCCATACCAGCCTTGAGAGGATATGCTTACACGTTCGTGTCTAGCTTTGTCGTCACTGTCACTTCTTGCCCACGTATGTACGATAATATCAACGCCGATTCCGAACATGAACATATCAAAAACTCGCACGTAGTGGTCTCCTTCTCCACCTCTTGGTGGAGGTTCTGTAGCTCATCGTACCAGAATCGAGCTGTCGTTGTCAGGATCGTTCAGCACTGTAGTTAGAGTTGCAGTCGCTTGAGTCGACCAACGGTTGAGCTCTGGAGAACGTCTGGGCTTCAGCTTAGAAGTCGATGCCAACTCTGGTATAGCACGGGACCCTCTCAAGTCCTGCTCATCTTGAAGGTTGATCATCGTGAAGTTCTCAACTTGGGTAGTTACGGACATAATGCCCATGTGTGGATAAGGAACGATCTCTCAAGCTACAGACTAGCCGCGATCGATGTAGGCCGATCATATATATCATGATTGCCTGGATCCGTAGGGCTAATGGCGTTCTTGGGCTCAAAGGACCTGCTCCTTGCCAAGATAATTCCAATCAGGGACACACAGGTACGTCTTGATTCGTCACCAGTCCTGTCCAAGAGACGTGAAAGATGAGTGAACCGATACTCATCAAGAGGTCAACAGCTACGGATACGGCTGCATATACTGCGGTTTACCTTTTTCCCTCAGGCGCTTACACTCACATTCGTGCCTTCAATGTATGTACCGTATCGTTTTCATCACATCCCCACTCGCCCCTTGAATCACCTTAATTTGATCTTGGTCGTTTGGTTCAATTACTGATTTCCACCTGGATGCCGATGGTCCTCTTAGGAAACCGGGCCTTTGTGCCTTTAGACTTGGCCTGACACACTTCAACCTTTGTTTTCTTTTTGCGGCGTTTCGCCGAGTCTCATTGCGGAGTTGTCCCCCTCTTGCAAAGTGCAAAACATATGCGGGTTTGTTGTCCGAATGCCCCTCAGTTCAGCATTAGCACCTCTCCCACAGGCGCCTGCAGTAAGAGTAACTGGTCTAAATTAGAGGGACATGTCTATTGCCATGGTCATATGTGACAAACAAAGCCTAGTACCGAGTGTTTGCCACGCGTGAAGTATCACAAGTTCGGCTGGAGCCCCTGTCGAGTCGGCACCTGCAAAGGTCCTCTCATCATCCCAATTCGAACACGTAACCCCAGGAAAGCATGGTGTTGTTTCGTTCATCCCATCTCTCATCCCTTCTGCATACATACGAGTGCAGTTCGATAAACTGCAAGTCATCCACCTGAGCTTTACGGATACATGCACCCCTACTTCCTGCTACAGGGCCAGATCATGCCTAAAGTTTTTACCTAGTGGTTGCCGCCTCCAGATCTTTCTTCCAGAGGCAAGAAAGCCGTGTAGGCAGGTTTCAGCTTCTCTTTGCTATCTAGAGCTAGTCACTCTTCACATAAGTGACGTCTCGGTTCCTGATCGAGGCTATAATCCAGCTCTATACAGATCGGAGGATATCCTCGAGTAGGCAGATCAGTTCTTCTTTGACCCTTGTTTGCGACCGGCTATCCTTTATCTTCCGAATGGAAGTCAAATGTCTGAGCTGTGGATGTCACCATTATCACATTATACCTTGCCTTATATCATATCAACGTTTGAGAACATGGTTTCCTCCCCTTGACAAAGCCATATTTACCGTTTATTGCCTAAAGGCGAGTAATACGATTCCTGTCTTACACAGTTTGGGGAGTTGAAAGCATGCAGATACGGTATGTATGTACCGGCATCGACAAGGAGGCAAGTAGCCACAGTCATGGGCCAGGGTAAACCCGCCCCAACCAGATGCCCTGAATCACACACCCTATCTAAACTCGTTCTACTCATAGCCTGGGCAGTCATCAACAGAAGGTCATTGACATGGGCTCACGAGGATCTTGCCAGGATATACCACACAGATGTTATTGCCATTTGCTGAGTTAATGATGATTTCGCGTACGGAATATCAGGGTGCCCAAACAGACCGATGGAGGGAGGGTTGCTTTGCTTGCACAAACGCACCTTGCCAAGAACATGGCTGGCACAATGACGAGGATCTTCAGACTTTCTATGGTGGAGTAGAGATATGCTCAAATGAGCAGACAGGAGCGCCAACGGTGGAGTCAAAATGGTTCGAATCTCGTCATCAAAATGGGCTTCGGTGGCCGGAAGTCTATGTAATAATTGACTGACATATAGGTAGGCGATTTCCAACCCTACGGTTCTCGTATACAACCACAATCTACATATCGCAGTCTATCTGGCAAGGGCCTGTCTATACTTAGATGCTTATAGTCCACTGTTCACCGGGCGCCACAGATCCAGAAGGTTCAGAAGGAGGAAAATGAACCTGCGCGGTTCCATCTATGAGTGTGGAGGCCGGTGGACCTCAAAACGGTTACCGCAGCCGTTGCAATAATAAGCCCACTCCCCATAGTGCCCCTGCTCATCTTCACAGGGGTCTTCTGCACACCAGATCGACGTCCGTCGCAACGTAACTTGTTGAATTTTTCTCTCAGGAAAAAGCCAGCGAGACATGGCTAATCCTGGGCCCTTCTGGCCCCAAGCCATGCAGCGATAAGCCTAACGTCGCCAAGAGTCTCTTTGTTGGCAAAGAACCGCAGGGAATGCCCAGGAGGTGTCAATGGTAGTAGGTGCTCGGCATCAAGAACCTTTGAAGCGACTATACCGGGGACCGTCCCTGTTTCTCACCCGGTTTGGCCCTTGTGGCGGCCTCGTGGATATCTTTGGCGTCTACCCCTAGACGGGGGGACTACGGATTTTCCACCTATTTTGTCGGCGGTATCCCAGTGTCGGATAACCCCCGATAGTAGATGATCTATCTTTGTAGTTGGTTTGATTGTCCTCCTTTTCCAGCGTCCAAGTACAGTGCTTGTCGCTGGCAGTTGTGTTGATGTTGTTTGCAAGACTTGTTCGACTCCTTTCACACTCCGTAGCGATGGCTTCCACTTGCGAGTCGCACAAAGCTGTAGGGCACATTTTGCCCAACCAGCAGTCGTAGGCTTTCCACCGTTGTGAACGCAGCAACATCGTCAGCTCCGTAGGCGGCAAACCCGTTCTTCTCAGCGATCACCCCTGGGTCAGAACTCTTCCTTACAGCCCCATCAGCTAGATCGAGGAATACTTTCTTCGTGTTCGTTATCCCCCTAGGTCCGACACCTCCAAATGCCCTTAGCAACATGCCGACTAGGTGGCTCTTTTCGGGACCAAGAGCTGACACTATGACAAAAGGCGCGCTGTCGTCCTCCACCGATCGGGCACGCTGAAGGCTCTCGAGGCTAATGAACGGTTCGATCGGAGGTGCGTTTCGAGCGAGGCCGATAGGTGTACGGAAGCCGACTGTATAGATCTTGGAGATTTGGAGGGCTCTCATGGCAAAGAAGACGGGGGCTGCATCGTCCGGGGAAGAGGCCATCACAACAGCCGAGCGGCCAGAATAGGCAGAGGGTGCCAAATCGCGTGTAAGTGCACTAAGTATTCCTTTCCAACCAGCGTTGTCAAAGACAAGAGAAGTCGCGGATCCCAGGCCAGCTTGACTGTTGGATTCGATGGAGTCGGTCTGTCTGTGGCGAGGACTTGACGGCATGGAACCGGGGGAGGATGACCTGGATGAGGTGCCAGATTGAACCACGATGGTATCTACAACTCCAATAACGCGGGCAGCCTCTGTCAGGATTGGTCCGTTCCCTCCATTTAATCCGGCGAAGAAGGGGCTGGTCTTGGTCAATGCATGATGTGGCAGGCCTGGGTTAAGATAGGCGCCTCCAAAATGCTTCTGGTTGCACCATGCTTCGATACTTCTCGGGTTATTTGGGTGTCTCTCGACAGTAGCGAACTGATGGGGAAGACCTAGTTCGTTGATACATTTCTCATAGAAGGGGGCCTGTGGCGTGGTATTCCGACACGATGTGCTGTTGATTCCGTAGATGCGCTTTCTTGGTAGTTGGCCTAGAAGAGACAGGGCGCCATTAATCTCAGCCGCGCTCAACTGGCCAGGAGCAGCGATGAGAGGGAGAAGTGGGTGGGTGATGGGCGTGAAGACGGGGTTCAGAGTTCTTGAGAACTGACCAACCTCGCCCATGTTGACGGCAGAAAAGGGTGGCGCATTAGGGTACTCGGCACGCATCTTGGAACGGAAATACTCGAGCTCGAAGTTCTCGTTGTGCTCATTGATTATGGCGATCATCTTGATAATATCGGCGTATGGAATGGACCGTTGAAACACCTCCTGAGCATATGCCGAGGGCCATCGGAAGGTTCCTGAGAAGTCATGGAATGCTGACATGATGCGTGAGTTGCCTCGCTGCTCGTATAACTTCTTTCGGATGTCTTCAGGAAGCCAAAGTTCTACGTCAACGTATTCCACACCCCACTGGATCGCACGGTAGAGGTACTCGTAGTATAGTTCAGGTCTGTCCATGGGGAACCTTCCATTCTCTCTTACACATCGTGTTGTGAAGATGATGGGGAGTTCCGTTCGTTGACGAAGAAGCATGACCTGTTCGCCGACATAGCTGAGGCTAGGGACTTGTGAATAGCTCCCGTCGCCAAGGGGTTCCCGTAGCAAATCGACTCGGATCTCAACCGCATCGGCGCCGACGGTCAGAATATCGATGTTAGGCAGAGCGGCGTGAACGTCGGGGAAGGTGGTGGAAATGAAGTATGTTCTTGGCTTTGCCATGAGAGCATCGTGATGGTTGATCTGGCCCAGGGTAAACGAGATAAACCTGGCCAGGTCACGACGCAAGTATGGCGAATCGGTATACAAGAATTCGTAGTCGCACTGAGCAGAGAGATGGATGTCGGGGGGCATCCCTAGATTCACGCAGTGAGTATTTATGGCAACAACGAGATTCTGATTTCGCGCAGCAACATCGCCCTTCGCCTCGCCTGCTGCTACTCCCACAACGAACCCAGAATCCTCGACTGATACCTTGTCGAAGCCATTCCGTATCCTACATGGTGTACCCAGCACCTCTGCGAAGACGGAGACGATCTGCTCCTGCCCTGGTCCAAAGACGATAGCAACAATTCTAGTGTCTCCCCTTGCTAACGTGCTTCCAAAAGTACTCTCGTTGATCATTGCTGGGCTCGAACTCGCGGGGTCGATTTGCATAGCGGAAGGATCGGTAGAGCCATTCAAGGCAATGGACGGCGTCGGGGCGGGAAGCGATTCCGCTATCATCGATTGAACGGCGGCCATTTTGTCTGTCGTTTGTCGATGTGATAGATTTGCTCCACCTCTTTATCCGTTTCTCGGTGCGCAAGATGCGCTGAAGCTATTCCCCAATGTCCTTTCCTTCACTAACCCAATATATATCACCATTCAGAGCAAGCGGTTTCGGTGCGTCGGTTGATCTCGTTTTTCTTTTCTTCTTGCTATCGGATATCCGGAATCGGTTTCGGCATGCAGATGAGTATGTGGTCGTTGCGCGATGGTGTTTTGTTATCGTCGCATGTAATTCGAGGCTGTCGCAAGGTGGGAAGGCTGGAATATTAATAAATATGGAAGTCGCGTGGGGGTTTCCGGTTCCCAATTGCCGTCGGTGTTGCCGTCCCAGATTCAATTTAGGCAATAGTGATCTCTTGATTGGATATTAGGACTGATTCATACGGGAACAAATCAGATTTCGTGGTGGTAGTGGTCGGTGGTTGTTGGTCACACACAGTGACGGTGGCAGTGAGTGGTGAGTAGTGCGTAGTGAGATGGGACCCCTGTGGAGATTGAGGTGGTTCTGAAGTATGGGGTAGAACCAAGGTCGGATAAGAGAAAGAGAAAGAGCGAGGTGGGAATATGAGACCTTTTAGGAGGAGGAGAAGGGGGAGGCAGGAAGAAAAGAAGGAGGGAAACCTAAAAAGAAGAATTGCTTCCCTCGGGGATAACCTGATAATAAGGTGCAATGCAGTGTAGTGCAGCGCAGCGCATCAGAGTAGAGGACAAAGCGACATAAAAAAGAGACGATCGACTCAAGTAGACACGACCAAGACAGGATCCAGGACCCAGCAAAAAAAAAGTCGCTAGAGGTGCCAAGCGATGAATATTTGACCGATGGTCGGACTAGTACTGGGACTGGGACTGGGATGAGATGTTTGAGCAATCCCTGACGATAATATGGAGCTGACGAAGTGCAAAACCAGCCCCAGAGCAGTTCAGTCAAATCAGTCCAGTCAGTCACGATAGCACTGGCTGGCCTTCAGAGCTTGAGACCGGGATGTGGAGTCTCCACGGCTCCTTGTCGTTGGTGGAAGGGGAAGAAACAAAGAGTGAACGGCGTACGGAGGCAGGCGACGTAATAATTCCACCACCAGGCGAGAGTCTTTGTCAACCCGAGTTTTGGTAAGGTACGGATGCTGGAGCCAAGACTTTCTTTCTACTATCTAGCAAGTTTACAGTATGTATCAATCTTATCTCATTTGTGTTATATAGATGTTTAGTAAAATGTTGGGACTATTCTGTGCCGATCTGGGATATAAGATTTGACTTAGGACTGCACATATGGATTGCGGAGGAACAATATAATATCTCGACGCAATTAATGCTGGGTAGTCTATACTCACCGTGGGGGGGTTACCCTTAAGAATTGGGGTGTTGTTTCGGTCATCACATCTTTTTCCCGATCAACCACAAACTAAAACTGCCTATCGTTATTACCTCCTGGATACTTGACTCACGGTATATCAAGATGCAAAATACCTGAGCATTTCATGTCACTATAGCGGCCGACCCTGGGTCCCCAGAGCTGACACTAGCGATACTAACTATGATGCAGTCAGTGGACGGATTATTTGGGGGTTCAAGGTCCATGAACAACACAGCGTGTCCTTTTGACGACTCTTTTTACATTAATAATAAATGCTCACTGAGTACGCAGTACATTGTTGCTGATTAGAGTCAAACGCCACTTCAACATGGCAGACGGGCGGCATGTTAGTTGAGGAGGATGTGATGGGACGGGATGGGGGTGGGGGAGGGTCGTAGCTCTGGACTTATTATTCTCCACGGCTCTTAATACACGGAAACTGTCCATGTTGAATTATCCGCCAATTGTATTGAGCTATCCCCGCAGTTGCTCGCCTTGCATGCTTTAACTTAACAATTCGGCTCGAGCCTTTTCGCGGTTGTTTCGGCCCCTCCCTGGTCACTATCCTGCTACTGTTGTTGCGCTTGTGACTTTTTGTTTCAAGGCCATGCGATACTCTCAGGACGATAATGCCATCCAAGCCTTAGTTTAGGGGGAACAGGTTGCATTCGAAGTAACGTTCTCTCCATCAATGTCAAGGCGCGCATTACAACTTAATATCCAATCCTGGTTTGTTTGTTTGATACCTGTCCACTTTGTTTGCTCAGACTCACAAGTCCAGCATGATGTTCACTATATTGTATTAGGGATGGACTTATGCTATCGTGGGATCTTCGTTTCGCTACAACCCATGTTTCGGCAGCTTTGTGTTGGAAGTGTTGGAACTTGGACGGACTTATATGTTCCCGGTTACTCCAGTGCTACGTTCCCCCTCTGTGGATTACGTCTATCTCAAGCAGTGGATAGAAAAGGTTATTGGCAGCTAAGCACGGGAGAGGTTTTCGGGAGAGTAAGAAAGATCTAAATTTCGTCTGACGTTGTGTTACGTATTCGTCTCAGATGGTAATCTCCGTAGTGTGTTAGGTTCCCGAGAGTTTTGCAATTTGTGTGATCTTCTTAACCACCTCGTACTCGATAATAGCAGTACGCGTATACGGTATTCCGTCCGAGTAACTATCGCCTATTGCTCGGCAACGAGGCTGATTTAAAAAAGCACCCGATATGGTCAAAGCACCGCGTTGCTTTTTGTTAGTCGGTGGTGGTTATCACTAGTGGTTCATGCGTATATCACCAACAACTAGGTAACAGCCAATATTCCATGTCTACAGATACTGTCTACCTATTCCTCCGTGGTCAGGATCAACGTTGTTACCTATGCCGGCTGTTGAGAGAGAATACGTATCATTACAACGTACTGCGTAAAACATCGAATCGACATCTTTCTCGTCTCCAGCTATAACGATCTCAGTATCGGAACTCTATCTTTCCGGGGGGCAGTGTCTGTTACAGTGTTACAGATACACTACCTGCCATAACAAAGCCGTTACCCCGTCGCGTTTCGTCATTCTGAAATCTGTAGGGTCTTTCAGCCCCATATTCTTTTGGCCCAGGCTGAACTTCTGAAGCGTGCCCCTTCCAACGGGCCTCTTTTCACCTATTTAGTCCACGAATGAGGCGTCGCCAAATTCTCTCTTGTCTTAGCGAGACACTGGACAACAATGAACTCGGTTCTTTTCAGGGTAATCTTGACGAACTCAATGCTCTTCGGGGCAATCCTTACGATCTGCTTGGCTGGGCTCGCACATACGGGGTCTTTTCGTCAGTGAGTTCCGTCCAATAACTAACAAGGTAGTGACAAACAAGACTTGGCTTTACTTGGCGTCGAACTATATGTTGTTGGTCAGCCTGTTGGCGACAGTTTTACCGGACAAGTCAATTGCCTTTTTTGTTGTTTTTTCTTGTATTTTTCCACCGTTAGGGACTTTGAGCAGTATCGTATATTGCGATTGTGGACTCTACTGCGGGCGCACGATAAGGAAGTTTGTGATTCTGAAGTTAAGAAGAAGAAGCATCACCACCAATCTTATCTTCAGTACCTATGCAGACTAATCTGAACTACCGAGTCACACACACTTCCAAGACCATAAAACAGATCATGTTACCTTCGGTAGCAATGACCCGAGTAAAACATCCCACTCTGCCACTTATCATTTATCTTTGCCAGTGGGATTCAAATTCCTTCCTTTCTTTTTCTCGTCGTTCCCGCTTCATGATACAAACACAGTGGTGCGCTTACACGGCAGTCTTACCACCACCAATCGCATCAGCCTTGTCGGACGTCTCTTGAGTCTTGACGCTCCAGAACTTAAAAAGTGGGTAAAATAAGAGACAGCCGCGGCTGAACAGTAAGGATTGTGCTTAATGATATGATGTGATATGCTCTGTCGTGCTTGAGACAAGGCCCACATGGAGTTTTGCCTGTAGAGTACGGAGTGCGGTTCGAGGAAAATATTGGCTGGTACTCCGTATTTCACATCAGCTTATCTGGCTAATAGCTTCCTTGTGAAAGTCTGTTCCCATGTAAAGTTCCTACCTTTACCAGTGATACATGCGCAAACTCTTCGAACTAACTAAATCTTCCAGTGATGTGGGTATTTCTTCTCGAATTATCCGTAGAGTTTTACCCTTTTCCATGTCGAGGATCATACCTCTTGGTCCAAACTTAACCTTCTCGGCCACCGAAATCTGCAATAATACAGATGCCTTTTTCGAGTTGTTTTTTACTGGTATTTTTTTTGGTACTCTTGAAAGGCATTGATCAAACACAATATCGTCAGATACTGCCGTTGCTTGACCATGGCTCGCTCTTGAGCTGATAGTTGCATTAGCTGTTGAAACTAAAGCACATGACCTCGCGCTCAACTCGCGCCAGTATCCTACGATGCAACGCGCCAAGTTAGGTGCGCTATACCATTAAGTTTAGCCAAGTTGAACACTTGCGAGGTGTCACAGTATTGAAAGTGGTGTTGGGTCAATTTCATGGTATAGGCACATTAAATAGGTGGGTATTAAATGTGCCAGCTCTAGTACGTACTGAACTCCCATGTGTGTTCATGTTAAAGTCTTACCTTCTACGTATGGCATTGTTCGCGGTGTATTCGTTACCTGCACTTCTATTTATGCATCCACCGTGGAAATGGGTTTGGTAAGTGCTACAATATACAACAAACACTATATTCGTATTTATCATATTATTGCTAGCTCGTAGTTTTTAAGTGCGTTTGTGTTATAGCCTGCTTGTTAAAATGGTGTCTAAACACTGCCGCCTGCAGGGTAGTATCCGTCGAACAAGCCTTACCATGAAAGCCTACCTACTTAGGTAGGTAGGTACCCTAGTCCAAGACGATATATCTCAAAGTATCTCCTCTACGTTATTTACTGACGGAAACTGGGTAGGCCTGTATGTAGAATGGTGTCGCGAACGATATAGTGTGATTATTGTGACATCTCGAATGTACATATTCACATGATTCAAATAAAAATGGTACCTAACTTGCAGCTCAGCTAGTTTCAGCTCAGACAACTAAAGCAGGAGCTTGGAGCTCCCCCACATAGCTCCAACCGTTGCCCATATGTCGGCCAATTAAACACGCCATCATCAGTCGCTCAGCACCATGGCGCGTCATAGGTACCTTCCATAATTTACCACTGTTGCTCGTTGCTGGGTTGGTCTCTTTTGATTGTCGCAAACGCAAACGCTCCTCCGCCCGAAGCTGAAATCGTATCTTTCCATCATTTTCGTTCATCTCATAACAACCACCAATTTCATCATCCATCCTGCGATTTACGGAGCTCTATTCGCTCTTGACTTCTTTGTTCAATTGACTTCATATCCTCATCTATAGCACATCCTACCCAAGTCGCAATGTCCGACGCCACAGAGCAGACCGCGCCCGTCGTTGAAGAGACAGTCATGGCCAACAATGAGCCTGAAGTCCAAGCTACGGAGAACTCAGCCGAAGACACTCTTGATTCCGCTGATGGTGCCGCCAAAGTTACTGAGCAGCTAGAGTCTGCCACCATAACCCCCGCTGTTGGTACTCCCAACGTTGACACCCCTAACACCGATTACCTTATCGCGAACGACCAAGACCCCAACTCTAAGAAAGTCACTCTTGCCGACTTGTCCGCAAAGGGCGCCGCCCTGTATGCCCACAGGAACTACGAAGAGGCTGCCGAGGTGTTCTCCAGAGCCAGCATTCTTCAAGCTGAGATCAATGGCGAGACAGCACCCGAAAATGCTGAAATCCTCTTCCACTATGGCCGCAGTCTTTTCAAGGTTGGTCAAAGCAAGAGTGATGTTCTTGGAGGTCCTTCTGTTTCCGAGAAGAAGAAGAGCACGGAAGGCAAGGCAAAGAAGCCTGCCCAGACCGAGGCCGACAAGGTGACACAGGAAGGTGTCGGCATTGTCGCCGAGCAAAAGGAAGGCGAGAAGAAGACAGAGGATATCAAGGGAGATAAGAAGCCCCTTTTCCAGTTCACTGGTGACGAGAACTTCGATGAGTCAGATGAAGAGGAGGTAAGAGCTTCTCTGCAGCCGTGACTTTCCATGACATGCTGACAATACTGTTAGAATGCTGAATGCGAAGAGGACGAGGAGGAAGACGATGATCTGGCCACCGCATTTGAAATCCTGGACCTCGCCCGAGTGTGTTACATGAAGCGTCTTGAGGCACTTGAAAACGAGCAGTCGGAAGAGAGCGGCAAGGGCAAGGAGGCTGCTGAGGATTCGCCTACTATTCGACACGTAAAGGAGCGTCTCGCTGACACTCACGATGCCCTCTCTGAGATCTCTCTTGAGAACGAACGGTACGCGCATTGTCCAAATTCATCCTAGCCTTGTCATGTCCCTAACATCTATGCAGATACCCTAACGCCATTGAGGATGGCCGAACCTCGCTCAAGTTCAAGATGGAGTTATACCCCGAGGAGTCGGAGATCATCGCTGAGGCCCATTTCAAGCTCTCACTGGCTCTGGAATTTGCTTCCGTGACTACAGCTGGTGATGATGGCGCGAATGCCAAGCGTGAAGACATGGACCAGGGTCTGCGCGACGAGGCTGTGAAGGAGATGGAGCTGGCAATCAAGAGCTCCAAGCTGAAGCTTCAGAACAAGGAGGTCGAACTGGCTACCATGGCCTCCCCTGAGGATAATGAACTGGCGCGAAAGTCTATCCAAGAGATGAAGGAACTTATCGGCGATATGGAGCAACGGGTAAGTTGTCGAGTTCATTGATCCTGTTAGGATATTTGTGTGTGTTCCTCTGCTGACTTTTTTCTTTCTTATAGCTTGTTGACCTGCGCAACGATCCGATTGACGCTAAGGATATCCTGGGCGCTGACGCTGGACCCATTGGCGGTATTCTTGGTGCTGCCATCGGCGAGTCTGCTGCTGAGACAAAGGCTCGGGTGGACGAGGCCAAGAAGACCGCCACCGACCTCAGCGGACTGGTCCGCAAGAAGAACAAGGACGAATCTACTGGGGGATCCGACACTGAATCTAATGGCAAGCGAAAGGCCGAGGAATCGGTTGAGGACGCCGAGGCCAAGAAGGCCAAGGTCGATGCCTAGGAAAAGCAGGTAATTGTATGTACCATTGACTACGACCACACAGTGAAAAAACAAACATGGCGTTGGGAGTATTACGATCTCGCAAGACGATCAGGCGATGGATTATTTCGGAAAGGGGCAGAAAGGACGGAACGAACTGCAAAGCTGCTAAAAGATACTCTGAGTATGTGGCACAGGTGTAAAACTACAATGACTGATGTACGATTAATAAGGGGCTTTGATTTGACATAATGGAACAATATTCTGAAAGGAGTGGCGCATAATTGATGAGTGAAGACATGAACTGCATCATATACATAAATCACCATAAGAGAGATGGGAAACCCCCAGATTGACATGCATCAAACATGAAAAAGTGCGTTTCTACTAAGAATCGCTCGCAAGCCATGCAAACACCCCTTCGTTACTTTTGACACCATATGCCCAACCCAAACAGCAAAAAGAAACAATATCCTTTCCTCTCCAATATCTTCCTCCCTCCCAGGGCGCTACTACTACAGCTTGTAATTGCCGCTTGAAGCAAGTTTGACAGTCTTTGCCTTCTTGCCGTCCACGTCGGTGATCTCTCCCTTGCGGTTGATGACCTTGACACCGCCCTTTTTGAGGTCGGCGATGGTGTCGCGCTGCATCTTGGCCCGCTTGCTCATGACCTTGTCGCCGTCGACACCGCCCGCCTTGCGCACGCGCTCCTTCTCGCGGCGGCGTCGGCGAGACTTGTCCTCGCGCGACATCTCCTGGCGCGCCACGGGCAGACCGGCCTTGGTGACGACCTCGCCCTGGGCAGCATTCTCGGTGGTTCCAGCCTTGTAGATTTCTTGGGGAGCCATGCGGCTGCTCTCGCCGGCGACACCCTGGGCTGTTGTAGGCTGAGCGTCCTCCATCGCGATGGTGGCGACATCTGCGACAACAGATAGTGAGGGGGCTGTGGGCTTGGGCTTGTAATGCCATGAGCTGAGGGAGTCGAGGCGAGCGCAGACGTCCTTCCACATTGCCTCGACCTCCTTCTCCTCGCGCTGGAGTTTCTCGTCTGACTGGTTGACGTAGGTATCCGGGTTTGTGTTCTTTACATGCTCTTCCTCGTAGATCTCTGCCAGGCCCTTTGTAGCCTTGGTGTCCTCGAGCTCGACGAGTCCTCGGCGTGTACCTGCAGCCGCACCCTCTGTATCGGGTCGGCGCTTGATGACTTCGTCGAATTCCTGGGCGAGAATACGGCGCTTGATGAGATCCTCGATGCTCTCGCTGATCTCCGGGGTAATGACGGGCACAGGCTTGCCAACGTGCTCAAAGTCAAGATCCTGCTCGAGTAGCGAGTTCGTAGGTCGATCAACAGCAGTGGCCTCACCTGAGAGAGTCCACTCTCGCTTGGCGACGGAGGCGGCCTCTAGCTGACGGATTTCCTCAGCAAGCTTGGCTTGTCTCCGCTCGTGAGCTGAGCGTCGTGACTTGGGGTCTCCAGCAGAGACATCGGAGAGGGCATCGTCAGAGTCTTCTTGTTCTGACTCATCGTCAAAGAGATCCCTTCGAACATCTGCCATGGCCCTCTCAACGTCCTCATCATTGGGCTTTTGAGGCTGGAACTTGACAGACTTTCTGGGCCTGCCACCCTTGAACTTTTTGGCCGGTGGCGCAAAGAAGTCCTTGTAGTAGACCTCGTTTGCATTCATGTCGTTGGCTTCATCGTCAATTTCCTCATCTTCCATGGCCTCGTCCTCGCTGTCGCCTTCTGGTGCATCGAGAGCCATGTTGCCGAATGTAGGACCATCGTCCTCTTCATCATCTTCGTCATCTGAAACGGGGTCTTGGGCAGTCTTTTTGGACTTTGAGTCTGCCTTGGGAGGAGCCATTGGATCGGCGTCCCAGTTGATTTCCTCATCATCGCTCGCTTGATCTGTGTAAGGGTCTCCCTTTGCGTCCTGTTCCTCGAAATATTGTGATTGCCGGTTGAAGTCGTCAAGAGAGAAGAAGCCATCGTTGAGACCATCAGGATCCTCCTCATATTCCTCGACTGGTCCATCGTCTTGATCCTCTTCCTCATCATCTTCTTGGTAATCGTCCCTGCCTTCCTCAACCTCCTCTGCTTCGTCGTCTTCCCAGTCATCCTCTAGTCCATTCTCGAGTGCTTCATCTGCTGATATTTGTTCTTCGTCCTCCTCCCCAGATACATCTTGGTCGCTCGCATCCTCATCCTCGTCATCGGAATCCACCTCGAAACCGTCCTCTCCGAACTCGAGCGTTTTGGAGTCTGCTGCGCTAACGCCGTTTGTGGCGATCTCCTTACGCTCCTCCAGCTCAGCCAGAGTCTCTTCGGAGTACTTCAAGACACCACCAATGATTCTCTTGGCCTGCTGCCAAACCTGCCCTGTCTCGAATCCATCAATGTATACCTTGCGCATTTTCAGAACATCCTCACTTCCGACAGCGCCTCTCTTGCGCTTGCGGTTTTCCTTTAATCTCTCTTGCTGCTCATCGCCGACTTGCGAGGCAAAGCCCTCGAGGGTGTGCTTGACGAGGTTAAGAGAATCGGTAGGGATCGAAGCGTTTGGCTGAAGAAACGAATGGCGTTTGCCGTCGACGAGGCTTGCGAGAAGAGCCAAGACATGACTATTCGGGAGAGAACCGGGAGCAGACATTGCGGGCGGCGCGGCAGTCAATGTATGTGAGGTAGAGGTGAGCGATGGCGACGTCTGGACGGCCATGCTCTGGTGTGAGTTGATCAAGCAGAGCTGATTTGCACTGCTTTTAGACTGCGCAAGGCTGTGCTATGGAGGTAGCGTTGTGCGATTGTCGTGATTTGTGATGACTTCAGTGAAGTTGAAGTTGAAGCTGAAGACGAGATGAGACCTGATAAGAAAAAATTTGGGAGAGTTGACCAGGCCCCGCGAAGAATAAGTTTTGGGTGATATGATTGGCCAATCATGCAGTGCTAATAATGGTGATAAGCGATAAGCAATGAGCCTGTTGCGCTTGACTGATTGTACCCGGACGGATACGCATACATGGATTCTTATGTCGAGTTTTGCAAAAAAGAATGACATGTTTCAATTTTTAACCCTTTAATAGGAATGGGGGTCAAACGAACTGCCCACTGTGCTCATTTCTTCAACTCAACACCCAGGTATGGACTTGTTCACTACCTCTTAAGTACTCATGTAGAGAGCGGGTACTTTGTCTTATGCATAACCCATACTCTTTGCTCACGGTAGATTTCATCGTATTTTCGTGATCCGGCCTCTATCGACTTAACAGCTTCTTTTGATATTGCTAGTTCTCTTGGTATATCGACTCCACGAGATGACTTCACTACAACGTTTCACGCTGTCAGCCTGTCACTACTGGAACTCCCTGGGCCTCCACTAGGTAACATAGGCTAACCCTAAGGATACAATACTCTTTCCTAGTAGTCATTGACAACCAAGGATCGAAGTAATGGAGAACTCGAAATCATGAATTTGCAGTATCGTATCAAAGCAAGCACCAGCCTGACTAGCCCATCACATGCCCTGCCCATCATGTACTTCGTCACCATAAGGTCAATTCATTCGCCCCATCCGTATACCCATGCCTCCAGCGCCTACCATACTCTCACACTATCCCAGCCGAGACCTTACCCATTAAGAGTCTCTCATGATACACCCAGGCATAGCCATGTCAGGCGGTTATTTAAATCGAAACAATCAGGCCAAGCCCAACAAACAGGATATTGAAAAACAATGTCAACGAAAAGTAAGCAACAAGCGATAAAGCAATAGAACCTGCAATCGTCTCCAGGAAGACAGCAGGTTTAAGAGCGGACCCCGGAAACGCCTCATGTCGCGGAATCTTAGCCGCTCTCACCGACCAGAAGCCTAACCGGGCCTCACGCTTTCATACAAAGGAAATGACATATCGAAAGGGGAAACCATAATGCGGGAACGTCCATAAACACAGAAGAGGAGCAATAGTCGTATGCTGCTCCGCATTTTCCGTCTCGATTCGTTGGGATCGAGTGAACCCTAGTGGAAATTAGGATAGTGTTGAATGTTGAAATAGTGTGAAAACAATTTCGAAAGGGTTGTAACCAATAACTGGCTGAAAGGCGAGAACCGGGTTTCAAGCAAGCAGCCTCGCATCGTTGTTGGGATGAAGCTGGCTCTAAATCTCCATCCGGCCTGCAATATCTTCGCTCATGAATCTATCAGGACTTCCATCGAGCATATCCATGTCGTCGATATCATCGTCAAACTCCTCGTCGGAATAGGCAACAAGATCTCCATCTTCTCCGCGGTTCCAATAGAGACCATCGTCGATGAGCTCTTCGTCATCTTCGTTAAACGGCACCAACTCCGCATCTTGGTCACCAAGCCAGTAGTTGGCGCGCTTCTGTGCACCAGCTGATTCGATTTCTTGCTGGTTGCTGTGGTTCCTTGCAAGATTTGTGGGCCGAAGAGTTGGGCTGTGTGATGAAATGACTGGCACCACGCGGACATAAAGATATGCAACTCGCTTTAAGGCTCGGTTGAAGAAGAAGTAATGTGAAGCCCAAATTGCACTCTCATCTTCTTCAAAAGGGTCGTTGTCGGGATGGTAGCTGAATATCGTGCATTCGTTGAGGTGCATTTCCTTGTCAATCAAAGACCAACATTGGGGGCCCCAAATAGAAGTTGTCTCGCTACCCAAGGAAGATCCAAGAGATTTAGGCTCAAAATTTGGCCTGACGTTCTGGAGGATAGAATCGAGGTTCACCATAACGCGGCGAAGGTTACGTTCCCGCTTAAAGTCGTTGGGCCGAAGAACGTGGGAGAAGTCGTAGTGCGGGTGACTCGCATTCAGCGTCGCGATAAGGTATGCAAAAGTCTTGCGACTTGAGAGTTCTGACAAGGGACCGAAAGCACTTGAGTGTGAAAACAGTTGCATGCTCGGTGATGTGGCCAGCATATGCGCGCGCTCAGGTGGTGAGAGGCTTGCGCCTAGCTTGAGTAGAGCCTCATGCTGAGAGTTGAGGTCGTTGTCGATGTTTTTGTAAAGTTTCTTATCGGACCCTGTCGATTTGGTTGTGTAGAGATCGCATCCGCCGGTGACATTACAGTCAGGTGTGTTGAAGTTGAGTGCACTCGTCACCGCCTCGAAGTCTTGTACCGGTAGATACTGTGATGCGCAAGTTAGCATGCGATGGAAGCGGGTAATCGTCGCAGGCTCAAGAAGTCGCCTACCTTCATTTTGAAGGTTGATAAGCGTTGTGGTTGTGGGATTGCGATGGAAACGTCGTGGTGGTGATGCGCTGGACGGTAACTGCGTGATGCGACTGACTGATTGAATGAGCAGTCAAGGGAACAGATTGCGTCAGCGTGGAGTTTTGGTGGGCCGTAGTCGGAAGGTGACAGTTGTCGCGATACTGGGAGAAATGCGACAGGTTTGTGAGGGTTGAAGTCGTAAGGTATACTATTAATACCACTCGCGATGGACCTGGGTGTTGCCGTTTGAAAAGAAGGGGGGATTAGGATGAGGGTGACTGATAGTGGATGTGGATGAAGACAAGGAAGGAAGATCGCCGGAGCCTGCTGCGGTTCGGGAGGGGTTGTGGTCACTGGTCAGGAACTTAAAACGCGGCTGCTCAGTAAGTGGTGTCGATGGTGTGAACTCTGTAATGCGAGGCGAAGTGAAGCGAAGCAGCCGGGAGGACCCTGTGAATCTCAAATAAGATCGGAGATAAAAAGGAGATTGGAACGAATCCGATTCAACGTTGATGACGAAAGATAAAGGATGTACCGGGCGCAGGGACCGTTCAAGATTGGACAGGAGATTGCCGGGTGTACCTGGTCGATTCGACTGATGATGAAAGGGGGAAGTGGTTGATGTCGAGATAAGCAAATAACGGGATAAGCATGTAATGTTCACGTATCAAAACCAAGGAAACACAAGACCAGTAAATGGGCGACAGATGGGGGCGGCAATTGAATTGAATGGACAGATGGGAATGAATGGAGTTGGCCGGCTTCGGCATGGGCTGTCGGCCTGTCGCCGTCTGAGGTCAGCGGATGGCCCGTCAGTACCTGGGTAGGTAGCTTTTGTCTTTCGGTTGCATACGTAGTACTCCGTAATAGCGTTTGTTGAGTTGCGTCGCACTGCTTGTTGTCTAACAAAGACGTGTAAAACCCACCCAGAACTGGTGTGATTGATGCTGCGGCCATCCACGGGGTCTCAATACCAGCTCAGTTTCTGTGGTCTGGGCTGGCTGAGCTGAGCTGAGCTCTACCCCGGCCCCGGTCCCGGCCAATCTTGAGGAGTCCGGGGATCACGCCAGCTTTCGGTACTGTCAGAAACCCTGCCAGGCCCATGATTCTTTTCTTGGCTCTCATGAGACAAGACTCTGAACTTAGGACCCCTAATTGATTAGTTGTTCAGCGTAAACCTACATCTAATCCAATCAATTCGCCCATGTTTTCATCGACCATCTGACGGTTCAAGTGAAGATCTGGATGTGTGAGTTTGGTGCGCTGCAATAGGGCGCCATCTCCCCACGATTGACCAACAGCAGCGAATGAGACTCTGCCCCGAAACCACGCGCTTCTGTCGAGCGTTGTCCCCGGCATGGTCAATCAGATTTGAATAAAGGATCGGGTCCATCTTTCAGTCATGATCTAACGTCAGTTTCGAAATGAAAGAGAAAAAAAATTGGATAATAGGCAAATGAGGTCAATCGCTTTCTGTTGATTCTGGTTGCGGGGTGGAGGTGTTGCGACGGAGCAATGCGGTTGACTTCGGGTACGTTGAGCGTGAGAGGGAATCAAACGTGCCAGGCTCGAGCGTCTTCAGTGGCATGCAACGTCTAGTGATGATCATTGCTGCAGTTCTCTGGCATCGGCGTTCAAGGCTGGCCGCCCTTCACTTCTTTTTCGATGCTTGACTCATGAAGGGCCCGGAGCCTGAGCAACGTCCCTCTGCACTGCCCGCCGCAGCTGTCGCAACACCACCCCCCTTGGGCCTCATCTCTTGATATGAAAGAAGGTGGTTTTCCACCGTCAAAGATCTACAAAACAAGGCCATATTCCCAAAACACCACCTGCGCCGGTTCCCACGATGTAAACATGCGTGTCCTCTCTTCCCATCGAAGAGATGCTCAGCCGCCCGAGACTTTCACCTTACAAAACCCCTATCTCCTTGAGAGATCCTATTATTTGTTCGTCGGCCTATCGATCCAAAGTCAATCCTCGGCTAGTAAGTATACTGCGACTTGTATGAAAGTGTTTGTTATGATGTTGGCTTGTTGGTCTGTCGATCCGACGTTTCGTGAGGCGAGGTAGAATGGATGCCGGGCAGCAATTAAAGGCCTTCGCAGAGGGTTTACATGATCTTTGTAACTTCATCCTCGACCTTGTTGGAAGATTGGCGTCAGCTGTCATGCGGCGATGTTGGGTAGATGGGTATGGATTGCCGGGCTATCACGAAACTTCAAAGTTTATCAAGCTGGTCATGACTTACCTCCATATCTTCAAGGGAGTCTTGCTGACCGATGCAGCGTAAAATATTCTTTTTGCTAGTTTCCTGCAGCTCGCCGGCGAGGAGGATTTCGTCGAGAATGTAGTACGCCTTGGTGAATGAGAAGATAATGTCGAGCTCGCAAACGTTGCCGTAGTACTTGTCCATCTGCTCAACGTATCGGTGAATAATTTCGAGTGTAATCAGCTCGTTATCTTCTGACGAGCAACCGGCAATGAAGAAGAGCGAAGCATATCGACGGTAGACGATCTTAGTATCTGCCTTGGGAGTTAGCCTGCACTCGTCCAAACAAAGGGGTTCAAGGAAGCTGACCCTTATACTCGAGAAAGTTGCACATGCGCGTTCTGCGAGCGAGCACAAGCTGAGACACATCCTTGACAATCTTGGCCTTGTCCTTGGGAGAGAGCGTCGTGAACCATTTGGCAAGGCGCTGTTATGACGAGTCAGTGGTGTTTGTTGGAGCTGAGCATGTGAGTAACTGAACGCACCACTTTGCCCTGACGGGATAGGAGAATGAGGTATCTGTAGAATTAACTCTTCATCAGCGGGCGGAAGTGATCGAGCAACCATGGAAAATCATACTGGATCGCCATGGTAATCTATCGTGCCTGCTTGGAGGCGTGAAGTCAAAGGCAGGGAAATGTTTCGAGAGATGACGGAGGATGCAATTCTGGCTTCAAGGTGGACACAGAAGCGATTTGGTGGGTTGGTGACGAGCGAGCTCCAGGTTAGCCTACCACGGCGCACGGTGATAAAGTGGTCTAGGCTCCAGCCAATCCGCTAGGCGCCAGGCCCAAATACTCCGGCACTGACTGGCCTAAAAGGTTACCGCATGAGGAGTACCTAGAAACTCCAGACCTCCAATTCTTCTAGTTGTACTCCGTAATTAGAACATTATCCTAATGAATCTAATTGTAACACTAAGTTTTAAGAATTAAAGTAAGTGTAATAAATTGGATTTGGATTTGGCTTTACTATGTATAAGCTATACATATTTACATTAATATTGGAATGGACATAGAAATGATACATGTTCCCAAATAGGATTCAGTTTCTCTACATCTAAATGGCGAGGCCCAGGCTCTGAAATCAAGCCAAGCCACGGACTCATCTCGACGCAAGCTTCTATCTTAAAAGATATATATGTTAGATTGGGTTCATTAAATCAGAAGCAGAAGTTGACACATAAATATGAGCGTACTTCGACATCAACAGACCAGAGCATTCGCCAAGAGGAACACCATATAGGGTTGGAGAAGAATCGCCAATCTTGACATGAAATAAACGGTAACAGGCGGTTCGTCATATATTGACCAACTCCTGTCAAGCACGCGACCGTTCCGACTGATGTCAGGTCCAGGGCGCTTATTGTTGGCGGCTTTGTGTACCTAGGTAGCCACCAAACTTACTCACTCGCAGTCATTTCATACTCTCTCATGTGCGCTAATGGTTGGGCGCTGAAGTGCAATACTGCTGTCATGACAAACATTAATAAATAGCACCAGATATATACAAGCGATATCCCTCGAAAAGCTGCTTATTAACCTTTATCCAACGAATAAACTTTACTAAGCTATCTATCTACCCCACGCAATCGAGCTTGCGATAGACTATTTCGTTCCCAACTGCGGGTTGCTGGCGTCTCCGAGTTTACGCCTCGAAGACCCCGACGGCGAAAATTTCCCTCTTCCCATACTAAAAGTATCGTTCTCGAACCATTCTCCTCCGACCTTCTCCTCTTCTTATCCGTGAATCCCTATACTCTGCCACCCTCACAGGTTTATATCGCACATTTTCACCATGACGAGACTTCTTCTATCCACAGCGTATGTTTTTGTCTAACTTCTCTTCGGATCTATGCTTACAAAACCCCTCTCGGTAGCAATGTCATGTTGGCCGGCCCCTCCATTATTCGCAAACCTGGAAATAACAGATCCAACCTCGAACTCGTCAACTCTCTACGTGACAATATCGCCGAGGCCCAACGCGACTACGCGATCGATCCGCATGGAAGCAACGGCTTCACGAACGGCGATGCGCCCAACGGCAAGCACACAGCTGCCGAGCTCTGGACTGAGCAACAGGGTGGTGCGCTGTATGTCCCTCGCATTAACTGGAACGCTGCGGGGTTACAAGAGGAACCCAGCCAGTATGAAATTACCGTCAAGTTCTTTGTTCTACCCGGGATGCCTGTCGCTGCTCGGGAGCAACACGTAAAGGAGGCTCTTGACTTGGTCCGGAGAGAACTCGGCATCAAGACTATCGATCTATTGATTGTGTCTTTCCCAGGTGTTTCATTCGAAGGAACATGTGAGTGGGAGGCAGACAAGACAAATGCTCAACAGGGCAACCTTGAGGAGGAGCTTGCGACTTGGAAGGTATTCGAGAGCCTGCACAAGCAAGGCCTCGTGAAGCGTCTTGCCGTGGCTGAGTTCGGCAGTGAGAAACTGCGTGCTTTTATCAAGCGCACAAGCGTTCGACCTGTTATTGACCAGATCAACCTGCGCAACTGCTGCGATGTCCCACCTCCACTGAAAAAGTTGGCCGAAGACGAAGGCGTTGAACTGCACGTGCACAACGACTGTACCGACATTCTTCCCCACGGCACTCTACGGGAACTCCTTAGCCACGGCCCGAGAGGCGCCGGCCTGCTCGCCGATCCCGGAAACAACGGAGCCGGCCTTACGGGAGAGCTCATCCCTGAATGGGTTGTGCGATACACAGCTTTCGTACAGGATCGAGGCGTCATAGAGAACAAGGGTTACTTTGCTGGCGCAGAGCTGGTGGGACAATAGTGGAAGATTCCGCCGTGGTCGCGGAAAAAGAAAAAAATATAAGGAGAAAGAGAAGACAACGGAGTGCCGTGATATGTTTGGATCTTGAACCACTCTTGATAGGATATGGTGGCATTATTCGTCCATTGGGCTTTTTTTGGCAAATCAGCGAGCATCAGATACACGGAGTTTAGACACTATGGTAGGGAAATTGGCTGCAAGACGGCTTTTCTGTTTTTGTTTACCCGAGCATGCTTCGCTTGCGGCCTCTCATCCGTACGTCTTCTAACTTCTTGAGCACAATATTGGCTTGCTTGAAAGTCTGGCTATAGGCGTCAAGCACCTCTGAGAAGACACATTCTGCTCGAGGGTGCGTGCTACCAAAGGCTCTCTCTAGAACGTAGAGATCTACTGCCCGGTCCTCGTCTGATATACTTCCACTCGCAAGGCCCAGATCGATGATGACCAGCTCCCCGTGCAGCGGAGTATCATTTTCAGGGTTGACTGGTGGCTGCAGCATCATGTTGCTTGTAGTCAAGTCGCCATGGACAATTCCCACCTTGTGCATGTTGCCTATAGCAGTGCCGATCCTGCGCATGAGATCTTTCAGCTCAGCATCTTTCTCGATCCCCTCTGTTCTATTTCCTAGGCGCTCGTTGATGCTCTTGCGGACAGGCCCTCCCGAGATCCATTCCAGCATCAACCACCCAGCAGCCTCATCAACGGCGTAGACAGCTGGGACGCGGACACCATCACGACGGCACTTTCCGAGAATGCGGGCCTCTGAAAGAATTCGGTGTTTCGTGAGTCGTTGATCGAGGATCGGGTGCCGCCAGGGCTTGGGAGGGCGATACTTGAGAGCGCAGGGAATATCGGGTAATAGATAGGTTGTTTTGTAGAGACGACCCTCGGCACCTTGTGTGATGAGGATTGGCGGGGTCGACGCGGGGTATTCGAGGATCTTTGGGAGGGGAAACTGATGCGCTTGCGCCGCGGGGTCAGCGGCCGCCGAGGCCGTAGTTGTCGCCATGAGATTTAATTATTGTTGAGCAAGGAGGAGGATGATGCTGGTAGCGGAGAATGCAAAGATGCTACCGGTGGAGAAAGATCTGATGGCTCTGTCGAGCTGCAAGCCTGGCGCAGGTACGGGTACAGGTACGGATACGTGAAGTCAGTTGAGTGTGATTCTCAGAACCTTGAAGGTGACGAGATGACAAGGTGAGGGAGGGGGTGACAATTGGCACCACCTTCAGCGGCTTTTGCCTTCAACGGCCCGCGATACGAGGGAGGTTTTTACTGGGTGCCAAACTGACAGCGGCGTTTCTAGGCTACTTCAAGTACCTATATTCCATGGAACATGGGTTTGATGTCCTTGTATCTCAACACCAACTTCTCTTCTCTATTTACCCCTCGATTGTGAACAACGAATGACTCAAGTCATCTTCACAACTCGAGTTGCTTCTCAACAAAACCAATGTCTTACCCTTCCCTTTCATCGTCCTCAAGCCCTAGACTCGATCCACTGACCTTTCTTCTAACCCTAATTCCAGACCTGAGATCCATGCTCATGGCCCTTTCGCACCCTGAAATAACCGAGACACTACTCAAATAAGCCTAGCATAGCGTCCTGCAAGAAGTGGTCACATCCAACCGATGGTGATGGTCAAACCTGTGTCCTGCAGATAAACCCACCCGGAATGCAATCCAGTCCGCCAATGCAATGTAAAAAACCCGCTGGACGGTTCGGCAGCGCAGCATTAAGGCTAGTTTCGAGCAGGCCTTGTGGTGCATGCTATTAAACCCATGACAGCGGCGAGTAATTTGATGGATGGCTATGATGTGCACTGAGAGGTACAGTACAGACGGGTGAGACGTTTTATGTAAACCACCATCAGTCAGCATCGCCAGATATATACGGAGTACATCTTGGACCGGCACTTCCGCTGCTTTCCACGGGAGAACCCCCCGCTTACCCGAGCCCAAGGCCCAAGGGGGCGATACCCAGTGGCATCAGTGATCAGTCAGACAATTTAATTACGGTACAACGCCATCACCAAGTCGCTCATCCCACTGGGCCATGTGATGACTGACTGCCATCGTTAGCTGCATCTGCACCTGCAGGGGGCATTTCTCTATCCCCAGCCATCCATATCTGCGCCAAGTGGCCTAGCAGCGTCGCTCAAGCGCGAACGGGACATGGAAGCTCGGGTTGTATGAACCTAGAAGCTGCTAACGTGAATAAGTACCACTACCTTATGGATGCTCTAACGTGCTTGGTTGGTATTAGAACGCACACAAACGTGGGTTGGGGTTGAGTTTGCGATTTGGTTGTGGTTGCAAGTTGTTGGTTGCGCTTGTGCCTGCTCTTCGTCATCGCTCCTGTCCCTTGCTTTGCCTGCATCTTTGTGCGCCTCTTCCCCTTCCTGATCCTCCTCTCCCTTTTCTTTCTCCCACAAACACATCAAAGACCATGCGCGATAGCTTCACCCTCCGCCTCGATCTGCCATCTAGACGCTCTGCTCAACCATGGCCGAGTCCAATCTGCTCCAGTGGACCATCATCCTCATTCTGATCGCCGTGATCCTGTCCCTTACTGTCCTCGTCCAGATCGTTTCCTCTTACACAGCCGCCTACCAAGCGGCGCCGCTCGAGATTGGAACATTTGTTGATACTGCCGACTTTTCCGTCCAGGAGAATGAGAGTTATGATCGCGATGTCGCAAAAGTGCAGCGCCTGGATGACAGAATACGCTTGACACGCCTTCTAAGGGAGATTCAAAAGACGGGCGATGATTTGCGCGAGGACATCAATGGCATGGTGTTTGAGGAAGACACCACCAAGCTGAAGACTACCGCTAGGCTGCTCTGGGCGTCGAAGCGTTCGAGATTGGAGGACCGGGTTCGTAGACTTGACATGCTACGCATGCGCTTTCTTGTTGTCTACATGGGCGTCGTCGCATCACACACAAACACCACTTCTCATGAGAAACATTCTCTACCTCCGCCTCCAACCCCTCTGCCTAGGACTAGGGATCTAGAAAAGTCGCCTGTTTTTAAGACCCCAACTCGTCCTATTTATCCTAAAGGCTTGATGGAGGGAGTTCTTAACCGCCCTCCATTACGCAGTTTGACCACCCAAGGCCTCGTTAATCACCCAGAGCCCGATACCCAACCCAGCCGTAAGGGCTGGGCGGGAGTCGTCCAGGAGTTGCAGAAATCGCCCAGGATGCATCAACGGCACGCCTCAATTGAGCGCTCAATGTCAAAGTCTTTCTCAAAGTTACCATGAGCTTCTAGCATCGGTTTGGCCATAGACTCGTTGGTTTTCTTTTACATTTTGGTTTTCGGTTACAGCGACACAGCATAACTCTTACAGGCTGTCCAGTGCGACAATACAGCATGGACATTACACACATTACACGGCGTTCTTGGCGCGGCCAGGTGGCTACCAACATATTATGAAACAGTATGGTCTGGCATGATAGCGGACGCTTCACCACAGTTATTAGAGGCAAAGTTGAACGAGTTATGATTAACGAAGGGTTGGTTTGGCAAGGGCGAGAGCATGAGAGTATTGGGATATGAGATCATGGGAGCATGAGGAGTTCGGTTCATCATTTTCATTTCACTTCTATATATGGGACGATACCCCCTGGTTCACGACTTATCGTCGTGGAGTTTCCTTTGGACGGCTGTTGTAAAACTCTTATCTTGGCTTGCTTTGGTTTATGAGTTTACTATTCATGATCAGGGCAGACCCTTATTTTTTTCTTATTCTATCTCGTTGTTATTTGGAAGCTATGAAGGGCATGGCCCTCTATCAATGATCCGAGACAGCTTCTGGGCCAGTACCGTTCCTCTCTCCGACTATAGCGTTGTTAGTTTCAGTCAGAGCGAATACAGGGTTATGATCATTGGCTTACCGTCGAGTGCCACCAAGAAACGGCTTACACAGTTGTAGCATGCGACCTGTTGGTGTTAGATCAGGTTTCGTGAGTTTGTGGTACTGGGATCGTCTTACCGTTGCCGTGATCTCAACAATCTCTTGCTCGTTGAAGAACTCTCGCAGACGATCGAATGTCTCATCTTTAACCTGGACGTTCCTCGTCATCTCATCCGTGAAAAGCAGCACAGCCCATTGCTTTTCCGATAGCTCAGCAGGTCGTTCACCCAGGGTGTCCTGCTTGATAGCCTCGAGTCCAGCCTCAGAAACACCGCCCTTGACTGCCAAAGGAGCGTGGTGCTTCCACTCATACCACGCCTTGTTGCAAACAGCAACCCGGGAAATGGAAAGCTCGCGCAAATCGTCACTTATAGACGTCTTGGTGCGTACAGCGCCGAGGAATGAGTTCCAGCCGTCAGCAACATGAGGCGAATGAAGAAGAGCCAAGTCCAAGGATTGGAGAGGACGGGGGTTACGTCGTTCTTCTATACGCTTCACAATGGCGGCATGTTCCTCCGTCTTGGTCTCAGGGGGGTTAGAAACGTAAGGGATTCTCATGATGACTGGTGTAAGTCGTTATGATCGGGATGAGCCAAGAACGGTATAGTTGAGTATGAATGCGGGGGATATACGAAGTAGGTTATAAAGCTGAGCCTGCAGTGGGAAGTATGAGGGAAAAGATACTAAGGAATGATCGAGTGTCTCTTTGTATCTGGTTGGTTATATGTTCATCCGGACTTGCGCGGGGTCGGGTTTGAATCGCAACTCCCGACTCCACTTCCCGAATTTCGGCGCCGAGAGACGGAGGTTAATTCCGGCTTATAGATCATGAGATTCCGAGAGAAGCGAGTTTCGAAATTGTAAAAAGATAGTAACTGGAATGTATGTCCCTGGCCTACTTGATAAATACTGGTGTCTTTAATAGACGGCATACAAGTTAACAATAAAGGAAAGCTCTTAGAATTAAACAGCTGAGGGCGCTCTAACTGCAGAGTACTCTTATATAAACAGTCAATAAGAACACCGGAGTAAGGTGAATATCCATGAAAGTTGTTTCTCTGTCAAGAGCCCTAAAATAGAGGAGGGTTCCTTTTAGCGACTCTATATGTTGAATAAGTCGCAAGGCAATAGCATTGCCTGTTGTTCAGCCTGTCTAGCTTCACTCAATCCCACGTTTCCGTGACTGGCTTTTGTCAATATATCGTCACTCTCGTTATCGAATTTTCTCTCCATATCCATCGAATGGATTTTCAACTACCAATGATTTGAAAGTGATATAAATGCGTTGGTTGACAAGCTAGCTCTTAGCACTTTGATACCTCGACTTGGTTGCTCCACCAACTCCCAGTGTTTGTTCACTACTTCATCTCCCAAACTTATGCTCCGGGTATGCGTAGGATAGTCAATGGAAAAGGGTGAAAGATTAGAACAGACAAGAAAACTGGTACACACCTTAAAACAAGAGGTATTATATGCTCTAATCATACTCACTAAATCTCCATTTCGATACAGAGTACAATACCTACTGCGACTTGCTTGATTCAAGCTTGGATCGCAAGGAACGCGCTGCGCAAGATCACGTGATAGGGAGCTCCAACTTGGATCATTAACGCGACCTCACTTTTTCTCGCGTCGTCGCAACCTCCCGTCATCAGCTCCTCGCCCCTACAGCTTTACCCCGTCACTCTCGATCGCGCATCCATCAGCCAAGATGGCCGAGATCAAGATTGACAGCAAGCTCTTCCAGGAGCGCATTTCACACTTTGTGACTGCCTGGAAGAATGACCTGCGCTCCAAGGATAGTCTCTTCAACGGCGCCCAGTCCCTGATTGTGATGATGGGCAAGGTTGAAGAGATCCCCGAATTTCACAAGAACAACGCGATTCACGTATGTGACTCCTTCCCCCGAAACGAAAAGTCGAAAATTGGACACGAAATGAATACTTACAATATCTTAGTTCTGGCTCCTTGGATACGAGTTTCCCACAACATTAATGCTATTTACGCTGGACACGCTGTTCATTCTCACAACGGCAAAGAAAGGTGCGCCTGCAGAATTTGTTGCTGCCTAACGTGACTCATACTGACTGCATCCCAGCCAAGCATCTCGAACAGCTCAAAGGCGGCCGATTCCCGATCGAAGTGCTCGTGCGAGGAAAGGATGCTGTAGAGAACGAGAAGCTCTTTATCAAGCTTACGGACAAGATTAAGGAGGCAGGAGTAAGTTGGTCGATATTTCGACTTTATACACTTCTAACAAATGGGTTTCTAGAACAAAGTCGGCACCATTGCCAAGGATACCTCCCGAGGACCGTTCGTCGACGAGTGGAAGAAGCTGTTCGCCGATCAATGCAAGGATGTCACCCAGGTTGATATTTCCACAGCTCTTTCCACCTACGCCTTTGCCGTCAAGGATGAGAGCGAACTCCGAGCGATGCGAACTGCCTCAAAGGCCTGTGTTGCCTTGATGACCCCTTACTTCCTCGACGAAATGTCCAACATCCTCGACGCCGAAAAGAAGGTCAAACACTCCGTACTAGCCGACAAGGTCGATAAGAAGCTGGACGATAACCAATTCTGGAAGACCGTCGAACTCCCCAGCAAGGGCAAGCTTCCCTCTGACCTCGATCCTGCCCAGTTGGACTGGATTCTGGGACCATCGATCCAGAGTGGTGGCAAATACGATCTCCGATTTGCTGGCGAACCCAATGACGAGAACCTTCATGCTGGTATCATTATTGCCGCCATGGGCCTCCGATACAAATCATACTGCTCCACAATCGCACGAACCTACCTTGTAGACCCCAACAAGGCGCAAGAGAGCTGCTACAAGCTTCTCACCCTAATTCACAGCACCATCATCAAGGAGATCCGCGATGGCATGACAGCAAAGGAGGTGTACGGCAGGGCTATTAGCATTATCAAGAGCAAGAAGCCAGAGATGGAGAAGCATTTTCTCAAGAATGTTGGTTGGGGTATTGGATTGGAGAACAAGGATCCTACTCTTATTCTCAATGCCAAGAACCAGAGAACTCTAAAAGACGGCATGACCCTTATCATCAACACCGGTTTCCAAGATATTGAGAACCCTAACCCTCAGGACAAGAACAGCAAGGTGTATGCTCTTGTTCTGACTGACACCATTCGAGTTACTTCCGCGGAGCCCGTGGTGTTCACATCTGAGGCGCCCACGAGTGCTGATGCCAACTCATTCTTCTTCAAGGATGACGAAGAAGCCGAGCCCGCCCCTAAGAAGGAGAAGAAGGACTCTCGCGTTGGTGCCGTTGCTACGAAGAACATCACGAGCACAAGACTTCGCTCAGAGCGCACGACTCAGGTCGCTAACGATGACCTGGAGAAGAAGCGACGTGAACATCAAAAGGAGCTTGCTGCCAAGAAGCAAAGGGAAGGTCTTGCCAGATTCTCAGAGTCCACAAGTGGTCAGAACGGTGGCGAGATCAAGAAGTTCAAGCGCTTCGAGTCTTACAAGAGAGATAATCAGTTCCCCAACAAGATCAAGAACCTCGAGGTTGTTGTCGATATCAAGAACAACACAGTCGTGCTGCCTATCATGGGACGCCCCGTTCCTTTCCACATCAACACTATCAAGAACGCCAGCAAGAGTGACGAAGGTGAATGGTCTTTCCTGCGTATTAACTTCCTGTCTCCTGGCCAGGGTGTCGGAAGAAAGGATGATCAACCATTCGAAGATGCTTCGGCACACTTTGTCCGAAGTTTGACTTTCCGATCGTCTGATGGCGAGAGATACAACGAAATAGCAACTCAAATCTCCAACATGAAGCGCGATGTGGTCAAGAAGGAGCAGGAGAAGAAGGACATGGAAGACGTTGTCGAGCAAGATAAGCTTGTTGAGATAAGGAGTAAGTCGCCACCGAAACAAGCCCGAGCCCAGTCAATGCTAACCAATATCTAGACCGACGACCAGCTGTGCTGGACAATGTGTATATCCGTCCTGCCATGGAAGGCAAGCGAGTACCTGGAAAGGTCGAGATTCACCAGAACGGTATCCGATATATCTCACCCCTGAACGCCCAACACAGAGTAGACATTCTGTTCTCCAACGTCAAACACCTGTTCTTCCAACCCTGCCAGCATGAGTTGATTGTCATCGTTCACATCCATCTCAAAGATCCAATCATTGTTGGTAACAAGAAGAAGACGAAGGATGTTCAGTTCTACAGAGAAGCGACAGACATTCAGTTTGATGAGACGGGTAACCGCAAGCGAAAATACCGATACGGTGACGAGGATGAATTTGAGGCAGAGCAGGAAGAACGACGTAGGAGAGCTGATCTGGACCGACTGTTCCAAGGCTTTGCTCAGAAGATTGCCGAGGCCGGTAAGAACGAAGGTATCGAGGTCGACATGCCTATCCGTGAGCTTGGATTCCACGGTGTGCCATTTCGAAGCAATGTCTTCGTCCAGCCTACCACCGACTGCCTCATCCAGGTTGTCGAGCCTCCCTTCATGGTTATCACCATTGAGGAAGTTGAGGTTGCCCATCTGGAACGTGTTCAGTTCGGCCTGAAGAACTTTGATATGGTCTTTGTCTTCAAGGATTTCACACGACCTCCTTACCATGTCAATACAATCCCTGTCGAGTTCCTCGATCAAGTCAAGGACTATCTCGACTCTTCTGATATTGCCTACACCGAGGGTCCTCTCAACCTCAACTGGCCAACCATCATGAAGACCGTCACAGCAGACACCCATCAGTTCTTTGCTGACGGTGGTTGGTCCTTCCTGCAAGCTGACTCAGATGATGATGGCGGCGAGGAGTCCGACCAGGAATCTGCTTTCGAGATGGACGAGGAGGAGTTCGACGAAGAGTCCGAGTCCAGTGATGAAGGCTCTGATTTCGGCAGCAATGCTAGTGATGATGAGGACGAGGATGCCGAACTTGATAGTGAGGATGAGGGCGAAGACTGGGATGAACTCGAGCGCAAGGCCAAGAAGCGGGACCGTGAGAGTGCCATGGAAGAAGACCGGGGCGATAAGAAGAAGAAGCAGCGCAAGCGCTAAAATATGGTATACTGACCTGAGACAAAGTGGTATTTGGGGGCGAGCATGAACTTGGGATGGACAGGAGGTTTTTCGGTTGCTTCCACCAGTTGTACTAAAACACAATATTTCTTTTTGGTTTCTGCGTTTAGCTGTGGGTTCTCGAGTCTCTTGGACGGGACGATATGGACGGGAGGGTCTCATGGATGTTGACAATAACTCCATTAGTATAGTGGTGAGAGGACTCAGATATTCCTGTCGCTTCGACATCGAGATGATGAGATTTGGTAAAGGCCAGTTGTATTAGTCAGATTTAAGACAAGTTAATTCATGATTTTGAGCAATTATAGACAATTGATATTTGCAAAAGATGTTTACTGTCAAGTGATACTAAAGGCATAGCGATGCTGTCAAGGTATGGTGTCTACTGTGATGCTGAGACATATTCACATGCTTTCAAAGATCTGTATCCTTAAATAAGTTCAATTCATTCTATCCCTAGTCCCGAGTCGCAACGCGCCCAAACTCCCTACCCATATAACAATACGTACGAGGCACATATAATCCTCGCTCTTTCTCCTTCCGATTGCCTTTGTATCTTCAAAAAGGTTAGACAGGCAAAGGGGCTCGTAGAACCGACATTGTGCCCCATGAGATGACTAACATTGATGTAGCCTTTGCACCCTTCCCCAGCCAAGAAAGCAAAGTGGCAGTCAGAGCCTGCAAAATGAGTAGCCGTACAGAAAAACAAAGAGGCTACATGAGCGAGAAACGTGATAACCAAAGAACCAAACATAATCAGTGCACTTTCTCAAAGAATTTGCTGGCCCGTGTAAAATGCTTGTTTCACAACCCCGAAGATGCGTGCAGCTTAGACGGCGTTAATACAACAGGGTGCAAGTCGCTGCCTGCAGTACTTTGTGGAGATCTGGCAGATGCAAAGGATGGGTTTGCAGGAGTTCCGAGAAGAGCGCGGGAGTCATCGCGAGCTGTCTAAGCGTCGCCAGGACGAAGTTCGCGACCCGAAGCGGTGGCCGTGCTGGGGCCCGACTTTGAGCCAGGGGCGTTGTTCCACGAGAGATAAGTGTGGTCACCAAGTTTTCTAGAGCGGAATTAGTGACAGGAAAACTTGACAGAGGAGGTAGAGAGACAAACCTGGGCCGGATGAGATGAGTGACTGTAAAGACGGTGCCGAGAATAATGCAGACACCACCGACAACCACGTAAGCGATGCCAAGGAAGGGGTTGCGTCCTCCAACAACGGTTCGAGTAGAGATGATGATGGACTTGGTGCCCTTGTACTCGCGAGTGGGGAAGCCTATGTCGAGATTAATATGCTGGCCCAAGACACAGAATAGTAGATAACTTACGGTCGTCAATTACAAGATCATAAGTTCCAGACCACATGGCCTGGGTATTATTGCGCTGGTACAGCTTGCTGAAGGTAGGAAGACCAGCAGTTCGCATCCAGACCTGGAAAGCCTCCCACTCCTTGAGGTTAGGAGGAGGCGTCTTCTTGGTATATCCGTCGGGGTAGCGCTCTTGCCAGTTGGGTGGGGGAACGATGTCGCTGTAGTCGTACTGTGTCTCTCCGTAGAGGTCCCTGTCGCTATCCCACGAGATACCCGAGTTGTTGCTCATAAGGTACTCCCACGTCTCGTTGCCAACGGCATTGGGAGGTGTTGAGAGGACGGGGCTGGAAAAGGTATCGTTGAACATGGAGTTGGCGATGAGACCACATGGATAGTAAGGCTTTCCTTCCTCGCCATACAGAGGAGTGCAGTCCGAATTCTTAATGTCGCTGTAAGATCGCTTGTGGCCCTTGAGCTGGTCCGTGTCGAAGGACAGGACGTATCGACGGTGGTTCTGGTAGAAGTTGGTGAGGTGGTAGTAGAAGAGAACAGGGGGTTTCATTTCCTCGGGGGTGGTGAACTTGATATGGCATCGAGGGTTGTACACTTTGACGCCGTTGTCAAGGGTGGTGCTGACGTTCTTCTCCCGCGCCCATTGAGCATTCACGGAACTGTTAGAACTCTTGAATGCGGTGCTGATAGCGTCGCTGGGAATGGCCTTGAAGCCTTTGCCATCTTTGAGAATAGGGGCATTAACAACGCAATTGGTGTAGTCGAGTCGAATCTCTTGAACCTGGAGATGCGCATTAGAGTTGGTGTATGTGATATAGCGACCAGAGGGAAGGGTACCGTACCTGAGCGCTCGCGTACAGTAGCAGGCCCCCGATGGGAGCGAATATGATTCCGATGGCGAAGAAGAGAGGCAGAACCGTCTTCGGCGTCAGGATGGGTCTGTCGCATCATGTTAGTATTGTGAAGTAGATGGAAATAAGGATAAAGGAAGCAATGACATACTGCCAGGCCTTTAGACGCTGTTGTCGAAAGGCAGTGTCTATGATGCATCAATTAGCATGGTTTATCCTTCGTATACATCATGCGCGTAGCTTCCTCTACTGGGCGCATTATTTTGAGGCAGACTCACTCGCAGGGCGACGACTCTTCTTCTTGTCCGGCTGCTTCGGACCATCATTAGAGTCGAGGGAATCGGTGTGGTCGATGCCACGAGGTTGCTCGTCGGCCATTATATCGTCGTCAGAATCGATCGAAGTGGCTTATTTCGTTATGCGGCGTGAGTTTGTTTCGTCGATAGGGGACTCGAGATGGGTGTAGGGGAGGGAAAAAAGATGCGACCTTTCGTTGAAGCTGACGGGGATAGAATGGAACTGGAGAAGGGTCGCGCTGTGGCTCGTGAAGCCTTACGTGTGTACTGTACGGGTACGTACCTCCCTCCCATGGACCCCAGCTCTGGCGGGTAGGTTACCTAGTAATTTATGCACTGCAGCGGAGGTTGGTAGGCGCTCCCCGCCAACGGCTAGGTGGCTGCACAGCCCAGCATCCTACCAGGACATTCGGTGGAAAGTCCCTGAAACCCTGAAACATGCCCTGCGACTTGGGGGGAAGGAACTATAGATAATGGATGCTTTTATGAAAGGTTGTGTATATTTTATGAAACAAAAAGTGCAATTGCTAAGACTTGATCTGATGCTCTTCTTTACAGCGAGTTATATGCACTGTAAGAAAAAGAAGGTTTGTCGCATCTTTCCTAATACTCAGAGGATGTACGACTGGCAAAATGTAAACACCGACGCAGGCCTGATTCGAACAGACGCCTCCGAGGAGAATAGATTTCTAGTCTATCGCATTAGACCACTCTGCCACTGCGCCTTCTTGTGTAGCAGGCATCACACATTCGTCGAATACATCCCTGACTCATTGATCAGGAACGTACAATGAAAGCGTTGTCGAGGCCGTTCAACGGATAATATTCATGCAAACTCAATTCTAACCTGTCTCTATGCTTTCCTTTGAACTCAGATGAAACCGTTGTTACGAATACCAGGCATTGTGTCCAAGTGACAAGTTTCTGTTAATCCTTCATCACAGTATTATGCGTATATATATAATTACATGAGTATGTATATACGCCTCATGTTCTCTGTTCCTCTCGTCTCTCTTCCGCTTCAGCCTTCTCTTCCGATGCTGTAGCTGTATCCATCTTCCTCTGCACTCCCTTCGAAACACCTTCAAATATTCGGGTGTGCAAAACTAAAATAGGACAAAACGTATACGCCTATATGTACGGGACCGTCGACTGTATGCGACGGCCTAGCAAAAGAGCAATCAAAACAGAAGGGAAAAGGATCGCAATGGTTATACTTGACAACCCGAATGAACCCAAAGATGCACGGATGGCTTCTTTTCCTGATCCACGCCCTCCGTAGCTGGGAATCGGCAAATGCTCAAACTCCGAAAATAAAAAAGAATTCCTCCCGCTGGACTTTTGCAATTCGAAACAAATTGATAATGGATGTATGGTGTCTGTAGGTTGAGTTGGGGTCGGAAGGATATACATCCTTGTGTTAAAATATGTCAATGTGTGGTTGTTGTCTCCAATGGTGCAAGTAGCCTTTGGCATTCCTCGCAGTGGTTTTTTGTGTGTGTTGTAACGCCAAGGCAGGAACTCTTCATCCATGCTTCTCCCTTGGTGCACCATTCTCGACCTCCTTGTGTGGATGAACGGCATGTCCGTTTGTTCTCGCATTCGGTTTAAGTGATGAAGATCGCTTCTCGTTCTCTGGCTCCTCGGGGATTGTCGCAAACTTCTTAAGAACTTGCTTAAGAGCAGGTCGTCGAATGGGCTTAGCAAGGAACTCGTCCATGCCAGAGTCAATGCATTCCTTGACATTGCTCTCTTCCGAGAAGGCCGTGAGAGCGACAATGGGAGATGTGTAGCCCATTTCGCGGATGAGCCGGGTGCTTTGCAATCCATCGAGGTTGGGCATTTGAACGTCCATGAAAATCACGTCGAACGCCTGGTTTTTCTCCATTGTCGCTTTCACCATGTCATACGCCTCTTGGCCATCTTTCGCAATCGTTACGTCGTAAACATCCTCGAGCTTCAGCATGCGGCTGACAACCTCGATGTTGGTTGAGTTATCGTCTGCAACCAGAACACGTAGCCTGCCCTGGCCGCCCTTACTAGCCATCGCCCTATCGATCACTGCCATCTTTTGCTCGGCACTCTTAATGGTCGGAGGGTCAGCAGCAAAGTATGGTTGACTTAAGCCGACTAATCGAGGTTGAGGGTTGAGAGCCTTGGCCGACTTGGTCTCGGCCGCAGGTTTCGGGGGATTAGGGGCCACGCGTTGCGGTTCCATGTCGCTAGCATCTACGCTCGTTGGGCGGGATTTCACACTGCTAGAAGCAGTGCTAGACGTCCTAGATCTGACTATTAGTACAACGATAATCAGATCGCTGATAGGTACTTACCTGTCTTTGACGTATTTGAGCGGTATCAGCATGGTAAAAGTTGTGCCTACGCCCACAGTACTCCGCAACTTGATAGAACCTCCCATGAGACCGGCTAACTGATGACAGATGCTCAGGCCAAGACCAGTACCGCCAAACTTCTTGCTGAGACCAAGATCACCCTGGACAAAAGGCTCGAAAACCTTCTTTTGCATGTGGTCTGGAATACCTGGGCCAGTATCTTGAACCTCGAATTGGAAGACATATGATTTAGCACCCGGTGGGGGAGGTGTAGGCGATCGCTCGCGGACTTGAACATGAGGAGTTGCCTTGGGATCCATAGGGTTGATAGAGAGAGCGGTCCCTGCGCCGTTAAACTTGTGGGTGGAACTGCGGCTTGCCGAACCACCGGAATTTGCTGAGCTGGCACTTCCACGTTGTCGAGGGCGGCCAGGTCGCGAGTTATTCCGCGAGTTCTTTGAGATCGACGATGCGCGGCTGTCATTCTCGGGTAACGATTCTGCTTCTCCAAGACATTTAATGCGTACTGAGACGCTGCCGTTGTGGGGTGTAAACTTCAGACTGTTGCTCACCAAATTGATGATAACCTGAAGGATTCGGTGCTGGTCACCCCATAGACACATGTCTTTAAGTCGTCCAGTTCCGTGAGGGCCGAGCGCTGGTAATCTTGTCTCCCCATTCGTCCTGTCTGGGCTCGTACTGAATTCAATATTATCGGAACTAACGAAATCAACAGAAAAGTTTATCTTTCCTTCTCGAACCTGTTTGTCAAAAATGGTCAAAATCTGTGACCGGATATCAGCCAAGCGGAACTCTCTCAACTCAAGGTTGAGCTGCTGGCCGATTTGGTTCTTGGAGAAACTCAATAGATCCTCCAAAAGATGAAGCAGCAAGTCGCCCGACTTGTAGAGCGTCTTCAAAGATTGTTTGATCCTGATGATGTCATTCTCCTCCATACACACGGCACACATGCCGAGAATACCATTCAAAGGTGTCTTGAGCTCGTGAGAAATGTTGGCAATAAAAAGTGTCTTGCTTTCATTGGCCGCTTCTGCAGCCTTCTTGCTTTCCTCCAGTTCCCTCGTCCGTAGAGCCACCTTGACCTCCAGAGACAGATATTGCTTCACTAACTCGTCACTCATGTCGTTAAAGGTGCGGGTCAGTTCGGTAAGCTCATCTGTAACAATGTGTTTCCGGTCGTCAACTTTTGCGGGGATTTTGAACATCCGACGAGCCACGTCTCGACTCGAACTTGGTCCTGTCGATTTCCCTTGGAGTCGTCGGATGAATTTGGCCATGGGTCCTTTCTTTCTTGATCGTCGTGATTGTCCTCCAGAACTTGGAAGCTCCTCATCGAACTCGGAATCGGAATCGACAAAGGACTCTTCGTACCCCGGGGGGTTTACTGACTTCTCTGTAGCAGCTTTGAGCTTTCGAATAGGCAAAACACTAAGATGAGCGCAAGGGATGACCAGCAATGCTATCAAGCCAACGGTCCCAAAGACAGTTCCAAGGAGAATGTTTCGCAAGGTGTTAATCGGTTTATAAGCCTCCCATTTGGCTTTCTCGACAATGACAGTCCAGTTTGCAAGGGGGGTTTGTGTCCGGGCAAAACCAACAGCGACCCGGGCACCTTGTTCGTTGCGTGTGTTGAGAAGAGCACTGGCATTGTTGACTGTGTCGTATCGGTTGGAAAATGCATCGAGTGCGGCAGGATAGTTCTTGACAGGAAACGCCCTGTTGCCAAACTCGCTGACAAACTGATGCATATCGTGACGATCGTTCTGTCCTTCCGGGTCCTTAGGGGGAAGGACAAATTTGACGAGTACGTTGCCAAATTTATCTCTGTCAGGGGTAAACGTCGCATTGCTCGCAGGCAAGGAGGAATTGAATCGATTGGACCGCTCAGTAGGGCCAATTAATAGAACCTGGCCTGATTTGCCCAATCCCTCGCGAGACTCCTGAACCGCAGCGAGTGACTCTGCTAGAGTTACCACAGTCATGTAGCCAAGGATAGAAGTGTCATTATTGTCCCGGACAGGAATTGTCACTGAGAGGAGGGACGCAGTCTCGTTGAGGACTAGCGGGCCGAGCAACAAGCCGCCGTCACGAGCAATCCGAACACCTTTAAAAGCTTCTGCTGCAAAGGCGGTCGTGTTGTTCCGCACAGAACTCGGGTGGCCCAGATTGACATATGTAAGATTGGGGAACAGAGTTGGGGGGTAGCCCTGCTCAGTGTCACCGAGACGAACGTTGGAGCCAGAGGCGCCTGTATATGGCAGAATGATCTCTGGCACTGCAGCAGAGGTCACGTTGAGTAAACCACCGTTGGATGAGCCTGTTTCGTTCCTCGAGTATAGCCTTACTTGTAGCAAGCCCGAGCTGGTGCTAACAGCGAGTGCACTTGCAAGATCCTCGCGAGCTACCTCCCAGTCTCGTTTTCCTGTGCTATAGAAATTGGTAAATGCGGTTTGGACCAGAATTCGGGAAGAAATAGTCATGGCGATTGTCTCGACGAGGCCAAGCTCTGCAGAAATCCGGGACGCCTTTAGGGAAGCTGTGAGCTGCAGGCTCTCGCGCTCGATGTCGACGACGAAGCGATTGACGTAGATCCATGTTGGAATAGAAACAATGGCAAGGGATACGAGGACGGCGAGAAGAACAAAGGCTGCAAGCTGCTCACGAATGGCGATCCGCATGATAGGCAGGCTAGAAGAAAGAAGTTGATGGTCGAGAGCGGCGACGCGGCATCGTCGGTTTCGTCGTTCCCGCTGAATGGGTCAGTTCGAGGCGCAAACAAAACGGTTGAACAAAGTTGTGGCTGTAAAGGTTGATTGCAGTTAAGCGGCCGGAAAACGGTCGCAGCTGAGGTCGTCTCTGCGCCTTGGTCTTGAATTAACTCGGTCCGGTACTGGGGCTTGGTCTCGTGCTCCGTTGTCGCTTTCGCCGTCGTGCAGAATATGCGAGGTGCTCGACGTAAAGGCACGTTGTGGTGTTGTGGATCGATGATCGACAGCACAGCCAAGGGGAGGCGAAAGCTGTTGGAAGACGATGTGGCCGTGGTGTGCTGACTCGGCCTTCCCGGGGGGACAAAAGTCGTCTCTGCAGGGCGAAGGGCAGGTTTGAAGATAATGTGAAGTTGGCCAACTGTACGCGCCTCCTCTATTTCGCCAAGATAGAAGTAGAATATTGTGTGAGTGTCGGATCTGGAAGGGTGAATGAATGGAATCGAGTCGAGTGGTGCAAAGTCGCTGCGACACACAAAAACTACCCAGGATCGGGGATGTAAGAGCTGGGCAAGCTGGGGGAGATTGATGGAGAATGGGAGGAGAGTGTTGTTGGAAAGAGTAACGATCAACGGAGGCTTTGGGGAGCCGGGGGGTGCGTGTGGGACTAAGGCGCGCTGTAAGCTGGCAGGCTGGTAGGCTGGTAGGCTCCATGGTAGGCTGGACGGTAATAGTGGTGATGGAGAAAGCTTGGCCCTCTGGAGGAGTAGAGGAGCTAACGTTAACCGACGCGTGGAGGGAGGCTAAAAAGAAACGAGGACGCGGGATGGTATTGTTTTGTGACAGGTCTTTCCACATGCTATTCAATTTGTTGCCCGCTCAAGTGACTATTTTTCTTGGTTTTGGAGCGGCTTCCTATGAGAGACTCTGTAGGGAGAGTATCGAATAGTATCCGTATACGGATAGAATATTCTATGCAATCTCTGCAGCTGATATTCCCAGCGTGACTTTCAATGGATCTGGAGCTGACGGGACAAGTCAACAATGCAGTTGGTCGTCTCCGGACCGAGCGGGTTAGTCGGGATGCAATCCAATATGTCGAGTTTGAACCCGACGCTATAGAACTCTGGGGCAGGGAAGACAAGATGGGACGGGAGTAAGCTACGGGCATTGACCTGGTTGCCCGTTTAGTGGACCGGGGGCTTAGGTAGGTGTTGAGCAGACAGCAGACGTGAGTGGCCCAGCCAATCCCGTACCTAATAACGTTAACCTCAAAGAGAATGGACGTTGTATTTCAAGGATCCATGTCATGCAAATACGGACGGGCTTATTCTTCGACAGGGTTGCCGAAACCGTCAGACCAGCTTCAATCAATTTGAGCTTCTTATGCATAAAAAGGAAACCTCGATATTGTTGGTGTTCAACCGACAAAGCTCGTCCTCATGTAAACGGCGACTCTTAACGGTAGCGCAAATATTTGACTTATAGACAGGCAAACTCAAAAAGAACTAGACGAGTTCGGCTGCGGGTGATGGGCGTGGACATGTGCAACAAAAGGTAGTGATCGTCAGTAGCCCTGCCGATCGCGTACATAGTACGGAGTACGGATGCATCGATCAACAGCGAGGGATGTCCCTAATAAACTTATAAAGGATTGGATAAGGAAGCAGGAAGCGAAAAGCACAGACATATCCGTAAACATTAAACTACCTATTGAGAAGCGGCCTCAGCCTTTAGCCCAATATTGAATTGAACATTATTCGATGAATACGACCACAGTACCTGGCGGAGTGCTTCCCGGCAAAGATGCGGTACGGACTACGGATACAGTACAAACAAGATCGAGCTGAGAAATGGATGTTGGTTGGTCATGAATAGAGTTTAGAGATCTCTTCCAGGGCCACATCTATAAAGTTAATGCTGTCCTATTAATTGAAAGTGTAACGTTAATATTTGCAGGTGAGTTTAGTGAGATTAAGTATCGATAGCAGGAAGCAATTTGATTTATGCTCCATGGGTTTGAAACGGTATGATCCACTCATGTCCATCCATGGTTATTACGACATAACCGTTGGAAGTTTGAGCTGTCTGAATGTCAAAGAACTGTCAAATGTGCCTGATGGCATCCAATTATACGAAGCCCCTAAGGCCATGTTAGACTAGGTGGGCTTCTAATGTTAGGTACCTAGTCAGGGCACTTTCCCAGAGGACTGGGGGGCCTTAGTGAATTTGCGCCTCAGCTCCTAACTACTAACTAACCTAACTTTGAGTCTTTGACGCTGGAAAGCATTAGAAGATTGTGCAAGCAAAAAGAAAAAGGCTTCCATTACTCCGTATAAAAATGCGGACATTGCTCCTCCGATGGGCGGTTTGCTCCGCTGGTAATTTCCATAACCAAGCAGGAGGGCTCCCTAAAACAAGTCGCGCCAAGCTTCTTTATTCCTAGATCTGATTTTCGATGGCGGATCGACAGCAACCTTTGCGTTGCAGGGTTCCACTCTGAGGGGGGCACCTTTAAATGAAGATGATACGATCCTTGGCGATAAATGGGTCTAGACTCATGGTCATTATACCACGGAGTAGTATCAGAAGCACCAGAAGAGGCATGCAGTAAAACTGTGAGTGGATTTGCTACATTATTATCAATCAATCGCTTCTGAATAGCAGTCACATACGCAGTACATGATGCAACAACTGCCGCACAATAGAACTCATGTCTTGCTTTCAAAACACACATTCCAGACTCACCCTATGAAGAGTGGAATGTCAAAGAATGGGAGCTCAGCCGTTGCGCCCAACTCAAATATCCGCCTCATTCCAGCGGAACATACCTTAATCAAGCCACAATAGAGCCAGCTTTATGGGATACGGGACACGGGATACCCAATTGTCAGGTCAGTTTCATTCGCCGTAACCAATAGAGACTTTCTTTTTGTCTCTATAGATTGTGTCGAGGTGAGTAGCTGGCTGGCTATGGCTCAAAGCCTCAATCAATCATGCATCATCCCTGAAAACCTTTCGCCCAAATCTGCGGAACTCGCGGGTGCCCTGTCCATGTAAACGGTGTTTCTAGCCTTTTCAACTCCATTGTTTGCCAAGTCACCATCTTGACGTTTAGGTACGTGTGTACGAAAATGTTTCAGCTGACAGGGAATATGAGGTTTGGGTTTGTTCATCATGTCAAGTGAGGAAGTACGTATCTGTGCAGATAGTATCCGTAAATATTTGATGAATAATTAAAACATAGTCTTCTCTTACGGCCGAAGCTTCAATATCGTTCCATAATCCATTGTGTCCGCTCTTCATATCCCATCGTCTCAATAATACTCGTCTCGGCCTTCTTCACGTCGATATATCTCTGCACTACTTCTGGCCCAAGTAGTTCAGTCAACTCCGCATCTTCTTTCAAGGAATCGAGCGCCTCTTCTATGCTCCGTGGCAGCCTTGTGTTCATGTTGAGCTTCTCCCTCTCCGACGAGGACAGCAGTGCAGGATCCTTAGAGCAGTCTCCCCAAACCAGCTCCTCCCTGTCAGCAACTCCCTTGGTACCTGCTAAGAGGATCGCCGCGAGTGACAGGTAGGGGTTGGCGAGCCCGTCGATGCACTTTATCTCCCAGTGACTATCCTCGATTTTGCGCAGTGGTACTTCGCGGTTCTGCGTGCCCCATGCTACCCAAGTTCCACCGGCCCATGAACCGTCCAGAACACGCTCGTAACTGACCATGCTGCTGTATGTGAAGGCAACAATGGCCCGAAGATGCTTCAGGACGCCGGCGTAAAAGGGCTCGTACACCTCTTTATCGGATCCAACGGGCGACGAGATAGACATGTGCATGTGCGCTGCTGTTCCGCATGACATGGCATATGGCTTGGGGTGAAGAGTCATGCGATATCCCTTTGCTGTAGCACAGCTACTGATGACATCTCTCGTGAAAAGGAGAGCGTCCACAGCCTCAAGCGCTGGTGCCTTGGGCATGACAAATTCATATTGTCCATTAGCGCTTTCAGGATGCAACAGCTCGATGTAAATACCACTGGCATCGAGTTGCTCGACAGCATCTTCCAAAACCTCTGTCACTACTTCATGGTCCATTGCCCGTGTCACTGACCACGCATGCCCGTCCCCATCGAGAGGTTCGAACTTGTCCTGGCCACGGCGGAAAATGACTAGCTCGATCTCAAACCCAAGCGTGAACTCGAGTCCCTGCCTAGCCGCCTCGTCAATTGTCTTCTTCAAAATAGTTCGTGAGCAAAACGGCGCAGCCGAACCATCCTTTTCCTTAAAGTCGCCCATGGCGGTGATATGCCCCTTTCGAGGACCAACACGAAGGCTGCTCAAATCAGGATGCAACTTGTACTCTCCTGTGGGAGTGATACCATGCACCGGTATATCTTTCTGATCTAGCCCGAGACCAGCTTTTGTTACGCCAAGTGTAAAGTCCTCCCCATTTCGGAGTATAGACCACACACGGCGCATGGGGATTGCTCTCAATCGCGGCATGGCAGTAAAATCGGTCCAGGTCACCCTCAAGAACCTCGGCTCTTCTTTATTCTTGAGGAAACGAGATAATGTTGCAATGTTGTTGTGTTCAGAAGACTCTAGTCCAAGACTAGAGTCTATAGGCAGGGGCTTGAACTCCAGGCGAAGGTCATAGAGCTTGTTCGCGTTATTGAACAGAATGTCCTGGACAAGTTGGGCTGCCTGTATCCAAGTCAAGTCTCCCTTGTGGACGTAATCCACAAGGACGGTCTGCAATACTTGGCGGAGTTGTTCCACGGCGATAATATACGTCTCTGGGAAAAAGTGTCCGTCGGTGCTCCAGAGAATCTTCGATACTGGACAGAGTTCCAGAATCTGCCGGACAACACCCTCTTGTCCCTCCCGACTTATGAAGGGAAACACCTCCCCAATATCAGCATAAACGTTGCTGTAAACAGTTGCCAAGTATCCTAGTTCACGAGTGAAAGGATAACTAGCGTGGAGCAGAACGATTGGCACATCGGGGTACGTCTTGATGAACTCCTGGAGATGGGCGGGTGATGACTTGGACAGAGTAATGTCGTTGTCGCCTAGACCAGTATGAAACTGGATAGGTTTCTTGTGGTCGTCCTCGCTGTTCTGGATCAAGCCAGCCAGGATGTGAAGGAAGTAGTCGTTGAGAAGCTCATGGTTGAGTCTCTCGAATGGTTCCGCTCCGTCTTCTTTTCTTTCATCGAAAATGACCCGGAACCTTTGCATAATGACTTCAAGGTCGGTAATCCGGACGACATCAAGACCCGTCCGATAGCAAATAACAGACTTGAAGCCAACGATCTCGGGGTCATCGAGAGCATCGTAGATGGCATCCATGAAGCTCTGAACAGATCCTGAGAATGCCTCGGAATGGTGTGAGAAGTTCCCGCAGGCCTTCTCGATACAGCCTGCTGCAACCTCTTCCATTCGGAGGATACGCTTGTTGGGGCTCCGTGTATACGCATTAAGCGTGTGATATGGCTCTACATCAGCCGGATCACCCAGAAGATCATCTACCAAGATGTTTTCGATACTTGAGAGGCATGTTCGAATCCACTCATCATAGTTGCCCTTTTGCTTTCTGGCAACGGCAGCCTCCACTGCGTCCCAGGTCGGCTCAGTGCCCAGATGACCAGAGAGGATTTTAACAGTACGAAGATGTGCCAGACTTGTCTTTGAGTCTTCAATGGCGCCTCCATTGGCCTCAGTAGCGATGGAGAGAAGAGGGTGTTTTCTTATAGCACTCAGCTTGAGAAGAGGGTGGGCGTGATGGTCGATGATGGGGGTAGTATGGATGACCTGGCGAAGGGCTTCTTCTGTGTTGATTTTTTGAGCTGCCATCTTTGTGTCTTCTATCAAAGAAACCTGCTATATTCTTGGCGTATCTTCAAAGTTTCTGTTGAGGTCGTGATGGGCTATTTAAATTGCTCAGACAGGTGAACTGGTTGCAGTGAAGATCAGTCTCTAGTCCGACCCGTCGGCGATATGACGTGATAGAGAGTTGAGCACCAGGAAGACTCCAGGGAAGAGCCTGTGAGATAAGTGATGGAGGTTGGACAAGGTCAAGTTCGAGGTGCAATGCCACGAAAAGTCAAGGTTTCACCCAACACAGTGGCTTCATTGGGTCTTGCTGCATAAACCCTGGCCTTGTGCCTCGTCTCGCCATTCTCTGCTGATCCTTTGAGTCTGAGAGGGGCTATTTCCAACTGAGACAATTGGGAAGAGAGTCCAATCAATTTGACTTTTTTCTCTCCTAAAATTAACTCGATATGGGTCTCGTCTTGACAAAACAAATGCGTCGTAGCCCGAGACTTGCAGATGGTCAAGGGCTCGGCTGTTTTGTTAGTGGTCCATCTTGCATATGGCGATCAGGGTAACTAATCATACGCTGATAATATTTGATACGGCGCTTAGAACATTATAATAAGCACCAATTCATACTTGCATCTCTCATAAGCCATTATTTTTGCTGACATTCCATTGATCGATTTGTTGGTACTGAAAGTAGTTACACCGGCAGTTAACCTCCCGAGGTTGGTGATAATAAGATCGTGTAATCGCTAACTGAACACACCATGTTGACACATCAACCTTCCTCTTTGAGACTGATCCTCACAAGGGTAGAATTTTCTTATGCAGCTACGGAGATGTACAGACCGACGCCGTGGAGATTCATATTAAGCAGAAAGAGATTTTATAATGTATGATATGGCACTCTAGGGTAAGTATGCCTCCCACCCTGGATTTCGTGTATAAGGACCATGAGCAGGCATAACTCAGGCAGCACCTTATACATCTTCAGCACTCTGCAACCTCGTTGGAACCAACCAGGTTGTCACAGTAATCACCAGAGCCATCGTCAATCCAAAGCAAAATGGCATTCCCATCCACGTCTTCAGTCCAACGGCAAATAATGCCCCCATGCCTGTCTCGCAAGCGAGAAAGCCTATAATCTCACAGACCGCCAGTATTCCAAACAACATCCCAACTCGCTCTTCTCCTGTAAGCCCTACTAGTATTGCACGGCACAGCGTAGGTAGACCTGAGCCTAGAGCAGAGATAATCAGACCTGCCAGGATGAAAGCCTCCTCGGTGACCATCATCATGCAAAGACAGCCAGCGAAAAAAAGTAGCGAGCTGATGCGAGCCAAGATGGAGTTTTGGCGATGGGCTGAAGTGCGGGAGAGTCGGGTCCAGATGTAGTTGATGACAGGCAGTAATATGCACAAGGTGAGGAGTGTGATCAGACTTCGTAGAGATATGATAAGGATAGAACGGTCGAGACGCCAGTCGAACTGTATGGGCATCAGGCGGATGATGATATCGGTTTGTATGGTCGCCAGCGGAATCGTCATGACAGCCCCTGGCAGAAGCCAGAGGAGAGGTCTGGCGAACATCGAATTTACAGCGATCAATGTAGATGTTCTCTTGGGTAGATTGAAGCTGAACATGTCCGACTCCAGGCCGTACCCATATGGACCAATGCTTGGATACTCTTGAGGCTGCTTCCGCTTCAGTGTCTCTGGTGTGAAGGCGACGAGGACAATACCGCCGCCTAGTACCAAGCCCAAGGACAGGAAGAGTGGCATCCATATCGACGACTGAACAAGTACCCCTGATAACAACGGACCTACGAGCTGTGCAGTGAGAACAGATGCTACAACCCACTGGAACCATATCGACCTGGTGGGTGAGGTCAGTAAGTGGTGTTTCTAGCACTGGGAATATAATCAACATGCCTCTTTTGATCAGGTACTGAATCCGCGATTATGGCAAACACCATAGCTTCAGCAACACTCCGACCTCCGCCAAAGAGTAGTGGCACACCGGTCCCCCAAATAGCTTCGAGTGGGATAATCTCCGATTTCCAACATATGAACATGGCATAAGCTTGCGAGAGTACCATACTGAGAATGCTTGCAGCAAGGATAGGAAGACGACCGATTCGATCTGCGATAACACCTAGAGGAAGAGCAACCAGAGTTGCTACACGAGTATTAGTATCAGGTCCTTGGAGGACGTAGAAATGGAAACGGATGTGAGTGATTTTTTACCAGAAATAGTTGCCGATATCTGCATCCCCATGATGATATAGTTGAGCCTGTGCTGCACAGCCTCATCTCGACAATCTTCCTCAGGGAGAAGCGCAGGGTTGTCGACCCGATGACCATCTTTGCATATGATATCCTGAATCAGTTTGATCGATGGCAGGTCGCTTATTGAAAGGCCGAGTTGGATGATCAAAAGGCAAAGTGACAGAAACGGCAACATATAGTCCCGAGAGATAGTGAACGGACGAGACCACATGGTGATAAGGGAGTGACTTGGTGAGTGTTTCTGCTTGAAAGAAACGAGAAGAAGATGGAGTATGAGGTTACCAAATATTTTGGCCCAGGTCGACGTCGTGGGGCTAGTGACTCTATTGTTTGATTGTCTCTTATGCCGTCAATAGAAACAATAAGAGCTGCCTAGGAGAAGGGCAAACGAGAAATATCATGTCAGTGGCAACAATAGTGTTTGTCACGACATTGATTTTTGAACAGGCACTTGAAAGCACACCAAGAGACTTGAAGACGGGACATAAGTACACTCTTATTGACACTTCATTATAGTAAAAAGCTGCCTTGTATCTTTAACGGTATGCTTTGACGATATAATAGATGTAAAAGTAATCGATTCGTGATAGTCTATACAGGAAACTTGTACATGAAGTTTCCTAACGCGAAACTGATATGCCACTGACAAAGAAGCGTCGCACTGACAACCTGCGATAACAATATAAATCAGATTGTGACTTACAAGTGTTATCTACAACTGTAGATTGCCTAGAGGAGACCTCGCCAAGCTATCTAAGTATCTTCAATGGCTCTATCTACGCCTGATATCGAAACAATCCAGCAAGTCAAGTACAGCAAAGCACAGCGAAACGCAACAAAACATAGCGCACTCTGGCCTCATTCAACCCTTGTACCCACGTTATGAGGCTTCTTTGTTCCTGCGACTAGTGCCCGATGAAGAAGATATATTTATCCATTTTGCTTTATTATACTTCCTCACCACGGACAAAGAACTGCCTGGACGCCAGCACCACACACACAACAAATGAAAGTCGAGACTGAAACACGATGAAAATAGCAATCAGCACGATTATGATATACACTGGCAGCAGCTACTGGATTGCGATAAATGGACAAGTTCTGCCGTCTAGATTTCGGACAAGCGACCGGTTCTCCTATCACTCTAAAGAGCAGGCCTCGGAACAGTGAGTATATACCGAACACTGGTTGTTCGGTGACTTCGTCCACAGTTCCGTATAATTCACACGTCGAAGGGTGCCTCTGTGAGGAACACTCACTCCTTATACTAATATATAAAACTGCGTTGATCGCAGAATCTTACCTGGTCATAAGATATCATCTTCGTTGGCAACTGATTAACTACGGCTGCCACTCTCTTAACTCAGTGAGTTTGTTACCCGCAAGATTCGAATATGAGCAAGTCCGATCAAAGGCTAACTATTCTTCCAACAGCCATGTGTCGAGGCGAGAACGTGCAGTGCAAGGAGTGCTTCCGACTAACTCCCCGGGTCGTCCAACTCTGCATCCGTGGAGAGCTGATGGTGACTTGTCCCGAGACTATCATCGAGGGCGTCAGTCTGGAAAAGGAAGAATGTAGACTATGCCGGTACGGCAACTCCAAGGGTAAAGTTATCATGCCTCCTTCGGTATTTGCAAATACTAATGATTATGACAGGGAAGCTTGGAGGGCCGACAAAGAGCAACCCATGCCGCAGCCAGTCCATAGGTTTCGGCGCCTGAAATACCAAGACAATGGTAATTCTTCTAAGAGTAAAGATGGCAAGGACGAAGAGTCTTCTATCTTTACGCCTTTCGAAGAATCGCAGGTGGATGTGCAAGTCCACAGTCTTATAACATACAGTCACAAGTCTAAGGAATGGCCTTCATTGGACAATAAAGTGCACGTCAACAATCACCAGACTCGACTCGATTTTCCCGAGGAACAGATTATGGAAGAATCTGTCCTGGTGAAACCTTCTGAACGGGACATTCCATTCTTTAGCAAAGGGGAAGAAATCATCAAGCTGTCGTACCACACGACCGCTTGTGAGGGATAGACGACACAGTTGGCCACATATGATGATGATACAAACTCTAGTACCTGAATGGTTTCTAGCATCTACCGCAGTATCTAATATAGGATGCCAATAATGCACTAAAGAAACTTCTGACTTGGATTGTCTGAGGATATTATGTGTACACAAGCCACCTCTAATATACATTTGTAGTCAACATGATATGGCTATTTTTAAACATATTCTTGGCACTACAACCAAAGAGTGTATGTAGTACTTTGTATCGCAGCCTCTTATTGTATAGAACAAGGCAGCCTGCATAAGAGGCGTTATACGTCCTTATTTTTGTTACTAGCACCCAACAACGGGCTGAGTGTCAAAGCAAACATTGACGCAAGGACCCGTCCCGAGAAGCGGGTAGGCTATCGCGTATTTACTTGCTAGGCGAGAGGCACAGGAAGAATGAGTACTTAGGTTTCGGGCCGAGCCTGAGGGTCATCGTCTCTGAAGAAGAAAGCCAAAGCATGAGTGAGATAGGGCCTGAGTGTCTGAGTGTCAGTGTCTGAGTGTCTGAGTGTCTGGGCTTATTCATTAAGCACGGGCATGCACGGTAGAATCAGACCATAAAGAGATTAGGATTGACCCGGTGTATGAACATCAGAGCTATGGCCCAACCAAAAGTTCATAACCTTCGAATATATTCATGAGCATTGACAATGTAATAAGTGTCTTGGACGTCGAGTGACTGACCAAACCTGAGTGTGGCAGCTACCTAACTAGACAGAGTGACATGTGGCTGAGGTCAAAGATGCAGGTTTTTGCAACTCGGTAACAATGGAACAGTATCACGATTGCAAGGATTTCCTTGTTAATTGGCTTGTTATCTGCGACAACCTCTTGTTAAGAGACTCTGATACCATTCACGGATACAATTCGTAACATGGCACTTTGTCTGCCGCACTACTGATGCACGTAATAACAAATGACATGCGAGCTGCCCTACACTCAGCCCAAGATAGCGCAGCCACTTGATGCCAGCAACGGGCTGGCATGGCTGGATGAATTGAGCTGATAAACATGCAGGGGACGAAAGACTAGAGGTCGATCGGAAAGTGACGACACGATGTAAATGATACTATGTACACCCACGAAGCCAGTCACGAATGAGCGTTGCAAATGAGTTCCGGCGCGGTGGGATCTGAGCCGGGCCAAAGGGTGAGTGAAATGTGAGATACGGATAGTGGGACTGAGACAAGATCATGTCTAAGACATTGCAAGCACTAGAGCCTTTTTTCTTTCCTAACTATGTGTCGATCCTTTTGTTGCACCCTGAACCTTGAGTCTGATAAGTCTGACCCGTGGAGCTGGGAGTTGTCAAGGACAGGTAGACAGATGAGGGCCTCGTCCGGCCTTGCTCGGGGCCTCCGCTCCGTCTGGCAGCTGAAGGGAAATAAATGCCCGAGTGTCGTCACGCAGATGTCGCCTCTGTCTGTCTGTCCTGCAGGATCGCAGATTGAGCAACCTTCTTTCACTGAGAGGGGCGAATTTCATGCAGCCAACAGTTAGCATCTGGGGTCAAGAGTCGCGACGAGAGCCCCGTAAGGTCGGGCCCTGTTTTTTACTTTCCGATAGCGCCATGTCTTATGCGAGGCGTCAATGAGCTTGTTGACAGAGGAGGTTTTACCAACATTCACTTGTCCTATTGTCGACACTCGATATTGTGAGCTGGAGTCGATGTCATGAGAAACTGCAGGTTGAGCGTGCGTATCCGTGCGTGCGTGAGTGCGTGATATCGGGTGTAACGATAGCGACGGGTAGCGACCTTTGGATAATCTCCTCAACCGTCCGCTCTCCCGCACGGTCTTAGTCTGATTGAACCGAGCTGAGCTGAGTGGGTGGTTAATTAGAAACATAAACTGAGAATTGAGTCGATATGGGCTGCTGGAGATGTGGTATTGGCCACTAGTATCCGCACGTCTAACATAGAATACTCATTGAACCGAAGAGTGTGAAGCTGACTCCCGATTCTGACACTTGCTCAGGTGTTCGTTGGTGATGGTCCAACATGCAGAAAGGCCATGGGTGCTTGATATATTAACTGAACAAAGCTGATATTGTAGTGGAGGTGGTGAAGAGTCATGATGATAGTGTTTGATCTGCAACACGACACGTGGAAAGCCTAGACTGTCGATCACTGTACTCCATATCGGTAAACTAAACGCGTTCCGTAGCGCTTTTGCTATTGCTCTATCAACTAGACCTCAGACTTTTCTTGTTCCATGGTCCATCGTGGGCGATAACTGTTCACTGGCTGACTGATTAGCTGCACTCAACAGCCATCATTCCATTGACCCGCGTGGCTTGCGGAACAGTTAATGTTCATCACGAACTAAGGCTAGCGTGAGCATTGACCGGCTGCGCTTTTGCGGTGGCTGCCACGCCATATCCTGGATCGTCTGTTTGACGATGGTGACAATTACTGGGTACAGCACATATTTGCCAGGCTAGAACAAAGCCAACACAAAAGCCGGGCCCGGCTTGTCCGTGCTGGGATATGTATTGGGTTGAAGAACGAAATTCTGTGGTAATTCGACAGGAAGAAAGAGAGAAGGATTACGGATGCCCATGACAGAGTTGCATCGCATATACGTGGGTATATGGGTTGTGAAACGAACCTGTATCCACGTCTCAGCGAAGATGGAGTATGGAAGGAATCTGGCACGACAAAGACGTCGATGTGTTTCAACAATGGAAAGAAATCGTCATCTGAAACCAAGTAGCCACGTTTCTCGATATACCGTGTCGTATTGCTGTATAATACCTACGGAGGAGATGCTTGTTGATCCCGATAGGACAAAAGGCGTCAAAGCTCGCCCATCATCAATATGTATCGACTCGCACGGTTCGCTCTCAGTTTTCTTCCAAAGAGACTAAGAGTCTAGAGTAACGGGACATTAAATGCCGTAGCTCTCGGCCAACCACTGCAAAGCATTGGATATTGCGTAGGCCCGTATTTGAACCAATTCACCATGCTAGATTGGACCTTAACATAGATGGTCTATAATACTAGTCATGATAAGAGGAGCCGCACAGAGATGGTCTTGCCGAAACCACGAGGAGGCAGGGAGGCTAGAAGGCCAAGAGACTAGTGATGAACATCGCGGAGAAGCTATCTGACTAGGTTAGATGGGCGATGTAATTAGTTGCAGATGCAGATGCAGAGACGGACAGAAGCCACCTAATTGAATTCGCTTTGACGTTGCAGAATTGAGGTTGTAGTCGCTGACCCTTTTGGGTGAGAGAGAGTTACGGAGTAAACGGCAAAGGCTCTGTTAGGTAGAGCACATACATACCTATAGTACCTAACACAGTGCCTCAACCCACTATATCTCACAGGCGACCTTCAGGCTTCATCCTTCTACGGATACGCGACATTTAATTAACACCCGACAATGCACAATGGATAATGCACGACACGCAGTGACACCATCAAAACTCCTGACTAAATTCTGCTCTAATCCCCCCCTATCCTACTATACCCCATCGCCCATTACAATCCAAACTCCGCTTCATTGACCAAAAAGAGTCCCTGACTCGAACCCTGACCAATGCTCCTAAGGCCCTTGTCCAGGAACGGTGGGCGCTGTGGAGTCGCTTGTAGCGGGACCCTTCTGTGCCTGGGTCTCTTCTCCAGTGACAACCAGACCTGCCATCCCAGCTCATCCTAGCCCACCCCAGCCGCGTCCGTGGAAACATCCCATCGCAACTATCCCTGTCCGGAACTATACCACTCCAAGACCTCGTCGCAAATCCTATGCTGCAGTAGGCAGCTGATGCTGATGCTGTGTGTGCTGCGTGCTGCAACAGGCGAAACAGTACCTGGAATATAGCACTAGTTGCCCCCCCGGCCTCGTGTCGATACTGTACGTACTCTAATCTGTACATACATTCACTCCATTACCTTAGTAGCTTGCCTCAGGGTCCCTGGCGCTGGGTCACTGACAAGGTCTACCAAACTTTGTTACGCCACAGAGAGAAGACAGAAGCCTTCCAGTTTCCAGTTCATCTTGTCCGGTCTGGGTCCAGGGGCTGCATATGATCCGCCGGCTGAGCGAGACCCTTAGCACCTGGTCTGGTCTGCACGAATAAACAGGAGAATTGATCGACGACACACGCTCAAGCCTCTCGTTTCCGTTTCTCATCTCAAACCACTACTTTCTCATTCTCAACCTCTATCTTCCGTTATTTTTCCAGTTTTGTCTTGTCACTTGTTGACTCATTCTTCTTGTTCTTGTTTTAAATCGCTTTGCGACGTCGCAACCATCCACCTGGTCTTGCTGCTGCTGGTCTTATTGCTACAAGGTACGTTCGTCTAATATTACTTATGGTTTATCCCTATCTTCCTCATCTCGCTTTCCTACAGGCAATGCCAAAAGTAGCTACGGATAGACAAACCGCCTCTGCTATTGACTTGCATTCAAAATTGGACCGCATCGGCTTGCGACGTTTGGCCCTCCTGTGCTCCTGCGCCCACCAGCCATTGTCTCACCAATGCTTGACTGGTTGTGCAACCTGCGACTTTGTCGTTACGCAAGAAGCAACTCTCCGTGACTACTTTTTGCTTTGCTCTCGTTTCTCAGCTTTCACTCCTATTTCGACCTGCAACTAACAGAAATCAGCATTGATCCGGCCGTCCTAATTCGTTGCCATTCATTATCCGAGATCGCGATCCCCCAACATTTCGCAACCCGGCATAACATAAGCTGGGGCCCGGATCCTAGTTCTGTACCTGCCCGAGTCTATTGTGATTCGCCTCGCACAAGGCAAACCGAGAGCCTACGGTCAGCGACCGCTCCCTGTCCCCGACGTTTTTATTTTTGGGAGGCCTTGCAGGTCTACCCACCGGCAGATATAGATCGCAGCCATGGCGACCTCAAATGGCGACTCGGCCGTGTCGCGGCCTACCTCCGGCATCATATCTCCCCGCGACGTGAGATCTAGGACGCAAAGTATTTCCAGCGACCGACCTTCAACCATTGCCCACAGTCTCATGTCGCCGCCGCTCTCTGTATCACCCTCGGCGGCCTTCATTGCCGCCTCGGCCGCTTCGCAGATTGTTACAAACGACCACGATAGTCACGCCGATACCTGGTATGATCAGCACGGTATCGAACCGGCCAGCGACCCAGCGCTCGTCTCAGCAGAGGCGCTACAGCTTGTCAACAGCTTCCTTGATCAGCTACTTTTCAACTTCCTCTCCAGATCGCACGCCACCACCCTCGCGAATTTGCGGCCCGCCGTTTCTGAAGTATTGAAGCCCAAGCTCGCAAAAGACGCCGTCAACAATGCCGACGAAGAGCTACGTGAATACCTTGGCGAAGGCGATGATGAGGATTTTGTTCCAGACCAGGGCGACAAGGCGCGCGACTGGGATCTAGAACTTGTTTGGAAGCGCACTCGCCTTCGATGTATGGTCTACTCTTCCTTAGGCGACATGGAAGAAGAAGACGAGGATCTTCACATGGAGCAGGAGAACCTTGAAATTGGTGCCAACGAGCCAGCCAGTGAAGTTATTTCGCCCGCCGTCGCAATCTTTCTTACTTCTGTCTTGGAGTATATGGGTGAGCTCACTCTTACTGTTGCGGGACAGGCCGCATACCACAGATTGCGGGCGAAATTCCAAAAGGAGGTCAATGAAGGAACACGAAACACCACCGACGTCGCCGACCGCATTGTTGTCGAAGAGCAAGACATGGAGAGAGTGGCACTCGATCGAACATTGGGGCGACTGTGGAGGGGCTGGAAGAAGCGGATACGATCCCCTACCATCGACCTAAATGGTCGTCCCTTCTCAAGGGCGTCCAACGGCCATCTGAGACAGGACAGTGTGTTTTCAGATTCGCCTGCCCTCAGTCGGGTTGCTACACGTGAGACAGAAGCAGAGGCTGAGAATGAAGCTGTCGAGCCCTATAAAATTGCGCTTCCCATGAGAGAGAATGATGTGGACGAAATTGAGGTTCCTGGTCTGGCCTACAATAGTGACGAGGATGATGAGGAAGCGGAAGACGAAGAGGTTAGCGGACGTCGACCTAAGAGTTTGTTAATTCTGCCTCTAGGAATTATCCAAGGCCTTCCCACTCCGACTCTATCGCAACCTAATACCCCGACTTTGGCCACTCGCAAACGCTCAAACTCGTTGCCGACGCCCAATGCTTCACCGTACCGGGCTGCTGCGAAACGTTCAAAGGAAGCTGCTACAACTGAAACAAGTGCTGTAGGAGATAAACAAGACCTGCATGAACAAGACAGCACCGAGCAGATCAGCAGCAATGAGCCTAAAGAGGACCAAGAGAGCAAGCCCAAGGATGGGTTACTCCCCGAGCCTACAGTTCCAAAGAGCAAGCGGTTATCAAAGATTATCACAAGCCGCATCCAGTCAAGACAAGAAATTGCAGAGGGGGATCCCACGTACGAGAAGGCGGAGATCCTGACTTCTGCTCGCGTGTCGGTAGCTGGAAGCTCTTCGCCAGCACTTTCCGATACTGGTGGCCCATTCCCGCTCAAGAGATCTTCAAGTGTGCACTCAGCTCGCATTATTGATGTGGCTGGCCCCAAGAGCCCGACCGGGTCTCGGTCTCCTTCAGCTGAAGCAGCAGATCGAATCCGCCGTGCAAGCCTTACTATACCTGCAAGCAGTGGCCTCTCAAACGGCGTCAGTGCGGTTGATGCACAGGCTCAGAACGTCCCGGCGGTCACTGCTCCTAAGAGTCGCTCTCCAGTCGATGCTTTGCGAGGTTCAATGCCTAGTGCGGCACCAATATCCGAGCCAGACGAGGAGGTTGATAGAAATAGAACTAGGGAACAAAGGCCTCACAAGTATCTTGCTTATCAGCCTTCCACACCAACTGTTCCCGAGGCCGCCTCACCAACAGAAGCTAAGCGACCTCAAAATATTGTTGGATCGCCGCATCAGTCGCCTGTGCTCCAGCAGTCATCTTCTGGCACTAGACTGGCGTCTATGCGCTCCAACACTTCTGAATCTATACCTGAAAGACCAGCAGATATTTCCCGAAAGACCTCAGGATACTCAAATCGACACGCTTCACGGAATGAGAAGGTTCCTACGTCTCCAACTCACAGCATCGGCATGGTATCAATTGAGCGGTCGAAAACAAGAGATTCGGACGAAGATGGAAGCGCACAGACTCCTCGACCAACTCACACATCTGGTTCATCTGCCTCTTCTGCCACAAGTCGCCTGAAGGCTGTCAGAACCTCTGAGGACAACAGTAACCGCTCGAACGTGGCCCGTAACTTTGAAGAGCTGATCCAGAGCAACCAAACCATTACATACACCTTAACACCCGAGAATATGCGCAACATGGACGTGAGTAAAGAAAGTAACATGCTTGAAGAAGAATTGAGCTAATCAGTACATCACAAACAGTCCCCTGACAACACAACCTTCAAGGGGCCAAGAAAGAGCGAGGACATTCGTGCTCACAACCGATCAAGGTCTTCCTCCGCCACAACCGAAGCAAAGAAGACACACACCCACCACCGGATTGGTGATGAGAGGTTGAAGTCTATCTCGTCTTCTAACCCAGGCAGGCCGCGCATGTCCGCTGCTCCCAGAGAAGCTCGAGTGCCAAGCGAATCTACCGCAGATTTTGCAGAATTTATCAAATCTACTGGTCCAGCGGGAGATACCCGTCCCACGCAGTTTCGAAATGTGAGCAGCCCAAATATCCCCAGCAAAGCCAGCCTCGATGGCCGTCGTGTTTCATCGACAAGCAGTCGGAACCGCTATATGCCCCGTGATGCTGTGATGGAGTCTAGTAATGGCAACTCGGATCTAATCGACTTTATCCGACAGGGACCCCCAGGCGCAAACAGCAACCGTATCCCCCATAACATCGCACCTTGGGACACAACAGGCACCGAAGAATCCTCAGCTGGTAAGGCCGTCGACGCCAATATTCCCGACATCCGATACAGCCAGGCCTCGACCCACAACACCGAGTCATCTATGCCTTCGATTCACTCATCCATCAACTCCAACACGGCTCTACTAAAGAACAAGGGACAGCCCGCGCCTACTAGCAATATGTTCGACGATGATGAGATGATGCCCAAGCGTAAGACTCGACGTGTCAAGGACCCTTACGCCATTGACTTCAGCGACGAGGATGATGACGACGATGTTCCGCTTGCAACCCCCAAGCCTCCTGTTAAGAAGGAGGAGAGTTTGGCAGAGTTTCTCATGAACTATGAGCCTCCCCCGGAGCCTGTTTCGGTCCCTATCTCACAGAAGATGCCGAAGAAGAAAGCAAGTGCGCCAAGCCTTATCGGTAGATTCACTCGTAAGGAGAGTAGTCACTCAAGCAACACCCCTCCATCACCTCAAAGCAACGACACTCGATCTCTTAGCAGCCGCGCTGGTTTCAGGAATTACATTCCAATCCAGGTCAACGTCCCATCCGGCTATGACAAGTATGGCCAGCCCACAGGCGAGAACTCCTCGCGCCCTTCACAGCCTGCATCTGCAGCCCCTTCCGGACGTCGTGTCCCCATGAAGAAGTTTGAGCCCCGGGAGGCAGTATCTAACGTCTCTCGAACCTCGGATCTGGCAGCGTTCTTGCGCACTTCTGAACCACCACCCGAGCCTGTGATGGCTCCTCCTCCCGCTAAAGAGGAGAGCAGCAGCAGTAGCCTGTCGAAGATGTTCAGCCGTCGAAAGAAGTAATCGAAACGTGTCGATTGATACCCGCGAGTGATTTGATTTATCTGTGCAATTCTGTCGAGAAAATACGCCCTAGACGAGGATCATACGCCCATGAGCTCATGTACTTTTTAATTTCTATTATTGGATGTCCAATCGCGATCTGGAGTCTAGAGACCTGGATCCAAACACTGTTGATGCCGTCACTGAACGGATTTCTTGCCTCGCTTTTGAATTTTTGTCCTACGGACGCTGACATCCATCTCATGGGCTTGGATGTCTTTGGGAGGCGGGTGTCCATTTTGTTTGCTGCAAAGAGGCTACATAGCGTGTTGGCGAAGAACAGGAGATGGTGCACATGTACAAAGTAAATGTTTGAGTGGATGTGTTCAAAATCTTGCACTCACGAATCTATGGTTTACTGTTTACTCTTGCAACTAAAAGTATGTACAAGCGATGTATAGTATCATGTAGACCTGATCAAATGTCAATGTTTCTTTGGGATTCTGTTTGTTTACATGCCTCTGACCCACCTAGCCGCTTGACTGATATTTCCATGACAAGACCAAATCGGGAATACACTGCGAGCACCCCTCACTACCTCATGTTCAACAATGCTGCCATTGCTTTTCCATTACTTATTCCAGATGTGCATCTAACATGCATGATGTGTTGTGAGCCTGGGCGGGCGTAACATGTGCTTCCCGTCTCAAAATGGCGAATAATACATCGATATTATCCGCTAATGTAACTGACATATTGGAATTTACAATGCCATGTCAAGTGATGTGATGTGATCAGAACCTTAATCCGGGATAAATTGCAGATGCGGTCGCCTTGCTGGAACTGGGGTAGCTGGGCGAACCGTAAGACCTGTACAGAGTACTGTTGAGGCTCTTGTTCAATAATATCTCGTGGGACGATGGGATAGCTGTCGTTTCGCTGATCTCACATTCCAATCCCATTCCTTATAGCTTATTATTGTACTTGTATCTGCCTTGTAAGCTTGCCTACACTGATGACCAATGTCGTAAGTATAGAATCTCCATAGAGTCCAGCAAATGTGCCATTTAAAAGATATAGCATTATCGTCGCTGGTTTTTATATCAGATTGACAAAGCCTATAGTCAGGTCCAATAAACTTTCATAATTTTTTATTTCTCTATCTTTTGCTTTTTTGGTAGATTGAAGCCCCACGGATCATTTCTACAGTCAGGCTGTGAAAGACATGGAAGGCCTCATGTCATACAAGAATCGACGCCACTGTTACACCTAAGCTCTTATTATCAAGCAATAGAGTATGACAGATCGAAGCCATGTGCATCCCCATTACCCATATTCATTGTCTGGTAAAGCGATGGACGCAGTTTGACAAACTTGTGAGATGTCCTTGAGTCCTCTTCCTTGGGTTTCTGGGCATCGATGTCTTGATTTGATGTCCATTGTATAACTGTTGGTGCACCACCAAATAACTCCTGTGAAGGTGTGCCGGCTTCCTTTCTGAAGTCTGCTTCATGTAACTGGTAATTCGGGAAGCCGGGCAGTGCAAGTCCCGGATCAAACGATATAAGTATAACGGGCCTCAATTGCCCGGATGCCATATGTGTTGGAGAATACACAAGAACCCGCCCATCCATACACCAGTCGATTCCCTTGATCGGCTGTATAGGATTGACGACACCGTGAAGCTGATCTAAGATAGCGTCGTGGCAGCATGGATCCTGGTCTTGTGGCCAGATATTGACTGCCGGCAGTTGTTCTTTGGGTCGTACTCTGAGTTGCAGTGCTGAGAGTGGGTTGTAGGCCTCAGAAACGAGATCGATGAACGTGTTGCAGGATGGACTGTATGAGCGGACGAAACATTCTTGAAGGGTGTAGGCTGTTGGGTCTGTAGGGCCATCTCCAATGTGAACACTCTCGCTCGGCCGTTCCTCAATATGGTTCTCGCTGTCCCACTCCTGGATAGGACTATCCGCAGTGGAATCAGGTGGTGTTGGAAGAAGAGGCTCAGACTGATCATCCTCTTGGCCAAACTGAAGCTCCTTTTTGTAGCAAGTCCTCTGACTGCCTGCGTTACCGGGAAACCACTCCTTTCGAGTTTCCACGATGAGGAGTTTCCCTGTAACCTCATCTTTCGTGAGCTGCAGTGAAGTCCAGCGTTCATCTACTGCTCCCTCTGAATCATGCCGGCGCCAGAGATTACGCATCGGGGGCTTTTCGCACGTATCATGAGCCGCGTTATCTACGGGAAACCGCACAACTTTGTAGAAATTGTTACGTGTGCCGTGATCCGTCTGTGTTTTCAAGGTGTTGGAGACACAGTAAAACTGGCCATCGATAATTTCAAAGCAAATGTCTGACCCTATGTCTGCTTCGTCAAAGTCCCACAGAATCAACCGTGAGTCTGCCCACTTACGAGTCTGGAGATTCAGACAATGAAGACCCCAGCTGTAGGACCCGTCGAGTCTGGTGTGGGATTTAGAGCCCCAGAAGAGATAATTCTTGTCGTTACGAACAAAGAGAGGGTGTTTTGGGCCTGGTCTTTGTACGACGACCCATCTGGGAGTTTCGCTTAGCTCGAAGATGACGAGCCAGCTGCATATTGTGGAATTTTCGAGGACTTGTGTAGCGAGACATGACAGTATGCCCTCCGCGTAGTGAAGCGGTTCAAAAGTATGTTGTTTTAGAGGGTTGTAGTCACGCACTGCAAGCCTAAGAAGTAACGGCACATCGACTATTAACTCAGCCGTAGGCGTCTTCTGGAGTGTGTTGAGGACACGCAGATGCTTGTTATCAACAGTGTAGCACAGGTGGCCATTGGTATAGATGAAACGATCTGCCATGGCCACTATAGCAACCGTCCACGGCTCGGCAGCCCGGACAGCCATTCGCCTTTTGGCTAACTTGCGGAACGCCCTCGGGAAGTCCTTGGTCGCCTGCGCCTCCTGAGCCTCGGCAGAAAATGGTGCCTTCTAAGTTGCCGTCAGCGGGGACTCTCACCAAGCCAAGAGACTGAGACGAACCATGAGGGCGAGACGACACATTCGTCTATCATAAATGATGCAGCTCAGAGACCGGCAGGTTAATGCCATATTGAAGACATCGTCCAGCTCAAGTAGCTCAACGAGGAGAGAAACAATCTCGACAGGGAGTCTCAGAATGCTCATGGCGAAGCTACAGGGGCGAAGAGAATATGGGGTCTTGTAGAGCGGCGTGAGGTCATGTTCACCAAAACAATCGATGCTGATCTATTTTGCACAGGTACGACGCTATTCGGATAAGGTCGAGGGCACTCTTAAGGCCCTTCAAGGAGCAGAGCCTCATCATGGCAGAGCCTGGTCGCAGATGGCCCCCGCTCTGGGCGTGATTTTCGTGAAAGCCCCATGTCTCTTTGTTTTACTTAAACTCAACTAGTCGCAAAGATAACAATTGTATTAAGTTTAGAGCTCGGGGTTAGTTGGTTGGTTGCCCGATGCGATGTGTTGTTGTGCAAATGGTAAGTTTATTAAGCCTCAAAACTCCACAGCAAGTGAGAGATGACTTGGTTAGAAAAGATGACCCGGGTGATCAAAGCTCGGGCTGACATTTATTGATAATAACCGTCCACACACGAGCTATTTTTCAGGGCGGCTTGATATTGCGCAGGATCTTGAGATCACGAGGGAAATTAATGAGATGGTGTCGAGGTAGAATTTCATGGTCTCCTGTTTGGGCTGCGTACAGAACAAGACGAGGCTCCGAGGTGTCTATACTAATTATGTTATGTGGTCACACTAATTAAGTTGCAGAGACAGCGTAGCTGCACCAACTGTCCCACTAAGCACAAGCATCCATGTTGTTGAATGATAGTTCCTGGTATTGCATCCGTATTGTTGGAGACAATGGAAGATGAGGCTCTGCTCGGCTAAAACCTGAGGTGTACTACGTATATGCAAGCGGTTAGGTGATGGTGATACCTTGATGCAAATGCAGCCCCTTAATGGCGCGTTATGGTACCCAGCAGAATTGACTTACTGGAAGTCAGCCATGTCCAATCTTTCAGATTCACATTCGTATTCTGACATTAATATCTGTCTTGTCCTTCATTGTTCTTTGAAATGGACTAATTCTACAAAATGTGACAAAAAGGAAACAGGGCGGCTTCAACCTCTCCACCCCATTCATGAGGCCAACCCTTATCGACTAGCACCATCTCAACCTGCACCTTTGTAGATGAAGGGATCGCATCTTTCATTCTTGAGGAGTATACCCAGACCAGAGCCTCAAAAACGTTGCCGCTTGTTTAAACGGTCCCACTTTTACCATCCCACGCCAAATCCTTTACTTTCGGTGCCAGGCTCTGGTGATGCGAGTGTTCCTCATCTTCCTTTGCAGCTGGAAAATACCGTACATCAATGCCTCACTCGTTGGAGGGCATCCAGGCACGTACACATCGCAGGGGACTACGCGGTCACAACCTAGAAATCACTAGTTAGAGACGTGTGTTGTAATCAAGACGGTGCAGAAGCATACCTCGTACGACAGCGTAGCTGTAATGGTAGTATCCACCACCGTTGGCGCAAGATCCCATGGAAATAACCCAGCGGGGCTCAGGCATCTGATCGTAAACCTGTCGAAGAGCAGGAGCCATCTTGTTCGTAAGAGTACCGGCAACAATCATGACATCAGACTGTCGAGGCGAAGCACGGAAAATGATACCGAGGCGATCCTGATCGTATCGTGGGGTGGAAAGATGCATCATTTCGACGGCACAGCAGGCCAGACCGAAGGTCATAGGCCAGAGGGAGGACTGACGAGCCCAATTGGTGACAGCATCAAGTGTGGTACTGGCAAACTCAAGTTAGTACGGGGGTACTTATATAAGGTCGCCTGTCGCCTATATCCCTAGGAAGCATCGAGCTCGAAACATACAGCGCATATTGCAGAGCACCCTTTCCAGGTGCCTCGCTGGGAAGCGGGACCTCTCTGCGGACCTTTCCTAAACCTGTGGTGGCCGAATGGCTCTGAACGGCGCTCGCATCGCGGCGAGAGTTGGTGGTGAAGGCGGCGGCAGCTGTTCGGAACGGAACGAGGGCAGTCGTAGGCTTGGCTACAGCGATTGAAATCGTTAGCAAGGTACGAAAGTGTCGCGATGGTCGGGTTCGATATCCGAGCCATATAGCCCGCCTGGTTGGCAGGGCCAAAGTCACACACCTCGGAGGGCCATTGAAGCCGTGAATCGCGTGGAGGAAAGCATCTTGTGTGAGAGAATGATTCGGCAGACGAGGTCACCTCGATCGCACGATATCAGACGGAGTATAGAGGGGAGATTGGCGCGGACGTGGTTAACGGCGTTGACGGAGCGAGGCTTTCTTGGTTGACGTTTTGGACGATTCGCCACTTTGCTTGCCCGACGTGGAATAAGACGCCTATGATTGGCTAGAGACGCTTTGACGAGAGTATCAGATGCCGTGAATTAGCCGACCTGGTGGGGATGGTGATAACTTGGGCCTCTGAGTTGGATAAAAGAGACAAAATGTCAAGTTTGATGATGACTTGAACAATAGTTGCCTGCAACGTCAAGAGAGGACTGGCAAACTTTGAAACTGATTGGTATGTCTTATGTCTCCTTTTCAACTCGGAACAATTCGCCTCAAAATGTCACGGGGCTCGAATGGCTTCATTATTTAAAATCCATGACGTTCATATTGTCACTAAAGGCGAGTCGGCTAGAAGCCAATAAATTTCTCCAATTGTGATCAATTTCTTAGGTTAGGATATCCAGTGGCAAGTACGCCCCAGGGCTGAAAATCAGGGTCCTCTGTTGGCTTGCGAGTTGAAATGTGCTACTGACCATGATCTTCCATCGTGGGTTGATGACTTTGACGCAGCGATTGTGGGCACAAACGATCAATGTGTTTGAATTAATATTAATGATACTCATATTTCGTATCAAACAAGCAGTCTAATCGTTCGACACTTTCCTTTACTTACCTCCAGTCTCTTGCAGACCTGTCAAGACTCGTGGATAGTCTAGACGCTTGCGCGGGGCTTAGATGGGTGTCATCAATGGGAACCATCCATACTATGTATTTCAGGTAAGTCAGGGCGCAGAATGCAACAGCAAGTCCTACACAAGGATTCTCAGGAATATAAAACCAAGTTAGTTACCCATCTGCTCTTTCAGGATGCCTTTATTGAGGCACTCGATGTGTAGGGCAATCGGCTCAACATGAGGATCTTGATGGCCACCCCAGAAAGGAGACGAACAGTAGCAGATCATGATTTAGATCTATGATGAGGATCTCATGTTTTCGTATCAGTATTTCTCTCCCATATTACTACTGACATGGTGAAAGTAGGAATGTCTTGTGCCGATAATTAACTTCGTAGTGAGTTTACTTGTAGATCTTCCCCAGAGTTTTTTTCCTCCTCTTGATGCGAGAAAGGGGCAGTCAAGCGACTAGCTCGAATTACAACCGTTAATGACAGCGTGTGGTTGGACGAGTTGACTTGGATTAGTGACAGGGGTATGTTAAATTCAGAGACGGGGATAGCTGCAGCTTAAATCACACATCGGTTTTAACCTCGCAATGGCCTCATTACAGATCTTTAATATCGAATGGTGAGGACCAATTGAGTGCTTGGACTTGAAATAGTGAAGTGGATTTGCTGAGCTTGGTTGGACAACAGACTTCCTTCATCGTAAGATCCATGCTTGTATCCGTAGCTTGGGCCTCGGTTACTGTTCGCATTGACCCGTCACCCAAGGGTTTTATATACTGGGATCTAGGTACCAAATGAAGGTGTACATATTCGCACCGATCGCGACCGACCGTAGTGACCGGCGGTGGTCTATATTGATAGAGGGTTCACCCCCTGAACTGGAGTCGTCTAGCTTTGCAGCATTTCGAGGTGTGTTTCGTGGCTAAGAAATGCTTGACGCCAAACCCTGAAGTTTCTGAACACGTAAAGGTACCGCGCGTACAGACTCAAAAGAAAAGACATTTGTGGTTACGTTTGCACGTTCCTGTTATGTCACTTTATAATTATGTCTGCAAATGGATACAAGACAGCCACAACGCGCTAGTAATTGATATGCATACACTAATACAACTATGCAAAGGGTATTGATGAGATCCGAAGGGCGTTATGGTTAATACAATTGTGATTCTTAGAGCTTTGGATGCGGAACAAAGGAAGAAAGAAGAGCTTGATTGACAGATAATTCTTAAATAAAAATAGCATTCCAATCTAAAGACAGCTGGAGCCCTCGGACCATCCCAGTCCACGGCCCTACGGTCACTAAACCATGATGCCAAGCCACCCCGCTAATGGCTGGATGCGGGCAGAGCTGTAGTGGCCGTTCTGAGACTCTGGGTCCCCCTTTCTAGCTGCAGATGCTCTACGGAAAGTGGGCGGCGTTGAAGAATGGTTGGACTACGTGAGTAACAGTTTGCACTTGGGAGAGTAACAACAGACGGCGAGTTCAATACCTATGCTATTACATACTACGTAAAACAGATCAATCATAGTTCCCAGTATGCGTACTAGGGAGAACACATATATACATCTCCATATAAGCGAACCTCATGGAATAGGTAGCCATCACAGAAAGGAGCAAGCTAACGTTAACTAAGCATTAATTAGCTTCACCTTCCGCGGCAAACCTGGATATTTCCTGCTTGGCCTGCTTGGGTCCATTTAAGTGGTGGCCTCTACTCGGACGTAGTCGGTAGTAGGTAGTAAATCGCAAGGGAAAAGGCCTTGCTACTCCGTAGATATGCTCATACATAATTCTTTCCCACTTCTAATAAGATCCCGGTCCTTCAACTATTATTATTATAACCTTGCTTACGGAGTAGGGATTCAAGTTATAGAGGTTAATGTACAGGTGGCTCCCCTAATAGTGTGCCTACTCCACGCTTCAACACCCTCCACTCTCCGCCACCTTTCACTCAGGACCAACTTCTGAACTTTGACTTGCGACTTCCCGCCAATTCCCAGTTTCCGCTCCGACAGGGCAGGCAAGTACTTGCTTGAACTCCTTCCACGTCCCACATTACATCTCTCCATACCACAACCTCAAATCACCAACTTTTTCCCTTAATTGGTTCATTCTACTCTTTCGCCTTTTTCTTTCTCTCTTTTTTTCTTCTGTCTGATCTACTTCGACTTCTCCTTTGTGATCCTACGACGACATCCACTGCGATCCGCCGATATCCTACCGACACCAACCCGAACTCCAGCATACGCTTCTTCCGACATCAACCAAGTGCTATTCCGCCTGATAATGCCCTTGTGCTGCGCTCTCTGAGCTCGCGATCCTCTATCGATGCTTCGGTTGCCCGCTCCCCCGTGGCGCGCATAAATCCTTCGACTCCTCCGCCGCCTGTCATCTTACATCATATCCATCGCCATGATGTGGCCTCGGTTCAAACAATGGCTATCGAACTGGCCGTCTCGACTAGTCTTTCGCTACCTTAGCACACTCTTTCTCATATGTTTCGCCATTACCAATTACATACTATGGACCAGCAGTCAGGGATGGGATGTAACAGAACCAAAGGGCCCTGTCACTTTGGGTCCAAAGCATCCAATTAAGAAGCTTATGGCAGATGCCCGCGCCCGCCATGAGAACCTCCTTTCAAAACGAAGTCATGACCTTTACGAAGCTTCCGAACGTTATCGCGCCCGCCGAGGACGTCACCCACCACCAGGCTTCGACAAATGGGTGGAGGCAGCTCTTGCTTCGGATAGCATCATTGTGGAGGATTACTTCGATCGCATATACAAGGACTTGTCCCCATTCTGGGCGCTCGATGCTCATACAATCGCAAGGCGCGCATCCGCATGGCACTGGGTCGTCAAGGTTCGCAATGGCGTAGCTACTGGCGTTGGTGACACAACGAACCGTGTGCCGTGGCTGACATTATGGACCGACCTTGTCAAGGAATTTGCCCAGGATATGCCCGACGTCGACATGCCAATTAACTACATGGACGAGCCACGACTTCTCGTTCCATTTGACGACCTATCGAAGCTCGTCGACCACGAGCGCGCCAACCGACGCATAGCGCCCATGAAAGAAGTCTTTACCAAGTTCAAGAGTCTCTCTAAGCTCGACGATGAGAAACCTCAGCCCTACGATCCTTATTGGCACAATAGCTCAGCGAACTATTGGGAACTTGCGCGTGTGACGTGTGACCCCAACGCTCCGTCGCGCAATGTCCAACAAGTCTCAGACTTGAAGGCTCCCGTCGAATATCCCTCGAATTGGAACCCCGAGTATGCGTACAGAGGTTATGTCAAGAATTGGACCGCCTCTCAGGACCCTTGCCTACAACCTCATCTTCGCCAGATGCATGGAAGCTTTGTCGCACCTCTCAGTCTATCTACTTCCACCGAGTTGATTCCTTTGTTTGGCGGATCCAAGCTCCCCGTGAACAATGAGATTCTGATCCCTGGTGCCATGTATCTTACTGAGGACGAATTCTATTCTGGCGGGGAGAAAATGGGCCCCGCGTGGCATGCCAAGAAAACAGGCATTGTCTGGAGGGGCGACGCATCCGGTGGTGAGCCGAGAGCTGATGTCTGGCATCGTTTTCACCGTCACCGTCTTATGCAGATGCTCAACGGCTCTTATGTTGACAGCGTTGAGCGTCAAGGTGTCAAACCCAAAACTTTCCAATTACCTACCCCCGATCCCTACAACAGTACTCACCGCGCTTCTAATACCGTTGGTCAGTGGTTGCAGCAGATCTCTGACTGTGGATTCAAACGGCTCCTATGCGAGAAAGTTGGCTGCGATCATTTCACTCCTTATTTCCGTGAACTCAAGCACATGTCTATGAAGGAGCAGTACCGCTTTAAATTCCTGCCCGATACCGATGGCAACTCCTTCAGCGCCCGCTTCCGAGGTTTCCTACGTTCCTCGAGCATGCCTCTCAAAGCCACTATTTATGCCGAATGGCATGATGATCGCCTTACGCCGTGGGTTCACTTCGTGCCTTTCGACAACACCTTCCAGGACCTTTATCCTATCCTCGAATTCTTTACTGACGAGGAAGTTGGCGGAGATACTGCGGCTCGATTCATTGCCGAACGGGGCAGGGACTGGGCTAGCCAAGTTCTTCGCCGCGAAGATATGCGCCTTTATACCTGGCGCCTATTACTCGAGTGGGCTCGGGTTTGCGATGAAGATCGCGAGAAACTAGGATTTATAAGAGATTTGGTGGAACCAAGGAAAGACTCCATACGATAATTTTAGATTTGGGATTGACAGCACATACTTATTGCAACGCATGAGCAATCCTCTATCACATTCGATAAGCTGACAGTGCTCATGTACATAACTAATATCCACGGCCTGGCGTTCTGGAGTTGGATTATTTACTATACAGACCGGATGTTTGCGGCACGATATGGATGCCATACCGGTATCTGGGGGCTTGAACGTCCGAGAAGACGTATAACTTGGGAGGGACACACGTGGCACTGGGCGTGCTACACCACCAATGATTTTGGATGATTGGGAGAGGAGAAAGAGATGGAATAAAGGGATCCTCTCGTTCTTAATTCTCGACTGTAAAAGGTTGAGCTAATCCACCCTGAAAAATAAACATGATACCAAACTTGTTGTCGATGTATGCTCTTTGCCGAACCAACACGCCACGGACACAAGCACGGCGTGCCAAAACAAGTAAGTGAAAATGAGAGAAGTTGGTCGTGGTTTTTATCCTTATTATAATGCTAGTATATAGTTTTACAGCATTGTACCACAAGAGCACTTCGCCATGCATCCATGGTAAACCAACGCCGGAAATTATTGCAACATAAACATTCAATCTTGCTTCCGAAGGCAAGAACGGGTCTTTTCTCACAGCTGTAGATTCGTGACAGGTTCGCGAGTAGGCTGCCCCTTCAGATGGGCAGCAGAACCCTTGAAGAGACTCTGCCAGATGAAAGCCTCACTTAGGAGCAGTTCAATGTCCTTCTCTGTCCAGCCCTTGGTAGGAAGGCTCTGAAGAAACATCATAATCTCCTGGAAATCCATATGGACAAGCTTGTCAGACCATTTTACAAGAAATGCTGCGCATACGTAGAGGTGGAACTCGGAGAAGCCCTGCTCCTCGGCCTATAGAGTGTCAGTTTTCGAGTCATTGGAAAAGGGTATGTTCACAAACCAAATAAGTATCCCACATGCGTATTGTGTTTTTGACGCTGAACTCTCGCATCAAGAGGCAGTTCATCCAACGGAAACTAAACTGGATGAATTCGATGCCTTCTTGCTCCAAGTGCTTGGACAGGTTGGCGTCTATGCGTGCTGTCAGGTCACGCAGAGCAGCAACCTGGCGCTGAATGCCCGGCTGTGCCACGATGTAGTGGTCCTGGATACCATCGAGCAGCTTTGTAAGGCACCAGAAAGAATCGGCTTCAACAGCGTCTAACACGGACTTAGGAAGCTGTCCTGGGTCCATCCCAGACTCGATATCAGGATCACCAATGTATATGCCCAAAAACACCTGCCAAAATGGCGTTACCAGGTCATTAATGCCCTGAACATAGCCGCTGGCTGGGTGTCGAACGGCCCACACATACAGTATCCGCTCGAGTGACCGCTGTGTGGCCTCGTAGCTGTAAAGCTCAATATGCGGGTTTGTCCGGGGTACATCGATGCTGATTTGGTGCCAGATGGCCTCGTCTAGGCCCCGTGTCCGACCGGCAGGGGCTGTGTTGCCTGAAGTGGTTGTCGCGTTTCCTCCCCTCTCAAATGCTTGACGGACGCCGTCAAGGTACTCTTTACGTTTCCTCTCTAGTGTAGCGACCCGGCGCTCGCTATTCGCGGGCAGATAACTGAGAAGTAGCTGCCAAGTAATGGCACGCACCTCCTGCGGCACACCAGACCAGGCTGTTGATCTCAGGTCGGGAAGTGAGATAGTAGAAGCTTGTAGGAGTTTCTTGAATTTATTAATACGTGTAATGCGAGAGTTTATGGCATCGGCTTCCTTGGGAGTGGCGTTGGCGGGGACGGTAGGGTAGTTGATGAGATGTAGAGCGTTGGCGGGGTCTTATTGTCATGGTCAGTGTTTTTGTGGACAGTGGTTTTGTTTGCGACAGCGCACCTTTCAGAATTTCCTTATACTGCGGTCGAAGAATCTTGCCTTCGCTCTTCTTGGGCATGGGATATGTGGGTGCAGGTCGCTCTACTGCGATGTCGGCGCTATTTGAATAACGTCTCGTTAGGAGGCCACTGGGAGGCCCTTCTGTCGACGGTGACAATGTACTCGACTCTGCCCTGTTCTGTGTAGCGATACGTTTCGTCCTTCTCTTCATACTCGACAGGCTCGGCAAACCAAAGTCGTCACCGTCGTCATCCTCGTAGCCCATCATATCATCTTCGTCTGCCTTCCAGTCGTCATTGGTATTTGATAGAAAGTTGATGTAACTCTTGTATGGAGGTGAGCCCCTGTTTCCAGGCATCGTTTTCGGGGGAGGAGAAGCTTCATGGATTCGAATTTTGGCAGAGGAGGAAGAAGGAGGTGTTCTAGGTCGAGCAGAGCTGGAAGAGTTTCTGGACAAACGACGTCAGTGAACGAGGACCACGGCTGAGCAAGGTCAAGATGACTTACAAGGAGTCGAAATTGAGCATATCTGCATGAGAGTATGCGGCGCCAACAACGAGGCCAGAGCCATGGCCTGTAGGCGACGTCATATTTCTCTTTGGTGTAGAGTTGTGGCTGTCTCGTGGTGGTGGTCTCCAGAACGGCGATGCGGACCTAGTCGGGCAAGCTTCAGCGTGGGAGCTTGGAGAATGTGGAAAGCCAAGTCAAATACGTACTCTGATCGATCTGTCCCATAGCAATTGAGCTTGTGTTAGCAACAATTCGGCATTTGGCAAGCTTCTCCTTGAACATACCGACTTGGACCATCTCCTGCGGCGGTGGGGCTGTTAGCAAAGGCGGGCGGCCATTACGTCGAAGCTCGTGGGCATAGAGAGCTTCGACGCTGATATTCAGGACTTACAGATTGCGCAGGCTTCTTGCCACTTCCAGAAGACGACCACATGGTTTGTTGAAGAGGAAAGAGGCCGTATAAAAGAGCCTTGAAGCGTATTTTACATGCTGCGATGCCACGCGACGCTATGATGTTGTAGAAGATGAAGGTCAGTAGGTTGGCACTGGCAGGGCTGGGTTGATCGATGGATCGATTAAACAATAAGGAACCGGGCTTAACTAGGCCCTGGTAGCCTGGCTGGACCAGAGACCACGAGATCACCCCGCAAACAGCGCTAATGTGGCTTGTAAATAGCGGGTGTATGGTGGGGGCGTGCACTAATTCAGAACCATAACCCTGTGGCCTCAGAAGGTTGTCCTAGAATCCATGCTGGTTTATTGAGAGCTTGCGAAAACTTCAACATTTTAGCGAATACGGCTAATCAGATCTGAGGATAAGACATTGCGAGAGTTTCAATTTCAGTGTAAGAGCTTGAGTCTTACAGGCAATACACAGAGTTAGCACGTCAATCTAATTCCTAGAGTATAAGAGTTTACGTTCAATAATCTAACTACTTGCATACTGCATAAAATAGGGGATATCTAACCATTAAGAAAAGCGTACACATGCTCCAAATCAAAGTAAACCCTTGAGGTATTTATCAAAATCTCCCTTCCATTCTCTGAATGTGAAAAACTAGAGGAAACCATCATCAAGTTCTTTATTTAAAAAGTCAAAGTGTCGTGTTCATAACAACAGAACAGCTTCTTTGTTGTTTGCAACAGCGCCGCCTTTTGATTGGCCCATTCGAAGCTTAGTCATTCCGGCAGCTTAGGCTCTAGCTCCATGGCTCCGCTGGCTGAGGACCTACCTTCACAGGTCAGTCGCCTCCTCTCCTTCTCTTCAACTCTTTATTCAAACCACTTTTTCAAGCTCAATCCCGCGCATCTCTTCGCTATTTTGACCTTCTTTTTTCTTTCTTACCCTAGCATTTACTGTCAAGACCGCGTCACACATTGTGCGCATCTGCGACGCTACTTTGCCATTTGTCCTTCTTATCAGAACCACGCGCCAATCTTGAACCGTTGCCATGACTGAACCTGAGAACTTCGAGGATGATCTCTTCGCCGATCTGTAAGTTCTTCCGCTGCAGAATGCGCAAAGACACACTACATAGACATGCAATCATTCTGACACGGAATAGCTACGATGATAATGATGGCCCAAAGCAAACACCTGCTCCCGCGGCGCCAGCTCCCCCTGCGCCAGAGGTTCAGCCTCCGACTAATACACAGAGCGACGATCATGACCTTCAGAACGGAGCGTACCAACATCAGGGTACAGCAGGTGATGAACACATGATTCAAGATCAGGACGACGATGACGATGATGTTGATTTCAACCTTGGTGGTGGTGGAGGATATGGCGGAGCTGGTCACACAGGCCAAGGTGGTATGCACGAGGATGCTCAAACACCTCCATATGGAACTGTCCATAAGGCAAGCGCCAAAGAAGATGGGTAAGTCTATCATCTCTGCACTTCGTGATTTTATCCCTTGAATTCGTACTCGACCGAGTATAGCGGGTTTAGCCCCGTGTCCGCGACTCTGAAACGTGATGGCAACTGCAAATTTGCCGCGTAGTAGTGGCTCTCGCTTTAGATTTGCATGCATCTCGGAAGTTGGCTTGGCTAGAAAGGGTCGCGGTCAAATTGAGAGAAAGAAGGTTGCTATCAGAGACATCATACGGCAAAAGTTCAGAACGGAGGAGTTGCAATCAGCCCAGTCAATGAGGACTTGAGAGGATCAAGAGATATGGCCAGTTGAGACGAATCCTTTGGCTTTTGTCTATGGACCAGAGAGGAAGAGGAGGATGTCGATATCAGTATTGGGATTCGCCCTGTGGATACTCCCGAGAAGAAAAGAATCCTCCGGCACTAGTCAAGACGAAAGACACTACCTACTTGAGTCTTCCATAGCCCTCAGTCGCGGAGATCCTGTAGCCGATGAGAGTGGTAAACACTCTTGGGTGCTACAACGAGATTCGCAGCGAATAGCGCTCGAGGCCAGTACCTAGCATGAGACAGAGAGGACAGTCAAGACGATAGCACAAGACGAAAGTTTATTCGACCAAGCTCATCTGGCATCTCTCGTTGCAATGTCTGCGCCGTTCCTTCGACTATTTTGGCGGTCTATGATCAACCTTTGTCAACCATGGTCCTTATTTGTGTTGGCCCTTGTGCATCCACAGTCAGGGATCCTGCAGCACTTTTGCCGTCAACATATACAACAAACGGAAGAATATGGCATGTTCCAAATCAAGCGACTGTCTACTAGGCTCCAGCCTTGTCAATGCGCCTGTGTTGCCCTACCTACAAACATCCACAGTCTCTTGCTGCAAAGTTGCATATCCCACCTCATTGCAGTCGCCAGATCAAAACACACGGCTTCCCTGCTGCGCCCATCAACTCTACTGAACCCAAAGTCGCTACCCCAGCAAGGCCATCGATCATTCGCCCAATTCCGACTTTGACCACGCAACCCACTTCGTTCCCAGCCTGGATCTAACTTTTATGCCATGCTCACTATATCTGTGCTTCAAAGCCGTCTCACCCATGATACATTCACTAATACTCGAGAACGGCGCTGAGGCTAACAAGTTTGCGTAGTAAAATGTTTATTGGTGGACTCAATTGGGAAACCACAGACCGTGAGTAGCACAGAGATGCATAACGCCCAAACCTGTACTAACCTCGACTGGTAGAATCCCTACGAGACTATTTCGAGCAGTTTGGCGAAGTGGTTGAGTGCACTGTTATGAGGGACAGCAGCACCGGACGGTCCCGAGGATTCGGTTTCCTCACTTTCAAGGATGCCAAGACAGTCAACATCGTCATGGTTAAGGAGCATTTCCTTGATGGCAAAATTGTTCGTTACCTATCGAATATTCCGCACATGTTGCCCAACTAACACTACTCTAGATTGATCCCAAGCGTGCAATTCCCCGGGATGAACAAGAAAAGACAAGCAAGATCTTTGTTGGAGGTGTCAGCCAGGAGACCACCGACCAAGAGTTTAAGGAGTATTTTGCCCAGTTCGGCCGCGTCGTGGATGCGACCCTCATGATGGACAAAGACACTGGCCGGCCACGAGGCTTTGGTTTTGTTACGTTTGAGAACGAAGCAGGTGTCGATGCCTGCATCAACGTGCCACTAGAGATCCACGGCAAGCCTATTGAGGTCAAGAAGGCCCAACCTCGAGGCAACCTTCGAGAAGAAGAGGAGGCTTCACGACGCGGCAAGTTCAGAAAGGAAGGAGACCAGGCGAGTCAGGGCGGCTCTATGGGCCAACAGATGGGCAACAATGGCATGACACCTCAAGTCATGGCCCAATACTTCCAGCGCATGCAGCAATACTTTGCCGTGATGCAATCGCAGATGGCAATGAGCCGAGGAATGCCCATGAACCCAGCCATGTGGCAGAACATGATGCAGATGCAACAGATGCAGCAGCAGATGATGGGTCGCGGAGGCGGTGGTGCCAATGCTCAGAACATGATGCAAAATATGAACCCTCAGATGATGCAGCAAATGCAACAAATGCAGCAGCAGATGATGCAGCAACAAGGTCAACAGGGCGGCCAAGACGCCGGTTCCGGCAGTGCTAGTCCCACAGCCTCTGCCAGCGGCGGCGGTGGTGGTCGAGGATACGACAACAACAATAATAACTACAACCAGTACCAGCAACACCAGCCTCAGGGAGGTCGTCGTGGGGGTCGCGGAGGTTACGGCGGTCATGGAGGGCACGGAGGGCACGGAGGTTATGGCATGGGAGCCGGAGCTGGAGGCAGCGGCGGAGCTCCCACCTCATGGGAGGGGATGTATGACGACGTCCCTCAGCCAAATCCCGGTTCTGGCGGCTTCAACCGCGCTGGAAGTGCCACAGGAAGTTCTGATCCTCAACACGCACCCCCGGCCAACGCCCCTACTGGGCCCAAGAACGCTGGTAAGCCAGGAGCAAACTACCGTGGCGGAGGACGAGGCGGAAGCCGTGGATTTCACCCTTACTCACGATAAAGACTTCGCAACAGATTTTGCCCTCACGATGGAAGGGTTGAAGGGCTACAATACGCCGCCAAGACTGCGGTGAAGTTGATGGGAAGGTGGAATGTTCGGTCATGTATGATACTGCGGAAAGGTCTTTGGTTCCGCCTATACTGTTCTATTTTTTTACTTTTTGCTTTTCACTCGTTTGGTTCGACCTTGCATGGGTGGCCTTCGGATGCGTTCTTCATCAAGCTATAGCCAGGTTCGGCTATAACATAAGGGGCATAAACTGGGACGTGGATGGTTTTAAGCGCAAGCTATACAATAATCTAAAATAAAATCGGCCCCGAAACTCTACCATGTTATTCTACGTGACAATATTTATGCTTCTCGCACGATGACAGGTAAACTTAACTCATATCAGTATTCATCTAATACAGCTATGACACGGTGGATATCAAACTTGAGGTAGTGAAAGTGCTATATATATGATAAAGTAATTGAAAATGAAGCGCTGTAACCCTATCCTTCTTCTTAACTTCCAGCCCAAACACGCCAGCTCCGTCGCCACTGTCGGCATCGCACGTAATACATAGCTAAGTACAGTTTCTTTTTTTTCCCTCGTCTGTCAAACAGCATCACATCCAAGGACCGTCTGTCCCGGCGTATGCCCGGTAGTTCCACCGTGTCTGCCAAGGCTCTCGCACGAAACAGGTTCACCAAGGTGCGTCTACAGTGACGGCGACGCCCGAGTTCTGTTCCATCATCTAAACTCTGAGCTGACAGAGAGAAGTAGGTGTTGCATCGCATGTTGAAGGCAAATTAATCCCACCAGCGCCAAACTACCCAGTTCTGTCCACTCTTGGGACCAAAGCAAATACCCAAAAGTTCGTGTGTGTGAGCGAGAGGAATCGGACAGATAAGAGAGGTTGTTGTTTTCCGGTAACTACACGATAATACATTGAGTGCAGTTTGAATCTCTCTAGCTCAGTATCCCTGTCCTGTTGAAACCAATACCGTTATCGATTACTCTTGGCCGAAACCCATAGTCTCTTCTACAGCAATTGTAAGCTTTTGCTGAAGCATTTCTAGATTCTTGTAAGGCGGTAGGTCGAGTCGGTTGAAACTATTGTAAGGTTAATTTTACAGCACAAATCGGATGTATCAAACAAGCTTACCAAGTGTGTGCCTTGGGCAGATTAGGAATCTCTCCCGCTTTCTCAATGGTGAATCTTCGAGGACCATCGCTGCCCTGAAGATCCTTGAATCCGTTGACGGGAATTCGAGATGTACCAGTAGTGAACTGCAATAAGCGTGACTTCTGCTCTCCATCCCATGACCGTACTGTAGCCCAGAAGTTTTGCACGACCTCGTCGGACTCGGTGTATCCTCGATAATCGGTGTGCTTTTTCCAGTCGTCCACGTCGATCTCGGCAATACCTCCGATGAGGAGCTCAAGCTCACGCTCATCAAAGACGTTGATAAGATCCTGAGGGATGAGCTCTTGGAAACCCTCCTTGAAAGCTTGGAACTGTTCAGCGATACGCTTCTCAATACGCCACTTGACCATGAGATCGACATATTCCTTCTTATTCTCGTTGGTAACATCAATGTTTCGGCCGTCAGGAATGAGATCCTCGGTTGTCATGACGCCGAACCTCTCATCTTCTGTCGAGAAAGTCTGCTCCAGAATGCCACCTGAAATATCGTTATCGAGCATCCACTGCAATGAACGATGGAAATCGGCATCCACACCCTCCATGTCCGCCAAAGACACCGCCTTGCCGAGCATCATCTTGTACAGGGCACCAATAAAAAAGGCGTCTAAGAATCGTCTGTGGAAGATAGCCAAGCCGACCACACGGCCGATAAACTTGAAGTAATTAAGATGCTCCGGGTTGATGCCGGAGTGAGGGTTAATCTGAAGGGTGTAATTATCGTGGGCGGAATATTCGAATAGACAGTAAAAGGGGTTGAACATCTCATGGGAGAGAAGGAAGAAGAATTCTCGGGAAAGACCACCGTAATCTAAACCATCCTCACCATCGAACTTGATCATAAGTCGCTTCTTTAGGTCTGTTGCCGACTGGCGTGTAATCTCGGCAAAAGAATCCTCAAAGATATGAGAGCGTCGAACCTTGATATGGCACTGTCCGCTGAGGATTCGCATTGCTGGCTGGGAGCGGAAGTAGATAAGCTTTCGTCTGAAGTCTCTCTTATATTGGGGAACATTCTGGTCGAGGGATGAGGGAAGTCGAGGATCGTCCCAGGTGGTGGTCTTTGTGTTATGGTCAACGAAGTACACTCTGGCAGTGTTCGTCAGGCGCATCTCCCATCCACTGGGCAGAGGGCCAAGCTGCGAGACCGGCTGCTGCTGAATCTGTCCATTAGCGTTGTTTTGGCCGCCGTACATGCGGATGTACTGTTGGCGACGAGGATCGACCCAGGTGGTCGTTCGCGTGTTGTGGTCGACAAAGTAGGGTCGGCCTTCAGGTGTCCATCTTTGTTCCCAGCCTGGAGGAAGTTCTCCTGTACCGGGGCTCGTCGCTCCGGTATGCATCACCGCGCCGCCATTAGTAGCTGGGGATGCAGCTGGTGGCGGCTGCTGCGCGTGTAGTGTAGGTGAGTTTGAGCCGGTTCGCTCTTCGGGGAGAGTACGGTTCTGATGTCGCTGTCGCTCAACCTGGGTAGCTGCCTCTCGGTCATTCCGCTGTTCCTGGGCACCGGATGCCGTTGGTCGGTTCCAACTTGTCGTGCGGGTGTTGTGGTCGACGTAGTATGTACGGCCCAGGTTATCTTCACGGCGTTCCCAGCCAGCGGGCAAACGTCCTTGGGCATCTTCAAAGGGACTAAGTTGGGTGCTTTGCCGGGGTTGCCCAGAAGCGCCTGGGCCAGAGGCACTGGCGCCGCTAACGGAGTTGATGCTCGATGGACGGTGTGATAAATTAACTTGCGAGCCACCGGCACCGTTTGGTCCTGACATTGATGATCCTGGTCGGTCTGCTGGTGGAGGGGCGGAAAGGTTTGAGGCGTTCGAAGGGCCGGTGCCGAGGGATGGTCGTGCGGTCGATGCCTGGCCACCGCGGGCTGGTGCACTGAGGTTGGTGGAGAGGTTAATAATGAGTTTACCATGGACAACAAGGTTATCAGTTGATTTCTTCAGGTCTCGTGTGAGCATCTGGTCTAGAGGCATATGTATGTTAGGAAGGCTCTTCACGTTGTAGTTTGTTTGGGGGTGGGTGAACTAACCGTCGGCATCTGGACTGAGCTCAGGAATGACATCTCCAACACGGATGTTGATGACACCCAAGAAACCCTGGTCCTTCTTCTTGAATTTCTTTTGGTCAAAGACCTGAACAGCGAGGATGCCATCTTCATTGGTGCGACTAATGAATGTGAGTTGATGGGTTCTTTGTTATTAGGTGGCGGGGCACATTACAAGTCAAAGCTCTCATTCCAGTATGGGTTTAGAGTCCTTTTGCTGACAGTCGTCGTCTTGGTTTGCTCGCCGTTGATGGTCGCAACAGCAAATGGGTCAGGGAAGCCTAACAAACATTAGCAATCAAGAAGACGTATTGTACGGACGGCAAACGTACGGAAAACATCCCTCTTATACAGGCCATCGGCTGCGATAACTTGAATGATGTCAATATGGAATTCTGGACCGAGGGGTAGATTGGCGGCGGCAACTCACTGGTAACCCGAAGGTTGGGCCTGCTGTGAAAGGGTCAGCACATGAATTAAACCGATGAAGAGATGGCATGGCAAGTTGTATCGTAACGCTGAAACTGCACGCGATGCGATGGGCGAAAGGCTGGGGACTGAACTTACTTGGAATCGGTGCGACTGGTCATGGTGTCACCTCTTGCGCTGCGCAGCGAGGGACTAAGTCACAGCGACGACAACGATGATGCTGAAGAGGATGAGGATGGAGATACCTGAAGGTGATGATCAGGTTGAAGTTCAAAGTCGGAGTCAGAGTCGGAGGCGGATCCAACAAATGCAACGAAGCCTTGTCGGGGAAGGCGCTTGGAGAACGTGATCAGGTTGAAGGGTTCAACTGAAGAAAGTTGACGACGCTTGGAGTTGGGGCAACGGGAGAGGTTGAGGCTGTGCACGGGCGGCCCAAAAGACCCAAGACAAGGACTAGTTAGTCCAAGACCCAAGACCCAAGACCCAGAAACAGACACGGACTCCCCGCTTCCAAAGCGAGAGCGACAACGGCCGGAACGGGAGGATCTTTCGAAATAGGCGCCTTAGGGGTTAGGTTATGGCGATGGCTGTGCACGTCCAGCGAAAAGCGAGGCACGATGTATCTTTGTTTGTTTTGTAGTTGGAAGTGCAGGCGGGCAGTTGGTGGATCAAATCAAAAGATAAAAAGAAGGAAACAGAAAGGTGCTGCAGCGGGTGCAACAAGCTGATTGACTTGATCGCCACAGATCTGAGTGGACTCCAGTCTCAATGCTATCGGCCTCGTGGTTGGTGTTGATGATGGAAGGATAATCAATCGACCCGACTTTGACGGCGCCTGAGGAACCTTGGGGGCTTGTACTGCAACTTGAGCAGGTACGATAGGTACGGTTTCAGGGACTGAGAGGAGTACCTGCTGTTCTGGGCGTAGGTACCAGCTGCCTGTTTGGTTCTAACCATCTTGGCCCTCTTTGTGAGCAACTCTACATGTGTATCTCTATTGGACCTTTCATGTACATAAACCTTCCATTCGCTGACCAACTGCACGCAGACTCACTCGAGGCTTAGACCAAGGTACCAAGCAGCATCAAACGCCTCTGCATAATTAGGTACCCAGATCAACAGGATCCATTTAGGAGTTTGGGAACGTGGGACATGGGGACCTACCTGCTACCCCATGACAACCTGAACCTTTGATACGTCCTATATCTTGTATCCGGGCCTTTTAGTGGGCTTCAATGGAGGCCTACAGCACAGACTAAGTTAGACGGACGACCCGAGATTGAGTGGAATTAATTACTAAGTGAGTGGTTGGTAAACATAAACAAAGGCTGAGAAGCTCTTTTGCCTCCGCTCCTCTGAACGTTCTTCTTGATGAAACATGCACCATGAACGTTCCAGAATTAACCAGAGATATTCTGTACAGTACATTGATATGATGTATTGTTGGTTCCATAGCATCCGCACAGTCTTGTCACCTGCTTGGGGCTGAGCCACAGTATCCTACCACTCTATCGATATCAACTCCAAGTCTTTGGTTGCCACTTTTAGCTGGATGATGATGGATGAGAAATCCTTGCGTAATGCTTGTACTATCCAAAATCTGGAGTTCAAAAATAATTTCTTCATATGCATGTCACGATTCCCATTTTGCAATAAACAACAACCATAACAGGCAGGAAATATATGTATCAACGGTCATTTCAAGACTTAATGCGGCGTACCTACGGCTTATCGGCACGGCTTTCAGCCGGCGCCGATTCGAGTTGAGAGCAGCAGATGGCGCTTATTAGACAGGGCCTGTGATATGTGTGGTTGGTTTGTCAAGCTCGAGACTTTTGGGTCTTGAGCTTTCGTTGCTTTTATCACTCCCTGGTCTGGACGACATCTGGCTGCACTCACCAGGATGCGAGACGAAACCTGATTCATACACATCTGTGCTACAGTAGGTTTCCTCTATATTATGCCTTAAGCTCGCTATTCGAACTCAGATTGTCAATACGTTCGCAAGGTAGTAACTGGTCAACTGCTGAGCCACCGGAAAAACGTCAATTACACCATGTTGATTGCGTTGACAACACATGTCATAATTGTCACATTAAAACGGGGTAGCCAATGATGGTGATTCATGCTTCGTAATCCTTTTTTGTAATAGAGAATTTCACATCGCAAATCATTGATTACCTGTGTAGCTTTGATTCTCGCGGACTGTTTGGCATGCTAGTATTGTTCTCATGGAATATTTGTAAATCTTCAGCCACGATGACCAGCTACACTGATAGGGGGTTACGGGGATTTGATAAGCCAGAATAGTTGCTAACATCTGATCTGAGTGTTCTACACAGTAAACCACCTGCATTTGTCGATTATGGAAGTTGATCAAGCTAACATTTGAGCACATTCTTGACCAATATTATCGTAGACTCCCTCATACCTCTAAGGTGTAGGGTAGTCACCATACGGAGTGCCAGGCAATTATCAATATCAGATCTTCTGCTCCAAGTAAGTTACTACACACTTCAACCCCATCCCATTTCCTGACACCGGATCTGTCTCACTGCATTTAACCTGCATCCTTCTACCCATGCCTTGGTACGAACTGGTATGGGGTAAGACGCGGGCGGCCTCACGGATACATCATACACCAGAATTGAAGAACATAGGCGGACGCGCGGCAAAACCACTATCATGAGCCTCCCTATTGTAACTTCTTCAAATAGTTCAACTAAGCTCACTAAACGGAGGACAATCATAACCACAGGCTTAATTTCAAGTGTAAAGTAGGAGTAGTTTGCGACACCCATGCAGACGATATCTAAATCAGATTCCCTAATATAATTTTGCTAAGACGAATGGCAATGAAGGCCGAAAACTCCTGTCCCTAACCTTGGCATTCTTGGCTGCTTGTTTGCCTGTTTCCGATACGATCCATAGTGTACACCGTTCCTCTGCTGCTTAAAACGCACCCTTCTCCTTATAGCTGTATCCCCAGATTACATGAAAAAAAAGGACAGCAGGAACCCTTAAACTCAAAGACCGACAAATCCATGATAGTACGAGTTGCTGTCAAGCCCGTGACACTCCTCAACTTCGATCTCGAAAGGTCTAGGCTGCTCGGATCGTCGAGCATGTCCCATCGGCATTGCGCCACCCTGCTCCTAGTAGGGGGCGAAGCCTCGTCCGCGACCACGGTAGCCACCGCGATAACCACCGCCTCGAGGGAAGCTGCCTCGACCACCACCCTGGAAACCTCGGCCACCGCGGAAACCACCACCGCGACCGCGGCCGCGGCTCATGCCAGGGACGTTGGTGCGCTTGGGAGTCACTTTGATGTTGCGACCCTTGAACACGCTCTCGTTGAGAACAAGAGCCTGCGCAACCAAGCTCGGCTCGGTGAACTCGACATAGGCGTAGCTAAAATATATTCCGTTAGTAATGTTCGCGACATGCGACGTAAGAAAGATCATCATCATACCCCTTTGGTTGACCTGTAAACTTGTCAAGAAGGATGGTGACTCGGTTAATGGAGCCGCAGCTCTGGAAATGGCCCTGGATGTCCTCGGGAGAAGCTGAATAATCGACGTTGCCGACAAAGATGCTGCGCGCATCGATGGACTCCTTGTCATCCGCAAGGTCGGCAGACTGCTGCTCTAGAGTGGACTGCATTTCGCGAAGCTTCTTAGCCTCCTCTTCCATCTCTGCCACGCGGCGCTTCATGGCAGTGATTTCTTCCTAAGGGTGCGGCGTCAGTTTCCTTCTTCAATCCACCTCTTTGCGCCTAACACACCTCCTCAGCCGCTGACATCTCGGTTCCAGCCTCATGCTCATGTTCTTGCTCGTGCTCGTTGTCATGCTCGCGGTCAAGATCCTGCTCGTGCTCGCCCATAGGCTTCTCTTCCTGTTTACTAGAGTCTGACATGTTGTCTGGTTCGGATGCGGTTTCGTAATGTGTGTTCGCGTGTGGCGGTTCTGTGCGAGTTCTAGTCAGCGAAAGCTGGATGATTGTTGGGAGGGCAAGAGGAAAGAGGGAGGAAAAGAAGATGAAGATGATAAAGATCAAATCGTGTAACGCGCCCTTGACATCATCCTGTGATATGTCGGAAGAATGGAGCAGATAATATCATGCAGCAAAAGAAAACATACCTCTTTGTGAAACAGCCTTTGCGCAATGTGTGTGGAAAGAAAGAAAAGTTAACGCGATTGAACAAATAAAATCAAAAGCGCGATGTAGGTTAAAGTCAGGTTCGCGAACAAGGGAATAATGCACGATCAATGAGACAATGCCAGGGTAGGTAGGTACTTACCTACCTAGTTTACGCCGCTACTAACTGTCCGTTTACCTTAGTGGCTTGTGCTGCATGAACAAGTAAAGCTTCCAGATTTTAGAAGCATGTGGAGAATTAATGAATCCGAAGATAGCCCGACAACGAAGTCGATGAGAGGGTATTGAGATCTATATGGGAACGTTAGATTAGCATTACCAGCGTATGAACTGATTCAAGTCAAATTCATATCAAGGGATATATCCATACTTAGATCAACCCGGTCTACATACTATGAGAAATTTGAGAGAAAATATGATGCCAGTATAAGCCTCCAATAAAGAACAGTGGAAGCTTCATATCCACTCATAGACAAAAAGATATATGATACTGATTAAACCGAGTAATACATAATGTCGACCAGGTCAAGATTGCATATCCTGACATGAAATCGTCGTCAAATTCATCGTGTTATTGTAAAAAGAAAGCCTGGCAATTGCTAGGACACAAAACGTGTAAAAACCCTTCAAACCAGACACCCTCCCAATGCTTTCGTTACGTCCTCCAAACGCCGTCCATGCTCTTCGCTAGTCAATGCGTCCGTCGGTAAACATGCCTCATCCCATACCATCCATCTGATACCCAGGCTCCATGACAAGTTTATCGTGTGTAGTTGTGCAAAAAAGAAAACATAGCCACCCGTTTGAGAGATCAAGCATGCCGACCACGTTTCCCACCGTTTCCGAAAGGATCCTTCCCATTGAGACTGCCAAGATCGAAGATTTCGTCGAAGTTGAGCTTTCGCTTACTGCCAGCCCTTTGTACCAAATGTCCAGGACCCCTTGGGTAAGTCCGACTTGAACCACCAGTCAGCCTGGTCTTAGATGGTCGTGTGGGAATGGGCGTGTCATCATGTGGCCTTGAGTCGGATAAATCGAGAGTACCAATGTTCGGATAGGGGTGCGAGGACTGGAAGGTAAAGTGGTCTTGGCTTGGGACGAGTATCGTCGTTGGTTCTTCGGCAATAGGAGGGATGCTCGGTGGAGCGGAGTCGGTTCGCATTTGGCTTGTCTGTTGGGGAGGGACGGATGTTCGTGTGAGTTCGGGCGATGAAGCTGTCTCTGCCTTTTCGACCTCATCCTCGCTCTCAGTGTTCAGAGAGCTGCTCTCACGTCCGTCAAGCCTTTCTGTAGCCCATTTTCGAATCTTCCATCCTTCGCCATCACCCAAGCCCATGCCACCCTTATCTAGGAATTGTAAAAGATCATCAAGGCAATCCTGGTATCCGTCGGCACGTGCCTTGGACTGTCCCGCGGCTGAGATCTTGTACAGCTTCGTGACGGAAAGGGCGGCCGCCTTGAATACATCGAGAAGCTGTTCGGGGCTTTCTTGTTGAGCAGGTTGCTTGCCAGTAGCACCGGAAATGCCCCTCATTGGCTCCATCTTGATTAAGCGACGAAGGGGTTGCGGAGATGCTAGAGGTGAAGAGTCAGAGACGGTATGCAAGGTCAGAGGGATTCGCCTCACCTGCTACTTGGAGTCGGGAATAGATTTAGGGGAAGAGACTCCTGAAGAAAAGAATGAGCATTAGCTAGTCTGTGAGACAAGTGTCAGCCAGACTGGTGTTGTGGTGCTTATGAAAAGCTAAGAAGGTAATATGTTTCCCAGGTCAGTTGGCAAGGAACAAAGGTCGGGGTTACGAAACGCTCACCCATCCACTTCAATCGCACAGAGCCTGATGGGCGGACGGCACTAACCGAGGGGTCGGTACCTTTTGGGAGGAGTGGGGCCGATTGCAGCCACGTGACTCTTGCAACAGTATGGCGTCGTCGCTGAACTGAGTCCTGCTGCAACGCTACCATAGGTAGTCTGTTTGTAGCATGTGGTATACTGAGATGAGAACGGGCTATTCTATCTTAGGTATTTCTTTCAATTATAGTAGCCATAGACTGTAAAATGCAGTGACGTCGTTATATCTACCGGAATATCCTTTCTTCCTTGCAGCATGGTGGGGCTAGCTGCCATTACAAGGGTCTATGCACGAAGCTAACCCCAAATTGGCCCCCTTCAAGGTGACGGTTTAGATTCTATCCGCAAGCACCTTCGCAAAGCATCTTCATATTCTCCAAGTCTTCAAGCGACGTGGTTGTCATTACTGCCCCAGATTCTTCCCAGAACGCACCTGAAAAGTTACAAATAGTATTTGGCAATCATACGCTTGCAATCGCTTCGCACTGCAACCTTCCCAAACGCGTCTCCTCGACGCCAGTCGCGTAAAGAGGTTTATCATATAATCGACTCGCAATGGCGCCTCGCTCTCGAGCCAACGCGGCCGATACTGACGCGTCTATGTCAGATGCGCAGGAGCATCGGCAGGGAGAGGAAATGGTGAGTTATTTTATTAAATTTATTCATTCGCAATTCACGATGAAAGAGCCAAAAGCTAATCAAACTTCATAGGAAGTTGACGAGACCCCCGATTACACCGATACCGAAAACCCCAGTACAACCGCTAGCAGTGTTGCGGGTGAACCTACTGGAGATGGTCGAAGGCGCCGCACAGAAGTAAACCAACTTCGTCGCAGTATTTTTGGCAAGAAGCACGATCGACTAGGCGAATCTAAGGTTTGTCGCACTCTAACCAAGCTACCATTTATATCATTCTGACCATCTGCCTGCAGGAAGATGACACGATCCGACGATTTCGATATTTGCTTGGCCTCACCGATCTATTCCGCCATTTCATCGAGACGAACCCAGACCCCAAGATTCGGGACATCATGACCGAGATCGATCGACAAAATGCTGAGGCTGCGCGCGCCAAGAAGGGTGCTGGGAGGCAAGGAGGTGCCACGAGCGAGCGACGTCGACGCACCGAGGCTGAAGAAGATGCTGAGCTTTTAAAGGACGAGAAGCACGGCGGTTCAGCTGAGATAGTATTCCGAGAATCACCTGCATTTGTTCATGGCACCATGCGAGACTACCAAGTTGCTGGTCTCAATTGGCTCATCTCGCTGCATGAGAATGGTATTTCTGGTATTCTCGCAGATGAGATGGGTCTCGGTAAGACCTTACAAACAATATCTTTCCTCGGTTACCTTCGACACATCCTTGACATCACTGGACCTCACCTGGTTATTGTGCCCAAATCTACCCTCGACAACTGGAAGCGAGAGTTTGCCAGGTGGACACCGGAAGTTGACGTTTTGGTACTTCAGGGTGCCAAAGACGAGCGACAGAACCTCATCAATGAGAGACTCGTTGACGAAAAGTTCGATGTTTGCATCACGAGTTACGAGATGGTGCTGAGAGAGAAATCGCATTTGAAGAAGTTTGCTTGGGAATACATCATTATTGATGAGGTATGTTCCCCCCAATGTACTGCGTGTTCAATTTGCTAATACACATTCAGGCACATCGTATCAAGAACGAAGAGTCGTCGTTGTCACAAGTTATTCGTCTGTTTTCTTCGCGAAACAGGCTTCTAATTACTGGCACGCCTCTACAGAACAACCTACACGAACTGTGGGCACTTCTCAACTTCCTGCTGCCCGATGTTTTTGGTGACGCGGAGGCCTTCGACCAGTGGTTTTCTGGCCAAGACCGGGACCAAGATACAGTTGTACAACAGCTGCACAGAGTGCTCCGTCCTTTCTTGCTGCGCCGTGTGAAGAGCGACGTGGAGAAAAGTCTGTTGCCTAAGAAGGAAGTGAACGTCTACCTGGGCATGTCTGAGATGCAGATCAAATGGTACCAAAAGATTCTGGAGAAGGATATCGATGCTGTCAACGGTGCAGGCGGCAAGCGCGAGTCCAAGACCCGCCTACTCAATATCGTCATGCAGCTTCGAAAGTGCTGTAACCATCCGTATCTGTTTGAAGGTGCTGAACCTGGACCCCCTTACACAACCGACGAGCATCTTGTTTACAACGCGGGCAAGATGGCTGTTCTCGACAAACTCCTTAAGAGACTTCGGAAACAGGGCAGTCGCGTTCTCATCTTCTCCCAGATGAGTCGATTGTTGGATATTCTTGAAGACTACTGTGTTTTCCGAGAGTACAAGTACTGCCGAATTGATGGCGGAACTGCTCATGAGGATCGAATTGCTGCTATTGATGAGTACAACAAACCCGGGTCGGAGAAGTTCGTCTTTCTTCTTACCACACGTGCTGGTGGTTTGGGCATTAACCTTACAACCGCCGATATTGTCGTTCTTTACGACAGTGATTGGAATCCTCAAGCTGATTTACAGGCCATGGACCGAGCCCATCGTATCGGCCAGACTAAACAGGTTGTTGTGTACAGATTTGTGACGGAAAACGCCATCGAAGAAAAGGTTCTGGAGCGAGCTGCTCAGAAGCTACGCCTTGACCAACTTGTCATTCAGCAAGGCCGTGCCCAACAAGCAGCCAAGGCCGCAGCCAACAAGGATGAGCTTCTCTCTATGATCCAACATGGTGCAGAGAAGGTTTTCCAATCCAAGGGACCTACCGGTAACATGGCATCTGGCGATGGTGAAATTGCAGATGACGATATCGATGAGATCCTTGCAAGAGGTGAAAACCGAACTAAGGAGCTGAATGCCAAATATGAGAAGCTGGGAATTGACGATCTACAAAAGTTTACATCAGAATCTGCTTACGAATGGAATGGAGAGAACTTTGCCAACACAAAGAAAAACATCAATATGACCTGGATTAACCCCGCCAAGCGAGAGCGAAAGGAACAGTCGTACTCGATGGACAAGTACTTTCGACAGACTATGTATCCTAATCCCAAAGCCGATGCCAAGCCCAAGGCACCCCGAGCACCTAAGCAGACTACTGTGCACGATTACCAGTTCTACCCTCCGCGTCTGCGCGATCTTCAAGACAGGGAGACTGCCTACTATCGAAAGGAAATCGGCTACAAGGTTCCTCTACCTGATGGTGAGGAGGACGCTCTCGAAGAGCGAGAGGCTGAGAGAGCCCTCGACCAGCAGGAGATCGACAATGCTACACCTCTGACTGAAGAGGAAAGAGAGGAGAAAGACAAGCTATCATCGCAAGGTTTCGGAGACTGGAACAAGCGAGATTTTCAACAATTCGTCAACGGATCTGGCAAGTATGGACGAAACGACTATGAAGGCATCTCCAACGAGATCGATAGCAAGACAGCACCAGAAATCAAAGCATACGCCAAGGTTTTCTGGCAGCGCTACACGGAGATTGCAGACTACCCCAAATACATCAAGACCATTGAAGATGGAGAGGAGCGGACGCGACGCGTTGAGCACCACCAAAAGCTACTGAGAAAGAAGATGCAGCAATACCGTGTCCCTCTACAACAACTCAAGATCAACTACTCTGTCTCTACCACCAACAAGAAGGTATACACCGAAGAAGAAGATCGATTCTTGCTAGTTCTGCTCGACCGATATGGCATCGACTCGGAAGGCCTTTACGAAAAGATGCGAGATGACATCCGAGAGTCGCCTCTGTTCCGGTTTGATTGGTTCTTTCTTAGTCGAACCCCTATCGAGCTGTCTCGTCGCTGCACTACTTTGATCACGACTATTGTCAAGGAGTTTGAAGACGTTCCTATTCGGGGCTCAAACGGAGTCAACGGGAAATCCAAGCGAGAGCCTGACGATGAGAACGACGAGGATAGCATCCTTGGCATGGCACCGGCGAAAAAGAAGGCCAAGAACGGTGTAAAGGTGAGTCATGGAGTGATTATTCTAGTCTAGTGGCTATTGCTAACAAGGTCCGCAGAACAAAGCACTCGATAATGTCAAGTCTGTTAAGTCTAGCAAGAACAGTTCGACCACTCCGTCAAGAGCATCCAGTGTTGTATCCACTGCATCTGCAGGAGGTTCCGCCAAGGGCAAGAAGGGCAAGAAGAAGTAAGGGAAACTGAAGACCCTTGGTGCGGTGGGTTGACAAAGGGATAGACTTTTTTTTTTGTGGCGTTTGGTTGCTTTGAGGACTTTCAAGAGAAGTCATCGTGTACCTATTTGATTAATCTGGCATGGCAAATTGTACCAGAGGGCCAGGACATGCATCATCACACGATGCCTTGGCGATTGGGAGGGCTAAAGGCGCGAAGATGGTTGATGGACCCCATGTAAAAGAGTTGTTTAAGAGCAGAAGAACCGTGTTTAGTTGCTTATACTGCCTGATGACCAACTCGACGTGCCGTGAGCTGCGAATCCTGATTGTCGTGATTGCATGAGGGTAAGGGTGATGGGGATGTATCAAATCCAAAGTCGTAGAAACGTGATCATTCGTGCAATTTTTGACCTTTCCCTAAAACACTGGAGAGATGGTAAGAATTACAAGCCCATTTGTCTTCCTCTTTATCTCTCCTTACACACTCCAAATCTTTTCCATCACCTCCAGCTTCCCTTTATTTTTTGCCCCAGTTGAACAAAAAAGATTTATTTGTTTGTCCCCTAAACGCCGTACTATGCAAGCACACAGGAAAAGAACACATCTACTGCATTCGGTTGATTCGTTCCCTCTCAACCTCGTAGTTGAAGTCGAAGTAGCCCTTGTCGAAGTGGTGAACTCGCACGTATCCGTCCTCTCCGCCGCTGGCGTAGCCCTTGCCTGTGGGGTCAGCAGCGACGGTGTTGAGGGGACCGAAATGGCCTCGCACACGGCCAATCTCGTCTTCGAACACCTTGTGGTAGAAACGGGCCTCGAACTTACCCTGACGGGCAGAGGTTCGGGTAACATCCATGGCGGCCTGACCACCACCGAGGATGACGAAGTCCTTCTTGGGGGTAATGGTGGCGCTATTGAGGGGTGTGTCGGCTACGTAGGTCTTAAGGACCTCGAGGTCGCGGGCAGAAATGAGCTTGATGAGGTCAGTATTCAGTAAAGGTCATTGCAAGGTATTAGGCATACCTTGGAAGTCTTGTCCTTGCAAGCAGTGATGAAGTAGGTACGGTCGGGAGACCACTGAAGGTCAACGATAGGCTGGTTGAGCTCGTGGACAGGGACGTTGTCGAGCAGGTCACCAGTCTTGGCGTCGTATCGGCTCACACTGCCATCCTCATGGCCAGCGATGATGTACTTGCTGAGGGCGCTCCAGCCGGCAACAGTGGCCTTGCTCTCGTCACAGACGATGGTAAGCTCCTTCTCGTCGGTCTGCTCAGCGTTGAGGTCGGGATTGATCTCGATAACGACGATGTTGGAAAGATAACCCATTCGCTTCTCGGTAACGCCCAGCAGCTTGGTGCCGTCTTCGTTAAACTCGACTCGCTTGACGGCGGTGGGGAACTCCCAGGTCTTGATAAGGCGACCGCTCTTGACTTCCCAGAGGCGGATGGTGTTGTCGGCAGAACCGGAGGCGATCATGGTCGAGGTGGGGTTGACGTCGACAGTCCAGATGGCTCCGACATGGCCGTGGTAGGTTCCAAGACGCTCGCCGTTGTGGGAGAACCAGGCGCAGATCTGTTGGTCCTTTGCGACGGAGAAGATGAGATCGCCATCTTTGTTGAACCTGGAGATGGAGGTTAGTCAAAGGCTATAGGTGAAGGTATCCGCAAGCTATGCAGCAAACAGGACACTGCTAATCCAATATCCCCATCCCCCTCTTTGTGACTCTGCCACACGAATATACAAAGCGAACAAGGATTCAACGTACTTGATTTGGGTGAGCGCACGCTCGTGCCCGGATAGAAGAATGGGCCGCATGATGTCGTCGTCTGAGGGGCACTAGGAGGGGTTGATGGCGGAGGCAGGTTCGGAGCGGCTGGTTATATGGCGAGGGCTTTCGCGATGGAATTTTTGGCGGTTGTGCGTTTTGGTGGGGCAAGAATATCTGATCCCCCGCCTTGCGCCTCCTGCCTCACAGCTGTGGCTGTGGCAGAGGAGGGAACACAGGGCTAATGCCTGATTTGTCGGGAAACGGGTGTTAAAGTTGAGCTTAGCCACGTTTGACACCCTTTGCCTGCTATTTCGACTTATCATCGATTTGATATGAGTCTGGGAAGAGTCACGAAGGATTTAATAAGAGTCATATTGTGAGCAATACTTGGAATAATCACCATAAGCTGATCCATAACATGACCTTCGCTTGGTTGATCTCACTCTTCAACGACACGTCCTGAGGCATCAACAACTCGGGTAAAATTCTGGAACTTTGTCCTTGTCAGTCTAAGCCCAAGGTTGAAGGCATCACAATAGCCGACTTGTCTGATCCTATTGGCTTTGAACGATCGGGTTCATTCACGATTAACACACTTGGACTTGCGAATGTTCTGAAAAAAGCACTTCGTATCACCTTCTGCCTCGACGAATTGTCACTCACACGAGCAATCAAGCAGCAGACTGGCCACAATCCGGAATATGTACGAATTGCAGAAAGAACTGCACATGGCTAAACATTTTTCGAAGGAATAATTATATCGAATACTGATTACCAGACTGACTGACCCTTTGTTGTACAATATTGTGTTATTATCAATTTCCCATCAGACAACTAGAGGTTGATGGTGTTTCGTTTACCTTTTTCTGTTTAACTTTGGTTTAGAAGAATTCCTCAAGGAAACACCTGCATCCATTGATCTACCTGTACAAGCCTTCGCCATTGATCCGTCGGATTTCTGGAGATCTTTCGGCATCTAATATTATACACATCTACAACTTGGTGTAACACTACCTGAATTCTAACTGAATATGTACGGCCAGCTCCTCCGTTGCGCCGGCTGGCCGGACACGAGAATCTTCCGAGGCATCCCGAGACAGCAACGGCATTTGCGGGCTCTATCGTCAGTGTTATCGATACCGATACCAATATCTGCAAGCCTCGAGCATCAACGGCAGAATGGCCGATCATATACGCCCCAAGCCGAGCTCGCAATAGGCGGGTCCCAGCAAAGTCAGATTCTCACCCACCCACAGGCGTTTTCACGACCAAAATCGCACAGGCAACGGTTCCTTCACACGTGTTCGGACGTTCCTGCCGTGTCGACCGTGCCTCTCTTGAGCGCCGCTATTCGGATTGCCCCTCCTCGCAATTCGACAGCCCACTTCATATACGGCGACTGCCTCTCAACTAGTAGCCGACGCAACAACTTTTCTTCAGCCTCAGTTGTCGGGTCTTTGTCTTTTTCGAACCACTCTTCCCACCAGAAAAGACTCTTTTCCTCGACTACAATGGTTGCCCAAAAGCTCGACGGCAATGCTATTGCCAAGTCGATCCGGGAGAAGCTCTGCACTGAGGTCACTGAGAAGCAGAAGCTCAACCCTAGGTTCAAGCCTTGCCTCAAGATCATCCAAGGTATGGCAATCTCGCTCGTGGTGCTTTACATGTTCAATGCTGACTCAATTGTCTTACAGTGGGTGATCGCTCAGACTCTTGTTCGTAATAATCTTGCCCCGCCATCATGAGATCATCTCACCACTAACCCCGCGATGTAGCTACATATGTTCGCATGAAGCTCAAGGCTGCTGCCGAGGTGAGTCATAGGGTTTCTCACTGTGAGGATGATTTACTGACTCACGTTCTATAGGCTGGCATTGACAGCCAACTGCTGCACTACCCGGAGTCTATCACAGAACCAGAGCTTCTTGATCATCTCCGTCAATTTAACCATGACCCTGCTGTTCACGGAATCCTGGTCCAGCTGCCTCTCCCTAAGCATATCTCCGAGTACACTGTCACATCTTTTGTGGCGGATGAGAAGGATGTTGACGGGTTTGGTACCAAGAACATTGGAGAGTTGGCCAAGAGGGGTGGTAAGCCTCTTTTCGTGCCTTGCACACCCAAGGGTGTCATGATCCTTCTTAAGGAGTCAGGCATTGACCTGAAGGGAAAGAATGCCGTTGTCCTTGGACGAAGTGACATTGTCGGTAGCCCTGTGAGCTACCTTCTGCGAAACGCTGACGCTACCGTTACCGTTGTGCACTCCAAGACACAAAACATTGAGGCTTATGTCAAGAACGCGGATGTTGTTGTCGCTGCCATTGGCCAGCCTTTGTTTGTTCAGGGCAGCTGGCTGAAGCCTGGCGCCGTTGTCATCGATGTGGGAACCAACTTTCTGCCCGATGCCACCAAGAAGTCTGGCTACCGACTTGTTGGTGATGTCGACTACGCCGCCGCAGTTGAGGTTGCCTCCGCCATCACTCCTGTTCCTGGCGGTGTTGGGCCTATGACCGTTGCCATGTTGATGCAGAACGTCGTCGACGCTACAACGTGGTACTTCGAGTCTCAAAAGCTTCGAAAGACCATTCCTCTGCCCCTGAAGCTAGAGGACCCCGTCCCTTCTGATATTGCTGTATCAAGGGCACAGATCCCCAAGGAGATCACACGTATCGCTGCTGAGATTGGCATTTCTCCTCATGAACTTGAGCCTTATGGTGCATACAAGGCCAAGGTTGACCTTAGCCTGCTGCAGCGACTGGAGCACCGAAGAAACGGTCGATATGTTGTTGTCACTGGTATTACCCCTACTCCCCTCGGCGAGGGTAAGTCTACAACAACCATGGGTTTGGCTCAGGCTTTGGGAGCTCATATCGGACGATTGACATTTGCCAATGTACGACAACCTAGCCAGGGTCCCACCTTTGGCATTAAGGGAGGTGCTGCTGGAGGAGGCTACAGTCAGGTCATCCCTATGGATGAGTTTAACATGCACCTTACTGGTGATATTCATGCTATCGGTGCCGCCAACAACTTGCTGGCGGCTGCTATCGAGACTCGCATATTCCACGAGAACACCCAAAAGGACGGTCCTCTGTACAAGCGTCTAGTCCCCGCCAAGAACGGCGAGAGAAAGTTCGCCCCTGTCATGTTCCGTCGGCTCAAGAAGCTTGGAATCGACAAGACGAATCCTGACGATTTGACTGAAGGTGAGATCCACAAATTCGCCCGATTGGATATCGACCCCGATACCATCACCTGGAGACGAGTTCTGGACGTCAACGACCGTCATCTCCGAGGCATCACAGTTGGAACTGCTCCTACTGAGAAGGGCCAAACCCGCGAGACTGGCTTTGACATCACTGTCGCCAGTGAGTGTATGGCTATTCTGGCACTTAGCAACAGTTTGGCCGAGATGCGCGAGCGTCTCGGCTCCATGGTTGTAGCCACATCACGAGGCGGCGACCCCGTCACAGCCGACGACATCGGCGCTGGCGGTGCCCTCACTGCTCTCATGAAGGATGCCATCAAGCCCAACCTGATGCAGACCCTCGAGGGTACTCCTGTGTTTGTGCATGCTGGTCCTTTCGCCAACATCAGCATTGGACAGAGCTCTATCCTTGCCGACAAGCTTGCGTTGAAACTCGCCGGTACCGAGCCTGATGAGGATTTTAGCGAGAAGTCTGGATTCGTTGTTACCGAGGCTGGTTTCGACTTCACCATGGGAGGTGAACGATTCTTCAATATCAAGTGCCGTACTTCTGGCCTTACTCCTGACGTCGTTGTCATTGTTGCTACCGTCCGAGCTCTCAAGGTTCACGGCGGCGCCCCTCCTATCGCTCCTGGTGCTGCTCTTAGCTCTGTCTACAAGGAGGAGAATGTTGACATTCTGCGCGCTGGCTGCGTAAACTTGAAGAAGCAGATTGCCAACGCCAAGTCGTTCGGTATCCCCGTCGTTGTTGCCATCAACAAGTTTGCGACTGACACGGACGCCGAGATTTCTGTTCTCCGCGAGGAGGCTATCTCGGCCGGTGCTGAGGACGCCATCTTGTCCAACCACTGGGCTGAGGGCGGTAAGGGGGCTGTTGACCTCGCTCATGGTGTCATCGCGGCTGCCGACAAGCCCAAGGACTTGAAGCTGACCTACGATCTGGAGGGTTCCATTCACGAGCGCCTGGAGGCCATTGGCAAGAAGATGTACGGCGCCGAGAAGGTGGAGCTCAGCGAGATCGCCCAGAAGAAGGTCGACACCTATACCCGCCAAGGATTTGGCAACCTGCCTATCTGCATAGCCAAGACACAGTACTCTCTATCTCACGACCCCGATCTGAAGGGTGCTCCTACCGGCTTCACAATCCCCATTCGTGATGTCAGGTTGGCCGCCGGAGCAGGATACCTGTAAGCTTACTCACCACTGTTCAACGCAATGTAGCTAACAAATTTCTAGGTATGCCCTTGCAGCTGACATCCAGACGATTCCTGGTCTGCCAACGGCCCCTGGCTACCTCAACGTCGGTGTTGATGAGAAGGGCGAGATCGAAGGTCTCTTCTAGACTATGTGAGAAAAATAATGTATTATGGATTACTAGCTGGAAGCGAGGTACAAGGTACTGTATCTCTCAACTCAACGTGGGAATTACGAATGGTCAGGCGAAGCATTGGGACGTGACATTTCAACACATGGTGCGGGGAGTGATTTAGCGGAAATCATCAATTATCTGCCGATATTGGGAATATTTAGAATCAAGTTTTATTTGAAGTATTTGAAGAAGGATCCTCGTGATGTTTTGGGTGTCCATGTCCAAGGAACGGGCCTAGGGGATATGTTGGGTGTCCTAGATTAAAATAGCACAAGTACGGGTATGCTATGCTTCACGCAACAACCCAAGACGGCTGAAGCCGGTGCTGTTGTCCAGGTGTGAGTGCCCATGGCCAAGCATCATGTTTTGCTTCTGCCGCAACGAATCTGCCTTGGCTGGAGATGCAGGTGCATGATGCATGCTACGTAGTAGGGGTTCGACGGAATTTCCCGTGGTACATGTCACAGTCGCAGTCACAGTCACAGTCTGAATGCAGCCACGGAGTTGCATGTTTCTTTTGCATATCTGGAGGTCCCCATGTTGTGTAACCTGGATCGCAGGTGGTTGGTCAGGCAGGCTAGGAAGTCTACCACCACAATATCAAGCCTTTTATTAGCGTACGTTGACAGCAACGGCATTTCCCGTCGACATTTCTGGTGGCTGAGGTTAGGATGAATCTAGCAAGAAGTTTATTGGTATGACGACGTGCCGTGTGGGGGAAACGTCGGAGAGATCAACTCTATCTGGGGTGTTGATAGAATACGATGATTGTTGACCTTTGAGAGAGGACTTTCTTGTTGTTTTTACTGGAATACGCTGTTGTCCATCAACACCAAGGAAATGGCTCGAACTATCGTGTCCTCATTTGATTTTTCAGTACGTTACAGAAGCAGAACATGTCACTCAGCTGAGAAACTCTGCTGCATTAGAGCAATGCGCCGCAAAACTTGTCATTGGTCACGATGAGATAGCCACGAGAAAAGCCATGTAAGACTCAGCCCAGCACAACTAGTACCTAGCAATGCGAGAGGTCAGGTAGAACCAATGGCTCGGCGCCACACCATATTAAAAAAACGGCACCGTTTTTGACCCTTTTTTCTTCTTTCTTTTTCCTTTTTTATTACCGCCCTGAGGTCATCCTTATCAAATGCCGTGTGTCAAATCGTGATTTCGTTTGGGGTAAAAAGAAAGGGGGGGAGTAAACAAGGTAAGACACCCACTGCCGGGAGATTCAAAACCACTCCATCGGTTTCTGCTTATATCGGAACGGGTTAGTTCTATAACTACCTTATACAGTGCTTGGACTCTGGAGTGCGTACAGCTTCGGAGAGCCCTGAATTGAGGTGGTTCTGCGAGACATTTGGCTATTTTCTACTGTTCCGTATCGGGTAGGGAATGCGAACCTATTCTCCATTCTCTCCAACGAAGTAGCCATCATCTAACTCTTTTGAATGCTCTTGTATAAATGAACACCCTAATTTGTTTATGTTTATGCCATCAGCTGGGTTCTCGTATAGCAAAGGCCGGGCCCATACTTGGTTACCGAATTACGAGATATAAGCAGAACAGAAGCACCTAAGCTTCGTATACATATATGAATAATTTTCGTAAAAGGCCCCGAGTACGTGGTAAGCGGTGATAGTCGCAACGGGACTGCCGAGAAGAGAAGTGCCTCGCCGTGAGCCTAGCAACGGGTCAGACCTCATCTAGCTTTGATACCTTCAGAATAAGCATCTGACGCTTGTTTACACTGCCTTTGACATGTGTCATATTCACCCAATACATCATCTATCTATCCCTCCATGTTACCAACAGGACGGTGCGCCTTCAACTAGACACTGCCACCCTTTTCAAGCTATCAGCCCTAAATGATGCATGCCTTTGACAAGGAGGCTCGACAAGCTTTCCGTTACTACGTACTGGGTATGTGCTTTCTAAGATTACCTGCCAATTAGAACAGGACATCTCCTAGGAAGGCCCTGGATTTTGATCTGAGCCCTACAGCCTACAGTGTGGGCTTGTCTAGCTTCTGGTAAGGCTGCTCTATTCCCAGGGTTAACCAAGGCAGCCAACGCCATTTCGATCTCATACAAAGATCATCAGCTTGGCATTATCCCCGAGAATTTAGATCATTCTCCCTTTTACTCCGTCAAGTATCCCAGAGCTTTCAGGTTCCTTTGGCCCCCAAATATCTCTTCAATCTGTGGTTACCTGGTCTTCTAGCAATTGCCCTGCAACCCTGGAGAAGAATGTCTTCAAAGCATCCCCTGAGACGATCGTGTGCTTTTTGTCGAGCGAGGAAGATCAAGTGCTCCAACGAAACCATCTGCGAGGCTTGCCGGAAGCAGGGAGCCGACTGCATCTACGACTTCGAACCCCCACGACCTAAAGTGCGGAATCTGAGTTTCGACAGTACAAAGACCAACAACCTACTCCAGGTGAGGAGTGAACATGAGCTACCTGATAGCAAGAGGAGGAGGTCATGTTCTGCGAACTCTACTTCTTCTATGTCTCCTGGCAAAACACACGAGGATCTCGCGACCTTGGGGGATGGTGTTGAGAGTCTCGCTGCATCCCTTGAGCACGTGTTTCACGACAAGTTCTCCCAATTGATATTCGCTGAATCACGCCGCACACCACCACAGCCAAAGCTAAATAGCATCCAAATTCTATGCGCAAATCTCCTCCCCGTAATAGCTTTCGATCTTGTCACTGCTGTTGGTCAAAGATATAGCGGTTTGGGATGCCCACAATCCAGCGACCCCAGTGACCAACTGATATCTACTGGACTGTCCAACGACTCGAATACCGCAATGTTCGACAACACAACAGCATATTGCAGCCCCTTGTCCAACCTGAGCCACCGACATAGAAATCAACTGATCGACGTTTGGTTCTCCGCACACCCCCTGACTTTCCTCATCTCCAAGACCTTACTCCTTCGAGAGATACGCGAAGATACATGCGACGAGATTCTTATGGCGGTGATGCTTGCTGATGCTAGCTTCGTCATCGGAGAACAATCTGCCGTTGTACGCGGGCATGAGCTTTTGCAATGGGCCAAGACACAGCTGCAGATGCGACCTTACTACCACCCTTCTAAAGACAGCGATGCTGTGTACTCCGGCGTGCCTACGAGGGTCTACAAAGGGGTTACTACAGCACAAGCTTTGGTGCTGTTGGCTTGGAATGCCCTCTCCTTGCAAGAGTTCCGCCGAGCGGTCTGCTACATCGGAGTTGCGATAAAGTTAGTGACAGAGATCAAAGACGCCATGTCAAAGGATGTCTCCCCGCCAAACTCCAGTCGTATCAACGGGGTTGATGTGCTCGATATTGAGAAAGAACTGGTGTCCAACCTTTGGTGGACGACTTTTTCACTAAACCTTTGGTCTTCCATCCAAACAGGAACGATGCCTGACATCACTCCATCGACCTTCAGCCTCGACTCCCTTCCCTTAACCGAGACTTGTTCGGTTTCCGTCCAACTTGACTTGGTCTCTGAGAACTTCAATACGCTGCAGAAGCAAAAGAGCAATATTCGGGAAATGTGGCCAGTAGCATACATGGTTAATACGGTGGCGTACCTTGTCTCGTATGAACCAGACCAAGCTGTTTCGAAACACGGTGTTGGAATCTGCAAAGAAGCCCTACGCTTGCTTGAAGTCACAAATACCAAAGACCCCAACTCAGATGGCCTAACTGAGGGTGGTTCGAGGCAACTACTTACTACTTTCCACCAGACTATGGTCATCCAATTTCTATTCCCCAAGAACGAATCGTACTATGAGAAAGTGGTTGTTCCAACAGAGACTGTGCACCAGTTTTCTTCTTCAGTCGAACAAATCATACAATCCCTTTCGCTGTCAAAAGGACATCTCAATCACCACATGACCTCGGCTTCCTCTTTTCAGCAACCCCTCTCCAAAGCTCTTTGCACTCTTTTGGGGACATGTTCAAGAGCTTTCGATCTCATCCGTGATAATCCGGGACTCCGTCTTGACCACAGCTATTTCCGTTCAGAATGGGATAATCGGATGTGTTCTTTGGCAAGTTCCTTGTATACAGTCAGCAAGGATGAGCGGTTCTACCAAGGCGTGGCGCTACGAAACGTCAGAAAGCAGTTGAAATCATGTGCTCGAGCTTTTGGCGGCCAGAATACATCAAATGTTTTGGGTTTGCTCGACCCAGGGATGAATTCCATGCGATCAATGTCTCATTCTCCTCAAGGCAGCATCAATGCTTCAAATGGCCTCGCCACAAACGAAGCCCTTACAGATATGCCCTCACCCTTTCAATGCCCCGAACCTACTTCGAGACTATCTTCCTCGATGCCATCTTCATCACGGTCGTCTACCAGCGTCTCGGCTCATTCATTCACCCCTTTTGAGGAAATGAACAAGTGGCCAATCACTGAGACCTATTCTCATGGCATGATGGGCGCCGGTCATTTGCATTCTCCTCCCATAATGCACCAAGGGGCTCAGAATGGAACTCATATACAGAATGTGTGGTATTCTCAACCACCCCCTATGATGAACTTTGAGACCGCAGGTCCGGTCTCTATCCAGCCCGACCAGTGGGTTTGGCCGACTACCAATGCCGAGGCTGCAACCTATCTCTCTTTCCAGTCGCTAGATATGGATGAGGCTTGATGGATGGCAACGAAAGTTTATGCAATTTCGAGTATGACTCAGGGCGGGAGTTGATAATGATTACGGAAAACAGAATGAGAACGCAGCGTGTTATCTGGATTTTAGCGAAACTTTTGCATATGATTTCAATCTAGCGGTACCAATGTTTGATGCTGAGCATTGCGTGAATTGAGCCCATCATTTGCATCATGGTGTTTTTTAAGGGAGCGTTTTGGAGACGAAACTCGAAACTCAAGATAGGGGCGCTCCAGGAGAGCTTGTACGTCATATTATCTGAAGTTTCGGTTATCTACCTTTTGGTTCTGTGTATCAGAAACGTTCAAGAGGAATTGTAGTTTCTTCTCACTAACCGTAAGTTTGTTGCAGTGAAGAATCCCAAACTCAATCTATCCTATCAGTCTGTCACGACATGTGAATATGTGCTCTGTCGTATCTTTAACCACAAGTAAACTCACACATCCTAGAACAATTGTGAGTATAGAAAGATCTAACGGAACAATACAAGCATGAGTATAAAGGAATAACGTCATGCTCCTACCGCAATATTTGCATTTCACATTCACTATCAAAGTATAGGGTAGCCTTCACTAGGTTGTCACGAGATTTGAATATAAATATCACTTGGTGTAAAAGCCTGACTTGAAGGAAGCTTAACCAGACCAAGAGATCCTTCCGTGTGCTCGATGTGTCCTGAAACTCGCACAGCTCTTATTAATCCATGCTCAAACAGACGGCTTTAAGATGACCTCAAGACCCAAAGTGAGGTAGGGTGTACCGATCCAATTTACAGAATATGACCAAGATTTTCGGTTTATCAAATATGCACATGGCTTAAGCTGAAATCAATTCGAGGCAAGTGCAATTAGTCTATTTGAACTTTCAAGTACTTGTTTTCATTCGAATTTCTTTGTTGCTCCTTCACTTTTACCTACATCAAACCACACGCACGTGGCTGCGTGGCTGCGTGGCTGCTTCCACGCCACTATCGCTGACGTCAGCTGACTAGGGGAGCTCCTACCTTGTCAATGGAATGTCAAATCAGCTAGCTTGTGAAGAAGCAGGAGCAATCGATTTAACTACAAGGAATCCGCTCACTCTCTCTGCGCCCTGAGACTCAAATATTCTAAGCGCTTGAGCAAATCTGTGCCAGTCATGAGATTACTATATGCGTTCCCCGCGACTTGTGCGCTCATCTACCGAGCCAAGAGCAGAAACTCGTTGACGCCCGCTGGCATCTTCGCTGCGACTCTGACAGCGGCCGCACACGCTTATCACCCATGGAATCTCCCATTTGCACTCCTATGTATCTTCTTCCTGGCTGGAACCCGCGTGACACATGTGAGTATTTGCGCCCGCTACTACATGTCCTTGTTCTCACGACGATCCAGATCAAAGAAGGCATCAAGTCCAACTATACCCTTCGCTCCAAGGGCACCTCTGGAGGAGAAGGGCCTCGAACACACGTTCAAGGTAGGTAAGCACTTGAAGCTGTGCGACTGCTCACACCTGGCTAATATTTGTTGAAGTTCTCGCTAACAGCTTGATGGCCTCGGTCCTTACCCTACTCCACGCAAACCAATTACGCAAACGAGAAACCGCACTTGCCGACCCCAATACCCCGGATCCTACGGGATCGCTATGCTTCTCTTGGGGCGGTGATCTTTTGGTCGTTGGAATCATCGCCAATTATGCGGCCGTTGCGGCTGATACCTTCAGCTCAGAGCTTGGTATCCTGTCCACTGGTCAACCCCGCCTGATCACGTCCCCAACGCTACGAAAAGTCCCCCGTGGAACAAATGGCGGAGTCACGCTACTAGGCCTGGGTGCAGGTTTGCTAGGGTCGATGATTATCGTCACTGCATCCATGCTGTTTCTGCCATCATGCAATGAGGAATCAGCTCACACGCCTGCAGGCGGTGCGCCATGGACCATGTTGGAGCGACGGAAGTTCATGGGCTTCATGGTACTTTGGGGTGCTCTTGGCAGTGTCCTAGACAGCTTCTTGGGTGGCCTTTTCCAACGGTCAGTCAAGGACGTACGCTCCGGCAAGATCGTCGAAGGTGAAGGTGGTAACCGTGTCTTGGTGACTGAGTCTGCTGAGGATGCTGCAGCGCATGCGAAAAAGGCAAACGCTAGAGCAGCAGCCATGCAGAGCCAGGGCACGACGCCAGAAGAGAAGCTGCATGGTTCCGCTATTGCAGATGATGACGATGCTCATGCTGGTGTCTATGATCCCAAGGACAAGCATCGCAAGTCAAGTTTTGGAGATCAGCGACCATCGCGGGCCATTGAGAACGGGTGGGATCTTCTGGACAACAATGATGTCAACTTCCTCATGGCGGTTGTGATGAGCGTTGGCGGCATGGCGGCAGCCGGCTGGTACTGGGACGTGCCCATTCAGAGCGTCATGGGCGTGTAGGGACTACAAGTTAGCGACGTCATTTTGAGGGCCAAGGGCAATTCTTGACGCAGGCACTTTTTTTTGCCAAGGCCAATGAGAATAAAGTGATGTAAAAGGCAACTCACCGTAGAATCTGGTAGGGCTTTGATTCATCGTGAGATTTAACCCACTACTACCCGTTGCCACTGGATGGTGTTGAACTGCGTCAAGCGCACACGCATTTTACGTGACTCCAGCTTGGCACGGTCAACGCCCGGTGGTGGTCCGCCACACCCCGTCAATCCCCCCGGCGGGCCTCGGCGTGAAATGCAACATGTCGGGACGTCAAACCCGGAGTTGATTCCGAGGGGTATGAACACGGTAACCCAATGTGCAAAGTCGGCAGTTATTGATTTCATCCCGGACAACACCTCAACAATCAGAATCAATCTCATTCGCGCACAATTATCCAGACGTGATTCCATCACCCAATCACCCAGATCTAATGCCGGGAAAATGGGAGGGTGGGAACGAGAAAACCCAAACGGTTGACATCGCTCTTCTGGCGATCCAATAGACTTGAGGCCTTTAACGATCGAGATTAATTGCTATTTGTTTTCCAGAGATAGCGAGATATCGACAGAAACCTGGGGTATGCCCGGAATCGACCGAGTTTAAGTTTCTCATTTAAATGCGTAACAGGAACTGGCTTCAATCTGATTGGTCTCACTGTTCACAGCGAGTTAAATGGGGATTGCGGGGTCGGCAGATCTCCATCTCAGCAAAGGTGGGACGGTTAAATCAGGAGAATTGCCTGTTTGAGTAGCTACCCTTGAGATGGAATCAATTTGTGGATGATATGGGAATTTTACGAGGTGGCCAAATTGGAAACTTGTGAAGCCTTCCAGATCATCGCTGTATAATAATATCGAAAGTGCAACCGAAGTGGGCGCGACCGCAGTTGCCCGAGAAAGTCTTTGATCTTACTCGTTGCTTCCCAAGATAGTTTCGTCTGCCACTCAGAGGGAAGGGATGATCTGCATAACGCTGCTTCCAAACTCAACAGGGCTTCTTCTGCTTCTTAGGAGAAGGGAAATGGCCTCACTAATTCTTTCTCTGGCAACACTCACTTTGGTATTATTCGACGTCTTGGCCTGCCTTATCATTACCATACATTTACTTGAGAGCTTGTCAATTAAGTTGCCGGAATATGCAAAACCCCTGCATGATCAGGGGTTCTATCTTCTCTCCTGGTCTCGTGTGAGCCCACAGACAAGAACCGTTCGTTGTAGCCAGTCGGACGCAGTTCGGGAATAATTGAACCCTTGACACCCGGCAAAATGGAGTAGTTCATCAGTTCTAGATCATCTATTCCAGGAGAAAGGGAAGAAGAGGTGAGTAAAATCGAGTGATTCTACCGGACCGACGCTAATCCACGGCTCAAGTTAACCATTCAACCTCGTCGCGCATCCCGAAGCCGGAGAACAAATACAGCCGCACGAACGCAAGTCAGGGCAGACCTGGAGAAGTGCCCTGAAAATCTGGAGCCTCCCGAAAAAGCTACATCGTGATTTACGGATACGGTCTGGGGAAATGGAAGAGGAAGTCAAATTGCTGAGCGATTTACTTATACATTGCAACAAGGTTCAGCCAACCAGAGACTCTGACATCTGAAACGGCTTTGAAGCCGTGTTGGTAAAAGTCCAACATGAGATAACAGGCATTATGAAGAACATGCCTAGAGCCAATCATGACTCAATGATAAGACTCTGCATCTTGCATCCAGGGTGTGCGTGGTTCTGGTTCTCTTTGGGTACGGTATTATTCTTTTTTTGGGGTGGCGTTGGTGTCAAGGCTTGGTTGGGCGTGCTTGAAGAGACACCGACTCGTCGCCGGACTAATACGCTGATACCCCAAAAAAGAAGCGGCGGTAGAAGGAACAGCACTTCCGCCTATTGCGCTGCGGCACATGGTTGGACAAGTCAAACAAAGAAACATGGCTCTCTTACCATAACGAGTAAGGTGCGTCTGGGGCTCAAGAAACGATTTGGTAACAGAACAGGGACAAACCGGAACCACCGAGGCTGTTGGGCATTCTGGAGAGTCACAAGCACCAGGCTCCAAGCGGCTCTCGAAATAGCTGGGATGGAGCATCTTCGGGGGATCCATGGCTCACATCGCAGAAGGTCTCAGGGCGCAACATGGCCTTAGAGCTGTGTCTGACATGCCCTGTGTGCGCCTTTCGATCTTGGAGCTCCTCGGTTTGGCGGCCTGTGCGAATTTGGACCAGGGTCTGGAACCGTTGTTATCACTGGTTCCTGGGGATTATGTGCAAGGATTTTGGCTGTGTCGACGTCCACCGCAAGTCGAAAAGGTATGTAACTGCATCAATATTATTCAGAAGTTTCTTTATATCGCTATCAAATGTGACAAGGTAACCGCATACATATCTTGTCTAAGCTAATAATAAATTTAGTAAAACTTACTCGTGCTTGAGGCTAAAAGGTTATGAGAATGCAGCAACCCAGGGTATATTTGTTCTGTCATCGCTCACCCACACGATGGCTGGGAGGCACAGTCCCACACAACCCCAGAGTCTTTGCCCACGAAGACGCCGGCACCATTAGATAGCCTTGATATCCAAGAGTGGGAGGAAAGTTTGGGGGTTCACTTTCCGGGGGATGATGGACACGGATGTGTATCGGAAATTCTCCCTATCTACGATATACTAACACATCTAGTAAGGAAGTTTACAGGCAGAAAATCTCAAATCCAAGCAAAACAATTGGCCTCGACTTTCAAATCGCAGAAGCACTTGGCATTCGGCTGGTCACCCCCACTATTCCTTTTGCGGACATATGACACGCACCAGTACACGCAATTAAGCCTACAGTTTAACATGTTGATGGGCCGCAGCCACGATAAGACGCTGGGCTCGCTGGGTCACATCCCCTCTATTGCAGTTCGGGACTCCGCTTACGGAGTAAAATCGATAGATATCCGTCAACTGTTGAGATAACTGACTCTTAAATGGCATTGAGCCGGCACTGAGCCGAATTATCGTCAACGACGCCGTACAAATCACCGAGCCAACCCTCCCGGGCCGGTGGCTGTCAGATAGGATGGATGTCGATAAAGAAGCACCGCCATATGCCGCTGGCGATCCCCGCCGAGCGGCTGTGTAAAACTGCATTGAGGCACGTACCGTGCACACCCCTCTGGACCAAGGCTCCGCCGAAGCCGCCCCCGTTATGTCATACGGGTTTTCAGCGCTGCTTGTGCTATTACGAGACGGCAGTGCCCCAAGAGTTTCACTCGAACAGTGATCCCACCCACTGGAGGTAGAAGTTGTGACTAGAGTGACAGGGAATTTAAGCGGTGGTGATATGCTCATATGAACACGTGGGATACTTCGTTCAATGAAGTTGTATTCACTAGCAGAAGCGGGATTGAGCTGATTTGGGAGAGCGTGGTAAAAGCTCAGGAGTCGTCTACGTACGGAAGTCGTCTTCTTTTCGTAACAAAGACATGCTGTAGACAAGGTAATCTACGTAGAAATCAAGTATCTTCCCTGTGTATGCACCCAGTACAGGACTGTTCATGATGCCAAAAGACACCCCCCTCCTAAAGGCCCTACCGAGCGCCAATTGTGACCTGTGACGGAAGACAAGAAACCCCACTGTGAGAGCCGGTAACAGCCACGCCCCTGCATCCGGCCACAGGGAATCCTTATCTTTTGGTGATTGAGAGAGTCAACCTTTCTTTACGGCTCGAATCCGTAAACATAAAACCCGCGACGCCCCGGCCTCCCAAGAATTGAATTTTTGGTCATCCTACACATTTCCGTTTAATCGTTTGATACATTCGTATCTCATACTCTAATACCTCTTTGAAATTCGTATTCCCTCACAAAACCACACATTCACAATGGTGCGTCCTTATCTGAACGACCCCTCCATTGTTATCATGCCCACTAACACGATGTTCCCCAGGCCACTCCTATTACCTCAAGGACGGAGACTCTCCAGAAGTATCTCAAGCTCGACCAGAAGGGTCAAATTATGGCTGAGTACGTCTGGGTCGACGCTGATGGTGGTACCCGATCCAAGTCCCGAGTAAGTTCAATCCGCCGACCCTGAACTCCGGGGGTCTTTCCCCGGTATCCCCGCTCTTCTTCCGATCCGCAATGGCGATTCCGGTCACAAGCTGGATCGTATGTCGTCAACACCAAGGCTCGGTTGGTCATCGCGCCTTCCCTTTCGCAAATAGGGCCAAAAATAGACTCTACGTCCCCACGTTGTGGGGACGCATGGCGCGAGCCGACCCAATGGGTCGGCTTCAGCCGATGTTGCCCGTTGCAGGAAGGAGGGATGGGAGATAGGGAAACGACAGATATCGCGAAGCAAATAACTAACGAACTTGTCGACAGACTCTCCCCGAGCAGGACTACAAGCCTGAAGACCTCCCCGTCTGGAACTTCGATGGCTCCTCTACCAACCAGGCCCGTGGTGACAACTCCGACGTCTACCTGCGCCCTTGCGCCGTCTACCCCGACCCTTTCCGCGGCTCACCCAACATCATTGTTCTCTCAGAATGCTGGGACTCGAACGGGACGCCGAACAAGTACAACTTCCGCCATGACTGTGTGAAGGTTATGGACCAATACGCCGATGAGGTGCCTTGGTTCGGTCTTGAGCAGGAATACACCCTGCTCGGCTCTGATGACCGGCCCTACGGCTGGCCCGCTGGTGGTTTCCCTGCTCCGTAAGTTGAATCCAAAGAGAACCGCTAAGTATGTTTGCTAATTCCCTCTCAGCCAGGGCGAGTACTACTGTGGTGTAGGTACTGGCAAGGTTGTCCAGCGTGATATTGTTGAGGCCCACTACAAGGCTTGCTTGTGTACGTGACATATATCCCGGATGTGTGGTTACTCGGGACTTCTGGTCAATCCTGCCGTTCTGGGAAGCAGTCGAGGTGTGCCTTGACTGCGATCTTCGAGCGACTTCAGTCTGCCCGATGTCTTCCAGTTTCCGCTATTTACCACACACACTATCGTTTTCAGCTGGATTTGACTAACACGTGATAGACGCCGGTATCCAGATCTCCGGAACCAACGCTGAGGTCATGCCCGCTCAATGGGAGTATCAAGTCGGTCCCTGCACTGGCATCGCAAGTAAGTTCCAACTCTTAATCGATTTTCCGCGCTCCTGCCTCGGAAATCGACCCCGGAGTTATTCCGAAGCTTGATTTTCAGCCGCTAACCGCCAATTCTTTCAGTGGGTGACCAACTTTGGGTCTCGCGCTTCTTCCTTTCTCGCATTTCAGAAGACTTCGGCGCAAAGGTTTCTCTGCACCCCAAACCGATCGCTGGGGACTGGAACGGTGCTGGGCTACACAGGCGAGTCTTTCTGATCATTTTGAGCCATAAATCATTCGATTTGGCCAACGTTTGGGCGAGATGTATTAACTTTTGTGTAGCAACTTTTCCACGAAGGCTATGCGCGAAGAGGGCGGTATGAAGCTTATTGAAGAGGCTCTTAAGAAGCTTGAGCCTCACCATGCCGAGTGTATCGCTGAATATGGCGAGGACAACGACCTCCGTCTCACGGGCCGCCACGAGACCGGTTCGATCGACTCGTTCTCGTGGGGCGTCGCCAACCGCGGAACAAGTATTCGCGTGCCCCGGGAAACCGCTGCTAAGGGCTATGGTTACTTCGAGGACCGTCGCCCAGCTTCCAACGCTGATCCCTACCGCGTTACCAAGGTTTTGCTTCAATTTTCAATGGCTTAAAGCGAGTTTTTAGATATTTTTGGATCTACACGACTTTCGTCGCATGGTTTACGGCGTGATGGTATGGGAAACTATTGATTACATAGATAGCATGATAGCTAGTCCACAGAGACTGAGTAATGACAACAATTAGTGAAACAATAACGGGATTCCGAATTTTTTATGGTCAATACGGCAGTGAACATTGTGACCATAAAATACATTGAATGACATTTCCTCCGAGGCAGATTGATAGATGCTTTTCGCATCTATATGTCTGCAGTCTGCGAGGTCAAACGCTTGAATACTGACTGGATGGGAACAAATGCAGTCATGTGTTGTTGGTGGCCGAGCGGATGTCGTTGAATCAAGCGACCTTCCTTCCGTTGACAAAATTAGTCGTGCGGCAACCCCGCAATTTCCGGCGCCACATTTAAGGTTATCGTTGCCATGTGGGCTGCAGGTACGGACCCACTTTGTCAACGTGTCTTTGTCTACAGCGCTGAGGGCGCCTTCCTCGAATGCGAAACTAAAAGATTTCGGGAAATTAGGAAGATTGGCGAGTTTTGTTCATGTGTAAATGCAAGCTTAATCTTTATCAGAATAGGTTAATTTTAGAGTCCGAGTTCGTCCTTGCACAAATGTATCATTGAGGAGTCTGCAGTCTCCTCAATCGTTGGCATAACCTCGTTGTCCCACCCCAGACTCCCCGTTACCGGGTGTCTTCGTACGGAGTAGTCCTGAGTTATTCTTAAACGCGAGAGGCAGTGGTCAAACCCTTCCAAACCGTGCGTGTTGAACATGTCCAAATCTCAATATGCAACGAGAAGTAGCCGAGGGCGGCGCGAGTAAAGAGCAGAATAGTACGATTGAGAGGCTGTCCAAGGGGAATTTTGATCTGAAGCTTTGTGGTTTCGGTTCTTAGCTGATGAGCGAAACAACGCTGTCGTCGATGTGTGATGATTAGGGTTTGGTATGTTTCGAGATGTTCCTACGGTTCCTTGGTATTGCCTCTCGGGGTCCAAGTGGCTCTCCGGTTCTATTGTGTTCCTTCTGGGTGTTTTCGAAGCCGCCGTAATGCCCTGCATGATGATTATTAACTCCATGTGATACTTGCGAAACGAGCAGCCTCTCCGAACTGCCTTCTGGTATAACACCTTTGCTGGTGTCTTTGGTGGTATTCTGTTTTAGGCGCGTAAAGAGTTCCACGGAAAGGCGAAGTGGCCATGCGAATGCTATGTAGGAAGAACCAATGGTGGCGCCATGTATTCATGTAACTCATCTGTCTTTCATGTCCGAGTAACTTGCCGATAACCTCTTCGTTAACAGGCCTCGGCCTGACTTGAAATACATGGGCCAGGTAAAAGCTTGCTTAAACAGTTGCAGACCAAGTTGCTGTGAATATGGCGATTTAATTGTACAGTCGGGTTTGGGTTGCTTGACTGACAAATTACAATAGTTTGCTTCCTAGAATATGAACATCTGGAAGACGAATAATTTAATACACTCCTGACTTTACTCATAAACCACAGGATATTTGATATATGTAAATACAGAAGAGGATACACAAGGTTGGAGAAGATTGAATGACTGCGTGTGACCAAACACATATGACCAGAAGGTCCTTTGCGAAGTAATTTGCGACGTCTTCCTTTACAATATGGACAGTCTGGTAGAGAATTTTGACCATTGTCGGCAAATTTGCTCGTGAACAAGTTTGCGTCAGCATTGAAGCCATTGTAACAGTCGTTCTCGAAAGTAATAAGACTGTTTTCTTTTTCGTAGACCAGGGAGCAAACAGGCGAAGTAGAACTGGGGGAGAATAGTTTCGTTGATGACTCTTAAGTCTTGCTGGTTTCATTCTTGCGTTGTTTATAATGGTAGTGGATTGTGTGGTATCCCTGAAATGGTAAAGGTAGCTAGCCGCTGGTATGGGAGTGCTGTAAAACTCCTCCGCCTTGTGCGAATTGATTCAATAAGAATTGTCTCTAGCGCGAGAGATCTGCACAGTTGAAAATAGTAGGCCCCATGTTGGTGTCGTGGTAGAGGACAGTAGCACTCGTAGAAAGACGATACAGGCAATAGGCTGGATCTGGCACTGGCATAAATAAGGCAGCACGCCAGAGAAGTGAAACCTGACTCGAAGTATGTAGAGACAATACTCAAGCATTGATAGATTAGCACAGTCGTATGAAGCGTTATTCGTAAGGATGATAATCCCTATATGTCAGACGATTCTTGTTGCCGCATCGATCATGAGAGTGAGTGGATAATGTCCACTAAACTGTATCTGCCTGGCGTGATTGAAATGTCTTCCGTGATTGATTGTGAGACAGTCGCAGTTAGGATTTGTTCGTAATCTCGATTGAGTTCTTTGGTGGTCATCTCAATTCATATCGGTCGCATAAGTCATAGAACGTGTATGTCGTCAATAGTGTCGGTCGCGAGGTCATCCCCCCTTCAACCCACTTGGTCTCCCCAATCCATAATCCCATGCTCCAAATATCCTCCTTCGTTTATCCACCCATTCATCATTATCGTGTCCTGTTTTGGCCCTTGTCGTGGTTCCCACATTCTTGCCCCCAACACTCGCGGTTTCATCCCTCTTTTCCTTGTCCTGATTTCTCTCTTCAGCCTTCCTATGGTCCTTCTTCCTTGCCTGACCTTGTATCCTATACCCAGCTTCGTCCTATTCCGTCTGGATATCGCTTATTCGGATCTCCCTTGGGTCCCAGTTTATCTTGTTTTGAAATCTTTCTCCAGTTTAATTATCTTCGTCTTCTTCGTCTTCTTGGTTTTTATCTTTATCATGATCCCGACGTCTTTTAATTCTGATCTTGAGAGCGCTCAGTGGGGATGAGCCAGAGACCAAGGTTTGGTCGATAAAAATCTCATCCCTCAATCTCACGGGGATGGTTAGGCTCTTCGACAAATCGACACAAAACAGTATACTTCTTGTCGATATTGCCCTAGATGTCTATATTGGTAAAGACTTAGACGAGAGAGCGCTCAGTAAGGATAAGTTAGAGACTAAGGCTTTGGTCAATAAAAGTCTTATCCCTCGATCTTACGGGGACGGTCAGGCTTCTTGACAAATCGATACGAAATAGTGTACTTCTTGTCGATGTTACCCTGGATGTCCATATTGGTGAAGACCTGGACGAGGAAACACCCAGAGACTTTTATCGACTAAGGTTTCGGTCGATAAAAGTCTCTGAGCTGACGGTATGTCGCCTTGTTATCGACAGCCTTGATGTACTTCTGTACGGCTTGCTTGATATCGTTGAGATCCATATTGGTGAAGACCTGGACGAGGGAGCGCTTAGGGGGATGAGACAGAGACTAAGGTTTTGGTCGATAAAAGTCTCTTAGAGCTGACGGTATGTCACCTCGTCATTGACAGCCTCAATGTACTCCTGTACGGCTTTCTCAACATCGTCGAGATTCTTCTCGGCAGTGGCCTGCTTGATTTTCTCCCAGGCCGCCTAATACGATCCCTTGGCTCCGTTTTGCGAGTGTTCTTGAAGGTTCGTTGGTTCGTGCACATGGCGTCGAGAAGCAAAAGTAAAGAACTGTGTTGAGGTTCTGCTCCCCATTGTTTGTGGTATTTGACAAGGGTGTATGTTAATCATGACAATGCCGCTCAGCTGAGTTGGGGTCAGTCAAATCACTCAGCAGGTTATGATAGACGATCTTACCTTTCTATACGACAACTATGTCATGACCTTTGATGATTGGGCCGAGTCGGCGATATGAAGCATTTCTGAAATCGCTTTATTTCTTATTGTTAACGGTTTGTAACTATTTTGAGGTAAATCCAGTGAGCTTTTTCGAGACTGATATCTCTGATGTTCTTTTTTCGCATCAGGGTTTGTCGTAAGAGTATTTGTCGTAAGAGTGTATGTTGTAAGAGTATTTATCGCAGGAGGATTTGTTGTAGGAGGGTTTGTTACATGAAGGTTTGTCGTATAACCTTTACCCCACGATGCTCCCCGCACGCTATGTGCTACCCATCTCATGTCAGTCGGCGATGAGAATCCTCCATGCTTCAGAAAGTTATATATGTCAGTGTCATGAGCAACAGCAAACAATAGCTGCTGCCCTCCATCAAGCGCATAAATTGCCCTGTGTTAGTCAATGATGAGAGTCAATTGCATCTCACGCGGTCTCCCTTCTCATTGTTCCATTCCATGCGTGAGGTAGCTATCTCGCGTTTCGCTCACGCACCGTCCTTATCACGAGCGCGACGGTTGGACTCCGTGTGCATCTTCTGCATTATTGACTTCCTACAGGAATTGCATACGACACGCCCTTCCTCCTTAGGCAGTGGATGCCGGTACCAGAGCGCATGCTGACCTATTTACGCGATCTTGATCGTGGTTGCGATATCGATCTTGGAAACGGGTCGACTATTTTTGTCTGCTCTTTTACTATCTGCTTTATAACCGAATGGCTAGTCACGTATGAAGAATAATCTTTTAGATTATTAAATTATTCTGTAAGTTATTTTATGAATTATTACTTAATTTAATTATAAAAATTGAAGAAAAAATGAAATCCTCTAAAATTATATAACTTTTACACTAAGATTTTAATAAGCCGGCCTGTCTTGAGATTATGTACGTGTCTCAAGATTATATGCCCCTAACAGGTATAATCCCCGGTCAAAGCTTGGCTGGAATTGACGTACTTCCATACACAATCTCCAAGTTCCTTGCAAGTTGTTCTTTTGCTGATACTCTCTCCCGCGGTGTAATCATATTCTTTCCTTCCAAGAAGTGGAAGAAAATATCCGTAGACACTTGATCACCATCACTCCCTGCATCAATGAAAAGTAGAACACACACCAGTAAGTCTGCGACAGCCCAAAGGACTTCCCTGGCGTCACCCAGCAAGTCTGCCAGGGACTCATGCTCTACACGCCGCCTCAAGGTCGTCCAAACTCCTAATGGGTCCCAGCCAGCGGGCCGAGATACCTTTCCTTGGAATTCATATGCTCGTTTAACAAAGCCTTCGAGGGCATCAAGAGTATCTTGCCCGCCCTTTGGATGTTTGAGTGCCCGTAGAAAGTCGGTACTCAAAACATCCGTTGTGCCCTCCCAAATAGGCAGCACGGCACAATCGCGATGAAGACGGGCAATGTTGAGATACTCTTGTTCTTCGTTGGCGAGGTAGCCAACACCTCCGAGTGACTCCATACACGAGAAAAGTAGCTGCACAGATGCTTTGCAAACGTAGGCCTTTGTGAGTTGAGTAAGTACTCGGATCAACGGTGCAGCATGTTGTGTCGAGGGAGTCAGTGCCTGCAGTGCAGGGGAAAGGCTCGAGTTTGCGGGTCGACTGTGTTCAGAAATGCCAAGAACATAAGATGTGAAGATGGTAAGAAGCATCAGTCCCCGATACTCGCAAGATATCTTGGACAGTGTTTTCATATGTAAAGAGCTTTCTGTCAGCTTCATCCGCGTACCCCTTCCACCGCCAACCTCTCGTACTTGTGCGTATGCCCTCGCTATTGCAAGACCCCTGCCTAGGTATCCTACAGCCGCTACAGATGAATGAACTCGAGTCAAGGTTAATATTGTTGCAATTTCCTGGATACCGTGACTTTCTTGGCCAATGAGCCACGCCCGCATATCCTCGAGAACCAACTCGGCAGTAGGGAGAGACTGTGTGCCCGATTTATTCTTTAGGCGTTGAATGCGGACTCCATTCAGCTTTTCGCCGTTACTCTTCGGTATCCCGGTAGTAGAAGTGGCATTGGGATCATATCGCCTCATAGGAGCTAGAAAGGTCGATAGCCCGCCTTTAGGTGTACGAGCAAGGAGGACGGTCATTCTCGAGTCTGTCGCAGAGGAGAACCACTTGAAACCACTGACACTCCAAGGCCCTAAAGGGATATTCTCATCTTTTGAGGCCAGCTGAGTCTCGACCACAGGCTTATGTACTGCGATCGTTTCAGTAAGTGAGACGTCGCTCCCGCCTGTACGCTCAGTCATCCATTGTCCGCTCGTCCAGGCATATCCCGGGTCTCTTGAGGTTAAGTGGTTAAAAGCGTTCTCAAATACCCTTTTCTGTGCGTTTGTAAGCTTTGCCGCGAACTCTGAACTGCTCAGGTGTGTTTGTAGAAGTCGGGCGGCGCCGTCTTGCATAGCTGATGGGCATCCGACGTTGGCACAGGAAGCGGTCCAAAGTTGGATACGTAGGAACTGATACGCTCGCGCAAAGGGACCGTAAGGAGTATCGTATCCGGCTGCAACAAAGCTGTAGTCATACTATGTCAGTGACTGTTATCCAGTATCGTGACTTGGCTATCTCACCCTCGAGATTGACCGAAGTCCTGGAGGCCGCGCCATCCTTCACCAGTAACCAAATCACCACTCCACTGGCCAAAAGCATCGCGGCCTGATCCTTTAAGGTAGGGTTTGTTACGCTCGGCATCTGTGATCCAAGCGAAAACTCGATCAGAAAGGACATCGTCTCCAAGGGCAGCAATTTCTGCTTGCACTTGATGAATGATGTGCTGCGAAAGAAACACTAGCAGTGTCAGCGAGACGAGGCCTGACCTGGGCTGGAAGTAGCGCAAACTCACACCGGAAGCATCTCTGAAATGTCAGGTCATCATAGAACTGGTTGTTGAGAACTGGGGGCTTCTGGAAGAAGCCCTTGTCTGCGCCTGAAGCTTCCATTGCTGAATTTTGGAATAAGAGAAGACAGAGTTAAACATGGTGACATACTGCCCGAGGCTGCTTTATCAATGATACAGTCAGACACGTTTATCGCCTGGAAGTGCAAGCAATCACAAGCCATCTCGTCGGCAACCACTTGTGGGGTCACACCTGCAACTCGACCCATGTTCCGCCATTTTGGGCAAGTCGTGCGGGAAGCATTCCGTGATCACGGTCGAGACTGCGGAAATAAAGGTTGTGGGCGGAACATAAATCACAACCATTGGTGGATTCTCCCCAATACCCATGTCTAGCTCCACTATGTACGTAGTAATTAGAGGTCACATCAGACCAGAACCCACGACATGGGTCTAATTCTGGGCTGCTGCAGATCCCCCAGACTCATTCCGCTCTTCATACTTGACAATATTCTCCGAACAGTTAAGACCTGATAGTCATCTCTAGTTATAAAGTATAAATATTGAATAAAATAAAATAAAATAAAACTTATTAAATATTAAATCAAGTTAAATATATTACATAAAAAATAATATAAAATAAAATAAGTTTTATAAAAAAATATATAAAATAAAATAAGTTTTATTAAATATTATATAAAATTAAATATTTTTTATTAAAAAGATTATTTTTATGTTTATTTATTAACCTGCCGGTAAGGCAGCTCAAGTAACGCTTGAGCAGAGGCGTGATCAGGGTATATATGTCCCAGGTATGAAGATCAGCTGAGATGAGATACTGTCAATACGAGGACTGTAATCTGAAGAAGACGAATTGTGGCATAGCACCACATCTGGCTTCCGGTCTTGCAGTTTGGAGCAAACACCCAACTCGCGCGAATTGGGTGGTATGCCGAAATTGCAAACTTCGAGAAAGGGAATACATTTGTGAGGAGGAGTTGAAACGCCATACGATCAACGAAAAGGATAAAGTCTGTACCGAATTAGGTTGCGAGGATCCATACCAAAATGTCATCCAAGCTCAAATGCACGTAGGTGAGATAATGTTGTCGGCCATATCTGGTATTGACATCTACTGCTATGTCGTAAATAATTTCTATAGGAAGTTAATGATACAGAAGATATATATAGAGGCTAACTGTTATATTTGTATGTAAGACGGCAACCTGATATATATGTGAAATGTAAGATAGCTACCTTGCGTTTCGTTTGGATATAGTGCGAGAGTCGTCTAAAAATGAGTCCTACTCGCTGTTAATAGCTGGAAATGAAACAGTGGCGAAAAGTCAAGGGGCCAACTAAGCAAGCTTAGTTGGGCATATTATCTTGAGACATATACATGATCTTAAGACAGGCCGGCTTATTAAAACCTTTGTGTAAGCTTGCTTGGCCCCCTCTCAGCTGAAGCCAACGGGTAGTACCTAATGCCGTTCACATTCGTCATAGGGCTAGATACATGAATAGCTCTATGGGAGATTGCCGACCAGCGGCGCTCACTTGAACGGAGAGATAAAGGGTTTACGCACATGAGTTTAGCATCAAAGTAAGAATTATTGAAGAAGGCCTAAAATACTGGAACTATCCAAGAGGCATAAGGGGGGTTATAGTTATTTAATCCATTCTTGATCAACCTTTGAAGCTTTTGCATGTGCCCTTGAAACTCTTCGCCTTTAGCGTAGCCTTCTTACATGTTGTAGCATCAGTATGCTTATCGCCATATAACACAGTTCCCTTTGCACTCGTAGACGTCTTGGAACATGAGTTGAATGTGCTGGCACCATCGTGATGGAGAAGAGTATTGCTACCACTATTCTTCAATGTCCAAGACTGGAAGCCAGGTGTAGGATCGACGCATTTGAGTGTGCCTCTAGGGTCGAGAAAACAGGCATTGAAGGCGCTGTCCCGAAGCACATTTTGCGAGTTGGACAGGTCGATGCAGAAGAAGCCGTTGGTCTTGCCAGCGTTGAGAAGCAAGTTGCCATTGCTGTTTTCTTGAACCGTGGCGCCGCTAGCGACATCCTGTAGTGTGAAGCAGCAGTGATTGTCGAATACAGTATTCCGAGGGAGGACTGCGGATGTGGCCAAGGTGCAGAAGAGGGTGATCAGAGTGAATGACTTCATCTTGAAGTGATCCTAGGGTATAATGGGTATAATATGGGGATGGTAAGTGCTTGGATGATTAAAGCAATAGACAGCTTGTAGTTGAGATGATTGAGGCCAGCTCAAGTTATTCAAGATAGTCGTGGAGAGTCAGTTTAATATTCTTTACAAAGGACATGCGTCACCTTTTATAATGTAGAGCTTCCCCTCTTCATTGCTCATCGCTCGTCGCTCATCACTCATCACACTCGTGAATCATTGGGATCAGCGTAAATGAGTCCCATTCAGAGACAACCAACCGCAGTGAGCAAATGCACGTTGAGCCGAAAGGATTCGAGTCAGAACACCAAACAAAGTGAAGTCACTGGCCTCACGATGGGCAAAGGGACCCCCCCAGATGATCCAGAAGTGAAAATGAAAAAGTCGGTCTCGATTAGAGCAAAAAACCTGTGATGGGTCGTGCAGGTGATTCCAAGTGATGGACGTGACGATTTCCATTGGGAGTCTCGGGGTTTCGCGCTATAGGACGAAGAGTGCTAGGGCTGTTCTGGGGGAGTTAGCGGGAGCGAATAGCTTCTCAGGAACAGCCGCGAACTAGTCATTAGAGTGACATTTGGTTTGTGATTGAAGCGTCCGTGCTATGCCGTTCATGCCCTTGAGCTGCAAGGCACGACGAAGTTGGTGACAGTTGGTGACAGACCAGGGGGGCCCTTAGGGGATTCTCTACACCGTAGAAGTAAGCGGGGATGGGCATCCAGCCATAGACTGCCGTGGATGGGTGCTCTTGGGTCTTGAGTGCCAGATTGGTTGGTTGCAGGGGGGAAAGAATAAGTAAGTGTGACGATGCATGATCCTGGTGGTGATAAGTTGCATCTACCAACAGACTAGGTTGACCAATCAGAGGCTGGAACTGGGGTTTTCACGCTGTTGGTGCAACGCATGCAAGATCACGTGAGCCGCCCATCGGTTATCGGCGAAGGCCTTAAGTGGGGGATGGATAACCTACACCACAAATACTTGATGAAATAACACAAGTAGAGACACGCCTTTATCGGGCGAGGACTGTCCAACAATTTATTTCGTACTCTATACACTTTCTCCCAACAGCGGCACCGTTTGTTACGCCCAACTCAAAACGAAACCGTTTGCTCATCTACGTCACACCCTCTCGGCTCTCAACAGTAGAGGCATGCTTCATTCCTCTATATTGGTGCATTTTTGCATGATACTATTCATCAAATTTGATATTACATCTCTTCTGACGTGATCTCTGGTCTTCGCAGGCTCCCTCGTTATCATAAGCAGCCCAGCTCCATCTGACTGGCGATCATCTGCTTAGCTACGTTTCCCAACTTCATCTGCCTGCCTAATCGGACTACCGTTTCACCGCTTTCATTCACGAGCCAATTTCTATCTTCTCGCAAATCCAACACTTGATGTCAATTTTGATTTGATACTTCGTATCACCACGTTTTGATCTCCTACGGAAATTATGGGCGAACATACCATGTCCAACGAAGAGTGGGAGGAAGTCTCTCAAGACATCCCCTCACTCTCCGACCCTTTCCTTCAGCAATATCTCACAGGCCGAGCAAACCTCGTGAGCCAAGAGAAGAAGTCTCGCGCTGATGCCTCTTTCAGAGCTTCTCTCTCGCCTATTGCGAAGCGCGCAAGTGACATTGTCGACCGCATTCGCGACCAGGAAAACGACTCCACCTGGACCCCTCAAGTGGAGGAGGACCTCGCACAGGCCGGAAACGAGTGTATCTTTCCCGGAATGATGTTCATGCTCGCCAAAGATCGTATGGAGAAGACAAACCTCTGGAATATCGTCCGCCGCATGCCAAAGGGTGCTTTACTCCATGCTCATATGGATGCTATGGTCAACTTTGACTTTCTCTTTGACGAGCTCCTCAAGTTGCCCGGCATGCACATGTGCAGTAACCAACCACTCAACTCCGAGGAAGCCCTTGAAGATGCAGTTCCCGATTTCCGATACAGGGCCAAGGCCGACAGTGATGGATCCATTTGGGATGAGAGCTACAAGCCAGATACTTTCGTGCCATTGCCAAAGGCGGCCGATAACTTTCCCAATGGTGGAAGAACTGGGTTCCTCAAGTGGCTCAAGGCCCGTTGCACTCTCTCCGTCACAGACAGTCACGAGCAACACCACGGAGTTGATGCCATCTGGGTCAAGTTTGGAAAGTGTTTCCTCGTGTGTGCCTCCATCATCCACTACGAGCCAATGTTCCGACTCTTTCTCCGCGAGCTCATGAAGAATCTCAAAGATGATGGTGTCAACTGGGCCGAACTTCGGTGAGTATCAAGCCATATTTTGCCACACAATTCTAACAGTCATAGATTCACTTGGCCACTTAACTATTGCCGTGATCAGCAAGAAGAGCCCGAGAAGGACTACATACACATGTTCGAGGTCCTGCAGGACGAGATCGACAAGTTCAAGAAGTCGCCCGAAGGAGAGGGCTTCTGGGGACTCACCACCATCTGGACCTGTCTACGAAGCTGGCCTACTCGCCTGATTATTGAGAACATGGACTGCTGCATCGCCACCAAGTTGGCTTTCCCTGATCTTATCGCCGGTTACGACCTTGTCGGTCCTGAGGATCTCGGCCGACCCCTGTCTGACCTTCTTCCTGAGCTGTTCTGGTTCCGCAAGCAGTGCGCTACTGAAGGCGTCAATCTCCCCTTCTTTTTCCATGCTGGAGAGACACTTGGTGATGGTACAGACACCGATGGTAACATGTTTGACGCAATCCTGCTTGGCACTCGACGTATCGGTCATGGCTTCAGTCTCTACAAGCACCCCCTTCTTATCGACATGGTCAAAGAAAAGCGCATCCTCATCGAGTCATGCCCCATCTCCAACGAAGTCCTCCGGCTCTGCGGCTCCGTAACCGCCCACCCTCTACCAGCCCTCTTGGCGCGTGGTGTTGCATGCAGTCTGTGTAACGATGATCCCGCTATGCTCGGGCAAGACACAGCTGGCATGTCGCACGACTTCTTCCAAGCCGTCCAGGGATGGAAGAACCTTGGCCTAGCTGGTCTCGGCAGTCTCGCGGAGAACAGTGTCAGATGGTCTGCTTTTGAGGACCAGAACCAGACCGACTGGATCAACGGCATCAAGCAAGCCAGTCTTGGCAACACTATCAAGGCCAAGAGGATGAAGGCGTGGCAGGTTGAGTGGGAGAAGTTCTGTCTCTGGATCGTCGAGGAGTATGGAGACGAGTTTGGAGACGAGGAAAAGGAAACCAAGATGGATGCTTAGATGACTGCTTTTAAAGCGAAATGATAGACAGAGACTACGAAAAGGGAACGATTGGGGTGCATATCGGCGTTGCATATTGAGATTTGGTCATGTTCAACACGTACGGTTTGGAAGGGTTCAACCACTGCCTTTCTAGTTTAAGAATAACTCAGGATTACGAAGACACCCGGTAACGGGCATGATACACTGTATCTAGATGAGTTTAAGACTAGAGTTTTAGGTACTAGAAAAGATCACGAGACAATACCCTGAGACCTTTCCATTTACTTGACATCTAATTGGTTAATAGCTTACTTCTACGGGCAGAGCAGTCCAAATGATGCTCGGGACAGTGGTTTACAACAAAAGAGAGATGATTTTTTTGTTAACTACATGGTAATGAAATATAAAGAGCGTGACCAGCCGCCAACCCTTGTCTTGTTGCTACCAATCCCACATGCACAATCTCAGCACAGCTGTAAAGTGTTGAAGTGAACAATCTATTTAATCAACATACTCAAACCCTGAAACAATAACACATATACTCACAACAAGTATGAATCGAAAGTCTTTCCGAGACTCCTTTGGTCTCAAAAATGCTCACTCAGCCACTGACGAAAGGTTTTCGGTTGAACATTCACGTACGGACTTGCGCTGACGAGGTCATTCAGAGACGTATGGTTGAAATCGAATCGTCCCTCAACAGTTGCTTGAAGTTGTTGATAAAAGGCGACTCTGGCGTAGTCCCCCTGTTCGTAGAAAGCGGTAATCAATCGAGCAGGGTCAGCGGCTTGCCACTGAGAAAGCTGAAAAGCGGCTAAGAAATCAGTTTGGATCATAAAAGTACAAGCCATGATAAACTTACCATTCAAAGCCCTTGAACACTGTCCAACGACGTCACGGACTGATAAACGGTCTCCTCGCATAGTAAACTCACGAGGCCAGTTCGCAGGCCCCAAGTCAATAGCTGCGACAACAAATTGAGCAACATCATCAACTGATGTCATACAGACTCGAACTGTATGTCCTCTTGCATTCTTTTCCACATACTCAGCAGTATACGAGCTCATGTCAATTAAGTATGTGCCCACATTTGCCAAGTTAGAGCCATAACCAATTGACACATGACCCAGCCCTTCAGGAAGCAATCTCTCCATAAAGATGCCACAAGAGAAAACTGTCCACTTCATCTGAGATGATCTTGACCATCGTCTTAGAAGCTGCCTCGCTTGAGAGGAGTGCGAATAGGGATCTAGTTGGTCATTTTCTGGACGCTTCTCGAGACATCCCTCGAACTCAGATGGTACAAAGAACTGTACGCCACTTTGAGCAGCTGCATTTATCAAGTTGAGCTGCTCATCGCCTGAAAAGGTGCATATCACAAGGTTGACGCCTTGGAGTGCATAGGAGAGACTGTCTCCATCATTGTAGTCGACAACCATGACTTGAACGCCAAACACGTCGTACTCAGGGTGCGGCTATTTTGTTAGAATTGTCAAACCATTAAGGGGAATACTCACAGAACGTGATAAGACAACAACTTGGTAAGCGTTTGCAGCATTGGAAAGTTGGCTTGTCAGGAGCCAACTAAGGCCAGTGCCTCCTGCAATAGCGATTCGCATCATGATTTTGATTGGGCTGAATAGTAAATGTCGTCTACGATAAGTAGCAAGTCTATATCAGCTGTCTAAAGAACTCAGGAGTAAAGAATGACTGAGGCCGAATTTCGTAGAGACTTGCTTCCTCTAAATATCTTTTCTGGACTACTAGAACGTAGTATCTTGGGGGCACAAGCAGAGCCGCAAAGTCTAGACATACAACCCTTGACTGAGTATACTGAGATATTTGCACCGTTGACTCTGGCCAATCTCAATGAGGCCCATCGGCGAGGCCTCAGTCACGCCTCAGTCACAGGCAGAAGTCGGGCAAAGCAAGCAACCTGGTATCAGTATAACCAAGAGTCACAACTGGCTTGTGATAAGTTGACGTGAAGTTAGTACTTGACGAATACCTGCACGTAGTCTCACACAGGAACGTTTCGGGCCTTTAGACCCGTTATCATGAACCTCCTTTTCATCACAAATGTGGGGTGTGCTTGAGTTTCTGCTTCAGGAGATAGGTCCGGATTGGTTCGAGATGCCATGTGAGGTCAGGGACTGTGAGTAAGGTTGCCTAGAGAGGCTAGGGAACGAAGGAGTTGCCCAGAAAGCTTGGTAAAACAAGGGTTTCTAAGAGTCAGTTGGGCGGTGTCGCTGTAACGAGGGTGACAGTTGACGTCTGAGACCAAACTCGGCATCCGTCTGGTCGGAAGTCACAGAGCACAATGGCAGTGCACTTTGAAGCACGAGATGGACCGTGGTCACATGCAACTTGCTTAGGATGCCTTGAGTTAGCCTTGTGAGGACAAGATCCGTATGGCTGCTCTAGTATGGCTGTGTTTAGCTGCATCGTGAATATGGATATCAAGTTCGTGAGGAACTAGATACCAAATCATGGTATTCTAAACAACGTCAGGTGACAGGTCATCGATAACCAACCACTTGACCAAGCTATTATCTCTCATCCTTGTTCTCGGACGTTGCGCCACACTCGCGGTGCATAACTCATTGTCTGTTGGCTGTCATAGTTGAACTTGATGCAACAATCTTCCGTTTGGGCTCTCGAGAAACAGGGTTGCTCAAGGATGAGACAATTACTGTGGCCCTGACGAGGCCGCACGTATGCATGAGATGCATTGTGAACTTGAAGAAGAACGATAACTGCAGGGGCAGGCAAGAGAAGTCAAGGTTCATCGGGGAGACCGTCATTGGCGTTTGAGTATGCATGCTGGCAGGCTACCTCGAAGCTAGTAAGGCAGAAGAAGCTGCAGCCTAACTCTGGGGTGAGACTGTAACGAGGCTCTGATCCACGGGGGGCAACTGCGGTTGAGCGCAGATCTTCAACATGAGGGTATAGATGGTGGTTTGGGGGCCAAGACCCTTGCCCGCCAGTGGTTGGAACTAACGCAGCAGCCCCCATGCTCATGCTTATTCCCCGTAGGGCTGACTGGGGTTCATGTGGGTGGCGATCAATTGGGCGTATCCATTGGACGTGAGAAGATTCGTTCGGTGAGAGGCGAGTTTTGGTCAACGTTTTTGTCTCGATGTGGCACCGGTGACTTGCATAGCCATTTCGAGAAGCCCGTTTCCTGACTTCCAACGGCGATCAGGGGGAAGTTGATCGGAACTGTCCGTTACTGTTCCAGATCGTCGGGGTTAATCCTAGGCTCGAGATTGGCTGATAGGGCATGCCAATGTTTGATGGTTGAAAGTTGCAACGTTGGATCAGAGTTTTCAATCACCCGTGACCTACCTTACCTAGGTATAGAGGCAGCCGGTTCCTTCTTTCTTGTGTTCTCAGGGTTAGCTCCCGATGCTCCTTCTGAGGGTTTTTCTTCATTCCTTCCCAACTCGGGCAATGAATGTAATATGGAAACTTGCTGGAGGGTAGGTGTGACCGGGTATTAACCCACGAACTCACCCCTGTCTGTTATACCTGACACTATTCAGACTTCAATCAAAGATGATCGGAATTTCCGCCGGCCAAAGGAATTCCACCGGTCGCCTTCAGGGTTAGTTCCCATATGTTATTTGCATATTCAATTTGGGATGAGACACAATCTCTTCAGATTCGGGTCATCATAAGAGTTTCTCTCGTATCTGGCAGGTTGACAGTAGATTTAATGTCTTAGGTTCTGCCTGGACTATGTACCCCATCAAGCATGTTACTCACCCGTCTCACAAGGCTATTGGCGAGAGGTGGTTGGTAAGTTGTTGCACAACACCAACAACTGTGACCCAGCCACCGTCTCAGTTACCTAACAAGACTTCACGGTCGAAATCGTGATGTATGTCTTCACACATATCAATGTTTTAGAACGAAGTTTGTCTGGATATTTCACGATGATACATCTCTCTTGATTCATTTCAGAGCCGCCATCATGTCAGCCAGAGCCATAGGGCGGTCTCGAAATAAGACATGCCCTAGGCTGCCACTCGCACAGATTATGGCAAAGTCAATAAGCTGCTCTGTCTAGGCCTGAAGCGCCGTCTCATCCCTCGCATTACCACTGCCCTTCCTCCAAGCTTCAGTATGGTCAATCTTCCGCTTGACCACGCTCTCAGACCCCTCAGCTCCCCACGCACCTCCTCCAGGTGTGCAGATGATGATGCGATCTCCAGCTTTCATCGAAGCCGTGTTCTTGGCTCCCATATTGATACGTCGTTCTTCGTATTCGACCACACCCGCATCCTCCTTGGTATGGAACTGCTTCAGAGACGTTTCCCAGTTCGCCTTTTCAACATTACGGACCCAAAGATTCAGGCCGCACTCTCCATCGCCACCTCCGTTCAGTCCATAGGGGCGGTAGACACGGCGCTCGCTGAGAATGGAGACTTGGAGGGGAATTCGAAACTCAATATCACGAATAACACCATCGCCGCCCCGGTGTTGGCCTCGTCCTCCCGAACCGGAACGAATAGAGAACTCGCGGAGAAGGACGGGATATCGACGTTCGAATATCTCAGAGTCTGTGATGCGAGTGTTGGTCATGTGGCAGTGAACACCACTTGTTCCCTCCCAGTCAGAACCTGCACCGCTTCCGCCAGCAATTGTCTCGTAATATCCGAATCCTTTTACAACTTCGGTCCCATCTTGATTGCCACCAAACCCAAAGGTAAGATTGTTGCAGCAGCCCTGGCTGGCAGCACAAGCCTGGAAAGCCTTGAAAATCACGTCTGTAATTCGTTGACTTGTAAGGACGTTTCCTCCAACGACTGCCGCACTAGGTGAAGGCGATAGAATGGATTTTGGAGGAATTTTGACATGAATAGGCTTCAAGCACCCCTGGTTAAGAGGAATATCCTCCGAGATAAGACACCTCAGGCAATAGATGATAGCACTGAATGTGATAGCTTGAGGTGCGTTCACGTTCCCGTAAACCTCAGGGCCTGTGCCTTCAAAGTCAAACTCGGCCTCTCCCTTCTCTGCATCAATGCGAATCTTCAGGCGGATCGGGGAACCGTCGTCCATGAAGTCAACTGCCGAGAGATCCTTGCCCTCAAAACGTTTATAAACATCCTTGAGTAGTTTGCGCACACACTGCTCAGCATTATTTTGAATGTGAACCATGTAGAACTGCACTGTATCTTCGCCATACTCCGCAATCAGTGTCTCGATCAGCGAGATTCCTTTCTGGTTTGCTGAGACTTGTGCTCTCAGGTCGTTAATGTTGTCCGCCAAGCAACGGGTGCCGCTACACCCTGGGTACTTCGCAGGCTCCTCGTAGAAGAGCTCAACGACTCGTTTCTCGTTGAACTTGCCGCCACTCACAAGCTTCTCGCTTCTTATGGAAGCACCTTCTTGGTATAGCTCTCGGGAATGAGGTGGCATACTACCTGCACTAATGCCACCAATATCGGCATGGTGAGCACGCGAAGCAGCGTAAAAGAGAATGTTCTCTCCCTTTTCGTCAAACGCAGGCATCAGGAGGGTCACATCTGGAAGATGCGTTCCTCCATACGCAGGATGGTTAGAGATAATGACATCACCTTTCTCCAGCTTCCCCTTCCAAATCTCAGCCTGGCGTCTCACACAAGTTGACATTGAACCAAGATGGACAGGAAGATGAGGAGCATTAGCCACGAGACCTCCTGTAGCGTCGAAAATAGCACATGAAAAGTCAAGTCTTTCCTTGACATTCGTGCTGACACTGGTCTTTTGTAGAGCACGGCCCATTTGTTCAGCAATAGCCATGAACCGATGACCGAAAATGCTGAGCATGATGGGATCAACTTTGCGATCTGCGGATGCCTTAGCAGACCTGAATCTTGTTAGTCTAAACTGAACTGCTGTAATCATAAAAAACTTACTCAGCCTTTGATCCCTCCTTTTCCAAGTTTATTACCACGTGTGTCTTAAGAATGATAGCTGTTGCTTTGGGTGTTACAACAATCGTCTGTGTTCCATCCGCAAGCATAGCCGGTCCAGAGATGGAGTTACCGACCTCGAGGTCCTCAAGCTTATAGATGGGTGTTTCCTTCCTGCCACCCTCAAAGTATACTTGTTGACTGTTAAGCTTCTTCTGGTCGGAAACCTTCTGTTGCTTCAGATCCTTGAGCTGCTTGTCAACTGTGTCATCTTTGTGTCGGAAACTCTTGCCAATACCGCGAACACGAACGTCATCAATGATGATATCTCGTTCGTCCAAGGTGAAGCCAAATTCATAGCGATGCTGCTTCACAAATGCTTGGCCGAAATCCCAATCCTTGCCGGCAAAATGCTCTTTGGCTTCCTCAGGGGTTGGTCTAACAATCATGAGAGCTGATTCCGTGCCACGATATCTCATGTTGAGATACTCCTCGAAGACGATTTCTTCTTCTTGGAATCCTTGGTCCTTGAGAGAGTTTCGTGATTGGCCCTTAAGTTTCTCCATCTTCTTCTTCAGCTCGTTGACTGTTTGATCATCGCCCTTCCATACCAAAGAATCAGGCTCTTGTCGCTCGTCAACAACATCCGCAAGGGCCATTCCGTAGGCCGAAAGGACTGACGAGTATCGATGAACCAAAATCTGTTGCACACCAAGGGACTCTGCAATAGCAACAGCGTGCTGGCCACCTGCACCTCCAAATGTTGCAAGTCGATGCTTTGAGGAGTCGTGGCCCTTGGCTTCGGTGATAGAACGAATAGGCCGAGTCATTGTCTCATTGGCAACGGTCAGAAAGCCATATGCCACTTCATCGACCGAGAGCTTCTTATCATTCTCGAGGTTCACTTGGTCCGCCAGCTCCTGTAGGACCTTTTTACTAGCCTCGATATCCAATCCTTGGTCCTCGTTCTCTCCAAAGATCTTGGGGAAGAATTCAGGAAGCAGGCGTCCGAGAACTAGATTGGCGTCGGTGACTGTGGCCGGCCCTCCCTTGCGGTAACACGCAGGCCCTGGATGAGCACCTGCGGATTCAGGTCCGACGACAAATAGTCCATTTCTGAAAAAGAGGCGAGAGCCACCTCCTGCTGCCACGGTGTTGATATCTAGTTGTGGGGATTGAATGGTAACACCAGCAGTTGTCGTTTCAAAAACATGCTCGTATCTTCCCTCGCCGTATCTGGAAACGTCGGTGCTAGTTCCACCCTGGGAGAGTCAGAGTCACTCCTCGATTGTATCACAAGACTTACCATATCAAATCCGATAACTGGAGTTTTAGTTTCCTCGTCGTAAGAGGTTATCGCATATCCTACGACACCGCCTGCGGGACCGGACAAGATTGCTTTCAGACCAGTGAACTTCTCCACGTCAACTAGACCACCATCACTCTGCATAAATTCACACCTCGCTCCCCTGGCGCCCTTTTCCTCCTTCACACTGCGGCTTCCAAGGCCACCTTCAAACCCAGCCTGGAAACCATCGATGTACTTGCGAATAGCCGGTGTGAGATACGCATCCGCACACACAGATGTAGCTCGTGAGACCAACTTGATCATGGGCATAAGTTCGTGGCTAAGTGAAATATGTTGAAAGCCAATGTCCTTGGCTATGCGGCCAATCAAAGCCTCGTGATCAGGGTAGGTGTAGCCGTGCATCAGACAAACTGCGATGCTGCGAATGCCTTGACCATAAACATCTTCAAGCTTTGACCGGATGTCCTCCTCCTCGGCTCTTTTGAGGATCCTCACTGTCTCACCCGACAAACCGCGAACCAGAGTCTTGCCTTCGGCTTCTTTGGTGCCAGCCTGAGCCTCGGCCTCAGTTTGCGTCCTTTCGGGGTCTTCGGCATAGTCTTCAAGTGTAACTCGTTCATCAATTTCGACAATCTTCTCGTATAGCACATCGGGCTTTCGAATTGCAAGGTCAAAAATCTTTGGCCTCGACTGGTTTCCGATGGTCAAGCAGTCCTTGAAGCCTTTGGTAACAACCATGGCAATTTTCTCTCCCTTTCTTTCAAGCAAGGCATTTGTGGCGACAGTTGTTCCCATTCTGATTGAGTCAATCTGAGAAGTATCCAGAGCTTCACCACGAGGAATATCTCGGCCGAGGAAGTGGCTCATGATACGACGAATACCTTCAAGCGGGGCATCTTTGTAGTTGGCCGGATCCTCGGATAGAAGCTTGATGATGATTTCTTTTCCGTTGCTTTCTCCTACGCAGTCGGTAAAGGTGCCGCCTCTGTCGATGGCAATTCTAATACCGCGTTGATGTGAAATGGCTGTCATGGCGGATATCTTTCGGGGTGTTGATGAGGGGTTACCAGGAGAAATATGATAGAACCATCAAGCGTCAGGATGCTCTAGAAATCTCTGAGAGGATATGGAGAGAAGAAATCTTAGAGTTTAAGGAATTAACTCAAAGACAAGAATCGTGCATCAAGCTTGTGCAAGTTGAGTGAAGGTGCTACAGGGTGACAGACAGTAACAGTGACAGGGCAGGCGACTAGGTACTGATGTCGTCACAACGGCACAACCCCACGTTCCGTGATTGGTAATTGATGGCTTCCTTCACCTGAATAGGAAAGATGGGGGCATTGTTAAATCATGAGATTAGATTGATATTCATGATAAGTAGCGGGAACGTTTTATAATTGTTTACACCATCATGATTTTGTTAGCAGAGGAGGGGATGGGAAACACCAAGAACGTGGCACAAACAGTATACTTCCTTCAAAGGTACATTCAAAGGAAACAACAGCGAATTAAACAATAATGATTTCTTATCTGTATTGCTATCACATCATGAAACCGAGTTCAAATCTGTACTCAATGGAACAAGCAAGAGAAAGAGGTAGAAATGCGATGCGTGTAATTTTGGTCGGCGACAAAATAACAGAGCAATCCCATTACACCAAGCAATTATGAATACATCACAAAAAGTAACACTTGAATATAAACCATCGATTGATGGACGATTGCCGTCAGCAAGACTCGAACTTGCGTTTTCAGTGTTTTCAAGTAACCACAAACTGATGTACTGACCCCTATACGATGACGGCTTCTTTTGTCATGAGGAATTCAGCTGTGAAAGAAGTTAATGAATGCCTGGGTAACATTCTCGTGAAGCTGATGATGAAGAAAAAACAAAAAAGATTTGCCGTCAGCAAGACTCGAACTTGCGTTTTCAGTGCTTCGAAGAGCCACAAACTGATGTACTGACCCCTATACGATGACGGCGTTTTCTGTTTGGAGATATAATCCCTGCCAGTTATTTTGATCTATAAGCATGGCTGGACTGCAGGTATGGACGATATTGTGGCTCAACGCAGCCATATCCTCAACCACAATGCGGAATGATATCCAAGAACGTAAACAGACTAAGCAGTGACAAATAAAGAACACTAAATAATTACACCTCAACCACACCCCAGAGAAAATCGAGCTTAAAGAATGATAAAATATGCACTAGAACCCCAGTGGCCGGGAGTGGCGGCTTCTGACTCGATCTAGCGGCGTGCAAAACCTTCCAAGACATCGGAAACCTTCATACATAATACATAGTTCGTCGGAGAGAAACAAAAAAGAGTTTCACCCCAGCTGAGGTCTATGACAATCTAAATGTCTCTGCCGTTGCATATGCGGGAGCGATCCAGCCGGCGATCCGGGTCCGGCGTGTCCGGAGCTGCACGGGGCAGATTTACCGGAGACATGGGACGCGGAGGACGCCGGATGGCTCGAACGTGTCACGGAATGGGGAGAATATGTGAGCACATGGTGTCGTCTGATGGTGGTTTCTGTATGTCGGTAATGGACGAGGGTCGGCTATTAAATACCCTGCAGCATGTGAAAGTCCTGACTAGGACTTGAATCAACGACCACGACACTCCTAGTCATGGTCGTCCATAATCTTGAGCTTGAAGGCGCGATAGTGTATTTGTGGTCTCAAACCGTCGAGGTATACTACGTAGATCTGTTATTCTGGCGTCATCCCTTCAGTGACAGAGACAATCTATGCCCCACTAACAAGATCAGCATCCAAGTGGGATCTTATTGATTAGTGAGGCTTACCACACTGGACTGACCGAGATTGAGCATTTCCAGGCTATCCACGAAATATCGGTTGGACCTCTCGTCAAGTGATGTATCAAACAATGGCTTCGCTTCCTCCTCCCACCGCCTATTGCTATAAGCGCTTGAACCGACTCTTGTTGATACCCGATAGTCTACTCAAACTGCTGTATCCAGTTGATTCATGTTGCAAGATGCATCAAGGCTAGACCTGACTCGTCCGTTAACACACCCAACACCCCCTGGCTCCCGTCCGGATTGTGCATTGGCTGCCAATGATGCTGTGGCTCGGGTTCCCAACCAGCGCGCGCGAACCTCCCCCATGCTTGTTGGGTCGATCCCCATGCATTAAGGCCATGTTTTTCTTCCCTCCATTGGAATTAAACGATTGGAGATGAGAGACTCTGGAGATGCATGCAGGGTACGGATAAGTAGCGGGCAATTGGCAAGGTACGACAACCCCTTACCTTGATCCATTCTTGGTCTTGGCCAACATCGAGAACGAAGAAAAAATGTCCCACGGCATGGAATCCAGGAAACTTGCCAGGGGCCTACGGGAGTACGGTACAGCAGGTAAGGTGAGGTAACAAGAAGAGTGAAGCACGTCGGCGGCAGACTGTAGCACGTTACGTAGGCCGTGGTAGGCCTAGACCTCGTGGGTACGGGATCTCTCAGCTCTCCCAACAACGCAGGGGACCAGCTCCGTTAGTTAGCTAGCTAGATGCGTGGCTGATGGGCGATGGACACATCTGGAGCGCCAGACGCGGCGATAAGCGTTTGGACATGAGTGATTGAGGGTCGAAGACGAACAATGCAGCAGTGCAATGCGATATGCAATGCAGTATTGAATGAAGCCCGTTCCCCCATTGACACTTGTTTGTTAACTAGCATGTCTCAGCAACGGATGTGTAACAGCTCAAGCAGCAGCGAACGCAAGGATAATAATGATTATTATTATTATGATTATGCAGCAAGACTGAAAGAGATTAACTGGCACCATCTGCCGTCATCGTCGGCCTCAATTGTGTATTTCTTCCTTGTGCCTCGGGAAGGTGAAAAAGAGGACAGCAAGTTTATCATTCGCCCGCCTGATCGACGTCACGCCCTTATTTTTCCTGCTAAGATAAACCCCCCAAGAGGACCCTTTTTCCCTTTCTAAGATGCATCGTTGTCATAGCCAGCCCCACCCATTTCTATCGCCTCCACCGCTTTCGGAGCCTCACGGTGAACCCTTCTTCAGTGCGAGGAACGGGCAGCGAAAGACTTCAGACGGGTTCGGCTTTCGTGGTTGACATTCCAGTTTTCCCCCCGAAACCCAAAACTCAGCGCCTCTTCGGGTAAAAGTGGCCCATAATCAGTCAGCCAGAGAGACGGGAGCTGGGAGATGGGAGACGAAGGGGGGGGGGGGGGGCGGGTGTGTGCTTGTGTGCTTCTACGGGTTTCTGCCGTTGTTGTCTTTGTCATTGTGTTTTCTGTTCCTGTTGCCTGTTACCTGTCGAATTGGAAATACGAATTATCTCGGAAATATGTCTTTGATGGATACTGTCGAGGTGTTTTGTGTAATATCTTGTAATCACGTATGGAGACCAAATCAATCGTGCTTCATTATACATACCCACATGTATGTATGCAGTGCATGTGTAAACAAGCGGGCTGCTCAACGTTGTTGTAAACTTGTATGCTGTAAGATGCAAGGTTGCTTTGGTCCCTTGTATCCGTATATATCAACACGAACATGGATCACTTTATACCGTGTGACAGTAGCTCAGAATGCAGTAGTTACTGTATGCATGGAGCACTCGCTCGCTCATTCACTCAACAAGGTCTTAATAAGGTAAACAACTTTTACCTTACCCTTATTCTAGACCGCACACCTCCCCCCCTGCTCCATGGCCGTGGCCGTGGTGGTGAGAGCGATGAGCTGGAGGCGAACCGACCAGCCGCTGGGCTCCACCAAGACATGATTCATTCATCAGCCGCCTTGGCCTTGTCTTTGCTTTGCCTTGCCATGCCTTGCCTTTGCCTCTCCTTATAAAGACCCCGTCCCATTCCCTCTACTCATTGACACCTTCTCTTTTTGCTTGAAAGTTTCTATCCATCTATCTTTCAGTCACGGTCGTTGTGTGAATCTCCGGTTTCGGTCACTTGCTCTCTACGCATTTCTTAAGGCGCCCTCAGCTGCATCCGACTTCCTTCTCCTACTCCTACTCAACACTCAACTTCTTACCGCTTTCTCGATTCTCACCTACACTCCTCACCGTTACGAGCATATCTCAAACATCGTCGTATTACCCTCAAAAACACCTACTTTCTACCACAAAACACCGACATCATGCCTCCTAAGCGAGTCCGCTGCACTGCTGCTTCATGCCGCGAGCCTGCTCAACGCATTGTCGGCGACTGCACCTTTTGCCAAGGCCACTTCTGCGGCAAGCACCGTCTACTAGAAGACCACAAGTGTACTGGCCTCGAGGACGTAAGTTTGAGCACCATACTATATAGTCGCACACATGGGATACAGACCCGCTAACCCACCTATCCTGCAGTGTAAGAAGCAGTCTCACGAGCGCAACGCTGCACAACTCGAGTCGGAGCGAACCCAAGTTATCCGGGGCGTGTAAAGCGACCAACGAGATTCACCATCTATCTATCTACCTCCCTTTCCCATCCATGGGGGGTTTCGGACTGGAGGTCGGCGTCACTCCTATAGTCCACGATGCGCACTTCTGACGGCCACGACGTAATGAGGTTGGGGTTCCGAGACAGCATCTGCATGAGATGCGTGGCATTATCCGCCGTTGTACATTTCTATTCCTGGTAGTTGAGGGTGCGTTGGCGTACTGGATATCATTTGGGGACATATTTCCCTACTCTAGCGGGGTCTGAATTGATTCATTTATTGCAAACCATACAAACCAAAATGTGTCCCATCCTTTCGAACCGTGCGAAATATTGCGAAATACGACGATCAACAGGCGAACTCAATCGAAAGTTGCGCGCAGAGGCGGTGACATTGCTTGACTCAAAATGGACCGACGATCGGTTGTCTTGGCTTGATTACGTGTTGCTCGAGCCTGGCCTCTAATGCGACTCTAGGCCCGGAGGGAACCTCCAGGACCCTGTCGTGTTTATTTACCGGCTTATCTCCGATATCGTATCGGGCGCATGATTGATCTCGTGAGCATCCGTCGAGACCGGGCGAGTTGGATAGTGCCATCACGGGAGAGCCACCGTCAAAAAGACTAATCATTTTGTTTCGTAGAATAGGGTATCAATGGGGTATTAATGCGTCTGAGGACAGGACACTCTCTTTACTTTTCACAAGCCCAGGCCTAATACACGTGGTCAAATCGTCTCTTGCCAGCGACTCCGATCCTGGGGATATGGGGGTGATTGGGTTGGTTCCGGGGGCGGGGCCGTGGATGGGGGTCAAGGACAGTCAGCTGTCAATTAAAAAGGAACCCATTTATGCAACACCCTCTTCTTTCACTGTGATGTCTGGTGCACCTGCAGGTGCATGTGTAGGTGCAGCCTCCGTTTTGACTGCTGCACCGTTTTGAGCCTCCAACTTTTTCCCTTCCGCTTTGAGTTTACGTCCCGCCGACACCTTTGCTCGATCTGCCGCTTTGCATAGTCCCTCGAGTCCAAGATCGCATTCGCCGCATTTGCGGCCAACTGGGAGGCATACAGACTGGCCCAACCCCACAAGAAGATGGTTGATCTCGTGCCATCGGTCTTGTGGAAGCCACGATTGTAGTGTTGTGCGTGTCTCCTCTGGATTCTTAGTTTTGTGCCAACCCCAGAGGTTCGTGATACGATGGACATGTACATCAACACCAATGCCCAGAGTTTTGCCCCAGGCCACTGACAAGCAGAGGAATGCCATCTTGGGCCCCACGCCCGGTAGCGATACGAGGCCTTCGAGTGTGTCAGGGATGTCGCCGTCCCATTTATCGCGGAGTATCTCAGCCGCTTGCTTGATATACCTAACGCCATGTCAGCCAAATCTCGATCGGTCCAGGGCTCCAGGCACACTGATCGGGCAACACAAACTTTGTTTTGTTGTTGTGAAAGCCCACCGCCCAGATAAACTCGTTCAAAAGTTTGGGGTCGATCGCCAGTATATTATTTAGGTTTAATCCCGGGGGCGCTCCGGGCTCGAACGGTGGCAGCTCAGTTTGCATCTTCCTCATGACAACGGCATTTACCGTGTCTTTAGTTTGACTCGATAGCATGAGCGCTATCAATGTATGGAATCTTTGGTCTTTCGGTGATGCGCTTCGATCTGCCAACCGTTCGCATCCCATGGTGTCAACGGCTGCGCCATGCGCTCGTCCGCCAGGCGCCCGCATCTTTCTCACAGTATCGTAGATGGCCTCCCAATCCGACGGCGGCTCTATCTTTGTTGCACCTGTTGTCGCATCGACGGCTTTGCGGGCGGGTTTGCGAACACGGCGCGCCTTTGCTGGTGGCGATGGAATGCCATCGAGGGCTTCGTCGACCAATTCGGACTTCACGGCTTGGGGAGATGTTGAAACTTCAGTCTTTGCTGTTACTCGTCTTCGCTTCCGAGCAGGGCCTCCAATATCTTCAATATCGCCGAGCGCCGGTTTGGACTCTTCCGGAGAGACAAATGCGAATTTGGCAAGTGCAGATCTAGTAACTCGTCTCGGTGGTGAAGTAGATTCTGTAATGCGATCGAATAGTTTAGAACTATCCTTTGATATCCGCGATGAGCGCATCTTGTCGATTGTCCAATATTCCAATTGTTGAAACTGGTTCAATTTATTTCAGTCGCGTCTCGTCATGGAACCCCTTAGGCAAATGACATTCAGCTAATTACTAAAGTCTCCACTCTAGCGAATCGGCGGACAGAGTGGAGATACCCCGGATTTCAGTCTGGACGAGTTGATTCTTAGTACGCTATCATGGAAGCAATAGTAGCCTGTTAGCTACAGATACAATTTGGACCATCCCAGTTAAATACTATGCTTGTGGTGAATATGAAGTCCACCATTCAGTAAGTTGTTTCTACTAGGACGGGAATTGAACATCAATCTCAATCGATTGCTCCGGTCAAACAACATGGCCATCAGGGTTCTATACTACCGTCCGTGTATGGAGATACTATTAACAAACGGGTAGAAATGGGGCCCTGTTACCTGGCTGCACTCATCAATTGCGAGTATTGAACGATACAAGCAGAAAGTTGCTTTTAATATGAGCTTATTTTCAGCTGTTCGTGTTTCTCCCAATGAGATTGTGTCACTCAAGCCCATACAAAGTCCAGCCTAAGTCCAGCCTCACCCAAACCCTCAGGTGAATATCAGTGGAGTGATAGGTACGCATCATGACTAACACTGTATCAATTACGCAGGGCAATTGTTGAACTGTCTATCAAGGTACCCAGTTCTAATACGTATTAAAGACAGATACCCATCATAAAAAAAAGCATTTTTGTCATTCAACATAAATTTTGATTATTGTTCATCTATACTACATTTTGGGTCATTAAATCTTGGGCTCGGTCTTTTGCATATCGACAACAGCACGGATGCAGTCACCCTGCTTCATTGTCTCAAAGGCGCTGTTGATCTCGCCAAGGTTGTTGCGGTGTGTGATGAACTCATCAACCTTGAGGTCGCCCTTTTTGTAATCGGCGACGAGGTCGTTCAGCTGAGAGCGGCCCTTGACACCACCGAAAGCACATCCTCTCCACACTCGGCCAGTAACAAGCTGGAATGCTATACAAACAGTCAGTAATGGATTTCTCGAGGACTTGGTGTTCAACTTACGTCGAGTAGAAATCTCTTGGCCAGCGGCAGCAACACCGATGACGATGCTCTCACCCCAACCCTTGTGGCAAGCCTCGAGGGCAGCACGCATGACACCGACGTTGCCAGTGCAGTCGAAGGTGTAGTCGCAGCCGCCATCAGTCATCTCAATAAGCTTGTCCTGGATGGACTGGTCACCAAGCTCGGTGGGGTTGACAAAGTGAGTAGCACCAAACTTATCACCCCAAGCCTTCTTGGACGGGTTGACATCGACAACGATGATCTTGCCAGCCTTGCGGGCGGCAGCACCCTGAACGACGGAGAGTCCGACACAGCCGGCACCGAAGACGGCAATGTTGTCACCCTCCTGAACGTTGGCGGTGATGGTAGCAGCACCGTAACCGGTGGTGATACCGCAGCCAAGCAGGCAGGTTCGGTCCATAGGAGCATCGTGCTCAATGGCAACGACGGAGATGTCGGCAACGACAGTGTACTGGGAGAAGGTGGAGCAGCCCATGAAGTGAAGCAGATCCTTGCCCTTGGCCTTGAATCGAGAGGTGCCGTCGGGCATCAGACCCTTGCCTTGGGTGGCTCGAATCTTGCCACAGAGGTTGGTCTTTCCGGACTTGCAGAACTTGCACTCCTTACATTCGGGTGTGCTGTTGGAAATCGTATTAGCTTATGCGACAATGCCATAGATTGGTGTTAAGACGTACTAGAGAGCGACGACGTGGTCGCCAGGCTTGACGTTGGTGACACCGTCACCAACAGACTCGACGATACCAGCACCCTCGTGTCCAAGGACAATGGGGAAAGCACCCTCAGGGTCCTTTCCAGAGAGAGTGTAGGCATCTAGAAAAGCATCAGCCATGCGCTCATGAGCCTTTCTCACGGCTGATAGCTATGAGAGCTCGATGACGTGGGGGAGCATACCTGTGTGACAAACACCAGTGTAGTAAATCTGGATACGGACCTCGTTGGCCTTGGGAGGAGCAACCTCAATGTCCTCAATGGACAGAGGCTTGCCGGCCTCCCAGGCGACAGCGGCCTTACAGGTGATGGTCTGGCTATGGCATCAGCAGGATGCTCTCTTGAAGCTCCTCATCGGCAGCGGGGCATTGAGACGATGAGGGGTAGTAGAAGCTCGTGAGTACGACATACCTTTCCTACAGTTGACATTATGTTTGTATGGAGAATGAAAGAATGAGTAGTATGTTAGACAAACAATCTGAGGGGTTGATGGGCTGTCAGAGGTTAAATGGAAGGTCGCCCGCTTTGACGAAGCTGTTTGTTTATGTACGTAGCACGCATAGAATCAGTAGGAAACCCCGTCCACAACTGCCAGATCCCGATCACCGAGCAACTCCGGCGAGTCGCAATGTACCCCGCAATTGGAGCTCAAATCCACAATTCACACCCTGAGATAGGAAACCTGATGCGGCTTCGGGAGCGCAATCCGTGTTCATTGGGCGTTGGGCGCATCTCTGACACTGTTTTACGTGAGAACATTGCGCGGAAAGGTTGGCCCAGCGTGCCAAGGCGGCGAGGCGTTGGTGTGAAGGGCTCAAAGGTGCATTTGCCCAGAGATAGCCAAACCGCCCCAAAGACGGATTGAAAGGATACTGAGGAGACGCAAAAAACACAAAAGCGGGGGTCTCTCATCACTTCTTCGGCAGATGAGACCGATCTGGCCGACGGCCGTGGATGAGAAGCCGACTAGTGAGTGACTCAAGGTCCAAGGACGATTGCGAGAGTCTTTCACGGGGTCGGAAGGCGTTCCGTACAACGCCGTGCCCACATTGGATAAGCTTTTTATTAACGGCCGTGAATGTCTTTGAAGTTACGGTTTAAGTATGTCCAGTTCCGAGCCTCTCAATGAACAACATAAGATAGACCTCCAGACGTTCACAATTGCTGGAATCAATACAGAGCCTTCAAATACTCAGAGCGGGTAAGCTAACCCCACCGTCGATAGCACTCTCTCATAGAGATCCCGGCCCAGCTATCACGGAGTTGACATCGAGAGAATCACTGTGGTTGCTGTGGTATTAGTTACTAAAAATTACTCCATGTTGACGCTTATCAACCCAAACCAAGTCCTTTGCTTATATCGATGTTACGAACGTCATCCATGATCACTGCCCCCAAAATCAAGCAAGGCCAGTAATTTCGGATACCTCAGACGACGTGTAGTAGAAGTTTTGTTTTGCGATGTGAAGATAACCATGATTCTTTTGTCAAAAGTACGAAAGAATTGGTTGTTTAGTATCTTTCTTAGCACGTAGGTAGAACCCAATGCTAGCCCGTGCATAGATCGCGTGTCGGATAAACTGCGGTTGGCTGGTGTTACCCATCGTGATAGCTCCAAAAATTATCCCAAGCGCGTTCAGCTTGAGCAAACTGGAGCTTGTAAATCAACATCACATCAACAATTACCCTCCATCCCATCGCGCAACACCAGCATCGTATGCGAAAACAGCACAAATATAATTGGAAATAGTGACGAAGCTTGCTGTATCGACGCGCCGACTCGGCCATCCCGAATTCGAGGCTTGAGAAGCTCTCGACCTAGCTCTTCTGCATCATGGCGCATCGATTTATTGTTGACTCCAGCCCGCCTGGTAGTCCAGCGCCAGCAACCCCAGATAAGGGTGGGCGTGGTCATGGTTTCTCTTTTCTCGCCGAAAATCCTTCAACAACACCAGCTGGGCCACCGCCGCCGTCTTCAGCCGCCTCCTTCACACCTGCTGGCGCACCCTCTGTTTCGTACATGGGAAGCTCCTTGCTGCATGGAATGACCGACACCAAGCCCCTCAGCTTTGGAGTATCCAACAATGCCAATTTGGGAAAGAACCCTTTCGGCAACACAAATGCCCCGAACAACCCGCTCGGTCGGTCGATAAGAGGAAGACAGCCTTCAGGATTGAGTAGACAGTTTAGCGCCGCCGATGAAGAAGAGGAGGAGGACGATGACCAAGACCAGATGGAACTTCCACCTCCTAGAGGTAGCCTTTTTCGCATGTCAGCTATCCCCGATGAGCGCGACGAAGATGACGAAGTTGATGCCGAGATCGAACGATACATCGACCAAGACATTGGTCGCCACGTTCGAGAGGAGGAAGAAGAGTACGAGGAAGATGAGCATGTTTTTGACCGCGAAACCTCGGACGAGCCTGATATGTTCCTTAACATGAGACATGACGATCGAGCTTATGGCCAGCCAATGATTGGCGACGAGTCCGATCTCTTGATGCTCAACACACCAGCAGCGACAAAACGAGTGCGTAGAGAAGCTGAAAGCATTTTCAGACAAACTTCAGCCCACCTTGGTGTGTCAGGCCGCCAGGAGGGTTTCCAATTCGCATCTATCGCCAAGAACATGTACAACCAACAAGAGCCTGCAACAATTGTCGAGCCCGCAGATATGATTATTGATACCGAGGAGCTTGTATGTCGACTTTACGAGGACGGAGTTGGACCGGAAGAAGATATTGAAAAGCTGGACAACTCTTTGTCTAACATCACATTCCGCCTCACAGAACTATGGAACAGAACCGTAGATGGTCTACCACAGCCCGAGGGAGAGGATTTCGCATCAGTTGGTCCCGGAATGAATGCCGAGGCATTTGAAAAGGCTGCCTATGTCGCACAACTAATACTACGCATGCATCACACTCGATTCGACACCAATACCGACGAAGAGAAAACACCACCTCTGCCCGAGATCCTGTTCGACTGGATGCAAACCAGTCATAACCTCTACCCTGATCAAGTGCGCGAGATCAGCCGCCATAGCCCTAGCCCTGCGTGCCACACCATGTTCTGGCAGACCGTTCGATGCTCTTTGCTTCGTGGAGATGTCAGCAGTGCATCCCATTTGTTGAAGGAGGCTGGTTGGGAGAACGTTCGTCGAGGACCCCGAGGCGACTACGCCTACACTGGCAAGGCTCTTGAGAATGTGCGACGGTTTGCCGCTGCTGTGTGTGAAGTTCTGGACCAAAGCCCTGCCGCGAGATCGGAATGGGAGATTTGGAACAGCAACTGGACACTTTTCCGAATCCAAGCTCGCGGCTCTCTCAACCGAATGGCTTTGTTTGCCGAAGGAAAGGAGCAGGATGTACAAAATCTGCTAGACGATGACTTCGCTCCCCCACAATCGCTCTCCACAATGGCCCGAAAAGCGTCGAGCCAGATTCCTTGGGATATCTACGAAAACCTGCAGACAGTATACGGTATTATACTAGGAAACCATGAAGCGATTATGGAAGTAGCCCAGGATTGGTGCGAAGCAACAGTAGGTCTCTTTGGATGGTGGGATGATGGAAATCAACGCCACAAGGCGCTCAGACTCTCACAATCACAAGCCCTACGAGCATCATCGCGTTTCGCTGGCTCAGAAGATTACTTTGATCGACTAGCGACCGCCTTCCACATGGCCATCGAATCAGACCTCCACCCTAATGTCATGAATCCTGTGGAGGTCGCAGTAGCCTCTGCCTTCGAGGGTAACGTTAATGCCGTGCTGGGATTCTTGAGAATATGGTCATTGCCTCTGGCATGTACTGTTGCAGAGATCGCATCCCTTGGCGAGTGGCTACCTGCTCCTGACGCCTACGCCCTCTTGCCCACTGATAGTCTCGATATGGATGATCTTGCGCTATTGGGTGTGAGTCAACCAGGACCTGATGAAATGGAAGGCATCAAAGACACAACCCTTGTCCTGTACGCTAGAGAACTGGCAGGCATAGAACAACTGTCACCCGAGCGCGATGGCTGGGAAATGGCCATTCAAGTATTGGGCCGAATGGATTCACCCGAGAAGTCTGAGGAGACCGTTGGGGAGCTTCTCCGTGACCTTCTTGCTACTTTAGACGAGAACTCGGGTCGAACTGTGGATAAGATTTGGGCGATACTGAACGATCTCGGCATGATTAACTTCGCCGAAGAGACAGCAGAGGTATGGAATTCGAGTACATGACAAAGAGCTAAGCTAACTTGGAACAGACATTCGCAGAGATCCTTTCCAAAGAGTCTCATCGCTACGGCGAGGCCCTTTGGTACTATGCACTCTCTCACCGACCAGATAAGGTCCGTGAAGTGCTGAATCTACTCATGTCTTACTCCCTTGTCCAATCTACAATTTATCCTGCCGAGAAGGATCTTGATCAAGAGCTGAATGATTTGCTGCGAAAGCGAACAGAGACGCTTGAGAAGCGAGCCAAACAGGATCTGGAGGCAGCTCAACTACTTGGTCGTATGCTAAGTGGTTACGCCACGCTACGCAAATTTTACGAGCTACGAGATGCTGAAGATTTGGATAACATGTCCCCCACAAAGGCGCTCAAGTTCAAAAAGCAAGCAGCTTCCGCACTTGTGGCTGTCATTTCCAGTTCCGATGACAATATCCGTGGCGGGCTATACGATGATACCCGAGATGCAGTTGTGAGTGAAGATTTCTTACTGGCCCTACTAGGAGAGGCTACCGTCTTCATCAACCAGTCGCCGGCTGTCGTCACACTATCACAAATCGATACTCTACTCAAGGCCATTGAAGACATACAAACGGTTGGTGGCCGAGTCTACTCAGCATGCGATGACTTCTTCAATCTTGTCTTGGCATCTGCACAGGGACTGAAGGGTTCTTCACCACAAGATCTCATGGCCAAGTCAACAGCTTCTCTGGGCGGGAGCTATGTGATGACCGGAAGCTCTGTGTTGGTAAACCACCTTCACAAATCCATTTCAGCTGGAGCAAAGGTCAACAGGGGATGGGACTGGAGGAAGGGCTGGCTCGCTACAAGCAAGGGCGATGACGTTCTTCGGAAATTACGATTGGGACTGGCAAAGGATTTGGCGGCGCTATGGCTGGAAGACGCCGACGGAGTCGTTGCGTACTAGAAGGCATGTATTTGAACAAGAATGACGGTCGATTGTTTTGATAGAGGAGAGGAGGTTGTTCAGGGCGAACGTATGGCGCTCTTTGGTAATATAAGCAATGAGCAAACTGTAATTAATGGTGTAAACTTCTAAAAATAACGAGATCTGAATGTTTGATGATACAAACTTTTACTGTTAAAGCGTTAGTTTATCCGGAGGTTTATAGCTTCACGCTCCTATGCTCCGGCCGGTTTTCGGATGTGGGAGATCCACATCCCCGGATCTGAGTTTCACACACCAATCGGCTGCCGTCAATTACAATTGACTCAAAAATTCGGCCCCGACCTCGCCCCCACCAAAACTTAACTTAGGGAATAACATATTCTTCACCAAGAGGACGGAAAAGAGTTCATCTTTCATCGTCACCGTGTATAGTCCAACATGGTTTCAATGGAGGTCGCCAACCGCTCTGGCGGTGCCATGACGGTAAGTAACGAACTAAACCCTATTTCTACATCAATTGCATCTAGTAGTGAAGAACCATGCTCCAATCGATATTTAGGTTGAACCTGAATGAAGACATGCAGTTCTTGCCCCTACATGGATGCTATTTACGATATATATACCGTTGCGCCCTGTCACCACTTTCAATCTACAAGACAGAAGGCTAAGAGAGGAGAAACACCATGACTAACTCTACATCGTGTCTAGCAACTCTTGCGACGCACCGGTCCCAATGCCATTCGATCAACTATCGTTCTCCCCTCCAACAAGACCTCTAGGAGAAACTTCTCTACCGCCAAGTCTCTTCCTCCTACCTACGAGAAACTCTACACCAAGTACACCGATGTGCGCCGAGTTCTCGGAAAGCAGCGCCTGACCCTTGCCGAGAAAATCCTTTACAGCCATCTCGACAATCCCGAGGATTCTCTGCTCAACAACACCGACAATGGACGTAACATCCGTGGCAAAGCCAACCTGCGCCTCAACCCCGACCGTGTCAACATGCAGGACGCTTCTGCCCAGATGGCCATTCTTCAGTTCATGTCCTGCAACCTCGCCAAGCCTGCTATTCCCGCAAGCATCCACTGTGATCACTTGATTGTTGGCTCAAAGGGTGCTGCCGATGATCTGTCGGCTGGTATCGAGACGAACAAGGAGGTGTTTGACTTCCTCGAGTCTGCGGCGCGTAAGTACGGAATGGACTTTTGGCCTCCTGGTGCTGGTATCATTCACCAGACTGTTCTTGAGAACTATGCTCTTCCTGGACTGATGATGCTTGGTACCGATTCTCACAGCCCCAACGCCGGTGGTCTATCTACTATCACCATCGGTGTTGGTGGTGCTGATGCTGTCGAGGCTCTTGTTGGCGCTCCTTGGGAACTCAAGGCCCCCAAGGTTCTCGGTGTGAACCTAGTTGGCAAGCTGAGCAACTGGGCTTCTCCCAAGGATGTCATTCTGCGTCTTGCTGGCCACCTTACTGTTCGTGGCGGTACTGGTTCTATCATTGAGTACTTTGGTGAGGGTGTCGATAGCCTTAGCGCAACTGGCATGGCTACTATTTGCAACATGGGGTAAGTTTGACCCCCAAAGAGAAGACTCCGGCCATTTCAATACTAATTTGTTATTCAGAGCGGAAGTCGGCGCGACTACATCCATCTTCCCCTACACCCAAGCCTCGGCTCGATACCTTGACTCAACTAGGCGATCTCAGGCAAACAAGAACATCGAGGCCCTTGAGAGCTTCGCCAGTAACAGTTCAGACCCCGATGCTCGATGGCAATTCAAGGCGGACGAGGGCGCTGAATACGACGATCTTATCACCATTGATCTTTCAACCCTTGAGCCTCACATCAACGGACCCTTCACTCCCGATCTGGCTACCCCTCTATCCAAGTTCAAGGACGTCGTTAAGGAACAGGAATGGCCCCAGCTTCTCTCCGCTGGTCTCATTGGCAGCTGCACCAACAGCTCCTACGAGGATATGACCCGAGTGGAGAGCTTGCTAAAGGACGCAAAGAAGGCTGGTCTTAAGCCTGCTGCGGACTTCTACATCACCCCTGGCAGTGAGCAGATCCGTGCCACTCTTGAGCGTGACGGCACCCTCCAGACCTTCGAGGAGGCTGGTGGCATTGTTCTGTCTAACGCCTGTGGTCCTTGTATCGGTCAGTGGAAGCGACATGATGGTGTCGAGAAGGGAACCAGTAATGCTATCCTGACTTCGTATAACCGAAACTTCCGTGGCCGTAATGATGGTAACCCTGATACTATGAACTTCCTCGCCTCCCCTGAGATCGTTACCGCCATGGCCTTTGCCGGATCTACCACCTTCAACCCCATGACCGACAGCATCAAGACTCCTGATGGCAAGGACTTCAAGTTCTCGCCTCCCCACGGTCTCGAGGGTCCACAGACTCCTTTCGAGTCTGGCAACGCCGAGTTGGGCGTCCTATCACAGGCTCCGGACTCTAACACCAAGATCGCCATCTCTCCTACTTCCGAGCGTCTGGCGTTCCTCGACCCTTTCCCCGCCTTCCCCTCTTCAGACCTTTCTGGCCTTCGCGTCCTCGTCAAGGTCACCGGCAAGTGTACCACCGACACCATCTCCGCCGCTGGTCCCTGGCTTAAGTACAAGGGCCATCTGCCCAACATCAGCACCAACACCCTCAACACCGCCATCAACAAGGAGACCGGCGAGGTCAACGCCGCCTACGATCTTGATGGTTCCAAGCACACTATCCCCGAGCTCGGACAGCTCTGGAAGGACCGTGGCCAGGAGTGGCTTGTCGTTGCTGAGCACAACTACGGTGAAGGTTCAGCTCGTGAGCACGCTGCTCTGCAGCCTCGTTACCTTGGCGCTCGCGTTGTCCTTACCAAGTCATTTGCCCGTATCCACGAGACCAACCTCAAGAAGCAAGGTGTTGTGCCACTGACCTTCGAGAACGAGGCTGACTACGACAAGATCGCTGCGGGCGATGAGGTTGCTACCGTTGGTCTTTACGAGATGCTTCAGAACGGTGGTAAGGGCGATGTGCAACTCCGTGTTACCAAGACCTCCGGTGAAGAGGTGCTCATCCCTACTAAGCACGCCGTAACTAAGGACCAGGCCGGCTTCATCCTCGCTGGCAGCGCCCTTAATCTGCTATCCAAGGGTATATGAACAGAGTCTCAGTTCGTATCATTATCGTTTGGTCGAATTTCTGCCATGTCATAAAGAGAGAAACCGGAAATGTATGCGGAATGAGGGGGAAAAGGGGCGTTTTTGGAAGGGTGAAAATGTCCGAGCGATAGATTGTATATACCAGTAATACCACTTGTTTTTGTCCTCTCGCAATATCTGCAACCTTAGATGAGCGAAACGCACAAAGCGTGCGATTTGTGTCCTTTCTTCATATTATAGGATGGCAAATTTAATGCTAAGGTAGAATTCCCCAAGTTTGATGATGCCTTCACTGGTCTGTTCAAGCAAGAGTTTATCCCTGGCATCGAATTTAATGCTTCATTTGTGTTGCAAATGACAATGGTATCTTTCGCCTATATACGCCTAATGCAATCCTCATAAACCAAGAGACTCCTCTGTAATGCTCCGTTTCATCATATGAATTCATCAAGTATCAACAACGTTAACGTCGACTAAAGTTTTCCTTGAAAAAAAGTTCAGCCTCCTTCTTGGATCTGTCAACCCGACGCTGACGCAAAGCTGCCTTTTCCTCACACTCTCGATGCCAAGCGCAGGCCTTGAGCCATGCAGGATTCTCTTGGACATATGCAGGAAGTTCTTCCTCAGGCACATCCCCAAAATCAAGGATCCGCTTGACACTCCGTGGCTCCGGAGGCTTGTACGGAGGTGCAGTTCCAGTCAGCTGAGCCTGTTGACGCTCCTTCTCCAGCTTCATTTCCACTGACTGCAGCCAGCGTTTCCTCGCCATAACCTTGCCGAACCATGCTTTTCTGCCTGGTCGTTTTCTAATTTCCTCGCATTTCTTTTTGTACCAGACACGAGATCGATTATGCATTCCGTGGATTGCCGGGTTTACGGGGAGAAAAACTCGTTCGCCTGCGTATACAGCCAGCCCGCGCTGGTATGCATGAGAAGATATAAGGACGGTGATAGGCGGACGTAGCTTAGATTGTCGATAAATGAAGGAATCGAACGCATCCGAATCAAAATTGGCCAATACTCTTTTCCTGCGAGCTTCTACCTTGGCTCGGAAGGAGGATATTGGTTCAGTCGGTGATACAAATTCTTCGTCCGAAATGTCACTAACATCGGCCATATTCACCTCGTCGTCATCTGTGACGTTCAATTCGGATGGTATGTCTTTCGACAACTGGCTTTTATCCGGCGTCCCACTGCTCATTCCATAAGCCGGAGATTTGGCATTGGTCATGGGATGGTGTATTGAACTGGGCGGTTTGATAGCATGCTCAGATTGGTTCAATAAATCTGGCGGTTGTGGCTTCAACAACCTAGAAGATTTTGGAATGACACTGTCTTCGGAATCAAGTAGCTTGGATTTCACAGATGTGTCGGAAGGAACTTTCGGCTGCAGAGGACGTGGCGAAAGCTTCGGCATATTGATCCGTCTGGGTATCGGAACGCCTTTAGAGTCGTCTGAACTTCTCAAGGTTAAGTTTGTGCTTGGCATGTTCCGCGTGGTCATTTCATTTGTCTGCTCAGTCATCTTTGAATTTCCCGCAGGTGATATTCCTGTTTCTGGTCTCATGTTCGCAACAGGAGGCTGTTTATGCTTGGCCAGAACGGTTTCGCCTGGCTCATCCACAGTCTCTTCGGTTGCAGTTTGCAGATTTATACTCGGTTGCTTTGGCATGCGCAGTGTAGACGTTGACTTTACCTGACTAGAAGTAGCACATTTTTCAGCCCTCGTCGTATGTTTGGCTTGCTTGGTCTGTGGCGACTTGCGCGTCCGTTCCACATCAGCAGCATTCTGCACATTTCTCCATTGCAGACGAGAAGGAGCCGTTTCTGCTACGCTGATGGGGTCTTTTTGCGCAGGGGGTTGGCCAACATCTCTTCTACCATCTGCTTTTTCAACTGGCGAGTGCGTTATGCGAGCGCTGGTGCCTGTACTTGAGGCTTCACGAGATGGCGGATCTAAGTTCTGAATTCGGGGATTGGGAGTAAACATCAAGCGGCCTCGAGCCCTCCTAGCGACGAAACCTCGACCGGAAAGTCTAGATGCCCTGGGAGGGCTCGTGAGAGAGGGACCATGATTGGGTGTGGGCTTCTGTGGCTCGAGATGCACATGCTCTGTGCAGTATTTTGAATCAGAGAACAGAACAAGGTTACCACATTCAGGAGCTGCGCAGCTTCCTCCTATATGAGTAGAAGAACCCATCGAGTACGTATTCTAAGCCGCGAAACTGATCAACCACATGCAGAGTTTCGCGACTATGAATCATGGGACTCATCGGCAAAAGGTGGTCTAAGAGTTGTGTAAGCGAATGAATATATTGCAATATGCGGACAAGCAAGAATTGAAGAAAGGGTCGAGTCAGATCTTTTCAGTTTTGAGTGGCCATCAAACTGGGCACCTCGGCGGCTGCACCATCTCTATTCTGACCCGTCATGCTGCAGTGATAAAGCTGCTGTCTGTCGCGGCCTTTGGTCGAGATCCGTGGCAGAAACGAGGAAGAGGACTCCATGTTGCGACGGAGGAAACTCTGATGTAACCGGCCTCAGCACTCTACGAACAAAGTAAGAATATAAGAGAGCTTTGAGCTTGAGGCACGATATGGAATGGCAAAGTTGATTGAAGCAACAATGCCATGGACAGAGTAAGAGAAAAGATGGCGCAACCAGAAGGGTTCCGTTCGGTCAGACCTTTTACCATGGGCATCATTCGACAGGTGGAGGAGAGAGTAGAGTAGGCAATAGGAAACTGTTCCGACGTACCGATGTCAATGACCAGCCGGGGATTATTTGTTGCACCCGGGTATATGCTGTACTCTGAAATGAAGATACAGGTAGTTGCTGTTCTGTATGTACTGTATACCTTAATATGTATGGATGGATGGATGCAGGATGACAGGTAGCGTGTTGGGGAAAACTGCTTGAGCAGACAAGAGAAATCAGTGCTTGTCAGCAATGGTTGCTAGGGAAGTCGCGTCAAGCATGGGCTCCTGCAGGTTTTTGGGTAAAGGCGCCTGGCTCTTTCTTTGCACCGGTCAGAAAACAACGGAGGCAGCATTAAGAGGATGTAAGAGAAAGAGCCAGCGGGGGAATCCCTAGCCGCCAGAGGCAGAGGCGTAGGTATGGTTGGTTGTGTTTGTTGGTTCCGTGTCTTTCATGACGGGCTACTGGTGGCGCGCTATTGGTCCAAGCGCCTGAGGATGATGGGAAGGGATGGAATGGATAGTGACGGACAGCACCTCCTTCCCGTTTCTGTTCAGAGTTACAGAGGCGAATGCACTGGAAGAGTAATTGTTCCGCCCCGACTAGATCGGTCCCGTCGCCTAACCTTCCAAAGCTTAGCCCTGCTGGTAAGCGTCAGATCCTCAACGACGTCTTATTCAAATGAAGATTAAATCAACGACAATTTTGTGATGGCATACCCATGACGTGAATATATTCAATAGTCAGGGGCACTAAAGAGGAGAACTGTCATGCACGACAGTTAGAATCTCACGACACGTTGCCCCAGAAACGCATTTCTTATCCTACCTACATCCGATTGGGCACAAGTCGCTCTATTGAGATACCAACTCGATTCATTATCACAGCCTGATATCAATCTTAGCCATGTCATTGATACAAGCAAGGCTCTGATCAGTATTTAAGTGATACGTGAAGCTAAATAAGAATGAGCCTATCATGGAAGTGGTGCACAGCTATCTTCAGCCCAACTTGGATTTGGGCCTTATGGAGTAAGGCATTGCTTTCGCATGCTGCTGTCTAGATCCAAAATGATATTTTAACTTATTTTGCCCATATGTTGACCAGATGGGATGTTTTATTACACAATGAACTATAAATTTTGGTCGCTAGGTTCAACGTGTATGGTTGGTCCCCTTGTAGTGTCGAAGTCTGCATGTTATAAACGAAACCTCACTTTTACCATATCAAATAAGCCATACTAGCAGCGACAGGATTGTCCTCAATGTACTCGCCGTCATATCAGCAACCAAGTAACAAGTTATTTGTGAGGTCACACCGACTCTACAAATATATTAATGGATTAACTTACCCAACTAACTAGCTGAGAGCCCCTCCATTCCCTATAGTACTTACCTCCTTAGTACCTACCTGGGTAGTAGGAAGCCTGCCCAGCCTCTAGACTCATCAGGCGCTAGCGCGGGGGATGGAACTCTAGCTCCCTGACGTACAGCGCCAGTAACCACGTTGCGCCTCTTGAACTCAAGATATTTATCTACAGGCAGCAATCTTTTTGTTCATTTATAAGTCGACCCGCGACACTCTTGGGAACCGATTTCTTGTTTTCTGTCTTCCTCACCATTGCGCTACTGGTATGAACTTTCTCAAGTCTGCCGTGGCATCGGCCATCGCACAAGGTCCTCCGTTTCCATACAACTTCGGCGACAAGGTTGATATCGACGAATCTATCTGGACTTTATACAACGGCACCAAGAGGGTAAGATCGATTACATGAACTGGTATATAAAATTTTACTAAAACTACCGAATAGGAAGATGGCTCCAACTGCAGCATCTTTTCCTTCGACATCACCGCGAACCGATCCCAGCTCCCCCTAGCCAAGAATGCTCTGAAGAAGCTTCGAACACTACGACACCCAGGCGTAATCAAGGTCCTAGATGCGGTCGAGGTACATTTACCACCCACAATTATGCACGGAGCATTACGCTGATAGTGCCTACCAGACGGAAACGTATATCTACATTGCGACCGAGCGAGTGGTGCCCCTGCGATGGCACGTTCGAAGAAAGAGCCTGAGCCCCGAGACCATAAAATGGGGTTTACATAGCATTACGGTACGATTTGCAATATCATCAAACGTTGGTTTGCGTCCTAACTGTTTTGCAGCGCACCATAAAGTTCATTAACGAAGATGCGTCCTCCATTCACGGTAGCATTAAAGTCGGGTCGATTTATACATCAGAGAGCGGCGAGTGGAAAATGGGTGGTTTTGACGTTCTGAGCAGCCTCAAAGACGACGAATCAATCATTTATGTGAGGATCATGCGACAAAACGAAAACCTCAAGCTAACAGTTGTGTAGACATACGGTAGCTTAGTGCCCGATGCAGGACGATACACTCCTCCTGAGTTAGCACGGGGCGGATGGGATGTTATCAAAAAGAATCCACATACGGCAGTCGACGCATTCAATCTTGGAACACTGATCTATGAGGTCTTCAACGGCGACTACAATGGAACTGATCAGGCTGGTCAGACCAAGAGCATCCCCCCTTCAATGCAATCTAGCTACAAACGCCTATGCAACGGCAACCCCAAGGCTCGTATTAGTGTGGGAGCTTTTCTCGACCAGGGCAACAGAAGCGGATCTTTCTTCGACAGTTCACTCATCAAACTGACTGAAGGTATCGATAATCTCGATATCAAGACTCCTGATGAACGAGAAGAATTTTTAGCGTATGTCTTCAAAACATACACGGGGTTCGATTTGCTAACACTGGAACAGCGGATTGGACGAACTGAGTGACGACTTTCCAGAAGAGTTCTTCAAGTTGAAGGTGATGCCTGAGTTAATGAAGTCTGCTGAGTTTGGTGGTGGAGGACCCAGAGCTGTGTCCGTAGTGCTGAAGATCGCATCCAAACTCCCCCAGGAAGATTTTGACTCCAAGATCTCTCCTTTCATCATCCGTCTTTTCGGAAACCCGGATCGAGCGATCCGGGTTTGCTTGCTGGACAGTCTTCCTCTGATGATTGACCAACTATCACAAAAGATCGTCAACGATAAGATTTTCCCTCAACTGGTATGACCCTCATGAGGACCATTTGAGCAAAACTAACACTCATAGATCACTGGCTTCACCGACGTAACACCGGTAGTGCGAGAGCAGACCCTCAAGTCTGTGCTGGTCATTATCACCAAGCTCTCAGATCGCACAATCAATGGTGATCTGCTCAAGCAGCTCGCAAGAACCGCAAACGATGAGCAGCCAGGGATTCGCACAAATACGACTATCTGCTTAGGAAAGATTGCCAAACACCTCGGTACCTCGTCCCGTTCAAAGGTCCTTATCGCTGCCTTTACAAGGTCGCTCAGGGATCCTTTCGTTCATGCCAGAAATGCCTCCCTGATGGCTTTGGGTGCTACCGCAGAATACTTTACCGACGAGGACAGCGCTTGCAGGATTATTCCAGTGGTTTCCCCAGCCTTAATCGACAAGGAGAAGATCATTCGTGACTCCGCTACTCGAACCATGGAGGTTTATCTCCAAAGAATCAAAAAGGCAGCTGCTTCTATGCCTGATAGTGTTCTGCCTCCTCCACAAACTACTGATGGATCAGCCCCACGGATGAGCACTCCCCAGCCGAACGAGAATACTGGAGGTGGTTGGGCAGGATGGGCAATCTCGTCTTTCACCAATAAAATATCCGCGGCTGCAGGCGAAATCCACGCAGAGTCAGATTCGCGTGCTGCTTCGCCGGCACCTGCCCCTTCACCTGGCTCTGAGCCAAAGAAGCCACTAACCAGTACCGCCTCGTCTCTTCACCGTCAAGCAGTCAAGTCACCCCCGGCGACCCTATCGCGGAACTCTTCGCATACAGCAAGTCTGGTGGCTGACTCATTCATGCCCAACGAAGATAACGACGATGCTGGGGATTCGTGGGGCGACATGAACGACGACTTTGACAGCTTTGACTCCCCTGCGCAATCTTCAAATCAACCTGCAACTACGACAGCATCTGCCGCTCCCTTCGAGGATGGAGAACCCGACTTTGCTGGCTGGCTGGCTGCCCAATCCCAGAAGAAGCCTACCAAGTCCTTACCCAAGGGCTTGTCGAAGGCTTCGGCAGCCAAGAAACCCGCCGCTAAACCGGCAGCTAAACCAGTTGCTGCGAAGAAACTTGATATGAAGCCGAAGGATACAGACGATGATGATGGCTGGGGTGATGGCTGGTAATTATTGACTCGAAACTCGGCAGGTTTCGGGTAGGCGCGTTCATGAAATGCCCGTTTTGCCATAATCGTCACTTAGTTTGCTTGAGGAACAGGATACCATCCTCAAGCACTATAGTAGCATATTGATAGAGGCTTATACATAATCTATTCATTGATTTTATATCCCAAGCATAGCTATATAATACATATACACAGGTCTTGATTGGAATACGACATTGGGTCAACGGGCTTACATTGCAGGCCAGGAGCATTTGTGTGACTAACTTTGATAAAGTTCTCGTTTTGCTCCGTAACATCACAATCGGCCGTGGAATACTAGATAAGACAATACTTAAATAAGATCTTGTATCAAATTTGGAGACGATATTATCAATGGCAGTGGCTTTTGAATCCAACTCACAACATCAATTGGTCTTTTACACCTCCGATTGCCATCACTCACCTCGGTGAGTGATAAGCCCCGCTAGGCTCACCTTGATTTTGATTTTTCCCCACCACACCCATTCCCATCCTCCTTCAACTTCTCTTCTCAAACCTTTCCTCACAACCACCACGAAACACCCCAAACTCAATATCCCTCTCACGCAATGGCCCAAGGCACAGTCAAGAAGCTCGGGCGACCAACCCCCGCCAAGATCACCCACTCCAAGCGCCAAGCCTCAAAGGTGCACAAGCCCAAGACAACAAAGGCCAGCATCGACAAGGTGCACAAGAAGTTCACAAGTGGCTTGACGGCGCGCACGGAGGCGCTCCTCGGCGAGCGTGCTGGACATCTCGAGCTACTCGGACAGAAGAAGAAGAAGGCCGACCAGAAGAAGGACGGCAAGAGACCCGACAAGAGGACGACGATCAAGGGTGGATCGAAGAAATTTGGTTAAGATGGATCATGGAGAGGAATATCCGGGGCGGCGGGACAACGACGACGATCGATTTTTCTGGGAGTTCGATTTCTATTATTCAATACGCAAATACGCAGCGACGATGGCCTTGACAGCTAGGGCATAAACACCAAATCTGCCCTTTTTCCTTCCGGCGAGGAGTGGCCGAGTGGGATTCTACCTAAAACCTATGAACCTAAAACTCTCCAATCCGCTCCTAATAACTCTCTCCCTGCTCGGCCACTCTTCGTCTTTTTGGTGGTCAGGAGTTCGAAACCGGCCTATGCATTTTCACTTTTTTGGGATCTGCTGCAGCAATATGCTGGCAGTACATACACCCGGTATATACCAAAAGTTGCTTCCCTACTCGATGAAGAGTGGCCGAGTGGTATTCAACTTGACCTAAAATCTCTTCAGGCCGCTCATAATATACATCTCTCTCGCCCGGCCACTCGTCATTTTTGCAGTTCACTAGTCCGAGAACTGCAGTTGCAACAATTCAATCTTCTTAGAGTCCTCACAAACAGGCAGTACAGTCATGTATACCGATTTTACAAACTTGACCAACGACGAGTGGTCGAGTGGGATAACCGTCCTAATTACTGATGAATTTCAAACCCTTCAAATCTACCCCTATCACTTCTCTCAAACTGCTCCCAACTCTTCTTCTTTTTGGCTATGACTCCGTAAATTTGATAATATTTTACGACTATCTCACTATGATTATGAACATCATGGTCAACTCGACGCTGTCTGGCAATATTAACGGTAAATCTATATCTATGTGCTATCATAACTCAGCAGCACGACTCCTCCACTCTAGATTCTCTTAACAGTTCTCAATATCGAACTCTTTGCCCTCGGCCACATGGGTCAGAATAGAAGTCACCACCTTGAAGTCCTTGGCAACATCCACCATCCAGTTAGATATAGCCACGCGCACAGCCTTCTCGCCCTTCCAGCTCGTGCCGCTCACATACATCTGTCTCGTCTCGTTGATCTTCTGGACCAACTCATCGTTCAACTTAGGGTCCTTGGCACGGAACAAGACAATCATGAAAACCTCATCCAAGCCAGCTCCATCGTCAGGGAGCAGGTCATAGTGCTCCGAGTCCCGGAGGAAAGCAGCCACTTGACGGGATAAGGCGGTCACGTTACCTAACAGGTTCGCCATTCCTGGCCGGCCTTCACTAAGGAGTACGGCGTATGCTGGAAGGGCTCGGAATCGACGTGAGTTTTCGAGGCCGATGTTTAAAGGCGAGGGGATGGTGGATACACCGCCCGAGGAGAGATACGCGGCATTAGGGTTGGTAAAGACGGACTGTAGAATAGCAGGCGATCGGGTAAAGAACATGCCACAGTCGTAAGGCTACAATCAAGTCAGTTACCCATCGACAGAGGTATCATGGGTCGGTAGGGAGCGAAATGCTCACAACATTGAGAAGCTTGTGTCCATCAACAGTAATACTGTCAGCCAACTCAAGACCCTCCACGCGCTTGTGAAGAGTCTTGTATTCATCTTCCTCGGGAAGAACACGGGCAAAAATGCCAAAGGCTGAGTGTGTCAGTATAAAACTCCATCATTCCACTTCATCTTTGAGCCTTACCTCCATCAACGTGGATCCATGCTCCATACTTGTCCGCCAACTCCCTGACTCTTCGCATCTCTTCAACGCCCGTCAAAGAAAATCGACCTGTGTTGACTTCTCCAGCGCTCAAAGCAATCACACTCGCCGTGTCTTTCTTCTGGAGTTCTCTTTCCAGAGCATCGATGTCCAACCTCCATGGCTCACTGTCGCTTAGTCTCAGCTCCTTCACACATGCTCGTCCGAAGCCGACTACACTGGCTGCCTTGGACAAAGAGCTGTGGCCTGCGCTCGTGAGGACTTGGAGCTCCTTGACACCGGCTGAGAGACACGCTGCCAACAATCCAACCTCGCCAATGCTCTGTCCTCGCTTCTCCAGAACGGCTTCCCTGCCACAAGCGAGTCCAAGCACATTGCTGCTCGTAGCTCCAGTCGTGAAAGTCCGACCTTTCCAACCCCCCAGCTTCAGCAGCGAAACGAGCATCTCCAACGCCGAATCCTCCAGCGTCGTAGCGATAGTCTGCGCGGGCAGATGGACCTGAACATTCTGGTCCAGGCGAGTGACTACATTATCCGCCCACTCAGCGATAGGGAGCGTACCACCCGTGACGAATCCATAGTAGCGGGATGAGCTGCCCTGGCCGTTACACGCAGGAACAACGTCCTGAATGATGTGACGCACAACATCTTCCTGTGCGACACCTTGAAGATAACTGTCCGAATCGGGATGCGGAAGCTTGGCTTCGGCGGCTTGAATGGCCGAGAGCTCTGGGAGGGTGGGCGCCGGAGCGGAGCCGGCTTCGGCCCCGTGGCGGCGGGAGAGACGAGTCCGTTGAAGGTCGAGGTTGAATAAGTCACTCATTTTTGCCAAGAAGTTGATGGTTTGAAGTTGCTACTATCGATTGAGGCCTCCCTTTATACTTCTTTGGTTAAGGATTAGTAGCTCAGAGCTCAAAGAGGCTGTTCCGCCGTTCACATAAGCCGCTCCCCACTCATCTTTGCCGCTTAAGCCGCAAAGGATTCGCAGGATTGATTGATCCATAGCGTAAATGTGTTGCTATCGTATATCTCGTCTGCGATACTGTTTCGGGAAGGCGTACACTACTACAGATAGAATAATGATTATAGCTAACCACTATCTATGGCGACTCAGGTGAATACAATGAGACGTGTTCGCGTAATTCCCATGTTTCATTGCAAATTGAAGGTTCGTTTGTTATGAAAATTGGGTGTGTCGACTGGCTCGAGTCAGTCACTACCTGCTCTAGATTGGGATCCTCCCGAAACCAGATGCCAACCAAATATGTATATATTCCAATCCAAAATATGGTATACGCCATGCCAAAATCAAAACCAAGATGTAGTGATATCCTGTACCTATAAAGAATCGCTCCTTGCTCGAACCCTGTGAGGCTTCTGCTCCTTGTTGATTCCGCTATAGCTTAGCGCTCTCGCCAACAGCGCCAATCTTGAGATCCTTGCCGTACTTCTTCAGCACGTCTTCACTGTGGTACTTCCAGAAAGCCTTGGTGGCGTTCTTTCCGGACCAGCGCTTTAGGATCTTGGCACCTCCAGGGTGCTCATCGATGAACTCTGCGGTATGTATCAGCATGCTGTGAGATTCGAGGTCAGGTGGACGCTGCATCGCACTTGTTACGTCGTAAACGTCATTCTCGACAATGAGCCAGAAGCCGTTGGCCTCATCCTTGTGCTTTTGCACTTCAGCGGTAGTATATGTCTCGGGCATGGTGATAGCGAGTATAGATATTTATATGAGAAGAAGTGAGAGTGTAAATAAACAGAATCAAAGTTGTCAAAGCTGGGGAAAGAAACAAGGAGTTCTCTCCGTGGTCCCGTCGGCAGGTGGGGGGTGACTTGCCTCGGTCCACGGTCACGAGCTGCACTTTCCCCGGGGAACTGGGGAAGCGCGCTAGGGAGCGACTAAGCGAGCGAAGTTGCACCTATCACAGGGAGGCGATTGTTAACTGACGTATGGGCTCCAGAAGGGCAATGATTCAATTTACGTATACATTGATCTATTCAAATTACCTGGAGTTTGATACTGGGAGACTCACTAGCTTAGATGGGACATTTCTGCAGTTAGGTGTAGTTGCTCTTTCGTTGAAACCAATGAGAAGCAGTGATTGGGAGTGCCTAGGTAATTAAGACATGCAAGATGCTCACAGCAAGGATGCATACAAACAAATTGTATATACTTGGTATAGAAACTTGTGCATCTATATATCAGAGCTGAGCAATGCTTGCTGAGATCAATATCAAAACCCAACGCCTTTAGATCAATGCCACTCTCATCCAAACCCAAGAGACTCTTATGCTAGATCTTCTCTATCTCTTTCTCTTTCTCTAACCCGAATCTCATTATATTATGCAGGGTTGATGCGCGCACTTTATATCATCATACAACAACGTGTGTAGCTCTTCTTCGGATCGCTTCTCGGAACCGGTCCGCAAATGCTGCTGTTCCTTTGCAGTCGCTCTCGGACTGCTTCTCCATAGCCTGTGGCATCCACTCGCTAATTTTCGTAATACGATTCTCGTTCTGTCCAACCGTCAGTCGGATCTATCTTCACATCGTCTGTAGGGAAAACTTACCGAGGGATGGGTGCTCAGCATCTCCGGGGCTTCTTGTCCGCTGGCGTGCTGGAGAGCGTCCATGCGTTGCCAAAAATCCAGCGCTGCTCGTGGGTCGTAGCATGCTTCGGCCATCATCATGAGGCCGATGTAGTCGGCTTCGCTTTCTTGCTTGCGGCCCATGGGGAGATAGAAGAGCAGGTCTTGAAGATAATATCCTCCCACGACGTTCCAGAGCCCGAAGAGTGCGAGACCGGGTAATGCTCCAGCTAGGAAGAACAAGCTTCCTGCTGTCAGGTTGCCTACCCATGCAGCGGAAAGGCGCTCCGAGGCGTGTGAAGCTGTGTTATGTGCGATTTCGTGTCCCAACACTGCAGCAAGGGCGTCTTCGCTACGGCATACGTTGAGGATACCGCTATGCACAAACACCTTTCCTCCTGGAAGAACAAAGGCATTTGCTGTACCTAATACCCACAACTGTCAGCAATTCAACCACAGGCACTGCGCAACGCAGATAACGTACGGCTATCAGCTATCACGAAGATCTCCCAGTTGAGGTCCGTCATGCCGCTCACGGGAATAAGCCGCTTCATAACCCTCCTGACCAATATCGTCCTCGGATCCCATTCCGATAAGAAGTGACCACCCTGCGCCCTAACCTGCTCTATGATCTGTGATGCCGCCTTTGAATGGGCGCGTGCGACCATAGAATCGGAAAGAAAGTTGAACCGTCGTCTACCTGTTACGGGCACCGTCTGAGAGTTGTAGAAATAGAAGCCAATGGCAGCAACGACGGTCGCTATCACGGTGAGACGCGAGTTGCGGCTACTGCCCGCTTGTGTGAACCTGCGCGCGGCTGTATGAGGCACGAGCGGTCGCGCAGCCTGCAGCCGCTCTTGTATATCTTGTTCGGAATTCCGTTGCAGGCGAGAGCGGCATCGTGAGAAGAGTCTGTGGCGGGAGACGGAGGGCGTGGCAGTACGTGAGATTAGGAGAACGGCTGGGCGGTTCATATGTAGCGTCGACCGTTGGAGTAAACGAGGGGCAGACATTATCGGAGCTGGCGGCCGAGCGATTCGGTCAATTATCGACGATCAATTGCGTTAACTGTAGCGCTATAACGACAATTGGGGACGAATGACCGAAGCGCAAGCGAACCAAGAGCTTGGTGATTGTGTGCTTGGTTGTGTCTCGTGATAGTTTTTGGTGTTTTGGTTGAGCTCCATCGTTTGCGTCATGGGTTGCATCTCCCCACTATCGTGAACTGTCAGGGACCATCATCCAGGCGGCTTTGCCCGCTAAGGCTTAGCAACTTCAAGCGCTGATTTAACTTACCCTGCAGACGGACTAAACCTCCACTCATGCACATCGCCAGTATCGCTAGAAAGGATGAAATGTGTTTTCTACCCTTAAATGTTGCATTTTTACATAGAATTCCTGGTTTAAACCAAACTTCTTCATAGATAAGCATGGTTCACTTGACTGATAAGAGTGTCGGTGTTTGAAGGTTGATGCCAAGATAGTGCCACGAACTGGATCTAAATGACGAACTGATTCCCTGTCACAAAACCACAGCTGACTATAATCTTATGAGTTCATTGCGACATAAGATGCTTCATCGCTAATAATCATCATGTTTCCTTCTCCCCAAATACCATCCGGAACCTACGGGACTGGCCTGACCACCACGCAATGGAGTGCATTCACCACTAGTTAATAACTCACCCTAGGGCAACCCTAATACCATCTCAAGGGTCTTATCGCTATACGCCAGCACAAACTTCAATGGCTAAATCCTATCCTTTGATCACTCTTAGTCTGTCATATCAGCTTCGGAGTTTGGACCCAGCTTACACCGTCTTCTCGTGTAAACACCATACTAGCTTCTTTGAGCAGTCTCTGAATCCTTAGGTCTCTCCCAGGAGGGTGTTATTCTACAGCCTTTATCGTAACACCTAGTCGAATGATATTCAATAGCCGACCCTGAATCACTCACTGTACACACTTCACCACGTAAGCTTGAGTCGAAGTTCGCTTATCAACCTCTCTTTCTCACACACTCTGCGAGTGTATATAAGCATATTACCACATCCGCCCACGCCAGATTCAAGCAGTCCTCTGCTACTGAGTTTTCAAACAGTTCACCGTTCGGTATCAACCACAAGATGGGTGAACTAATCGAAAGCGAGCCTGATCTGGCCGCTATCAAGCCTTCGTTCACTTCCTCATCTGAGCCTGAGAACCCCCGATCAAAGTCCCTTATCGAAGCACTCTCCCTAGAGCTTCATATCGAAGGTGGTTACTTCCGCCAAACGGACGCAAATCCCATCACCATACCTTCAACCTATTCAGAAGAAGCACTGTCAGACCAAACCCTCGCACTTTCTGGTCCTACACGTGAGGGATACAGGGCTGAAACCCGACGACTCTCAACCACCATCTTTTACCTCCTTACACCACGTCAACCTCAAGGCAACTTCCATCGCAATCGCAGCCGTGTCATACATACACTGCACCGTGGCCGCGGTCGCTATGTCCTCATCCACCCAGATGGTCGTGTCGAGTCTTTCATTGTAGGAAACGCAGTCGAGCGCGGCGAACGCATACAATGGGTCGTCGAGGGTGATATCTGGAAGGCAAGCTATCTGCTTCCTAACGTTTTTGGTAGTGGACAGGAGTCGGATGGGGGAGAGCCTGAGGGTCTGCTCATCTCAGAGACAGTTGTCCCTGGGTTTGAGTACCATGATCATGCATTCCTCACCCAGCAAGGTTTCAGAGAACTGCTCAAGGAAGATCAAGTGCGTGAATTGGAATGGCTTGTAAGGAGGTCAGATCAAAGACACGATGTAGATGAGCCTGTGGTGTCTGCTGAGTCATGAGGCAATCGGGCCAACCAGCTCGACACAATGTCGCAGTGAGATGAAGAATCATAACCTTCATCGCATACTGACCAAACCAACATCTCGAACCATGATATTGATGGTAATATGTAGAAAATTCTAAACGCAATGCATTATTCTATCGTATGTGTCGTGTCAACATTACTCGGGTATCATAGATATGAGTGAACAGTTCATCCCACTGCCGTCCCAGACATATTCACTTCTTTTCTTCATTCCCCATAGATGCCAATTACGCCTAGTATAGGCTCCGTTTCATACCCCAGTCCCATGGAGGAGACGACATGATCGAATTCCATCCTTTTCTTTTTCATGTAAATGATGCTCTCGGAACATCTCTCTCACCAGGAAATGGCTTCCGGCCTATGATGACATGTATGGGTATGTAAGCATGGATCCTCGTATCGATGAGCTCCCGTCGGACATCCACAAGTTGTAACTAGGAGAGTTTGTGAGTTGAAGTTGATAGATAGAAGTTAATCTTTAGTACTCACCTCGGTTTGCGCAGGACTTCTGTCATAAGCGCGATTGAATAGTGTGAAGGAGAAGCCGCTGAGACCCATCAGGAAATTTCTCTCCCACATGCGACCAAGCTCCTTCAAACGTTCGTCCTTCGGCCAACCGTTCATAGGCATTTTGAAGATACGCTCTTGTACATCAACGAACCCCGCCTGGACGTATGCATCACGGACTTGTGCAGCAACGTTAGCTGGCCGGCCCATAATTTCCGAAGCTTCGTTGATTTCGCGAAACCACGTCGCCAGAGGTCCATTCAAGGGGAGACTTTCGTCATCAGACATTATAATAGCATCATACTCCTGCGACTCGAACCAGCCTCCTGGTCTTAGTGTTATCAAAGCTTGATCTGCGATCTGTTCCTTAAAACTGGCCCAGCAGCCGGAGGTGACCCGGGTGTGAATATAATCAAAAGGTTCTGAGTAATCCCATGGTTCAGAACTAGAGAAAGAGTTAGTATTAACGATACGTTTTTGGGCTTACATCAACATACGAGTCCTCAACGTAAAAGTTGACATTCGGTGGTACATTCCGAGGTTGTATTGGTGAAAGGTCGGTAGCGATGACTTCAGTCTCTGGAAACAGGTCTCCCATTTTGATAGCCCAATCACCAGTGCCAGTCGCTATGTCAAGCATGTTTATGGGCGGTACTCTTTTTGATAGCGGAGCAAAGAAGAGACGTCCCCCAAAGAGTTTCACCAAAGCTCTGTTCTGCAACGTCAGACGTTCGCGCTCTAGTTGATCGTTGGGAAATGCATATGCTGGGAGGGCAACGTCAGTGACAGAAAGTTGGGTCACAGGCAGATTGAGCTTACAACCAGCCCGATACGCGTGATAGGTGCGCCCGAATTCCTCGGGAAAATCTTGTACGCTATCTGTTAGAGATTCGGAGTCTCTGGTTCTTACTGTCAGCTGAACCTGAAGTAGCAAATACTCAGTTCGGGTTCTATAACTTACATGCCCTGCGCATTCGGCTACACAACGTCAGTAAACTTCTGGGTTGAAACAAGGACAGCACATACATCAGGCTCAATAAAACTGTTTCCCCCGGAATTGGACGCTGAGCAGTTGAAGGTGAATTGAAAATGGTTGACACTAGAAGGTGATGAACTTGGTAGACTGTCATAGCTAGGCGACTGAGCTGGTTGTCTAGCCATCACGGCGGGCGCCATAAGATGTTCACAATGCTGTGCAAGGAGCAGAATAAAGCGACAAGTAGGGGCGAAGCATCCGACGAGAGTGAAGAGACCGACTCTGAGGTAGAATTAGGAGAATGAAGTAAAACAACCCCACGTTGGAGCGAGTAATGGCGTCTGCCAAACTAGGAAGAGGGCGAGACAATGAGACTTTTGGTGGCAAACGACCCACAGGCTGGTGATCAGAAAGAATTACTTGTCGAATGGATTCCAAAGTCCTTATGTTCTATGGCGGGTAAGAGATCGAGAAGATGTGTTGCTTAGAATCGGTTTCCAAATGCAGCAAAGTAAATAGGATTTGCGTGTGGGCGGCTATGGCAAACAGAAAAGGCGAGGTGAGTTTCGACAAGGAGGTATCGGTGGTGGTGGTGGTTCTGGTAATAGTGCTTGTGTCGCCAAGCGTACAAGATTAATGAGGGGAAGACGATCAACGCTGGAATGGCATCTTATGGGAAAACGCCTAGAGCGGCATCAAGAACAATTAAAATAGCCGCGAGGTCAGGAGAAGAGTGGGAGCTAAAGTGGGAAAGTCGGGAAAATAGAAGCTAGATATGAAAATGGAGAAGGGCGAGAAGCTTGAATAGAATCCCCGCTCTCTTTGGAAACACCACAAGGATGAAAGCCAAACCTAGAAGAGCACAGTAGAGTCGGCCCAGGGAAAAGCAAAGGGAAGGGAAGGGAAGCGACTCAGCGACCCAGACACCGGGTGCGACTGAGGCTGGGACAAGTGGATGTGGTCAGGGTGACCAAAGGGGATCAAGCGACCCGAGACCAAGAGAGGATCAAAGGTTCCAATGCAAAGGTAAGGGACAGACAGACAGACCGACCAGTTCAGTCCATCATGACCACAACCAGGAGGGGTCGGGACAAGGAGCAGAAGGGGACCCAGCAGCTTGGGACGGGTATCTAGCTCTCGGCTCTCTTGGCAAAGCCACAAAATGAACTGCAAGTGGAACAGGCGCTTGTTGTTGAGGTAGGATTGGTATTGGGTGTTTGACCAGTTGGCAGTAAGTGGTGTGTCGGCTACCCCAGTCTAGAGCGCCGGAACGAGAAGCGACCCATTCAGTCGGGAACAAGTCGTGGTACCGGAACCTCAAAAGTACGGTGGCAGTGACATTGACAGCGACCATGGCAGATGAAGGAGCCGTATGCGTGCATACCATCACACCATCTTGTATAAAGATGTACCGGGAGGTGCAGTCTCAAGCTGGCGAGGTATCCGCCAAGCTGATGTGCATATTGAGCTGCGGAGTGATAGCGGTCGAGGTATGAGGATATGATAGGTATGCTACATATGCATTGTTGTGGCTGCCCGCTAGAGACAAACACGCATACACGATTCCCTTATTAGCTCCTTTGATATGTCCCGACAAAGTTGTGTGGTCACAATTGGCAACTCGTGTATGAGATAACAATGCGAGTGAAGCATAATAAAAACCAAAGCAACGTTTTGAACCAGGACGAAAGCGACGGTTTAGCTGGCGGCTACCAGACGCTTTCGTGCGGGCTCTGAGGTTTCTGCATTAGCGCGGTCTCGAGTTATGCAAGACGGAAACGCTATTGGATATGGTGGTTCCTTTCCCATTGACCTGGGACTTCTGTAACTATAATTTCTGCTTTCGTTAGCAAACTAAAAAAATAAAAATAAATTCTCGTTGCTATCCTGGTCCTCGTCCACAGACCCTAGGATGGTCCCAGCTACATGGTGGACTATCAAGTTCGAATCCGCCAACACACACAACTGGAATAGAAATCCGATGGCCTGGGTCGGACAAGGTGTAACCAACCGACTTCCCGAGGGCTCGGGCACGCATGCTTGTCTGTGCTTTCATAGGTAGTTTTGTGAAATCAAGCCAAAGCCGTCATGCGCCGGCGTAAAGTCTTGTAAAAAGGAGCTCTGAAGCGCTGTTCGTGGCTTGAATTTCAGGCTATCGAGGGAATAGAAGGCGTCCGCGTGGTTCACAGGGCGCCATTCACGGCGACTATTCGTTGCGGTCAGTACTCCGTATAACTTTGGATGTTAAGTCGGTATCCGCGCTCCAGCCTGTGGGGGACTAAGAGAACTGTGGCTCGCGGGAGATTGCGCAGCGAGGTCTTAGCCGCCGCGTCGAGGGAAACCGAAAAGTCGGGTCCGAGTGAGGGTATGATTTGCATGATTGATGTGCTATGATATACCATGTGGATGTGTTAAGAGAGATGAATACCTGTCGGTAATTACCTACGTTAGAGTTTACGGAGTACCGAGTAGGAGATTAGAGATGGGGAAGGTTCGCACAGAAGCTTCCATTTGACGGAGGAAGGGATGACGCGCCTACCAACCACGATAGCACCTGCCGTTAACCGATATACGACCTGAGCTATAAGCTGCGTCTGCCGCAACCTCCCCAGCAGGTTGGTAACTTAGTACTAAGGAAGGTAGCCGTACTAAGGTACTGACCTGTACTCCGTATGTACTGTAGCATCGACGGATAACGCTTTGATAGAATGTGAAAATAGAGTCTACGCTACGGATATGGTACTCCATTCTCAAACATCCATGCCAGGAAAGACTTCCATCATTAATAAAATAAAATAAATCTGTCGCCGAGAAAACAACAATTATTTCCTTCGTATCCATACTGCGAGGACAAACAATTACGTATAATAACATTTCTTCATCATGGAAATTAGAAATCTACGGATAGCTCAACACTATTCTCCAACTCTGAAACACCCGGAAACTCAATCTCTCTCCCGCCTTTCAAGGAGAAGCAGAAACAAAGTCAAACGCCATCAACTATGTAGTCTAATTCTTGGGGATATTACAGGCTGACTTCCAGTTTCTTGGGAAGTATTGACATAATGTGCTTGCTAGCATCGCCGCTATCGCCCCGTCCCGCGTCTCACGTCAATTCTAGCTGCAGCATTTAACGTTAAGTCGGAAGTCAGAAGCCTCGTAGCCTCGCCATGATAAACTCAATTGCATGTGTTTCGGCATATTTTATCACCAGATGATTCCCTGGCGCATTCGCCCATACGGAACACTATCCGTAGTTCTTTCTGATGGTGTTAATCAACCCTGACATGTCAACTTGTTTAACCCTCCCGGTCCTTGTCAGCTGTCAAAAAGTAACCGTGGCCCGGGATATATACTTTGGCCGATCTCTCGGCACTGATTATTACACCTGTAATAAGCCTCTCCTCCAGTCTATGAAGCAAGCTTGGGTTGAAGCGGGTTAGGAAAGGACCCTTGTCTCGTAAACATTTCCTTCTTGGGTACTCCGTGTGAAATTCCCACTCTTGTTGACCGTTTCTGGTTCCATCTGGATAGAGATCCATTAACATGATGATAATGAGGCTGCAATTCGTCCGTGTGGTGCTTCTCTACCCATAACCCGGTATAACTGACAAGTGTAGGTAGGACAAGGGTGTGGAGAGGGGAGAGGGGTGATCCGCCCGCTTGGGTCTCTCCTCTCACCTACACTCTCACAACTCTGTCAGTTGTTATGCGCTATGCGTAATGTAAATAATGTTCTGACTTCTGACTCAAGTATATACAGCTGACGTGGGACCTATTGTCGACTTGAGCAAGTATCTCGCTGATCCGGTAGACCTATTTGCCTCTTAGATCTACTATATCACCTTACAAAAGCCGACTTCGCTGTTAGCTATCATCTGGATAATGTTACCCGACAAATCGGAACGTCCTCGGAGCCTCACTGAACCAGACACGTCACATTATTCCCTCTATCCGTGCCATGGACCAGATCTTGACCTGAACTGCTACCTTGGGGGCCTCATTCACCACCTGGCCGGGTGCTTGAAAAAGCCTGGATATCGGAGTGATCCGTCCAAACCTACAGTCTCATTTCCGTTCTTCAATATCCGAGACGCTTTCGCATTAATAATTAACCTGCCTTATTTAGCCTAGAGATTCAGTATCCGTGCTGGAATCACTATCATGGCCTATATATATGTCTTGACTTCATATGATAGCAGCATGTCTCATCCAACTCCCAACTCACATGCCAGGCTACTCCCGGTATTGGAAATTAAATCAGCCTAATCATTTTCAAAACACGGCGGGAATTATTGAAGCAAGGAGGCCATATCCGAATCGAAGCCCTGCTCGACTCCAAAAGTGACCTACCTAACCTTTTCACGATCCAATGCAAAGCCGTTTCCCATCATCCACCCCCAGCCATACTTCATATTTATTGACCACCATAGCAAAACCCTACCAGGTATCATCCCCACATGGCCTGAATATGTTATATCCCGGTATATTCTCAGCTCTCACATGCTCAATGTGAGACATCTAAGCCAACTCATGCGTTTCCATGGGGGAACTAACGCTTTCAATACTCCCCATATCCAATGCATGTCTTTCAGCCATTCACCAACTCTCCTAACGCACATATTCCCCCCTCAGCCTACTTCGCTTACACAACCCCGATCATTTGCGGTATGCATGTTTCACTGCGTGCATAGTGGTAACATGATGTGCTGCAGTGCCACCCATCGGCTCCATACTGCAGGTAAGCATTGTTTACCGGTAACTCTGGATGTTGATCCCAACACATTGTCCAGGCAGTCAGTGAACACGCTGCGCTGCAAAGCAATGCACTGCTGCAGATTATCACAAAGGCACAGCTGATCTCACCAAAAACTGAAGAATGTAGCAAAAGACAACATAGCATAATTGTCACTTTGCACTAGATCGCTTCGTTCAATTGCTCTTTCACAAGACTCCATTGACCCTTTTATCTAAAATATATCCAAACTTGAAACTAGCAAATCTACATGATCGGCGTGCCCTCCTACTCCTGCGGGGGTATAAGTCATCTCATCTAATTTACCATCAATTAGTTACAAAGAAAATTAATTCATGTTCCCCCAAGAGAGGACATTGCAAGTCATTACTCTCATAACAGGCCTAATCCCTTAGAAATCGCTACCCGGAAAGGGGCTGGCTATCCCACTACCGGGCACGCTGTCGTTACTCAGGTATGTCTGATCGATTCGGAAGATCCAGTCCATCTTGTCTCGTTCGCTTCTTGCCGCGAATAGCCAGGTGTTGTCTGTTCCGTAAATGGCAAACACTGCCGACTGCATCCGCTCTGGCAGGCGTTGGAGACCGGATCCCCCTGCTGAGGCGGTACCTCCATTGCCTGTCCAGATTGTAGAAATAACACGGCCTGACGAGGTTCGTCGATGTCCTGGTGTGAAGTCTGGGCCGCCTTCCTGCCCATTTTGCCCTTGGGCTCCTGAGTCCCCGGCTCCTTGAAGCAAGCCCAGCACACCAGGTTGACTGTCAATGCGAGAGTTGCGCAGACTTATCAGTCCAACCTCGTCGCCATCAGTAGCAGAATGCAAATGGAGATACGGCCTTCTTAACTCAACAAATCTCTTGACCCAGCGGGTTGAGTCGCTGTTGGGAATCATCAAATAGCCACCCTTGAGCACTTTAGGGTTCTTCGGTACCCGGATGACTGTCGCGACAAGTGTCGGTTGTGCTGGAGCGTCGGACATCAGTCCGTCAGATGGCGGTGCCATGTTTGTCGAGCTGAGGATGTTATCTGAAGGGTCGGGGTATTTCTTCCAAAGTTTCAGACATTTTGTCAAGAGATCCGTCTGCCCTTCGTCATAATCAGGCTTAGGCGGCAGCTCCTCCACTGTGATAGGTTCATCCTCTTCAACCTCTGTAGTCTCAGGTGTTTCGGAGAACGCTTCATCTGTGTCCTGCCTACTAGGCTCTTCCTTATCTGTATCCTCTTTGACATCGCCAACCTCAAGCTCTGGTGTTTCGGGCAGCTCAGCATCGGGCTGATCCGTCTCGGATTCTTGGGCCTCTTCAGATAACTCAGTCGAGGGTTCATCACTTGTAAGTGGTTCTTCATCATCAGTCTGAGAAGTTTCGGGCGTATCATTGAGCAAATCATCATCACTCGGGATAATCGGCTTGAGTTCTGGAGACGGTTCAGGCTCCGGCTCATTCTTGTCAGATATGGTGTTGGTTCCATCCAAACCGAGCTTGGCTAGGACAGCTTCGGTGACAGTGATATCTGCAGCCCGTTTCTTCTTCTTGCGAGCCACGAGGAAGTCGTTGACCAACGACACCCCTCGAGGTGTCCAGCTTGTGAGGTTTTCTTCACCCTTGACGTAGTCATGTTGACTATTCAATCTCCACAAGTCACCGATTTTCTTGACAGGAGCAGGACGCATGGCAAGTGTGAAGATGCCAGTGGAGGAGCGCACAAAACGGACGTTCTGCCACAATGCCGAAAACATTGAAGTTTGGCGCACGAAAGTCCTTGACAAGATCTGCACGCAAACCTTTTGCGAGAACTTCATCGGCTCAGCCAGCTTCTCAGAGCTGATCTCCCATGATATCGTCATTTGGACACGGTACTTGTCCTGTGTAACCCGATCAAGGAGTAGCGAATTGTGCAAGCTAGAATCCCACTGAGCATATATCGTGAGACTTTTCGTACCGTTGGCATTCTCGCGAAATATTGGACTTTGTGAAAGTTTCAAAGAAATATCAGGCTCGGTGGCACCCATGTCAGGTGTCTTTCCGGCCGAGTCAACAAACCTAACCTTACCCACGCGGACAGCAGCGACGCCATCCCATGGAAGAGCATCACCAGAGCTGTGGGAGATATTGATTCCAATTCTTCTCTGCAAGCCTTGGTGAAGCTGAAAGGTTCCGGTGTCGAGTTCGCTGATTTGTGTAACTTCCACAGCGCCATACTCGCCATTCTCATTCAACTCCATGATTTGAAGTCGGGAGAGTAAGTCATGCTTCTCCTGAGTGAAGAACTGTGATTCATGGATTCGTGAAGCTTTAGCTTTGTCTTCTCTAATGGGTACCGCATCTCTCATGTCATCCCAACTGAGCAGCTTATCGAGATGCATTGTTGATACCTTTGCGAAAATGGCGACTCTCAAAGTGACATCTTGGGGCGCAAACAAGGGAATGCTCATGCTATGAACACTCTCAAAGCGAATAGGGCCCTCATCAAAATCTTTGATCATTTGAGTCGTGGTGATGCCATCCTCTTCAGAGATGCCAGGGATGAAGAGCTGTGCATGTACCTCGGTGCCTTCTCGCTCAGCAAACCCCACAAGTTCATGCATGACGACATTAAATTTGACAGTGTTTGTTGGTGCACGAGCATGCGATGGTTCAAGAGAGAGTTTTATGATGCCAACAACATGTGACGTGTAAGGAGATAGCACATCGAGTATAGAATCTTGGACTCGACACTCGAAAACGGCTTTTAGTGGCACATCAACCTCGCCCACCAGCGTATACGATGGCATACACGTCTCAACAAACGGATTGTCCAGACTGAGGTGCTGTGCATATTCTGGCTGGTCGAGATACTGATGCATCTGCCGCATCTGCCGTACGCGATCATGAAGCTTCTCCAAACTCCACAAATGAACCACGCTATGCTTGAAGTCAACCACACGGACGCCGATACACGGCTTGTGGGCTTCCTCCAATGCAACATCATCTCCTTCGCCTGTAAGGCCATTGAGTACCATATCGTAGGAGGAGCACAGAACATGGCCAACATCTACCGCTGCAAATTGGAAAACAACGTGCTCATCAAGTTCGTGACTCATGACCTGGGCTTCCTTGAGTATGGAGGCGTTTTGTAGCACGGCTTCAGCCATCTTGACAAAATGTCGACCTCGCCAAGCCTTGACAATTCTCTTCGCCATCTCAATCTCTTCGTCGGAGAGATTTGGACTTTTCTTGGGCATCTTCAGAGGGTCCATCTTCTCGATTTTCTCCTCAAATTGCTTCCGTTGTTGAATGAGCTGTTTCTGCATATCTTCCTTCAACTCCTTCAACGCTGCCTCCATTTTGACTTTTTCTTGTTTGATCTCTTCAATCTCAACATTAGCAGCCTCAGCACTCTTTAGCTGGTCCTGATACTCTTCTTTCTGTTTTTCCAGTTTGCTTTGCAACTCTTCCCGAACCTCTTTCAGCCTATCGTCGGGCTCGCCTTGCTTTGGTGTTGAAGGCATAGTCAAAGCCGTATCCAACGAAAAACTGTCCATGGTACCACCCGACAGATACTTCTCTCTGATCGGATAAGAAGAATCCGAGTCGTCCCCATCCTCACGGACGTTTACTCTTTCCGCCCTTGCCCTCTGCACGTCCTCAAACAAAGCATTAAGCTCCTCATCGGAGAGACTGGTAAGGTTTTGGTCGGATCCAAGTATTGCACCAGCCGCCTCTCGTCTGGCAAGGGACCAGTCTGACTCTCGACCGCTCCGCTGGAATATCGATGGCGTTTCTGGTCTAGAGACATCGCCGAATTCGGACACCCTACTAAACGATCTTTCATGTCCAGGTCGCGGGCTAGGTGAGGGAGAGCCTCGATCGAGTGCTTGGAACTGACTAGCAGTAATTGAGTGTCGGAGCAAACTCGTTGGCCTTTCTGGTACCTCAGCTCGCTCTGCTCTTGCTTCCATGGGATGGTTGAATCGGAAAATATGGAAGTCGCCTAGAATAACACGATAGCCTGAATGAAGCTGGGATGGCTCTGTGATGCGCTTTCCGTTAATCATTACTGAAGCACCTTCGCTAGGGGTAAGAGTCACAGTTCCATCTGGGGCATTTTCAAAAGAGCAATGGTCGTGCAGGATCCTGGCTCCGTTCAATCGGATATTCGCTTGGTGATCGGCATTTGTATCGACATTGCCGACTGTTGTGGTACCAGGTTTGAGGTTGTAGACCAAGCATTCGGCGAGAAGCGGGTCATCGGACAAGTTGACCAAATGGGGCATCTTCTTTGGAGTGTGCAAGCCGACGAAACCTTTCTCAATACTAACACCAAGATCTTCGAGAGCTTGTTCACGTTCCTTATGAATCTCCTCCGTCTTCAACAACTTCTCCTCCCACGTCTGGTTCAGATCCGTAAGCAGCTTCTCACTTTGACTCAATTGCTCCGCGATCTCTGCCTTGGAGACCTTTTTCAAGGCTCCATCTGCGCCCGTGATGCTGACCATCTGCTGATCCAGAGGAGTCCCTTCGGGATAGGCCTCGCCAGCAACTACTCCAGCAGCGCCTGGAACACCGGGGCCACTTCCGAGTTTGCTCCTCAGTAGCGACAGCTCCTCCTTCAACTCTCTGATCATACGGGCGTTGGCATCTTCGTTGACAACGGCATGATTCTTGATTCGCTTTGCAGAGTCTGCATATCGAAGAGTACTGAGTGTTTCATCAAAATTGATATCGGCCGGACTGACAGCTGCAATCATTGCCGTCATACTGTTTCCACCTAGGGAGTCCTTCAACAGCCATGTCAAGATACTGTCTCGGTACGGTACTTGGCCGCCTCCTTTCTTCTTCTTGGCACTAGGCGTGGACAGGTCAGCCAAGGCCGCAATGACACGACCCAGCGTTGACAGCGATCGGTTGATTTCAGCACCCTCCTTCAGTCGCGCACCAGTGGCACCGGTAGATGTCGCTCGCTCGGAACCTGCTAAATCGACCAGACTGATCTTGGCGACCTTTTCCATTTCCATCTTCGTGTCGGCGTCGTACTTCTTTTGTGTTAACATGATGGTGAAAACAGCGTGACTTCGGCTCGATGTTTGATTCATGTTCGTTGCCGCAACTGTTCGGGCCTTGTTTCCTTCGTCCATAAGATGTTCAATCTCGTGAAATTCGTTGACCGCAAGCTTGGCAAGATCCTCGACATAAGGGCCCGTAGAAGGATGTTCTCGGACCTTGAGATTGCCTTTGGTCGATGGGTTGAGCAGATCGCGTACACGTTCGTTATAAATCTCTAGGTAAGAGACTTCGACCGTGCACTTGGTTGTCTTGTCCTTTTGAATATCTTCGATTCTCTTGAACATGTCCTGGCAAATCATAGGGATAACACCTATTTCCTTTCCATAACCCATCATAGAATACGACTTTCCAGAACCAGTTTGGCCATAGGCAAAAATACAGTTGTTGTATCCCTGGAAAGCATTGTCGAGCAGGGGCTGTCCCAGATCGTCAAAGAGGTTCGATTGACCAGCATAATTCGGGTCGTCCTTGTTAAACGACCAATATGAACGATCGAACGCAAACGCTTTGGGGCCTCCATCTTTGACGCCCTTTCCTTCGGGTGCGGTAATGACCGTCTGGTTCCCTTTCATTTCGATAATACATTGTGCATTTCTCTCGATTTCTGCGTCTCGTTTCAGCACCGTTCTTTGTTTCCGACGGACCTATGCAAGCCACTTACCTCTGCTGTTGAAAGGCCGACATCTCACCACCACCTTAATGTTTCCTCCACCGGCGGGCGGCATATTTGGAGATTTGTCTAGGGGACCCAGGCCGGTCCCCCTCTAGACAAGAGCTTGGTTGTTGGGAATGCGCGGGGTTCGGAGGGGATCAAAGCTGCCCCTTGTCTGGTAGATAGATATATATCGGAAGCGTAGATTTACAGCGACTGCATGCGACTCCACGACGTAATCCCCGTCCAGGGCCTCAACGCATTGTCTCGTTCTGTTGCCTGTCGCTTGTCGCTTGTCGGTATGTATGTAAGGGGGTTGAGGGTTGGTTGACCGTCCCTTGAAGCACGGGCTAAGATTAAGATGTACGTATCCAGAAATGACGACACAGTGTCGGTCTCGGGGGAAGGATTGCGATCGCGAGTGTTCGACAGAGGCTCGGGGAGAGGGTGAGGTTGGCCGAGAGTGAAGATTGTCGTCTTGGGAGCCGAGCAGAAGGAGGCTCAACCGTTGTCGGCACAGACAATGCAATGCAAGTAATGGTTGCTTGTCAACAAATTTGGTCGCGCAGCTGCTGCTGATTTAGGCCCCGTGCTTTGATTGGCAGCTGATCTCTAAGCAGGGGATCTGGGGTCGTAGAGGTACCTTGTAGTGGAGGGTTCACGTGCAAAAAGTGTTTGTTTGTTGGGTGAAATTAACATACCGAGTATTACCCGTGATAATGATCCTCTCAACCTAAGCTTTTAAGTGAATAGGTTAGTAGTCAGATAATGCTCTTTCTTTCTAGAGGAACAATAATGAGCTGCATGAAAATAGTGAATTCCATGAAGTGAATTCCATGAACTTATTGTCTTCTTGCTAGACACTCTCAGTTGGTTAATAAGCCATTCTTCTTTTTTATTTGGATTCTACTTTTGTTCCCGCTCATTTCCCCGCGCTATCTGTGGATCGTCTATGCCCCAGCCACAGGAAGCGTTAATTTGTACTCCGTAAAGGTTCAATGTTTCCAATCATGCGACTTCTTCATTTATACCAACGAATTATCAAGCTGAAACCACCGTCTATTCGGCAGTAATCCAATCTTGTTAGATAATGCGTACTACAAGGGAGAAACAACAGTACGGTCTATCGTCTATCCTCAAGTCGCACTCTATGAAAGGAAACGTATTCAACTGGAACCATTCAACTTGAAGGCTGCGCGAGTATATCAAAAACGACCATTTTATGACGCAACTGTCTTGGTTGACGAAGGGTGTTTTGAGTATTCCTACCATCTGGTACCCTTTCGTCTTTGCTCCGTACTGTCCAAAAGATCAGCGACATCATCTGACATGGATGTGTCTTACAAGGAAATGTAATTTCTGAGAACGCTTGATAGTCCCGGCAGATGACAAGTGCATCTGTTACTTACATGAGTCCCGGATCAAGGTCTCCTCAAGCTTGCAACCACAAGTTCGGTACGAACAAGCATGAGACATGTCGAGGCCGGTACAACGTTATGCTTCACTTGCCGGAGGCGAGGCTTGCTACTCCTGAGTCTGTGATCAACCGTCCTCTCGCCCTTGACGATCATGGCTCAACATGAGGCTACACGGTTGATGATGACAATTGGTGTCCAACAAAAAACCTCATCGGCTGATCAACGACAATCACCTACAGTTCCGAAATCCCACAGTCATCAGCCATCCAATAAATCGAAAATAAGGTTACCGCTGACTACAACACGACAAGGACAAGGGTAGGTGAGTTTTTGATTAACATCTGGATGTTGGTATTCTGGGCATTTTATCTATATTGAGCAAGTTATCCCGATCGAATGAAGTCATCCTAGTACGAAGAAGAAAAAAAAGAAGAAGAAAAGAAATAATATTACTGTACCCAGCTTTTGACAATTCTAAGAAAGAAAAATACGACCCTTGTATCCGTATCGCTTACCAGATCGGTAACCCGCAGAACTTATATCGTCGAGTGGCTTCGCGTGCTGTAGTCCCCCAGATCAACAAATGCACATGGCGCTTACTTCGCCAATTAGCCTCGCGATCGTTAAAGATTGAGTGGGTGATAAGCGCAGATCTGGGTTCGTCCGAATCGCTACAGGACATTTCTTGCTTTGCGAAAAGGGGATCGGGCATCAGCCTTATCAACCGTCGCGCGCGAAAAACCCACTCCACATCAAAGCATGCCAACGCACTTATTTCAGCAGTAATAGAATCCCGAATTAGTCAAGTCTCATTCGGATTCCCTTCACGCAGCGTCATTGGCACCAGATGCAGCCGTTCGATATTTGCCACGCTGGCAGGGCGGACGCTGGCCGCTGTTCACCAATGAACAACCACACCTGATTCGCCTCACTTTCAAACCCTCACGGCGTATGGCAGGGGTTTCTTTCCATATTGGTTCCGGTTGCAAGGAATGGCAGAAACGCCTGCAGCAAATTACATGTACCTACCCCTTGATAAGTTCCAGATTGTCGCTGGGATAACAGCCTGTAGTCTGTGGAGCGGTGAGCATAGTCACACGCAAAAGACTAACATACCTCCTGCATACCTTGGGTTTGCATACATTAGCATGAAATGCACCCTCTATCCCCTCAGGCACATCGTAACCATATATTGTGGCAGGCTGTACCGTATTTGGATAAATACCCTTCCGGAGCCCAGTCTATATCTCTTCATCTTTCCAGCCTGTCTCGATATTCGTGAATTCCTCAGTAGAACCGGTTGTACGATCATGTCCTCTTCAATGAACAAGTACTGGATTCCACACCAAGACATACACAGAAAGGTCATTACCCAAGAGCTCCAGTATTATCTGGGACCGCAAGCAACAGTTCGGCCATTTACGTTGGAGGTATCTCTTCGTCAAGCTAGCCCAACGGCTATCCTGTGCTCATGTGTTCCAACGTAGGGAGAGGATGGCTTCCTCATCACCACTCCCGGCTCCTGCCTCACAGATGTTGGTCAAGACTGGTTTGTAAGACATCGTTCTAGGTTGGTTGACATGATTGACAGGAACAAATCGACGATATCTGCCGAAAGTCGAAAGACTTGTGGGATCGACAGGCTGCAGCCAAGGTCCAGCAGAATCCCGAGAAATTGTTGAAACGACCGTTACACCAGCCTGTCATTGTCTCGAGGGGGACGTCCAGAGACCCTCATCGACGTTACCATGACCGACGTCGGCATGATGATGACTGAGCCCCAGCATGACTCAGCAGTCACAATCATGTTACCTCTCGGTGGACGCCAAGAGAGGTCTGGCAGAAGCTTGTGGGGGTTTATCTGCACGTCAAACGCTGGGATTTGCAGCCTTAACCCCCAGACTTTGAGGCCCGTCGGGCATTTTGTGTCGAAATGTTAGAGTGCGGTGAAGCAAAGGGCTGCAAGGTGGGACGTCCATGGTGGAGTAGATGCTGTCTGACGCTCAAGATAGATATGCGGAGGATAAGATACCCCAATGATCGAATTAAGCAAGTGTCGTGATGGCTGCCATGCTTGTCCACAGACGCGGCGCCATCTGGCATGATTCCTACCCAACAAATCCATATGAGAATAAACAATGCCCAAATCACGTTCGTTTTAGGCATGTAGTGCAGGTGAAGCAGCTGCACGAAAGTACAGTAGTGGAGTTGAAGAGTTCGGGTCCCGGCAACCTTCGTGTTCCAATCGGATTTTGAATTCGAACCCGCTGTCGTAGATTGAGTGGTGGGATTCTGCAGCTCTGGAGATGCATTTTGATCATAGTTAATCGTCTCATGGTAAATATGACAGTCCTTGGTCTCATAAACCTACGGCCCGTCCCTTTCCATAAGTGGGTGTGCGGCTCTCAACTGGGGGAACCTTTAGGGTCGAGGAGCTTTTCGTACTTCTGGAGATCCATAGGGCCAGTTGACCAAAGCACTATTGCTTGCACACACACCTGTTTGGACTCCTGGCATGGTGGTTTCGTGTCTCGAGTGATCTTCTGTTCTGTGATGTACCCTATCACATTGACAAATTCGCCGACACGTGTTTGCTCGGCTGTGAGCGATTCCAGCAGCAGGCTGACATCCACCGAGGCGGCGACATTGGTATCCTTTGGATAAAGGTGAGCGAGAGAAAGACATGCCGAAGAGGTCGAGTAAGATATGACACTATCTTTTTCATTAGCCAACAATACGTGCCGTAGGTTGAAGGTGTGAACAGGCATAGCACACAAAGAATAGTGGAAATGCGCTTCACCGGTCATACCATCCAAGAAACCTGACCTTTTCGCCAATAGATAGAGCTGGTAGGTTTGACAGCAAGTAAAGCTGAGAGGGAACTGGGCCCCGCGACATGTCAGTTGCTACTGCGGACCTTGTCAGGGGGGTTTTTGAGGCCCGAAAGGTGTGATAATACTGCAGCGTCAGAAGAAATCCCGCAAAATACAGTATACGAGTGACATGAATTAGGTAGGTTAGGTAACAGAGTTGATGGAGGTTGAAGATGTGGTTCAAGCTTGGATGCTGAAGTTCACGTGAAATGGTCAAGGCACTCAATGCACAGTGTAAATGGACGAGATGCGGCTACTTTGCAGGGCAGTTACGTGTTTGTACAGTGTTGGCTCGCACATGCCTCAGGTACCCTAAACATCGCCCAACACTACTACTTTTCCCTCACTTGGTGGGGGTTGACTGCATCACGATCCTCCATCTAACATTGTCACTCATTGGCCTATTATCCAACATGTCCGCTGAAGCACCTCCAAAGTACATTTACAAAATTGTTCCTTCAGCGCCTGAGGATCCATTTCCCAATGAACATCCTTTGTCAGAGCTTGACCGGAATGATGGTTTCGTCCATCTAAGCACGTCCACTCAAGTGAGTCCTTTACATGGGTTGGGGATAACACAGCTAAAAACAATTCAGGTACCCAAGACAGCAGACTTGTTTTTTACCCGTGCATCCTCACTTTGGGTTATCAAACTGGAATTTGCCCAGTTTGCTGATTCTCTCAAATGGGAGGACAGTTTCCCGCATTTGTACAGCAACTTTGGGGTTAAGAATGTGGACTCTGTTGAGAAGTTTGTTCGCCAGGAGAACGAAACATGGGGCGAAGTTATGGGAAAGTCAGCTTGGTTGGAGTAGATTTATTCTTTATATTTTGGATTGATGGAGGTATCTGTAACCTCTGCATCAATGTTACAAGATACTTCAACATCTAGAGACCTAGATCTTTCTCAACCATACCCTTGCAAATGGGATGGTAAAAGTCCTTGTTCTTCTCAAAGGTGTCCAATGCCAGCTGTCTGTCCACCTTGTTAAGAGCACGGAACAGAGGACGGACAAACTTCATTCGACCAACCCGTCCAAGCAGCGTAGCGGCATCTTGGTAAATGGCGGAATCCTGCGCCTTGAGCGCAACCAGATAGTACGCTGACAGAATCTCGACGTTCTTTGATGACAAAAAGTCGTAGGTCTTGCCCATAAGTTGAGCTCGGTCTGCGGTCAATTCACCGGACTGCTGTACTTCAGCCAGGAAGACAAGCTTCTGGTTTGCAGTGAAGTCCTCAAGGTCCTTTGCGCTGGGCTCAAAGTTCTGATAAAACGTCAGCAGGCACGTGCCACGTCAAAAGGGGTTGAACGTACGGTATCTTTCCACTTGCTTGCAAGGTCGTAGCACTGGTTTGCCAATGTTGTGTCAAACTCAGGCTTGGGAGGCAGACCGGGTGTGTAGAACTTGTCTTCCCAATCAATCTTTGAGATTTTCTTAGAAATCTCCTCGCTTCCAAGGCCGTTGAAGAAGTCAAGGAAGGTTTGCTTGAACTCAAACGAATCAAGAGACTTGCCAGACCACTTGGTGAAGTAGAAGGGAATAAACTTGTCAAAGTTCTCCCGACCAACGACACCTTCCAGATAGTAGATGAAGTGGAAGCCCTTCTCGTACGCAACCGTACTGTAGACGTCCTCGGGGTCAACACCCTCGTGCTTGATGATGAGCTTGGTGTATTCATGGTCCTTTCCAAAAAGTTCCACAGCATCCTCTGTACTATGGTCAGCCGATATTCCAAAAGTTTCACCGTGTTACACACCAAGAGCTTGCCATCCGATGATGGCAGAGAAGTCAAACTCGGCGTCACCATGGATAACGGCTTGGATGCGACGCTCAAGGTACATTGTCCATCCCTCGTTTAACCAGCTGATGGTCATTAGCGCTGCAACTTAACATGCGGGCACTTCAAACTTACAAATGCTCCCAGCTGGCGTTGGAGACCAAGTTACCGCTCCAGCTGTGACTCAGCTCATGGGCAATAACATCTACATTTTGACGATCGCCACTGATGATTGTGGGTGTAGCAAATGTGTAGATGGGGTTCTCCATGCCTAGAAATCTTTAAGCAACTGCGAGAAGCAACGACTGAAGACAAAACATACCTCCGTATGGGAAGCTTGGGGGCAAGACAAGAACGTTGTATGCTCCCCACTTATAAGGGAATACAAGCTTCTCTGCCACCTCCATGAACTTCTCCATATCACGCTCGAGCTCCCACTTGCACTCTTCGAGCTCGTTGGGGCCAGTGGCAACGATGCTTCGGGGACCGATAGAGGCAGTTGCAATATCGCCAGAGGCTACAGCAAAGAGATAAGAGGGAATAGGAACCTTCTGCTCAAACTCGTATAGCTTCTCCTCGCCGGGCGTAGCCTTGTGGTCTCCCACAGGAACACCACTTGCGACAACTGGCAGAGATGAAGTAAGTTTGAAGGTGAAAGTTGACTTCACATCAGGAGTGTCCTGGCAAGGGAAAATAGAGCGAGCGTTAATGGCCTGGCATTGAGAAAACATATACGGATGCTTCTTGTTGGAGGTCTGAGCAGGAGTGAGCCACTGAAGAGCAGTACATTTGCTTGTTGTTTGGAGCTCAATAGAGAGATCAATCAGCTCGCCCTTGGCAACTCCCCCAGGCACAGAGATATGGAGAGGGGCACCGAGGGGCGCATTGTAGTCCTTCAGTTCCCACTTAGACTCGTTGGAGTTGATATGGATGGTGGAAATGTCCACGTATCGGGAGTCAAGAATGATCTCCTTGCTCTCTTTATCTGTCTGTGACTCAAGCTGGAGAACAACAGAGCCCTTGAGTGCCTTCTCCTCAAAGTCGATCTTGAAGTTGGCAGTTGTATGGCGAGTCCGCCAAGCTCCGTAGTTGGAGAGAGTGCTGGGATCCCGATTGGCTGTCATGTTGACGGTTGCAAATGTTCGTCTGAGGTTGTGAGTGATTGTAACTCGGCAAGTTCGCAAAATGGCGGGTTTCTTGAGTGACGACAGCCACGACATGAGGGTCTGTTGAATCGCCAATGGCACGGCTTAATTCCAGTGGGCGCACATCAATTAACGTTATGGCAGCAGCGTTTCGTTTCGTTTCCTATGGTGGACGCAGCTTCCCCTCCAGTTCTAGAACATCACGTGCGAGGACCCGTGCTGACGGCCACCTTCCAAAAGCCGCATCAAACATGGAAATAGCGGCATCGCAGAGGAACTTTTGTTTTCGGGCTATATAACAACACGGTAATGAAACAAACTGGGACAGTTGTTTCTGTCAAGTGACACTCTCTGTGTGTTAGGTAAATTGCTTGTTCAAGATCGATAATCATCGCGGTCACGTGTTACAATTCTCGGATATCAATTGATATCTGGTTTTTTAAAGCATTAATCGTCAAATCATCTGTGGAGTCGCGAGTGAGCAGTTGTTATTGTTGGCGGAGTCTCCTACACGATAATTGTACATTTAGGGTAGTTTTTCCGTCAGGAGTTCACTTCACAGCTCACTGTTGAGCCCCGTCGCTTATCTTGCGGTGATATCACGAAGCCCCTTGGCTGTTTGTCAAATCATCCCTTTCTTTGCCTCCAGTTCTCGGTGCTCGGTATCTTTAACATAAGATGCTTACGGATACAATCAGTTGTCTAATTAGTATCTTTGCTGGAGCTTTTACAGCCCGAAGGCCGCCCGACCCCAGTGACGGATTGGAACGCTATTTTAGACTCGGTAGGGGGCTTGGCACACCTGAGCAGGGCTGGGACGGACCAAACTGCGTCTTGCTACGCACAAGGAAGGACGAAGACGCAATTCGCAAAGTGCTACGGAGTACTAAGCAGAGTTTTTTTCTTTTCTTTTTCTGGCCGACTTACCCATAATTGACCCTGGCTTTTTCTAAGAGTGAGATTCGATCTGTTAATCTAAGATTTATATTAAGCTATTAACTAGCTGCCTGGCTGCCTACTACCTAGCATTGTAGAATTCGCGTGACCCATGACTAGGTCTTAAGCTACCCCAAGCTCCTGAGCTCCAGCTCCTAAGCTCCTAAGCTACTACTTTGAGCTACTAAGCTCTCAGAGATATCAGAAATTTATATCACAAACCATTACTGCTACGTAGTACCGGCCTAACCACATATTTCGATATTTTATGACAATGACACAAGATAGTAATTGCCAATGCTCGTGTTTGCTACCCATGGCAAACTCACGGAGCTAATCGGGATGTCACTTCGATGCTTCTGATCTGAGGAACCACTACCGTTCCGGGGGTCTAATCAAGTTAGACCACCCGTATATATGAGTTGAGTTTTTGAAGTTATTCTATCCTAGCTCTCGCTACCACCGGGGATACTATGCGGAACATCGTCCTACTATGGACTGCCAGTATCTAAGGTAATAGCTTAGGCAGATATTGTCATCTCCGAGGAATGACTGGTTCCTTACTGACAGGTCTCGACTACAACTGAATTAGGGGTTTTCATCTTTTCGTACACCAATTACCCTGACGGAGCCATTCTTCTCCGGGCACGAGGCCTTCACCAAACGATTAGGGTGCACATGAGACAACAAGCACATAGGCTGCCTCTCCCCCCACCTCTCCCCCCCCTTTCCGTCTTTCTGGAGTGGCAAAACTCCCCCAGATAGATGAGGCTGCGGAGATATCGCCGTATGGGCACGATGACGGCAGTGAAGAAGTCGTTGACTTCTTGCCGTACAGTGCAGGCCTTCTTGGCGCTGCTGCAGGAGGCTTGATGGTGAGGGAGCAAATATCACCCCACGAAACCTCCAAGGTGCAAGCGAGCCTGGGCCCGGGCTTGCGGTGGCAACGGTGCGTCTTGACGGGCGGGGGACCCCAGCCGTTGATTTAATGCAGGGGCCGGGCAGTGGAGGCTTGGACTTCTGAGCATGGCATCCCTGGTCTTAACATTCTGCGAGTGCTCAAAGTCCAGGCACGGGCCTCACTGCGACAACCTCGACCTGGACGAAACCGGCGTTGACGTGAAGCGGTCTTAGGAAGAGTTAGAGATAGCGGGCATACTCCATAGTAGGGTTGCCACGCTGCCAAGCCTCCAAATATATACATACATTCATGACGTGCGAGTCATTGGTAGATCAACAATGATCTTCACAAAAAAGTCAAGACTAATTACTGTGGCAGCTTCAGTTTTGTTTGAAACACCCTTGTTGTACATATGTAGGCCAGAGCGTTTTGACATGTCCTGTTCATGAGTAGGTAGCTGTTGATAACAGCTCCTATGACCGCTAGTCATGATAATGTAACGTATAAGTTATAAGAGTATACCTGTTATAGGCTATAGGTTACAGGTAATCTCTTTGGACGATCTATCTCAATGGTCTTGCGTCAACAAGTTCTTGTCTCTTATTTCAACCCAAGTATCAGTACCCTTATTGAATCAGCTATGCACGGTTCGTTGTCCACAATATCTGTAACCGAGGTCTTGGGCACCGAAATGAAACTGACTATCTACGTGCTAAATGCTATCTAACTACAATACGGTTAATGATCCGGGTCTATCATGTAGGGCTGCACCAAATGTCCATTCCCACGTGCCGTTAGAACTACCCTAGGGGATGTGGCAGCGCCACACGTAACTGTTGATACATAGCAATTATTATTTTCTCTCCTTGTTAGGTAGTGCTGGTGGGAAGAAAGTCAGCAATTGGGTCTGTTGTCTCCCCCATCAATTGACTAATACAATTGGCTCGGGTTACACCCCCTGTATTCCGAAGTGGTGGTTGCCAAATCTTCACACTAGTTATTATGCAGCTTCTCGAACTGATACCATTTGGTGCATGTTTCATATCGACGGAATGAACGAATCTCGTTTACCTCGTTCATTTCGATGCTTGGCTTAGATCATTTGGGGAGATTTGGGGGGTTGTCTGATGGTAAATAGATGTGATTAGTGATATATGAGATACTAAGACGAGGGGGAACAATCCTTTGTCCGCACACCAAAGCTATCTCACTCATTTGATGAGCATCAATACACGGATACTACGGCTTGATTTACAACACAGAGCGAAACACAAACTAAGTTGCAATTGGCCAATCACAGAGATAGAACATCTACTAGCACTTATACAATATTTATGACACAACTCAGAGCTATGGCATATATCGATTACCCTATCATGCAATGTGTTAACAAAAGCAGCTGTCACTTCCACTATCGATGGAATGATGGGGGATAAATTTGTCTGTACAGGCATGAGTGCTATAACTAGAAACACCGGCGTCGAAGGGATGTGCGTCTAGATCTGAGACTTTCCAAAACCATCGACAAGGAGTGACATATTCTACATGATCCTTGACCGGATTATCCACCCGGAAGGACCGCAAACACGGGATAACGCAAGGGGGGCCCATGCCCTTTGGCTATAAGCGAGCTCAGCTATGAAAACCGAAGGAGAGAAAAAAAAAGGTACAGCGATGCAGATCAAATAGAGATCCATTGATGGTGAGGGGATGGCGTTGCGGCTTCAAAATGTTACAGCGCAGTGGATCTATCCCTCCAGGTACCTAGGTAGCACAAATGCATACCCAGCTGCACTGTGCCTTCAACAACGATGGAATTACCCTTTACAGCGACATCCATTAGAAACGTGGGATATCACGCAGCTCGAAACAATCAACAGTGACTAGATCATTATACATAGAACCGTGCCGCCGGGCAGCCAAGATATGTTTAGATGCAGGTTCTGCGACACTTTCACTGTTTTGCTTTGTGGAGCGACCAATGTGGCAGCCGATTGACAAAACATTGTTTTCTCGCCGGATACGAGGAGTGACTTGTACCGAGAAGGGTTATGTTTCAGCCAAAACACGACTTAAGTAGGCACTATAGGTAAGGTTATTCCAGTATTTAGGCCAGGGTTGCATGCAAGCTCAGGTGGCAGTGGGAGAAGGAAGCGAAGCGGCAGAAGCAAAGAAAAAAAAGCAACCAGAGAGAGAGATTGATTTGAATGACGTTGGGTCTAGACAAAGTTCAGGAAACACCGGAAACACGCCACATGCAATCCACACTTGTCACCGTGTTTCGAGAGCTTCTTGGGACGGCATATTTGACCAGGGGAATAAGATGAAGGGTTTTCGACATCTTGGCATTATAGATAGCAACAATTGTGTTGTGTCGTCGAGCTCGGCCGTACGTAACGTAGCTCTCGATCGACGTTTTGCAGATCAAACGCGGAATTTCTCGTTGCTTTCTTTTTGCTGTGTGTTGCATCCGCCCTTACAACGTCTACTAAGTGATCAACAGTCAGGTGCCTTTAGTCGGGTATTAAGCCACTACTGACAACCCCTGTAAGTCGGCAAAGCGAGCTGAGGGAGAACAAAAGCAAGTAAAAGCCGTTGACGCTATTGACCAAGTAACTATCAGTTTCTGAGCCGTTGCTAATTCAATATGACAGACAAACGAACCTTGATCATATTCCCATGATGGTGGGGTAGCTGTGTCCTGCAATATCAGGGAGAAGAGGAGAATTAGGAACACGGGACGAAGATGAAGGGAGATCTTTCTGATAATGCAAGAGCCTGGAACTCTAAGGGTAGTATCATCCAACAGAAAGGCATTAGTAGTGTACTGCCCAAGCAAGTATGTAGTAGATAATGTGTAATGCTAATGCATGAGGTGCACGTGGGAAGCATGAAGCCCGCAAAGAAAGCGCTGCTGCACTGCAACTGTATTCCATAGGCAGTCGAGGTCACTCCTTGGATAGACACTATTGGCCAATACACGATAAGCAGGTTTTTGAAACTACATTTACTGCACCTGGCTTACATGTAGTACCTACATACTATCCTACTACACCTATAGCTACCTACCTACCTATGGAATAGTTTAAGCATACCTACCCAAGGTAAGGACACCTCACCTTGGTAACCTACAAATGGAACCCTTGGCCCTAGGGTGTGCCTGCCTCCAGCCTCCCACGTTGGGCTCTCCTTCCAGATTCGATACATACTGGAAACTGAAACACGCCTTCGACGCGGGAGGCACTGTGTTGGTCAAGTACCATGACCCAAGTGGGAAGGCACTCTACGTACATGATGCATTGGTCTTCCACTTTCACAGGCAAGTACCCTCTTCTAACAATTGATCAAACTTCTTCTCGCCCCTTTCTCACCCCTTTCGTTCCCCTTCCTCATCCACCACCTTCAGTACAATCTGTCACTTCTTACTCTCGACTCCATTATCATGACCTCACGAGCCAAAAATAGTCACTTCCTCAACGACAATGATTGATGGGAAGTTCACAGAACACTTCGAGAGCAACCTGCCAAGAACTCCCCGCTCAACTAGTCACGACTTACTGGGGTCCTTGATCTCTGTCCGTCATGGTGGATATGACAATCCCTGTACGGAGTACCGGTTCCGCTAACGTGGTAGCCGAGGTTGGGTTCAGGGGCCTCGACGACAAGGTTTCTCACTAAGGGGCGAGGAAAACCCCCGACGAGGCGTCCACTGAAAGCCGTTAGCAGCCACAAAACTACTTCTAGCTTCTGACAGGCCCTGTTGATCTATTCCTCTTTCTGATGCCGCACCGACCCTGGTTGGCAAAGTTTGGGCCGACCTGTTCGTCGCGGGGAGCACGGGCCACGGGCCACGGGCCATGAACCATGAGCCATGAAGCATGGATGGACTTCATCTGTTCGTCGACATCACCTTAGCTCCTGTGTAGTCCCGCATGCCCCAGACCTCTGTGCTCTTATCTCAGGTCTATATTGAAAATCTCTTGCTCTTAGTCTTCGGGGGCGTGACACAAGACCGTTAAGGCGAGGACCTCGGACCCTCCCTTACTGGGATTCAGACCCAGGGCCAAGGGCCTCACATTCTATCATGGGTCGTCTAGAACAAGGGGCTCGACTGAGGCTGTTCTCCAGTGAGCATGTCCAGTCACAAACGAAGCCACAAACGAAGAAAGCTAGCCGGAGAGCTCGTAGCTTGGCATTGAAGCGTTGTCTGGGATCCCTTCCACAATTCTTGTTGTTATATACCAGCAGTCCCAGGAATCCGAAACACTTAAGCCTGACCACTATTCGTTGTACTTCATGCAATAGCTCGCCGCCTTGATCCTGATCTTGACAGTAGTGCCATCTCAACCCGTGGCAATTAATCTCTAACACCAAGCTATTTCCTCTTGTGGCGACTCGATCTAGCAGCATTTCCTGGACGTGATGGCCCATATTGCCAAGTGCCTCGTCGATATCGACACTACCTATATAACTAGGCAGGTGTCGCATTCGCCAAACGACTCGGTATGAATACGTTCCTGGTTTCGAATTCCTCACCTTCAACCCAAACTTACATATGGCATTCTTTCAGAAACTGTCACCTCAACCTCCCTCAGAGAAGCCATTCGCTTGGAGAATGCAACAGCCTGACCCTACCAAGAAATACCAGCTATTTCCAAAGGAAAGAAAACTACCAGTTCTCAACAGCAGTAAGGGCGTGGATTCGGACAAGACCACAGCGGGAACTTCAACAATGGCAACCGACAACACCGACAGCCAGCCAACACTCAACGGCCTGAAGAAGCGTTTCAACCAGCACAGCCTGACCCGACGACGCAAGATCAGTGTGCCTGAAGTCGGACCTATGACCACAGTCCAAGAGCTCTCAATGGACTCTCGTAAGTGCAAACAACCTGACACCAATTCTTGCTCATGAAATCTAACCATACTATAGCAACAATTCCTGGCCGCCCTCCTTTCCACGAGCGTTCCATTAGTGCGCCTGGAAACTCCTTGAGGGATTACAATCTTACCGATACCTTTCTATTCGCATCCAGTGATGACGAGGGTCCTAGTCCCCAGGCTCCTAAGAAGAGCGCGAACGAGGCGGGTTCCCGAGTCGCAACTCCTACATCACCACGCCATCTTGCTCCCTTGGTCATCCCTAGACGGGGTGCCCATTCACCCCTACTTCGGCGCCAACAGTCTCTCAACTGCTTTCCCACAGTCAGCGAGACTTCACGACGTGGCCGTGGCAATGGATTATCTCCCCAAAGCCGTTCCGCTATTACCCCGACCTCATCAATGCCCGACCTTACAATACCCAGCTCAGCATCGACAGGTTCTACAACTCCTACTCCAGTCTCAGCGCCACCCTTAGAGACCCGAACTGAATCTCCACAACTCGTTGATGGATATTCTACTCCTCCCTTGGCCGTTCCCGACGCAGCCCGTGGAGGGCATCGAAGGGGTGGTTCGGAATCATCGGTCATGGATAGGGGTCGCCCTAGGAAGAGACACGATCAGCGAAGCAATACCGGACCTATTATCCAGAGGGCGGAGTCGAAGCGGAGCAGGAGCTCAGAGCAGAACGCCTTTGAGAAGCTTCCCGTTGGTGTGAAACATAGCGATGCTATGGAGCAACTTGAGCTGTCAGAACTTATTCTACTCCAAAAGCAGGCGTACGAACAAGTTGGGCGATTCGAGATTCTGAAGGCCGAGGATGTCGAGGCACTTTCCAAGGAACTCCGTCACTTGGACCAAAAAACCGAATACCTTCGTCGTACTTACACAGCTCTTCGCTCTGGCCGCAAGAGTCTTCATTCCCGTATCTGCCAATATCTGCGCTCACCACGTGTCGCTAAGTTCAGCAACGAGTCAATGCTCAAGCAGGAAGAGGCACTCACTGAGTTGGATGCCTCAATTGACGACTGGGTGAACAAGCTGGAACAGGCAGAAAACCGACGTACTCGGGTTCGTCAGAAGCTACTTGAGCACGTTGCTGCAGCAGTCTGCCTCCCTATCGGTGGATCAAACATGACACAGGAGTCTCTATTGAATGTCACATCCTCGTCAGGCATTTGTGACATCTCGACTCCGCCTCGAAGTCCCTCGAAAGAAACATGTGTCTCGCCGCGTACCATGAGCAGCTCACCGTCTCCTCATCGTGTTGTGGCTCAAGTCCCAAGCACGATCCTGGAGCAACCCGCCGTTGAGGAAGAGGCAATGAGGGTAAAGGACGAACGCGTTATGAGCAGCGGATCTTTGAATCAATCCGATGGGGAAAGCATTCGCATATATGCAGGCGATGATGTGTACACTCTATTGGCAGATGTCGAGGATGAAATCACTAGAATGGGCAAGCCAGCAGCACAGGAGCCTGCCCCTCGCAACAATGTCATGGAAACGAAACGGATCGCACTCAACCGCCAGAGGAGTCATGAGCTACTCAACGGACGCTCTGGGGACAATCACGGGATGAAAAGACGTGATTTCTCTGACTACCGCGCCATCTCCCCTCTTGCCTCACCACCAACTACAACTACTTCACCTACTACACAGCAAACTGCACCACCAGAAGAAGGCCTGCCTCTTCTAGCGAACGTTGTCTATCGACCTTGATAACTTTCAACTTGAACATATTACTGTTATACAACGGTCTTGCCAATACTGTATCGCATTTCAACGATTCACGGCCAATACTTAACAATCCCTTGATACCCATACGGCATTTTCTACATTTACTTGCATACCTGCGCTCTACGTCAAATCACGACATTCCACGGCTGCAACAGCATATTATGCATTCATTGTTTCACTATGTACCATCACAGGGCGCAGTCTGGAGGCATTCTGTCACTTTTCTTTCCTTTGTACTGTTCTTTATGTAATACATACTCTCATCAACTGCATCTGGTAATATTCCTTACCAATCCATACTACTTAGCTTAGCCAAATTCTCTATAATATTCATCTTGGTATGCTTGCCAACAAGCCATAACTTCTGGGCCCTCCTATCTTGCTTCCTCTTTTCGTCGTGAATGCGATATCAAAACGATCGAATTTCCGATGTGACCATAAAAGCATGTAGTATCCGAGCTAACATTTGAGTTTGTTACCCACGGGAGATGCAAACAAGGACAAGGGGCATACAACCCTGAGGGTGTGCTCCCCTTGTCTGCAGATTATACTGCAAGGATACAAGTGGGACTATTATCAGCAAGAAGGTAGGAGTCAAGGAGACCTGCAGGATCGTTGTTTGAGAAATGCGATGTGATGGAAAAAAAAGAGCGTCAAATATGACAGACTGAACATCCTGGATATCAAACTGATTCCCCATCCTGCAGAAGCAATATTCTTTTTATGATCACATTTGTTCATTTTAAAGCCGACTTGAAGCTATGAAAGGTAAATAGCAAGTAGCTTATCTTCGTATAAGGGCAATCTGCTCGTAAAGGCACAATTCTTTTACCCCTGCTTCGGACCCTACCACTCAAAGTTGAAGGCTCAAAGCCCGCTTCTATTCTTGGCCTTGTCATCTCAACACCACCCTCCCCTTGCACGCTCTGTCTCTTTTCTTTTTCTTTTTTCCTTTTCCGTTTTCTTCTCCACGTGCATGCCAAGCAATTTAGCGGTCGACGACTCGAGTTATCGTACGATACTCTTCATCCGGTCTTTCATCTGCGATGTGTATGTACCGAACTCCCCTGAAGTGGAGAGAGAGGCCCAGTCGGAAATTAATGAAGGGCCACTTCTGTGAGGAACGATCTGCGGTGTTCAGAGAACCGAGGACACTTTGAATGATATGAATTGAGGAATATTCAGTGTGGTGACGATTCGGAAGTCGAATTGTCCGCGAAATAACAACTTTTTGAGTTTTTACGACGAATGCTTCAACGACGGTTAGGTGTGGGGGTGGGGGCGTGTTGATGTGCTCTACTACTGGTGGTGACTTGGCGTTAGATTGTTAATGTTAAGTCAGGAGTCAGTTCGGCTTGCGTGTTTGTATGTTTGTTCGTGTTCCATATTAAGAATGACTGAGACCATCTAGGTACTCTCGTCAATACGTCTACTATACATGATATGATATACCCACAATCCCCAGCAATAACTTTCAAATGCCTTTTGCACCAGTCCTCTCCCGTTGCCGGGGCGTGTCCCGCTTCAAAATTCGTACCAAAACCACGCTTTCTGAGATAAGCCAGTTCCCTCGAATACACCAAACACCAGGTCATACTGTCCCATCACATTACGTATTACTTGATCTGCTTCTCTAGTGCGTCACGACTCGAACAACCTGCAGGATGAGGCCGAAGAGAAGTCCCCTCGCGACCTCCTCGATTTGCAGACAGTCAAAGACTCTGCCAAGTGCTTCACCAGTTGCCGCTTGTCCCATAACGCCCATCAAGGCGGCTGGAAGACCGCTCTGAATGAGCAGTCGTCGAGCCTTGATGCGGAGCTGCTCCTTCTCGTCGGCCGTGGGCTCGGCCGGCCAGGCTGCAAGCTCCTGCTCCGTTGGCATCATATTCTCTCGGACCTTGCGAAGCTGATCCGCGATACCTGAATCGGATGTGGAAGCATCGATAACAGACTTTTGGATCAGTGACTGCACCGTCAAGAGAGATGGGTTGCCAGGGCGGAGAAGGAATGATTTGGCAGCCGTCAAGAGCGTACGCCGAATGTTCCAAGCTGACGACAGAGTGTACATCTCGTTGATTACAGCAAACAGAAGCTCAACCGCAACACGAGTTTCGGGCTCTGACAACGGAGTATACTGTTTGGTAGGTTTCAAAGACGCTCTCTTGCCGTCCGTCACCGAGGGCGGAGGTGTCGGAATTTGTTGAGAGCCTTTGCGTTCCTGTTGCTGTCCCTTGACGCCGTTGTTGAACTTCTCTTGCATGTCGCCCTGTCCTTCAGGTGAACCATAGTCGTCGGCGATTTGATCAGGCGGAGGCGGTAGCTTCGAGAAGTCCAGGCTTACCGCCGAAGGAGATCGCAGCTGCGCAAGGCTTGGTGCACGGCTGTGCTCCCGACTAGGAAGCGCACTCGCCGAGGCCGAAGCAGGCTCCTTAAGTTCGGAGCGACTTGCACGAACATCCGCGTCCGACTCGCCTTGTGATTGATAGCTAGGACGACGCTCCATGGGAGGCATCTTACCGGGTTGTAAAGACACGATAGATGAGCGCTGGCTATCCATGCTGTCGCGAGCCGAGCGGACAGGAGACCGCGCACCGCTAAGCTGGCTTGGAGGTGTTGAAAGAGAGAGTCGACTAGAGTTGGCCGTCAGATCTACTGACTGGGTAGACTTCCTGCTGAGGCCAGAAAACGTGCTGCCAAAGACTCCAGTAACACCTCCGACTAGACTCTTGCCACCTTCTACAGCGCCCTTGGGCCCAATTGTCAACGCGTCGAGCATGCCTTTGCCCATTGATTCCCAACCAAAGCCTGCTTTGGATTCGCTATGGGTGTGCCCCTTTGACTTTTCCAGGAAACGCTTCATACCCTCGCTTTCAGCCAAACTCTGATACCAGCAAGCATCCCGAAGATACCTCTCCAGCTCACCGCGAAGCGACTCACGAGTGTGAAGCTTCCAGTCCGGTAAGTCCTTGTGGAGTTCAGTGAAAGCAGTTGCACCAGAGATGTTGGCAATTCGCCTAAGGATCTCGTGTAGAGTCTCGAAATCAGCATATCTCCGCACGATCATCCATCCAGGATAAGCAGTCACAGACGGCTCAATCTGCACCCAGTAGTCCCAGTTAGGTTTGCTGCGAATGCGAATCGACTCGCTCGGAGTATCGTCATGCACGGTGATGGTCGCGTTGTGGAGGGTAAGCGGCGCTTTCTTAGGCGCCTGCTCCTCCCCTTCGTCTACTACTTGTCCAGGTGGTACTATCTGATCAAAACTGGTGAAGCGAGTGCCGTCCGATCGGCGAGGAGATGACTCCAGGCTTGAGGAATCTGTTGGGGACCGGGGTGTAAGAGGAGTCTGGGCTGTATCGCTCTTCATAGAGAATCCTCCCGTTGATGCTGAAGAGGGCAGAGGTCTGTCGGTCGAGGAGAGGTCTGGAGCACCAGATAATCTCTTTTCATCATTGCCGAGATCTGTGCTTGATTCCCGCACAGAAGCCATCGAGACGCGTTTTTGTCGGGCTTCTTCTTGAGCGATCAACTCGTTCATGCGCTTCATCTCTTGCATAGCTTCGTCCATCTCCTCCTCTGCCTTGCTTAACTTCTTCTTGTGACCAAGGGGTTCTTTGCGGCGCGCCCTTTCGTTTTCTAATGAGCTGCGTCCAGGTTTAGCGATACCAATGTTTCCCACATTTCCATCCAGATCAGCAAAAACATTTGTTGCTGCGATATTGGGTTCAGGAGCGCGCTGCATGCCAACATCAATGGCTTGGTTTAAATTTGGCTCGCCAGCTTCCAGAAGGTACACAATCCATCCGTTGATCCAGTCGGCTTGGCTGCAGGTGTGCAGGGACTGTTCGAGGACTGAATTTGCGAGAATCTCACGTAAGAAGACTCGAGCAGGGTCGCAGTTGTACGAGTTTCGGTCTAGGAATCCGAGCAGATCTTCGGCAACCATTTTGAATTTTGCAGCCTGTTGACGCTGGTTCACAAGGTTGGCCAAGTGGCATTCTGGGTTTGATGCCAGGTAGTTATATATAGCGTCGGCGGCTGTCATGCTACTGTCCGGGGGAAGCTCCGAAAAGGCGGATGCGAGCTCGGACATGAAGACGATGATGATGGAAGATGAGTTCGTAAGAAGATCGAGGAAGGCATCGGCCGGTCGCTTTCGGCCAAGGTGACTCGAGACGGAAAGGAGGTATGATGAGAGCGTCTTGCGGCACGCGAGGGGGAACGAGTGGTCAGTAGGAACAATAGGATTGTACCACCACTTGACATAATCCCTAACGATAGCATCAACGAGTCCCCCAAGAGCTTCGCGGGTCTCTGGCCGGAAGTCGTCAAAATTCTTCATAACAGTCTCCTCGTCGTCGCTGCTATCCTCTCGCATATTCTCTGTCTGGTTCTTTTTGGCCTCCATAAGTCGGTCTATAACGTCGATACCTCGTTCTCCTCGTACGACTTTGGCGAGCTCTGGGTTCCGAGCTTCCCATGAGATAAATCCAGCTACTCCGCCAAATGCGCCGATTAGGACAAGACCTAGACGTCCCATGGTGAAATATGTAAACGCAGCGAAGCCGACTGCGACGCCAGCGAGTGAGCCGGGAGTCGCCGTGGCGAAGAATTGGATAACCTTTGCAATTGGAGCATCGTCTCCCGTCGCAGGTCTTGTATTAATTGTATTGTTATTCGTAGAATTCGTAAGTGATTTATCGGGGATCATGGCGTCGTTTGTTGTTGTGGTGGTCCTGTCAGCAAAACCATTTGTATTTGACGGCTTGTGTGCTAACAGCGACTTCTCGTCTTCTTGGGTATGTGTAAGTGTAGACAGTGGCGAGCCATTGAGCTCTATGGTCTTGGGCTTGGGCGGATTCGGAAGCGAAACACCTGGCTGAGGCGCATCCTGGTCGGGGAATGCGGTTGAATTCATCGGGAATGGGAGCTTGTCTATGTTTGTTCTCGTAGCGCAACCCCGAATACGATAGCTCTCCCTAGGGAAAGAGAGCAGTGAAATCAAAGGCAATTCTCGTTAGCATAGCAAGTGGAAATAGGTAAATGCAGAAGAGCAAGGGCGATTGTAAAGAAGCGAGCGGCGAGAGCAAAAGGAGAAAAAAAGAAGATGAGCGAGGTAGGTAAATGAAACGCAGAAATCGTTCAGGTAAGGATGGAAATTTGTCTGTAACGCTGGGGGGAGATGGATGTCACCGATTTACAGCAGGTGTAGGCACATGTATTACACTTGGTGTCGCGTGTCTTGGGGCTCCTAGCTCCAAATTTGCCGAGCGTTGGAATTGCTTGTCTTTGTGCTTCAGGGGTCACGGCCCCCTAAACCCCAGGGATAGGGCTCTGACCACCGACCACTGGGTCGACTGCCCCAGGCTTTTTCATGCTGGCGTTGTCTGCGTCGCGCCCAAGTGGGTGTCAACTGCCATGATGCACTATAAACGGCAACAGAAGCTAATAAAAACCCCTGATTCATTCCCCACCAAGAAAATACGGCGTCCAATTATTGCTGTCTGCATGTCTTGTTTCGTTTGATTAGCCTTGCCAGGTTTAACGACCCTAGGTAGCCTTGACGTGATCGCTCGATCTCTAATTTTCTTTCCGGAGCCCAGACCGTGCCGCAAAGAGCTGATACTGAATTATTCAAAAGAAGATGTGCCATTTCAAACAGAGAGGCCAAGAATGAATAGGTTTACGTCAAGCAGCTGGAATGAAACTATAATTACTTGTGACGTTTCAGTCATTAGATGCATCGTAATTAGGTATTTCGAGGTTGATCTACCTATTGCTTCTGTGTCACGTGCCTTGGTGTCACGCATACCTACCTAAGGTAGGTACTACCTTCCCAACGCGTCTGAAGGGCCTAATTTAGGTACCTAGGTAGCTGTAGGTCAGCTTCACGTTAACCTCAAACGCGATAAGACATTTTGTTGAAACATCTCATCAACTTCGAAATTACTCATCTCCTTTCACTCACCAAACACTAAAAGGACCCTTCTCTGACTGTAACAATGGCTCGCACCGTCACCAAGAAGCGCGCTGCCGATTCTGATAGCGAGCCTGAGACTGCTTCCAAGAGAGTCAAAAGCACCGCGACATCTGTTGAGTCCGATGGCAAAGATGATGATGGAAACCCGTTCTGGGAGGTAAGTAATTGTGATTCACGATTTTAAAACAGTGTTCCTAAAAGTGCTGTTCAGCTATCCAACAAGCGCCGTGTAGGTGTATCAGACTTCAGCAAGAAGACCTTTGTCAATGTCCGAGAGTACTACGAGAAGGATGGCAAGACTCTGCCAGGCAAGAAGGTACTTGAAATTTCTTGCCGATACTCTAACCGCCATGCTAATTACTCCGAAAGGGCATTTCACTTTCCATCGAGCAGTACAATGCTCTCCTGAAAGCCATTCCGCGTATTAATGCCACTCTGCGCGCCAAAGGTCTCGTTGTTGAAGGCGACGAGGCAGAAGAGCTCGAGACTGCTCTAGAGCCTATTCCAAAGGCTAAGAAAGAGCGAAAGAGGTCGCCCAAGTCCAACATCGATGTCACCAGCGAAGAAGAGGAGGATTAGACTGATACATTTGTGATATTTTGTCGTTCGGCTTGTGCTGGTCGGTGACCGGTATGGAGTAAGGAGTTACGGGCTGGAGACCCGGAGTGATTTGCGTATGTGGGATCGTGTACCAATGTAAACTCAAAAGTCTGTATCTCAAGAAAGTACTGAGATTAATACATATGTCGGAGGTTTCCTCTTCCTTCTGAGATTTCTTGTGCTCGTTGCATAGTACATCGTCACAATAACAGGAACTAGAACTTACGAGTACAACCAGAATCGAGACTCTTTACCACTGGAGTCATTGGTTTTTTCTCTCTCTTTTTCTTTCTGGATTTGTATCCGTATAAGGAGAATGAATGTTATGGCAGGCGTACTATCGGAGGCTGCGGAGCACATTATGTTTCATCTACTCACAGCGATATAAATCAGTGCACAAGGCCTAATAATAGATTCTTCTTGGGCCGTTGAGTGGAAATGATTGGCAACAAGGGCTGAGTAAATGAATGCACTATCCTTTGAACTTTATCCGCAGCAACTATCTTGGTAACATGAAACAAGGCTTCCAAAGGGCCACGGGCTTGAAGCTCGGCATGTGAAATCGCGTTGATATTTTGTGTACATTATTATTGGGAATTCCTCTCTATTCCGTTATCTAGAATACCGAGAATTCCAGGCCCTTGATTTCTACTACCAAGGAATGAGTGCCATTCATGATGAATAGCCTGCTAAGCCGCAGCATTGATATAGCCAAATCAAGTAGAGAAAATGGGACCATCGCCAGTTTGAAAGATCAATCATAGAGACTTGAATACTCTCAATATTAGCTTTGCTTTTTTCTTGGACAAATATCATTATTATTTTAGTTCAAGGTCCTCAACGTTGTCCTACAGCCTACGGATACCCCATCTACGTTTCAAGTCTCCGCTAAGGGGTGGGTTGACGCGCAAGCCTTATTCCCGAGAAACTTAGCTTGGCCTCGACCAGACTTTAACAATCCAGGATAGCAGTAGAGCCAGATACTCTCATTCCAATCGAGAACTCTAACAGTCTGGAACAATTCCGCCAGTGTTTTTGAAAAAAGTGCCAGGCTTATCAGGCTAACCTAATCTTACAAAAGATACTGCGCCCCGCTCACTCAGCGCTTGAAAGTGAAGATCATGAAGTTGATCAGTGACTTTGGAACACGGCAATGTCGGCTGCGGCATGGCAGTGGTGATCTAGATAATAGTCGCCAGCCACTTTATATGCAGACAATTGCCATTGGTCTCTGCGGGCGTTTATATGCACTGGATCTGTTTTCAGGAGGTGAAGACCCATGGAAGGGACATGTTGGTTTCTCAGCAGCAGCTTGACAAAAGACCCAACATCAGTCATATTGAATACCTCATGATCAGGAAGAACCGCCTGTAACTTGTAGAACAAGAGGGAACAAAGTCCTAGAGCCAAGCCTTCAGTGCTTGGGAGATGGATGGATGGTGATAGCCCGGCTTTTGGCGCCTGCCCAAGCCGCCCCTGGACCCAGCAAAAATGGGATACGGGGTCTCCTATTCCCTGGGGCCTTAACTAGTATTATTACTGTGCTACTCCATACAGCCTACAGGTTCTGTCCACCTTAAACTTCTGACTTGTCCTCTCTGTTACCTTGTTTCACCCTCTCATCATAATCGAGTCCCTTAACATTTTTCTTTTTATCGATTCTTTTACTCGCACTCTCGTCACTCCTTATTGTAATCGTTTTACGCACAGTCTCTTTTGCCTGTCTGTGTTGTCTCATATTTCTTCGATATCTTGTCGGAACTTACGATCGGCTCTTCCGTCTGGTGACGCAGCTCAGCCAGCAAGTACTGCACTCACTGTATTCTCATAATCTATTTCCGTTTCAGGCTCATTCAAGCAACCAATCTCGATCTCATCCCCAGATTTAAGCACATATTCCAGACTTGAAAGGCAGAATCAACGTGCACCTAGACTTCTCTGTTAATCTCTTACTTGATGTTTGCACTACTCAACACATAATCACCAAACATATTATCTCTCTCAGTTTTTGAAATGCGCATCTCGTGGCGTCTGGGCTCGGGCTACGTCGAGTCGGTGGATGACTACATCGGCGTTTTGGTTCCTCTGGAGGAAGCTCATCTTTATAGCCAAGCGGCTAAAGCTAAGAATGCGAGCAATGGGGCAAAGCGAGAAGAGGGGGAGATGGACGACTTGGAGATGAAAGAGGAAAGCGAGGGTATGCTTGGGGGTGAGGCTGGTGAATACACCGTTGAAGGTCTGCGCAAGGAGATGAGAGAAGGACGTCGAGGGCAGTGGACGACATATGAAAGTGAGTAAAGTGTTGAAAAACAACACAGCAGCGGAAACTGACAAAATTATAGTCAAATCAAAACTCATAAACAAAGCAGTTGGGGATATCGGCATGGGTAGTTATAACTGGCAGCTCTTTGTGTTATGTGGCTGTGGATGGTTCGCCGACAACCTCTGGATGCAGGGGGTATCACTCTGTCTCCCATCACTTTCAGGCGAGTTCGGCATCGACGAAAAGACAGTTCGATACACGACCAGCGCCCTCTTCATCGGTCTCTCCATTGGCAGTTTCTTCTGGGGCATTGGATCCGACTTCCTTGGCCGTCGCATCGCCTTCAACACCACGTTGCTTATCACCAGCGTATTCGGTATCATGTCCGCTTACGCTCAGAGCTGGGGCAGCGTCTGCTTCTTATTCGCCGCCCTGGGCTTTGGAGTTGGTGGCAATCTTCCAGTCGACGGCGCTCTCTTCCTCGAATTTCTCCCTGATGCTTCCAGCGCTCTTCTCACCCTCCTGTCCGTCTGGTGGCCCTTTGGACAGCTTGTCTCATCTCTGATCGCATGGTATTTTATCGGCAACTGGCCTATTCAGCAGGGCTGGCGATACTTCATTGTCACGATTGGCATTGTCACCTTTGCCATGTTTGTCGTCCGATTCTTCATCTTCCATCTTTTCGAATCGCCCAAATTCCTCCTCAACAAGGGCCGTCAGCACGAGGCCGTCGCTGTCATCCACGGACTGGCATACCGCAACGGCACAAAGACGTGGCTCACTTCTGAGCTTCTCGATCTGGTGTCCTGTGAGGATGGTGAGGATATAGCCCACGTAGCTGAGAAGAAGACCCCTGCCCTATCGACTTTCGGTGTTATCCGTGAGAAGATCCGATCTTTCTCTGGGGAGCGTATACGACCTCTCTTCAAGACCAAGACCCTTGGCGTGGCAACATCATTGATCTGGTTCTGCTGGGCCACCATCGGAATGGGCTATCCCCTTTTCAATGCCTTTCTTCCTCAGTACTTTGCTCGTGCGCACAACGAGGAAGCCTCAGAGAACATGCAGTCCGAAACTGACACCATCTCGTCCGACACATATCGCAACTACGCCATCGCCTCTGTCATGGGCGTCCCGGGCTCTCTACTAGCTGCTTATCTCGTCGACCATCCATCTCCCTTCCTTGGCCGCCGCGGAACACTTGCCAGCTCCACGCTCCTCTCTGCGATATTCCTTTTCCTCTTCGTCTTCTATGGCACAACCTCAACTGCACAGCTTCTCATGTCTTGCGTTGAAGCTTTCGCCCAGAACATTATGTATGGCGTTCTCTACGCCTTCACTCCTGAGATTTTCCCTGCCCCCGTCCGCGGTGCTGGTACTGGCGTAGCCAGCTTTTTGAACCGTATCACTGGCCTTATGGCACCCATCATCGCTGCTACTGTTCCTGGTGATGGCGCTACGACCCCTATCATCATGTCCGCCATTCTTATCCTGTCAGCCTTTGTTGGCATTTGTCTGATTCCTATCGAGACGAGAGGAGCTTCGCGACTCTGAAACCTCTCAATCCTTTCATTTAATCAACCAGCGCGGTTTTAACAAAGCACTAAGAACCCCATGACCTTTCAATTTACAACATACAACGTACGCATACTAACGACCTGGAGTCAAAGAGGGGTCCTGGGTATGGCTTGCATTTTCTCTTATCCTTTACATACGGGGTTGGGTCGTGTTTTTCGGCTTTGGTGTTATTCATATAGGTGCCTGTTTGGAGCGGTCTAGTCTATTAAAATGTACAATAGATATTGATAAAGTTTGCCTATCGAGTTCCCTTGGCGCCCGCCGGCGCATCAACTCTTCTCTTCCTCAGTGATGTACCCATGGCATCCCTGACCATGGGGTCGGCTCTGATAGTATTCTGTACAAGCCACTCCCGCATCTTGCCTTGAAGATTGGACGTTGCTTCGGCATCGCCCTTGAACGGTGCCATTTCCATATCCAATAGTCGCAGAGCATCACCATCGAGCTGCTTAGCCAGCATTTCAAGTCTGTTCAGACTTTGCCGCAGAGCCTTTTCGTCCTGTTCTTCAGACTTCTCTGGCCCCGTAATCATTGTCGCAACGAGTGGTCCTATCTGGTTCAGAGCGATGTAGAAAGTGATCGTTAGTCTTCGGGCTAGCGAGATGACCTGGAATGGGAGGTATGGCGGCAAAGAAGTGACTCGGGCGAGGACAGCGTTAATGGCGTTGACAAAGGGTGGGAATTCAGGGCGTGTCACAGCCTGGAGCTCAAAGATACATAGAGCGATGAGAACAAGCCATCTGTAGTATTTGCCAAACTCCATATAACCAAACAAGCCAAGGACATAGATGGATACAGCAGCAATCACGTAGTGAGGTAGGATACCCGAGATGACACCACGAGTAATGTAGTCTCTAATGGTAAGGCACTTTTGCCAGCGCGCAATCTCAGGTCCAAACCGCTCGTACGCAAACCGTTTTGCAGTATCCTGCAGGGTATCGCTAGCAACCTTCAGATGCATAAAGAAAGCCGCCGAGTCGCCTGCGTCCTTGCCGGCCTTGTCGGGGTGGTGCATAGCAGCCAAACGACGGAAGCGCGTCTTAATCTCGCGGTCGGCGGCGTCGAGGGGAACGCCAAGATCGGCGTAGTAGGAGGATATGCGTCGCTGTTCGTAGTCGGCCTCGAAGATGGTGTAGCAGAGGTAGGCAGCGACAACGAGGATGTGGATGTTGCGTCGATGCGAGTTGTAGCGGGCTGAGCCCGGCGCAGGCTTAGGGTCGCCTGCTCGAATGGTAACGCCGTAGTATATAGACTGAAGCCATCCTGTTGCGAGCTACGGGGGTGATGTTAGCAGGCTGAGGTATCTCGAAAGAACAGAGCACATACGCTTGGGAGAAAGGCCCAGCCTAGCATGGACAGATAGCCAGACATGATGGGCAAGGGAGCATTTATGAGTGCTCTATGTTTTGCGATATGTGCGTGCGCATGTGTTGGAAGCCAAAAAAGAGTGACAGGTAAAAGAATAAGCTGGACGTGTGTGGTATAAGTGGTCTCTGAAGTGGCCAGGTTGTGGTTACAAACGATCGCGCTGGCAGGTGTTCGTTGGTGTTTCTAGCTCCAGTGCGTCAGAGTGGGTCTTGTTCTTTGTCCTCAGGTTAGGTACTTAGGTATTATTGACTTGCATTTAACGTTATAGCTCTTATTATTCTCCGACAGCCCTATATGAACGATTAAGATAAAACAGATAATTGAACAATACTATAATCAGATACATCTATTGGGTTTAAACTTACGTTTATGAGAGCCCAAACTGTCGGCGCCAACCCTGTTTCAACTCCACTCTGGCATATCAAAAGCATGGCAAATCATATACCAAAGTTCAACTTCGACCAAGACGTTCCAATCGCGCCTACACTTATTTGATAAGAACGAATCGCAAGCACAAACCATCGACTTTCCCGAAAATCAGAGACTGGGATTTTTAACCAACCATTCTATCGTTACATTCAAGCAGCACTTATAAGAGACTCGGCGCGTGATGGAAATGCCGAAACAGGATGTTTCGACCGGGGCACCACTGGGCTATCTCTATAGCTTGTGGCGATATATCCAGACTTGATTCGTTGTTGCAACCGCTTGAAACATATTGCTGGCTGCCAGCTTGAGGGTGTTGCCAGTTGGACATGTGGACAATACAATGAGAATATGAGTAGATTCTACTATATCAGCAATGGACATCCTCCAATGTTCTGAAAATGGTAGCCCTTCTTCTTTCTCTCTCTATATCCCTCTCTTTGATTTCCCACGATGCTCCTGTTGCAAATATTTCTCTATGTCGCCGCAGTCTGGGCAGCATGCAACGGCCATGATGAACTCTGCAAGCGGAAGTATTCAGATATCACATTTATAGGCACACACAACAGCGCATTTGTGGGAAGGCTACCTGTTCACAACCAATGCATCTCAGTCACAGAGCAACTTGATCTTGGTGTGAGGTTCCTGCAAGCTCAGACACAGGACAAGGATGGTGATATTCAGATGTGCCATACTCACTGTTGGGAGTTGGATGAAGGCCCTTTAGAGGATTATTTGCAGGAGATCTCGGACTGGATGGGAAAGAACCCGGATGAAGTCGTGACGTTGCTCTTGACCAATATCGACGCTTTACCTATCGAGAAGTTCGACGACGCCTTCAACAGTACGGGACTCAAGGAGTTTGTGTTTCATCCCGAGAAGAAACTCGCCCTTGATGAATGGCCGACCTTACAGCGATTTCTTGACGACGGAACACGTCTCGTTGTATTTATGGGTATATTACCAAAGACTTGTTGGGGGTCTGATCATACTGACTTGGCTTGATTTGACTTAGACTACAATATGGACGAGAGCAAAGTCGACTACATCATCAACGAATTCGACTACTTTTGGGAAACACCCTTTGGCGAAACCGACTCTTCATTCCCCACTTGCGAGGTTGATCGGCCTGAGAACGGGGATCCTGTCAAGCTCATGGGAACCATGAACCACATGCTGAATCATGACGTCTTGGGTATTGTGATTCCGAATCAACTTGATGCAGAAGAGACCAACTCGGCCGAATCTATTCAGAGCCAGGTGGATCTCTGTGAGGGTAATTGGAGCAGGCGACCGAATGTTATTCTTGTAAGTGATTAGCCAAGTCTACAGTAACTCGTTACTAACAGTTGTAGTTGGATTGGGTCAATGTTGGAGACGCGGTAGATGTTCAGTTGTCTTTGAATGGATTGTGATATAGGACTTTTGGATCTGTATATTTATATTCTAATGGATTTTGGCATAGTTTCAGACAGCAACAGACTCAATCATGGTCCATGTATGTTAGTTGACTGCAGCATTACTTAGTATGATGGTGAGAGAAGCAAAACTAGTCATTTCAAAATCCATGACACAACTATTCGAAGCGAGATCATATCCTATTCACTGACTGTGTAGTATGTACGAGTACAGAGTAGCAAATTCGATCTACAGGTGTCTGTAATGTCGATGTTGTTCCAATTGCTTGATTACGATAGGTAATCAATGCACGATTTAAGTTAGAATGTAAAAAGTTGCCGTTGATTGGCCCGATATTGAGTTTGGAGTCGATCAAGGGGCTCTGTACCTGGCTAGCGCAGGGGTGTCCACTGAAGAATGTCCTTTAGGCCTCCAGCTAGGTCCACTTGCAACAGGGAACGCTATTAAATAAACTCTACCTAAGTCTAGGCTATGCCAGGTACCAACCGACACGATGCAGGGCAACGACAAAGCTTGTTTTCTTCCGCTTGGTCATAACTTACGAGGAGGACCTGTAGCAATGACTTTATCTTCCATGACATGAGAAACTAGCAGAAAGCTTCTTCTTACTATTGATCTAACGTTTAGTAACGAGCCACGCGGACGTTGTTGTTTGAGATATACCACACCAAGGCCCTCCCTCCTAGTTAGCAAGAGAGCCAGCCCCCTTTAACACTTGGAATGATGAATCTGAATCACTTGGTATTTGTGATAGCATTGAACTTTGTTCCATTACATAGACAAAATGAAACGGTTATACTATCCCTATGACTTGCCTGATTAAGCCTGCAATGTGACACAAGCCCTTTTGTTCATTGGACAGAGTCGTCTCTTTCATCGATTATCGAAATTGCCTTGCAACATTGAATCATTTGACGTAGGTACGTAGTGTAGTATCCGTGGGCCGTAGTAAACATCACCATCACGCTTCTTTCATTTGCCGTGCCGTCCGCCTTCTCTAGCAACACCGCGCCGTTGATTAGTGGCGCGCCTCCTTTTCCGGCTTTTGTCTCCCTGAATTTGGTCTTGCTCGTATTAACAAAAAAAGAGACCATGGGCCGAGAGCCTTGTCTCGATTGAGTGGCCTGTTCCTTTTTTTGGTAGTGTCCTCTTGGAGACTTGGACTTGTACTTGTTCTTTTTTTTCTCCTCTTGTTTTCCTCTTCCTCTTTTGTTTACTTCTCTTCCCCATCATCTTATACTTCCCCCACATTCTCCAGACCCATACAATGTTGCTTCGCAAGCTTGGACAAGTCCTGGCCGCGACAGCAGGTAAGCACAAACCTACCATTGGCACTTGGGCACATTCAGCAATTATACTCAATTGAAATTGTTGCGACTAACTAGTATTTTCTTCATTTGATAGCTCTGTTTCCTGTCGCCTTCGCGAAAGACAAAGATGATGTCGGCCAATCCACATTTGTCTCCCCAGATGGCGACGTAGCATTCGCCATTGACATTGGCGACAACCTCAACACCGAAGTTTACCTCAGTCTCCGTGTCAAGATAGACCGATCCTGGGGCGCCGTTGGCCTTGGAAGCGAGGACATGCCCGGAGCATTGTTTCTGATGGTCTACAAGAACCGAGACAACAACAACGTCACATTTTCCCCACGGCTCGCCTACGGACACTACGAACCCTACTTCTGGGATGAGCTGGATTACGATGTACTTGACGGTACGGGAATCATCGACGATCACATGGTTGTGACAATTCGCTGCAAGAGTGGATGTCGCAGTTGGCCTTCGCATGGTGGACAGAGAGGATACCTGGATGTTTCCGAGCACAACAGCCAGGCCATCTTTGGCTTTGGGCCCAAGGAAGACTTTTACAGCGATGAACAGGATGCGCCTCTCAAGTACCACGCGGGATACGGTAGCTTCTCTATCGATATCGGAAGGACGGAGGGCAAGTCTGAACTACCGTCCCTTAGCGATTCGACAAAGAATGTTGGATCCAAGCTTGTCTATTCCAAGAAGGCCAAGCCCAACTGGGCGTCGCCACTGCACGGAGTATTCATGGTCTTATCCATCGTTTTCCTCATGCCAGTTGGAGTTGTCCTTCTGAGGTCCGGTGGTTGGGTCAAGTGGCACGCTCTCAACCAGACCATTGCGACTATTGGGGTTCTCGCCGGTTTCGGAATCGGTATTGCCAACAGTTTCTACTACCAAAGGGTAAGTTGCTTAACTCGTGGGACCAGATCTATTACTAACAAAAACAGTCTCGAAGCTTTGATGATCCTCATCAAATCGTTGGATTCGTTGTTACTGGTCTATTGCTTGGACAGTTTGGACTGGGAATAATGCACCACACCCAATACAAGAAGACACAAACCCCGACCAGGTACGGCAAGATCCATCTCTGGGTTGGCCGTGTTATTCTCTTCCTGGGTACCTTGAACGCATTCCTGTGAGTTTTCCGATCGACCGTCATTTATGACAATTGCTAACCTACAATCAGCGGCTTCACATTCGCTCTCAACCGAAGATTCGGCATGCTCCTCGCCCTTCTCATCTTCTTCATCTGCATAAGCAGTCTCATCCTAATCTATGGCCGTCAATACTTAGACAAGCGACGTCGCGGCCCTCGCGGTCCCGGTCTTGCAAACCCTCAACCATACGGCCATGCGCCTTGGCGAGAGCCTCCTCCTCAGCACATGAGCGGTTATCCATCCGATCCTCCACCAGGATACCAGCCTCCGTCAAACCAGGCTGGACTTGGCGGGCAAATGTCGCCTGCCATGCGTTCGCCGTCTCCCTGGCGATCAACCGACAAGGATGATGACGCAGATTTGGATATGGGACGTGAGCAGCGACCGAGGGAGTTTTAAGCACGTTTGGGTTTCGGGCAAAGGGGGTTGGCGTTTGGGTCATTTCTTGAACAGTGGCGGAGAGAATGAGACGTGTTGTCGCGGCATTGGTATTGAAAAAGCGAACCTATACTTTACATGATGCTGTAGTTCTTGGTATGAATTCATGAGAAACAATACAATTTCCGGTATTTCAAGTGTGTATATCACTTCAAGGCGAACGCAACCATGCTGACATTGAAGTGTGGGAGCAGCTTAATTGGTGTTCGATATAATCCTTACAGACAACACATTATGTATGTTATAAACGGTGAAGTAAGCATAAAAATAAGCTCAGACTAAAGCTCATATGCCAAGCAATAGAATTATCGATCTGGGTTCGAATTCATCCACCCCGGCTGTTGGTTCGCGAACACATCATCTGATGATTTAGGGTAGGTTAAAGTAAAGAGCACATTCAGAGACCGTTGCATTTATCTCTACGTCGTTCAATTGAAATCCCAATTCAAGTCGGTGTATTGTCCTTGAGTTAGTTGTATAGTTTTGCGTTGTAGTTCTATCGATATGTTGCCGACATCGGGTCGTGATACCTTATCTGAAGGTTTGGTAGCCATAAAATTGACTCAACCGTGTCATTCAAACTTCATCTCTTAACATTTCATCCAACAACAACGACGCCCAGATAGCAACAATGTCAGTTAAAGTTAATATCGGAAACCTGAGCCTCAGGATTAAAACAACTCCTATCACGCAAGAGGACTTCGCGCCTTTTGGAGATGTAGTTTCGAACCCTCGAGCTGGCCTTCTCCCGTCTAAATACGCACCCCAAGGCGGTCAATTGCCATACAGCGGCGCATCGGCCAACCAAGGAACAGCAATTCGCTACGCCGACGTTAGCAAACCTCAGGATCTCTTGTCGCAAGCCCCTAGTAGCAATGGCAAATTGATCATGAGTCAGTTCGTCTGCGAAGCCCGAAGCTTGGAGCCCGCCAGCGACGACCCTACCCAAGACGAGTTCTCTGTCAATATCCTCGAGCGTCACCCATTCACCTCGCAGACGTTTGCTCCACTGGCCTCTACCGCTTCGAGCTACCTGATCGTTGTAGCGCCGTCTCTGCCCCCGTCTCCCCAGGATGAGGGTCTCCCCGTGCCAAGCGGTAGTGGACTCCCTGGCAGAGGTCTACCTGACCTAAAGGGCTTGCGCGCCTTTACTGCGACAGACCGCCAGGCCGTGACTTATGCAGCTGGAACGTGGCATGCCCCGATGGTGGCACTGGGCGAGAAGGAGACTACGTTGGATTTCCTGGTCGTTCAGTTCTCCAGTGGCGTCGATATTCAAGACTGCCAGATCGTCACGTTCGAGGGTCAAGACTCCAAGGAGCCCGATATCAAAGTGCGTCTTCCGCGGCGCGGAAGATTTACCGCGAAGCTGTAGCTATATCAAGACGGGTGATATTTGAGGACCAGTGTACTGCGTAATTTGGCGGTGGCTGAGTAAGTGTATTTGACATGTAATTTAAAACATATGCCTCATTCAATAGCAATACAGTTATCTGCAATACCATTGCCCTTGAATGAGTGTTTCAACTAATCTTGAAAAGACCAAGCTCAGGCTCATCGATGTGACTATTTGCAGGGACACAATCGAAACAAAAATAGTTATCTCGATATAGACTCTCGCATATTCTTGAAAGCTTAGTAATCGTGCATTCCTATCATACCACGACAACCTCAGAAAGTGTTCTTATAGCGGCCGAGAACCCTTAGTAAACTGTGTTCCCTACTTCAGAAGATCTTCAAACAACATTGAAACCCAACAACAGTAACATTGAGTTGTCCCTAAAGACATCATGGTGGCTCAATTTGAAGCAGCCGAGGCTCGTAACAAGCTCGAGGACCTCTCTGGGATCAAGCTGAAATCTGGCGAGAACCCATACAATGCTCTTATTGAGGCTTGTAACGACGATGTTGTAAGTGGTCCTTCACCCAACCCGGTTATTCCTAAGCTCACCGTGGCAGGCTGAGATTCAAACTCTCTACTCCGTCCATCGGACGAAGAGAAACGCCCAACAGGCGGAGAAGTTCTTGGATACTGCTTTCCAGGAGCTCATCATTGACCAAACCCTCCTGAGGCTTGAGGATCCGACTGTTGAGCCAGGTTTTCGTGATAGCAGAAACTGCTTGGTCTTTTGGGTTCGACCCCCCGACCATATCATTCGTCTGGCTGCCAAGGTCAACGAGTTGCTGCAGAAAGCCGCACCCAGTAAGTAGATTCAGAGGCATGGCAGTGTTCACGTCAACTGAATGCTAATAAATTAAATAGGTGTCTGGCTTATGCCTTCGCACAGAATGCATATGACAGCTCTTGAGGTTGCTTTCTCAAAGACACCCCAGGAGATTGCTGCTTATGTTTCTACGCTGCGACCTTCCATTCCTGACATTGTCAACTACACATACTCGCATAGATCCCGCCTGGTCAAGCCAATGGTCTCCTACGATCTGTCTGCTTTTGCTCTCTCATTCCTGCCCGCCTCAGGTGAACAATCGCTTTCACCCCCTCTCACTGAACCTGTTGCTACAGATGGTATCACGCAGGGAGACAACTACACCTACCACCATCTACGCCGTGATGTGTACGACAAGGTGCAGGCGGGCGGCGTTGTAGTTGGTTCAAGGTATCAAGTCCCCAGCGCGCATATCACGCTCGGACGGTATCTCAACCACGATGACCATGATACGCCAGAGAAGAGGGCGGCGTGGGTCAAGGCTATAGATGAGATCAATGCATGGCTCGAGAAGGAGGTTTGGGATAACCCAGACTCCGAGTACAACGGCGAATGGCTCGTCGGTCATGAGAGAGGCATTGATGCGCGAAATGGCGCACTCTGGTACGGAGGCGGCAAGACCATCATGTTGGGAGAAGGATTTTAGAGGAGCATCAAAGCATTAGACCTATAGACCTATATACCTGTGGTGTTTTGAAGCTTGCTCGACCATATCCATGACTCATAAGTCGTTCTCCCGCGCATCGTGGGCGATGCTGAGGGGTAATGACTCAACACCAAAAGTTTTTTTGTTCATCACCGTAGAGGCATATTCTCGTGCTGTGCTTTGAGTAGTCGTGTTGGTGCAACACAGAGATTTTTTTTCATTCATTCCCTATGAAACATGCCTCAAATTGAGGACGTGTACCTCCTTTCGCCTGTGTCCATCCATGATGCCCAAATGCCGCCGAGGGAAGCATAGAAATGGTGACCCTGAGACCCCAAACACAATGCACTTAGAAAACCAGAGCAGCACCCTTCGTCTTCTTGTCACCACTGTAGTCGTTGTCAGTATGTTGCTTTCGCCGAGGATCCACGAGTTCACGTACCCAAGCTCGAAGTGCTTGCATCGCTTCAGCGCAAGCTGGAGCTTGGTCTTGCACTTGACACACTCCAATCGCAGGACAACCTTCTTGGTGGTCTTGGCCTTCTTGTGGAAGACAGGCTTGGTCTGACCACCGTAACCGGACTGCTTGCGGTCGTATCGTCGCTTACCCTGGGCGAACAGGGAGGCCTTTCCAGCCTTGTACTGGGTGACCTTGTGCTGGGTGTGCTTGCGGCACTCCTTGCCCTTGCAGTAGGTGTTACGGGTCTTGGGAATGTTGACCTGTGGGATCCAGCGTGTTAGCCAACTGGTGATGCTTGAGTGTGTCAAGACCTCTTATTAAATCTCGCCATGTTGAGTCGTCCGCCACCAAGACAGTCTGAGAGAAAGGGTTGAATCGTCGCATGTATTGAATAGCGTAAAGGCATTGGTGTGGTCGATATGTCGTCGGGATTCGAGTTTAGGCGTTGGTATATCGAGAATCGTGTCCCTCGCGATGCTTCAGAATTTCATCCCACTTTCTCCCAAAATTGACTGTCATTGTGCGGGCGGTCGACGGCGCATAGCTCGAGATAGCAGCATTGCATATTCAAGAGTATGCTGATGCTATTGCTGACGCGTATGAGAGGGCTTTTGGACTGATGCGACGTACCATTTTGACGACGATGTGCGGTGCCGTTCGTTGGGTGTGTTTGGTGATGCAAGTTCCAAAAGACTGGCTAAAATTGGAGGTTTTGGTGATTTCTCACTTTGTGGGCAGCCGACCCTACCTAGCCCCATTCGGGCGGTGTGGCACTCGCTTGGATGCGCCACATGTTGGTGCCTCGTATGTCGGGCACTCATGATTGACGCCTCACCGCGGTGAGGCTAAGGGGGTACCTAGGTACGGATAGGTGCTTTCCATTTGGAGCTGACCCCACGAAAGGACAGACTACGGCCCCACCATTGGATTGGATCTCGCAGGCGCATCACCAAGGTGTTCTCAAGGGACGTTTTAGGGACAACAGTCGATTAATTATACGCAATTATAGAAAGCAGCACAAGAAACAACCGTCAAAATGGACCCCTACTCGACCGAAGGCGAATTGATCAACATCCACAACTACTTCCACCAGGGTCAATACCAGGAAGTTGTTGACTTCGATACCTCATCCTTCTCCCCTGACAACGCTCTGCCCGCGCGCATCCTCGTTCTCCGAGCTCGACTAGCCCTCGGTCAATCTGAAGATGTTCTCGATGATGTGAAGGGCGAGTCCGAGCCTGAGCTGCAAGCTCTAGGTGCTCTTGCTGAGTTCAACCTGGGCAAGGCCGATTCAGCAGTCCAGACAATCGAGAAGCTGGTCTCTTCAGCCGCCGATAACACAACAGTGCAGGTCATTGGAGGAACAGTTCTTCAAGCTGCTGGAAAGTCTGAGGAGGCGCTTGCTCTTCTCACACAGCATCAGGGAAGCCGTACGATTACCTGAAGCCTCCGTCGTGCTTAGGACTGCGCTGACCGCTATTATACAGTTGATGCCGTCTCCCTTATCGTTCAGATCCACCTGCAACAGAACAGAACAGACCTTGCCCTAAAGGAAGTCACTGCTGCGCGAAGATGGGCTCAGGATAGTCTTTTGGTCAACTTGGCTGAGTCGTGGGTTGGATTAAGAGTGGTAAGCATTGTACGATTGTCACAAACGACGTTCACTAAGACGTATAGGGTGGTGAGAAGTACCAGCAGGCGTTTTACGTCTATGAGGAGCTCGCACAAGCCCCTTCGACCTCATCAGTACGAACCCTTGTTTCCCAAGCTGTCTGCGAACTGCACCTTGGCCGAACAGAAGAAGCCCAGGCTGCTCTGGACCAGGCTCTGGAGAAGGACACTAACAACGCCGATGCCATCGCCAACTTGCTCGTCCTCAGCATTATCTCTGGCAGCCAGTCTGAGGAGCTCACACAGTAAGTCTAACGAATCAAGATGACATGGTATTGTGCTTACACTTACTTAGAAAACTCCAGACCATCAAGCCTGACCACCAGTTCCTGGCTGACTTTGAAGAGAAGAGCGCTCTATTTGACAAGGCCGCTACAAAGTACAGCCCCAAGGTGTCGGCATAATTTGGCCGAGGTATATGAACTGCTAGATTTAATGACGGACGCATGGTTGATAGAGGATTTCAATTCTTTAGCAGCGACGATTATCAAGAGGTTGCCGACGTGTTACAGGGTGGGAGTCGCCATGTATACGTCTGAGATTATGAAAACCGAAGAGAAGATTAGGATGTGGAAAATAGAACAAATATCTTTACTGCTGAATCCAGTCAATGTTAAACTCCGAGGGGTGTAGACTGCCATGTTCTATACCATGTTATCATACTTCTCGACTGAGTTGTCGAGTGGGACAACTTGCTACACCTTATAATCCTGAATTCCAAAATCCGCTTCTGTAAACTTTCTCACCCTACTCGACCGCTCCCTTAATTGTTGGCATTCTCAAGTTCGAGAATGGCTGAAGTCTTTTTCGTGCTGCTGACATCCACAGTCTCGGAGGCTCCGATGCTAGGAGACCATATTTGTCTAGGTACTACGTACGTGCGGAGTAAATACTAATGATACGATTATTAAGACATAGGTTGCATTGTGCAATTCCACCATGATACTGGTTATATATACGAGAAGTCTCACATAACGGAATGGTATTGGCACAAGTTCGAGATGCACGAGAGGATAGTTTATTTGGGTGAGCGGGCGTGTTACCTCGCTCAAAAGTGAAGAAACCCGAACGTCCATGTCATAATAGGAGGTCCATTCTTTCTATTGCCCTCGATCCTGAAACCCCGTGATGAAGAAAAAAAGAAGTCTCATGTACCCATAGTCATAAACGCATCGTGACGGCCCACACGAAACTCCCGTATTTCCCAGCCAAGATATCAATCATCATTCGCTAACGCTCGACGCGGCTCTGAAGCCCTCTTACAGATGTTTTTCTCTGAAGCATGAACTGCTCACTTCTTGTTGGGGAACTTGGGGGAGCCAATATCGCTGCCTCGCAACTTGACATTGAGCACCCGCTCCATGGCGCTGAGCACCTTCTGGTCGGGGGTGGCACTGCCTCGCTCGAAATCGGCGACGATGGCCTGGGTGGTGTTACACTTGGTGGCAAGGTCCTTCTGGGTCATCTTGGGCTCGACCTGCTGTCGGGTCTTGGAGATGACGTCGCCAACAGTCTTGCCGATAGTGTTGGGCTTGATGATGTCGTCTGAACGGTCAACCTTTGTCATGCGCTGACCCTCTGGTGCGGAACCCTGGAAAAATATGTTAATTGATGCAGAAAGACGCACGCGAGAAGGTTTTACATACAGCGTTGGCAGAGGAGTACTTCTTCTCGGTGGAGAGACCACCAGCTCGTTGGGCAGCGTTGAGAGCGGCCTTTCCTCGAACAACAGTCTCGCGCTGGGCGGCGCCGGAGCCACGAGTGCGGCTTCCGATCTTGGTAGCGGTATCCCAATCGTCAGACATTTTGAAGGTGGATAGAGTGGTATCGAAGGTAGATGTGTGTGCTTGGAAGCAGATTGTAGGTCGAGCAGGAGTGTGGAAAGTGTTGTTTGTTGTTGGTTGAGTGAAAGTGGAATATAGATCGAGCTGAGGTTCTGGGCGACAAAGAATTTATGGGGAAGGTGATGGAATGGATGGAGGGGCTTGGAGGGCACTGAGTCAATCGGCGGAGGGGTTATAATTGGCACCGTGCAGCGCGTGCATCGGTGGCCTCTCTGCCTCTCTCTCCCTCCACTGTATACCCGCGCCTCACTGCCCCCTGCTGAACGGTAAGGCTGCCTTGCCTTGCTGCCCTGGAGATAACAGTGCGACTGTTGCAAAAGAGGTGTCAATTTTCTTTCTCGCACCGCCACTGGTGGCTCACCTTCCTCGCCCCTTCTGAGCCCGTAGAAGGTGCTAGACTTTCTGGATGGACCCTTTTCTTACAGGGTTAGATGACGGCTAAGCCGGGCTGCCCTGAGATCAAACTCGGTATGACTGTGAGAGATAGATTCAATGACGACAACCAGTGGGACCCTTGATCTACCATTTACAACGTGATGCGCTCTTGCTCTCGGGTCATCGCACACACAAGACTAGCTCTACGTGCCTGATGAGTTGATGACTAAAATAACGGCCTATCACCACCTAATCTCTAATCCTCGCCTATTGGTTGTCATGTAGATCCAGTGTCCATTACAGGCAATCAACCTTGATGGACAACTTTGAACCTCGGATACCTTCCATAGGTGATTATCATGTCTAAGACAATTTAAAGACTTACTTCTTTCACCTCCCCTCTTCTTCTTTTCTCCTGTGTGATTCTCACCGGGCAGATTGGAAGGGTTCTCCAAATTTCAGCCACGGACATGAACGATCTTGATCTTGTCAATGGACGGCTTGTTCGAGGACTCGTCGCTTCTGTCTCTATCGACTGTCCTCGCAGCTGATTTTGTTGATCGACTCAACGAAAATCGGCTGTCTACTTTCCTGACTGCAACTGTCGTTTCCGTCTACTTTTCCCTCGGGAGCAAGTTGGACATTGGGCTTACCCTAGGGTTTGTTGCTTGGAAGTATTATTTCCTCATTGCTTCACTCTTGCACTCAATTGGGTTGCAGCAACTTGGTCTTGTTACTGCTATCGCTCTTGGAACATATTTTCTTGGGTACTTTGTTTTGAGATGGGGGTCTCCTCGCAAGCCCGGATCTCTCAGAGTCAGTATAGGACAACCAGCCAACAAAACTGAGAGAGTCCTTGAAGGGGCCTTTCGTCAATACCTCAAGCATCTTGTCGGGAAATCGCCAACGCCTCTTGCTGTTCGATACATACCCAGCGGAGTTGCTGAAACTTCCAATGATGTGTTAGTGTCCCATCAGACCGGACCATCAGAACCCATAAACGAGATCGAAATCAAGATCTTGTCACCCGCTTTCTATTCACGTTTCGTCCACTATGCGCATGATTCTGAGGCACTTTTTTGCGAGCTGGCTGAAAGTTGCACGTTCTGGACCGACAAACCGGAATTGTTGATAAAGGTCTTCTTGAAGAAGGGATCCGCGCCTCTCCATGCATCCAGTCTGATCGACTTTATTTACTTCCAGCTCATCAAGAGCTTGAGACGCCGACCAAACAAGATCGAGAAACCCTCAGCGGCTGCATCGCTCTCACCTCAAGGTGTTGATATTCGAGGCTTCCGCATGTCGTCCATGGACGCCTTTATTCTTGCACAAGACGATGTTGGACTCAAGAAAGCCTACAGAACGGGGGTTGTTCGTCTATTCATGGCTGATCACCTCACTCTAGGAAGCATGCGCTTACTTGGCATGATAGAATTCGTGGGAAGAGCGGGCATATCATGGGTAGTAGCGTCTCTCATCTGCCAAGCCATTCCAAATTTCTCATGATAAGAACTCACGAGTTGACACCAGCAGTCAGACTTTAGTAAGGATGGAAGAAGAGAGACGCAGCCCCCACGAACCATCGACGGCTCACAACTCAACGCTTTACCTCCGAGTTCCCCTCGAATTGGCCGACATTGTTACGCTTGGTAGGACCACAGAAACAGGCTAAACTGGCGAGGTTGAGATACTTCCCGCTGGCCAATCAGCAACACGAACTATCTGACCACAGATGTTGAGCTCTCCACTGCCCCGCGACTTTCATCATTAGAGAGACCAAGCTTGGCGATTTGAGTTGCGTATTTGGAAACGAGGGACGGTTTCGGAAACGTCTTAAATGATACTGTCTGCGTGTTATCAAGCTTCTATTGCAACTGAACGATACCATATACCCCTGCGAATCTTCGGCATATCTCGAATTGTCTCAATTCCAAATACTCTTTGCATTAAGCCCCGCTTCGTTTACCTGCAGGGTGTTCTATGAAGAATGACAAATTCCTGTGTCAACGTCACACGGCATTTTGTTCCTTGGGGCGCTTGAACTAAGGCTGACGATGGAATACGCCAACGCGATTACGCTGCATATCGATAATGTTCTGATGGTGCGAGTACCCGAATTGGATGATGTAACTTGCTAAACATTTCAACAATCGTCGTCCTAAGGTTGCCAAGGCCAGACTTACACGAGATGAATACTTTCCGATAAGCTCCCACTCATGTCATCTTTGGACTCACTAATGCGGACGATACTCAAATACTGTACACAAATACTTCGAAACATGCCGCTCCAGTTTACGCCCGTCGTTCCTAGTTCGACAACACACCCTTTACCTGATGATCTTCTTCAACGTCATCCAATCACTACCCCACCACCGGCAGCTTTTCCTGTCCATCATACCGTCACTTCAACAGTCGCCAACAACAGCTCGGGATTTCCCTTACCCCGCTAAAGCCCCTCATGGAGCTTTCGAGAGCTCCTGTAAGCTTTAAAAGCTCGTCTCCTCCCGGGCTTGAAAGTGTTGTTAGTCCAGACATCAATCTTTGACTCTAACACCATAACTTATCACCTGTTATACTCAATCTACCACAATGCCTCTCTCCGGACACTGCCTTTGCAAAGCCGTCACCTACAAGGTTGACGATGAGCCTCTCCTTGTTGGCTACGACCACTGCGACGACTGCCAGCGCCAGAGTGGTTCTACCTACTGTATGGCTTTCTTCTTCGGAAAAGTCACATAACCATCAATCCAAGCTAACGCGCTACTATAGCTCTGGTTGCTGTCGTGAAGAAGGACAAGCTCACCATCAACGGCCCCGTCAAGACCTACTCAGGCACCAAGGGCTCTTCCGGCAACATTGTCCACCGTCTCTTCTGCTCCGAGTGCGGTTCCCCAATTGCCCACGACCCCGATGCTGCCCCCGAGATCATTGCTCTCAAGGCTGGTACCCTCGACACCGAGATCAAGAAGAACCTCAAGCCTGTAAGTGTGACTTACATATACCTTCTCTTATGGCCACTGACACCAATCGTAGGATACCGAGATCTGGACCGCCGGCAAGCTGCCTTTCTGCCAGGAGCACCTTGCCAAGCCCTTCACCCACATGCCTGAGTAAGGAGTAGAATATCGGAAGGATATTATGTTGAAAATGATAACAAGCTGCAAAGAAAGGCTCCGTGCCTGTAAATAATTGAAACGAAAAAAATATAAGTCCATGAACAGAAACTATTTAGTGTGATGGATTGAACTTCCAACTATAAAATAGACTCCACGCTCTATGCTGGTTTACCCTATTATACGTACGGTGTTCTTCAGCATCTCGGACATCATGATATTACCAGCGTCTAAGTAAAGTTATGTCGTTGTGTTAAAAGGGTATCTAGCTATTTCATTCTATCATGAAGGTCCCTCTATATGCGCTCAAATTTACATGTCCCTTTTTATCACATCCAAGACTCCAGTCTAATATCATTATACGTAGTCAAAGCTCATGCAAGCGCACAGCACACAAAAGCCACTGCGATCATGACCATCATGATCGCGGGCTTCTCATGCCCGACCGCGTCAGCCTCAGGAAACTCCTTCTGTATGCGACCTGTTTCACTGGCCTGCACGGTGAAGCAACTCGCCGTTCCACAGTCATATCCATCGGGACAGCATCCAGCAACGGGGCCCGCATTCTTACCACAGAGGAACCAGCCACTTCCACATGTCGATGTAGGCCCTGGAGCAGGGGGCGCATCTGTGGCAAGGACAACGACGGTTGCTCCGTTGGAGACAATTGTCGTCGCAGGAGCGGGACAATCGTGTGTGTCGCAGTTTCTACCGGTTCGGCAACAACCTCCACCGTGAGTTGCGAGGCAGCCGTAGAAGCCTGTAGGGCAGCCCGTTTGGGTATCCCCGTCTTCGCTTGAGGTCACGGAAGTGCCGGTTGGACGATACGGTGCAATACCGGTGACCGAGCCCGTAGCAGTTGCAGTCACACTGTTGGCCTCCGTCTCAGTCTCGGACTCGGATTCGGAGACAGTTGTAGGCTCTTCCTCCGCAGTTGTCTCAACCTCGGTCTCTGTTTCGGTCGTGGGTTCGACAGTCGGTTCCTCGGTCGTGGAAACCTCTTCAGCAGTTGTTTCCTGTGCAGTTGTGGTTATCGTAGGTTGCTGGGTGGTTTGCGCAGTCGTTTTCGTCGGGGTAGCAGCAGCACTTGGCACACCTTGTCGTTGTCAGTATTATTCAAGAAGCTTTACAGATATTCACTTACAGCCAAGGCCTTGACATACATATCCCGGGATACAGCAACCACCGCCGAGGTCCGCAGAACAGCTCGTAGCACCATCAGGACAAGCGCCAACACCTCCACCACATGAGGCACCGTCGGGACAACAGGCAATGCCTCCTGGAACGGCACTGCCAACGTCCACGCAATATGTTCCCTCTTGACAGCACTTGACCTCGGAGTCGATATCGGAGCAGCTGTTCATCCCCTTAGGACAAGACGACCTTCTCTCCAATAACGCCAGCACCTCTGCAGCACGTCGTAACAGGGTATCCCGAGACTCTTCGCTGTGAGGTGCGAATGCTGGGCGGTATAAGCGTTCAGTGCCATTGTGGGCTAGTAACTCGTCATCTTGCTGGTCGAGAAACGATATCGCAGCGGCGGCAGCTTCACGAGGTGAGAGGACATGTAGCGGTGCGAATGCGAGGTGCTCACGGAGGAGCTTGTGGTTGGGGTTTGGCGCGAGCTTTCTAATTGCTGTTGGTGAACTCGATTCGGCAGAGGCCTGTGGAGGTAGCACCGCGGCAAGATAAACTAGAAGAGCCGGTAGGGATCGCATTTCGTTATATTGACTAAGACACACGATGTTCTTCTGTCTTAGTTTGTCTGTTGTCTTGGTTCTCGTCGGGTATATAGATCGAGGTATTGGCGGTGAAATGTGAAGATTACACCGCCACACGGTACCCAACAAATTCCTTGGTTAGGCGGAAATCAAAGGATGTCGAAAAAGAAGATTGGGTATTACTTGAATAAGTACGTATATTACAGGACGAGATAGGACATGATGCTGGGTTCTGATGGGGTATGACAACTCAGACTTATTAGGCTGCGTGTAAACAATTGGGTGGCTGGGAGACGGCTGGGAGAAGATATGACGGGCCGCAGAATGGCTCTATCGCTAAATTGACAGGCAGAACCATGTGGCATAGAACCAAGGTGAGCCAATGATATAACGATCATTTAAATACGTGTCGACCAAGTAAGGACATAACATCGTCAATCTGAAACGGTGCAGAATATCTACCAACTGACAAGTTTGAAGTCATGATGGCGTTCAACGTCATGCAGGGGCTCACATGCTAAATTCCAATGGCGTACCGCCACCAACAGCCACTCACCTCAAGGCCAAGCATTTCATATGTATGTATTATAATTAGAGCAGGTATCATCAATTTTCTCTATTCGTTTTGCGTTATACATCATGATGTTACATAATTTACATATCCCTCCTTCTATATCCAAGCGCCGCCCAAATGCATCGTGATCATACATGAGTTATTACAGTAGCGACACTTGCGCCGCAATTGGAAGGGTGCTTAAAACATCGCTTCCTCGTTACTCTTGTTCTCCTTCTCTTCCACCTTTGCCTCCTCAGTATCAGTTTCTTGCTCCGTAGTGATATCGAGTTTTTCCGACTCCCTCTCAGCTTGCTCGGAGTTGGTGATAACCTCGTCGACTACCTCGACGGCATTTACTTCAGTCTCAGTTACTGCGACCTCAGTCTCCGTCTCGATAGACTCGATCTTTGGATCGGCCGGCTTAGCCTTGATCTCGGCTACAGGCTCCCTAACAAAAGAATGACACAAGAGTCCAGCTGCGACACTAACGTTCAAACTGTCGACGCAGCTTCCCTGAACAAAACGAGGAACTGATAGTTCGTAGTCAGCGGCGACCTTAACAGGCTTCGATAGGCCATAACCCTCGTTACCGAGAACGAGCAGACAGGGGTGGTTGTTTAGCGGGCTCTCTGCCTCGATGGAGTCCAGAGAGACGAACTTGTCACCATGCTTTCGGACAAGTTTGCGGTCAGGTGGTGCTACCGCAGCATATGTCTTCCAACCAGCTTTGCCAGACTCTTCTACAAATTTGACTGGATCATCAACTGTGAAGAGTGAAATTTCCTCTACTGCACCAGCAGCGGACTTGAGAACAACTGGTGTGAGTGTGGAGGATCCTCGATTGGTGATGCCGACAGCGTCAATGCCAAGATAACTAGCAGTACGGATGATACCTCCCAGGTTGCCTGGATCGAGAATCTCGTTCAGCAGAAGGACAAATGGCTTCGGCATGACATCGTTGGACCGTCGAACGAAGGTGTCTGAACCATTGACTGCTGCCTCTTCCTTGGTCTGGAAGTCAAGATCCACGTGAAAACCCAGGCGACCAGTGCTCTCCTCCAACTTGCCGAGTGACTTGATGGGCAGTTGAGGCAGAGGAGAGGCCTCGAGAACAAACCCGTTGTGAGGACGTCCCATGCTCATCTTATCCATAATTCGTTGCTCGTCGTTAGGCACTATTGTAATTGGCACTCTATGCTTTTCGGCCAACCGGGTCATGATGGTGTTGTCCTTGCTATCCCTTCGATTCTCACCGCCGTAGATGTAGAGGTTGTATAGCTGTCGACGGTTCTGCTCGAGGGCTGCCTTAACTACTGATCGGCCGTACAGGAACTGTGAAGCGGCAGTAGTGTATTTGACATTCATGGCCATCATTTCCTTTTTCTTTCCACGCCTAGCAGAGAATGCATCGCCATCATCATCTGCTTGGTCGTTCCATCGATCGGATCGGGCGCCGTCCTGACGAGGGGCGCTACGATCAGAACGATCGAAATTCTGTTGTGGTCTATCCGAATGATCGAATCGACGTTCGGGGCGATCAAATCTCTGTTGCGGCCGGTCTGAGCGGTCGAACCTTTGCTGTGGTTTATCTGAACGGTCAAACTGACGTTCTGGACGTTCCGGCCTGCGCTCGGAGCGATCGAACAGCTGCTGTGATTTCTCGGGTCGTTCATCTGATCGCTCAAACCGTCGCTCATGTTTGGGACTGCCGTTATCGTTGTCTCTAAACTCCCGTCGAGCGGCATTGAAAGTTCGTGGCCGAACAGGTTGCTGGACCTGCAGACTATCGGCAACCTCTTTGAGATCACCATATTTCATTCGTTGTACCAAACTGCGGTTCCCGAACTCATTCTCAGGATCTGCGAATCGCCTCCTCCTGGTTCGACGATCAGTCCCGTCTGCTTCCCTCTCTTCCTGGGCCTTCTTTTCCTCGTCCTTCTTTCTTAGCTTCTTCCTCAACTTCTGTTCCTGTCTCCAGTTTCGTGTGCCACCTTTCGGAGAGCCAGAATCGGAACCTCTCACGGTGCTGAATTTGTCCAGAAAAGCATCCTGGCGGGCGGGAGGGTCACTACGGCGGGGGCCTGCGGACGACTTGCGCATAGGAGAAGCTTCTCGCCTTGATCGAGGGTTCATATCAGAGGTTCTGCGGTCACGGAAACCGCCATCGCGCGATCGAGACTCGCCATATTGAGCTTGTTCGGATTTTACCACGCCTCGGACGATAGCTGATAGAGCCTTTGAGCGAACGAATATGGGAGCGAAACTTGTTTGAGCGGGATGGAGCCTTGCCAATGGTCGAGATAGGGCGACGACTCTTAATTGCGTAGGGTAAAGCATTGCATAGCGTGTCTTTAGGCTGTCAAAAAGCAAACTTTGCCGTTTGTTTGTGTTTGTATCGTAACTGTAGGCAGTAGGTAGTCTGTGGTCTGTACCTGCAAGCCCACTTCGTTTGAAGATCTTCCCGTTGAAGTTTCCTTCTTCGCCCCACTAAATCTTTTTCTGCCGCTGAGTTTCCAGGGTTTAATGGGCGGTGAACCTCGTTGTGGCACCCTTGTTGCATATCATGGGCTTTGTTAATTGAATGGGACCCAACTTAACGCGCTTGGATGCGACCGTCGCGTTTTCCGATGCAAACGAGACGAGGAAGTGAATCTCCATCGACTCGACAACCAAATTTCCGCCATGGCCCTTCAACAACTTTGCCATTTCACCCAAAAACCTTCATGAACGATTTTGAGTTCTTTTAAACGTCATATTCTTTTATTTTGGCGGTGTCTAAAACTACGAAGTCAAGTAGGTAGTTAACAGACCACCGAGTCCTTGTCTACGATATACGTCCGCCGAGATATATGCGAGTCGAACGGCTACCTGCAGGATGGAACACGATAGTCCGCTTTATGAGCCCCTCGGGAACTTGGTGAATCAAGATGAAAACGCCATTGAGAGATCGTTGGAGTGGCTATTGGCAGATCTGAATAGCACCGACGGAGCACTGCCCACCAACATGGAGGTGGACGTCGAAGCGCAACAAACGCCGCAGGAAACAATAGACACCCAGGACGACGAAAATAACAATAAGGATGACGATGTACCGCAAATTGAGGGTGATATAACAGAGCCTGCGACACCTCCGAAACCGACCTACAGGCTTGAGGTTGCGATACCAGAGATGCCTATGGAGCAGCGGAGTCAATACTCGACTGTCGTCAGCGATATCATCGAGTTCGTCAATGGGGAGCTTCCGCCCGATCGCGGTGTTATTAGCTATCGTGTCGAGTTTACAGATGGGAGACAGGAGCTGGTAGGTGGATTTCATTTCATTCAAGGATCTGGGATGTGGCTTGCATTATTTCAGGAGAGGCCATTATCTACTCTCCTCGATATTGCTTTCAGATATTCTGTCGCAGCCGTAGAGGCCGTCACAAAAATACAAATAGGCGAGCTATTGTTCAAAGCCTGCCTTATTCACTGCGGATCTCACAAATCTACTCTCCTCTCTATTGTTCACCCCCGCACCCTTTCTTTCTATATCAAGCCCTTTCCCTCTCTTCTTTTTCTCTACGTCAAATCTTTCACTTTTCATACAAATAACTGACTTCTCAACCAAGATAACCTCTACCAAACTCGTTGCTCTAGAAAACGGAAGAGCTGCCCTAGCCCGATTTAATCAGGGCTTAGGGTCGCTTGAAGCCGACGAGATGTCCGGCATTCGCAAACGGAAGTATGCACCAGAGGATGACTGGGATTCTGAAGCAGAGTCTGTCCCTTCAGACCACATGGACATCGACGAAGAGGAAGACGAAGATGAGGAGCCTGTTCAACGCACCGGCGCACGCAATCTCCCGCGACGCCTTCGCTCCAGGGAGACCACAAAGCAGCCTTCTCACAGCCCCTCCATGCTGGCGGATGAAGACGAGCTTGACGAAGTTCTACCAGAGCCTTCAGCTCCTAGCAGATCACTCAGAGTTCGGCAACCAAGACAGCTGACTGGCGGGTACTTTAAGAATGGTACTGGCAGCCAAGAACAGGACGAGTTGTTCGGAGATGCCCCCCAAGCGTCATCGGAAGAGGAAGATAATGACTTCGTCCCGATAGTCGTTTCTGATATTGTCACGAAGAAGGGACGTCCCAGCAAGGCACGCCAACGATCGAAGCGTCTCCAGACCATGAGCATGCGACAAAAGGCTCTGTCGCAGGGCAGATCGCGCCAGAAGTCTCATGACTCCGATATTGAGTTTGAAGCTCCCCGGCGCTCCTCTAGGGCCACAAGGAATACCCTGAACATGCAGGATGATGCCTTGATGGACGAGGATTCGTTCTATATTGTCGAGGATAAGGGACCCAACGTTCCAAAAATCATATCCATCAGGGAGGTCTTTCAACCGCTTCCTGTCGACTCGGAATTCGCTTCGATGCATATGGACAACTGTCACACATGCGGTGGCTCGCGTCAGCGAGGTCAAATGATTCACTGTCAAGGCTGCACACTGTCATACCACAAGACCTGTCTTGGGTACCGCAGTGCTCGTGAACACATGGTTACTAAAGTTGGCGAGGACAGTTTCGTCATGCAATGCCGATTCTGTATTGGTGTCCCTGGCAAAAAGGATGAAAGTGCTCCCAGACACAGTCTGTGTCAGGAGTGCAGATCCCCCGGCCGCAGCTGCGCTCCCTTCTCTGAAAAGAAGACATCTCGACAAGAGGAAAAGCTCCGTGAGCAGAACAACGGCGTTGACCCAATCACCCCTGTCTCATCAGAGCTGATCAATAACCCCGGCCTTGTCCTCTTTCGATGCGCTTCATGTCACCGAGGCTGGCACGTCGAGCATCTTCCCGGCGCTAGAAGCGGTACCATCGGGACGGATCTCAAGTCTGAACGTCTCAAAGACCATTCAGTTGATTGGCAGTGTAAGGAATGTGCAAGCGTCAGGTACAAAATCCACCGACTTGTGGCATGGCGACCAGTAGACAAAACTCTTGCGATGCAAGTCCCTCGTCCTATGTATGCTGAAGTACGAGAGGACGACAAGGAGTATCTCGTCAAATGGGAAACCCGATCCTATGCTCACTGCGTTTGGAAGCCAGGCGCTTGGGTATATGGTGTGGCATCAGCCGCTATGCGTGTTTCATTCGGACGAAGAGACATTGAGCAGAATCTCTTGAAGCTTAACACTCGCGAGGCTGTGCCAGACGAGTTCCTCATGGCTGACATCGTTTTCAACGTCAAAATGAACCCTTCGACACCTAGACTAAAGACAAGAAAAGAAGAGATGGACAACTTGTCCAATGTTTACAAAGTCTTCGTCAAGTTTCAGGGTCTAGGCTACGATGATGTCGTATGGGACTCCCCCCCAAGCGACAGCTCGGGCGAAATATATGGCTCCTTTATGGAGGCGTACTACGAGTATGTTGAGGGCAAATACTTCAAGAGCGAATCCCAGAACAAGATCAAAGAACGGATCAAGGCTTACAAGGCCGCGCCGTTCGAGGAAATCACCGAACAACCTCCAGGCCTCCGACGGGGAAAGCTCATGGGATACCAAATCGAAGGAGTGAACTGGCTGCTAGGGAACTACCATTCTGGGCGCAGTGTGGTTCTAGCCGATGAGATGGGTCTGGGAAAGACTGTGCAAGTTGTAGGACTTGTGACTTCTTTAGTGCAAGATAGCCCGAACGTAAGTCGCAGTCGTCCAACAAAGCGATGGTTGATATACTAACAAAGTGATAGTGTTGGCCTTTCCTTATCGTCGTTCCGAACGCAACGTGCCCCAACTGGCGCCGCGAATTCAAGCAATGGGTACCGGAACTGCGAGTTGTTGCTTACCATGGCGGACGAGAACCACAAGCACTTGCATACAAGTATGAGCTGTTCCCCAACGGATGTACCGACATGAAGGCACACGTTGTAATCATGTCTTACGATTCGGCCCAGGATCCCGCCACTAAATCCCTCTTCAAGTCTATCAGCTGGGCAGGGCTCGTGGTAGATGAGGGCCAGCGCCTGAAGAACGATCAGAACTTGCTCTATGGTGCTCTTCGCTCCATGCGAATTCCGTTCCGACTTCTCCTTACTGGAACGCCACTACAGAACAACAAAAGGGAGTTGTTCAACCTTCTTCAATTCATTGACGATAAGCAGAATGCCGCAGAACTAGATTTAGAGTATGCTGTTCTCGACAAGGAGACGCTTCCCAAGCTGCATAACAAGATCCGGCCATACTTCCTGCGCCGAACCAAAGCCGGCGTGCTTAAGTTTCTACCACCCATGACCCAGATCATCCTACCTGTCACCATGACTGTGATCCAGGAGAAGCTTTCCAAAAGCATCATGGCCAAGAACCCGGAGCTGATCAGAGCGATGTTTTCTAACAGCAAGATGAATAAGAAGGAACGAGGATCCCTCAACAATATCTTGATGCAGCTGCGAAAGTGCCTCTGTCATCCGTTCATGTATTCCGAAGCTATCGAGGAGCGTAACCACGACAATACAATCCTTCAACGCAATCTTGTCGAGGCATCTTCCAAGCTCCTTCTTCTACAGACTATGCTTCCAAAACTGCATGAGAGAGGCCATCGCGTGTTGATCTTCAGTCAGTTCTTGCAGCAGTTGGATATCATTGAGGATTTTCTCGGTAGCCTGGGCTTCGATTTCCGCCGTCTTGATGGCAGCATTAGTAGTCTGGAGAAGCAACGACGCATTGATGCCTTCAATGCACCCGAATCGCCCATCTTCGCGTTTTTGCTTTCGACAAGAGCTGGCGGTGTTGGTATCAATCTTGCTACAGCAGATACCGTGATCATCCTCGATCCAGATTTCAACCCGCATCAGGATATCCAAGCCTTGTCTCGTGCTCATCGAATTGGACAGAAGAAGAAGGTTCTTTGCTTTCAGCTCATGACGACGGATTCCGTAGAAGAACGAATCATGCAAATCGGCAAAAAGAAGATGGCTTTGGACCATGCCCTAATCGAAAGCATGGATGATGACGAATTGGCCGGCGACGATCTCGAGTCAATCTTGAAACACGGTGCCCAGGCTTTGTTCAACGACGACTACGAGAAGAAGTCCATTCATTACGATTCTGCTGCTGTTGATGCACTGCTAGACCGAACGAACGACACCGAAACCAAAGCTGATGATGGAACTTCCTTCGCTTATGCTAAGGTGTGGTCTAACGAGAAATCCGGCTTCGAGGCTGGTCTTGCTACCGAGGAGACAGCTGAGCCTGAAGCTATCAACTCAAGTGTTTGGGACCGTATTCTTGCTCAACGAGAGGCAGAGGCACAGCGACAAGCAGAGGCGAATCGGGAGGTTCTCGGTCGTGGTGGTAGGCGTCGGCAGGTAAGTTACTGACCAGCAATCGGCCTGATTTCATCGGCTAACTCATGAATAGACCATCAACTACAAGACGAACGTAGCTGATATGCCTATACTTGGCGATATCGAGGCTGAGTCTTCAGATTCGTCCGACGACTTTGCTGGCGGCGACTCTGGAGAAGAGTCTGAGGAGGAAGATCCATCACTGGCAAAAGGTAAACGCCAAAAGAATTCGCCTGCTCAACAGACAACCCCGTCTACAAAGCCGGTTAAAACTTCACCCCAAAAAAACAAAATTAACAAGAGCGCAACACAGACGCCGAAACGGACGCCATCCGCGAACTCCAAACTTCGGACACCCGTAACACCAAACCGTTGCAAGTCGGCAACAGCCAAAACCAAATCGATCGCCAGCCCCGTCAAGAAAGCTCGAGCATCGTCAAGCAGCAGCAGCAGCAGCAGCCAACGCGGAAAGTCGGTGGCCAGCAAGACCCCAAACAACAAGGGATCGGCCAAGAAAGCCGCCCTATCAACCCCTACTCCGCGTCAAACCCCTACAGACCAGCGGGCGGCCAAATGAATTACGGAAGCAATATCGACTTTTCACGATATATTAAGGGTAACTACGTCCATCAGGCCAACCTTGCAAACCCTGTACCACCTCCTCGTGTGATTCCATCACAAAACCCATACCCCCATTCACCTCTTAGCCACCGTCAAACACTTGACTATAATAGTATCTACCTCGGCTCAGAAGCCGAAGTCAGAGTGGCCATTGATTTGGTTCACCATTCGAGACCTCAGACTGTGGTGAAGCAACGGCAAAAGGCCAATTTGCTAAACCGATTAAGATCGTTTGCCGCCAAGAGCGGAACGCAGAGCAAATGATTGATGAACTTTGGTCATAGAGAAAACCCGGTTGCTAGGCGCAAGCAGCCGTTATCATAATTCACCGACATTTCCATGCACTGACAAGCGGAAAGTACGTGCTTTTCTTCGGACATTTCAGTTTTGTTTGTACACATCTATTGCTGAAGAGCATCATACACGCGGAGCCAGGCAGCGAAGGAGGGACGGCAAGCAGGCAGGCAAGCAAGCGGGCATGATTAGCTGCCTAGGTACTTAGCTAGGTTCTTGCTATAGGTTTGGGGGAGCCAAACAGCATTGCATAGGACGGATACGTCACTTTGCTAGGTACTTTGAAATGAAAATATTAGCAAATCTTCCATGAGCTCAACTCTGATTTGGCATCCTGGGTCAAGTGCTTGAGCGTATGGGCACGCAACGAGACAAACTCTGGCTGCAGATAACCGTAAGTATGTGCCTTGCAGAGCACGCCTCCTTAAGGAAGCAAACGTATCATAATGGTATCCTTCATCTCCCAAGTATAAGACATGACCAAGGTTCATGGCTTCTTCCCTTGATGTTCAACTCATGTTCTCATAAGCTCGTCTATACCGTGTCCTCGTACTTGTTATAGCAGAGTCCGCACCGTATTGTTCAACATAGTCACTCTCCTCCCCGTTTCCTTGTTTGCCAACGCACGTCTCGAAGCTATATCCCGTCTTCCGTTACCCGTCTCACAGCTACTAGCTGCTTGATAGGTCGGGTACCAGACCAGGGGTGCCAGGCCCAGCTGTGAATTCTTATAGTCATCACATTCTGCACTTCTTTGTTCGTTTTGAAGAGGTCACTGATCCTTTACTTGGTCGCCCATGATGAAGCATCAGTCTCAGGGGCCTACTTCTTCGCCCTCTCATCAGGCCAGAAACAACTACTCTACTCAATACATTGTCAAAGGTCCTAGTATTCATCGCTGGGCTCAAATTTCATCCAAGCAACACAGCAGCCCGACATCTCACGACGCCATGGACCCTCATAATTCCATGGATATTTCCAACAACCATCCACATACAGTTACCAGTAACGGATATCATGTTCAGCCAACATATGGAGGCTGGCAGCAGAATGCTCAAGTCCACCAACCGTCAGCTCCTCGAAGCATGGTATCTGGCAATTGGCGAGGCTCCCAGTCGCCAACTGGTTCTATGAACCTCCCTGTTTCCAGCACAAACAACTATTCTCTCATGGGCTCTCCACCTCGTTCATCCGTACCTAACGAGGGAGGACCTGTGAGCATCTCGGATTGCCTCAATGGCTATGCCTACTGCGTCAAGCGACCTGATGGCCGATACACCAGACTTGTCCCAGCAGACATGCTTCCAAACCTCAACGAACTCCCGGCAACTCAGGCCAGTGCCCAAGGCATGGTTCTTCTGCCTGACCTGCACATGCAGCCGCCTCAGGGGGTCGCCCGCATGAACCATCCCGTAACTGTCAAGGTACGTAAATTGAACACGGTCGAAGCAGATCAAGAAAGCTGAGTGTGTAGACTCCAACTGGCCCAGCATCTGATGTCCTTCAGGTAATCAGCCTCTAGCAGTTTCTTTTTACTTCTCCCTATGCCATAAAAAAAAACTTCAGCTCGTTCATAGACGGGGGCTAACAAGAGCTTTCAGAACAGAATCGATCGCATTGTTGCAACAACCTCACCTGCTCAGCAGCGCAGAACTAAGATCTACTGCGACAAATGGATCCACGACGGAACCTGCGCCTTCACCCAGCAGGGCTGCAAGTATAAGCACGAGATGCCGTTTGATAAGGCAACGCAGCAGTCTCTTGGCCTATTTCACGGGTTCCCCAAATGGTGGAGAGACCACCAGGAGGAGCTCCAGAAGCAGCTCAACAGAAACCCAACGGCTAGTCGAGGCCAAGCTATCCTGCAGGTTGATTGGCGGGGTGATAGCAACGAGGATACCTCCAACATGGCAAATGTGCAGGCCCCGATCGGCGCTGAGAGATACCAGCCTGGCAAAGGGAACCGCCTCTCGCAGAGTCATGATGATATGACTATCGCTGTTGAGAAGCGCCCGAGAACAGGATCTGAGACTGATTGGGCGAGGAGTCCATCGACATGTCAAGGATGGAACGGATCTTCACCACGGTCCTCTGCTGGTTCAGCTGACCATGCTTATATTCGTCAGTGATTGAGTAACAAGCAAACTACAGTATACGAGAACAAGAAAAACAAAACACCCGCTGGACGATGGAATATGGTCACAAGATGTGCATGGCAAACGACAGAAGTCATTATTTCATTGCTGTTTTACAACTTTTGTTTGGTATGATGAGGGACATTACTCCCACATATTGGAAAAGCTCATTTAGCTTGTGCCTCCGATAACTTAGATATCACTCTATTTTTCCTGTCTACTCATGACTTATTAGATACGAAGCTCATTATAGCACGCTCTCCAGGACAGAGATGCGGAGTGCTTGGGTTACTAGATAGATGAATAATTTGCCTGGTCGTTCTGCTACTATGGATGTTACATGGGCTTTAGCGAGCCGACCACACGATTTCAGAGACATTATCTAGTACGACATGAAGTTGCTTCACGCCCTGTTTAGCTTTGGTTAATGTTGTGTGTGGTTGGCCACGCGTAGCTGACGCTTGTGCGAGGTGAGGAGATGGAAGTAGGTTAGCTTGTGAGAGTTAGTTATATGTGAGGGAAATGGTAGTCTAGTAAGATAATTTGGGATGGATCTTCGTCAAAATTAGATACATTGCCAATAAAAATAGCCACCAGAGCCTATAACGTCTTCGTGGTCCTTTAACTTGTAAGTTAAATGAAGCTATTTCCAACCCCACACTTACCTCTAAACTTGAACTTGGAGGGGCAGCTTCCTTATCTTGTTACTGGGGAACGATAAGCTCCCCTCCCTCGGCTAATCCCCGGGCTCCTTCCAACGTCACCACTCACCACCCCCACCAACACGGAAGCTGTGCTCATGAGTTGTTGCCTTGAGTTTGGCGAGTAACAACAAACTTCATCTTTTCAAGCTTTGTTCATTGCATCTGACTTAGAAGAAGCGTCCTCAGGTCTTTTTGATTTCTTGCCAGGCGCAATAAGGCGACATTTCTAAGTGAACTAGTCATCAATTCATCTTTCTCCCCAATCCACAGTCACCTTGAACGCTTCAACATCAGCAGCCATTAGCCTTGAACATAAGCTAGAGGATTCACGATACAGCTTAGAATGGACGCCGTAACGGCAACTCTGGCTGCCTTTGCGCCAACTGAAGCCGCAGCACACTCCCTCAAGAAATACGACGCAGCTATCAAGGACCATGTCGGAGCCGTGAAGTCATTATTAACGAACCAGCGTCAGATCATCAGTGCGAATACTGGCGAAATACTACGGGTATATCCCACATCTCACAATATCTGTTGGAACCTTAACTCTCTAACATATTTAGAACATTGATCCATCGTTTGACTCAATCGCATTTCAAGCTATTCTGCTCTTCTCACTAGAAACTACAACTCCCCCGCCCGGCATCGACCGACCCAAGCTCCTCGACGAGATTCTTCGATTTCTCCTCAACTTTAACCCTCTTCAGATTCGATATGTGGGACTAGGATTTCGGAAGCTGCTGGAGACCGTTGCGGCTGGGAAACTGCTTACAGTATGTTCTACCTGCACGAAACCTATTGAGATGGCAGGATACTAACTCATGATAACAGCCAGCTGTTTCTGTAGAGGTTATAGCTTCTTCATTATTGCGAATGGACCCCACCGGGAGCATGTTAACCTCGACTCACTTGTTATTGGCCAAGACCGCCTACCAAACAGCCTGGATCGAGCCTGTTCTCAAGATTCTGGACTGCGACACGACCTTTTTTCCTGGCATGGCTGGCCTGAAAGATTCCAAACTCCTGTGTGACAGTAGTCTACATCCTACCTCTTTCATTTCTCCCGAAACAGGCCTTACCGAGTCCGTAACTAGCAGTACGATCTTAGAGTACAACCACCTTAGTGCTCTATGCTACATGTCACGTCGAGACTGGGCCAAGGCCTTCCGAGCTCTTGAGCGTGTTGTTACGCATCCTTCAAAAGACAAGGGTGTCAGTAGGATCATGGATGAAGCGTACAAGCGCTGGTTGCTTGTCGGTCTGCTAAAGGATGGGAGGGAGCCAACCCTACCATCATATACCGCCACAATAGCTAAAAACACATACTCAACACTTGGTGGGCCATACAAGAGCATTGCTGCTCAGTTCTCTACAACGAATGTGGAACACTTATTGGCGGAAATTAATGCCAACAATCAGACCTGGGAAGACAACGGCACTCTGTCGCTCATTCAGGAAGTGGTTGTGGCATACCAAAAATGGCAAATCATAAACCTTCGCGATATTTACAAGGAGGTCTCCATTTCCCAACTGCGCCAGTCGACGCTCAGCGCGGAGACGGGCGAGGTTCTCGCCGACGACGAGTCGGCCACACGCCTGGTACAAGGCATGATTGAATCCGGTCTACTAAAGGGCGAGCTACAGCCAGGCACCAACGACAACGAACTCTACCTTCAATTTCACGACGATGTCGAAATCATGTCAGAGGCAGAGTTCGCTCAAGAGATCGCCCAGCGCTACCAGAACCTCGAGAGCCTGGGCAGTCAGTACAAGGCAGCCAACGAGCGGCTGAGTAGCACCAAAGAGTACGTTAAGCACGCTGTAAGGGAGCAGAAGAGGGCGGACAAGGACGCGGCCGATCCTGGATTAGGTTTCGATTCGCAAATCGAAGATGAAGACCTGATGACGGGCATTATGGCGCATGGCTAGAGAACCGGTTCGGTATGGAGAGGTAATGGACAGTCTGCATATGCCAAGATTATAAGCTTAAAGCAGTGAAGAAATTGCAGAAAGCTTTAGATGCAGTAAATACCTAATCAAAAGATTACTGTCTGTGATTGGGTTTCAGCTGATCAACCATGCAACATTGCATTCGTGCCCTTAGTATCTGTTTCTCTGTTCAAGCTCCCATCAACCCTTTCCTGTCACTCATCATTTTCCTTCGCCTGTTCCTCTTCTCCTTCATAGCTTGCTGTTCTCCCCTCTGTGTTCCTTGTATTCGACAGGGTGTGTAGGCCGTCGAATCATCTGTTCCTTTCTGAGATAGCGAGGCTCGTTGACCATTATCTTCTCGTCAACCACAACGGTCTTCTGTTCAAAGGCTCCACGTGTCTTTCTGATCAGTATATCGTCGTCGTCGTCGGAAAGGGGGCCTTCGTAGTTGCGTTTGTCCTTTCCGGTGTCCTTCTTCTTTCCACATTTGAGCTCGGAAAGGATTTTAGCCACGCTTGGGAGTGACTTGTCTGCAGTATCATTCTTGCTTTTCCATATCCTCATCTGGCGTTTCTCCAGACGTTTGTTATCGTCGGGATGCCTTGGCGTAGAGTGTTTTTCCCCTCTTCCAGAAGCAGCAGCTTCTGCTTGTTCCCTGATGATGGCTTGCTTCAAGAGTCTGCGTTTGTCGGAAGGGGATAGCGAAGGGCTGAGGAGGAAGTCCACAATGCGGATGCCATGACCGGGGTTGTGGGTTGGGGACAGAATGTTAGGTCCCAGTGGAACGGCCGGAGCTGCCTGAATAACAGATGGCAGGACTATGGCCATCATGGCCAGGGCTTTGAATAAGGAGATCACAACCATTTCGGTTCAAGTAGGGTTGGGCAATGTGGGTGATGGATGATAAGATATGAAAGGGGGTCATAAATGGAAATAAGAGAACTCCGATGTTGCTGTGTCATCTTATTTATATAGATGCAACTGTGGTGTTATGTGGTACTGAGTTTCTGCTGGAGGTATAAATGTGCTGTGTGGCTAATGGCTCGTGAGTCTCCACGTAAGTGATGAAATTCAATTTGACGGTGACAATTTTCCAGTGTATCAGAGTCCTGTAACTTAATGACAGTTCGGCGTCGGCGAGTGAGGCTCAGTCGGCCAACAGCTATTATACTTCTGCTATAGGAAAAGAAGGTTGTTGGCGCTTGAGCGATGATGCGACGAAAGCCCTAGATAAAGGCGTATCTCAACAATCACTAGTCCTTGTGAGACTTGATCATTCCGTGGGTGTAATGTATTATGCGGATGATCATATCGTAATCTATAAACTAGTGCTACTAATATCGTCCAAGAGGAAGGTAGACGCAACATTATAATATCGAAGGTCATACTGTCTTTCCTTGCCCACCACTCTATTGTCTTTCTCTATTTGCCGCGACCCTTGTGCTTTGACATGCGGTCGAGACGATCAATATCCAACAAAAAAACGGACATTATTCAAATCCATTACTCGCTCCTTGAAATGCATTGCAACAACCAATCTATATAAACGCACAATGATGACTGCTTCGCTCGCGATCTTAAGACCTGGGCCTCTGTCCGCCTTGCGCCTCCTGTCCAACAAGTCGCTCTTTCAGCGGGACAGTTTGTCGAGTAACAGTTGGCCTTGCTCCAGGTTTGCCCGAAGTGTCACATTTTGTGACAACGTCAGGTCTTGGTGTTAAGCTTTTTATTCGCTGTGAAGCCTAGGAGGATCCGTGGCTCCTCCTCTGGCGCACAAAGCCTGGTAGAGACGTTCTATTGCTCTTGGTCTCTTGCACAGGCTGCTGCGGGCTCTGCTGTTGGTAGCGGTGCGGTCTACAACAGCAGCCCATGGCAGCATGCAGAAGGAAGGCCAAGTCAGTGAAGATGGCCGCAATCCACATAAAGACAAACATCTTGATACCGATGTTTGCTTTGATGTTGAGCTGGTCCTGTTTTGTAAGTGCGACCTTGGCGGCAATACTAATGACAGTCGCAATAACGGCGGCAACCGTGACAAGAACTGATGTGATGATGGCCAGAAGCGAGAGGAGCAGACTCCACCATCGGGTACGGATAACGAGAAGGCTGAGCGGAATAAGGAGAAAGTTGACGCAGATTCCGGCCATGAAGAAACCGTACATAATTCTAGAGCCAATCTTGAGAAGGTTCAGAACAGTAATAGCCTCAGCAGGCAGAGCAATCTGAGCTCCAGCAAGCAGTTCGCTAACCATAATTTCGACGGGGTTGAACCAGTACCACTGCTTAGGGTCGGAACAGTACGTGACGCCCCTGAAACGGATTGTTAGCAATCACAGATTATTGATTGGAGAGGCTGAGAGACGAACTCATCATTATATCCTTCGCAAAAGTTCCATAGTCCAACCTGGTAAAAGTCGTGAAGACCTAGACTTCGGGCGACGGAGTTGAGAAGCCTTGAATTATCAACCGAGATGGGGATCACTTGGGAGACATCGAGTTGAAAGAAGTAGATGTCGTTCAGGACCGGGTTGATGTGCGTATTTCCGATTATGACGAGGATGAGGAATGGAATCGACAGGAAATAAAAGATACTGGCAGCAATGGCCGTGTTTCGTCGATGGACGTTGACCATAATTGATAAGGTTGCGAACGTGATGGCCCGGAAAGAGACAGCGAGGAGGTCGTGCTACCGATATAATGTATAGGTAGGTAGTCCGGAAGTGGAAAGACAGCCGCCAAAGGGCTTGCTCGTTTGGTGATGGCTTCAGTTGCGGCGGTGTTTCCTAAGCCCCTGGGGAAAACAATAAATGAAACAAACAACAGACCCGGACAAAGAAGACGATAAAGAAACGAGGAATAGACAGGATTGAATGTCGTCAACACGATCCACTAAAAATAAAAGACCAAATGGAGATGAGAAGCGAAAAAGTCTCGCCCTCTAGAATCGAAAGATAACGACAGGATAGAGTGAGTAGGTAGGTTGCTCTGCTTGGCTTGGTATCCGTAGAGAACTGAACTGAATTGAATTGCGTGTTGCGGAAGTGGGCCAGCCTAGACTAAAGATCAACGCCAGCTGGAAAAGCTAAGCTAGGTGAGCTACAGTGGAGTACCCGTACTCTACAGTCGTCATGATGAAGAGGAAAATCCCAATTCCAAGGATCTTAGGCTTGGGCTTGGTAAAAATGGATGCGAAAAGAATGGAACGAACAAAAAAAGAGGCGCCAAAAAAGACAGAAGGGTCGTGGTGCGTGGGCCCTTCCGAAGCCGCTCGCGCTGCAGAACCGATGGCCTTAACCGAAATGGGACAGAAGCCGGGGGGTTACTTTCATGCGCCTTTGAGCGCATCAGTGGGGAGATTCCGCGTGGCCCCTTGCACAACTGCACGACGATCCCCTGGAGAGTAACGCTGCAGGCAGCTTGCAGGCTTGGAGAGGCAAAGAGTAAGGCTTGGTTAGGGGGGGAACGGAAGAGCTGAGCGAATGGATCCCTAGGTAGGTTCTGTTGGTTGACTTGACGCTGTAGAGCCGCCCGCAATCTGATACTGATCCATTACTATTCACTGACTGTACTGCCGTGCAAAAGTGACCTTTGACGAAGAAATATGAGCGCCTAAAAAGCGCCTTGGAACTAGGTAAGACTAAAACATGCCATGCCACTACCAGAGGTTATTGGCTCTTGGGTCTTGGCTTTCGTAGGTGCCGTGTCGTGTCGTGTCGTTTTTTTATTCCTGGCTCTGGGATCCATATCCATGGAATCCAATGCCAATCCGAGGAATCCAGTCCATTTCAACTCTAGCCCCAAAAACTAAAAACATAAACTACCGAGCCTCAGGTGGGAGAGCAACAGAGGGAAAAAAGGGAAAAAAAGAGTGCCGATGTACCGGCTGGGCCTCAGCTGCGGTCCAATGTGATGACGCGTATCAACACCACAGAAGAAGAAGAAGAAACAGCACCATGTTAACATGGAATTTGCTTATCATTCTCGGCCCCATTAGCCGCTGTGAAAGATGTCAATGGTTGCGAGGTCTAAGTTCATAGGGAATCTATTTTTTGCGGCTCAACTTTAGACGATTGTCTCGGTCAATTCCTGCCGTTATTACCGCCTAGACAAAGCCTATTCCGTTGACAACACCCATTTGTTATTCTTAGACATATGTCATTATGTCATGGCGGATGAGGCCGCATCATCAAAATGCAGCGCTAACAACCAAGCCAAGTTTTCCCTCTTTGGGTTTCTATTTCTTTTCTTTACGGATACGTACTGCGTGCATGTTGATTCAAGCCCGTCTATGCGTATTCTCCTTTTTTTCTTCGTCATTAGTCCACTCGCTTTCTCATCTCGTTACTGTAATCTCGTCTGGGGTTGATAAACTCTTGACTAAAAAGCCAAGCAAGGCAGTGCAAAAGGGAAAAAGGGTTCCCCTGCCGCAACTCTCATCTCATCTTATCTCAATATCCCACCGACCATCTCTCAATCCGTCCCTACGGAGACCGTGACACAAGTGAACTGTTCTAGGCCGCCGATCTGTCGATACCTACGGATACTCCGTATAAAAGGTGGCTCCCCTGAGCATTGGTCTAGCGCTTCTCGAGCAGGGGTTGTAGACAGGGGCTGTACAAATCTACCGCGGATCGCACTAAGGTAGATCTTTGTATTTGTCTTTCGTTTCACTAAGCACGATTCAACTTTTGTCCCCTTCTTGGTTCTGGTCTCAACCTGCAAATTCAGTTGTGGTTTTGCACCACTTTTATACCACTGCGGGCCTCCACTGGCTGGGATAGGCAGTGCTCGGACCTTACGCTGCGAAGCTTGTTGCTTGTTGCTCCAGTACTAAGCGACTCCTATCGCCCTCCCAAGTCCCAACTCCATCATATACCTTAGCAAACGAAGCTTCACGCGAACCGTTCCTGCGACACCAATTGCCCATCATGAAGCTCTCCGGCTCAGTCCTCGCCGTTTTGGCGTTGGCTTCTGGTCGTGTAGCAGCCCAGACAGTTGATCTATCAGCTACCTCCGAACTCACATTCATAGGAGGTACGCGAACGCAAAAGGTCACCCGCCAAACCGGTCCTCCCACAGGCGCCTATTCCACCTACGCCTCCAAGATTACACTCACGGGCTCCAGTGATTCCGAGTCGGACGCCTTCACAAGTACTCTCACAGGGCTCTTCCCAACCGATATCACAGACAGCACCACTGTCACCAGCAACCTGACAGAGACCGCGGGAACCACAACGACAAATGGCACTTCGACCACTACAACAAAGGCGAAGCCTACAAACACCCAGCCCTGCAACAACTATGTTGAGCTTTGCAAACGTAAATACAGCAACATTACCATGATTGGTTGCCATAACTCGCCTTTCGTGAGGCCTGGAAACTCCGGTTCTAACCAGGAACTTGACGTTGAGACGCAGCTTAACGATGGCGTTCGATTCCTCCAGGCGCAGATTCAATTCCCCAGCAACTCCTCAGTGCCTCACTTTTGCCATTCAACATGTGATCTCCTTGACGCTGGTCCTATCACCGACTGGCTTGGCAGAGTCGCATCATGGGTCGATAACCACCCCTACGATGTTGTCACAATTCTCCTCGGAAACGGAAACTACTCTCATCCTGACCTTTACGTCCCTTACATCCGAGAGAGTGGTATCCTCAAGTACGTCTACCAAGCGCCGTACCTCCCCATGGCCCTGGATGACTGGCCCACTCTCGAACAGATGATTATCCGCGGCAAGCGTGTCATCATGTTTATCGACTATGTATCAGACCAGAAGAAGTACCCTTGGCTTCTCGATGAGTTCACCCAGATGTGGGAGACCCCCTTTGATCCTCTGGACCGCAAGTTCCCTTGCAGCGTCCAGCGACCTCCGGACCTGAGCGAGAAGTCTGCCAAAAACCGCCTGTACCTCATGAACCACAACCTCAACGCCGAGTTCAACGTCTTTGGTGCCGAGATTCTCGTCCCGGCTGTGGCACTTCTCAACGAAACCAACAACGTCACGGGCTACGGTAGCTTGGGTCTTGCGGCCAACAACTGCCGCTCCGACTGGGGCAGGGCTCCCAATATCCTTAACGTGGACTACTACAACTACGGTGGTTTCCCAGGCTCTGTCTTTGAGGTTGCCGCGCAGATGAACAACGTTACCTACGACCGTGACAGCTGCTGTGGTACCACAAGCCTAGCTCCCCGGACATACCAGGCTGCATCCATGACAGCTCTGGTAGCTGCTTTGATGTCGGCGTACCTGATGTTTTAGAACCACCACCATATGAGGAAAATAGAAGCACATGCTGCTTGAATAGTTCATACGCGAAGAAAGCGACTTGGTTTTTTGGGGGCTTTAGACTGGTGGGGTTTAGGATACAATTCATTAGATGGGCAGGTTCAGCGTTTGGCATACAAGAATTTGCTCCATGTATTGAGCATGGAGTTATTGATGAGTTATCAACCTGATAATATCGTTTTGCATAGACATACATAACATTATAGCAGTATTGCCTTAATCGCCACCAATTTGTGTTGTTCAGATTATTGTTATGGATACTAGGTGGTACACACACTCGCTTCTGCAACCTTCAATCCCGGACACTGTAGGGTAGTTCGGTCATGACTATTGTATTCTGTCTGCTTTAAGTGACAGGCGTCACGCAAGTCTAACCTCAATGCTTGTTCGACTATGAAATTAAACATTTAAGTTTTCAGCTATTTGACTATATATGTCTGCTTAGTTATTTATGGTTGTGGCATTTTGACAGAATACTAGCGATATTTTCCGTACGAGACAACAACAAGAAGGGACTATTCGCGCTAGGACAAACAAAGGCACCAGTGCGCAACTCAAGATGTGGTTACTGCATAGGTAGTTCAACGGCGCGATAACATGCATCGGACGATTGATTGGTTTTGGGCTGAGTCTATATTTAAGCAGCATCGGATTTGTTGTCTAGAAATACGCCAACACCATCCCATACAAGTCAATAGCTTAAAACCACCCACCACAAACAGTCGGCCATGCACGCACTTCAAAGCCTGGCGTGATTCAGCTTATCACCAGGAAGAGAAATCAGCAGGTCCAAGAGTTTGGCCTGGAAGGAATGCAGGTGTGGTACCGTGCCGTGCGAGTTACCACAACAGCGGGAGAAATTGGATCCCAAGAGATCTGAAGTGGAGGGTTGCACTGCATCAACAACTGACGGGAGGTTTGCAATATTTGCTGCACATGACCGTGAAGAGCGCCGTGCGTGCTCTTCAGCACTCTCTTCCCGTTTGTCTTCAGGCTGGCTTCCAGCATGGACTTTTAAAGGGTCTTTTTGGTCTCTAGCAAAATGGACACAAACTGTCTTGGAACTTCCCGGTGGCTGAAGACAAGGCGTTTCAGCTAGACCAAGTTTCGCTATGTGAGGCTTAAAGCTGAAAAATAATGACTCTGATGTTGCCTGTGTGTAGCATTATTTTCTGAACTCCGCAGGCGACAGTTGACAAGGGCTGTTCACAAAAGGCAGAGAGAGGGAGGCCGCCTGCATTCAATATTGATTGGGTAAGTTTGCCGCAAGGATCTAGAGACTGCGTTGCTGCAGCTAGATCAATCAAGGGGAGAATGAATGTCGTCGCTTACATTACACGTAAAGCAACGTGTATAAGCCCTCTGGGCGTCTGGGGCGCTTAGACATGACTGCAAGAGCTCGGGAATATGTACGGATACGGATACAGCAATCTTTTGAATAAAGATCGTGTGTTACAATGGATGTGAGAGTGAATGTTGGGACAGTTGGGTCGGGCAGCGTTAGAACGGCAGTTGAATAAAGTATTGCATCTCCCGTGGCCAGTGGGGGGAAGACCCCAGAAACAGGCCGGCCCCAGCCTTATGAAGGTTAATGATCCGCCCGCATTGCACTAAACAAACCGCTCAGAGGACCATTGGAGCTGGGAGCCTAAGGAGCCTGCCTCGGCTCCTCCTTACAGCAGAGTCAACGTTAACGGCGCACTTATTGCCGTTCATGGCTGAACGGCTGAAGCTGCCTATCGCTCATCAACCAGCGATAATCGCCCATCAAGGGGGGAAGCCTGTCCCTTCCATTCCAACTTTTTTCTCTCTTTCCTTTCCTTGTTTTGTCTTCCCTGCGTCTCTTTCTCTCTTCACCACTCGTTTCTCATCAATCTTTCGCTCGCTTCTTTCGATAACCGAGAAAAGACAACATCCTCGTTGAATCCTTCGATCGACCGACTATCCCTCGTTTGACTACCCGTGCCCCGCCTGCTCGGCCGTTGAAGCCGTTGACAGGGCCGAGAGCTTTGTCTGTCCTTGAATTATCTAGACAAGAGATTGCGCCCGACAATGTCAAGAGCTGTGTAATATGGCATATCGAGATGATCGAGCTGAGGAGCCCTTCCAGCCATACGAGCCGTATCACCCTACCGGTGCTGCGGTTCCATCGCAAAGACCCGCGACAAACCAGTCCTACCTGAGCCATCGCGTCTCTGCCATGACGCTTTATGACGATAACCCTTATGATCCGGCGATACATCCCCAGCTTCAAGGCCGCGAATCCATGGTTTCGCTCAATTCTTATGCCGGTCATGCGAGCCCACCGCAACCCGAATTCGACGGACATTCATATGCTCCCGGGTCTGGCTGGACCGGATCGTTTGGTTATGCTGGAGCAGGAGGATCATACGCGCCCGTATCGGCAGCTGGACCACCGCCTTCACGGTTCCCATCGAGAGCTAATCGCAGGTCTGCCTATGGCTCGTCTCTTGGACAACCAATTCCCGAGGAAAGTGTTGATGACGACGAAGCATACGACCTGTCATTGCTTAGAGGCGCAAGTCCAATGGGCACGTCTACGCGATATGACCCGATAAAAGAAGACGAATATGACGAAGTCTCCCCCGGTTTCGACGTGACTGCTGCACTGGGACCGATGACCTCGCACGATGAGGATTTCATGAAGAAACTTCAGGCGCAGGAAGCTAGTGGAATGTTAACGGGAGGGCTGGGTCAAGGGTTTCACGCCGATATTCAGATGCGCGATGCGGAACTCCTGTCGGCAGCGCCTCCGACTGTTCAGCGTAGTATTTCACGATCCTTCTCACGGCGTAAAGAATCTGGGCGATTTGAGACAATCCGGCAAAGAGGACAGGACGAAGCCAACCGGAAGGGCGAGGTTATTGAAGTAATATTGGAAGATGGACCGGGTGCCGACCTGAGCAGTATGGAGGGACTCAGCACTGTCGCATCAAATGACTTTCGCCGATCGACTTTCCCGACCAAAGAGAGCAAGACAGAAATATTCTACCCTCAACCCAACTGGAAGCCACCCACTATGCGATGGCCTTATCTCACGTTATTAATCATACTTTCGACTGGTTTAGGTATTTCGCAGGAATATCTATACCAGAGATTCCACAAAGAGCCCATCGTCAAATTCAAATCACCCAAGGAGCTAGACACATGGTTCTATTTTGCTGTCAAGTTCCTGCCGACTGTAGTTGCAGTCACGTTCGGCGTTTTCTGGCAGTTTACCGACTTCGAAGTTCGTCGATTGGAGGCCTTTTACCAATTGTCTAGACAACAAGGTGCTCTGGCCTCAAGGTCTATCAACGCCGATTATGTCACAAGCTTCAGCTTTTGGCGCCCCTTCCGAGCAATCAAGCTGGGTCACTATGCGGTGGCTCTCTCGTCATTTGCCTCGACATTGGCCGTTTCCCTTGTGCCCACATGCGCGGCTGCATCCATCATACTGACACCAAATCGCCAGGATCGTATAGACAATCCCGGTGAAGACAAGGAGATTATTGTGGCAGCGGTCTGGTCTCGGCTCTTGACAGTGACTCTGTTTCTGTGCGCACTGATGGGGTGCGGCCTGCTGTATGTACTACAGACGCGACGCTCTGGCTTGCTTGCTGATGTGAGAGGCATTGCTGGCTTGGCAAGTATGGCCGTTGTGAGCCATGTCCTGATGGACTTCAAGGATATGGATACGGCCAAGCATAAAGACATCCACCTCAAGCTGAAGCGCCGAAGATATATGCTGAGAAACTCTTCTCTGGCACCATATGAGGGCACCGCCGCGAAGGTACAGGCGGACAGCGAGCAAGATGATGGAACACATCTCTCCGAGCATCCTCACCCCCTGATGTTGCGCCCGATGGGCTGTATACCTTTCATCATTGGCTTGATTCTTTTCGTAGTACTGATTCCCGTCATCCTCTTTTCGCCTGCGCAGATAATCACAGACAAGGCTCCCTGGGTTGTAACTGCGTTGGCCGTCATTCTTAAGCTGTGTTGGGGCGCCATGGAGACATCGGTGCGCATGATGGAGCCTTACTATATCCTTTCGAAGCGACATGCGCACTCCAAGACTCTTACACTTGACTACACAGCACTGCCGTTTGCTTATATGCCCTTGCGAGCGCTCTTGAATGGTCACTTTTTGGTTTTCCTGGTCGGATTTGGCTCCGTCATGGCCGAGTCTCTAACAATCCTCGTTACCAGCCTGGCTACGGTGGACGGACAGGACTTTATTGCCGTAGGATATGGCATAAACAACTACGCCAAAGGGAAATGGAGGGACAACAAAGACAAGGACAGTGAGCTACTCAACTCTGGGCAGGAAACGATACGCTCTTTCTACATCACCCTCGGAGCGACATTGTTTATTCTGATCTACATGTTTGTCGTTTCAAACATTGTCTTTTTTCGACGAAGACACCCTTTCCTGCCGCGTCAGCCCAACACGATTGCGTCAATTCTTGCTTTTATCCACCAGAGTAAGATGCTGTACAACTTTGTGGGGACCTCGAAGCTCAATAACACTGAGATGGCGAAGAAGCTAGACGACGGCAAGACGTATGGGTTGGGATGGTTCACTGGAAGAGATGGACAGACGCACTGCGGAGTGGATCAAGAGGAATTGACAAGCTCCTACAAGCATGGCGTGGATTATACGACGATGAACAACCCGTGGAACGCGCAATGGGACGTGCTGTGATAGAAGGTTGCGCAACATGTCATTCGGCACATGTATATGGGTTCTATGATTATGGATACAGATCTGCGCATGACTATGTAATGGTGCGTACGTACTGACGGCATTTTTGATGAGTTTTGAGCTTTGGACTGGAGTTGGTAAATTAGACGTCTGGCACTGCCACTGACAATGGGATTGATTTTATGCTTTAATTCTGATGCATTTTCTCGTTTGAGCCGCGCGCAAATTCTTTTCGTGTTTGATATTTTCGAAACATGAGGCCGAGACAGCAGCATTGCAGTTGTCAGGAATGCGACAAGCGAAACGTGAAATGAGACTCGGATGATGGTGAACCGGAATGGTAACGATTCAATTGTTCGCTTAACTTCTGGTTACTCTGTCACACAGTCACTCTAACCTCTAACCTCTAACACGTGCCAGGCATGAATCTTTGATGGGACGAACATGTCGATCATACGGAGTCAGTATCGAGTTTCGAGTTGACGCGTTCATGCTCCATAGAAGTTAGGTTTGAGAAATGTGTCGACTGTCCATTCACAGCGGCCTCTGAGGAGTTTTCCCCAGTGGAATTATGGATTATATGGCCCTATGCCCGCCTTTTCAGGTGAACCCCTGACGAACAGTTCAATCTCTCTGTGTACGTGACTGCGTGTACGCGCTTACGTTGTGTAAGCGTCGATGGGAAGTCGGCCTGCTATTGGTTGCTGGAATGTGTCCCCCTGAATATCAAGGGTCGGAAGGACGCTGGAATCTGGAGATCAGGAATGACAGAGATCCAATCGCCAATGAGGGAAGAGATGAGCGCCGATTCTAGGTTTGATGAGCAGGAAATCTCTGTTGAAACTTACTACCTGCGGTTACCGTATAGCAGAAAGATGGTGTGTACGGATACCGGTGCGGCGACGGTTGACTGTTGACACTTGTTGAAACTCAATTGTTATTTTTGGACGGCAATTGTGGTGACGTTTGTTTGAGATTCAGTCGACGAACCCGATACACTTGTATTAATATTCTCCGAACCTTGAGTTTAAAAGGCATCTTTCGTACGATTTTACTGTTTACTGTCTACTACAGAGTATCCGTATCCATAGAGTTCTTCAGGAATCTTGGCTGTCAATAATCTGCTGAAGTAACATAAGCTTACTGCGCTGTCGAGAACTTGAGGCTTGGCATCATCATGGAGATCGGATCCCACGGATATCTATCGATAACTCAAAAGTGGATGACTAGAAGTAGAGCTTGATTTTCCATTTCGCATTGTTCGTAGGCATGCATGCATAAGAATTGATTGATTGTTTGTTCGAGACTGAGGCAAAGACACTCTGTTTCAGTGGTGATATTGCACGCATTCCCCGTCTCGTTATAGTGAGTACATTATGCAAGTTTTCTCTCCCCTCTGTAGACGGACATGCCGAGAGAGCTAAGGTTATCCAAGAGAAAAGCCCAAGCACACAAGACAAGACGCGACAGCATTTGTCTTCTTGGGCCCGGAGCACAGCCTCTATACGCTTGTCTATCGTAATTATCAGTATACTCCGCACATACACATACTTTGGCTCTAACCATCGTCTCGATCTTGGCCTGAAGATTGGCGCCTGACTTTACAGACCTGAGGTGAAGCAAGGGCCACCCCTAAATCGGGCTCCGGCAGCGTTACAGAGTTCTGAGTCGTACAGTAGTATCCGTACTCTGGTGTAGGTGTCGCGGAGTGGAGGAGGCTGTGCAAGCCTCAATTAATTAAACACGACCTGGGATAATGCGAAATGGAGAAGCAGAAGGAGATGGAGACAGGCGACGGGACGTGACATCCGTATCGTGATGAGTTTTGGGTTTAGCTTTCTTTCTCTTGTTGTTACAACGCATTTGCTGTCTGGTTGTTTGTTTCTACGGGCGTTGCTGCTAACAACATTGAAAATCCCTTAGCAGCTTGATGTCGTTGCCCAGGCCTTGGCTTTGCTGGCACCATCCAATGTAAACCGGTATTTGACCAACCGCGCGGCCACTCGCATTTGTCAATCAAGAGTCGTTGACATAAAGTCTGGTAGCGCTACTGCAGCATATGCCACGAAAACCGGATATGCTCTTGTTTTCCACTACCAAAATCGTGCTTTATGCACCACATCACCAAATGAATGATGTATTCCAGCTTGTTTTTGTCACTTGATAGCCCGTTTAGTAGCCAGCCATCCTTTATTGGCAACCCGCCAACCTCTTGTTGAAGTGCGACGTTACGACTCTGCAAACGCAAGTAAACGGCAATAACGAGCATTGTAAAAAGCCTATACTTTAATTAGGTACGCAGGCAGACCGAAACATCCGCTCTCAGTTCTTACACAGATGCTGGACCACAGCAGAATCAGCATATGACCTTGTACACGGGAAACAGACAAATTTGGATCTCGTCTTCCAGGGGCCATCGCCGCTGATGGGTAATAGTGTACCCACAAAGTACACCTTGTTAGAGACAATACGAGATCGTCACCCCATGCCCAGCCAAGCATCCGTGTCATTGACTTGAGCTTGGCCCAGTGCTTGGCCGACATTCCAGGTACCTGCACAGCCTCCAGATTCTTTAATCTAGGGGGTGACCAGGCCTGAGACGCTCAGTTGTGCTAGCAGTGGTACTTGCATGGTGATGGTTGAATACGACGCGGCGAATGTGAATGGATGAATGCGTGTGGTGTGTCGGATCATTGCAGGCTTCGTCGACGCTCCCGCCGCAACGCAAGCAGGCAAGCAAGGGTGCAAAAGATTGATCACCCACTGTAATTATCCTCCAAAGAAAAGAAAAACCTCACCAAACAAACTGTCTCTTGCAAAGACAAAGGCCATTCATTAGCATAAACATGACTCCCCTATCACACGCAGGCCCAAGACCAAACTAAGCCCTTTTTGTCACTCCAACCCCCGCCCCACCGCTCTCGTGGAGGACCACCCGCCCCCTTGTCCCCCTTCGTTCCTTCCTTTGTACTGCGTACGCATCAATTTACTCGTTAGGTACTTGCCGCTATTACGAGCGCCTACCAGGTCTGGTCGTACCTGCTTCCTGCTGCCGCTACCACCCCCGATCCCTCCCTCCCTCCTTGCCTTCCCTCCCTTCCACTTCCACTCCTTCGCTTGGTGCTCCTGCCGCTTGGTCTTCCTTTTCCCTTCCGACTCCCCCCCCACAGCAAACCCATTTCATTTCATTCATCATCAGCGACAACGGGAAAAGCCTCCCAAATACCTAATAACGACGACGACGAGACGACCCAACGCTGTCTCTTATCAGCCACGCCTCGTCGCGGAGACGATATTCGCCTCGACCCTTCGCTAGTTTACATTACTTCTTTCTTTATCTTCGCCTTATTCCGTTCGTAATTCATCCCCCGTTGCCGCCAATTTCCGTGGCCTTACTCTCGCTTGCAAACAAACCAAAGCCTATCAGAAGAACCTCACGACTTCCGAACGCCCAATTCCGTCGCCGTTGCAGATACTTGATTGACCACCTGTCTCATTATTTTGTCGGTTCGAAGGATTGGGAGTGAAACCATCAACAACCGTGGACCTCTAAACGACGACAACGGCCTCTCGACCGAACGACACGACCCCATCACCGACCGATCAATCAATCGTCACCACTGGAGCAAAGTGGTCGTAATGTGGTCTTCCATAATGAAGCCCCTGGCGGTTCTCGCCTCTGTGGCTGCCTTGGTGTCGCCTGTCTCTGCCGAACCGATTCTCTACTCCAACTCCCTCAACAGTTGTCAGAAGGATAACGGTTTCAAAGCTACTCTTTTCAACGTCGCCTTGACACCGAACAACGGATCTGCTTTTGTCAAAGCTGTGGCAACCTCATCCATTCAGGGCAAGGTCAAATTCGACATCAGACTCTCAGCGTACGGCTATCAGTTTCTTCAACAGATTGTCGATCCTTGCGAAATCAACCTACCTGGTCTCTGTCCTATGGTATCCGGAAAGATTCCCTTCAAGTTCAACCTACCTATCGGCAAGGAAAATCTTGCTCAGGTACCTGGAATTGCTTATAGTGTTCCCGATCTCGATGCTACTGTCCGTGTCTACGTCAACATGTCCAGTACCGGCGAAAGTGTCGCGTGTGTCGAGGCCGACTTCTCCAACGGAAAGACTGTTGATCTCAAGGGCGTCAAGTGGGCTACTGCCATTATTGCTGGTCTTGGCCTGATTTCTTCAGCCATTGTTTCCGGCGTTGGCCACGCCAACACCGCTGCTCACGTGGCTTCCAACTCGCTCTCTCTCTTCGGTTATTTCCAGGCTCAGGCTATTCTCGGCCTTACCAGTGTCGGACTCCCCCCAATTGTCTCTTCATGGACTCAGGATTTCCAGTGGTCAATGGGTATCATCCGCGTCGGTTTCATGCAGGACATTTTTACTTGGTACCAGCGAGCAACTGGTGGTGAACCCGAGTCTATTCTTTACAACGTTGGTCAGGTATCAGTTGAGATCCAGAAGCGAAGTCTGCAACTTGCCTCAACCAGCGTCGATCTTTTCAAGCGTAGCGCAGCGATGATGCCCCGCGGTATCACTGCACCGATTGGCAATGCTGCTGGGGCTCTCGCAAAGCGTGCCAATATCCAGACCGAAGATGGCACCTACGTCGTATACGGCATCCAACGAGTCGCCTTTAAGTCCAAGATCGAAACCACAAACTTGTTCATGACCGGCCTCACTTTCTTCTGCATTTTTGTTGTCATCACCTGCCTCGCAGTGGCCATGTTCAAGGGTGTTTGCGAGTTTTTCGCCCGCCAGAAGTGGATGGCCCAGGACAAGTTCCTTGAATTCCGCAATGGCTGGCTCACAGTCCTCAAGGGCATTCTTTTCCGGTTGACCTTGATTGGATTCCCTCAGATGGTCATTCTTTGCCTTTGGGAGTTCACTCAGCAGGATTCTCCCGCCGAGGTCGTCTTGGCTGTTTTCTTCCTTATCGGCATGACCTTTACTCTCGGTTGGGGTGCCGCCAAGGTCATCCGCATTGCCCGTCGCTCTGTTGCCATGCACCGAAACCCAGCCTACATCCTCTTCTCGGATCCCAAGGCCCTCAACAAGTGGGGTTTCCTTTACGTGCAGTTCCGAGCATCTGCCTACTACTTCATTGTCCCGGTGCTTACCTACACTATCGTCAAGGCGATGTTCGTAGCTTTGGCCCAGAAGAACGACATCGCACAGGCTATTGGCTTCATTATCATTGAAGTTGGTTACCTGATCGCCGCTTCGGTTCTCCGACCTTGGATGGATAAGCCTACCAACTCGTTCAACATCGCTATCGCTGCTATTAACTTCATTAACGCCATTTTCCTTCTTATCTTTTCCAATGTTTTTGGCCTACCCAAGATCGTTGTTGGTGTCGTTGGTGTCGTCCTGTTCGTTTTGAACGCCGCATTTGCCCTTATTCTACTCCTCATGCTAATCGTTTCGACCGCGTTGGTGTTCTTCCGCAAGAACCCTGATGCCCGATACCAGTTCATGGCCGACGACCGTGCTTCTTTCATGAAGTCTCAAACTCAGGTCAATGCTACAACTGAGCTAGATGCTCTTGCAGCCACTGCTCGAGGTGACAAGGCCGGCTACAACAAGCACTTGGATCTCGATGAGGAAGACTCCATGTCCTCCGAGAGTTTGAGGAGAAGGAACGAGCTGAACAATCAGTCTCAAACCTCGTTCCAGAGGAACGATGCACCCCCTCGATCCCCTGTGAACCCTGCTATGCCGCTCTTCCCGGCCGACGGACAACGGCCATCGAGCCCCTTCCGCTCCGCGTCACCGAACCCGTATCAACAGTCTGGGTCAAATCTTTCTCAACAACGGTCGGCAAATGACGGTAGCCCAGGCGGTTATCGATCACAGAACAATGCTAGGTGAGTCTTGTTACCTTGTTACTGTACTATAATCTCAAGATGTTTTGTACTAATGCTTCTTTAGCCCTTGGCAGCGTGGAGCTGGTTACGACCATTGATTGATTTAATTAAAAGGAGTTACCTATTTATTTCATGACGAGCTTGCACCTGAGGCCATTCCTGTGAGGATAGACTTTGCATTTCATGCAACTGTTACGAGGTTGGCGCAGCAGTCAACCCCTTTAGGATTTCTGCTGCGAACAAAGACAGCGAACTCTTGAGTTACAGCCGATAATTAACATTCACCACGCGAAGATCGTGATTCCCTTTTTCTGTCTGTTGTACTTTTTTTGGATGGTTCTTTGTCGAAAGCATGACGATGGCGTCTGCGAAGAGACTTGGCGTTGGCGACTATTGAAACCCTAGTGCTCTAACGAGTGTTTGCTTTGTATATATAAACAGTATTGGGAGGAATGAGGAATGTGCTTTTTCTGAATGGACCGACGTGGTTTGGAGGCCAGTTCATACCCGATATACGGGGATGCTGCAGCATACAGTTAAGATGTGGCGGTGGCGGGAAGCTTGAACGCTCATCACTAGCAGCCAAATAAAAACATAAAAATTACAATAACCAACTGCACCCTGCTTTTTACTCAACTACGTGACGATGGGTGAAATGTAGTAGTCGTCGATGCTCGCACGATGGCTGGTATGGATTTGAAGTGTGGGGTTGATCCCTTTGTAACTTTATTGTTTCTATGGAAATGGTCTTTTGAGCGACTTCAACTCCCGTGGTTGACAACGGAAAAGTAGTGGCCCCTGAAGCCCGAATCTACCTAAATTGGTGTGGATGGCGGTTAGCTATCCATCACAGTAACTAAATGACAGCCACCCTTTCTTTGCCTTCTTCACCATAACCCATGCCCTCTTCGCCATAACCAGAATGTTGAGAGGTGAACACCATAGAACCCAGCCCCCTGACCCACCCTTGTGAACATAACAATTACTCCATGACTGAGGAAATAGCAAGTCTTTGCTTTGCGTTAAACGAGAGGCTTCGAGATGTAAAGAAACAAGCAAGACTGGAGTAAGTCTTGGGTATGACTAATGATACAATATGAATGGTATGGTATATAAGAAGGAAGAAAGCAAGCAAGCAGATGAAAAAGAAATGAGAATTTTGAAGGACCAATAGTGTCCGCAGGCTGGTAGGCCGTGATATTCGAACAGTCTGGTTGACGAGAGTTGAACCAAAAAAGAAAAGTATAGATAGATAGGTAGTGTGAGAGTTGGAGAGAGGGAGGTAGAGTTTCTCGCGTTTGCTGAGATAGTTTAAACCAGTACGTAAAGACTGGTGCAATGAATTGCGGATATTAAAGAGAGAAAGAAGGTGATGGAGTACGAAAAGAAAAGAAAAAGAAAAAACACCGCCATCATTTTGTGAGAAAGTGGTGAGCGAGATAGAAAATAGAAAATGTTAGGCCTGTTAGGCTTTGGTGATGTCGTTCGTTTCGCTGTCGTGATGTGTTGGACTGTTAGTCCCCCCTCCCCCTCCTTCCGCCTTCAACGCCCGCCCCTTCCCCTAGCTCCGTTGTAGAATGTCTCACCGCCAGCACCAGCACCTGCCCCTTCAACTCTTGCGCCTCCCAACTTCAATTGGTGTCATTGGATCCTCCTCTGTATTCCCCTCATTTCTGCATCATCAATTCTTGGTTGACAACTTGATCTTGCGAAGTCGCAAATACAACCAAAAAAAAAATCATGGCGGAAAGTTCCGACAGCCACATGCGTGTTCTTATGCAGGAACCAGGAACCAGGGGCTAAAATGCAAAGCCCTGCTCCATCAGCTTGTCTACATCGCCGCCTGCTGCTTGCACCGCTTTCATGGCTGCTTCGCTCAGGCGTCGTCTTCGTTCCATTGCTTCACGCTCTCTTCGCGCTTTGGTCTTGGAACTGCCACTCGGCGCAACACCCGTCATTAGAAGACCGCCATCGCTGGGCGTGAAGTTGACGAAGCCGACATCGCCACCTCCACTGCTGCCGCTCGCATCTCGTGATCTTCGCTGCTTGCGCGATGCTGTAGGAGTGCCGGGGACTATGCCACGACCTGAGGCGCTTCGAGTTGAATGCGTCGATCCGTTGGAGCTTTGGCGCGAGTGTGCCGTGGTAGGTGTAGGCGGTATAGATGCTTGACGTGTCTTACGAATGGGAGAGCACGACAAGTGTCGGGCCCCAGAAGATGGCGCTCGCGGTGGGCGGTGTCGTTCTGAAGTTGGTGGAATAGGTGGCGGCGGCGGAAGGTAAGTCTGGGAGTTCAGCGTCAAGTCATGGACAGGAGCCGGCCCATTTCGTGGTTGTGGCATATGTATCATGAGGCCCGCTGAGTTGGGGTCGTGTACCTGATACTCGTACGGCAGCTCGGCATGCTGAGCGTGCATGGCAAGATTGATGTTGGCGTTCTTTTGTTGCTGTGGATCGACGACAACATACTCGCCATTTTGGTTAAGGAGGTTCAAGTCCCACCACCCACTCTGGTGAGGGTTATGAGCCATATACTCATGTCCCGGCCATGTTTCGGGCGCAGAGCCTACTACTGCAACAGGGTGACCCGGAGCAGCAGCTTGTTGATGGGGGTGCGGGTGCGGGTGCACATGACCCTGTGGGTGAGGATGAGGATGAGGATGAGGATGGACATGAGGATGTGGGTGCTGGTGTTGCTGATGCTGCCAACCTGCTTGATGTACTTGTCCTGCCATGTCAGGCTGGTAAAGACCAGGCTCAACCTTAACCCCTGGGGACTCTGCGGGTGTATGGATTCCGTTGTTGTAGAAACGGAGAGAGTTGTGAGGGGGCTGCTGAGGAATCTCACTAAAGGGATCGTCGCAAAAACCATGAACAAAGTTTGTGCTATCGGGCCCGCAAGTTGGCGATGGAGGAAATGCGTCATTGCCGTTACTGTAGTCGTGATGCTGCAGCCTTAGAGCTCGAGGTGGGTTCTCCATGGTCGGGGATCCGGGGCGGTCTATAGCGATGGGCTTCTTGGGTTTGCGGAGTTTGCTGGCTTTGCGGATTGTGGACGAAAGCGCCTCGACGAATTTGTTGGGTTTCCTAGCCATGGTACTGGGTGGCGTTGGCGACGAAGGCTGCGAGACAGGCGCGCGTCTCCCGGGAGAAGAGTGAAGTGAGATACCATCTACATGAGGGAGTTCTGGGTCCGACATGGAGACTCGAGGCACCAGGGAAGGCTTCTCGGCAGCCAGGCCACCACTACCCGCAAGTGCGAGGCTACGAGGATCTATCTCATGCGATACACCGGGGACTGTCGCTTCCATCTGTGAACTACAGGAAAAAAAGTCCAGCTCATCTTCAGTTGTCGATACGCCCGACGAGGCCGACGCGGTGGACTCGGCGGGATGATCAAAGGCGGTCATTGATTGGCCGTGGCCGTGATGATCGGCCATGGAGGAAGTGATTTCGCCGTCAAAGTCGAGAAACTGGCCGAAGAAGTCGTTGGATCCATCATTGGGCCCATCCTCGAGATCCTGCCAGTAAAAGCCTGGGTCGCGGTCGACGGCCTCAACCCGGTAGGGCAAGGTCCAAGAGGCCATTGGTATACTGCACTGCTGTTCTGCTATGTTGTTTACGATTGGTGCAAGAGGAGGCAATGGGGGCGTGGTCAGCCAAGCGAGTCACCTAGGGCTGGCTGAGAGAGTTAAAGAAGACGACGAGGATGTCGAAGGTGAAGTTGAGATTGATGGCATGAATGAGATAAGAGCCAAAAGAATGGCAGCAGCGGAGGGAATGAAAAGAAGGAGCCTGGAGCCTTTGAGTGATAGTGACAAGAGAGGCGAGAGGCTAGAGCCAGTCAGAGGCAGCAAAACAAAGTTCAAGACGAGCAACAAGAGACCCGGCCGGTAAGCGAACGAGACCTGAAAAGGCGTGGAGATGGCCAAAGTCAAGTCAATGGAGCAACGGACAAGCCAACAACGGGCACCAGAGAAACGGGCAAGACACGGAGACAAAAACACGGATGGTCTTTGATGAGATCTGCTAACAAGAGGCGGATAGACAGGGCCAAGAGAGCAAGATTTGTGAGGGTGAAGAGGGTTACGAATTTACTTTGGCGCAGCAACGAGACCGTTGTGCTGCGCTGAACTGCGTTGCTACTTTGGGGGAGGCAGATTTTGAGTGCGACAGCGCGAGGAATGCACGGGGCTATGAGAGAGCATTCCATCGGGATTGACTCTCGTGTCATGGACAGATGGATGATTTATTAACCCCCCTCTTTGTCTATTCTGGAAGGGAATTAAAACAGGACGATCCCTTTGTATCACGAATGTTGAATGATTAGGGGAATGTTTTGTATATTGGAGAGATCAAGAAGACGAAGAAAATGAGAGGCATTGAGTTGAGGTTTTGGTTTTGAGAATAAAAGAGAGCCGTGATGTAGTCATCCATGCCATTCATTGCGCTTTGTCCCTGGCCTGTCCCTGTCCCTGACATGTACCCGTAGCCATAGCCGTACCCCATCTTGGCGCGAGGTGGTGATGGGACGCTCTGGACGCCCGAAGCCACTCGGGACTAGGGACTAGAGGAAGAAGTAGAGGCAGAGGCGCTGAGATGGGCTAAAGTAGAGTTTACGGGTGTACCTACGTTAGTCTAGCATTTGTGGACGGGAAGGACAAAAGAGGAGTTGCGCGAATGACTATGGGAGAGATGCTGTCACTGAGTGGGTGAGAGAGTGAGGTGGTGAGGTAGTGATGAGCGAGTGAGTGAGAGAGGGGGGACGGATGAGAGAGGTTTTGAGTTTGGCCAGTTGGTGATGGACAGTGGACGTTGCTCTCTGGAGTAGAGCCCTGAATTCATTCATCCATCAGTGAATGATTGACGATATGACGTCTAGACGATGATCTCTTTCTTTAATCAAGGGGTATTGATTGCATCACTTTATGTCAATCACAGCACATCATGTCTATATTTGATGTTCCACAGATGCGTGATTCTATACAAAGTTTACTTGTGCTGTTGTATGTTGCAAGTTGGTGATTGATATGGAATAACCTACCCACCCCTGACCTTGTCTCGTACCTTGCATGCGACCCTGATGTAATACTCCGTATTGCATGCATTGCATTGCGTCCTCCCATTTACAGGGGGTAAAGGGGGGGCATGATCAGATCTTGACAGGCTTGACAGACTTGACAGGGGCTTTGAACTCCACTGTCGCCGCCTGTCAAGTTTAGGTAACCTGCAGCCATGGAAGATCTCCCTGATCGACCCGAAGCTGCTGCTTGATGGACTCTCGACTCACTACCTGGGTACTCTCTACTCTCTTTGGGCTTGCGCATTCAATATTCAATTAGAATAAAAACAAAAGAGATCCTCAGTCGTCATCGTGAATTTCTTCTCCCATCTTTTCTTCTCTTCTCTTAATGTCTCACTTGCCAAGAATGTTTCTCCAGCGCTGTCTTACTTTATCACCTCATCAACGGCCCTCTAATGAATAACTCTAGAATCAGTAAACAATCAAATCAATCAATCCTGTTTTATTTATGTTTTCCTCCCTTTCTACCCAACCGAATATTTCCCCTCTTCGTCTTCCTTGACACCTCTTAAACTTAGTACTTAAAAAGACTTCATCCCCATTATCCTCCGCAGCTTTTCTTGGTCGGCGCGCGGCTGGCTTTTGGCTTTTGGCTGTTGGCGGCACCGATTAACTAAGTGATGTATTTTGTGGACCTCGTCGCTCGTACGATCAAGGGTCGAGCCGATCTAAGCGAGCCTACCGTATGTGCAAAAAGCGCAAGGAAAAAGCCTTGGTCATGAATTTTGTATCTAATTCCAAAGGGTCTTGAGAGGAAAACGAAGGCGCCTCTGTTGGACAACATCCGAGACGTTGAATGTGCCTGACCATGGTTTTTATTTGTCAATGGCCACGGCCCGCCAGGCCCGTCTCTTCCGATGGGGTGGCATGACCTCCCGGCCCGGTTGGAACTTGGCGATGGCTTCACCAGCCGTGTCCGATAAAGTTTAAAAGTCAACCAGGCTGCGAACCGTCCAGAATCGAGCCCTTTATCTCCCTTTCGCTCCCCCTACACAGCATCTCACTACCACAGCACTTGTGACAGCAATCTACGTGCTTGTCAATGACGCTTGCTCGGTAAACGGCTCGTGTTATAGTTATAGGTGTATCAATTGCACACCATCCTTGTCATTTCTTTCATCTTTCCCCATTGGGGCATCTGTCTACCCATCTAGGCCAGACGTAGTAGGAGGCTTAACTAAAGTACATGATAATACCAACATCGACCTTGTTTAGTCGTAAAATGCAATGCGATGCAATCCCATCTTGGCTCCCTCGCCGTGATCCTTGAACCGTTGACCACGGTTTCCGCAAAAGTGACCATGCGCCTCATACTGGTCCTGTCTTCCAAGCATGGCCCAATAACGCCTCATACATAGTCCTTAGAAGGACAGTAAATGCTCCTGGTCGTGATTTCCAAACGCCAGGCTATTGTTCCCAAAAAAATAAATAAAAAATAAATAAATAAAAAACCAACAAAAGACCAACCAATAAAAAACCAGAATTCTAAATCTCAAAACAGTCGAAAGCGTCTTGATCCCAAGAGGCGAATGCTCCGCTTGTGTAAATGCTCATCCTGTGTGACGCCGTCGTGTCGTAAACCAACCCTTCTTAGAGGGTATATTCTGTGATGTCGCCTGCGTCCACCATGTACGCTGCTGAAATGTGATGACTTCAAGCATCTAAGAGTCTTATTGTGTTGCAGCCACCAGCTGTGAGGCCAGAGAGTCCGATCGACTCCTTACAGAGCTCGCCGCTGAGTGCGAACTCCTGCTCTTTTTCTTATCGCGTCGTCGCATGCGAGGTACGCTGTGAATTGTGTTGCGGCAGCGACTTGCAGCATCGGCAGACCTTCTGTATCCAAGGTCGTATCGCTTCTTGATCCCGTCTGATGTGCCAGCTGCCCTTCGTGGTGCGAGAGGTTGAAGCCACGAAAAATCATCATCATCTTCGCAATAACCCTCGTCCACCTCAAACCCGCCGTTAAAGTTCGGCCTGAATGTTGACCTTGAAGCATGCCCCGGGTCTTCGGCCAGTGCGGTTGGATCCACAGGAATTGAGGGAGAGTTGAAAGGCATATTGATGGAGCATGTTGGATGCTCTGATGTACTTTGCGTCATCATAGTGATGTTGTTATAGTCGGCATCCATCTCCATAGAACCAAAGTCATGCTGGCTGAGCATAGACTGAACAGTGACACAATCCTCATCGGGCAATGAGATGGGTGAGAGAGCGGCTTCCGGGAGGGTTGTAGTCGAGGAGTAAGAATTATAGCGGTACTGATCCAAGGATGAACTGCCAAGTTGGGAAGCGAGGACGTCGATTGATTGAGACTGGATAGGTTGAAAAGCGGAAGCGGAGGATGAAGCTGATGGTGAACTTGGTGGGGATATTTGTTGTCGGGTTGATGTGAGGTTTTCGCGGAACATTATTGTGGCTGCAGTTGCAGTTGGAGTTGAGCCGGAGGCCGTGGTACTCTGATGTCGCGGTGCCTTTGAAGGGGAGTCTCCCCACTGACGTGCTGTTTGTGCTGTGCGAGGCTCGCACATGGCTAGAGGCTGACGATGACTTGCCCCATGGAGGTGAGAAAGTGTGAGGAAATGAATTAATCGTTCGGTTGAGTTGGGGATGAATTGATGGAAGGTTAAGACACACAGAGAGAGAGAGACGGTCGATTGAATAGAGTCAGAAGAAAGAGAAGCAGAGGCGGAAGAGGAGACAGAAACAGGGGCGAACAGGGCAGGTAATATGAAGGTATCCGCGTTGCGCTAGAAGAGCAGGCGCCAACGCCGCTTCATTGCTGGGGTGGAGCTGGCTTGTGTTTGGTGGTGGTAATAGCGATAGAAGGAGCAATAGCGACAGCAATACTCCGTACGGGTAGCAAAAGCAGGCACGACAGGACGGGCAGTACAGGATGGAAGTAGGCTAGGTAACCTTGGAAGTTAGTTAGCACTTGGTTACTAGCTAGGCTCTAGCATAGGCTCTAGTATAAGTTTAGTAGGCTACTGAGGTCGGTTAGACGTAGCTTGGGTTTGGGACTGGGTTAGGTTTGGTTAATGATCCGACAGCATGGTTTGGGGCCATTTATTAGAGTGTTAAATCGAGAGAGAGAAAGAAGGAGGAGAGTGCTTGCACATAACCAAGGCTTTTTTTTGTCGTTTGTTTAGTTTGCTTGTTTCTTTCCTTCCGCTGACTACGTACTACGTATGCGTATGTGCATGTGTATTTAGGTAAGGTAGGTATGAATGTGTGTCTACCAAAGACGTCTCGCTTCCTTTCTGGCGTTCAGTGGCTCACGGAGCAATCAAGCCTCCGTAGTCTGGGTGCATCGTTAGTTGATAATGATCATTTCTGTACCGACAGCCGGGTCTCTAAACCCGACAGCGTGTCTCCAGGGTGGGGTCCAGAGTTGCGGTCAGAGTGGAGCCGATGTCCATCTTCCGGCAGGGGACTGGCTCATCTCAGTCTTGGCGGTCTTTTGGAGGGTCTTTTGACTCTTTTCTGGTTGGACATGGTTCATGGATGCACACAGCCCATGTTTTGGTGAGTGTGGGTCCAAGACTTTTGTTCCATTTTCGACGAAATACACGCCAGACACGCCTTGCTTGACAGTCCAACCCTTGCATTGCAGCGTCTACTACTTAATATTATTCAATGTTTAATGCCAGACCGTACCGAATCCTCCGGCGCCCAACATCACCTCACATTTATGGTTCAGTTTATGGGGAAAGAAGAATGGATTAATCGATGTCTTATGTTCTTCAGCTCCGTCTTGTTTGGGTCTCGTCCTTGTTTACGGAGTTGTTCAGTGGATAACCAGATGCACAAAAGTCTAAAGCCATTAGACAACTCCTCTCACTCACCCCTGAAAGGATCATTAATAATAAAAAAAGGCTGACCCATCGTCAGCTCGAGAATTGACCACCCACTGGCGTCAGCGTCTGCACCATCCATCATACGGGATTCGACCTGAGGAGAGCTCCAAATGCTGAATGCCAAATGCCGTACTGTATCCGTACAGAGTAGCCCTGATGTGACTGTGTTATCACCGGGTTTCTTCCCCTTCGCCCATCATTTACACATTTACCTTTACGGATATCAGGGAAAAGGTTGATCTTTCAAACCGTACAGAGAGTACGCCTACGCCTACGCTTACGCCTACACCTACAGCCTACAGAGCGTAGCATACGTAGGTGATTAACACCCCTTCCACCTGGGCTTGGGACCTAAGATGACTTTGGTAATTCGATCGCGGAGGCTCAATCATAGTTTGACAGGTCTGGTCTTTGGTCTTTTGCCCTGTCTGCATTCAAGGGTTTTTGTATTGATCCTTGGACTAGGATTTGTTGTTTGATGGGTGAAGTGAGATCTGATAAAACGAAGAATTAGTTCTACTCCCCACTGAACCATCACTAATCACATTTCCAAGATACTCCGTACACCTAGTCGTCAAGCGAAATCATTTCCCCAGAACACGGTGAACAAGCATTGCAATAAATACTGCTTACCTATCTACCCAAAGTGCAATCACATTTACATTCGACAGGAGCTGGAACTCACGATCCCCCTGGGCTGAGAACTAAATAGATCCCCAGGGCGTAGGGCAGAGTGGCAGACACTAAAAACTCCCACTCCAGAGTCCACGTCCAATCGCATCTTTTATTAACTATATCTGGGCCTACGGATACACCCCGCCAAGATCTACGTTACTATCTCCACCTATGTTATCTACCTCCCGTCCGTTCTAATATCATTCACGACGCCCGCTTTGGCCAAAAGACGCCAAGATAGCTCCAAAATCTTGAAAAGATTCCCATCTCGACACCCTTGATTCCCCGTTGAAATGTAAAGAAAACTCACCTAACTAACTTACACTCGATACCTGAAACCGCGCCGCGATTCAATCCTCTAGCGCACGCTCCTTTGCACGGATGAACCAGGTTCACGGCCGGCTTTAGCACGGAGCACTAAGCTCTTGTGAGATGTTACGTCCGAAGCCATAAGCTCGTTTCCGTGACGAGGGTCGAGGGGCCCATTGTCATATGAATTGGATTGGGGATTGATGGGCGAGTAAGAGTTGAGTCAGGAGGTGACGGTCAATCACATGATAACTAGTCCAGACTCGCAAAAGTCTCCGCAAACCTGGAGAGTTTCAAGGAGAACGGAACAGAACAGGATGTCGATCTGTATGCACCCTTTCTCTCATGATCGTGGCTCATCGGTAGGGCGATGGTTACGGGCAGATCGCGATGCCATGACGGTGTATCAACCGTTTTCAACCTACACTGACCTTGGCAATTCAACTAGCATGCTTACAGTATGCACCGAAGCCAGAACAAGATGTGTTTCTGCAATTTAGAGGAGTTGACTCCTTGTATGATTCACAGGCCCCAAGAACCCCGACATCGATCGCTGAATGCAGTGATCATCTAATATCCAGTAATGGCTCAGGCCTGCCTGTACGTACTGGTCCTACTGGGGAAAACCACGGATACTGTACCCAAGACCTAAGCACGTGTCTGCTGTTCTCGCTGTCCAATGCATGTCATCTTGTCGAAACCGACAGGGCGGTTCTGGAACCCCCAGGCCAGAACCTGTCTTTCTGTGAACCAACAATACGGCTCAGCGCTCCCCAACGTTCTGCAGGGAGAGAAAATCCAGAGACACGGTCCTGGAGCCCAGGCTGTCTGTCGGCCAACACAAAATAGCAACATAAGCCCCATTCCCGATGCCCGCGAAGCCAAACTCCTTAGTTTATTAGTTCAGACCCAAGGTGCTGGATCATGGGGCGGCAACGATTTAAGTGTGAGTTAGCAATCGCTACGTTAGTACGGAGTACTTCATTATTAACTGTGAAGAGCGTACTACGTACTAAGTTACTAGCGGCATCGTTGTCTCTCCAATTGGGATTGTTGTTTGCTGGCGCCCGCAAAAGGTTAGCACTTGGGCCATTATTCTCCGCGCAATCTCGCTGCATCTGATCCTAGGGCCTGGAACTCCCTTGCAGAGTCAAATCGTTGTGCCTGGTTCAGATCACGCATTCCACGTGCTGCGACGCGTGGTTACATTAGTGAGAGCCGCAGCAGTTGGCACATGGTTTCTGTGCTCTCAAAGCTGTCAAGAGTCTAACCGCTTATTACCGGCTCCCCAGGCTGTGTTTGTGTGTTGTTGTTACAAGCAAGTCTCACAACAATTAAAATAGGCTTAGAATCAGAAAGCCACTTCTGCTCGGTAATTGTCATTCGTTATTACCTAGGTACGGACAGTCTCACTGTGACAGAGCCTTCCAAGCCCCAGCTGAAACACTCCCATTCGCTTGAACAGGGGTGTCGAGAAGTGGCCCGCGACGCAAGATCGACCACCTCTATCTAAACTTTGGTGTTTAGCGACCGCTTGAGCTAATCTCGAAGAAACTCACAATGATCCACTTCTAGCTTCACTGATCTACAAGTGTTTTTATTAGTACAGATCTCCACGTACGGATATATCTCAATGAGTTCGTTGCCTTGTACTCGGTCCAAAAGGCGTTGGTGGACCGGGCTTAACAGCGGGCGCAAGTACGCCATAATCCAGCTCAAGGGCAATGGATGAGCAATGGCATTCGCTTGTTGGCTCCTCATGCAAAAAGATCTCAGACCTTATGAACCTATAAAGATGAACTCTGATGGAGGCGGTTTTTAGTAGCAAGCGCCACGGCCTGGAAAGACACCCTTCAGATATACGGATACAGTATCTCGATCTGCCTACAGACTATTTCTTTGCCCTAAGTTAAGAGGTAACCAAAACTTAATAGGGGGCCAGAGTGTAAACGGCTTACGTTTACTGCACGATACAGTATGTCCTTAGTCATACAGAGTACTGACGTTAGACCTCCAGCTTTGCAGGGCGTGGTCCCAGGGCTTTGGGTCCAGACTCGTCATTTTCAGACTGGTCATATTTTCCATGTAGAGCCTCACTGCCTGTACGTAAACGTCCCAATCGCAATCTACAAGCCGAGTCTGCTTTAAGTAATTCGATCGTTAGGCTAACAAGAGGCGGAACTTGTGGTCCAGTGTGATGTGATATTGAAGTAATAAAGATGATCTTGCGCCACAAGAGTTCAACACTGACGTTGTAGCTTATTATTACTTACTGAAATACTGCAAATCATCGTTTACGAGGCGGGGAGGAAGACACTATTGTTGCGCTGTGGAGATGAGCCTGCCAAAACATTCTGCTGAGAGACTGCTGTGATCACCTTCCAACGTCACGGGAAAAACATTTCTTTCGCCTCAACAGAGATTACATGGCTTTTGCGCTTTGACATCAATCATTCTCACGTCCCTGTACGGCTGAAAGCTATTCATCTGACAGATACAGAGTACGGAGTACCACATGGCGATATTTGGGCTGAGTAGCATGAAGCCCTGCTGATATCTTGCAAACAGCATCTGTTCAGCCTTGGTGGTCATCAGCAAACCTTGACCAGGCTCACCATCGGCGTCAATGATCAACCGTAGCTCAACATGCGAGGCTTGACGAAGATATTTCGGCAAACTCGAATTTCCATCCACTACCTGTTCCAATAAACCTATGAATGCCACATCTCAAACATCGTGGCGTCTTGCCTTCGGTTATCAAAACTGTCAGTTGGGTCGACAAGGGACAAAGACTCCCCGACAGGCTTGCCTTGGTGGTCTCCCATACACATCCCTCGTAAGCGCAAATGGTGCTTGCGGTGGTCAAAACTCTAACCCACATCGATCGCGCCCTAGTTCTCGTTCTGGTGTCTCGTAAGTCGCTGAGCTGTGGCATTGGCTCATTTGGTTTTGCTCTTTGGAGTCCAACGGCCCGCAGCTTGAGCGGCGCGCAACTAGGCATTATTGGTAACATCATTTGCTTGAAAGCAAGAACCATGTTTCCCAACCGTCCAGTGAACCATGCCATGACGCAGGCTTGTACTTGAGAGCCACGGTTTCTGAACCAAGGTGTCCCAAGACTCTTACTACAACAGAAAAAGTCTCACGGTGGCTTCTTTAGCCGATATCAAAGAGTTTGTTGTACGGTAGAGAGGGGCGGAACGGGACGGCTAGGGAATCTGCAGTCATATCACGGCATCGGGGCGCCTGAAGAGTGCCATCATGGGACCCATGGCTGTGGTTCATCCATGGTGAGCACCCAAGGGATACAAAAACGATGGACCTTTTTCGCAAGGCAGACCGTTGCAGACAAGTTAAAGTCCAGGGTTGTTCGTCAAGCATATGTGGATTATAAATCGTGAACGAAGATGCCACCACCGGGCGATGGTATTCCCGAGCAATGGAGCCGCATATCAACGTCACAAGCATACCAGCTTACCGTTACCACTAGGTAAATCGGTCCTCAGAGCGACGATCTGAGATCGTCTCTGACACACAATGTGCTTGGTAGATGGTAGGGCCGGTTAACACCCGATTTAAACTTTAGGTCCAGCTTTGATCTCATCAGCTCGCACTTTGCTCGCTTACCAAGCTGAAGAAGGGTGATCTACACAGGGAACTTCTCTGGTCTAAGTGGCTTCCTATGTACCAGGGAGTAAGCCCGACGGTTTCTTTTGGCTTGTGCCAAGGGCTGGGTTTGAGGTAAAGCCTGAATCATTGAAGATAGCAGATAGATGATCTCGGGCCCGAAAGAACAAGTGCTCTTGTTCGTATCAGCCGCGCAGTTAATTACACAAGTTAGGTTAGTTGAAATGGTAGGGGTGTAGGCAGAACGGGTTTTACGGCTGGGAATACGTGATATTATGCTTTCAGACGCACAGTAGCTGAGACCGCCATTGTCCTTGGCACTAGGAAGTGATGCCCCAGATATTGCTTAGACGTGGCGATGGAATGAGAGTGCTGTACCTTGGGTAACGTGAATTAGCCTCGGGGAAAGGTAAACAAGTGACGTTCGCCTACAGGTATACGGTATTCGATATTCAATATTTGGGGTACTCGACTTCTCCATCTCTCATTGCACGTGACATTCTTGTGATAGCGGCACATGTCAGAGCCTGAGGTTTACACAATTTCCGTAGCATGAGACAAGACGCATCATTTGACAGCAATCGATCCATTGCTTCCGAATGGATCAGGAAGACGTGGACTAATTTGCCTGGTACAACTTGAGCAGGCCAATGGGCTCGCTGGCATGCTGGCTAAGCGCCCACGCGGGGCAATTGGTGGGCGCTTACAGCTGTCAAGCCGGCTGCAGAGCTCAAGGCGCAGGGGCTCAACGTCTTGATGGCGCATCGTGATTGGGCCCAGGTTTGAGAGAAGCATTCACCACTATGCAGCTTGCGTTGTAGCAGTCTTGAGAGGGACGGGATCTTGGTCTCTTCTGATGCGGCCGCTTTTTGTTCATTGAGACAAGTGAATGCCGAAACAGTCTCGGGACTTGTGCAACGAATGAGGAGAAGATAAATCCAAATTTGAACCAATTTTCCGTAATTTTCCTCATCTTCAAAGGCCCAATATCAAACTCCATCTTCAAGTATCGTGGTCGAGGTAACTACTGCGGGGCTGTCCAAGCTTGGCACGTCCATGTTGCGGGCGGCTAGAGGAGGCAGCTTGGAGCTACCTTTCATGGGGAAAGCTCCTTCAAGGCCACATTTTACTTCTCTTTCTCTCCTTTCTTTAATATTTATCATTGTTGACTGTGTATGTTGTAAGATCCTCCATCTAAGCGTTCTTAACACCTGCTGCAAGAAGATAATCATGGCGAGTCAGCATCACTACTATCCTCGTAAGTCCACTCAACTTAGGCATCATGACAACCAGGCTGATCATGACACATCAATAGCTCCGCCCGGCGCGGCACAGAGCTCACCAGGTTCGTCCATTTCCCAAACTACTTCAGCTATTGCATAGTACACAGTAAAGCTAACCATGATATACTTGAGCAGCTCCTCAACCGCAGCAGCAACAACATCAATATGCGCCGCCACCGACCTCTCCTCCGGCGAACCGCACGCAATTTTATCCTCCTCCGCCTCAACCACAGGCTCAACCGGGACAGGCCATGAATTATCCTCCTCCTCCACAACATACACCATCTCCTCAAGTTCCTCATCAACCAACGCCGATACACTATCCGCCACCTCCCCAGCAGCAACTACAACAGCAACAGCAGCAACACACTCCTTCTCCGCAAACCAACCATCACTCCCATAGTTCCTCCCAGGGATATTATCCTCCTCCTCCGGCTTCTGCGCCAGCTCATCAGCAGCACTTTCAACACAACCAACCGCAGGCGACACCTCCGCCTTCACAGACTCAATATCATGCGCCGAGTCAGCACAACTACCTGGCCATGAGGCCCACGGCAACGCCCCCTGTCGCGACTCCTTCTGTAGCTACGCCTCCGGTTGCAACACCTCAATCTCATCAACAGAACTTCGACCCTCCGCCTGCGCCGGTATCGCCTCTCGATGAAAGCCCATTCCCAGCTGAAAAGCTCAAGCAGGAACCGGAGCAGCAACCCGCAGGAAATGCGGTAGCTATGACGGTTTCTGGAGCACCCCAGGCAGGTCAGTTTGTGGGCGCGGTGGCTACGGCTGACGATACCGGAACTTTCAATGGAGGCAGCTACCGCATCAGTCACCGTGACTGCAATACTATCATCACCATCCAGCTCGCCATGGGCTGTCCCATGTCCGCCAAGCCAGGCGCAATGATCGCCATGTCTCCCTCTGTTACTCTCAAGGGGCAGATCAAATTCAGCATGAAGAAGATGATTACCGGAGGTGAAATGTCAAGCTCAACGTACATCGGTCCCGGCGAGGTGCTCCTTGCGCCGCATAGTCTTGGTGATATTACCACAATTCGTCTCTCGGGTAAGGACACCTGGTCAGTAGGCCACGATGCATTCCTAGCCTCAACGCAGGGTGTTATCAAGGATCACAAGCGGCAGGGCCTAGGAAAAGCCATGTTTAGTGGTGAAGGTCTCTGGGTGTACAAAGTAAGCGGTACTGGTCTGCTATGGATTTCGAGTTTCGGTGCAATCATCCAGAAGACGGTAAGATATTTCCAGGGTTCCGTTCCCATCAGGTAAACTAACATGTCTGCTAGCTCGTCGAAGGTGAAAAGTACATCATTGATAACGGCCACTTAATTGCTTGGAACTGCAAGTACGTCATGGAGCGTGTTGCGTCCGGCGGTATCATTTCAGGAATTGCCTCGGCGGAGGGTTTGGTGTGCAAGTTTTCAGGCCCCGGAACTGTCTTTATGCAGACTCGAAACGCGGTAAGTGATTTTCTTCCTGTATCCGTTCTTGGCCTGGTACTAACGATAATGACAGAGGGCGTTTGCTGCTTTTATGGGTGGACAGCAGTATCAAGGATAGCTATACGTACGCGTGTGGTTGCAAACATACGAAAGCCTTGCAACACGGCTATTTGTTTATCACTTGTTCATATGTCATTTTGGATCGGAGTTGGTTTCTTGTGTTTGTAGTTGGATACCTCTAATTGATTATGGCCGCCCCTTACAGTTATACACGCATTTAATGAACTGCATAGGCGTTCGTTCTTTAAACTTCAGTCCCTATCCCCCTCTGTCAGTCTTGGCTAGGTATAAGCTGGTTCCCCCAGAAGAGTTATAGTCAAGGAAGGAGGTCCCCCAAATGTCAACATGCCTTCCGCTGCAAGTAGACCACAATCTCTTGGCCTGCGCCTGCCAATTTCTCTTGAGCGATTGTTACCTTCAACTGCCTAGTAGGTACTCCGTGTCATCTCCTCTTAGTTTCTCTTCATCTACGCCATCACATCCCAACTTCTCCGTAGAAGAGCCACCCCCTTTTCTTTTTTGGACTACTTATTCCGCTATACGCAGCATTAAGGCATCTTGTCTAGAGAAAAGCAGCCTGAAGAAAAAGCGAATTCACTTGCCACCGTTACAGCGATCACCACCTCCCAACTTTCCCAAAAGAACCTCCTCGACGCCCAACACTTTCTATTTGCCGGTTTGTCAAGAAGAACCCAGAAGTAGTCTCTCCTCATTTCGGAGACCTGACGATACTGTCCACATTTTCGACTCAAGTAAGTTGTCTTCAAACTCACAAGAAGTATATCCCCTGGAGCTTGGAGGAGAGTTACTTGTACCTGATGAGCCAGGATGTGAGTGAAGGCTGATGTATAATTTGGCTACAGTCCTCTGCGTGTTTCGGTATTTTTGGATTTGTGATCAAACTCTTCGTTTCTCTGTGCGGTGTATCCAATCGACAAAGTCAAGAATATCAAGATACAGCTTGTCTACATTCAGGGGTTCTAACAACTACCTACTCACGAGGAAACCGTCGGGTCCCGAGAGCTCGACAGCCCACAATCGACAACTCCTTTGTTCGACGGCATTCTGAAGTCAAGTTACTTGCTTCTTGAAACATTCCAAAAAGAACACACGTTCCAAGCTCGAACTACACAAGGACTGCACCTACTTGGCGTCAAATAGACTGGGCAACCTATTCATCCTCCCGGTCCCATCTTACACATCAATTCACAAGAATCGAATTTACTATGGCGTCTGATAAGAAGATAAGAAGACGTATGGCTCGCACGACAGCATCAACTGACCAAACCACCACTGACGATTCCTTTGATGAAACGAGCTCTGTGCCCTGTGCTTCTCGTGGAGACTACTCAGGAGATCACTCTTCGGTTTCAAAATTTGCGGAAGCAATGAACAATCCAGATTGGCGTCGTCGACGTGGTGGCTGTAGCGCTTGTGAGTCCACAGACACAACAACTAGCGACCCGAGTCGCAGTGCCCTCCAAAGTCATGAGACCTCCCAAACACCAGTAACCAGTGATTTACTCACTTTCCAAGAGAACAATTCGGTAATTAATCCATGGGATTTCATTGATAGTGCCAACCACTGGCAATCAAGTGTTGGCACTTCTGACATCGAAACAAGAGATACGAAGGCCGATTCTGTCGAAGAGCTTCATGCAACTCCGGACCGAAACAACTTGCATATCATAGAGAACGATACTACAGAAGAAGAAATTAGTGGGCTATGTAGTCTTTTGCAACGGGCCGACTTGATCGGTGGTCGGTTCAGGAATCGTCAAGTCGAGATCCTTCAACTCGTCCCCCTTTTCTCGGAAAATGACACTTCTTCGAGACCTGGCCGGTCGCCGAGCGATGATCGAGCATACCCTATCGCTCGTATACAACGCGTGCGCAAAGTTCCACGGTCGGGATATTCGGAACAACCCCAAAGATCTGACCAAGAGACCAAGCACCTGATGGGTGTAGTGGATGAGCAAAGGCTCACACTTACTGCCAGTGCTCCCAACATTCCAATGCGAGACAAGAATTCTTCCATTGGAAACCGCGAAGTGGAAAGACTTGAAAAGGCAAGACAAGCTGTGGTCAATGACCCAGCTGTTACTGACATTGGGTTCGGAAATGCTCAAGCTCAGTCTACAACAACAGGTAGCACGATTATAAAAGTTGACCAGCCAAGAACAGACGAGGAACTTCGGCAGAGAAATTTTGCTTTTCAGAAGTTTCTGCAAAAGCTCCAGCAAGATAAGTCAGGCGTGCAACCTGAAGATTCGAGAAACAACGAAGAAATTCGACGCAGAGATGAAGCTTTCCACAGAATCCTAAAAAAGCTTCAGAAAGGATCGGGACAACAGACGAAATCCGTAAAAGAATACTCAGCAGAGAGTTCTGTTTTCCACCACAATTGTCCTTGGGGATCGAAATCGAATCATGTTCCACCCGCATCTACACAACGACGCAAGTTTGACAGCTCCGACTCTGGCATTGATATGCCTTATAGCATAAAGTCAAGGAGTAAAGAAGATTCTCAGGACTCTGGAATTTCTGTTGGTACCAACGCTCTCTCCCAGGGCTTGAACCCTAGAGCAAGAGAGTTTCTTTCTTTCGGAGAAAACTTTCAAGCAACGTCGGGACATCAGGATATCGCAAATCTATCAAATGAAAGCACTTTTGAAACAATGGGCTCGAATAAGAGTAACAAGGTAGACAACGTCACTGGTAAAACTCCTGGGAGAACTGATTCGACGGATCCCAGTCTTACTTGCCCCATCATGGAGCCTAAACATGGTGATAGGGGCGAGGCAGGCACTTCAACGCTTGACACCAAAGCGATTCAGTCCTCAAGCAAGGGTCAGGTGATGCTAAACTATACAACAAACATGATCCCAACACCCAATTTTGCATTTAACGTATATCCGACTGCTCCCTACAACTCTTCTCTTCAGGACATGTACCCCCCTGCACCTTTGGCTGGCTTTGGCCACGGCTCAAACCTGGCAAACTTGGCAAACCTGGCAGCGCCTGCTACTTTTGCAAACCAACTTTATCCCACAACTTTCGACCCTGTTCCGCAACTATGCGGCGTTGCACCTGGGCCTCTTCTGAGTAATAATGGTCCACAGATGCCCTACAACCCGATGATGGGAGGTGGCTACTCAAGTCGCCCGACTCCTGTTTCCAAGCCGACGAACCCTGATCCGATACAACAGCAGAAGTACGAAGCCTACATCGAATGGCGTAAAGTCAATGAGCCTGGATATGCCCTTGCCTGCAAGTCCCGACAACAACGCCGAGCGCAGCGTGGTCCAATCCCTTAGCTTGCCACCCTCGCAACAGTCTGCTCTTAGTCTCAGCAGTTATGTTTCAGCAGACGTTACTCTAAATCATCCAGTCCATAAAGATATGGGATCAAGTGTGGGGTTTGAGCCCATAGTCTCCATCAACTATGAATGGGCCAAGATGATCAGAAACCAGGATGGCTACATGGGCAAGAATTTGATTCAAGTGGATACTCAATGTTTATTGCGTGCAGTCTTGACCGAAAGAGCTGAGAAGAAACAACTGAAACTGATTAGGACAAGTAACTCACGAATATTTCATAGGTAAAACCAATAATAGTGATACTCGGTGGAAACACAGCTCTGTCGGATTAATAAATTTATTAGGCAGAAATAGCCCGACCGATCAACAGGTCCAACCCTGACAAAATGCCAATGAAGTAGAGACATCATATCTTCGAGACGAAGTTAGCTGCTACATGAAGATGACAACAGCATATACACATTAACGTGAACTGCCATCGTACAGACCGACTAAGCCAGTCAGAGATGTGCGAAGAGCAAGATTGCATCTATTTATTTTGAGTTATAACACAAAGATTTAATATATTACACATATTCCTTCAAGATCGTCATGGTGCATTAATCTGCTACGATACATCGCATGTCGTACCCTATACTAATCCCATTTATGAAGAAAGATACTCTCGGTAGATCGAACGAGACGATGATCTACACCGTCTTCCCCGTGGGGTGTGCATCATCGCTGTCATGAGCTAAAGGTTCAGGGGTGATTTCGGCCCCCAGGCTGGCCACAGGTGAGTCATTGCTTTGCCGTCAAGAGTCACCACGGTGTGTGGAAGGTACATGCGAAGCGGTGACCGACAGGGAAGTGTTGGAATGTGGTAACACGGGCTGCTGCGGCTGAGGACTGTGATGTTGAGCTGACTGCAACAGTGCAGAAGCTGGGAGAGGTTGAGGCTCTGCGGAAATGAGCTGGCATGTTTGATGTGCGGTGGTACGTAACCCCAGCGGTGACTACCGTTGGCCCATGAAGCAAGCAGCAGGGAAAGGTATGTTGCTATTGATCATCCATGTATTCATCCATCGTATCTCTATCGCTGGTATATAAGATCTAACAACATACTAACTATGGGACAGTCCCACGACATGAAAATCCCAGTAAAACGTATTAAAATGCCCATCTGTCCAGAAGTCCAATGGTTTATGGGGTATCATCGCGGTTGGTAAACTGCATATGCGATGGTGGTGTAGATATGAAAGAAACGCCTGTAGGAAAACAACCATATGACTCTTCCGTGATTCCCCAGATCCTGAGAAAGAGAATGAAATAATATACGCAAATACAGTGCTACCTTTAGATACCCAGAGAGCTTTGTTCAGCATTCCTCGCCTTCTGCATCCTCATCGAGACCTTCGTTGAGGTTTGATAGCCTAGAGATCTCAGTTCTGGCCGCCTTGAGCGGCTGGCAAGCTTCCCAGCCCTTGTTGGTAGACACAATGACATGTACATCTGGTTGCGATGCCCAGTCTGTAAGAGCTCTATCGTTGGCACCACCAAATACCACTGGCGGCTCTTCATTGTTCGCAGCACGCTCGAGGTGAATCGCGACGTGCTCCATACGACTATCCCAAGTCCTTAGGCCGTCGTCAAATACAGTCATGCAGCCCTCGGCTGGACAGTGCATGTAGCTGGGTAATGTGCACCGCTGTCGTAAGGCAGCCTCCTGATACTTCTTCTCTTGAACTATCCACTCGATAGGGAAGTTCTTGTCTTTCTTGTCCGCATTGACTACCTCGGGCCATGAGTGCATCCGGCGAATATGCTGTGTGTAGAGGTCTTTTCTTCTAAAGACTCTGCAATGTGTCGGTTTACCTGCAATGCTCTTGGGGGAGGGGTTCGGCGAATAGCCGCAAATGCCTGCTGTGCAAAGCCAGTAGTCAAGGTTCAAGTGCTGTGCTAACACATGGCGTTTCCACTCGTTTTTCTTTGCAAATGTCTTTTCACACCCAGCAAAATGAAAGACGCATATGAAAGGACGAATATGCATAGTGTTGGTGTGTTTCTGGAGTAAGATTTCGTCCCTAAAAGAGACATGGCAATGATTACACATTGTGTTTCCATCCGGAGAGAAGGACACTAGTCTTCGAGTTGTAGTGCTACGAGACGAAGGCTTTGGTTTCGTAACCTTTGTTCTGCTGGGCCGTTTTGTGCGACCCCGTCGACTGTTGCTCTTCGTGGCTCGGGACGATTTACCTCTGCGGGTGGGCTTGTATTCCTCGTCGTCATCGTCATCTCCGGCCACGCTGCTCGAGACTTTGATTGCAGGATCGTTCCCAGTATTTTCATCTATGCCCATTTCGTCAATTTCAGGGTAGGTGTCAATGCCAAAGCCTTGAGAGTCTGCTGCTGAGTTTGGAGTATTGGCTGACGATGTGGAATCTAAGCCACTTCCCAGGCAAATGGAAGTAGGAGTGGCGCTTTCGGCTTCAGCACCCGCGTCGATATTGAAGCCTAATTCTTCTTCTACTTTGATATCCAGGAGGATTTGACAAGGTTGAATCACAGATGGATTCACGCATCCCTGTGACACGTTCGAGAGTCCATATAGAGAAACGCTGGGTGACTGAGAGCCCAGCGAGACAAACTGTGGTGACCAGACGGCAGTGTTAGGAGGTGTCGATGGCCCTTGAGTGCTTTCGACGTATGCACCATTGTCGGTCGAGGGGGGACTGAGTGGTCCGCTAGCCACTGACGATTGCTGGTAGGATATTGGTGAGCCATGTCGAAATTGTGAGTTGTGGTGAAGAGATGAGCTCATGTCGGGGTAGATGCCAGTGTAATTGGCATTCTGGCTAGAGAAGTTCCTTGGTGCAGTAAAGTAGTTGGTCTGCTGCTCCTGGAGAAATCGTTGCATGCCGCTGATGCCGGAGGAATCGCCTTGTAGGCCGGAATATTGTGTGTAAAATTGGAGAGAGGGGTCGATCCGATCGGAGAGATCTTCACTTTTGGCGTAATCAGTGTTGGAGTATGAGAAACAGAGTGTGTTGGCCGAGTATCCAACATCATCAGTTTCCTCATAGTAAGGGTGGTGTGCCATGATGGGAGCAACTTGGTATAAAGAGTGGCACGTGATGTTGGCTTTCAGTGAAAAGATGTTGGTAAGAGATACTGGTACAGAGAGTACAGTGCAAAGGTAAAAAGATAAGAGGAATGCCTTCGGTACTCGATGTAAAAGCGTAGAAATGCCAGTTCAATAGTGGAATATAGACATGTGTATTGCGGATATGACGTTGTGATAATGGTAACGCAAGACTCAGATCGTGTAAGTCAGGTAGCGTAAGATTGGGGAACAGATAAATCGGATATCAAGATAACTAAAAGTATGGAGAATGATTATTGTGAACAGTGAAAATTCGGAAAACCACTGTTGAGTTGCTGGTCAGAATGGGGAAGAGTTGTCATGGTGGAGGGCGAGGAACGCATCTTAAGAAGTTATAGAGGCTCCAAGAATTGATGCACAGAAGGCCTTCGTAGGCCTGTCTTGGGTGCTTAGACAGACAGCGAACTCATGCCCTCCCCTTCAATCGCAGCAGAGCCTCATAGTACGTACCTAGGCCCTGGGGTGTGCCATCCATTTATCACTTTTCAAGAAATGCCTGCATCATACCCTAGTCAAGACCCAGCCAGCCCTGACCCATGTCCAGTCCAGTCGGGACCAACTGCCTTGCGATAAGGTGGTGTGGTAACCAGACACTGGAAAAGGCTATTTCCAATATCTGGCAGCGGTTGAATTCTTCACGCCTTATGAGAGAGGTCTGCAGCTGCTCAGTGGCAAGAGCTATTTGCGGAGTGTTCTCTCAAGCCGCTGCTAGAATTCGTAGAGGTAGAAGTGTATACGGGACCTAAAGAACGACAACTGATGCGAACCATTGAATCGAACACCCTTGTCGCTTATCATTTACTTGTATGGGCATGGCTAACCATTAGTCCAAAGAATTGGAGCTAGACGCCACCCGCACTAGGCAAGGCCCGCCCTGCCAGTGCAGACGCGACGCTTGATTGAGCAATGAGTTCAGTCATTGCGGCTAGAATTGATACGTATCGAGGGGAAGCGATGCTGGCATTGGTGTTGACAGGTGGTGGTGGTACACGTAGGTGAGAGAAACGGCCAAAGTCTGTGCCCAGAAACGCCTAGGGGTATAAAAAGTAGAAACCTTAACCCCTGGAATTTTGACGACAGGTCTGAGACAGTTTGATGCGTGAGGTTGGGCATCAGTACGGAGTACGGATATCATCTTGGCCATTGTCTCGAGTCAAGCCAGCTGTCAAGGTGCAAGGCGATGGCGGCTACGACTTTTTGAGAATCAACACCAGTTTCCAGGTAGCGTATCGTCTTAAAGCCTGTAAAGTCCGGTAAGCGAATAAAGATCGTGATTAGCGGCGGGTAACATAATAGCATAATTCGGAGTTTTGTTAAAGTTGGTCGAGTCGTCCTGTGTTCTGTGTTCTGTCGAGGCTTCTCGAATACCGGTACTACCAAGTCTTGATTTGCAGAGGTAAAGAAAGGGTGTGATGATGAAGCATCTTTTCTTGGAGCTGAAGATTGATATTGACATGGTATGGATGTTGATGATGATGATGATCGATGATGATTTATTATTCCTGGCAAGAAAAGTGAAGCCGGGGGGATCTACATTTCAGCCCCTGTGGGTAAGACCCCTGGGCCCTGTGGTCGTGTGGATAATGGGGCCCACTGATTAAGAAGCGTGAAAAGGCAACCCTCAAAAATGGGAACGTGGTACCCACCATCCCGATGTAAGCCAATTACGGCTACAAGCTGGACGGCAAGTGGAGCCATTACAATTGCTAGAGCCAACAGACTTACAAGGGTTATCTCGCCCGGAGACAGTGAGAATTCCCGGGCCGGGCCCTCCAAGTTCATCAACAAACATTAAGCTACATACTACACCTAAGTAATGTACGGGTTTGTGCTGAAGCAGATGACTAGCTGCGTTTCCCTTCCTCAGCTATGGCTCGCACATATTCGACCCTTCCTATTGGCAGGTAGACCCTTGTTCGTTATAATTTCGAATGACACCTAGTACCTACTCCCTTCTGGCTACCGGTGACAATCTGATAGCCAAGACTCGGATGGCCAGAAGTTGCGGTATCTATTGTATCGAGTATGACAGGTTGCCTGGCATTGAAGATCTCTGTAGAGTACGTCGATGCTTGAAATATTAACAAACAGTAAAAGCACAACTTCTTCTCACAAGGAAACATCACAACTAGCATAGAGTACAGTATATGGACCCCATCCTGGTCTGATATGTTGATTCAATTGGATCCATATACCCGGTTCATCCAAGATCCTTCTGCATTTCTCCTGTGCAATTGTGCAATCTTGGAATCTCCAGTACCAAGCCCCAGCTGAAAACCTTGCACAACCTGTACAATAGCCATCCCAGGACACGGGACGGCCCCCAGATTTTGACATTTTGGGGTCTCTCCCAAAAGAATACAACCGTTTTCCGTAAACGTGGACTCGCAGATACTTCCCTTCGAACTCGGCCCCCAATTCAGACTCTTCGAGCGGCTATGGGGTAACAATACCCAGCTCTGTCTCGTCTCTTTGATAAAGCCAAGCTATCATGACGAACGAGGCACCAGCACTACAGCTGATCCAAATAACCAATGATGCATAACACCAATATCACAATCCCTAACCTCACCTGCTTCCAGCTTTACCCCCTGGCTCGAGGACAGGAGGCCCACCGCTAAACCCTATCCACCCACGAGGCAGCTACATTAGTGAGGACGCCTTATGCCTTGGGGGAGTACACTCACTCAGCTCGGGTCCGTATCCGTATCTATCAAGTGACAAAAGACTCAAGACTTGGTGTGAAGCTACAGACCACATTTCAAGTCAGAAAGAAGAAGAAAAAGTAAAAGAGAAAAAGCCTCCATTGTCAATTGTTCCAAAGCCACGGCGGCGGGCCAATCTCTGCCGCATGTTGTTATAGATGGTACAAAAAACCCCCATGCATGTCATGCACGATGTATAATGGATGTTATTATCCGCGCCTATAGATATACTCGCAGGATAATTAGCAAATGCTCCTCACCATGTGTCTCTGCGGTGCATATCAACACCATCTATCCGTACCATCCACTATCCACCCACCATCTACTAGGGATGCAGATCCTGTCTTCCGCGGGCTTGCTCTGCGAGATGATGATGGTACGATACCTGGTAGATAGCCTACTCAGACGAGTTCCAGCCCCTTGGACCTCGCATCATTACAGTACCCGCGGCTTCGCCCCTGCTGCAAATCCGACCCCAGCCCCGGCTGAGCTTGGACAATAGTCGCTAGTGGTTCCCTTGTGTAACACGAGATGACCCAACGCGGCTCTTGGAGGAAATGAGCAACAGCCGCACAAGACAACTCACGCTACCAACTCTTGTCTCTCTCTCTCTCTCTCCTCTGACGCCCTTTACAAGGTCGACGACCAACCCGTGTTACACCAAAACACTCATCAAGGTAACTCGTAAGGTCCCACTCCAACACACGCCAAGTCTGTGACTGGCCTCCAGTACGGATACGCGCCGGGGAACTCTCCCCAGGCGCCTGTTTATATTCAAAGTGGCTTATCCTGATACAATAGCGCGCCATCTCCGACAGAAGTGGAAAATCATATGCAAGCTGTGGAAGTGCGTCGATGGCAATCTAGAGCCGAACCCCCGGTCTTTTACACTTTGGTCGATCTATCCGTACAGGGGGCTGAGTAGAGATGCAGATTATGGAGACGAGCTGAAGACGAAGCAGGCCTGTGCCTGGTTCACCTGTTCATGTATCGTGATCAGCGTTGGCTACGATTCAGTGACAGTCTTAGTCTTGTAAAGTTCGGATTCGTAGTACCGTTGAAACTAACACGACCCTAAAACTATCAGAAACCGGCACAACTACAACTCTATTTATGGAAGCATGAAGTAGACATAAATAACACAATCATCATATACCCAATACATTCGCTCTTTTCAATGCACTGCCGGCCCTCTTTTCCTACACAGGATATCAAGTTTCCAAACATATCATATCGGAGTACATCATACATCCATCCATACGTCATAAAGTTAACACATAATACGCCCAATTTGCTCCAGAGTCCACGTAGCCTAACTGTCACCAGGAGCAGGCAGTGTGTACATTTCACAATTCTGGCATGACCGGTGACTGCACTCCAGGCATGACGTGTTGTGACTCCGAGTGTTCTCGATATCGCAGTTGCACTGTTGGTCTTTGTTAGCTCTTGTGTCATCGACGAGGTCTAGGCATTCACTTACACATGCCCACATGTACACCATCTTTTGGACCTGGTGATTCTCGCTGTTGTTGTCTTGTGATGCAAAGGTCCGGGGAGACTTAGGGTCAGACGTGGACGAGCCGGAGGAAGACCCTGACCCGGTTTCCTGGGAGGCAATGGTGGCGGCATGGCGATCCTTTTCATGCACCCACTCGCTGATATATTTCTTGGGTCCTCCACGGCCAGAGAAGTGGTCGTCGATGTGATCAAAGCGTTTAGCCCACGAATTGTTCACCACTTCGATATTGACAGTTTTCAGACAGAAGCCACACCAGAAGTAGGTCTCGCAATGACGCCCTTTCCGACAACTATCAATCTTCTCTTCGAGCTTCTGGGGATCTAGTGTCGGGTGGTCCTTTGTGAGGTGGCTTCTGAAACTCTCACGACGGTAGCAGATCTTGCCACAGGGCTCAGCCGAGTCAGATTTGGTGCAGTCGCATGTCCATGTTTCAAGCTGGTAGTGCTGAATGCTCTCGTGCCTCTTCCAATCGTTCTTGCTTCCGAATTTCTTCTTACAGTCAGCAAAAGTGCATCCGTATGGCTTTGAATGTCGTTTCTTGTGCTTCCTGGACACGACGTTAGCAACGTGACTGATCATCGAGACTTGGCAATACTCACTTAAGCTCACATAGCCGAGGGAATGTCTTGGGGCAGTCTGAACACTTATGCGAGTGCGTCTGGCTCTTGTTGCTGGTTAAATCGGGCTTCGGAGTGTCGTCCCTACTGCCCATTGAGTGCTTCCTCAGATAATCTGCAATCAACTCCTTTGGGATCCTGTCGAGAAGTTCGTATGTTTTTTCTGGATTGGTACTCGAAGAGGACTCGGACAAATCTGTCTGTGACGAGATTGCTCTGGGAGTTGCTTCAGCTTCATCGGTATCTGCCATCCTAACATCAGGTTGCTGGGATGTCAAGTCTTCGCTGACACTAGATATCTCCGTGTCTGAAGTTCCGCTTTTCTGTACACCGCCCATGGCTTCTGGCGCAGCATCGTCCTGTAGCTCGGATTCAGAGGCCGTGATATCGTCTCCTGGGGCATCCTCCTCGGAGGCAACGGATGCTGACCATGGATGTGGCGGAAGAGATCCAGATCCACTAAGAATACCCGGCTGGATGTAATTCTCATCACCTTCTCGAACTGTAGCCAGGCTGGATGCATCTCGATCAAATGATATAGAAGATGGACCCCGTGACAGACTACTGATACTAGGAAGCGGCTGTGAAGCTCGTCGATCACCATAAGGTCCGCGAAATGACAGAGATGCAGAGGGATGGATCGAACGAGATGACTGTTCTTGGGCTTGGAGATATGCTATGGCACTTCCACCTATGCCCTCTAGGTCTTGAGAAGGAGCTGGTCTATAATATGTTAGACAGAAACAATGCAGTAGGATACCATGCTCTACAACATACCGATGAACATATTCTGACAGATCATCGTTGGCTGAGTAGGGTTTTGAGTGGATTCTCAGCAGATGGGAGCGGAAGTTATCTGCTCTTGGCCAATATTTACTTTTCTTGGCGCAATTGCCAATATTACACACGAAAGTGCGACCAGAAACTGTGCGATCGCCATGTACAGTTCGCTTATGTCTGTCAAGGTCGTTCTTCGACGTAAAGCCTTTATCTCGTACACAGCCCGAGACATTACAGTGCCAGGGAAGAGAATGCTTCAATTCGTGTTTTCTGAAATTGGTAAGCATGTGTTCTTTGTCCACAAATTAGAGACGCAAGTGCTAACCTTAGCTCTGATCGTGTACGGCATACCTTACGGCAGTCATTACAAGCCCACCGACGCTCCCGACCAACGGGAGCTGTGGCAACGCTTGCAGGAGGAAGTGGTCGGGTCCATTCGGTTTGATATAGCTGAGGGGAGTCATCGGCTGGATATAGCTGAGGGTCATCGGTAGGTGGTTGACAATGTAGTTGGAGGGTTTCCAGGCTTGCGTTGACGAGCCGATCGTCCGGGTTTTGGGATTCCAACGCTTGGAGATCAGGGTCGATATCTTCACCGTATGTAGAAGGATTACCGATGCTGTGAGTCAGGCGGCTTCCATAGGTGGAATCTTCCGGGTTGGTATCACATTCAGATATCAGGGGTTTGCTGCGGTAGTCATGATATTGGAAATTGGCCGCTTCAAGAAGTTGCGAGCGAGCCTGGCCATCACTAGGCGTCCCAAAGGTTAGGGGATTCCAAGGATCGTCACCACCCCATTGCTGCCAGAATGCAGTGCCGGTGTGTGTTCTTGGTTGACCTAGAGCAGCCAGGTTCTCGTTCTGTTCAACTGTTTGAGAAGACATGTTGGCGCCGTTACGTTGATCCTGTGGGGGGTTGAATGATTCCATGATGAAGACGGCGCTTCAATGTTGACTTGGGCCAGATGATGTGGATGGATGTAGTACTGATTGAGTCGTGCTATTTATTCGACGGATGCTGATGATACCGATAGAAACATCCGAGGGACAGAGTGAGACATCCAGGAGCTATCAATTCTTTCCGCATCAGTCTTTGAATATCGGGGAACGAATGATGCAGAGTAAGTGGCGTAGGCAGCTTGTGTTGATGTATTGGGGAGGGTCGATAGGTGATTGGTGTTCAACAAGGACAACAAGGTTCCCGAGCCAGAATCAATCCAGACGCAGCACAAACTCGAGGAGATAGTTCGACCATCAAGATAGATTAATAGACAGAAGAAAAGAAAGCATACATTCAGCCACGGTCAACTTGGTGGATCTGCACAATCCTAGCAAGGGATCCTGGGCGTGTATCACTGAGTGACAGATCCTAGCGCGATGGTCTGTGTAGAAATGGAGTCGGAGTCAAAGTCAGAGTCGGACTCGACCAGGTGCAGCAAACGAAACGAGATTTCAAGATGAAGGCGACGAAAGCGTGGAGGTGCGCGAACGAGAGTTGGAGGTCAAATGATATGGGATGTCACCACCAATGGAGTAGACAAGCCATGGGTGCCGCAGTTCAGAGGGTAACTAAGGTACTTAGGCAAAAGAAGGCAGACTAGTAGTGGAGGTGGAAGTGGAAGTGGAAGTGGCGGAGAAAAGGGGAAGGGAATAGAAGAGATAAGAGACAAAATGTCACGTCGTTGCGATGCGATGAAATGAATTATCGGCGTATGGTGACAGTAACAAGAAGAATTGGTTGAGATTGGGATTTTGGGATCAGGGATGTATCGGTAAGATATGAGGTCTTGTCTCCCCCGAACCGCCTCGTTTTGAGGCTTTGCGAGGGATTTGGGCCAATCAGCGCTCTGCTTTCAACCCCCAAGATACAAGGCACCCAGTGAGGCAACCTGTGTCCGCCCAAAGAGTAAACTAGGAACAAGGCATTTTTGCGAACCATGAGTAAAATCGTTGATGCGGCTCAATTCAGATTTCCATACTAACAATGTCATAAGCAGGTAGACAGAGTGTTATACGTCATATAATCTTAGTTCCAGGATGCCTTTTTTATAAAGCCCTTCAATTCTGGCATTTTTTCTTCCAAGTTCAAGTCGAAGTGCTCTGGCGTTGAATCTATCAATACTTAGCCATGCACGCAAACAACCTTAGCACTCGAGGTCATTGAGACGTAAGCCATCACCACACCACCATCGGCTGCACGCCATAAACACCAATCAACTGACTATACCTTCATCGTGATATTCTACTTTCGATCCATTTTGGATTGATTTCCTGAAATTTCAACGTCTTTTTGTGGCCCTGGGCACCCATACCCTCTCTCACCTAGGTACCCAGTATGGTAGTCCTATCACAGTATGCCCACCTCATACCCATCACATACAAAGCTTCTCTTCCACTCCAGCAAGTCCAAACTCTATACTGGCTAGACTGGTAATGTATTTATACTATCGATGTGTATACCCCTGGAACATATTCTCACTCAGTAACCCAAACTCGCACCTTTTCCTTCACAATTGATAGTTGCATAATGTGCAAGATATGCTCCAATAGCGACATCTGCATGTCTCTATTATACTCTTCATAATCCCAACGCTGCTTTTTTTCTTTAGTTTTCTCTTTTCTCAATTGCCCGTATGCGATATGATTCAATTTGGCCGCCTGCATCTGCTCGGCTCCTTACCTCCCTTGGTAATTCTGCATGCTCCCGAGAGCTCCCACTCGCCATCCTGGTCTTGGATCAATCAGATCTACATCGATTAATCGGAGAGAGATCTAGATGAGTGATAGATGATCAAGCTTAACTGTCGGTACCGTTCTGTGTCTCCAAGGGTGGTGAGTGAAACATGCATCATATGCACATATCGTCAGTCAGGTCTCAGTTCAAAGACGGAGCAGTGAAGACTGGACTCCAGTAAAATACTACTATTTCTATTGCTAGACACATAATCTTTAATTAATACTTCATTAGGGTCAACTTATCATGCCTCCTCATTCCCAAGTTGGGTGTGTCACGAGCCTCAACGTTCCTTACTTGGATTCTCGTACTTCCATGTTAACACAACATCCCAGCTATCACCAAAACAAGCTCTTCAGCTCACTCAAAACCCTCCGTCAACTGCCAGGAGACACACTGTACCACAAGGGACTCGAGAGTTCTTCCCGTTGGCCCCACGCTTCCTGGGAATCTGCTTGGATCTTATGCAGTCCGCTTCTTTCAGCAACAAGAATCTGGGGCACTATGCGCAACCTACGGTTCATGTTCGATCTAAAATGATCAATCACCTCATGTACACAGATTTCATCGATTACTTGCATAATGCCAAAGTCAATTGGATACTGAAGACTGTATCCTTGTCTTGTTCCTCAGTATCCAGGAGCTGCAAGGCTCAAGAACCAGAGAAGAGAAGAGAAGGAAAGGAGAAGGATTTTACTGCACGAACTATGACGCCGGGGTGAGTTCGTCTACTATAAAACACACAATGTCTGCCACTTATTTGGTCTATTTCATTCACCTTTGTCCATAATCACTTACAACCCCGACTTCAAGTATCCTTCATACATAACAGCTCGAGGTCTCTTTGATCTACAACAGAATTCGATATAACCTCTGTAAGTAACTACGTTATGCCAAAGATATTGACTAATAGTCATAGAACACCAACCAAGATCAAGACAACTAGCCCAACATGTGTGACTGGGAAGAGTTCCTCTTTGCATGCAACCACTCCACCCTCCGTCTCAAGTCATATTGTCACTTTGCCCGCAATGACCCAAACCATCAATGTTTTGGCGTCAAAGTTCTTCGCAAGTCGTGGCGGCAATGTGTGCCCTGCGACGACTGCGCAATTGCTTGGCGAGCGAGAGAAGTACAGACGCAACATGGCTACCAAGACAACCAATCTATGGATGAGCAGGGTTCATGAAAGCCATATACTTGGACTACCCACGAAATCTGAATGCTGGCGGCATCTAGGGGTAGAATGACACTGGTCGATGGTTTCATTTTGTTTCCTTTTCTAGTCCTTTTCTGGTTGGGTCTGGGATATAAACTGTATTCTCTCTTGCATTCAAATCAGTTATTTGTTAAGCATGGTCCCGAATCAGTATCGAGGTCATCCTAGAAGTGACACATGTGTGGATCAAGCTGCAGTGTATAACCAAAGCCACTCACATGCATGAACCTCATTCAGTAATAAAAGCCCCATACGTTACACACCTATGACGTTAAAGGGGCATGGTTTGATCACAAATCGCCAGCATACAACGATTGCGTGGAACGCAGCTGTCAGGCTAGAAAGTGAACCCATGCTGTCTTGCGGCAACATGCATACTATGAACGACGCCACAGACAAAATATCGGGACGCAACGGTGGCGTCTGGGATGGTTGAGCTGCGGCCCGTTTCGTGTAGCGCTTCTTGCGTGAGAGAACTACATTGAGAGAAGATGATCGAATTCTGCAAGGGGTGTCTACATGTAACGAGGGACCTACTGCCTACGGTCCAATACCGGAGCCCTATCGATACGATGTCCATGAACACGAGTAAACCAATGGCTCCAGGTAGTTTTCCTGTGGTGCAAGTATTCGGGATATATTCTATGGTGCCGGCAGAGACACGTAATCAGCAACTGTGCAAGACGTATCTTCGCAAAAGCCTCGGATTCCACAGGCTCACAACAGCGGAGAATAGCAAGTTGACCAACAAAGTTCACAGCTCACAAAAAGGAACAAGAAGCGTGAAAAGATGAATTCATAACTTGACCGGAGGCAACTCGGCTAGTCACTCCATGTTTGTGGCGCCCTCCACAACACCGACGACGTTGTACCGCTTGGAGAAGAAGGTGATCCAGTCGTTCAAGACGCCCTTCTCCTTATCATCCAGATCCTGCCACTCTGGGAGTGCATCTTCAGGTTTGGTAGAGGTCTTTCCCAGAGCTCTCGAGGCGTCCTTGCCGGCAAACACTAGGAGGGATGATCAGATAGTGTGTGTTATGCTGATGGAGTCATACTTACCGTTATATGAAGCACCAGGTAGGTAGGCCTTGTTGCCCGTAACGTCATAAACCTTACCCTGTGTTGGAGATGATCAGTCGTGTTCGGTGAATGATATGAGCTGTATGCTGAATTGCGTGTTATGGAGGCTAGGTGGCATACCTTGATGGCTACATAGCACTTCTCACCTTCAGCACCTGTTTGTTGATTAGTATAATTTCAACCAAGTCTGCAAAATAACTGATGAAGTTCAAAAGATATCGTCAAATCGAACATTGTGGCATGGGGGACGGGCCGTACCGTTGGCCTTAGCAAGCTCTTCCTTGGAGATAATGTCATCTTTTGGAGGATCGAGGGTCACGGGGACCTTAGGCTCAAACTTTCCAGCCATTGCGATTGTCTATGTAATTGCGATGTGTAAGTGGTGAGACAAAATTGAATAAGAGGGTAAGATGGAAATAGAACTTGAATCTTAACAGATTCCGTCATATCCTGGACGGGAATCTCCCCTCCCCCACCAAAGCCAAAAAAAAACGACCCTGAACAACCCAGAAGCCTCGGCCAAGTCGACCTCAGCTTTAGCGGGTTCTGAAGCGGCTCTCCACTGAGCAATCAGACAATCAGACAATCCTATTGATCGATTAGAAACGCACGGGCCAGTATTCGTCAAAAATGGTCTGTGCGTGCCTATGATGAACTGACAAGCAATTGACCTTGCAGCTTTTCAATTTCTAGGTTCGTCATCACTACCACCAAAAACCTTCTTCCGACCATCGCTCGCCAATTGCCTCATCAGTTGGCCTGCCATGTCGGTCTCAGCAGTTGCCTCGCTGAGGCCCCTGAGAGGGAAGTGTCTGCAGCATGCAACCTCCGGCCTCCTCTCCGTCCAGCTCCGGTCGCGAACCGCCACATTCAACTTCCGTGCCGTTATCAAACTCCGACCCGATCAGCGCCGGTTCCAAACCACCAAGCCGCCTAACAATCGCCAGGATGGAGACTTGGAAGCCAGAAAGAATCAGTTACCGAAGAAGAGTCAACCGCCGACGCAGCCGCAAATCACATTTCGTCAATTTGCTGGTCGTGCTCTTGCTGCTGGTCTGCGCAGTCTTGTAGTTGCCATGAGTCCAACCGGCATCAAGACGGCTTATAGACAAAGTCCAGGAGCTACAACACTAGGAATCTTCGTGTAAGTCCCACGACACTACCATGTTTCGTTCCTTGGCTAACAGTACAAGCCTTGGTGTCGTATCCATCATTGGCGCATATACCGTCTACCTCTACTTCAACTACTTCTACCACTACCAGTTCACGAGATATCCCAAGCCTATCGCAAACTCCTTACGGCGCGCTTTATACTACACCAACATCAGTCCCGACTCCGAACTAGCGCTCAAATATTACAAGCGTGCTATGGACCAATGCGCCGAGCATGGCTTAGACCCTTACTCCGACGAGGTTCTTGGTATCCGAATTCAAACATCATACTGGCTGGAGAAGATCACAAACTACAATGGATGTCTACACGTTTTGGAAGGAATTCTTGCCGACTGTAACAGATGGATTCATGTGATGGAGCAATCAGTTAAGGACGGCAAGATTAACGACGAAGGCAAGCTTATCAAGCCTGCATCAGAAACCGAAGCCCCTGCGAACCAAGTCATCGACAACGCTACTTCTACTCCGAAGCAAGAGAATGCCGAAGAGGATGTCGTAACTGAAAGCCTGTGGCATAAAAGACAACGTATCCTCGCCAAGACTGTCGGAATCGCCATCAAACTCGGAGAGCTGTACGGCGACGAACACGTTCTCGACCCTGACAACTCTCAAAAGCATCTCATCTGGGCTGTCGAAACTTCTCTGAAGGAAGCCCGCCGTCGCAAGGAAGAGGGCGTCAAGCCTGGAGAGGGCGACTGGCTAAGCCCTGAACAAGTGGGCGGTGCCATGGAATCCTTGGGCCGTGACTACGAGCGCAAGAGCCAATTCCACCTCGCCATTCCTCTCTTCTTCCGGGCCCTCCGCCTTTGCGAAACCCCCTGCCACCGTCCCGTCATCATGAACAACCTCGCCGCTAGCTTTGCCCAGCACCCCATGTTTGTACCAGCCAACAGTGAGCCCTCCGACGCAATCAAGGAGTCGGATGACCCTGCCATGCCCGCTACTCGAAAGGAGTGCCTGGAGGCTGCCCAGAACTGGGCAAAGAATGCCTACAAGCATGGTAAGGATGTTACTGGCAGCGAACGCACAGCTGAGTGTGACGAGGCCTGTGCTGTAGCTCTGTGCAACTGGGGCGATGTCGCGGCCATGCTGGGCAACAATGAGTTGGCTCGCAAGAAGTACAAGCAGTGTATCGACATGGCGGGCAAGCTTGGTTTCCCGGATGCAGTGAAGCAGGCCCGCGCGGGACTTGCAAAGCTTGACAGTAAGAAATAAAAAATAAAAAGCACACGATCTATCCTGAACGCCTTCGTCGTTCACGTATCGTCTCTAAATGTATAACCACTGGACTCAAGTCTACAATGTATCAATAGAAGAGATGGAAAAGGAATAAGCAAGTCGTTCCTAGCAAAGAGCCATATGCCTCATCATGTACCTTAGTAGTTAAACCGGCCATCATCAATCGCCACACCGTCCATCGATTTCACAGGCAAATATAAATACTTGGTTACAAAACACAATATGTACAGTTTGTACTTTCTCAAAGCAAGCGCCAGGTATCTGCTGGCTAATTCTAGAACCGAGGTCCAATTTCCATTATTTTTTCGTTAGAAATATCCCAGACCTGAGCTCCGTGCAAAATACAAATCCCTGACAAACCTGGATACGCCTGGCTACCATACCGTCCATTTCCCGCCTGAGCAAAAATCAACTCTGGATATCTATGTCATCTTCTGCCTCTTGGCGTCCAATCCATTGTTGGCATTCGAAGTCGCCCCTCCGTTCCCATTAGCAGGGAGGTCGGCCAACGCAGTTCTTGCATCCGCTGGGGGTGGTCGTTTCATTGCTGGTGGCCGATAACTACCCCTATTTGCAAGAGGACTACCAGGGCCAGATGGTGCGCCGATACGACGAGTCTGGTCGAGCGAGGGGTTTACAACGTTTCCACGTGCACTCTGAGAACTAGGCATGGACGGCCGCACAGGAGTGAAGCTACTCGTATTCGACCGCGGGGCAGGTGCAGCAGGTGCAGCAGGTACAGCAGTCGTTGCTTGACTATTGGTCGGAGCAACATGCTGGCCGTTCCTTGCGACAGGTTTAGATGAATTGTGGTCGATGCCTGGGGTCTTCCGGATGGACGGACTTTCTGCCTTGGGGTTAAAAGCCTGCTGCCCTTGTGGCAATGAAAGGGGGGCGTCACCCGAGCCTTCGAGTGTAGACTCAGGCAATTGGATAACAGCCTTCGCAGAGAAAAAGCCTACGGTTTCTGGCATATTTTGGGGAGCCTTCGGTGGTGGGCGAGGGTTGCCAGCTTGGTTTGGAGTTGTTCGTCCTGAAGGTCCACCCTGTGGGCGATTTGAGAGGGCATTTGGACCATTGGAAGGATTTGCGCGTTGTTGTCCTTGTACCGGGGTTTGCGGTGCTCGGTTCAGAGGTCCAGTAGAGTCTGACCGGTTGGGTTGCTGATGAGGTTGCTGAGCCGGAGGCTTGCCTAAAGGCTTTTCGTTCGCAGTTGGGCCCAAGATTGATGTTGAAAGCATGATTTCGTCTGGGTGGCCATCTTCTGGAACACAGAAGTCGGCCTCGTCGAGCTCTACAGATATTCAGCCTCCATTTCCTCAAACCCGTCGGAGGACAAAATACCTCCAAGATAGTCATCAAATGACTCTGCAACAGGGAGCGGTGGTACAGGCTCGGTTTTGACCACAGGAGCAGCTGGGGCCGCCGGGACCGCGGGACCTGCTCTCACGACATCACGCTTGATAAAATCGGGGTGTCGATGAAGGTTGTCTGGGTCAAACCTCTTGACAGGCTCGGCCTTGATCTTAGTGACTTGCTTCACGTAGTCTTTGTCATAAATGCAGTTACCCAAAACGTTGCCAAAACTTCTCAAGGCACGCTTCATTCCATCAGTAGTGCCCTCTTTCTTGGCCTTTTCGAAAGCCATTGCTTTCCCCTTTGCGTTTTCGATGGAGCCATAGCCTATGTCTTCGTGATAGGTCCCGTCTCGTAATGTGATTCGAACAATGACCGACAGGCCTATGCTGACGCGCTGTGTTTGTGGGTTCTCGTCGGCAAAATCAACCTGGATGTTCTGAATTGACGATGACCAGCCGTTGAAGCCAAAAACTTCGTTCGCTAATGTGATGCACTTCTCAGCGGTGAGGTAGTGGACCTTGGCGCCACCAGGACCTGCACGGGCAGAGATATATTCGGGACCAAGCTGTTTGTCGAGCTTGGCTGATATTGTAGCAATGTCCTTGGCAGCCCACTCAGCGACTTTTTGGCGCGGTTCCTCGAAAGGGTTCGTCACGGAAGCATGCTGATCGCCTGGGCTGGGAGAACAATTAGTAACAGCACAAGAAACGCGACACGTCCTTGGACATACGCAGGCATGATGTATGATTCAGCACTCAACAAAAATTATGCAAACATGAAGAATTCAGCAATTGTTAAGGGCGAGACCAAAGCAACAGAAAGGAATGCGAGACAGCAAGAGTGTATGGAATAGTGTTGGAAGTGTAACTTCGCCTGTGGTGGCGGGCTTAATATTGATTAATGACGGGGGCAGGAGCGCGTTAACGGTCCAGGCAGTCGCGCCTCTGATTCGAGATGACGGGAGAGCACGTGACTGAGCCGTCCAAGCATTATCGCTAGACGGAAGGAGAGTGCTCCACTATACCGGTACTATACGGATACACAACCGGATTGTCGGTGGCCCCGCGATTGCCCCGCCGGTGTTTGGCCGTTTTTATGCTAGGTATTCAAGTCCAAGGCCAAGGACAACCTTTTACTAAAACATCACGCGATCAATCCACGTCCTGTGACTTTTGGCATTCAAAGCGGGGCTATCTCTTGCTAGAAAGAAGGCGAACAGCATGATGTGGTGCCTGTATCAACAGGTAGGTTAGAATCACTGTGTTGATACCGAATCTACGATATCTCGGTTGGCAGAAACATTGTCTCACATTCAAAGACAGCCAGTTCTTACGGTAAGGAATAGAATTTACAACACTCATGGTTACAATGGACTTGGTATCGAAACTTTGAGGCTTGTAAAGTAAAATGGTATTCTTGAATTTTCTAGAGAAGGTCGTGTTGTGAGTTATCGAATGTCTTCTCACCCATACTCACCAGAGTCACCAGAGTCACCAGTATATCATAAGTAAATTTCAAGGGAGTTATGGTTTACCAGATATATAATTATCATAGCATGTTATTCCTATAAGCCCTACGATGAAAGGAATCGCTAAATGGGGTAATCAAGAAGACGCAATCTGATGACGTGGGAGTACATGTAACAGTGATATCCACAACTTAAGCCATTACGCCAATCCAGTATTCGCCATCAACGGCTGGGTTAGTCATTCACTTTGACTACAATATGCTACGATATCCAAATAGTAAGGATCCAAGTCACAAATGAAATATATCAAATCTCTACATACAGGAGCACGCGGTCTGTCCGCGCCATCGGGCTATCACAGAAATCAACCATTCCCTTAACACTAATCCCTAGTGATCCATAAGTGAAGGAAAGGGATATCAAATAATGCATGTAAAACGCCAACCACCCTGCCATAATAAGGAAAAGGGTGTGCCCCAAGTCTATGCCACCTATGCTGCCAAATGAAAGTCATCGTGATGATACGGTCGTGAAATGTGCAAAGAAAATTCGTCCGATGCGCCGCAGTATGCAATCATAGTCCTGGACGGGGGTCAGGTCCAACTCTGACCTACCAAGGTCCAACTCTGACAGGGGCTCCGTATGTACCAGACATTAGCTGGTTCAGGATAGAATTAGAGTCCGATGAACCGCCGGAGGCCGAGTTGGTGTTCGAGCCCATCCAGCTAACGCTTGTCGACATTGTGTTGATCGCAGAAGAAAGACGTCCGCCGGATTGTTCATTGTGTCGAGACAGGACTTGATCCCATCCTTGAGTGTGTAGATTGAGACCACTCGCCCGTTTGCCTACTTCGTTGATGACAAGTGCCCATGCCTTAGATATCTCCTCATACGCAGATTCCTTGTGATGTCGATATGCCTGAGGCTCCCAGTTAGGAAGTCTGTGGATGATGTCTGTGGCCTTGTCCAGAAACTCGAAAGATTTGGTGGGTTGAGTTTCATTGGGCGGAAGGAACTGGGGGGTGAAATCAGATAGTGCGTCAATCAGTGCGACCAGCGGTTCCTTAATTCGGTAGTAGGTATATTCGGGGCTGGTCTCGCCGTAAGGAATGGCACTCTTCAGCTTCTCCTCATAACCTTCCAGAACTTCGAGGGCCGACGAGACTGATGGGCGAGGAGCTTGAGTAACAACCTCGTGACCAATAGCAGGATGTCTTTCGCATATCCGCTCCAGTACAGTTCTCAACTGAGAAGTATCGAGGGTCTCGAGAAGTCGGGGAAGAGCGAGAGGTCGGCCAATAACTTCGTTAGAGCGGGATTTCTTGGCCGGACGAGCAAGAGCTCGAGCAGAAATGGTAGGAGAGCTTCGGGGCGACATAGTCTCATCGCCATCCTCGTCGGCTTTTCGCTTGCGGGAAGTCATGTTGTGAAAGGGAGACACTAGGGTTGTTAGTGCCAAGGAAAACCAGTAAGGGATGAGAGGTGCGGAGTCAACTGTCGCATACTAGTGCAATGTTTTGAAAGAGGGAGAACCTACGGGATCGCTGAGGAGAGAGGCGAGGGTTTTCGTGGTGGTGAGGAAAGACAGGAGGTTGTGGCGAGAGCAGAACGTTCATGTTGATTCAAAAGCCCCCCGGTAAAAATCGGCAGTAATATTTGGTTGACGGTCGATGAATGAAAAAATCACTCAAAGACGATTGATTTCGCAATGATCAAATTTAATGATAAAATAATTTGTTGGTGAAGAGCTTGTTTTTGTTGTTGGTGATGGCACCAGCGGCAATTTCCTAGTGCCGAATGTTGATAAGCTGCCAAGTACAGCGTCCTTCGGAAGGTACAAGGACAGCGCAATCGGGCGACAAAGACGTGAGCGTTCGGGTCGAAATAGCGGTCTTGGGTAGGCGGAGCCGTGATGCTATGCGATGCGATGTGGTGAGGACAGAGATTGAGATTCCTGGCGGGAGGGTAAATGGCGTGGAGGAGGAAGGGTTTGAAAAGGTGGAGGAAGATGAAGAAGTGGACGGGATGGATTCGGCTTGGGGTTTGGTCGGGCTTTGAATGAGAGAGAGTTACAAGGGTTCCAGTGTTTTTTGGTTGTCTGGGGCTAGTGAATTTTGCCTACGTACTGGGCCTGGGTTGACCGGGGGGGTCACGAGCACCTCATTCGCTCTGGTCGGACTTGGCTGGGCAATCTGGGCCACACTTGAGGCCTGCAAGCCAGTAGCCACACGTGAACGAGGGGACCCGTTGAGGGGCAGACTTACGGGCAGGGCCTATCCGGGTTAATTTAGCATTTCTTTCAGCTGGCTCCTTAGTTGGTTTCAATTCACCTCCACCGTCTTTGTTTGGCCCTGGGCCGGGGCGAGAGACTTATGCTTGGCCATGACTCTTGTCACCTTGATCGAGTCAATAGAGAAAAATCATCCATTCCAAAAGCAAACAGCGCTGTTGTGAATCGGTTTGCACACGTGGCATAAGGTCGGTCAAATTGCCGGCTCCTACTACGGTTACATTTGCTTGGAAGAGGCCCCGGAAAACCTGAGATTAACTAAGCCCGGGCCGTCTCAACGGGGCCGATCGGATCCATTTTCCCAATTCGTCGACCAGCAGCCGGGCAATGGGTCTTCGGCCGGCGACGGCCTCGGCCTCGGCGGTGTATGTGGGCTTTGTTCTCCTTTTCGTTCCGGACCGTGATTTCTTTGTTTTGTATTGTGATATGACTGATAATGGAGCTATTTACAAATCACGTTAAAATGGTAACTCACATAATTGCTTTTGTTGGCAAGCATACTGAGTAAGACTAATTTTCATACACTTAATACTCAATGGTAAGTAAGCTAGCTACGAGGCCGGACCATGGCAAGCTTCGTTCAAATGGTGACTGTCTCACGGACCTAATTATTAAATGCTTGGTTATTTCGCCAGCATTTATTGGGCATCTAAGCAGCAGCTGAAGCAGCATAATCCCTGCCTACAGTCGAGTAGAATAAGTTTGATCTAGGCGGTGAATGAGATGATTAACAGTTATTTGCTGTAATATTGCCAAGGAATGAAATCCACATCAAATATCATCTTTCACTTCAGCCTCAATTCTTCACTGCCATGTCAGAAGCTGTCGCGTAATTTGACTAGCATTTTTAACCTGCGGATGCTAAGATGCCGTACGCCTCCAGGCGTGAACCTTCAAATCAAGGAAAATCATTGCCCGAAATTGCACGGACAGCATAATGCACCGGGCCTTTGTTCGAAACGATTAAGTTAGACGCTCTATAGATACATGGGAGAACGATCGGGCTGAAATATATCCTTTTCTTGTCAGGTGAAAGCCCGTCCATCCCCTGTTTGCCTCATAACATAGAAATCAGACGAAACTCAAATAGAGCCTTACAGCTCTAGATCCTAATACGTAGTGACATTACGGCCAAACGAATGGCATTTCGTGACCCTGCCAGCGCATCATTCAAAATATGCCTCAAAAATATTGATTCTACTCTCTGACCTTCTTCCGAATTCCAGGAGGTTGGACTTTTTGCCAACTCAGCCGGCGCCGACAACTTCATTCATGTACGGCATTACAGCCCCACAACCGGCGGAGTTTCCATGTTTTCGCAGGGGTCCAGCTTCGGCACGGCTGACCCACTTCTCCGAGTCCCTTATCGCTTATCGCAGAACTGGCAGAAAATTTCTGGCAACTGGGACGCAGCCGTGGATCGCCAATCCAAGTCAATCTTTCAACCAGCACCCACATTCACAATGGCCACTAAAGAGAAGAAAGAGAAGAAGTCAAAGTCTTCTCGATCAGAGTCAAAGGCTGAAAAGCCCGAGAAACCCGAGAAGACAGTCGAGATCGAAAAGAACGAATCGACCGAATCTGCAGAAGATGTCGACATGGCTGAGTCTGAGCCCGTCGCCTCGACAAAGCGCAAGATCGAAATCGAAGAAATCGAAGTCGACGTAGACGCCCCCGAGCCTCCATCCAAGCGCGCAAAGCGTGCGCTCAAAAAGGGCAAGGCTCTCCCTGCCAAGCAGGACAGCGACGACGAGAAGAAGGAGAAGGATGGCAAGGACAAGAAGGCCCGGTCAGAGCACAGTGTCTGGATTGGTAACCTGCCTTTCTATGTTACACCCGATGCGATGCGCAAGTGGCTTGTGGACAACTCTGGAGGCGTCATCACCGAAGAGATGATCACCCGTGTCAAGATACCGACCAACAAGGAGCCCGGCCGAGATAAGAGCGCAAAGCCCACAAACAAGGGATTCGCCTACGTCGACTTCACAGATATTGGACCCAAGGTCTCTGCCATCTCTCTCACCGAGAATGACCTCGGTGGCCGAAAACTCCTCATCAAGGATGCGACATCCTTCGAGGGCCGACCCAAGAAAGAGGCCGAAGCCGTCGAGGACGCCGAGAACGGAAAGACCACCACGGAGCAGAAGCAGGATGTCAATGCCAGTCGCAAGATCTTTGTAGGCAACATGGGCTTCAAGACAACCGAGGAAGACCTACACAGGAACTTTGAAAAGTGTGGTGAGATTGAGTGGTCCAAGGTTGCCACGTTCGAGGACACAGGCAAGTGCAAGGGTTTCGGCTGGGTCAAGTTCAAGGAGCCCGAAGCCGCTGCGTGGGCCGTCAAGGGTTTCGTCAAGATCAAGGAAGAGATCGAGACGGAAGAAGATTTCAAGGACGACGAGGACAAAGACAAGTCTCAGGAGAAGCAGTTCAAGACACGCAAGTGGTGGGTGAACAGAATGCTGGGCCGCGAGCTCAAGATAGAGCTGGCCGAGGATGACCAAGCGCGATACAAGAAGCGATTCGGCAAGGCGAAGCCTGTCGACGACAAGGAGAGCAACCCACGGGGCCGACCTCCGGCGCGCAGACACGACCGGGCGGACGGCGGATCGGGGGAGAAGAAGGACGCTGGCGATAAGCCTCTCAAGGTGTCAGAGGACATTGCTGTTGCGAGGTTGACGGGTGCGGTTGTGAAGCACACGGGTTCCAAGATGACGTTTGACTAAGTACAGCGAGATATAATTCACATTTGGAGATACCCCAGTTTCAACCCGTCTTGTTGCCTCATGTGAACGGTTTACTTGTGTTGTGTGTGAGAGTTTAACATGGAGATTATTGGGTGTTAATGGGTCGTGGGTGTAGCGTCACCATGTAGCTGCGTCACGGATCCGCATGCCCGATGTAGATCTTGGACTCCCCGCATTTAACTATTCTCAGTCGTCGTCAATTTGAATGAGCTTTGAACAGAGAGACTTATCTGAATTATCAGTAGCAAAGACAACATGTATGAATCTCAGGTTACCTTAGTCATGGACACCATCTGTCCTTGGTATGTTGTGTTGTTTGAACAGTAGCAATGGTATCTGGCTGACCAGTTCTCAGGACATACATAGGAAAGAAGAGGTATAGATATCTTCCGCCTTCACTTGTGCAAACCCGATCAAACGGACAAGTATCTAACACAATAGCTATCCAGACTTGATGAGGCTCTAACTCAGTTTCGCTCCTCGCCCTCCTCATCCTCCATCTCTTTCAGCCTCCAGTTCTCGCCTTACCAGCCAAACCCCAACCGCCCCGAGACCATCCCAGACCGCGCTGCATACGCCTTGCAGGAAAAACACAACGGCAACAAAGAAGCTCAGAAGCTCTTTGAGGGGCACATGCTTTCGCTCGCGCAGCCACTGAATGCTCCCATTGCCTTTGAAGGGCCAACTGGCAACTCATTCCCAGCACATCGCGTTATTCAACAGGTCCAGGAAGTCCACGGCGGCGAGGCAGCAAACAAGCTTGTCGATGCGGTTTTCAAACTGTACTTTGCCGAGGGGAAGCATCCTGGTGCTGACGATATGCTCATTGAAGCATGCCTTGAGGCTGGGTTGGATGAGAAGCAGGCAAAGAGTTTGGTTGAGGACAGAAAGGAAGGTGAGAGAGAAACCAAGGAGATGATTAGGAGTGTGGGAATGGATATCGATGCAGTGCCTACAGTTATCATCGAGGGACGGAGGAGGGACTTGACTCTCACAGGACTGAAAGAAGTGTCGGAGTACGTCAAGGCCATGGAGCAAATCACCAAGGAGAGTACATAATCACATACACGCTTCTATCAAGAGGCAGAAATATAGCTGGTCATAACATAACATCCGTATTTCTTGGAAAGAATGTCGATAGTAAAATACATGAAGAAACGAAGGACATGATATCATATCTCATTACAAGGTCATACCACTCTCTCCGAGAGCTCTCTTTATCTTTTCAATCATTTCTCATACACATCATTCCATCTCTCATGCGCGGCTGAACATCAGAGGAACCAACACACTGCGGCTCTCGAGGGCTCGGCGATCCTCCATCACCATGCCAGGCCCAAACGCCGTGCCAAGGTCCCGGCCCGCCAGGAAGCGGCACGCGTTCGCATCGCCCACGCGAGGCTTCTTGCTGTTGCAGAACTCGCGACTTAACTTGGATAGCACGGCGGCCTTGGCCTTCTGCAGGGCGCTCACCCTCGCGGCGGCGTCTTCTGCGAGGAGACGGTGCGTCTCTTCTTGTTCTATGTTGCGCTGAACTGGGGATATACCCTCGTTGGGATCGCGGCTGGTACTTTTTCTTCTTGTGGGGTCGTAGGTGGTAGGTTGGAGGAGAACGGGCTGGGGATCGCTGATCAGGCGAGGGGCAGAGATGTTAGGGATTGGAGTGCGAGGGCGGAGAGATTCTTCCTCCACGGAAGTTTGGAGTCGGGGACGAGAGGGTTTGTGGCGGCGTGAAAGAGAGCGTAGAGAGGATTTAGGAGAGGGAGAGGGTGTTTCTGGGGCATCATCGTCATTGCTGCGATGTTTTCTTCTGCGACGACGAGAGCGCTTCTTTCTGAGTTTTGTGCTGAAGCCTGCATCCGACTCATACATGGGAGCAAGTGTCTCGTCGTTGATAGTGATCTCCTCTGTTGGGAAAGAATCAATAACCTCGTTCGCAATATCGTCAAAGGGGAAGCCACCGAGATCCATGTCCAAGAGCTCGCGACTAGCAGCAGTCACGGCAGCACTGGGGCTGGGAAGATGCTCAGAGCTGGGACTTGTAACAAGACTGTACTCGGACGGAGCCGCCATACTGTTGCTGCGAGACCAAGCATCGTCAGTGTCAATGGGCGCAAGGACGTCGTCCCAGTTCCCGTTATCGGAGAGAACAACGCTCTCAAAGTCAAACTCTTTGACTGTTGGGCGGTGCGAGTTGATCAAGTGGCTTAGCTGGGGGGCGTTCATGACAGCGTTACGAACTTGTAGGTATCGCAGCTTGGGGAAGTAGATGGCGCCCTTCCCAGGGGTTTCGGGTAATGGGGACATGGGAGAGGTGACCTCGTGGAAGAGCTTCCTCGAGGCACGGGGTGGTGCAAATAGGGGATCAGCAGCCAGAGCCACTGGACAGGGTCCTTTTCGACCAAGCCATGTAAAGGCAAACTTGTCGAGGTTGGGGGCCAAGTTGCGGATGTACTCGTCCATGATCTTCAGGTGGTCACGGCCGGGTGCCGTGCCGTAAAAGTCCCAGGCGTCCACCGAGATGGAGAGCCTGTTGATCTGTCTCCATCGTCGTCCGGCTGAGGGAACTGTTCCGAAGCCATTGACGTGACGGAGGTAGTTGAAGGCTGCGGGGTGTAGTTGAGAAAGAGAGAGCTTGTGAAGTTTCTCTAGGGGGGCACGCTCCAATGAGATGCGCAGGCTGATGAGAGCATAGTCGACAGTGTCACGACGATATCGCTCTCTGGGATCTTGTCCAGGACAGCGAATAGTCAGGTGGCGCATATTAGTGAAGTTACGCATGGCATTGATGAAGCTAGGAACGTTGGTTGCAGCATGGAACAGAGGAGGATATTGCTGGGTGAGGATATCACCAAGCTCAGCATTGGCGTACTTTGGCCGCGAGAGCACAGAGCCCATGCTTGTGTGGGGGGTATAAAGAAAACATATCTCATTGCCAGAGACGGGATGGACAAGAGGAGGAAGGAAGGTAGCATCAGAGTGGGGGAAGTAAAAGGTGAGATGCTCGACGTGATGGCCGATACGAGCGAGAGCAGCAACTCGAGCTGACTTTGTGAAGGTTGAGGCGGAGAAGGAGACGTGGATGCGTGTGAAGAGCCTCTTGGTGAGGAGGTTGCAGCAGGCGGACGAAGACTGGCGGATGTTGCAGAGGTCTGTGGTTGAGAGGTGAGGGAGGAGAGCGTCTTTGATGTGCTCGCTTCTTAAGACGGCGAGGAAGAGTTGTTCTGTTGAGGACGCCATTGTAATCGCATGTCGTGGGGGACTTTGGCCTCTGGGGAAGTATTTGCTGGGTGTATCGTGGTAGATACTATTTTTAGTTGAAGTAAGTGAGATGATGATGATGATGTAAAAGGTGGTGATATAAGATAAGTGTTTATGAACGAGTAGAGTAGAGTAGAGTAGAGTTGAGTTGTTGGGTCTTTGTTGTAAGTCGATATGATAGAGTCTCACTGAGACAATGCTAGTACACAAGAGTATAGTAATCGAGGATAATGATATAAGAGATCAGATAGAGTTATTCAGTTTACAGTAGAGATATATCGAGATGGCAAAGGATCGAGGTCAGGTCAGCCCCCATGGGCCGGGTCCAAGGCCGAGATATATCTATCAACTATCAACCACAGCACCCAAGATCAGCCTCGTTCTTTTGCTTCCCCTCTGATGCGAATTAGAAAATGGGAATTTGGTCGCTTCTGCAATGACTCCTTTCTCTGGCACTCCGTACTCCGTACTCCTGCTCTAGCTCGACTGCAGGTTCGTGCATTAGGTGCTATTCGCGAGATGACCACCATCTGCCAACAACGACTGGCTGTCGATGACTCAGAAGTTGAACCCTTGACTTGTCTAGACTAGAACATGGAGACTCTTTTTTTATTCTTGTGCGCGTTTGGCCAGAGACGCGTTGCGCTTGTGTCGTGATTGGTTGGCTCACCGTGGATGTTTCTGTGCCTATCCTTGTCGATGCAGATCTGCCGCGAGGGGGATCCACGGGAGTCTACTTGAAATCTACTTGTAGGGCCTCGAGATGGACGACCAATCGTGAGATCAGCTGCAGACTCGCCACTTGAATTGACTCTCCTGCTCTCCTCTAGCCTCTCTCCTCTTCCTCCCATCTATTGCCCTGTAGATCTTTCGGTTCAGGCCTCCCGGGCCCCTCACCCCAAGTATCTCCCAAGTACCTCCATCCCTCGGATGTTTATCGATAGCGCTTCTGCATCGTGTGGAGATGTCGCCCTCCCACGTTGCAAACCTGCATATATCCCCTGGACCAATCGTTTCCGTGTCCATGAACGCGGTAGTCGCGTTGTTTCAACGACGTCTGTCGCGCTGTGATAGGCTGCTTCTTTGCAACTCTCGACGACACTACACCCGTGGTGTAAGTCGACCGCCATCTTGCTTGACTTTTTGTCAGCGCGGGACGGGACGAACAAGAGAAAGCATGTATACTCTCTTCTGTAGACTAGAAGAGTAAGTGGGCATCTTGTTTTGGAAATTGTCAGGGTCTAGTATGACTGAATCTGGCATCTTGGAAGCAAACTACAGCTCTACAGGACATCATCCGTCTATCGTCGAAACTCGTCTACCCTAGACTCACTCCAACCACGACAAATCAACCACGTTCCCCTCGCAGTCTGGACGTAAATGCGCGACACAAAGACACCATGCATACAGCACATCTCCACGCTAACACGGCATCCATTCGTCCCCATCCATCCCGTGGCATCATATCCATCCACATCGATACCCATACCCATACCCTTGTTGGGCACAACCTTGTTCTCTTTAAAAAATAAAAAAAGGTCCCAAGACTAAGAGGATGAAAAAGCCTCAACCCTAAAACATGCATCTCCATTAAGCTTCTCTTGCCCTCCAACCCCCCTCTAGCCCTCTGCAATTCAGCATAGCCCAGCCCAGTTTGATCGGGTCCATGATCCATCTGACTCCCCCCTAGTCCCTAGTCCCTAGTCCTTGCTGCAGGGCGCCTCTACTGCTCGACCAAACATCTCGTGGCAGTTGCTCCATATTCACACTAAACATTACAAGAATTAATGCACTGGCTGTTAGTGCCTCTCCCGGATGTGATGCTGCAGTCTCGCGAGACTTTGTCACACGATGATCCTCTTGTCACTTTATCCAAGAGGTCGTCATTCAAAGGGTATCGTTCTTTGAAATATGTAGATCTTGTCCCTTACGTTCGGTTACCTCCGATGAGATAAGCAAGTTGCATTCTATCTTGCAAGCTTCGTGTAGTTCGACTGATGCAAACGCCTTGGTCGAAGCTTGGTCAAGGTCTGACCTCCCTGCGTGACCCTTGCCAGCAACGTTTTCTGCCAACAGAGTGAGTATACCTACACAATTGGTCCAAAAGTTGATGACTCTTTTCAACTTATACGTATTACCGTTGGCATGTCTCAATCGGAGTCATAACTCGCTATAAACGTCACCCATGTTTTGAAACAACAGTTCGACTCCATCACGTCCCGTCTCGTTTCAAACAATTCGAATCAAAATTATATGGATTGTTTAGCAAGTACGTAGGTGGGTATCAAAGTCTACAAACCCCTTCGCCAAGTCTAGACAAGTCCCGCTCAGCGCATACAGCTCGGCTTTTGTGCGCCAACCAGTTCATAGGGCACCTTCAGCTCCGAGGTATCTCAATGCTACATCGACTCTGGCCCTACGCCAACCGATGAGTATGCCCTAGTATCCTATTCAAACCAGAACTTCTCTATTTGCCCCTCCCCCTGCCGCGTCCACGACCTCCTCGTCCCCCACGGCCACCACGCCCACCCCCTCTAGACTTGGACCCCTGGGGCGCGTTGTTCCCGTACGACCTCCCCGATCCTTGCGAGCCTTGTTGATGTGGCGGGGGGACGTTTCTGTAGTCTTGTGCAGGAGGTTTTCTCGGCAGCGATGAAGACGGTCCGGATGAAGCACCTGGAGGAGGATGTCGAAACGAACTTCGCGGAGGTGGTGGTCCAGATGGAGGAGGACCAGGAGGGAGGGGGGGCTGGACTGGTGCGCCATTCTGTCTGTTGTTTCCTCTCGACCTGCCATTCTGCATATTTGGCATCTGGAGGTTGCTGGCCATCCGAATCTGTCCGATCGCTGGCTTCTGAACGCGCTTGTGGCCCAGAAACTCTACTTCTGAGTCGTCACTCTCTGAGTAGTGGATATTTGTCGTTCGCGCAGCGTGGCCTCGGATCCTGAGGTCGGGGCCCTTTGCAGCTTTTGCCTTCTGCTGTCCCCCTGTTGCCTCCTCGATCGCCGCCATGCCACAGTCGGGGTCGATGTACTGGTCGCGGTTCTTCACAGACCAAGTCGGGTTGGACAGAGTGCCGCGTTGGGAATTGCAGTCAGAGGAGAAGTGTCTATCGCTCCCACACATGGAACATGACGCAGGAATAAACGCAACTTTCCTCACAGTGGATGCATCTGGATGAAACGATCGCCACACTTGTGTGCACTGCTCCTCCAGATGGTCCTTTGAGCTGCAGAAAACGCAAGCGAGGCCCTCTTCCTTGGTCAACGCCAGCTTCTCAGTGCACTGGCTTACTTCGTGGCCAAGTTGACGGCATTTGTTGCATCTTTCCTTTTCCGGACAACATATATCTGAGTGTTCCAGACTTCCACATGAGCAGATAAGCGTTGGGCAACTCGTTGCCAGATGTGTGTTAAGCCCGCAAAGAAGGCACATCTGGGCAGGATCGTTGGCTGAGGGGAAGTATCTGCGCTGTTGTTCCAACGCCTCATTCCCGGTAGGGACATTCCTGTGAGTGTCGATAGGTGGGAGATCCTGGTGAGATGTTGCGTCGCCATTTGTCGGGACGTTTGTGGCCGACGATGATCCTTCTTTTGCGTCCTCTCCTGTCCTCTCGCCTCTGTTTAGAGTTGGTTCGTACTCAGCTTCGCTATCGGACTCATTCTCGTTCGTTTCGTCAATCTCTCCCTCGCTAACACTAGAACCGCGGGAACGTTTTCCTTTATGAACTGGTTCCTTCTGCGGCGCCTTCTTCACCCAGTTATCCAAAGTGGACTGGTTACGTCCAGAAGCATATGAAGACTGGAGAGTTCGGAGAAGAGCTTCTAGTTCGCCTGTGCTTTCAAATTCCTTTGCAACCTGCTTTGCGTTTTTTCTCTTCTTGGGCTTGACTCCGGCATGTTGATCGATATACTGATTGTAAGCAGACTCGGCTAGCACCGGAGTGATAGCTTGACATGTTTCCGAATTGACCGCATGAAATTCTTTGATCCAGTCCTTGAATCGTTTTAGCCAGGATCCGCCGTTCCTCTCAGCAAGTTTAGGCATTTTGAAGCTCAAATCCAGATGCTTAAAATCGGGAAGGTCATCCAAACTTTCCGGTGCCGACTTGCCAGACGTGCTCTGTTTCGTTGATGATTTTCTCGTGCCCTTCTCTTCATCGTCTGATGAGTATTCACTATCCTGAGCATATGTTGGAGGTGCATCAGTTTTCAGACGCTTTGGCCGGGGCGCTGAGGAAGCATGTCCATCGGGGGTCTTGGACCTAGAAGCATCTTCGAGGGGCCTCTTTTTTCTAGCTGCCTCGCGTTCGTCACCGCTGGACAGGTAGATGACATCACCAGGCTCATATTCTTCGGTCGCCATGCCTGGACTTATTGAAGCAAACAGCGAGTATTTATCGCCACGTTGAGATATAGTGAATGACCCTCAGTGTACCTGATGTTTTTCCTTCCTGTTGAAGTCTGCAGAGTTCCAGATCTTGGGACATCAAATCTCAATAGAGAATCCAGTCCACCAGTTTTCAAAGCCACTCGGCTTGGTCAGGATTTTCTGCGACAATCCTGGTCGAGAATATCAATCAACATTGTTCGCCAAGAGTATTGTGTGTGTCCCAGTCAAGATCCCAGCAAAATATATCGTGATGAGTTCAGTCATCTACAGCATGTATTGGCTCGATAAAAGGTAGGGGCCTTGAGGTGAGAATACACATATGAACGTACCTGTGAGTTTGAGTATAGAATTTGTATATGACCCTCAAAGAAAGCTAGTCAATGAACAATGACGGTACTCCAAATCGATGGGTTCTAATGAGAACACAACGGTCAGGAGTCAATATTTGGTTGAAGCGAAGCGCGATGAGGTTGTTTGACGATTTGACCCTGCCAGGGAGATGCGAAATGAAAGCTGTGATGATATCAATAAGTTCGTAGACCAGAAAATTCCGCAGCTGGCCAATCAGGGAGGTGGGCCTGGGCCTACAGGGGAAGGTCAGTGTCTAACGGCTGCAGCATTTGCAACCGAGGATTATCCGGCCCCTGTGGTAGCTGACTAAGTAAACTTCTGTTAATGTCCGATATCGAAGCCAATCTCCAATTGGATGTTGAGGAGACGCCTGATGTCAGCCGACTTATACGCGTTCCCACGCGCTGTTGTAGATGTCACGGGTCTGCATCAGACGTCTTGTCTTCTATTTCTTGCTCACCGTCGTAGATTAAACCAGAGAAGACGGACGACTAGTCGGTCAGAGCTGGTCCCTGAAGCCATATGGACTTTGCCTCCACGCCATCTCCGGGCTGTCATGGATAATTCCCATTCTCAATCTCGGGTAGGACAAAGATGCTATAAATCGCACTGCAATCTCGCGGCAAAATCTTAGCCCAATCTTTACTAGATCTCGTTACGGATAATCTTTTCTTGTTTGCATCGCATGATTCATCCATTGACATTATTCTAATACAAAGCAACAATGTGATTACCTCGACACACATATCAAACAAGCATCCAAGCACATTGTCTCATTCACGTACCCTATACGCTCCTGATACGATACGGTCGCCTGTTGCGACAACAAACCGATCACGTGTACCTATATAAAGAGACATCCAGACTGCTCTGGATATCCTTGGCGTTGCAGGTTACTCTCAACTCCCCTGCCATAACTAACCTTGTTCTGGTCAATTCTCGGCATCCTTTCCATTCTACTGAGCTGAGGAAGACCAAATCCCTGCTCTGATCGCACCGTTGACTGCGATTGTCATCACGGGACTCTCGCAGACAGACTGCAAAGGTAAGGTCCCCTAATGTTCCCCCTGAAGAAATCAGGTCCCGTTCGTCCCGTACCTGAGCTGGCTGGAGGTCCCCTGAATAGAAATGCCCCGGACTAACCATGCTCCAGCGAACTACTGCTGCACGCTCACCCACCACGATCACTAATTTCAGTAGCAGGCCCCACTCGTCCCGTCTAACCCGACCTACCCTGCTGAGGCCGTTCTGGTTGCATTGCGTGTCCCTTTCCTATCGTTGGCTGATAACTACTAAGGCTTGGACCACTGGCTCCTTTCTCGTGAGAGTGGCTCCTCCCTGTCCCATCCATCCATCACACGGGGACATCCCCTCTCATCTCGTCCAGTCCTTCCACTACCCATTCTCTTTGATAACTCTCTATCTACATCTTCAACCATTCATTCTACATTCTACAATCCGCATTCTTCATACTTTCTCCCCAATATCACATCTGACTGACCACTCCCGTTCTCGTTATCCAGCATCAAACATACAACAAATTCGTTCTCTTTGTCCTTGTATTGGCCTCGCATTTGCCCCCGGGCGTTATCTCCGTGACATCATTAGGGGCAGCCTCTGCAGCTACTTACTGCTCATATTTTGACTCGATCCGAGCAGAAATATCATCTTCCATCGACATCGCGATCCCCGAGCGTCCGTCTGGCCTCTGCCGATCCTCCCTCCCGCTCGATTCACGCCTCCTGCACCCTCACCCCGTCAATACCGCCAAGCTGTCTTCTCCAATTTTACTCCAGCGCACCGTCTCCTACGACGCGGCGAACAAGCCTCCGCGCCGGGGCAGCATTTATCTCAACATGCCCGAGCGAAACACAGAAGGAGCGGCCGGAGCCCGAAGGAGGAGGTCTAGTAGCATTCTCCAGGTCTACCATGAGCCTCCTGAGACTCTGGAGCAGATCAGTGATCAGGCTTCTTTGCCTAATCTCAATGCCAACTGGACAAACGCTAAAGGTATGTTTTGGCAGTCTATCGCTGTGCACTTGCGGACATAGCACGATTTCTAGGAGTCGCCCGCTGACATGAAATTCCCTTTTTTTACAGGTGCCTGGACCATCCACCTTGTCCTGATTCTCAGTGCCAAGATCATATTCGATGCCATCCCTGGTGTCTCGCAGGAGACCTCATGGACCCTTACCAACATGTCCTATATGTTTGGCTCGTATATCATGTTTCACCATGTCCGAGGTGTTCCCTTTGACTTCAACAGTGGTGCATTCGACAACCTCAACATGTGGGAGCAGATCGACAACGGGGCGCAGTATACGCCCACCAAGAAGTTTCTGCTTAGTGTCCCGATCGCACTTTTCCTTGTCAGCACCCACTATACACATTACGACTTGACTTATTTTACTATCAACCTGCTCGCTGTCTTGGGAGTTGTCATCCCCAAGCTACCCTTTGTATGTTATGCCACTCCTCTCGCTCTTGCTCTTGCTCTTGCCAACCTGCACCAAATACATTCATTTGTATTTGAGTAGAGGCTTTTCCCTGATGCTTATACTGATTTGCTTCCAGAGTCATCGAATGCGCTTCGGGCTATTTTCCGGCATCCCGGAGGAATAGGAATAGGATGAAGAAGAAAGGGTGGAATGACTACTGTGGGTCCGACTTGCTCTACTATTATCAGGGGCGTTAGGTTAAGACTGTCTTGGGAAAGAAAGAGAATGGGAGGTATTGCGAAATAAAAGAAGGTGGTCGAGATTGTGCAAGTTGATAGACGACGGTATCTTTCACGAGGCTGGCAGGCGCAATGTTCGGCTGTTCAGCGGTAGCATCGAAACAGCAATTGGAATTGGAAATCAGCATCATTTCACAACACAATGTCTCATTGGCGTGTGCCCTTCAAAGATCACCTCGGGATTCACACGCTTGGTATCATGGCGACAGCATTTACACATTTTCGGACGGACTACCCCGTTATGCCGTGTGCAGTTTGTTTACAAGTAGGTTTTCCTGATCCGTTGATGTGCGGTTGTTGTCCCAGGATTTACTCCATCATTGGAGAAGAGGCAATCGGAGGCAAATTCATGGCGCGATGGCGTCTTGTCTCCAGCGCATACGGAGTCCCCCCATCGTGCCATCTCGGGGAAATAGTCGCATTGGCTTGATTATAGGGAGGGGAAGAAAAGCCTTGAGGCAACATCATGATGAATCGGCGTTTCGTCTCCAGGGCAATCGGCCTCTCCTTCACGCCTTTCTCGGGGTAACATCCACAGGTGAGCAACTCAATGACGGTTCCTCTCGAGATTCCGACGGATCATTAATGCAGCACGTGAAGAAAAGCCAAGTATAAATCACAGGCTTCGTCTCGGTTCTTCAATCTGCCCAAGAGTTTCCTCTGATAATTAGCAGTGTCAAGAGAAGGTCCTTCAATTGCATTTAGTCAATCATTTGTACAAAGACTTATTTTGCTTCAACCTTTACCTCTATCTTTGCCTTCACTATGAAATACAACGCCTTGGCCGTTATGGCCCTCGCCAACGGCCTTGCTCAAGCCCACCGTTTAAACTGGCAGAGCGAGTCCCAAACTGTTGTCAAGCATGAGCACACGGAGTCTTCTGGCCCTGCCTTCAAGATTGATACCAGTGAAAAGCACGACAAGGACGTTACTGACGAGATCGAGAAGAAGGGTGATGGTGAGCACGTGGAGCTCGTCATCGGAGGCTCCAAGAGAGATGTTAAATCCAAGGTTTCCGCTTCTACCGAGGCCGAGAAGAAGAAGTTGAAAGAATTGAAGGAGAAGTTAAAGGAGATCGAGGCTGAGGAAAAAGAAGAGGAAGAAGAGGAAGAAGAGGAGAAGGAGAAGAAGCACCACTACGACGACCCTTATCCCCATGACCCTGTCGTCACGTCTTACCCCAAGCACTACAATCATGGCCATCGCTACGAGGGCAAGAAGTATGATTTTACCCACGAGCCAAAGGTGTACCATCATACATCTGTCATCTACCACGAGCCCAAGCTCAGCCCAGACTGCCACGGCGATAGGTGCGATCGCAAGCCTTGCAACAAGTGCCATGGCAACTGGGCTCAGCCTGGCTGCTGGCACTGCAAGAACCATGAGCAGGAGAACGCCGAGGAGGAAAAGTACGAGAAGGCGACCTCTACTGACGAGGCTGCCCCTAAGAAGACCAAGGGCAAGTATTATAACGCCAAGACTTACACCTACGGAGACCGCACCATCATCGTCCCCAAGGAGACCAAGGCTCCTAAGCCCGAGGAGACCTACAAGAAGGAGGGTCCTAAGATCGTTGTTGTCGAGAAGCCTGTCGTTGTCGAGAAGCCCAAGCATGAGTACACCAATGAGAAGCCTAAGGTTGTCGTCGTCGAGAAACCCAAGCACGAGTATCCCAAGGAGGAGCCTAAGGTTGTTGTCGTCGAGAAACCCAAGCACGAGCACGAGCACAAGCACAAAGAGGTAGACATTTGCAAGCAGGTCGGACAGCACAAGCATGGAGAGAGCCCCTGCGACAAGATCCAGCACCACAAGCAGGAGCAGCCTAAGCCCGAACCCCCCAAGGTTCATTACAAGAAGCCGGATATCATCTGCGAAGGAGGTTGCAACATCCACCAGGGCGCAGCACCAGCTCCAGCTCCTCCCCAGCCTGAGCAGAAGAAGTATGAGGAGGTCAAGCCTGTCCCTGCCCCTGCTCCCGCTCCACAGCAGCCCGAGCACCACTACGGACAGCCCAAGCCAGCTCCTATTCCTGCTCCCGCTCCCGCTCATCCTCAGCCTGAGCAGAATAAGCATGAGGAGATCAAGCCCGTACCCGTACCTGCTCCTGTCCCTGCTCCTGCTCCTGCTCCTCAACAGCCTGAGCAGAATAAGCATGAGGAGATCAAGCCCGTACCCGTACCTGCTCCTGTCCCTGCTCCTGCTCCTGCTCCTCAACAGCCTGAGCAGAAGAAGTACGAGGAGGTCAAGCCCGCTCCTGCTCCGGCTCCTGCTAAGCCCGAGGTTGTCAAGCCCGAGACTGGTAACGAAAAATCTCCTCTTGTCCCCGTCACAGTCTCTAAGTCAGGAGCCAACTACATTGCTGTCTCTGTCGGCACTGCTGTCTTTGCTGGCTTCGTCAGCATGATGCTCCTGTAGTCTCCAAGTTGATACTCGTCTTACGAGAGGGCTGCGCCGAATACCAAGCAAGGTATGGGTAGATTGGGGGAGCTAAAAAACAATGCTTTGTATGCGAGATCATTGGAAATGAGGCATTTAATAAGGTTGGGGGTGGGTTGTATATGCAATCAGATAGATAGTCACTCCAATTGATCGTCCACTCTTTTTGTTTGGATCTTCTTATAAGCTACTATCTTATACGGCTGTGAAATGATAGCACAAGGGGGCTTTTGGGAATAGCTTCAATTGACCGCGCAACAGCGGCGATTTGATCGGAATAAGCATCGGATAGACATCTGTAAAGCCGACATCTTGCTATGTCATCTTCAGCTGATGTGCCTCCCAGTATTAATGGGTTGCCTGTTTGTTGGTCCCTTTCTTGTACCGATCCAATGGCATCATTGATAAGCTTAGTTTCACCTTTTGCCATTCCCTCTGCTGGTATTCTTCGGCCTTTTACTGTCGTTACCACTGCCAATGGCTGTTCCGTACGTAAATTTAACTCCGAGCTACAATGCCGAACGCTCATTGCACATGCACATGTACCTCTCTATTGGTGGGCCGAGAACGGAGGGGGATGTGGAGGGGAAGATGGTAAGATCAACAGCAGGAATACATATATAAACAACGACTCTTGGCTTTCTTCATTGCCATTATCAATCAAATCACAAGATTTAGTATAATTCACACTCAAGCTTTCAAAATGAAGGACAACGACATTCCTCTTTATAGTTCGCCTCAGCTGGGCCAGAAGGTTACTACTTATGCCGAACAGCACTCGACGCCACTGCCCAAGTACATTGGCGACTATCATGCAGACATCTCTGCTAATCGTGAAGATTCGTATTATATGAGCTCCGTCTTTCAGTCTCAGTATAATACCTTTCTTGCAAAGTCTACTGGTACCAAAAGAGGTAGGTAGAGTGACTGACTTACACCATGATGAAGGCGCCTGAATCTGTTGAATTATTTGAGAGAAAGGACACTAACAATTGAAAAATAGTTCTTGAAATCGGTGTCTATGCTGGCTTCTCGGCCCTCGTCTGGGCCGACGCTGTCGGTCCAAATGGATTTGTGACAGGTTTAGAATTCGAGCCTGAGTACGCTGAATTATCTAAGAAGGCCTTCAAAGAAAACAACATCAACAATGTAGAGATCATTGTTGGTCCTGCATCCGAGTCGTGAGTCGTTCGTAGATGTACCTTACACCACAACGTTCTAACCTTCGATTAGTCTACCCAAGCTCAACCCTAGCGAGCCTTATGACCTTGTTTTTATCGACGCAGACAAGACAGGTTACCCAGGGTATTTGAAACAGCTTCTCGAGCTGTCCAAGCCTGGTAGCTCAAACAGAGTCCTTCGTCCAGGCGCCCTCATCGTCTCGGATAATGTGCTGCGTAGGGGCTTGGTCGCCGATGATAAAGCGCTCGGCGATGACGAGCTTCAGGGGGACCAGTTGAAGAACGTCTTGGCTGTGCGCGAGTTCAATGACTTGGCGCTACAGAGTTCTCGGCTTGAGACGTTTATTCTGCCGCTGTGGGACGGTGTTAACGTGTCGCGCTTGGTTGATTAGTGAACAAGACACTGTAGTTACGTAGTACATCACTTGGAGCACAATTAGGGCAATGATGCAGGTAGTTATATATGTATGTGTTTTTATTAAGTTTGAATAAATACAAAAGTGAAATGTTAAGGGTGACGGGCGCCACGCTGGTATCGTCTCTCTATAGAGCCTGTCAGGGTAATAAATCATTATGTCATGTAAAAGCACTTGGGGTATTGGTATATTCCAATCGTCGTAATTATTCCACCTCTTTCTGACCAGTACTAAATACTAGCGTTTGTTGTTCAAGAATGCCGCGTATGCGTATAGGTTGTTTAGTAGCGGGTAGGAGAGGTATTGTAGGCGGCCATCTTCTTGCTCTCACGGTTGCGACGGCGGCGACCAGAGCAGCATGAGACAAAGACGGCAATAGTACCGATGAGAGAAAGGATAGCGGCGACGAGGACGAGCCAGATGCCGACGGACCAGCTGGCACTGGCAGAAGTGTCGCGGTTGATTCGTCGTCGGACAATGGACAAGCCGGCAAAGTCACAAGCCAGAACAATGATGGTAACAAAGAAGGCGAGGAGAGAGACGAGCGTGGACATGAGAGAGCCAACCACACCAGCGCCGAGAGCCAGAAGGAAAGCAATGAAGCAGAGTCCGGCACCGACAGGGTGCAGCACCATAACATAGGTCAAGGCCTTTGCAGCGCCTGAGCCAGCTTCGGAGAAGTTGGTTCCGGGGACGGCATCGGAAGGGTCGTAACCAATGCGAGCCTTTGTGCAGCTGTCACTAAGAGGCTGTTAATCGATGTACTTGTATACATGTGTATGTAAAGAGTCACTTACCCGCCATTGCTTCGTGTTAAGCAGTATCCGAAGGTACCAAAGTTAACTCGGGAGCTGCCGCTCTCGACTTTAAGGAGGGCGATGTCGTTAACGACTGGGGCTGAGATGCTCACAACCACGAGCATCACTGTCGCTGCCAAAAGAAAGAAGGCACCAATGTGGTGAATAAATCGTCCGAGACCCATTGTGAAGTGATGGTTGTGTATGAGAGAGGTGGGTGGTGGTGTTGGATGGCTTCTGCCCAAGTAAAAGACTTGTACAAATATTAAGATGAACTGCTGTCGTTTGCTAAGATGGGATGAGATAATACGAAAATTCCAAACAGCAAACCGACGAAGATGGGCCAAGATATATAGCCATGCAAAGCGTGCAAGGGCGGCCTCGTTTTTCCCGTTTCAAAGTCATGATGGCATGCCAGGAACCGACGTTGTGCAGCTGCAGCATACGACTTTGTGTGTGAGACGTCATCACTAAGCCTTGTTATGGTGCTCGTGCGTGCCGAATCCCGCCATGATCGAAGCCAAGCCAGGCTATACTGTATCGTGGGTTCATGGGATAGCATCGCGTCCTCGTCGCAAGTTGCCGTCTCTACTACGTAGTGACGTAGAGTTCCGTGGCTTTGTCGAATCGTGGCTCATCTGCCGGGGTATGGGCCGCCCCGAATTTCTTGATTTGGGGTCTTTCTCACTCTCAATCTCAATTTGACCCTGCATTTCAGACCACACCAGACTGGGATCCTGGTCCGAACTCTTTGAGAGTCTGCTGTGCCTTTTCCGACCTAACGTCACCCTCATACTTGGCATTGCACTGGAACTAATGCCAACCCAAGAACCTGAAGAGCGAGTCAAACATGGCAGCTAATTGATCTTCTCCCGAGAAAAGGCTGCTCAGAATTCCCGTCCAATGTTGTGTCTGTGCGTTGGTGTTCACGTGGGCTTGTGTTTGTATTATCTGAGTTGTCTCCCTCTTGTGCGCTGCATGTTGCGATAATCAGCCATGATCTGCATCATGTTCCAGAAAAAACAACTGATTCATCAACATGGCTGAGTTAATAAGGTGGGAACACTAGCGATGTGTTGCGCAAGTGCCGCCTAAGCCTAAGCTGAGTTCCGAATGTCTTGGTGCTTGCAAGTGTTACGCGTCTTTCAGTAGGATGTACGGATACTGTCAGAGCTGCTCTGGACTTCTTGCTCGTCATTTGTTGCTTCCTGCGCCTTGGATTGGTTGCTTTGCTTTGGTGTTTTTGCTGATTCCTTTATTTTGCTTGGGATCCAATCCCGCAGTTGTAACCTCTCAACCATCTTGGAATCCTTTGTCGCTTCTTTTCCAAAATCCAAGTTCCAATGTCTTAACCCTCCAGCTGCTATGCTGTCGGGAAGTGAGTGTTGCAGAGTTGTCGACGCAAAGGAATGATCCTTTTCAACGAATTTTGGCCATACTCGGTTGAGAAGCGAGTTGGAGCTACCTTGATGCTTATATTTGGGAGACTCTGTCACATCGACAACGAACTCGGTGCTCTGTAAGTTTGAGGATTCCTGGTGTTCGAACTGTGCTGCCATACCCTTCATGTGCACAAATGAGGACGGCTCCGTGGTAGATGTAGGGACATTGACGGTGATTGGGCTGGACGACACAGCTTTGACGACACCTTCGCTGTCCTTCATTACAGACACAAACAGGGAGGCTTGGCCCTATAACAAAACGTAGTCAGTCAGCATATGTTCGACAACATCCATACAGGCTGGGGATAACCATACCGGCATGAGTTTGAAGAACTCGACTGGGCCATGCTGCTCGAGTGTCCTCAAGATAGAGCGCCTCTCATTGAAGCTGACTGGTGCACGCGATACCTTGAGATATAGAGTGCGTTTTCCAAGCTCCTGATTCCTGAGCTTAGTAGCAGCCGCACGCTCAGCATTACCAGCTACTTGAGCTATAGCACGAGTAGTAGAAGACATGGCGAAATATTGAACGAAGTTTGGTGAATCCAAAAGTGCTTTCAGATGTCGGAAAATATCACATCCGGGCGCCCAAATCTTTCAGCTCCAGCTCCCGTTGCAAGCGCTAATTTACCTTCTGTACAGTACCTGACCTGCTGAGTCCTCTACTGTCGAGCCGGCTTTGGTGGGGCCGAGCCGTGCGGACAGCTACAGCCAGGGTCATCAAAGCTTCAATCCAATCCAATGCATATCTTTCTACGGAGGAAATTCGAACATTCTAAATTCTGAGGCCATTGCCAATTAATTGTCTGTCACGGCATAATTCAACAAGATTACAGTGTATTCGACACACACAACGTGCTTTGACCTTATCCTCCGCCTACCTATACGAGACTCGATACATTTCGCGCCCTCACAAAGAGGGCATCGACATCTTCGCAATGGCGACACCGACAGCCATGAAGCACGCCTCGCAGCAAGGCCGCACTCCTTCACAGCTCGCTGCTGCAACTCCTCCCGTATCGACGCCCTTCTCGAATCCTGCGCACGCTGTCTTCTCCCCCCGAGGGCCACGATCTTCGCCTCAGCAATTCAAGAAATCGCCTGCTGCGTCGATGATGGCACACGCGTCCAATGCGCCTCTCAACTTCGACAGTCCTTCTACAGCTGCCGCAATGGGCGCTCTCGCTATTTCAGGTGCCCTGGACATGAACCTCGATAACGTCGGTGTGGGTGGGCTGGGCACTCTGGGTGCTCTCGCGAGTGAGGATGACAAGCTTAAGCGGCTGGAAACCATCATCGCAACCTTAAATGTATGGAGTTCGTGCCATGTGTTTCAATTCTCTACTAACTTTATATAGCGAAAGAAAGGACTCGTGAGCGAGGCTGGCCTGGAACGTCTGGCGCAACGGGTAGGACTCGACTGTCTTTCGGAAGACCACACGGCGTCCGATGGCCGAAAACAAAGAACACTGGTGATAGCAGGATCGGCCATTCAACTGGATATCACTTTGGACAATAATATTGTTGAAAGCATCTCATTGGCATTCCCAGAATCCGCTGCCTCGGTCACCAAGCACGTCGATCGAGCAAGCGCAATACTCTTGAAAGATCTGCAACTTCTTCCTAACCAAAGCCCATTGACGAAAACCCTTGACAGGTTTTCAGTCAACCTAGAGCGCTTGGCCTTCCTAGATAAACTCAGCATCATCCCAGGACTTGACTGCCACGAGGCATTGGCGGGCATTTATATGAGCCTGGAAAGACTGCACCAATGGGACGTTGCCAAGCTTCGCGAAGAGCCTGGAATGAGCGCCAAATCGGACAGTGAACTATCCACCACAGCAATGTGTACAAGGCATGGGTTTCCCGTCATGCATTCAAGGGACCGAGTAGGTCTAGCATTACAATATTGGAAGGTTCTCCGCCATATTCAGCCAACGGATGACAAGTTGGCTTCATTCGCTGCGTCTCGAGAACAGGTCTGGTCACTTCTTATCGGATGCGCCTCAACAGAAAGTATGAATATGGATCAGATGCCTATACCTGTGCGAGTATCCGAGGAGTGGATCTCCAAGGATATAGTAAAGGCAGAACCCTCGATGGACCCCAAGAGAGCGAACCTGGACTGGCAAGAGCCCAACAATGTTGTGCTTCCACAGTCTGAAGAGAACAAAGATGCTGGAATGGAGATGCTTCAGCCAGATCTTTCAACAGCAAGGGTACCGCAGGTTATGTTCACTGCAACCTTTGATCCTCCTGTCATTCTACCACAGACTGACTACACGCGGTTGTATGAGTTTGCCAACGTCGCCGTCCCAGAACTCTACGGATACCCACCGACTTTCGACAGCTTGTTCTTTCCCATACCTCCAGGAAGTCCCCAGGATCCCAGTGAACTCCGGGCAATCTCCCGCAAGCGCGACGTCCGTATATATGACAAAGACCAGAACCCAGTCATCAAACCTCACCAAAACACGCTCTATATCTATAAGCAGATATACTCGCAGGTGGTGACCGAAATTCCTTTCTCGCATCCCCAACAGCTTATCAACATGCTTCCCTTCCTTCGGCAGTACGCCTTTGTTGCAACCTTGCTGGAGAACAGCTTCGGGTCGGAGACGAAAGAAGTTGATCCTCTACTCAAGCAAGGAAATGTGGCAGTGCAGGCGCCGAAATCAAGTATTACCACCAAGGACGAGTTAGCAGACTTCATGAAATCTGCTTCTGTGGCTGACGAGGACACCTCTTCCACGTCTCAGGATGTCAAACTCGACGTCACTCTATGGGTTCATCCAATCCCTCACCTTCAAGTTGTCTTCCCCTTCCGGGATTCAACTGCGAATATCACTTTGAAGGTACTCGAGGACGGAGTTGTAGAAGTCGCCGAGGAGAACGTCATTCCTCATGATGAGGACAACAAGATGAAGGGCAAGGAACTTACGAGGGCGGATTTGGGCAAAGTGCTGGAGCATATGGAAGATCTCTGCAAGTGGGCAGAGTGGATTCGTACGAGGCTTTCATGAGATGCCGGAATAAGGTACTAAGAAGAGAGCAGAATTGAATGATACCCTTGGAGTAATCTCCAAACATGGCTAGTCGTATGAACAAAATGAATTATTCTCTGATAGCTGATAGGTGTTTAGACTTGTTCTAATGCTAATATACGTGAACCTATGCTTTGAGAAGCGTACCTCGATACTATCTACTGATCCTTTGTGATATAGCCCTTCAGTACAGTCATCGCACCCCTCTCTGGTTTTCCCTCCTCCTTGATTCTCCTTACTCGTATCAAATTGTTATCTGAGGTACGAACAGCACAGCTACCGTTACCTTGATCCGATATCAAAGTCTCAAACACTCCCAACTCGGAACCTTCAATAAACTGTACTTCTGTGCCATCAGTTCTCACATCTTCTAAGGATACACACTCAGCATCCTGAAAAATCAGGCGCTTTGTCTCGCCTTTCTTATTGACAGCGTGTGTCCATACCGAACCAAGGACTCGTACCCGTCGTACGATCTCATCCGCTGTCCAAGTAGTCCACTTGACGTGGCCGTCGGCCTTTGTGACCTTCGGCGCATGGCTGAGCCGGTCTTCGTCGAGCTCTTCTCCCTTCCAACTTTTGTCCTGGCGCGGTGGAACATGGACGCCGTCTCGAAGACCTTGTATCAGCATTTGCGCCCCAATCGGTGCAAGGAGATTGGTGAGTTCCTGGACAGTGCTGCCGGGAGGGACTGATATCCCTGGAAAGGGAGTTTGAGATAGCACAGTTCCATGGTCGAACTCTCTGTCGTCTAGTGTCTGCAATGAAACCCCGGTATGTTCATAGCCTTTTAGTATCGCGTGGTGAACCGGTGCAGGTCCACGGAGACTGCCTCTTATTAGGCTTCCAGTTCGAAACACGTAGATTGAGACTTACTCTGGTAGCAGAGAAGGATGCACATTGAGGCCACCGTATTTGGCTGACTTCAGTATCCTTAGTGGTACGAACAACCCGAATGATACTGCTATCACGAGATTCGTTTTTTCAGGTAGCTTAAGGGTTTCAGTCACTTCCTCACAATAAGGAATCAATTGGAGACTCATTTAACTTACATTCCACTTGGTAAAAGTCTCACGCTGATGAATCTTCAACCCAAGATCTTCTGCCAGTAGCTTACAAGGCACTGACTGGTATGAGTCTCATGTTAAGTATTTAGGTCAATTTGACTTACCTTCTCTTAGTGTTTTGAACCCTCTTCCCATGCGTTTTGGTGGAAGTACCATAACGTCCAACGACTCAACGAGTTTCTTGTTCCGGGCATACTCTTCATGCACAGCCTTAAGAGAAGCGCAACTGAAATCATCGGAGCCGCAAAACAGAATGCGTAAGGGATCTGATGAATAGCGAGTTGTGCTTTGGGAGAAGCATCGTTGCCATTGAGGAATTTTCCGATTGAGCAAAGACCTAGATGTTGTGAAATACGATAACATCATATGTTTTGTTTCTCATATCAGTTTAACACGCGTTTTGTGTATTGGATGGCTTGCATGTATAGTCGGTCGTCAATCGACAAGCTAAGTTGGTGGTTGTAATTCAGGCGTCGCGTTTGTTGCATCTCCGCTTATTTGCATCATACGAGCCAATTCACTTGGAACTTAGCCATATTATTCTGACTGATATTTAAACATATTCACTATTTTACGAGTAGTGTTTTGGAAATAGGTAGAGGCTACTTTTATTTTTTGAGCCTCATGCTTGTTGATCCTTATACCAACTTATTCCCGTGGTGTAGGGTGGCAGCAGTTCACATGCATTTGAGCCTCAAAGGCCAAGTTAGACCTAACCATAACAGTCGGATATTTATTGGTAAAGTTCTAGATAACCTTTCATGCTTAGAAGAGATCATTGACAGCCTTATCGGCATCTTTTTGGATCAATTCGACCATACCCTAAACTAAAGTATCAGCACATGTTACGAGCATTGAATGGGCGAACAAACCTTGGGCATGATGGGCTTGCCCTCTTCATCCTTCACGTAACGGAAGGGCATCTCGGTGCTCTCGTGCTCGTTGAACTTGAGCTCGGGGAAGTCCAAATAGGGGACCTTGTCGAGAGACACTAACGGCTATCGTGAGTTTCTAAGTTGCAGGGGTACAATGCGAGTATAACGAACCCTTGTCTTGAACAACAATACGAGTAACGCGGACAGCTGTGTCTGTAGTCATCTGCTTGGGACCAAGTCTACGACCCTCAAAGCCCTTCTTTCGGAGCTCCGAAGTACGGTCTACATCATCCGGTTAGCTGATGCTGATGACTTGTATCTCATGATGGAGACATACCTCGAGGGGGATCATCGCCTGTGGTTTGAGCATGAAACGTCAGCAATGACCACTACGGTTTTGGTTTTTCCGCATCGATTTTTCACAAACATACCAAGAATACCTCCGAACAGAAAGGCATCGAAGGTCTCGCCGTCCTCAGGAGACAGGTCCTTGGCGGCGGAAGGATCAAGCAGGCAAACCTTGGACTTGTTGGCAGCGTAAAGCTCCTCAACACCACGCTGCTCAGCAGTGAAGGCGGGGTTGCTGGCCAGGTCTGTTGGAACCTGGAACCTGGGAGGCAAACTGGAGAGGATGAAAGAGCCCTGAGTAGCCTGTGTCTCACGAGCAATGGCAAGGTATTCGAGCTCTGACCAGGGACCGAGCTCCGGGTCGAGATGCTCGACAATGAAAGTCTTGCCAGAGGCTGCCATTTTTTCTTCCTTCTCTTTGTTTCTTGGTGAGGGGCAAAAGTCGAGTTTGTATCAGTGCGGCGTAAACACTAGGTTGGTTCTGGTGATGAATATCAAACTATTGTTTTTCTTCTTATCCTTTGAATATAGTGACTCAAGTTCAGGTTAACTTTTGTTATTGAGACTTGACAAAAGAGAATGTGGTGGTGACGTTGATTGGCTGGGCAAAGAGAGGGTTTTGAAAATTCCTAGGTCAAGTTTATTAGTTTGAAGCAATCCAGCGATCGTCAGTGGGCACCGTTTCATTCCATTGATGAAATCCCATCTTATCAAGTTAATTCTAGTCTACACAGTTACTGGACAGAAGCCAGAATATTCTACTACATTTATAGCATTATTTTGATCAGCGTATGAATTTATATGACTGTACGCCTTGCGCCGGTAGTTAGCTTGGACCATTTGTTAATGCAAGTCGTTCCTAAGGGAAGCGTTTCTTATTGATTACCAGAAGGAAACGTGAACAGCGCCCCCTTGATACAGCTAACGTTAGGACAAACAAGAACATAAGACAACCAACTTCATAATGAATGTCTTTGCTGATAACGTGTAAGAAGAAGACATGAATGCTGTTACTGTTAATACCACTGTGCCTCGTCTGCACTCTACAAGTACGCAACCGCTTAGAGAGATTCGGCCCTGTATCCGTAAAACAGAAATTGGAGGCTGCTGTTTGTGGACCCTTTAGGCTCCATTTTCAGAAGAATTAGCAGCCCTCGAGGTTGGATTGCAACCAGATTAAAGCGCCAAGCCACAGCTGCGACCAGCATTCATCATCCATTCAGCCATAAGCCGCTGGCCGCCACTAACTTAGTACTAAGGTAGGTACCTAGGTGCCTACCTACCTAATGCTACGGCGGAAGCTACCTACAGCCTAGCCCCCACTATAAACCACTAGAACCCGGGGTCCCGAGGGGCCACCTCATCTCTCCTGGACAGGCAAGGTACAGCAGCCAAGGGTCGGATGGAACCTGTCCCTTTCTTTATCTTTCAAGGCTGTCCATTCCAATCGCAACTCTGTTTGCTCTCCATGTCGTCGTCGAGCAGGACCTCCAATCCTTTGTTTCTCTAACCTTGCTCCATCTATCGTCAGACGGATAACTTTCTCTAACTTCTGTGTACTACAACTTTGCCCGCGGCGTCTTTCGTCCGCAACTTACCCATCATGGCACTCTTGTCCATGATGCCGTCCCCGAGACGATGGGTTGCTCTACTCTCCCTTTCCCTTGCGCCAGTTCTGGCCATCACCAAACCCGCTGTGACCACAACGAAAGCCGCTGCCGCCGACTATTATGTTCGCAACCTTCCAGGTTTACCTACCAATGGCCCCGAGGTCAAGATGCATGCTGGGTAAGTTATCCTGTTTCCTCCCCATGCTCATCACCTGCTGACGTGGTCGTGTGCATTGCAGCCATATCGAAGTCACTCCTGAATCACATGGAAACTTGTTTTTCTGGCACTTCGAGAACCAGCACATCGCCGATAAACAACGGACCGTTATCTGGATTAACGGAGGACCAGGTTGTAGTTCAGAAGATGGTTCCATGATGGAAATCGGCCCCTATCGACTGAAGGATCAAGATCACTTGGTCTACAACAATGGCTCCTGGAACGAATTCGCCAATCTCCTTTTCGTCGACAACCCTGTCGGCACCGGTTACAGTTCCGTTGATACTAACGAGTACATACACGAGCTGAAGGAGATGGCCGACCAATTCGTTAACTTCCTTGAGAAGTGGTTTGCCCTCTTCCCACAATACGACCACGACGATGTAAGCAACCCTACGCTTTCTGGATAGACCAACATGCTAAACAAAACAGCTTTACATCGCTGGCGAGTCCTATGCTGGACAGCACATTCCCTACATCGCCAGAGCCATCCTCGATCGCAACAAGAAGAACCCTACAACCCCCTGGAGTCTGAAAGGACTCCTGATTGGCAATGGCTGGATATCTCCCGCCGAGCAATATCCCGCATATATCACATACGCTCTTCAGAAGGGCATCATCGAGAAGGACTCCGACAACCACAAGAAACTTCAAGCAAACCTGCGCAGCTGTGAGAAGATGATGGCATCCGATGTTGGCCACGTGGACTATGGAGAGTGCGAAGCTATCCTGTCCGACATGCTCAGGTTGACCAAGAATGGCGATGGCAAAGATGCATGCGTCAACATGTACGATGTGCGACTCACGGATACCTACCCTAGCTGTGGCATGAACTGGCCCCCGGATCTGGTGCACCTGACACCTTACTTGAGGAAGCCTGAGGTCACCAATGCCCTCCACGTCGATACCATCAAGAAACCTGTTGGATGGACAGAGTGTAATGGTGCTGTAGGAGGCGCCTTTCACGCCAGGAACTCCAAGCCCTCCATTGAACTCTTGCCCGATCTTCTGAAGGAGGTCCCTATCATGCTTTTCTCCGGAGCTGAGGATCTCATCTGCAACCATGTTGGAACCGAAAACTTGATCAGCAAAATGGAATGGAATGGTGGAAAAGGCTTCGAGGTGACACCCGGTAACTGGGCGCCTCGACGCGACTGGACTTTCGAAGGCGCGAACGCTGGCTTCTGGCAGGAGGCTCGAAACCTAACCTATGTTCTGGTCTACAACTCGTCTCACATGGTGCCTTTTGATCTTCCACGACGAAGTCGGGACATGCTGGATCGCTTCATGGGTGTCGACATCAGCAGCGTTGGTGGTGACCCTGCCGACAGTCGAATTGATGGCGAGAAGGGGCCTAAGACCAGCGTTGGCGATGCAAAGAACAGCACTCAGACTGCTGAGGAAGACCACCAAAAGCAGCTGGACGAAGCCAAGTGGGCAGCTTACTACAAGTCTGGTGAGGTTGTTCTGGTTATCGTCATTATCGGTGCCGTTGCTTGGGGATACTGGATCTGGCGCGAGCGTCGCAAGGGTCCCAGCTATTCTGTTCTGGCCGATCACGATCTCAACAACCGACCTAATAGCCACCGCCCCAAGTCGCAGCCTGGCGATCTCGAGTCTGCAGCTTTTGACGAAAGCGAACTTGACGACTTACATGTCACAACGCCAGGCACCAGCTCAAGTGCTCGGTTTCCAGTGAATCGTGACGGTAGCGAGAAGTTCGTCACCAAGTATGCCGAATAATATGTGACAGAGAGACCATAGAGTCTCGTTTCTACCTGGAGAACATCAATATAGTTGTATAATTTAGCTGGCGCCCCGGTTCTTTTGCATAAGGTGGTCCTGTCACGATTTGGGAGTAAGAGGGAAGTCCGGCGTTTTCTCAGTTCATCATTGAAAATCAAGTCAATTCTTTATCGTCGTCAAAGTTGGTCCAATACTACGCCAACAACTCCATGTCTAGATCAAGAGCACCTTGTAGAAACCGGTCCTTTGCTCCCTGGCTGTGTGTGGTATTGCAGCCCTTGTATCCTGTTCCATTTCCCCGAAGAAAAACAACCCACCCTCCCAGTAAAGTCTGTATTTGTACGCCTGCAGTGCTGCGCCGTTGTCGTCCATAGAAAGAAAAGAAGTAAAGCCAAGCGGGGTTACAGTTGCACGTCGTTGTTGAGCAGTCGAACCTCTTCACCTGGCTTGAAGGGTGGGAGGCCGATGTAAGGGCATCCGTCGCATCGGAAAGCATCGCCAAGCGAACAGTTGCCACAAGAGCCAACCTTGCCCTGCACGGTGAAGTCGATCTCGGCCAGGTCGTCGGTTCCCAGCTTAATGCTCTCGAGTTGCTTATCGGCCGTGGCTCGCTGGTCGGCGTCTTCGGCGGCAAGACGTTCAGCCAAGCCGCAAGTGCAGTCCTTGCAGGCACGGCGGCGTTTGCCAGCCTTGGGTTGACATTCGGCAGCTATTATAATGTCAGAATTGTGTTGAGAGTCGGGGGTATTCGCAGAATTACTTACGGATATTGATGGGCCTGGCGAGATCCTCCTCAGTCATAAGAGTATCCTCATCAATGAGGTCGTCGTCGTCGTCGTCGTCGTCGTCAAGATCGTCCTCCAGATCGATGAAACCGACACCAGCAGGGACTACAGGCTTGGGGGTGGCCTCAACAGGCTTCCTCTTAAGGTTGAGAGGAACAGAACCATCTGCAAGAGGTGCGGGCTGTGTCTTCTTCTTGCCAAACTTTAGGGTAACAGCTCCGTCATTGTCGCCATAGTCGGGCTTCTCGAAACCACCCCGCGATGAGACAAGACCGGCCAGAACCGCTTCCTTTGACAAGGTGGACTCCTCCAGGCTGTTGCCATCGTGAGACTGTAGACGGCCGCCAGGCTTGAGTGAATCGGCGACAGGACCCAGAACAGTTCTATTCATCAAAGCGAGAGACTCGCCGAGCATGGAGGACGCATCGGAGAGGACTAGGACAAGATCGTAGGTCGAGGCAGGCAGAGTGACCAATCCCACGGAGAGACGGTCAAGCATCTGGAGATCGGTAACGGAGCGGTCATAATCGGCGAGGACGGAGGAGAGGGCGTCCGAGTTGGCAGCGAGGGACGGAGGTGCCAGGAGGAGAGTTCGCTTGGGTGGCGATGTAGACTGAACAGACTTTGGGACGGGCATGACGAAGTCGTCGCTGGAATCGATTGTGACAGTCGCGGGCGCCATTGTAGGAGATTATCACGAACAGAAGAAAATAACAATCAATGGGTAATTAGAGAACGAAAGGGCGGAAGAGAGGAGGGGCTTGACGTTTTTAAGATATGATGGTAGAGTTAGGCCCTGAGTTTTGACTCGGAAGCCTGTTGACGCACCGGATTAGTCAAGCCAAGTAAAGGCTCCGTGCGAAAACTATCATAGACTGTGTGTCTCGCCCTATTTAAACGGGATCGTACCGTGTGGTTCGACAATCGATCGCGGTATTACATCTGATATCAGGGTTGCGGGGTCACTTTTCTGCTTTTCCACGGCGGGGGAGTTTTTGGACAGGGCCCTTATGCCGACTGCGGAGACGCGGAGTACATTACGGCGCGCCCGATTGATTGGGAATGGATTTCCTGACGGTTCACAATCGACTGCAGCTGATAAGTTTGATAACAAAGCAACCTCTAAGAATTAGTATTTCCTTCCATGCCGTTGCCCTCCCCGGAGATGCAAGAAACTCGTAAGCTTAGGTTGACCAAGAGTTGCCTGTCAAACCGTACGACTCGGCCTTTCTAGCCCTTGCTATGCTCCTTCTGTCCAGTTTTTCCCCTTCATTTCGTCTTTTGTCAAATTACGTCCTATACCACCGCTTTTGTTTCTGCTGACATATGATCATTGGTAATATGGTATAAGGTGGGGGAACAACGGCTCGGGACAGTACGTAGTACAAGACTTACGGGTCGGATCCAGGTGGGCGATGTCGGACCAATCCCGATGAAGCCGATTGCTACTCCGTAGTAAGGCTTCGATATGCCTGATGGCCATAGGTTGTCTGCTCTTCGGTTTGTGATCGCGTGAGCGGAAATGTCCGCCGTGAAAACCGTGACCCCAGTCTTCAGCCAATGGCCCTTTCTTTGTGGGTGTGTTTTCTTCCTGGGCCTCGGGAAGGGATAAAACATGGGATATAGAGACTTCTATAGAAAGTGTCCATTATAGTAGAGTAATAAATATTTAAGAAATTATAGACTTTTGGAGAAAGTAATAGCCATGCTTTTATATATCTTAGTCAAGAGAAATATTTGCCCCCTAAGTTATTATACTCGATTAAAAATATCATGGTGGTAGACTCACGGCCGATATTTTATTTCCCCCCTAGGTAGCTGTCATTTCACATGTGCCTTAATAGGTAGGTAATTCAATCTCGTGAGACTTGCTAATTGGTTGGTGTTGCTGTATGTCCTGGTGTTGAACTGTAGTCTCTCACCTACGTAGTACATACATCGTCAAGTCTTGTGCTTCACAAAGCCTCAACTTGGCTAACTCTTGATTAACTACTACCTAGTTTCATATCGAGTCACTTTTCAGTCTTTCAAGTTTCATTGGTTGTATATAGAGCTTGTTGGATAAATGTGGTACAGAAAGCGGGTGTAACAAGATTTCCTTTCGATAGCCCCCAGTTACCTCTATACACAAACTTGACTTTGAAAGCACTCTACATGCATTGAAAATTACACAAAAGCGTATAGAAAAAGGCAATCTTTCTCACTACCAGACTAGACTAGCAGTCATAAGTAAGTACCTAGGCAGAATATTGAGTTGCAATGTCGTCCAGGGGGCTCTCGAGGCAATTCAAAGATACAATTTGTATGATATCGATCCCATGTCGGATAGTACGCCAAGAAGGCATTCTAATATCTCTTTCGTATTGAGTATGAATCATGAATTCAAGCCTGAATTAGTCACTCGCAGTGTAGGCATTGTTAGGTGCCAGAACTCTAACGAAGTAACTGCCAGTGCTTGCAACTGGCAACAACCGGCATAGTTCACTCCTTCCAAGTTTCGTCTGATCTTTCAAGGAGAAACCGCGTGCCTGTTTTCAACGCGTTCACCTTCCCCAAGGCAACAGCAATTCACTGCTCTCGTTTGTTTGCCTTACCTAGGTACCTTTTCTTCTCCTCCCTTTTCCCCTTCTCGCTCCTCCTCTCATCCTCAACCACACCTTCTTACCTCAACATCTCTCTTTCACAACAAGCACAGTATCATTGTGCTTACCACCTGTGTGAGATCTCCAGGAAACAAGAGACTCTTGCCTTCCTTTTCTGCTTTCAAGCTCTTGCACCGCGAACTAGCAATATTTGTTGTGATCACCGCACACTTGCCTCGATCATCCTTCAAAATCTCAAGGTATGTGGATGTTTATCCTTTCCCTCTTCTTCTTTTTCGCACCACAAAACTCCTGCATCAGAAAGGCGTTGCGCCTTGAAGCAGCAGCACATTCAAGCTTTGTGGCAGACCGATCGATCTCCTTCTTGAGGACTCCCAATCTTCATCACAAGGCTGCCTTTCTGGAGATCACATCAGCACATCACTCATCGTCTACACTTGCCATATAAAAACACCCCTTTTCTCTATTTACTCCTTCAAAGCCTGTGATTCCATCCAACGTCATTAATCTAACAGACACACAGTCTCCTTCGATCGCTACTCTCGCCTTCATTATGGCCGACTGGAACTTTGAGCAGGGGGGTTCGACCCATGGCAACAGTGCCGATGACGGCTGGAACACTGGTGGCAACATCGCGTATGTCATCTCTCTAGGAAGACATAGAAACTCGAAAAGTCTAACTGATGTTTTAGTAACGGATCTACCAACGGTGACGATCATGGTAACACTGGTTTTGGCGACGCCGAGGGCGTTAATGATGGCCAGCCAGGCCGGGATGACAAGTGCTTCGGTTGTGGCGAGACTGGGTAAGAATCAGATTGATTAAGAAGACAACGCCACCTAACACTTCGCAGTCACCGCCGTGCGGAATGCCCCAGCGCCGAGGAGATGACCTGCCGGTACTGCAAGAACCCTGGCCACATGGTCAAAGACTGCCCCGATAAGCCTCCCATGATCTGTGCCAACTGTGGCGAAGAAGGTCGGTTTTTCTCATCTTAGTATGCTTTCTTAAGCTCACACTTTTAGGTCACATGCGAAAGAATTGCGAGAACGCTCGCAAGGTCAACCGAGACAACGTTGCCGATATTCCCGCTGAGGCAGCCTGGGAGAAAATCAAGCAGGCCACTACCGAGAAGGATCTCGACGATGCCAAGGAAGCCGTACAAGAGTACATCAAGGCTGTCAATGGCGAGGTGACATACCGTCAGCTCCAAGAGACTTTCATCGACCAAAACCTTGGTCTCTGGCTCATCCCCACTGAGCGCTCCCTCGTCCAAGTATTCACCAATATGGACATCCAGGGTAACATCGACAAGAAGTACACTGTTTCGTATCGATTTGTTGAGAAGCCCGACCGTCCCCGTGAGATCGAGGGATGGCCCAAGGACCGTGAGGAACATCTCTCTCGCTTGGACGATGCCGGCGAGGTTGTCGATCGAGGTGTTCCCCTTTGCATGAACTGCAAGGAGCTTGGACATATTTCCAAGTTTTGTACTCAGGAGAAGATTGAGCGTGATGATGTGACCAAGATCTCTTGCTACAATTGCGGAGCAGACGGCCACCGCGTTCGAGATTGTAAGTGCAACTTGACCTCTTGGGTGAATAGTTGAAGCTAACTCGTCAGGCCCTGAGCCACGCGTGGACAAGAACGCATGCAAGAACTGCGGGTGAGTCTTAACGGACCCTTTTGAGTATCCTGTAATAGCTGACATCGACAGCAAATCCGGTCACAGGGTCGCGGACTGCGAGGAACCGCCGAACCCGGCCAACGTAGAGTGCCGGAAGTGCAATGAAGGTATGTTGTCTCTATATCTACCTCCCAGTCTGATTCTAATCGTTGCAGTCGGTCACTTTGCCAAGGATTGCCCCCAGGGCGGCGGCCGGGAATGCCGCAACTGCGGCCAGGAGGGTCACATCTCTAAGGAGTGTGACCAGCCTCGTGACATGTCTAAAGTCACTTGCCGCAACTGCGAAAAGTCGGGACATCTAAGCAAGGAGTGTCCTGAGCCCAAGGATTGTGAGTATTGGCGTCTTCCATTTATTCGGGCTTGATGCTGACCAATATGTAGGGAGCAAGGTTCAGTGCAGCAACTGCCAGGAGTATGGCCACACCAAGGTCAGATGCAAGGCCCCTCTCGTCGAAGAAAACGATGGCTTCGGTGATGGCGGTGACGGAGGTTGGGGAGGCGCTGATGCGACTGCTGGGGGTGATGATGGATATGCTAACCATCAGAGCGCCGGCGGTGATGATGGGTGGTCTGCTAAGCCCGTCGATGTCGGGGCCAGCGTTTGGTAAATGTCCTTGGCGATGCGATGCTGCTTTTGTTCATGGAAGGATATCTCTTCTACAGAAAGCTGCTGGATGGGGGTAACCAGCGGCATATGACGGATGAAATCAAGTAATGAAAACGGGGAATGATGTGGGAAGTGATTTCGTCGTCACAGTTAAGTATTTGAGATGGTTGATTGTGTCAACCACCTAAAATCCAGATCAGCAGTTAGACTCAATAAAATCTCATTCGTTGAGTACACATGGTCCCTTAGCCACGCCCTTGATACATATCTGCATGACTGATATTGAGGTGGTCACTGTTTGTTTTGTTTATATGCACGTCTGCATCGGCGGGGGATGATATCTTTTGAGTCATCGATTGTGGCATCTGAAAACGTATATTACCATTCGAATGATTTATTGTGTAGCATGGTCTTCCAGGTACCGACCATGATTAATGGTTGGTGTTTATGTTGATTTGAGAGCATTCTTCCCAGTCTGCCCAGTTGCACAAGGCTGGATAATGCTCACTATACCCATGAGGTTCTCGCTTGCATATAAAGAGGAACCAACCAATTATGCACAGGACAGCCTGTATTGAAGCTGATGTCCCGTTCGCATCTCGTGCAGTTCTTCATGCGCAACTCTCGTGCACCTCGTTGAGATGCAATTTTCACAACTTCACCCGATTCGCGCGAGATGTCCCGAGCGGGAGAAAGGAAGAAAGGTGTGGCATGGTCTCAACGGCATTAATTCCGAGTGTTGAGCATGAGTTTCAAACGTTGTCGTTGAGATATAGTTATATGGCGACTATTGTGAAACGGCGAATCAGAGCAAGACTGGGGCGGGAAATAACACGAGAATAAACATGATACGCTCCTCAGCCCTATGTACCTATCAAGGTGATATTTGACGAACATCTCCGTCATATCTGGTTGATATCACGGTTCATGAAATACTAATACTAATAATACTAGTTCATTGTTTGTTATTGTCGCTTGTCTGTGATGCTTCCTGGACCAATACTCAAGCCCTGGAGTACTGGTGACACAAGTCAATTCAATAACCAGTGGAGGTCAATTACCAGTCAATGGCACTGTCGTATAAATCGAACTTCGAGATAATTTATTATTTGCATTGGCTGTTTCTCTCTTCGTACACGCAGTCGCGGTATCATATATTGACGAAGTCAATTCTGTAGTAGACGGGTGGGTATCAATCGACATTGATGAAGTTGAGTAACTATCTCATCTCCTCCTTATCTCACGTTCTACCCTGACACTTCAAATTGAGTTGTCAAAATCAGGTGCCGGGTAACGAACGACTGAAGTATAAGTTAACGGTCATGACATTTGGTGGGCAAGTTGATGCGGAACCATCGGGACAGATGCAAAGAACACAAACACTGCATATCAGACCGCTATCTCGAATCAGCTAACCTCAGAGCCATACTTCTATTATGTCTGATCAACAGAAAGATGATACAGGGTAACTTGAGAAAGAGAATATACTCAAGTTGAACATCTCACTTGTCTACAATCGATCACCAAGTCCCGTGGTTCTGGGTCGAGCTAATCTCAAGCCATCTCAAAGCAAATAAAGTTCAAATCTCAAAGATAGAAACATCCGTGGAGATCTCTCTGGTCAGAAGATTTCAATGCGTCATAATCACTACAAAATTACTATATATGGACGTGTGCCGACCAAAATGCAGCGCCGTTTGAGGCTTGGCGCGCCGGAGACACCTCCTTTATTCTGAATGCGAGTCTCGAGACGGGCGTTACACGCCAGATCTCGATCATGTGTCCATCCGGATCTCGATTCCCATGCAATTGCCGATCTCTTTGTGAGACGGAGGAGGACAAGGGCGAACACTACACCAGACGGACCGACGCGCCAGAGAGTGACTGTGGACATTTCTGACCCAACCACCGGAACCAAGCTCCATCGAAGTTGATAATTCGTGATGTGTATCCGTGTGATCGGTTGAATTGAACACAACACGATTACATAGTGTATGAAATGTGGTGTTGTGCTGTCGCATTGACGCATTCCTATGGTGCTTCGCTCGGCCGAGTCACTTAAGATCTACGTCATGTTCGCGAACACGACACGACACGGGGCACTGGAGTTTCTGGAGTTTCTGCTTGCTTCCAGCTTTGAAACTAGATTTAGGTTAGAGCCGCGGCAGATTTGTCTCCAGCGCCGGCGTTATTTCCAAGTTTCCAACCGACTGATAGCTTTATCTTGCTTATCTGTTACAGATCCAAGCAATATTGTCTATGCTGTGTTAGGGTTGCGTCATAATTCAAGTCTGGCGGGCCTTATTTCCGGAGGCTTGCGTGGGGAAATAATCCAAGGACCAAGGTATGGACCGATGCCTTGAGAAGACCACAATGGAGATACAGTCAAGTTGTTGAGGCTCTAGAGGCTCAACTGTCCCTAGGCCAGAGGACCGAGGAACAAGGATAGGCTAATACGATCCCATCTAGCCCCTGAAGACGCATCGGCGCCAGTCCACTAGTTCATGGGGATGGTAGAAGTTTAGAGATTTTCGAAGGCTGGAAGGATGGAAAAGCTTGGAAATGGACGCTTAGAAAGAAATGCAAGGCAGTACCCCGGCTTGAACGGAACGGAGGCTCAAGTCGGTCAAATTGGGTTTGATATGGGGACAGGGGAGTTGCGCGCTGCTTTACTGTCACGGTGGCCACAGGGAGCATTCCTTCGATAGGGATGGTACTTCAAGGTCTTGACAGGTAGGCAAGTTCAACGTTGTCTGTTGAAGTATGAACACGACATGTAACACGTATCATGCTTTAAACGGATGGTGTGAACCAAGAGTACGATACGGTAGTTGGAATAAGCTCTTGCTTTTACCGTTATAGCTTTTCTGGTGCCTTGATTGTCTATTGAATGGCCTCGTTTCCTTTCCCCTCGCTGACAGTTCCGACTCAAATATTGAGCAAAGTTTGTCTCATCTTCGCTGCGAATGAGTGGTCAAGCAAACTGACGTCATGAACAAGTCATGTTGCACTTCGACAATGCATGTATGTACGAACATTGACACAGTGCTTGTACTTGGATGTGTCGTGGCCCCAAGGTAACACTGTGCATTGGATTCCATATTGGATTATCAAGGCCTGTCTGGCTTTTGGCATCTCCTTGGTTGACTCCAAACCCCTCCTCCCCACACGAATGCTGAATCTCCCCGAAGTCTCGGGTGTATGAGACGCCATCGAACGATATAGTTGTAGCCTTGAGTATATCGATCAGTAGATAGCTACAAAGTCTGTCATGTGAATTCACATGACAAGGCACACTCGTGCAAGAATACATGCGATATTGCTAATGGATGGCTGAACTGAAGCATGTAAGGATCAGAGAGGTCAAGGGGGGGTGTTAGTTTGTTAGCGTGCAGCCTCGTTTGGCAAGGTGGAAACTTGTCCAGTTGAGTGTCAGGATTAGTATCAACCATAACAAAGGAATCGAAGAAGAAGAAGAAGAAAGGCGGAAGCTCCTTATGGTGACTGTGGAGGAAGGAGGAAAAGTCCCGTGAAGCAGCCTCCAATTCTTCTCCTGGTGTGGCGCTATTCGGGAACGACATGGGCATAATTAAGAGTCGATCAGAAAGGGGCTGGTATCCGTAGGCTAGCAGTAATCGTCGAGAAAGTGTCAAAGACAAACCCGGTTTTCTGCTTTTTAAGCAAAAAGTGCTGTACAGTAGAGTTCAGGGGCGTGTCGTGGATGGCCAACGTCGATCCCTCAATAACGCCTATAATTATAAATCCGTGAACCGAAAGGGCCCGTGAGCTTTGGTCGTATTTGAATAGGTAGGTTGCAGCAAAAGTGACTGCAACTCGTCAATGCAATCTGTAGCCAAAAGTAAAAGGCGTGATACACAAACACGACTTTGATCCATTTCGTTTCCAGAATACTGTGATTTAATTAGAGGCCAGACAAGGGGCGGGAGCGTGCCCCGGATTGGATCCAAGAGTTCCAAGCACTCGGAGCTTTTACACCAGCGGTGGGTGAATCAAACAGATCAGCCAAGATTGAGACGAAACTGACAGCCGGGATTAGTCAGGGAACGAACTGAAAACGGATGAATTAAACAAGACTTGGCTATTCGGGGCCAACCAAACAATTTTCCAAGATGGAGCGAGAATGAGAATGGGATTCAGTGAATGAATGAAATGTTGTTGTTTATTGTAAAGATGAGCTTGACAAGGCAGCTCCTTGCGTCATCGGTCGTCGCCAGGTGAAACAAACCAATTGAATTGTCGAGATGGGAATGACGGTGGTGCTCCGGTCGAGTGATCCACTCTCTCACTGGCTCCTGCTCCGGATGGGGTGTGGAGTCGTTAAAAATGCTAGCACAGAGATTCACACAGTGCGAGATGATCCATTAACAGCATTTACTTACCTAGGTAGGTACTCATTTCAAGGTTCGTGATAAACGGATCCATCTCCAATGTGAACAACTGCGACTTCACTTAGAGTATTCCTATTGAAGATTGCATTTACTTACAAATCAGAGCAGAACGAACTATCAAGCCAGCTCAACTATAGGCACGTTAAAACTCTGAACTATTATTCATCACGTGTCGGGTGCTCGGCCATACTGAAACAGCCAGCAATCACCTTTGTGCGGTGCTATCCGGACACGACGATCGACCTCTGCTTTCCATTCTGGCACTTCTGTTCTGTTCTGTTTACTGAAGCCGGGATTCCGTCCAGTCAAACGCTGTCCTCTTCCCTTGCGACTTGACTTGCTGCTCAACCAAAAGGGATTTGCGAGTAACGCAAGCTTCTGGTTGGCTCCCCGGACCTTTTTGGAGGGTAAGGATCGAACGATGCAATTCAGAATACAGTGAATTACAGTGCGCATCATGAGGGTGGAGGGGGGGTGGCAGGTGCAGTAGCGTGGTCCGGCCATGGGTTTTGTCAGCCGGCTTAGCGTCCCCTCAGTCCTTTTTCCTTCTTTTTTCGCCCCCCAAGAGGCCAGTCAATTTCAGGAGCCCAGCCGCCGCCGTCTTTTTCTGCGCCTACTTTTCCCCTTCGTTGCCCACAACGTCATCTCTGACGTCTTTTTTCTCAATCTGATCCTTTCACAATCCTCGTCCATCGACGCAATCCCGCCCAGCAAGCAAAGCAACGCCCAGTACTCCGTATTGTTCTTCGAGACACAGCGCGCATCTCCTTGTCGTGTCGCATCGCATCGCATCGTATCGCATCTTACAGTAATTCTCATTTTTTCCTTTACCGTTTCGATAGGCACGAGAGCCTCAAACTCTACTGCGAAAGGCAATTCGCGCCTGTTTTTTTCCTTGTCCCCTAATCCTCAACGACTATCGCTTAGTCTGTCTGTGTTTCTGTTCACGAAACAGACACGCGCGCGTCTGTTGCAATCACTCCCGCCTCTACCTCTACATCTGCATCTGCATCTGCATCTGCATCTGCATCTGCTCTGCCTCTTTGACGTCGAGTGTCCGAGTGTCGAGTACCAATTTCCCATTCATCGTCCACGCCCAAGCTTTTGGGTGCACATTCCCTTGGTTAAAGAAGTTTCGGAGCGTATGCTGTGCGCTGTTGACTTGCCGAGAAACGACCTTCGCCCCCGGTCCATCTCTTAAACCGTCCTGTCCTATAGTAGATTTGCAGACGGCTGCCGCGTTGCTTTTCTGTTCTTCTTTCGCCTCTGACCTCATTTGACTTTTTCGTCTTCCTCTATCTTTCGCTGCCCGCTGCTCTTGCTACCACGCACCCCACACTCCAAGCCCAGTCCATCCAGGCCTACCAGCCCCAGAATATAATATATCATCGTCATCATGGGGACTACAACTGAAGCCTCTGCTGGAGGTGAGTCGAAGTCCCCCAAGCAGTCCAACAGCTCTCCCCCTCAAGCAGGTATGTCCTTGAACATTCCCAGTGCCATTGCCCATTGCCCATTGCCAACCACCATTCCCCCCTTCCTTTACCCTCGTCTTGCCTTGCACATCACCGGCCTTTCCCTTTCCTATGACCGGTACACGCATATCCTCCACTCGCTGCCATGACGTACGTACACTCGTTCGTCATGGGTCTTGGACCTCCCTATCCTACCTATCTTCATCACCATCCACTTTCGTCATCGCTTCCTTTCCATCGTCTCTTGACTCCGTCATCGTCCACCTTAGGCCTCTTGCGTCAATTGACTGTAACACCTGCTCACATCTTGCCTCGTCTTAGATACCACCGCCGACACCAAGGCAACCGATCCGCCTGTCAAGATAGAGGCTGCCAATGCCGAACAGGCCAAACCTCTTGCGCCTCCCCCTCGACCCGGCCAACAACCAGGCAATACCCCAGACTTCTTCGCGGTCCAGGCCGGCGGATCTCTCAGTCTGGAGCCCAATCCATTTGAGCAGTCCTTCGGGGGCGCTCCAGAGACACCAGGAGGAACAAAGCTGCCTTCAGTTGCTGCATTGACATCACCCTCTTCATTACTACCTGGTACCGCTGCAACACCATTCAACTGGGGAGGAGGTTCCTTACGCACTGGTCCCCTGAGCCCGGCAATGCTTTCTGGCCCGGCGAATGATTATTTTGGCGATACTCATCATCTTCGTGGCGGATTCCCTACACCCAACGAGTCCTCCTTGAGGACGGGTTTGACACCAGGTGGCAGTGGTTCTATGTTCCCTGCCCCTAGTCCCAATTCCCAAGCACTATTTGCTCAACTTGCCAGCGGCGGTGCTACACCCAGCACTCTTGATTTCCATCGAACTGCTATCAGTGCGGCTGCCAAACGTGACCAGAACGGTGCTGCTCCACGATCTCAGGCACCGCAAGCTCCTCAACCACAGCAGCAGGCTCCTCAACCTTCTGTCACTTCACAACCCCAGGAAATGCCCAACGGTTCATCCAATACTAAATCCGAAGCGAAGCCCGTATCGGGCCCCTTCGACCCTCACGATAACGACGCTGCAAACGGCCTTTTTATGCTGGCCCAGGGTAGAAACGGTGCTCAAAACGGTAACCAATTTGCTGTCACCTCAGGTAACCCTGGTCACGCCCACCCTGCTCCTGTTGCACCTCAAAACATGAATACCTCACCACAGATGTCAAGTATCAACGGTGGTTCTGTCGGTTCAATTCGCGGTATGAGCGAAGGAAGCATGATGTCAGATGATAGTGAGCAGGCTAGACCAAACACTCGAGGTCGGGGCAAGAAGAACCCTCCTGCCATCAACGGCCGAAGGAAGGCGGATGAGCCACCATCCAAGGCTCCGGCTCATAAAAAGTCAAAGGCCAGCAATTCTATGTCTATGAGTATGGATATGGATATGTCTGATGACGATGAATCCAAAATGAAGTATGAGGATGGCGGGTCAAAGTCCAAGATGACTGACGAGGAGAAGCGTAAGAATTTCCTCGAACGTAACCGGTATGTACTCAACGCTACGATTCACCTACGAAGACCTGTACTAACAGTTACATAGTGTTGCGGCTCTTAAGTGTCGTCAAAGAAAGAAGCAGTGGCTAGCCAATCTACAGACCAAGGTCGAGATGTTTAGCACTGAGAACGATGCGCTGACCGCGCAAATCACCCAGCTCAGGGAAGAGGTTGTTAACTTGAAAACGCTCCTACTTGCCCATAAAGACTGCCCAGTTACTCAGCAGCAAGGAATTCATGGTGCTTTTATGTCCCAGGTTGTGGAACCTTACAACCCTCAAATGAACCCTTATGGCATGGCAGCACCAATGTCTAACCAGCAAGTTATGGCTGGTCAGGGTGTCCCGAGGCGTTACTCATAGGACGAGTCACCGCCCAAGCCAAGTCCAGGAACCCAAGCGAAGCAACCGGGGGATGCTTCTTCACCGGGCCGAATGATACATGGACTTGGCGACCCCTTCTTTCCTCAATCACAAGACGAGTTAGCCCCCTCGCCATGATTGACTATTTATTATGTGCATATACAATGAGCCGGTCTGTTTGACCCCCCAGAGCCTGCCGGCTCGTCGCTTTACTTAATTTGCATTTTCGGGCTATGCACCATTTGAACATAGGTAGCGTAGTATTCAGAAAGGGACGATGGACGAGTTGATGAGCCATTCATGGCTGTTGTGGAGGCAACTTGACGCTCAAGTTTTGGACGAGAGTGTGTTGCTGGAGCGTTTCTTGCTAGAGGTAGCGCCACTACAGTTTTTGACTTGTAGGTGGGTTTTTTTTACTGGCAAGGCACACGGAACGCGCACTTCAAAAAGGTGTTTGGCCAGGCGGATTATTTTGTGCCTGAGGGGCGTTACGTGGACTCGGAAACCAGGAGATGAATGTATTTGGTGTTTTGGTTTTATTTGCGACTTATTGAGTAGCAACGAAAAACGAAAAGCTGCTTAGTTTAAATAAGTCATGGTTCCTCTACGAAACACGATGAATACACATTGCATTGTTTTGAAACTTAGTTTACACCTGCGAACCTTTGTAAATGATGGGCGGTAGTAGCAAGGTGAAGAAACTGTGTAGTTTGCCATTGTGATATCTTCAAGATAGCTGGGCCTGTCTCAGACCCAGTCTCGGTATCAATAGAACAGTCGGTACTGAGTACCTTGGGGATATGTAGGTACTACCCGTAGGTAAGGGTTGGCATTGACGATATTTCCAGCGGGAGGAGTTCGAGGTGGGGCGGCAGCTAGGAATGACTCGAATAGGACTAGCGCTATATGAGTAAACCATCCCTCATGTAAACAAGGCGATGCGCTTAAACCAACACAACCCACGTCGCGAACCGCAAACCTCTAGATACAGAATCATCATCTTGTCAAACCATCACGAATTGCATTGCGGTAGTATTTGAGCGTTTTATTTCGCACTTTTAGCCATCGAAAACACGCATACCACGACGCGACGCGCCTCTGGGCCCTGCGCGACAGTTTCAGCGCCTCCACTACACCACGCACCGACGACTTCCCGTCATCACGACCCCGGGAATTTAGAATCGCAGTGCCAACGTTCCCGAATGCGCCACCCATGACGACCCTGGTGACGACTCAGCGGCCGCTTCAAGTTATTAGCATGAGCAGCGAGAACGGGCGACGGTTGAGCAAGCGCCTCGCTGGTAAGTGGATGGATGACGCTGTTGGAGGCATTCGAGAGGGACGACGCGCTGACGCTGGACCAGCATCTGCGGCGACAGATTATGAGCACGATGACGACTTCGCATTTGTGCGAAAAGCCAAGAGGCCCAAGACGGATAAGGCGGATGAACCAGAACCGGAGGTCAAGCCAGCGCCAGTGAAGAAAACTGCAAAGGGACGAACAACAAAACAACGCGCTGCTAAGGCACCAACGATAAATGGAACGATTGTGGAAGAGGAGTCTGTTGAGAATGAAACGATAGCAACGACGAAACCTACGACGAGGAAGAGCGGTAGACGAAAGGCGAGTGTGGACGCGTCAGAAGAACCAAAAACACAGGCCCCTAAAAAACAGCCGACTAGGAGGAGCACGCGCAGATCGGGGGAGAAATTGGAAGATGAAGGCCCTCAACCCGCTCCAGCGCCAGAGGCAGTATCAGCACCAGAGCCAGAGCCTGAACCCCAACCAGAAACAGCACCAGAAGAAGCACCAGTTCCCCGTGTCAATGGAGCATCTAAGAAACGTGGGAACCGCGCGAAATCCCTTGCTCGACCGCCTCCGGACTGGGACAAGTCACCTCCCCGTGCAGTACCTGTGGAATCGGCGACAATTGCTCTGCCTATGAGCGATACACCTATCATTAACAGAAACAAAGAGATGCGAAAGAAGGGCAACGGTAACAGACGGAGCAGCTTGGGCAACCGTGGACGACGAGCTAGCTCTTTGATCGAGAGCGGCCAAACAGCAATACCCCACCGAGAGGTCAATCCAGCAGAGTTTTATAAGCATATCGAGGCCGAAGGCTTGACAGAACCTCGACGCATGAAACAACTATTGACCTGGTGTGGAGAGCGCGCTCTAGCAGGGAAGCCTCGTCATGGCACACCAAATTCTAATGCCATTTTGGGTGGTAAGTTTTGACCCCGGATGATTTTCAACGTGCATGAGTACTAACTTCTACAGCTCGTGCCATTCAAGACCAGCTGCTGAAAGATTTTGCGGCTCGATCAGAATTTTCGGACTGGTTCAGTAGGGAAGATGATACACCTAAAGCCCCCGTGGTGTTGAAACCCAATCCGAGAAACATGGAGCTTGATGAAAAACTAGCCCAATTAGAAATCAACGTCAAAAGGTATGAAGGACGAGGTATGTCTAAGTAAGCACTGAACTAACTTTCTATCAGACTACAAGACGAAAAGAAGGCGTGGCAAGCAATACGAAAACCTCCACCAGAACAACCATCCCTCTTCTCCGAGGACGAGACTGGGCCTATCGTTTTGCCAGACTTCGATCTTCTGGACCCAGACGAAGGCAAGATCAGAGGGGTTTTGGCAGATGAGAAGGCATGCTTTAACACTGTTCGGTCGCAAACAGAATCAAGATTACGAACCATTCAATCGTCGCTCGAGTTCCAAGTTGATCAACTCGCCGACAACATCCACAAAATCGAGCAGCGGGTTCTGGTCGCAGGAAAGGAAGCGGATAAGGTTCTCAGTATCAGCGCTCTACGTCTTCGGCAGCGCGAGGAGCGGGAGAGAGCGAGTGCAGGGACAAAGGAAATGCCAGTGATTGAGGTTCTAAGAAGCCTAGGGAATATTCTACCGGAAGGAGGTGGGTGAAGGAGTAGAAGAATCTTGGACTTGGAACCAATGTGCTTGATACCCTGTGCTTTTTTGCTTTTCCTGTTTTATTCTTCGGCCTATGATATTGATGACGAGACGAGACATGATGCGCCTACTCACTCCATACCCGCTACTTTATTCCCAATTCACTTCTTTCTAGAGCAGGCAACTTGTTGTTCTGGATCTGTGCCACATTGGTGCTTCTGCGTTTCGTCAACCTTCGCAGAACTCACAAATCGATAATTCATGGATTTTACGGGCTGGTCAGGGTGTATGAGGAGTTCGGAGGGGAGTTGTACATGCAGACGATGGATAACAACAGGAGTAGCAGACCACAATCCGAATTCAAAATCAAATAAGCTCATCTTTATTCTCTTGGTGTATGTCCACCGCATCTTACAATACTCCCTCCGCCGTGCATGCTCTATCTTGAGATTCAGAATTCTAGGCCCCATGGCCCCCATGATAACATGATGTTACACGTATAGTACAATGACTCGTGTGGTTGTTACACAAAAACAAACATTTCTTGACATATTCTCTCCAAACATTTCAGATTTAGTTGTTGATGCCGGCGGGCTCAAGAGGAGGCATGAAACCCATACCACCACCCTCACCACCATCTACGCTTCGGCTTCGCACGTGAGCCCTCAACTTATCTAGGATCTCACTGTTCCTCCAGCGTGCGGGCACAGGCCTGTAGGCGGGCTTGAAGTTGCCCACCGTCTGCGCCCACTCTCCCGAGGGAGGCTGACGTGTGATCTGGTCGCTCTCGGGCTTCGCATCAATGTTGGTGGTAGATGGCGAGTCGGAAGACGAAGGGTTCGTGGATGAGAGCTCCTCCTTCTGCGTGGCCCAGTAGTAAATATCCCAATCGTTTTCGTCGAGGAAACGGTCGTACTGGTCGAGAAGCTCGGGGGACAGCGTGGGGAGGTGAGCAGCTGCGAAAGTGGAAAGCAGAAGATCGGATTCGAGAGTTCCGCGCTTTCGGGATTGGTCTGGGTTATGATATTAGCGATGGTTATAGTTGATCACGGGGAGGTTAACACATACAGACAAGACGAGCTCGTTTGGTGTTGTCATCCTCGCCGACTCGACGCAGAGGCTCAACCCTGAATTTGGCGCCCTGAAGCTCGCCGACCTCGAACTCTGAAGAGACGTTGTCGGATCGCAGCAGTGCTGTTGTGGAGAGGGGCCGAACGGGCATGGCGAGGAAGCGGCGGGCGGCTGCTGGGCGCAGAGTGCGCGAGATGAAAGAAGCCATGGCTATAACTGTATAGTTTGTATGTAGAGAGATTTAGTTATGTACTGAGAGCGCGGTTTCGAATTGGGATGGTTTAGTTGTTGAAATAGTGGCGAATAAGAGAATTAGACGCAGCCGTTGTCGTGGTCATTGACGTCGAGATTCAGAGCGAGACTTTGACAGCCGAGGCCGAATGATAATTTCGATGCCGGAGCGGGTGGGTCCGGGGACGCATCGCCATCCGACGCCGGCAGACGACTTATAAGTTACAGCTCCATCACCATATATCATTTTGAATAATTCTACGCTCATAGGGCTTACAGTTTGTGTACACTGGCGCCATCTTATTCGTAAGTTGTTGTCTTTTGTTTCACATATATAGAATGACCTTTCGTCGGCTACTGTTTAAGCCGACTTCTCAGCGGTGCGGTCAGGCAGCTCAGTCTTCTTCTCCTCGGGCTTCTTCTCAGCCGCCTCCTTCTTCTTATCCTCCTTGGGCTTAGGGTTTGGGTTTCCACCCCACTGCAGTCTCCTGGGCTTCATGTACGACTCAAGGACCTCGTCCGTGACGGCCTTTCTTCGCTCTTGGAAGGTCTGGACAACAGGCTGCAGAGCCTCAATTGCCAACTTCTTCAGCTCTCCAGTGAGCAGAGATCCGCTCTTGTAGTCGTCGTAAATCTTTTGGAGCTTCTCATCATCGTCCTCAAAGTATGTGAGATAGATATAGGCAACATCGACATCGGGGTTTCCTCCCTTCTCGCGATGCTCCTCAAGAGTTTCACGGCCTCCGCTGAAGGCAAACTTGTTAATCTTGTTCTATAGGAAATATGTGTTAGCCACTGATAGTTACTCCCGGTTCCTTTCGACGTACCTTGATCTGCTTGGCAGTATCGGTCATGAAGATGGCCGAGTTAGGGTTTGAAGACGACATCTTGCCACCAGCACCCTGGAGGGCAGTAAGGAACTTGGAGTGGATCAAAGCAGGCTTTGGTGAAGGGTTCTTCATGCGGTGGGCGTTGTCTCGAACGAGTCGGAAGTAAGGGTCCTGGTCGATACCCATGGGAATAAGGCACTGGATCTTGCCCAGTTGCTTCGTTCGAACGGCTGAGGGCTCATCGGACCAAATCTCTGGGTAAGATGTAGCGAAAGCAGCGACACACTGTACTGAAGGGAAGAAAATCTTGCCGATGTTGGAGCTGTGCGAGGTTAGTACTGCAGCAAGTCTTGCAGTAGTGCGGCTTACCTCTCATTGAAACCGAAGGCTCCACGAACCTGGTTGAAAGTAACAAGCTTGGAAAACTCCCAGGCGTTCATGAGAAAATGTCCACTCAAGTACTTGAGATCGCTGTACAGGAAGGTCTTCTTAACATCAAAACCAAGCGCAATGATGTCTCGGGCATTCTCCATTGCATATGCCAGCGTCTCCTCGAACGTCAGGTTGTCCTTGAACAGCGCCTTCTCATCGTCCGTCAACATGAAAACCAAGGGCACATCGAAGACATCCTGCAGCCACTTCGTAAATTCCAGTGGGATCGTGTGGCCAAGGTGAAGACTGCCAGTGCTGGGACCGCGACCGGTGTAGAGGAAGAAGGGCTCGCCGTGCTCGTACTTGGTGAGGATCTTGTCGAAGTCGCGATGGCTGAAGAAGAGGCCGCGTCGGAGCCAGCGATGGGGCTTCTTGCCCGTCACCTTCTCAAATCGCTCGAGAAGCTCATGGTCGATCTTTGAGGTCTTCCACTTTCTGTATATATTTTGTCAGTTTCGAGCTTCAAGTCTGGTACGTTTCCTAGTTTCGAAAGGTGGCGCTCACTGGCAAATGGCATCGTAGTCAATCGCAGCGACTTCACCATTCTCGCCCTGAGCTCCCTCGACGGACCAGGGGTTGATGTCCTGGTCCTGAACAGCAGTCTTGGGAGGGTTAAGGTCCGCCATGATTCAATCTCAACCGTGTTTGGCTCTGTTTGGGTGAAATTAGGGAGCGAACTTCTTTGTTCAGACCAGGTATCGCGGGGTCTTTTAAGGGTCAGTCAGTCAGTACCTACTAATGGAGGGGCAGCACCTTCCCAAGTTGATTTGAGTCACAGTCACAGATGGAATAAGAACAGCGCACCAATCAGAGCTGCCTTTCAAGCCACATCCACCACAGTACACGCCACATCCCGACCTCTCTGGATGTCAAGAGTCGCGTGTACTCAACTGTCGAGACTTGATATATACGGACGTAAAATTATTGTTCTTTCATGACTTTTGTTACACTAAGCTCTTCCAAAAAAGGACCACAGATCTAACAAGGTCCAAGCCTTGCATCCCAATTCCCATCATATATGCCACGAATTCCAACGCCAGCATGTCCGGAACCTCAATCCACTTACACAGCCAGACCCTAGCAGAGACCAACGGCTATGCAGCACCAAGACCTCATTGTGATCTCCAGACAGGACGTCCGACTCCTTTTGACTCCAGTGAGCTCCTCCGTAGACAACACGCGCACGCAACAATACTCTTTTAGATAAGATGCTTGGATCGGAAGTAGGCACGGAGGTACATGATCTGCCAGCCCCAGAGACCAATAAGGAGCCAGGTTGTAGCGATACCAAACCACTTGACACGGTTGTTGGTGCTCTCGTTGGTGTCTCGGAGCTTCTGTTCTCGGGAGCGGAGGTACTCCATCTCGGTCACGAGCTCGCTGGTGATCTCCTCGATACGGCGGAGCTCGGCTTCGACGGGCTTGAGCTTCTCAGTCGCCTGGATGGCAGACCAATCCTTGGCGTCGGCGCCAATGTCAATGTCGAGCTCGATGTGGCGGGTAGGGTTGTTGACTCGGTGTGCTAAAGAACTGTCAGTATCTCGAGTCGATGGATATAAGCAAAACATGTGATGCTGTAACATTAAACATGATTCGGTCAGGAACTATCACGTACAGCCAGTAACAATGTTCTCGAAGCAGACATCAAAGGCAGCGTCGGCGTGAGAGGTAAAGACGGTCCTTGACTCTCCGACAACATCCCTGGGGCGACCGTACTCATTGCCAACGGCATCGCGAATCTGCAAAGTCATGTTAGCCACTTCCTTTCCAATCCATGTGAATCTGTCCTCAATGCGGCGCAACATACGTATAGGTTCACCACCATGCCATCTCCCTTGTTACCATCGACGGTCGCTGTCACCACCACGAGTGTGTCCTTTCCGACAAAGTTGCGTACACAGCGCTCCTTTTTGTGGCTCTCGGCTTGTGCGATCAGGTCGAACTTGAGAGCGCTGGCGGCGCTGACAAGCAGCAGAAGACTGCAGACATACTGCAGCAATGATTTTTGAAGAGCCATTGTCGTGGTCGAGCGCTGTGATGTAGGAAATTGGTCTCCCTCTCCGGTTTATCGTAACGTATCGTATCGTTTCGTATAATGGCACTAGGTTGGAGAGGAGAGGCTACGTAGGATAGTTCCGGCACAGATAGTTAGACAAGGGGTATCTACGGAGTAAACTGAAAGGTGTCCCAGTTGAGCTGTGCCCCACACGCGGGAGAGGAAGCCCCTAAGCCTCCTTTATGACCAATGGCGTGAGGTCTTGGCGCTGGCCTTGTCGCCGCCATCACGTGTGGGTCCAGCCTCGTCAACTTCAGGACTTTCGCGCCTGAGCATCACAGTCCAAACATAACCCGACACTATAACCCATTGATTATCGAAACGGCGGCGATCGCGTAACTTCTTTCAATATGCCCAAGTGTAAGTCTACTTCCTGTCCAGCTACCGAACATCCGACAGCCCTTGCTAACTCGAATCGCAGTCTTCTGTAAGCTCCCTGTCCATTGCGCGCGAACCGACAAAGACCCCTCCGACTGACCTCTTGTTTCCAGGCGACTACTGCGATGTCTACCTCACGCACGATTCTATGAGCGTGCGCAAGGCTCACAATAGCGGTCGAAACCATTTGCGAAATGTAGTCGACTATTACCAGCGTGCGTAACTCCCTAGGCCCCTCATGCGACTTCGCGACTAATAGCCATTCTAGAGATTGGTCATGAGAAGGCCCAATCCGTCATCGACTCCATCACTTCCTCTTACGCCGCTGAGGGACAGGCCCATGCGAACCCTATGCTACCTCAAAACCAGCCTGGACAAGGCTTTCCCCCGCCTCCCTTCGGCTTCCCGGGTGGTAAGTACCAAGATATCGTTATTGTTTGAAGATAGAAGCTAATCCTTCCCAGGCATGCCTCCTCCGTTTCCTGGGATGCCAGGCGCGCCCCCTGGACAATTTCCTCAAGGACTTCCTCGTAAGTTCCTCCCGCGTTCTTCTCGGATGAGAACATCTCTAACATCAAATAGCACCTCCTGGTGGCGGTCGAGGCATGCCTCCCATGCCATTCCCCGGACCCAATGGCATGCCTCCTAACGGTCTTCCGTTCCCTCCTCCAGGTGGCTTCCCTTTCCCACCGCCTGGTGCTCCCGGTGCTCCTGGCGCCGTAGGTGGTATCCCTCCTCCTTTCCCTGGTATGCCTGGTATGCCTCCACCTGGACAAGGCTTTCCACCCGGTGGTATGCCGCCGCCTGGTTTTGCTCCTCCAGGAACAGGCACCCCCGGGCATGAGAAGCGATGAGTGTCATACCTGGTGACAAGGACGGGTTTGGGGCTGATTTTACCCATAGCATTGTTGGCGAATTAGGCGTTAAGGCAAGACCTGGGAAAAGGGAGAGTATCACCAACTTTGGATACTGCGAGGTTAGATTTTAAGCATTCACGACACATCATGCATCAGATACTTGTATAGCAGGCAACACAGCTATATACCTGATGTATTCCTTGCATGGAGAAGATTGATTGGTATGTTTATATATGTATATGGTTGGTGGGTTGGTTGGTCATCTTACATGAAGAGTCACTCCTGTCAAGTAGCAACGTGAAATTATCCTCCAAATAGCAAAACCCCAAATAGCAAATCGTAAGCAATATCGTTTTCATAACCCTCCGTCAGTCGTAAAGCGTAAGTCGTCTCAATCATGAACCTTTTGTTTTAATGTCTTCTGTGGCCGATAGCAATGATCGTTCAACTCTCCTAGCCACACCATCAACAACATCTGCGCCATAAACCCAAGTCAATAGCTCAACGAGACGTTTCGTTGGCTTCGTGGTGACCACGAGTTGAACTTCGAATCACATCTCCTACCCCATCACGCACTTCCTTTGGTCCGCTGATCTTCTGGCGGAGCTCCTGCGACCGCTTCTCGCGCCTCCTCTCGCTGAATTTGCGTGGGAGATTTTGTAGCTCCTCCAGTTTACTTCCAAGGGAGAGCCTTCTCTTCTCTTTGATAGCTCGCCTCTGCATACTATTAGCACGCCAAAATGATTTCTTCACCTCGCCATCCGCAGAATGTGGTCTTTCGTCGTCGTTGTAGCTTTGTCGTAGAGATCCAAAACTCGAGCGATGCTTCATGACCCGAAGATTACCGCTAGGGGTTCTTCCAATGGTGCGGCGCTCAGTGGTGGGCCAGTCATAGCTAGTATAGGAAGAATCATCACGAGACGGAAGGACAGCAAACGTGCGCTTCATCCTAGAACTGAAACTCCTCTGAGGCGCCACAGGTCGATTGTCGACTGGAGGATATTGGTAAACCTCATCCGCTGAATCTTCCCGCCAATGTATATCGCAGTTGTCGTCACAATCCCCATCACATTCGTCAAAATCCTCGCTCGACCACTGAGGGCGCCAAAAAGGATGCAGCTTGTCTTCCTCCACGGGACTATCGTCGGGACTAGGGTATGCCGGTTCACGCTCCATGCTTGGCATGCCTTTAATCCGACCAGTTCGCGAAAGGGACAAAGTTCGCGAGAAAAAGCTTGAAGGTCTTCGTTCTGGTGGTATATAGTCCACTGAATAGCGTCGTGTACGGTTGAAAGCACGGCGTACTATGGAAGGTCGACGCGGAGGCTTCTCATTTGTCGCTTCGAAATAGTTACCCATTAGTGCCATCTTCTCATGAGCTGGAGTCGTTCCTGACGGCGTCGCAGGTATGAAATTAATGGCTGGGGGGTGGCTAGGGGGCTCAGGAGGCGCCCGAGGATTCCGAAGCGGAGAATCAACATCATCAATCGAAAAATTTGGCTGAGGGGGTGTGGCAGGGATTTCTCCCGTTGAATCGGTCGGCATCGGCACATCTAAATCTTCTTCTGACTCTGCTTGGGTCTGATCCGGTGAATCGGAAGGCTTCGCAGAATGATCAACCATCAACAGAGATGAATTCTGGTGTGGGTACATCTGGATTGCGAGAGCTTCCGAAACCACAGGATTGGTCGCATTTGTCTCGACGGAAGCCAGCGAAAATGGAGTGTTTTGCGAGCCGTATCCTTTAGGGTTGAGAAAATCGTCGTGAGGTTCAGCGCTAAACCGGCGATGACTGTCAGAAGCAGTAGAAGGCGCCTGCCTCGCATGTGCATCTTCTGATAAGAGAATATCAGGCACTTTAGGTTCGTCTTTCTTTTTGTTGAGGTATTCCTGCAAAGCATTATGGAGCTTCATACTCTCGGCTGTCAAAGAACTGGCCCTTGAACCATTTCGGCTGGTAGGGGCTGATAGAGAGGACGACCGAGCCGGCACAATAGGTGGATAGTCCATAGTTCTCTCGTCGGAGCTTTCAGATGTTGAGTAAGATCGACCTCGATACTGACGTCGCACAATAGGTGGCTCATCCTTTGTAGAGGATTTGTCATTCAGTGTAGGGCTGACGCTGGTAGCGGTGCGGCTCGATCGTCGGCTAGAATGCGACCTTAAAGAAGGCTCCCTGCTCGACTTGGTTTTGTGAGAGGACAGCCGATCCGGCACAACAACTACGGGTATGCCGCCTGCCTTCCAAACCTCACGTCGGGCTCTACCGCTTGAGATAGAATTAACTGTCGCGTTTGAGTGCTGACTCTCAGACTTCGGAGGGCTTTCGCGTGTTCGAGTGCGGGAGTCATTGTGCGATCTGTCAGATTTTAGAGAGTCTGTTGTCGACGATGATGACACATTGACTGGATCTCTGAGAATAGTGTGTTTTCGCGCATTGTGCGATCTGTCAGATCTCAAAGAGTCTGTTGTAGATGATGATGACGCATTAATTGGATCTCTAAGAATCGTGTGTTTCCGCACATGGCGCAAAGTCCTTTGTCTTTTGGGAGTTGTGTCCAAAAGATAGGCCTCCACAACAGTTGAGACAGTGGATTTAGTAGAGATGATCGACAACCTGCGTGGGTCGGAACTTGTGACAGTACTCGGTGAGGTGGACAAAGGAATCTCGCGATTCAAAGTGCCTCTCATGGATAGAGCTTCAGTTCTCGGATGTACAGCCATGCCCCGCACGGCCTTAGTTGCTTGTGTCGGTGTGATCATGTTGGGCTCAACAACCTTCGTTCTGGTTGGAGTTAAACGTGAAAATTCTGGCGGCTCGGGTCGCTTTCTGACAGTCACCAGTCGTTGCAGATTGTGGTCCCATTCCTGCTCAACCTCACTCACGGAGCCCCAGTCGCTTTCGTTGTGACCCCAATCTCCTCCCACCGACTTGGAAGCACTGCTACTTTCTGAGCGAGATGCCAAATTACCCAAAGCTAAGCCCAGGCTCTCGGGTTTGAAATTTCGGGCACTTGTGTCAGAAACTTGGCGCACAGCAGATCGCGCCTTTTTATTGACTAAAGGTTTGTCTTCATCCTCGGATGATAAAGGCTCTTCTCGTGCAGTTGTAAAAGATGCAGACTGAGATTCACCGGTGGTAGTGCTTGATCCAGCACGATCTCTCAAAACAGGTCTTAATAATTGCGGGCGGCTTGTGGAATGAGGCGGCGTCACATCGGGTGTCGGCGGACTCTTCTGATTAGGAGGCGTCGTGGGTGGACGTAAATGCGACGGCTGGGGAGTTCGTAACGCGACATCGGTCGCAGCTGGACTGATGGTCTTTCCGGAAGAGTTATCCGAAGGCTGGCGTGAATGTCTCGGCGGAGTTGGTGGTAAATCTGGACCACTACTTATCCTTCGCGGTTGATGCTTAAGGGTTCGTGGACTTGACGGCTGGTTGCCATTACCAGAACGGGAAGTATCGATGGCCGAAACGTTTCTAGCCAAAGGACTTGCCACTCGAATTGGCAGTCCAGACTTTCTTTCGGAGTGAGGTCGTGGAAGTACTTTATGTTTTTTGAATTGCAACTGACCAGTTGGGCTGGTCTCGAAGGCTGACTTAGGAGAATGATCGGAAGGTAGTGCCATCATGACTGGCGAAGGAATAGAGTGTGCAGTTGAGAGCATGACTTCTATTCATTAAAGACTTTTAAAACTTTTGCTTCGCGACAACGATGTTGGTATGGTATGATGTTGGCATGCTGGCAGCTTATCGGACGGGAAGCAGGGTTTTTGGGAACAGTTGCGGAACACAGCAGGAACAGGTTAGACGGTGACCCGAGACATGCAAGCAAATAGGCGACGCGCTTGAAGAGTGATGACAGGTCTCAACCAGAAGGCAACAGTTGGACGCGGCTACGGACGTGAACCGGCACGTCGAACACAATCGCAAACTTGGATCAGAGAGTTGCGTCAAGTGTCGAACGCGACAGTCGTAATCGCATGCTGAGATCAGATCGAGATGAGCGCAGAGAAATCCGAGTTGCACTCGCGTCAAAGTCGATACATAAACGACAAGCAATGTCGGGTTTCAGTTTACTACTGCTGGAACTCCCAAGGGCGGCGAGCCTGGCATGGAAGTATGGACAAAGAAGTGAGGTGAGGTGAGATGACGGGAGAGAGATGAGATGGAGAGAGACTAATTGAGGAATAGAGTAGAGTAGATGACGGGACAGTGGATGAACCCGGCCATGGAAGCCCAGAAGAAGCAAGTGCCGCCAAGGGTCGAAAGTGGAAGGGTTGGACTGGAGGGGGTGGGCAGGTGCGGGACACGCTAAAAGGCTGGAAGGGGGCGATTTCCAGCAGCCCTCAGTGGTCTTTTGGACTTGTTCAGTGGCCCCCCACTGGTGCATTTCACGAGCTGCACTGCTGCAGTGGCCCAGCGGGCCGGGCCAAACAGGCGAGTTTCCTAGGTAGGCTCTTTCCACTGAGGTCGAGGTCGAGTCCGGGCAGTGCAGGAGTGAGTCGAGTCCTTAGAGTCCTTCCATTCCCAGTGGGGTCATTGGCAGTTTGGCACTGGACCACTGACGCAACCTCGAGCCAAAGCCCAGCCACTTTGTTTGAGTCTGCCATTCTTTGTGTTTGAGTGCTAAATCAGGACCTGTTATCTGCATGTCTCTTCTCATGCGCTTGGAATGTCATGCAGTAACGGACGAATATAATAGTCGTATTGCCGTGGCACAAAGGAAGAGTCTTATGCGGGGGCAATCGAACAAGCAGATACTATTTTGCCATGACAGTCGCAAGGGCGCTTCCGCATGCGCAAGGGATACATACGGTCCTTTGTTCACAACTTCGAACTTGGAGAAAGCTGGGTTGTGCCCGTTATGAGGTTTCTATTGGGCAGAGCCAAACGTCTCAGTTGGAGCTAGAACTCAGGGCGTTTCCTCATACTGTGAGACAGTGCGATGAGTCGAATGGCTGGATGGGCAAACGCAAAGAACGAGATGCTTCAACTTGTGGATACGATATGCAGCACTGGATTTGGAGGCCAGACTGGTTGACATCGGAGTGGGAACCCTGGTTTTCTGCTGTCTCTTTGCATTTAAACCTTCAATGCCGAGAGAGAAGGGGAAATGCAAGGATCATATCATAGCCTGGCTTGGAGCGCAGAAAGAATAAACATAATGCCCCGCTTCTGATGATTTGCGCGGCGGTGATGTAAGACGTAGCACCAATGGAAGTTGCCTAGATCAATGGCTAGCTGAATGGTTCTGTAGAGGCGCTCTTTAGCAGTACCGATCCCATTGAATCGCTTCAATCCCCGACATTCATTTGTTTGTTCTCAACTCCCTCCCTATCTTCTCTTCTATTCATTCTTTCCACTGTGACGCTTAAATAGCAGCCCCCATATGGCACTTATGGTGCTTCACATAACACCACCACCAAGTTTTCTATGTCTTGGTGACGAATCCGCCGTCTTGGAGGCGTAACCCTACCGACTTTAGAGCATGGCCACTAGGACAAAAGAGAACAAAATGGCAACCTTGGACTTCTGCAAGCCTGCCTGCCAGCATGAGTGGTGTCTTTGAGCAGCCAGTCAAGACTCAAGGCACCTCTCCCACTCGCTTCGCCCACAGCCCTTACCTCCCTCTTTTTACCTACCTCTGCATGCTCGTGAACCAGGCCATAACCATTCGTTGCAAGTCGTGCAAAGCGGAGCGAATGTCGGGCATGTTTTTCCATCAGGTCTTATCAAGACTGGCGGGATAGGCAGGTGAATCGACCGATATCAATTGACTGCAGCTAACTAGTATAGATCGATAGCAGCTAGTCACATTGCCCTTGCATTCTCCTACATGTTACGCCCTGTCGCCAATTCGTAGTCGAGCCGCCTGCCAATTGTCGAGAACAAATAATCATGAATGTGCTCTTTAGGGGTACTGACCCTAACAGCCAGTTACAAATACGGTGTAAGACATCATGTATGCAACGGCCTCACGTCTCAGATTCAGCCCTGCAGGCGGACGCCCGACTCGTTGATTAGCCCATCATTGTTCGAGATTATGATGTGTATGTTATCACGGGGACTGTTTCACGAGCACTTGGCTGTCCCTGAGACCCTGCGTCTTCGGGTTCTATTTTCTCTATTGCGGCAACTGCTTACACACTTTCTTAACATGAGGTCCTCGTGAGTTTTGATAGACAACACACGCTTGTTGATAAGCTAGAATAACATTATATCATTAACAAAGTTACATAATACTATAATATTTCCGAAGTGCAATGTTGACAACACTATGCCAGGACAATTGGCTTATATTCACACTTCTGCTAGCTACAACCACGTTGGCAATCACGCTACCCTATAGCCAGCATAAGATGGCAGAGTACCTGCCAACCAACAGTTCACTTGCATAGCATATGTTCGAAGTAACACGTAAATTTACTTACATCTGACTACAAACTCGGAATTACCGCCCCGTCAAGTCTTGATTCAAGATCTTCGCTGTTGTCGATCTTTCTCAACATGATATTCGTTGCACCCAACAACACACCGCAAGACGAAATCACCACTCGACTAGCAAGCGAGAACAACCTTGCCCTGTCTAGTAGGAATCATCCATACCATACCAAACCATACCATACCACATAAACCAGTCAGATAACGACTCAACTAGTTACCGAGCGAAACAACATCTCCTGTAAAATGAGACTGACACCATTGTCTACCGGTGAAGGGCGATAGTCCAACAACACGACGCAGGGACGTTCCGTCTCTCCTTGGGTTTGGTAGGAAGTAGAAGACTTGTGCAATGTAAGACGACATATAGATACAAACTTTGTCATTCTGAGTACCTATCTACTCCGTTAGTACCTACCTACACAGGGGCGCATGCTTCTGTATCACAAAGGGGTGAGCCGCCTTATCTAATCAGATCTACGGAACACAGATCGATTAACTAGAAGACGATTTTAACCATGTGATCCTCATGCTTGCCTCACCTGTCACGTGCTGGACGAAGGATAACCATTTGCTACAACAAAGTTGTTGTCCAAACAACAACGATGTCACACCGATGCCTGACTCAAAATTTCAGACGAAAAGCACAAACTGACCCAGATGATAACAACCTTGTTTTCCAGCTCTCAGGCCATCCCACTAATACTCGGAAGGCTCGAGCGTCACGGCATGACGCCGACAGGGTTATCAATTTGATAAACTCCACCCATGGTCCAGTTTGTACAAAGCCGAACAGGGGAGCAAGGGTAGCTCGATAAGCTTAGAGTGCGAACAGGACATGCAAAGTCATTCAACAGTCACAAAGTCCCCGCAACGAGGAACACAGTGAAAAGTCGGATCCCGCAAGATCCCAAGACTCAAAAGGTGACTCCTACAGTGGTCATTTGCCCAATCCACCATTCTGGTTCGAGAAAATGGGCCCATTGTCTCGAGATTGAAGGTGAGTCGTCATTCAGCCTGATCTTGATGCGATGGGACCGACCTGGTAGACTATGCGGGGGATAAGGTGCAATGGATGGCCACGCCCACAAAGATACGAGCCGCTGTCGATTTCGTATGGTAGCCTTGTTAATTCCCTCAAGTTGGGTATCTTCCCTTGTCTAGACTCTTGACCAGCGGCGACCAGCCCTGACAGTACCCGCAGAATGTCTGACTGGCCGATGTTACCTGGACGAGGGCTACTACTGCCTACTCCTACAGCGTAGGAAGTGAACGAGTCATCATTGTGTGGCGCTTGTGGATAAGCTGATGTAAAGTTCACATCCAGGGACGGATTTCTCCATGAAGTGATTCCTCACAGAAATAGAAGTGAAAGTCGCGAATGCGAACGGAGGTATTCACGTTATATTTATCAACGTCGCCGGCCCGCATCGCTGGAAGCTTACTGGCTGAAGAAGCCCGACGCAAGCTCTGAGGCTGAGCACCGTAGGGGCCGATGAGGCTGTGGCTATCGTACTAGGGCAAGCCACAAAGCCCTATGTCGTAGGTCCCGACGGGTGACGGACGGGTGGCCGCTGGTAGTAAAGTTGTGACGGCGTGAACCTGGCAACGTTACCACGAGAGAATTTCACCAACTGATTGCTGAAGGGAGGGAGGGAGCTTCTCGATTGCCCCCCACCCTGTAACTTTCCGAGCCAGTGATAGTCGTCTAGCGTCTAAAGATACTGCGAGCAAAGAATGGGTGTCGTCGATACGAAGCAGCAAACATATGTCGAATTGATCGGCGAATGGCGATTGCACATCTGGCCGCACCTTGCAGAAGAAAGGCACAGACTGGAACAGATAGGTCTCTTAGTAAGGTCACTTGCTACCTGAGTCACCCAGCAGGTTAACACAAATCCTGTTCCGTTATCATGCAAAATCAGAAGCTGAGAGGTCTCCAGACCCCAGACTCCAGACTCCAGACTCCAGCCTCCAGCTGCCCATCACTCGATACCCAGGGTCATCCATGGCGATCTATTTGGAGAAACCGAGGTTCTAAACTTGGATTCGAGCACGAGATTCGGATATTTTACTTGGAATGAAGTCATCGGGGACCGGAGGCCGTTGAAACGTTTCCAGCTATTTCGGTCGTTTCCTACCAGCGATCCGGGGATCTGGTTTTTGAGGCTCAGAGTGCGAGCGTGGCTTGCCAGGCCGGCAACCCCGGCGATGGGCACAGGGCACAAGGCGGACCACTAGCACGGACGGAAGAACGCCATATTCCAAGAATAGCCCCTGTCAACCTTCTGGCAGCCATGAGCCTTACACCACTGGGCAACTCGAGCCCGACGTTACGTCTGCCACTGTCAACTGGGTAGGTTAAGCTTTTCCACGAGATCGAATCGTTGCATGATGGCATGGCCACATATGCGTATAGGGTTCTGATGCTCTGATCCATCCCGAGGGCTGCTCCAGCCGCGCACGAATTCTCTCGCAGGGGCACGATGCCAAGCTTTGAGATCATTACGGCATTGCTGAGGTGATGATCAATGGAGAGAAATTTTCTCAATTGTACAGCTCGGCCGACTCGGTCAGCCTAAGAGCTAACACCGTGGGTCCTGCGTGCAGATATTTGCTCTAGGCTCTGCTAGGTGCAGTTGTGGGCATGGCATGGCCCGCTGCACGTTGACGATAACAACAAGCCTGGCCGCCAAGCACAGCAACATGGCTCTTTTTGGTGAGCTTTCCTATTTGGGACATGGGGGGAGTGCCGTGAGTGGCTGTCAGCAATACGGCGATCCAGGGTATTGGCACCAGGCCACCCACACCTCGTATCCATATCGCCATTTTCAACAGCCACTTCGCCATGAGCTTATCAGCCCTGTCGACTAGCCGGCCGCCATTGGCTTGGAATAGAATCGAACTGACGAAGAACTAGACGGCTCCGCTCTATCTCGCTTACCACCCAACAAATTGGGCCACCAGGTCGATGAGATTGAGATATAAGAAATGCTCTGCCTCGTCTCCAGCCCTTTCTCTCATCATCTTATACACCATTGTCTTTCGTTCAAAGATTAGCTCTGTCGATCAACTTACATTGATAAAGTACATTCGTTAATACTTCACAAACACCAAACCCAAACAATCACTATGAGGACTTCAGGTATCATCATCGCTGCTGCGGCCGCTGTTGCCAACGCTCACTACGACGACGTAAGTTTTTACCAACACTGCTGGTTTCTCACTCATACTAACTTACATGACTTAGCCTGTTGTCTACGGCACCCCTTCTGCTCAGACAAGCACTCACGTTGGCTTCTCTACTGTCTACACTCACCCTGGCAACGCTACCAAGCCTACTGAGTACACCACCAGCACTGTTTACAGCACCAAGACATACACCATCACTCAGTGCCCTCCTACCGTTGTCAACTGCCCCGTTGGTCACGTCACCACCGAGACCATCGCCGTTTCCACAACTGTCTGCCCTGTCACTGTCCACACTGAGCCTGCTCACCACGAGCCCAGCCAGCCTAATGTGCCTGTCTACCCTCATCCTACTGAGCCCAGCAAGCCTCACAAGCCTGAGCCTACTCACCCCGGTCAGGGTGTTATCACCAAGACTCAGACCTACGCCTACCCTCACCCTACCAACCCTGGCCAGAGCGTGACCAAGACCATCACTTACACCGTTCCCGTCGACCACGGCCACAATGCCACTGCTGTCAACCCTCCTCCTAACACCCACTACCCAGTCCCTACTGGCGGTGCTCATGTCTACCCTAACGGAACTGCCCCTGGCCACCCTGGTAACCACGGTGGAAACACTCCTCAGGGCGAGCAGAGCGGCAACGATGATGGCACTGACAGCGGCAACGAGGGTAGCCACAGCGAAGGCAGCCACACCGGCAGCAGCAGCGGCAGCAGCGGCTCAAACTCCGAGGAGGACCATGAGCCTGCCAGCTCCGATGTTCCCGTCCCTGTCCAGGCTTCCGGCGCCGCTATGAACGCCGTCACTGGCCTCCTCGCCATCGCTGGTTTCGCCGCTGCCTACCTCCTCTAAGCTGAACACTTCTCGGTCTATTGACTACACTACACAATTTTTCCAAACCTTCTTACGATCCTTACACGATGCATGAAAAGCATAACATATTGGCATGATTTGATTATTATTTGTTTGCGAAAGCGAACGGCGTTTATAAAGGGGGTTTATATTTCCGCTCAGGGTGACTGGACCGAGCGATGACGGGATGGGATGCATTATATGAGATCCGGACGCGTACTTATGCACACGACTTATATACTAATTTCTACATTTAATTCTACCTAGCGACCATTCATTTAGACTAGACTTTTGATTCACATTATACCCCCAAAAGGGTGCACTTTTTCAAAATATAGACGGTTGCTTTTTAAAAAGTTTAGATCATTTTTATTCATATCTCTATTGATCTATCTATCATCCACCCATTCTCCAATATGACAAAGTTACTCCAAATTCTATCAAGTGCCAAGCAAGTTACTATCCCTACGCCATACCCCAAGTCCCAAATGCTAACGTTAGAATAACACATGTTAACACATCAGCCAAAACACCCCTCAACGTCCTGCCTTGCCACATAATGCATTGGAAAGCCAAGCCTGGGCAACATCCTGCTCCTCCTCACACTCATTGACATAGCTCAAATATAGTGCATATCGAAACAAAGCTTCCCTCAGCTGGTCTTCACTTATATCTCTCCCTACTGCATTCTGCCACGTACAAACATCCAATGTCTCCCCATGTGCAGCTCTTTCTGCAGCCCATGAAGTCCCATGTAAGCCAACCCATAACGCCATTAGGAATGACTCGTCAACAGGTAGTTTCTGGGGTACGCTGCATCTTGGCGACCATATCGATGAGCGTCGAAGGCGCACCTGAGGGTCTCGCGCGATGGTCAGGACAGTATTTTGGGCAAATGCAGGGTCGAGAAATGAATTGAGGACTTCAAAGGTGCGTTTTGACAAGATGGCGTTGAAGGCTCGGGATGTGAGGCGGGCTTGTTTGCTGGCTGATGATGGGATGTTGTCTAGGATCTGGATAAGGATTTCTGCGGGGAGTGTATCCATTGTGCCTGGATTTATGCTTTGTACTTGTGCTTGCTTGTACTTGTGCTTGCTTGTCCCTGTAGCTTGCTGTGGATATCAAGTTGACTGTGGTTACTATTTGAAGCCAGAAGGAATATCGCCGAGTACGAGAAATGAGAAACGAGTGAGAAAACATAAGCAGCGATTACTACGAAAAGGTTCACGATATATATCTGACTTGCCACCTCCCTATTCTTGAACAATCTCCCGAAGCTGATGTCTTGTCTCTCCTGCAAACCCCTAGACCATACAGGTTCTCATGTAAGACAAGCCAACAACAGATACGTAGCCAACGATCAACCGTAGATCCACAGATCTAGTCAGATGAGAAGGCCTCGATTGGCCAAAAGGTTAAAAATCACCCTTGCTCGCTCTCTTTCGCAGAATCGCTCGTAAGGTCGCTCGTAAGGGCCGCCAGTGACCGTAAGCCTTGGCTGTCTGCCAAACTGACTGTGCTTTTAGCCTCACAGAGACCATCGCAAGAGGGCGTGAGACCTCATTGGTGGTAGTTGGACTTTGTAAGATATGGCAGTTGGGGTGGGGAATACGTTATGAGATGCTCATGTAAGAAATTGATATCAAATTACTTTTTTAATTTAATTAAGTTCATCAGGTCTTGGATTGACCAAACTAGTGAGAAATACTTTCACTCTGCTGTCTCCTCCTGCCACCACTCTTTCATCAGTCGTAACCTCTCCGTCCTCTCCCGAGCCATTCTCCTCCCCTCATCCGTCTTCATCATGCCCTCAAGCAACAGTAGCTTATCGTCAAAATGTTCCATAGTATTCTCCAATGTCCGGCTCTTAGCACCCCCAAACGCAAACGTCCTTGCGATCCCCACCGCGCCGATGGCGTCCAGCCGGTCGGCGTCCTGCACGATGGCCAGCTCCGGATATGTCTCCACTAGAGCCCGCGTGCGCGCTGGGTCCTTCACTTCGGCGGAGTAGCTGACGCCGAGGCAGATGGCCTGGACGATGTCGGCGAGGGCCTGCGGTGCGCCGAAAGAGACGAGCACCGAGGATACCATGCGGGATGGGTCCTCGCCGGGACGGAGGTACTTCTTGTCGCCGACGTCGTGGAGTAGTGCGGCCAGTGTGACCAGCGACCGACGTGCTGAAGGTGTGTGGGATTGAATGTGGTGAGAGAGGCGGAGGACTCGCTTGATGTGGTTGAAGTCGTGAGATGCGTCATAGTTGGACATGTACTGCTCAACGTAGGATGTCACCTTGCCGATGAGGGCATCGTCAACCGGATAGTCGTCCGTGGTCATTGTGTGATGAAGTCTTTGTGTAAGAGATGTTTTCGAGCGAGGATGGTAAGTTTGGCGGTACGAGTGAGTCAAGGCCTTTGTCCAGATATGTCTCATGACAAGACGAACTTCACTTTGATGGATATCTTTTTGTAAGTGACGGTGAAGGTTGAAAACAAGACACTAAGATATGATAACGTGAAGATTCAAATCAGGACCAAGATGTGGGTCTGTAACCAAGAGCTCTGCGACGATTGAGTTGAGCGTTACAGGTAAAAATGTAAGGATTATGTTTTGGTAAAATAAAATAAAAAGTGAAGCTTTGGAAGGCAATGGCTGAGTATATTTGATTGGTCTATTGGAATTGAGACGCGATGGAGCATCACGTTGAATGGAGGCATGTAGTAACACGACGGGTACCCACGTGACAGGCACTAATTTCTCTACCACTCCATAGGCCTTGCAGTTCAGTAGTTCAGTAGTTCAGTAGTTCAGTAGTTCAGTAGTTCAGTAGTTGGGCAGTTGAGATATGAGACTGTTATGATAAGACTCAAATCTAATCATCAGAACATGTTTCTTGCTGAGGGAGGATAAGTGAGGAGTTGAACTATCTTGCCGTCTTTCACCTAAAGCTGTACACTCCTACGTGCTAAGATACTTACCTATTTGTGGTATTGCATTGTAAAAGGATTTGATTTACGTAGAAGAAATATCAGTCTCTTCAAAAAACATTTGTGAGTATTGTTAACTTACACATTGCCACAAGCTCACGAAACATATCAAGTCTGGTGCAAGGTTACATGCTTGTCAAGAGATCACCACAGGACAGGCAACATGACAGTTGCATTACCCCACTGAAACATGAATCAGAGTTCCAATAATAGATACTCTCAGTTTCTGTCATAGATCGTCGCATCTAGGCAATCCTGATCGTGCCTAAAACCATCTATGTTTACCTATGCAATAGAATGATGGTGGCTATTGTTCTTCATGCACCTCAACACAGAAGCATCCCCCTACAGCATCAGAAGACCACCTTGAAGATAGGTTCGCAGGACCGCTCCGAGTGCTACCTTTTGTCAAGTGATTAGTATATTCTGTGGGATGGTCGTATACCGTGCTGGGACTGTGTCTAACAGTGTCAACCAGGGCGACAACAACCCCAACCTTACTCGTCAATAACTATCTTACCCAACCGAACATGCAGCATACAAAAGAGTCACGCTCTGGATCAAAGTCCCGCAACTGAAGATCCTTCCCTTTATTCCGTAGTCAAGAACAAGATGGTGGAAATCCCCTCACTTGTACGCAGTCTCTGCGGGCAAAGACCTGGCTGGCACACAGAGCGGCGGTGGGATGCCTTGATGCCCCCCTCGTTGTGAGTGTGACGGACCTCACATACCCGCCGAAGCTAAAAGCCATAGCATGCATAGATTTGGATGACAAAGGGCCCGATGTCACTAATGCTAGGCCCGGAAGGTAGAGGTTTCGCGGGCACACGCGGACGGGCCGTAGAAGGGAAGGATGGAGGATGGAGATACTATGCTTAGACCCATTGTGCTTATCGAATGAGTACTTGGAGATATTAGTTGTATTGGCGAGCCTATCTTTTTCCACTTCAATGGTACCCGCAACTGCTTGGTATTGTATTGTCAGAGATTTCCTTCTGCATAGGATTGAGGAGACCCTTCAGGGATATGGGCGGAGGTGGCTGGATATGGGGATACAAACGAGGCCTCTATATGTATGTACCTTGTATGTAAACATGGAAGGGCCACCGCCAATCCGCATGTCTCTCTTGTGACCTACTAGCTAGTGCTAGCTACTGTACTAGACCTACTAGGTAGTTGCCGTACTTGTAATTGTTGACTTGCATTTGCAAATGTGATTTAGCGTATGCCACCAATGCAACACGGTCGGAGCATATCGTTCCGCATTGAAGCTGAAAAGAAAGAAGAAAATAACAAGAGAGACATGAGCGATTGCGAGCGTCCGATTGCTCAACAGACCGCATGAACTCGAGGGTTGCACTACAGTTCGCCCGGCCAGAGAGCGGCCCAATAACAGAACCAGAGATGGATGTCAAAAGCGGTGCAAGGCAAAGGCAGGACATGACGGCAGATGCGCAATGTAGATGTAATGTAATGTGCGATAGAGCCTAGAACCTTGCATGATCCATAGATTGCATGTGCTGCTGCTGCTGAGGCCGTGTTCTTTGACAAATCTGGTGCTCAGACTGTACAAGAAATGACTCTGTCTCTGCATGGCTGAAATGCATCTTTGTCGAGGTGAGATGTGGTTGCAGGTTGACAACCTCGCTGTGGACAACGCTATTGGCCAGCCTGCAGCGTGACGAGAGTTGGCTGTCTAGCGGTGCCACAGGCCAATGACGACGTTGGAATAGACGCTCGACGGGGGTCACCCTTTGGGCCTGTTTAGCGGTACGAGGCTTCTGATTGGCGCAGTGTTTCTCCCCCCTTGTCCTAGGTGCTTCTATATTTCGCATACCGAGTGCTGGGGGATCCACTGTTTGATGCACGCACTTTCTTGATCCACCCTCTATTTTCTTAACCGCCCACGCTTGTCCTTCCAGGGAACCAGGAAACTCTTGAGTGTGATGGGCCGAGTGATAGACGGCGACATGAACTCGGCATTTCCTTGTCTGCGGGTTGTCATTGGCTGTATTTGCTAATTTACAGAGCAAAGCCTACGCACAATCTACGTATTTTCTTGGTTTCCTACCCATTGTGCAGTGTAATTCAACAAGGCAACCGATGTTGACATCCACATCCATGGCGATCCAGCCTCTACGTACTACGTACGCGGTACTTCCACTACCTATGGCCGCTATACACGGCCGCTTCTTATAAACAGGACCAACACCCGCCCCCAAAGGTCTTCTCTTCTTCTTCTTTTCTCTTCAGCAAGTTCTTTTCAATCGCAAATCCGGTTCCTGTTCTTGGGTCTCTTTTCCCCTTCCCCTTGTGCTTTCTTTGTTCCCCCGTAGAGCCGGTCTCTACTACTATTCTAATTTCGTTGTCTCTAAACCAAAAAAAACTACCCGCATCAACTACAAGCTCACTCACAAGTTGCTGGCCAGCTTTAGAGACAATACTTTTTGTTTAACGACTATTCTGTTTATGCCCGAAATCACTCCCGTTTTATAATCATCTAATTTCAGAAATCAACGGATTCCACTTGCTCGCGCCAATTTTCTCAATATCTGCACTATTCAGCATCATCGGATTCCCCAAACAACATAGGATATAAAATAATCAACTAAAATTCAACATGTCGGCTGTTCAACTCTCTTTCTCTCTCCGCGTCTCCTCAGGCGTCAAGACTGTTCATCTTCTCGGCTCTTGGGACGGTTACGTCGGTCAGCTCCCTCTCTCCAAGGACAAGTCCTCTTCAAAGTCCGGCTCATGGAAGGGCACCTTTCGATTCCAGAACTCAACTCTTGAGGCTGGCCAACGATACTGGTACTACTACATCATCGATGGTTACCACGTTGCCCACAACCCCAGCGTCTCCTCAACCGTTGAGCCCACCACTGGCCGTGAGCTGAACGTTCTTGACGTTCCCACAGACTCTCACAAGTCTTCATCCCGCTCCTCGTCTTCCAAGTCCTCCTCAAAGTCGTCCTCTTCTTCCTCATCCAAGTCTTCATCCAAGTCGTCTTCCTCCTCGCACAAGTCATCGTCTTCCAAGTCTTCCTCCAGCAGCAAGAGCTCTTCGCACTCCTCCAAGGACAAGGAGTCCCGCTCCTCGCGATCCTCGCGCCACAGCTCCAAGCTCTCCGTAGACATCCCCAAGGGTCGCCCCCTGTCAATCTCCCAGATCCAGGCCCCCAAGCCCATGTCTCCCCACGCGACCAAGCACATCTTGGATGCTTCCTACTACGACAACGAGGAGCTCGAGGAGCTCGCCGACCGTCTCGGCAGCGCCAACATTGAGGACGAGTTCATCACTGACTTCAGCACGTCGCCAGTCTCCTCCAGCGGGTCGTCTCTGTCATACCGCTCCGACAGCTCTTCACCCAACTCGTCCCTCTCTGGCTACAGCACCCCCGGATCCGACGTCAGCTCTTGCACCTGCGAGCGCTACGGTATCACTCGCAAGGGCGAGCGTGTCAAGCTCGACTGCGGTGGATCTCGCTGTGGTTACGATGATGACAGCGACTCCAACTGCTCCAGCGGCAGTGAAGACGAGTATGAGTACGAGGCCACCGTCTCGCACACCAGCTCCCGCCGCCACGGCGTTGTCGCATAAACGCGCCATCGTGTGGAGGGTTCTTTGGCAACAGGTTGAGAGAACCTCTAGCCGTTCATTCCTTGAATCGAGCATCCCCTGGCAGCACACCAGCGCCGGGATGACCCGACCTATGCTGTTGTGGTAATATCAGCACATTTTCCTCTTCCGACCTGCGTCACGCTTTTCGACGCGGATGGCACGCCGAGCTGGTCTCGAACGTCCCGCCGTGCCGATGCGTTGATCGTCAGCAAGGTCGATGCTGCGACCGTTTGGCGCAGTCCGCGATGAGCACATCTCGTGGCTGCGCAGGCGTAATCTTTCTTCCTCACTCTTGATTTCTTGAGTGAGCTGGGAGGTCTCGAAAGAGGCCGTCCCAGAAACAAACACTGACAAACCCGCACGAGAATCTCATCTGCCTTGATGATGAGATGCCATCTCTTGCAGGCAATTTCTGGACGTGGTTCAAGACCTGGCGATATGAAGGTCTGGACTAGCCATTACGAAGTATGAGGTGGATGACGGACAGTCATGAGCAATGATTAATGAATGAAATAGCTTAGCTGTCCAAGGATAGATGACGATTGAATCTATTCATGAAATGACCCAAACCCTCTGATCCAGTATATAATCAAAGTGATATCTGTGACACCATGTCCATGTTTCTCAACAAGATGTGAACCCCTTTCGGTGTTTCGGTCTAATTGACCCCACTGTATCTACCGTATCTACAGGCGTTAAACAGGACCCTTCAGGAGGCGGGGACCTACCTATGGCGGGGTAACGAAGACCCTGTTATCCATTGGACGTCTTTGACTGTAGCGTAGCATCTTGTTATTTCCTGTCTATCTACACCGTACTTAGAACGTTATTTCTGCATACAACAACGTATTGAGAGTTCTGTGGTTCATGAAGAATCAACCTTGAAGTCATCATTGATCGTTTACCAAGTTGAATTGATCGCTCACCAACCGCTCACACTATATATACATCCTCTGCTTGCCTTCTAGTTAGAGCTTCAGCTCTCGTACCTTCAACATCACCCAATATTCAATCTAAACCAACCGCAAACATGTCCGACGAACAACTTATCCTCCCCATCATCGACTCTCATATCCACCTCTACCCAGGCTCCGAAACCGACTCCCTCTCCTGGTACACCCCCGACAACCCTCTCGCTGGCCAACACTCTCTGGAAGAATACCGCGAAGCTACTTCTTCAGCCCCCTCCCTTCTCGGCTTCGTCTTTGTCGAGACCGACCGCAAGAATGATATCGAAACCGGCGCCGCAGATGGGTCTGGCTGGGAACAGCCCCTAGCTGAGGTCTCTTGGCTCAAGCGTATTGCGCTTGGTCAACCGCGCGAAGGTGAGGGACACACACCCGAGGATGCAAAGCTGTGTCTGGGCATCGTGCCCTGGGCGCCACTACCCAGCGGTCCTGAGGTTTTGGAGCGCTACCTCGATCGCGTGAAGGAGGAGGCAGGTGAGGCTTGGCCCAAGATCAAGGGTTTCCGCTATCTACTACAAGACAAGCCTCACGGCACCATGTTGGAGGAGAAGTTCATCGAGGGTGTCAAGCTCTTGGGTCGTCGTGGTTTCAGCTTTGACGTTGGTATCGATCAGCACCGACGTGGAAAGAAGCAGCTCGACGAGGTAATTGAGTTTGTCGACCGTGTTCATGACGGCGTTCCTGAGGAGGAGAAGGTTACTTTGGTGCTAAGTTCGTCTCTACTGTTCTTCCTTTTATCTCGACTCTGAACTAATAATACCCCCTAGACCATCTCTGCAAACCCGATTTCAGCATCTACAACCTGACCTCAGACGCATCCTTCCACGCCTGGCGCACGGCCGTTTACACCCTCAGCAAAGACTCCCACGTTTACATGAAGCTCTCTGGCGGTTTCTCCGAGATGCCCGATTCCCTGCGAAGCCAGGACCCCAACCATATCTTCGAGGCGACCCTGGGCTGGCTCGGCGTCGTCCTCGCTACCTTTGGCCCCAGCCGTATCATGTTTGGTAGCGACTGGCCTGTCTGCACCGTCAACAACGACAACGCCTGGCCTAGATGGCGCAGCGTTGTTGACCGCATGTGTTGGATGGCCACGCTAGGTGACGAGGAGCGTGCCATGATCTTTGGCGGAACGGCCAAGAAGGCTTACAATCTTTAAGCTTAGGGCATGGTATCACAAATGCAAATAGCATATATATCGTTGAGTCTCATTTTGCGAATACGGCATATATGGGCGGGCAAGGATGTTGAGATAAAATGATATCCAGTAACGAAAACAAAGGGCAAATTCCTTTTAATGAGATACATGAACGTAACAGACGAGAGGTTTCAGTGCAGAGTTAATACAAACACCCTTCGAAGCGTATACGTTTCACAATTCAATATACTATTCGTTGGGTAACTAGTCTTTAATATGTCATCGCCGCAGTAGATAAAATGTTCAAGTATTAGTCCAATCTATAACTAAGTATCATCTCTCATGTTTATAAAACAACACCAGGCGCCAATGATGACCAGTAACACAAGTATCAATAAGCAATGCCGCGCCAAGCTCAGGAGGATACTCGCAATATCCTCCGAGCATATGCCTCGCAGAAAAACAAAGATCCCGATCATACAATCCTGTGCGTCATGCGTTACAGCGTTCATCTGCCCTTGTGAGGCTCGTCATATCTCTTCACGTTCCCTCTTTACTCGCCTGCACGCCCCCGGTAGTTGCCCATCTTCTCGATGGAGTTCATGATGCCGCTACGGCCTGCGCCACCGGGACGAGGCAAGCCACCAGTGCTCTTTGTTCGCTCGTGGGGTGCTCGAAGGGCAGAGCCAGGTGCTCGTAGCCCTGAAACACGGCTGACGCTGCTCCTAAAGTGATCCGCGTTGCGTTTGGGCGTCTTGGCCTCTGGCTCTCTGTCGTGTTGCCTGTCGTGCTGGTAGCGGGACGCAGATTGAGGTTGCGGCAACTGTTGCTGCGGTTGCGGCTTTGGTGTTTGCGCAACAATGCTCTGCATGTTCATCATCTCCTCTGCAAGCTGCACGAGCTCTCCCTTCTCCACGCGCTCTTGCTCCAGCATGCTACGAAGCCCTTCGTTGTCGAGCTTTATCGTTTGCACAACCGCCTCAAGACGTTGGATGTTGGCGTCAAGCTCCTTGATTGTTGCGCTATCCCGAACAGCTTGGGCCTTGCGTTCGTCGGCTTCGGCGCTGTCAGGCTCAAGCCTGGTCATGTTCACGTCTTGGTTGACGCGGAAACGTTCGTTTTCTTCGGAGAGTTCGTCAATCTTGCTTTCGAGCTCGCGGACGCGCTTCTCCCATCGAGTTTCGTATGACTTTTTCAAGGCAGTGACCTTAGATTCGTGCTTGCTCTTATAGAGGGCGTGGAGCTCACGAGCCACACGCTCGACAGCGACCTCAATTTCATGGGTGTTATCGTTGGTAGTTATGGGCTTTTCGGGAGACGCCTTATCGTTGTCCTTTCCAGCACGCATACCAGCCATCTTACTCTCTGCCTCCTGGTGTAGCATCTCTGCTGCTTCACGTCGCTTCTCACTTTCCTCCAGCTTCTGTTCCAGCTCTTCCTGTTCTCTCTGGCTGGCCACAATTTCATCCTTTACTTTCCGCAAGACACTCTCCATCTCACGGCCACGGTTCTCCCAGACTTGCTTCTCATGAGTGAGTTGTTCCTTGATAGTCAGCTCATCACGGAGCTGCTCTTGAGATTCACCCACGCGCTTCTCGGCGTCACCGACAGCGGCCTTGAGGGATTGAACTTCAGCCTCTTTGCCACTCAATGAGGCCTTGAGTGAGCTGATCTCGGAGAGGAAATTGGACTTGAGCGACTCCAGCTCACGGGCAGTAATGCTGGGAATACTGCGAGGGGTTGGCATAGGAGGGATATCGAAATCAATCAGGTTAGTGAAGCCGCTACGAGAAGGAGTTTCAGAAACATTAGGCGCCGTTCGCGAAGGAGAGAGGCCGCCTCTAGATGGTGTTTTCTGAGGGAAACGCAGCTGATCTGTAAAGTCTAGAAGATTTGTTGTATTTCCTGAGTCATGCCTCGACCTGCGTCGTGCTGTTCGCGATGGTGAGGTATCGGCTCGCTTGAGTGCACGAGGAGTAAGGCCGCCCATGTCAGAAAGCTTGGTAGGACTCTGGCCCAGCTTGGCAAACATGGTCAAGTCTGGTACAGCTGAGAACGTGCTGAATGTGCTGACCATGGTATCGTCAGGGCACGCGGACTCGTCCACCTCCATCTGCCCTGAAGGGTTGACGTTGACAGTGCCTACGGTGACATCCATTTCATCTTGGCCGTCTTCCAACACACTCTGCTCGTCCTCGAAGATGGCAATTGCACGCTTGAGACCTTCGTTCTGTCGCACGGCATCATCCAGACTCATCGTGTTCTCTTGGCTGGTGCGGGGCGTATTGATAGGGTTACTGATCTTAACAGGAAACCGTTTCTCGGGAGACACCTTTCGAGGGCTGCGAGAACCAGGTGTGAGTCTGTCTGTTGGTCTTCCGTCTCTCACGTCTCGCTGATCAGTGAGGATCTTAAGTGGTGACAGAGTTGCCCCTGAGAGGACTCGAGAATGTCGTGACTTGGATGGAGACCGGTTCTCTTGATCAGACAAGGGAGTGTCGTTGATACCTGACACGGAGGGGGAGGACCCTTGAGATGTTTCGTTCTGCGTTTCTGACAATGAGACTACTTGAACGTCGTAGGTGTCGTGCCGCTGGGCGGTTGCAGGTGTTTGGATATTGAGACTTGAATCTTGGGCTGGTGATAGTGGTGTTTCCATTGTGACGCGCGCTGAATGCAAAGAAAGATGGCGATCAAACAAGAAAATTGGCAGTCAGGAGATGGTTCTGACTTAAGTAGTCTGGTGGAACTACAACTTTATTAGTGTTGCTTGTTTAGAAAACGGAGCTCAACGGTCGTGCGCCTGTATTTACCGTAGTCGACCCAGCAACCATTACGGCCCCACGTGATCTGCCAATCGACCATAATCCGACGTCGGTGTAGCCTTGGAAACGGCATGATTTGACATGATGCAGGGCTCGATATGGAATTGGCCTTTCCTTTGACTTACTTCCTGATTTACAGGGAAGATGTGCATCAAAGTAGGCTTTACGGCAACTGGACTGCTTCAATTTTCATCTTTACACACTCGCAATAATTACATATTGCATCACATTCAGAAGCATCGCCATAAGAAATAACACACTTGATCATCAACTCATTTGATCCAACTCTCTAATTGTATTGAGTCTCGAAAAAACAGCTTTTATTGTTCCTCATAAGTCGTTACCTACCTAGTAAAGCAACAGTTCCAACGCACATACATCCTGCATGCTCTCAATCTGAAGCACACAAGAAGAAAACAAGAAAATAGGAGAGAAATGTAAGGACGTCGTAAAATCATAATCCAGCAAGAGCCGTCCAAGCCTTTTCATCAATACCCAAATGCAGTCCAGCCTCCCGGATGGTCTGCTTAGGCAAAAGACAGTAGACATGGGTCCGCCCTGAAATCGTCGTTCCCGCCTGGGGTCATTACAGGCAGTGCTGTCCATACAGTGCGATGATATCGCAATCCGGAATAATCTTTCGAAAAGAAAAAGGTTGTTCATTGATTCTTCCCAGAATTAAACCTCCATGCAGAACGTGACTCATTAGTCATGCATATCCATAACAGAGCATGCTAGGTTAACGTAGAATCGGAAGTCGTTTCGTGAACTCGTCAGCATCATCTTTTGATCCAAAGCGTTTCCGATGAGGAATTTTCTGCAAGCACTCGACCAAAAACATGCAAAATTGTTTAAAAAGAAAAAGGAAAATCGAAAGAGTGTGTTGACGCGTCACCAGGCTTCCAGAGATGGACGTCTTGATCCTTCGCCAGCAATTGTGTGGAAAATGCTCGCCTGGGCACAGCCATTTTCTTCTTGTTGAAAGCGTACGGCCCAATACAACAATTAGCCAGCTTTAGCAATTAGCTAAATGACTGTTGCCTTCGAGGAGCACTGGCAGGAGGGCCAGGTCGAACGCCAGTGTCATACACAGGAGCAGGAGCATATGATGGAGACGCAGCGACAGTCGAAGCAGGCCGGGGAAGGTTGTCATATCCATGAGTGGGGGCATAAGAAGGAGAAGTGCCGATGCTGGAGTGGGGTCGGTTCATAGCATCATACTGAGGAGCAGGTACGCTCGTCTCCATTGTCTTGTTTCGCTTCAAGTCAAAGTTGTTCATGTGGTCGTGCACATTTGGGCCCGGTCGTGGCGTTTCAGCCTCGTCGTCTCGTCGCTTGTATGAATTCATGCTGTTCATGATCGCAGGCTGAGCATAAGTGTTGTGCAGAGTGTAATATCCGGGGGAAACCATGTCGTTGGATGTCACGGTCTTGCGTCGCTTCATCTCGAAGTTACCCGAATCATGTCCATTGGGGCTTGATCGATGAATTTCATCATCATCGTCTCGTCCTCGCTTGAGCATATTGCCGTCTCCATTGGTAATAGGTTGGTGAACGTTCTGGAGAGGAGGAGGAGCATATCCGTTTTGCATCCCAGGCATGTTACCAGCCATGCTCCCTGGCATGTTGCCGGGCATGTTGTTCATGGGGTCGTGTCCGTTGGGACCTGACCTATGAATCTCGTCATCATCGTCTCGACCTCGCTTTAGCATGTCCCCTCCATTCTGCATGGGAGGCTGATGGACATTGGCAAGAGGAGGTTGGTGAGAGTACCCGTTAGCCATCCCGTGCATGTTGCTCATGGAATCGTGTCCATTGGGAGCAGTTCGGTGCAATTCGTCATCGTCCTCTCGTCCTCGCTTGAGCATATTACCTCCGTTCTGCATAGGAGGCTGAGGACCATTCGTGAGAGGTTGGGGGGTGTTTGTGATAGACTGGGGCCCGTTTGTGAGGGGCTGAGGAACGTATCCATTTTGCATGCCAGACATCATTGGGTGATGCTGCGCAATTGAAGGCAAAGCGTTAGTTACAGGTGGTCGCTGGGCACCAAGGTTCTCGTGTTTTCGGCGCTCAGCAGCAGCCATGACCTGATTGGTTCGGTTTGAGTTCGAAGGGTGATAGAGAAGAGCGCCAATGTTGTGGACAAACAAAGGATACAGAAGCTCAGTGATTTTCTCCTTGTTCGCAAAGTCTAGTGCGCGGTCGTAGGGGATCCTGAATTGTGTCAGCCCAATGTCCAATGTCTTTCAATGGCCGATCATCGGAAAGTACTCACCATACACCCTTCAAGTGCATTGGACCAATCTTGACGACATGTCGAACCTTTTCGCTTTTCAAAATACCATCTCGTCGACCTCGGGTCATGCCCGCTACGTTTAGTAGTTTGGTGCCGTTAATCATGTGGTTATCTGAAAACTAAAATTAGCGATTGACACAAGCGGCGCCCGAGGGCCCGTCGAGTTCGAGTCAAAACTCACCTTCTCTTCGCGCCACACAGATGCCTCTCGCTTCCACCTGAAAACACAAGCTGCCTTCATCTTCCCAGAGAGTAGCTGTGACTCTGGGCTTCATTCCAGGTGGGTTGTGCTGGCCAGTTGTGTCAAAGCTAGTATTGCTGCCGTTGTTGCTGTAGCCTTGCTGCTGCATCGCACCTTGGTTGCTCAACGCTCCAGGTATCGGCAGTACATTCTGAGGCGCAGGCATAGAAGTGGAGACAGCAGGTGTAGGAGCACCATTTTGGGGATAACCGTATGGACTATACTGTTGTGCGGAATACTGAGTATAATACATGTCTGCTGGTTGTTGGGGATGGGTTTGCATCATGAAGGGATTGGTTTTGTTGCGCGAACAAGGAATCTCGTTTGTTTGGGGTAATTGGAAGGTGGATGGTGGTTGATGCGTTAGGTTCTGGTAGAGATAGAGGCTGGGCTGGCGTAACGTTAATATGGCAGGACAATTGCGAGAGGGAGAAGTCAGTTGAGATGAAGGATGACTGCAAACTCGAAGGAAAAGAGGTGGACGGCAGAGGGAAAGAAGGACCGGCAAGGAAAGGAAAGAGAAAAAAGAAATAGGAAGAGAAAGAGAGAAGGAAAAAAAACCCGAGAAGGTCAGGATCTTGGTGGTGAGAGGCAGAACGAAGAGAAGGAACAGAGGAGGCAGGTGAGGTACGTACCCTGGGCCTGGATGGCTTGATCAGTAGAGGTGAATGTAAAGGTACCTTACCTTGCTTGATCAGTGCCCGCCCCGCAGCAAAGTTGGGACGGGGGGGGGAGAGGAAGAGGAGAATGGAGGAGTGAGAAAAGGACCTTGAGGGGGCGTCAGCGTAAGAAGGATGGGGGGGGGGGTGCTAAAAACCCATGTTGAGGAAGAGAAGGGAAGAAGGGTGTGGTGAATACTCACTAAGATAGAGATCCAGTCCAATCAATTTAGTCGAGGGCGAAGAGGGGTTTTGATGCTGAGAAAAAACGAGACAGGAGAAAACGACCATCGACACGGACGTATTTGTACTGAATGTTTGCAGTAAAGGAGGGAAGGCTTAGTACGGAGTACTGGCAGTTAGACGAGTGATGTCTTGTCAGGTTGTATCAAGGGACTAAAGATTGAATTCTTTCGTCGAATCTTCTTCAGATGATGGTTTTCGTCATGTACAAAATCAGAAGAAAAAACTCTAGGTTGCGGGACTGCACTGCAGAGAAGTGCCAATGCACACGCACGCACTCATTCACTCCATGTGAGTTGGTTTGGGGCCGAGTGGACCTCGCTTCCATGTATGTCTGTATGTAGGTCCCTCAAACAAACGCGAACTTAATATTCCTTACAGAACATATGATGATGGGTAAGAAGTTTCAACATTTGCATGAGTAGATTGACCAAATTGACATCAAATATTCACAGATATAAACTCTCCCCTCTCTATCCTCAGTCTGACTAGTCTTCGGACAAAATAATGACTGAAAGAGCCATACTCACCGTACTGTATGAACATGGCCCCGACATCGCCCTGGTGTCTCTTGTAGTTATCTGAGAGGTGTGTGCTAACGTGGATCATGAAATAGACTAAACCAGGGCTAGAAATACACGGTACGATACTGTGCTGTGCTCTGGATCAAACTGAGACCGAGAGTACCGAAGTACTTGACGGGGCCTGGCCTGGTCTGTCTGGAGGCTGGATCTTGCCTCTTTGGTCTTTGAGGTCTCTCCACGGATGGATCGTCAGATGGAGCCGAAGAGCCCAGGATTATGCTTCAAATGTTTCTTCCGCTCTCAAAAGAAACGTACACACACGCACACACGCACACACACATACAGACGCCCCACAGTCGGATACGCACTGATCACTCTCCTGTCAACGCACAACAGAACCAGGGACCATCAAGCTCGCAAACTCGGTGGATGAGGGACTCTCTGTAGGGCGCTGGACAGTCCTTGAAGAGCAACAGTGGTGGTGCGAGGGGTGCACTTGCAAGGGGGGGGCTTTCTCTGAGGGGTATGCAGAACAGCGTCGTACCAGGCCACCTCAAATGCGTTGAGCGGAGGAGGAGAAAGGTTGATCATGGGGAGTTCTTCTCTGAGCGGTTGTTCGTACAGTTACCTGTAGGCTTAAGGTATCGTGACTGGGGACCGAAAGACTGGGGTTCTCCCTGGACTGTGGACACTGATCGGTCGCCTGGAGTCTCAATGGCTACAGGAGGCCACGGGGCCGCCGCCAGGGCTGCCAGGCCGGTAAGAGTAAAATCCGTGCGAGTTATCATGGTAAAGATTGGGTTATCTGTAGGTATTTGGTATCGAGTATCAGAGCGAGGTTGGCTGGAGTAAGGTATTGCTTATATTACCCTGTAGTGTGAGTGAATGCTCTTGATCAACAGGCCCCCTCTTTACACCACACGCATGACCTGGAACCACAAACTCATATTGAGTCCTTCAAGATCTATCGTTTATATATGCTTATGCTGTGTATTGGACTTTTACTGCAGTCCACCTGCAAGGATAACTAAGGGATCCTGGGAACAGACGGGAGCGATGCTTGGTGCCATTGCCCCCTGGCAGCTCAAGCTCCGCTTACTCGCGCCAGCAGTGCTGTGCGTGCTGTGCTGTGCGTGCTGTGCTGTGCTGTGCACCCACAACCCACAGGGCATCCATCCTCAACACCCGCTTGATGCGACGGTAAAAGCCCGCACACAAGGTCGAATTCAAGATCCAGCTTGAGATGGATGGGAAGTCATGTCATACCCATCCTCAAACAGATCATTGGGTAGTACTTTAACAGGAACCCACTTCTGAGGTTGCGTCGCCTCTTTCTCTTTCTCTTTCATACAGTCAGTCAATTCGCAGTATTACTTGGCAGTTTGATCGTGAGTCTCTGTGAGCTACTTCATAGAGTAAGATTGACTACGTAGATCACAGGCAAGGATCAAGTGATAATTGACGGGCAAAGACTAATAAACCTCGGGGCTTTTCTCGTCTATCAGACCGAGCTACCACTTATATTCAGTCACATCAGTCCCTGGTCAAGAGCCTCGGTCTATATACGCAATCGAGTTATAATGACTGGCCAGGTAATTACTAGGTATGCTCGCAACTGCAAGCATTCTCTGGCTATCTCGGATCGCTTGCCCATGCCTGCCTTGTCAACAATTAACCGCAAATTGAATTGACAGCCCGTCAGAACTATCATCACATCCAAGTTAGGATACTATGAAGTTGGCTAACTGGGCTACAGCCTACAGCATAAGTCCAAAATCACTTGTTGTGTCGCGTCATTCTGTTATGTTATGGGCCAAGTCGGTTTCCATTTGTCTATCTGGGTTCTGTTATGTATGTTATTGCTTCCTGTGGCCGTGTCGTGTCATTGTCGTGTCGTGTGCTAGCTACTACCTATGTGTTGTGTTATTGTGTGCTCTTGTCGCTTCAACGCCATTCGTCCGACTGTCAACTCTTGCTCGTCTTTTCGCGCGCTCTCCTTCCTTCTAGCTCTTAGTTGCGGCACGGTACTGTGTAAACTAGATATCGTGTACCGGGTACTTTTCTTTCTTTCATGTGAACTTCAATTGAGTTTACGCAGAGCTCTTCAACAATACCACATCTCACCAATCAGAGGCTCCGAACACCAACCAGAAGAGACCTAGACTTAACCCGAAGATCAACGGCATCAGAGTTTCGCGCTTCCAGCTTCTCGGCGCTTCTGATCGCCTGTCTCAAACTCCCAAACTTTCAATCGATCCATCTCAGATTCTCACTTCTCAACGGCGCGCCAAACTACTACGGGACCGTTACTTTCGGGTTACCTCTATTACGTCAAGTGTCGGAACAGCTTGTGCACCATCACTTTTGTGTGCAACTACCGACAACTCGTATTGAGAAAGGTTGCAAAACCAAAAGGCAACCAGAGACATACTGATAACGCCGAGAATTGAACAATTGGGAAGGGGGCTCATGCGGACTAGGAGCGGAAAGGCTGTGTATTACGGAGTACTCTCACTAACTTCTTACTACGGGATTCGCTTGCGCAGGAACCGGCTGCCCAGAGGGAGAAGTTTAAAACAGAGAGACTCGACCAGATTCCTAGTACAGAGTAGAGGCTCAATTGATTGACAGGGAGTTCGGAGGAGTTGAGTTAATGTTAATTGGTTTACTACGGTCATTACTTCCTCCTGACCCTGTCTTGCTATGATATCCATGCTATGTATGCCAGCCTCCTCCCAAACATGGCGAAGCGATGGTCTTTGATGACCACATCAGAAAGGTCCTGGATAATCTTGCAAGCCCACGCCCGCTCGTGCGGAGGTCCATCCATGACCCTTGGCCCATGCCCCATGGCTCATCATGGCCCGTGATGGCATGGGTCGCTCTCCGAACAGGCCGGATTCTCCCTCCAGGACTGGGATGTGAGAACAAGCACCACCCGCTGCTGGCGCTGGCGTGGCCTTGGTTTACTGGCGAGCCATATGTGGAGTTGTTGTTCTGCCTCTGCCTGCTTTGTCTCTCCAGAAGTCAGGACCTTTCAAGTCATCAACTTTTGTGGCTGGGCTTGACGACCCCACTGGCAATGGAAACCCCACACAAGGAACACCAAGGGCCCATACGAGCACAGCACAGTGTCAACCCAGCAGCCCACCCAGCCTAGTAAGAGAGAGCCTCTGCCTGGTATTTCCGACCCATGGCCGACTGGCCAACTGGCCGCCGCCTGCCCTCGGGTCTGTGAGTTGCGCTGTGGCGGTCTCGACGAGCCACTTGCCAGGTATCATGTCTCACTTGGGATCGGTTTGTCTCTGCCGTTGTTACTTGTTACCTCTCTCCCTTGAGAAGGACTCGGCGGCAAAGTGCGGTAAGGTAGCCTCCCGCAAGCCATGCGAGTATCACTATCATCAATGCTCAGACTCAAGAGCCTCAGACAAGAAAAGCCTCCCTTGGACCCAGAATCTCCCGCCTCTTGTATTCTGTTTAGTCCTAGACAAGGGACCGGCTGCTTCAGCTTGATACAAGGTTTCGACGGTCTCTGTTGTCATGTCCACTCAATTGCCAAAATTCGGGAGCCGGGACAGCCACCCGACCGTCCCAAAACATGTGACTTCCATATACAGTACCCGGTACGTGCATCCACAAACGCAGAGCGCAGGGACCGTTGGTGTCTGTACCTACAATCACATTGATGGAATTGGTGCCGCCTCTCATCCGCCCCGCACGTCAATTGATTTCGCGCATTACTACCCTAAGCCAACGAAAGGAATTGGCCTTGCTGTTTTACATGGTTATCTGTTGCGTGAACTGCACTTACTGACCATGCTCACACAAGACGTTGCAGCGCAAGGGTCTCACTCGGA